AATCAGAGCCACACCTACTGCAGAAACTGAACTGTACTGGCCGCCTCCTGTGCAGGTGGAACACAGTGATTTTACTCTCAGTGGGAACAGTTTGCCTTACAGACTGACAGACCGACGGCTGCTGAGAAACACCTCACATCACCTCCTCCCTCCACAGGACAGACGCCCTCTCAGTCTCATTAGGGCCAAACCTGCCGCTCAGTGAAAGCAGGGAGGGCCACAAACCGCCCCCCCCTCTTGGCTGAAACCTCCCCATCACTCACGGCGGCGCTCATTACTTCTCCCCCCTCGCCTCACCCTCTCCTGAAGTCAGCCAGCTCCATCCATCACATCCATCGATCCTGTCTCCCCCCGCTGAGGTACCTGCCTGTTTTTCAGGCTAAGTGGGAGGGATGGCAGAGCTGGCATGATATTTCAGCCTCTCAGTGACAGCCGCGTCCCCGAGGGCCTTTACAAGGTGAACCCGAGCCTGAGATTCGTGGAGGAAGTTTTTCCTCCGTCGATCCAAACAGAGTTTCTCTCCCCTGAGGAAACACTGACAATCTGTTTTTCCTGCTCAGACATCGGAGGAATAATCAATCTTCGGTTTCCTGTGCTGCTGCTCCGATAAACAGAGGGAATCCCACTCCCAAAACAGCCCCTGTCTCCCAAAAAGACTGTCACAACTGTTGTTAAAGGGTTGACAGTGAAGTCTCACAGAGGAGCGAGGATGCTGTAAATCTGCTTAAAGATGTCTGACGGGGTGTCAAACACACCTCCTCTCTGCTTTGATCTTGTTGCTCTGATGGTTTTTGGGCAGAGAAGCAAGCTTAAGCTTTTAAAGCGATTGCAGCAAGGAAACGTTTCGGAGCAGTTTGACACACACACACACACACACACACACACACACACACACACTTGGGATTAAATTCACAGCGCGAAGCCGAAGTATTATATGGAAATATTTGGCCCCTTATCTGACTCGTCCAAAGTACTTTCATAAAATCTCTACCTAGAGTAAATTCTGTTTGTTTCAGAGTCCAAGAAGTGTTTTAGTTTATCCCAGTGGTCCTGACTGACCAATCAGGTGTCAGTATGAAAACTGCGTATGGAGAGCAAAAGCAGGAGGAAAGTGATAAATGGTAATCTGATGACTGTGTGCAAGTGCATCCAACAATCTACTCTAGATCATACACTAGGGCTGGGCGATATGGCCTCAAATCAATATCATGATATATTGATCAGTTCACCTCAATAACGATAAATGGACGATAACTACTCCACAAACTGCTCACCCCCTCCCAGATTAACTTCCTCTACTTCAGCCGCTCCAACTTTCTCTCCGTCCTCCATCTCCTCTCCTGTCTTTCCCTCTTTGTTACAGACTGGATGGGGTGGAGTCACATCTCTGATGTAGGACAGCGTCTTAAAGGGACATGAGACCATAGCCTACCTACACACATCCAAAACTAACTTGTATTTATCTATTTATTTGACATCCTGTATACTGATATGGGCAAGTTATTGTTGTAAATTTCGGTATCGGTAAATTTTCGGTTTATCAACCAGCCCTATCAGACACTTACTCTGAGACACAAATCTACCTGTTGCTATGTCACTAAAGACAACCAGCATTATGATTTCCTGACTTCTTTAAACAAAGACAAACTGTTTCTCCCGATTCCTGCCGTCCGAAATCCGTCACGAAATTCGCCTCACAAACTAATCCGGTAGGTGTTGTCGGACAGCGAAAATCGCTACCGTTCTGTAGCAGGGCCGTTCCGGATGCGGTGGAAATTGGAGGTGGGACTCACCTGAATCAGATGACCGTGCTCTCCTCTAGAATCTGAATGAACCAGTTCTCTCATTTAGACAGTAGAGGGTTGAGCTGTTAGCTGATATGTGCTGTAGGCTGAGCCCGACTTTGTGATACGCCTGGACTAACTCTCTACTCAGTATATGGTATTATTATCACACTGTCTACAGTCAGTCCAACTCATTTCTGCTCTGTTCGTTATTATTAGACATCAGCTGATTGAGTCATCAGAGGTTGAAACATCTTTTAATGCAGCTTTGTTATTTTTTCCTCGGGGTCGAGGCCTCATAGATCACATGTTGGGTAATTATTCCAAGTTCACTCTCAGGATTAAATATGTATGTTGGTAATATTTCTGACTGGCTCGCTTGCAGGAAAAACTAGTCGCACAGCCACCTTACCTCCCTCCTTCCCTCTTTCTCTTTCTTTCTCTCTGCTGTTTCTTCATTTTCTGAGTAATTTCTGAAATAGCTGTGCTGCAAATTAGATTTATCAAAATGAAGATGAAAATAGAAATGAGTGCATCTCTTCCAATTTAGTGATCTGTCAGATATCCATAAGTCTGTTTCTGAAGGGACAGCAGCTTCAACAGGCGCAGTGTTTTTTTTTTAATGAAGTGTGATTTTCAGGGGAAAAGAATAAGACAGTATCTCTGGCTCTGTTTTTGGTTTGTGCCATTCCTCCTTAACTAGTCCGACAGACAAATATGCAGATTTTGAGTGGGAAGGCTATAATTAAATGATTTAAAATGCTTATTAATTCCACTGAAATTTCCTCCCAGTTTAATTGCTCAGTCGAACTTGTTCATCAGCTGAGCAGAAATATGAATTTAAATGAGACCCTGGAACCGCAGGAGAGGGTTGAATTAAAGGCTTCTCTGCGTTCAGTGTTCAGGTTTGTTGTGTAGGTGACACGCAGTCTCTCACAAACAGCAGAAATGTTGGTTTCAGAGGAGCAGACAGACATCTCCCAGGGTGTGAAACCCCAAATGCAAAATCAAACTCAATTTGCATTCATTAGAGGAGTCTGCAAGGGAAATCTGCAACACGATCTGTGATTCCCGCATGGTTCAGGGAGTTTGTACATGCACCTGTCAGACAACACGACGAGCAGGCTGAGAATCAAAACACAAATCCTGATCTCAGAGAGAAACCTCCAGATACAAATTGACTCCTGAATCATTTGTGCAGCTTTAGCCTGTAGTAACACAATATTACACAACACCAATTTAAGGTGTTCCAGTTTTAAGCCGAACGATAAGTCTTTGTGGTTTATGAAAACGATGGTGTGACAGGAAGTCAGCAGGAATGACAACCAAGGAGTCAAATCATGACGGAGAGAAGACAGGACTGTTACAAACACTTAATTAGCTGCGTTTACTTGGGCAAAAAATAATCTGAATAAATGCCTGATCGGAATAAAAATGCGCCATGTAAACAAGTCGATCGGAGGATTCTGATCCAATTCGGCTCAATTGGAAAGAAACTGTATTCCGATCAAGAGGGGTAGTTTATGCTGATCGTTATTCCAAAATGCGTCCATGTAAACACTTATTCCGATCGTGACTCTTTTACCTGACTCGGTCTTCACTCTTTAGCCTTTGTTTTATTAACTGGATCAGTACAGGAGGTTTCATTTTTCACACTCTGGTGCCGTGTCTGCTCCTCCGATAACACAACAAGGAGTACATACAGTGTAATGATGTCACATCTGCACGCACAGAGCAACCTTTGACAGAACAGTAAAATAAGTACGCAAGGTCGCCATCTATTGACAACATTTAACTCCTGAATTTGATGAAGTGAGCCACTACCATGTTTGTTGGTTTGTTGACAGCACAGGCGTAAATACAACTCTCCTTCTTCTGCGGTTGTTTTTGCAAAATCAGACAACTCTGCGCATGTCCAAATGCTTCTACTCTGAATAAAATTCGGTGAATATAAACACACGTCATGATCGGATTAATTGATTTTTCACCCATATAAAGAGTGGATTCAGATTATCTGATCCCTAGAGTTCTTCATCGCATCAAGAAATTTTGCCCATGTAAACGTGGCTAATGTTGTTGTGTCGGTTGTAACAACAGAACAGTATCAAGTTGAAACTTACAGTAAAATCCACTCTCTCTGTGAGGCCGGTAACTTTCTGGCATTAAGGGGCTTTTCTACCCCACAGAGATGATCAGTGTATTTTTAAGTGTTTCTGAATCGAATCTCACGAGGATTTAGCAAAATGTTATTTCTGTTGTTAGCTTGCTATGCTAATTAGAAGCTGCCATCTTTGTTTTGGTTTGTGGACCAATCAGAAGCTGAATCTGCAATCAGCTCAAAACCTGAGATATCATTTTTGTTGTTGACAAAGAAACGCTGTCGAGCTGAAGGACGGACTTTTACTTTGACATTATTTCTGTGGCACAAAGGGGGAGTTCAGACTGATCTGACTGCTTGTACGCATTAATAAAACAACAGTCATGAGCGTGAGACCACTGTTGATGTCAGAGAGGAGACAAAGCTGCTCTCGTACCTCTGTAGTCCTTTGTTTTTTAACAGGAGGACATTCAGATGATAAATCTGCCTCTGCAGAAACATAAACCAGGAGGAGGGTGTCTGGATTATGAAGAACAAAGTGGAGCGAAAACAGATTGTAATAACCGAGTCGTACAACATCATATTGAGTAAATTGCGGAGCCAAAGGACCTCACACAGCATGGTGCTTCGTTTTACATCAGGAAACATCTCACACAGAGTTTTTCTGCATACTGAACCATCTGGGTTTTTTTCTCTGTGGCCATTTTCGGGAGGGAGCTGCCACGCGGGGCTCAGTGTGGCGCACAGATTCAATTATAAGATGGGTGTGTTTGTCAGTAAGGTGTGTGTGTGCCAGCCTCCGCCTGTAAATGCATACAGCTGATGGATGTGGAGACTCCTGGCATGGCGAGCGGTGTGTAACCTGTCTGTGATGTGAGGGAGAAAGGCCCTTTGTGCTGCTGTGGAAAAACCCCGAGCACTCAGCTGTGTTTTCAGCCCGTCTGCAGGCACGCCTTTTCAGGTCCCCCGACACTCTCCTGCTCTGAAAACACAGGGCCAAATCACACAAAGACAAGGCAACAGCATCCCATTTTCCCTGCCATGTCCTCCGTGAGGCCGCCTCCCAATTAGCCACACCGCTGCTGCTGAGGCAAGATAACAATAGGAGCACATGTATCCCCTAAAGAGCTCACTAGAGGACCTTTATTACCGTATTGATATCTCTGACATGTCGGCGCTGCCCTCACTCGCCTGGCAGCATGCCCGTACAGCTCAACTCGCCAGAGGGGCAGGAAGTCGGCGGGGAAAGAAAACAGCAGGACGCAGCGTCAGGTTTAATGGTACATGCTGTAATTAGTGAGCTGCTGGAAGGAATAAATATAAAATATGATGCAGGCGGTTCGGGCAGCTGCACAGTTAATGCAAAAACAGATTAATGTGTAAAAGTACAAAAACGTCTCGAGTGACATCCGTGGAATCAACAAAAGACTAAACATGGAATGAAATAAAATCCAAACACACAAAATCAGAGGCAGATAAATTAACTCGAGGGAGAAACAAACAGCAGTTACTACGGTGGCCTTGAAGGTCCACTGCAAAAACATTTTAGAACCGCAGAAAACATTTTGATGAATGTGTAACAGATGAAAAAATATTCAACAAAAAACTTAAAACTGTCTCTCCAAAAAAAAGAAAAAATTTCCAAAAATGCAAAAGAAAAAAATGTAATTTTTAAGATATCTTTCAATTTATTTAAAATAAGTTAATTTTTATTTTTAAACTTTAATTAAACATAGAAAAATATTTTATGTTTTCAAATTTTTTCACTTCGTACATTTTTTGTGTTGTAGTGTTTACAGCTTTATTTAGATAAAAAAAAAACACTATAAAATGTTTTCTTCTTAATTTTGCATGCACTTTCTTGTGAAAAGTTTTTCTTTATTTCATGACATAGTTTTATGTTCTACTTTTTGTGAATTTTTTGCATCATTTGGTCATTTTTTTCATCTAAAATTAATGATTTTATGCTCTCTAAGATAGTTTTGATTTTTAAAAAATCTTTAAAAAAACGCATTCAAACTTTTTTACTTCATAGAAAAAATGTTTCTGAAAAAAATGTCATGTTTTGTTTAAAAAACTGAAATGTTTTATCAACTTTGTGATTAAATTTTTCTTTTTATTATTTTTTTTATGCTTTTATGACATATTTTTGCATTTACTGAAATGCACCTTTCCTTCATCAAAATCTTTTTGTAATCACAAAATGTTTGTGCAGTTGACCTTTAGGGCCACCGTACATTATGAACAGTTTCCTTCTTTTGTCCGCTGATATTTTATCCTTCAATATTTCCGACATGCATAAAACACAATTAATGAAACACATTTTTAAAAACACTCTGCTTAAGAAAGAGGAGAACTATCAGTATATTGCATTTTTCCACACAAAGAAAATAAAGTGTTCAAGTTAGCTCACATTCTTTAGCACCACACACGACTTTTCTCACAAACACAATGACACAAAGTCGAAGTTCAGTCATTCAGGAATTTTAAAAAAGTGGTTAAATGAAGCGTGTGTTTTAATTATGTGCATGACTTTAACCAGAAAAAGTGGTCTTGTTATCCTGTTTCTATTCACATCAGTTTATAGACATTCAAACTCCTACAAACTTAAAATGGACGCTACTCTGGAAGTGTGTAGGGAGGTGGTGAAGGGTAAAAGCTCCAAATTTAGAGGCACTTTCTACCTGTTTCAACATGAGCTGGCAAGATTTCTGCAGTTTGCATTAAAGTGTCTTAAAGTTTATATAAAATTCTTCCTGTTTTTCCTTCTGTCGAGGGGTAAATGTTTGTCTCTGAGGCTGGAACTTCAAGCAGACCCTCAGAGGTTTGTTGTGAGTCTCCACATTAATGGATCTGAGGTCAGTCCTGCCACAGAGCCGAGGTCACTCAGAAACGTCCATTTCAAATGCCCCAGCTGTCACTGAAGTACTGATCCTCCTCCTCTTCCTCCTCTTCTTCCTCTCGTTCTTCTTCCTCTTCAGTCCCATTTTTCATGAGGTCGTCATCTTGTAACTCTTCACCTTCGTCCTCTTCGCCGTCGTCGTCCTCGTCCTCCTCCTCCTCCTCCTCTCTGAGCTGTGCCAGCATGGTTTGTAAAGTGGCTTTGACTTCCTGGACCTCCTTCTCTAGAGACTGTGCAGAGCGAGTTAAGGAAGGATCTGATGCTGCAGACAAACATGAAAATAAAGAGATGCCTGCAGACAAATATCAGGGCAGAGCCGACACTTGTGGACCGGGATATTTGATGGAAATAGCAAAGGGCAGCTTTCGCCTGATGAAGTCATCAATCCCCCAATTTGGCCACCAAATGGATTACTGGGACAGATCAAGTCATACCCAATTTAACCCCATCCGATTCCCTATTCATGAGCTCATCCAGGCTGAGGGGCTGAGGGGGACCAAAGCAAGCAGACCGGCCCGCTAAATTATTCATAAAGAGTCGATGAATGGGGATGGAGGCTGTCAGCAGTGGGGGGATTGTTTAACCTGCTTAGAAACTCAAATTAATCGTGTGAGTGTCCGGCTTAAATGGGAAATCAAAGGGACGGCTCTGACGGCAGATGGGACCTGATGGCTCGTTTTACTGTCTGAATGGACACAGATTGTCCTCATTCATAATTAAGCGGCTGTTAAAGAGCTTTTCCATGAATACTGCAGGAGGTTCGATGACAATTCGAAAGGCGACGCAGTCCAAATGGGACAATGAGGTTCAGAAATCGGTTGCAGATCTTTACTGTTGACCTCAGACGACACGAGATTAGAGGAGGTTTAAACCCAGAACAAATGACAACAATCTGAAGAGGCTGAAATGATGCTTGGAGTGAACTGGAATGTAGGACTGGGCGATTATATGATGGTGATAAATTTCAGTTTGATCACGGTGATCAGCTGTGAGCATAATTACTCAATCAAACATGGCGGAAATGTGCGTCACAACAGCCAATCAGAGTCTAGCTTTTCCTGCTCACTTCTGTAAGTTGTTGGAGAAGTAAACAGAATGACCGGACGTGGAGCTGAGGGCAGCGAAATGGATGCCAGCCGTGACTTTGAGTCGTCCTCCGGAGATGCCATTGTTGAGAAAAAAAGTTATTCAACGTCGGTTGTGTGGTGGTGACGTCAAGCAATTAAGCCGATTGTCAACACAACAAATCTATTTAATCATTATTTCCGGAGTGATTATGCGGAAAGCGTTCGAGTGGAGTCTGTACAGCCTATCACTGCTGACGGCACGAGTAGCATTAGCAGTTTAGTCACAACTAGCGGTGCAGCCACAGACCAAAGCAGCGATCAATCGTATCATCTATGTTTACATCAACTAATGTTTATATTTGAGGGGGCGATTTGTTTATTTTGGGTCTTGCATACCTGCAGAAACACTCAGGACTGTAAACTAGTTCACTACATTTGTTGTACTGTTGAGTTAAAATGGTTTTCAGATTATTTTCATGTTTATCTTATTCAATTTTCTTTGTTATTTACTTTGCATGTTGAAAAAATGTTGAACTAATCTCTAGTTTCTTTAGTTTTTAGTACAGATGCTTTAAAACTGGCAGTTTGCAAAAATTAAGAAAAAAAAATTGTGATAATAATCAAGATCAGACGATATGACAAAATATACCGTGATCATTTTATTAGCCAAATCGCCAAGTCCTACTGGAATGAAACTCTTGGGCATCAGTTTTTAAGATTTGACCAGATCACCTCGACAGATCTGGTCCTGCAGTCTGGAAAAACACCAGACAAACACGAGCATTATTTGATGGTACATCTCTGTTTTTTCTCCTTACATCAAGAGCAGGGACTCAATTACAACCCTCGGAGACGAGATGTTTGATCTCGCCTCACTATGGCAACAGCAGCATCATCCCACTTCGTCTCTCGGATAGATTTCTGGGAAGCAACAATACCGCTGTCTCCTCAGTGTCCTCAAGTGTCCACGGCACTTTTTCATGAGTGTACTGACTTCACAAAAGCTGAGCTGAATAATGAGCGAGGAGCCGATCTGAGTGTATCAGCGACAGACTGATATCAAGCTCACAGCTGAGGGGCCGGGCTGACCTATGACTGCGCGGCGAGGGGATGAGAATCTCTGATCAGATGAGAGGAAGGTCTGGCTGCACTTCAGAGTGAAGGACGCTCACTTTAATTCAGAGATACTAAAACTAAATCAACATCTTCATCAGATTAGGAGCTGCAGCCGCGCGCTCAGAGAGGACGAATGAATCCTGACACTAAATAAAGAAATAAACATCCAGCAGGTTAGGAGGCACACTCTCCTCATCTCCGAGCCGAAGTATTGCCTTTTCTATCGGTCCACAGTGTGCAGCGAGAAAGTGGAGCGAGAAAAACACACTGATCTATTTCCAATCAGCTTTCTAATTAGTGCGGAAAATGATGTATTGTGACCTGTAATCAGCCTCAACAGTTTCATTTGAGTCATTATCATGGATATTGTAATTTCCTCCAAGTGGAAGTGGGCAGACGGAGGAGGAGGAGGCGGAGGCGGAGGAGGAAGGGCGGGTCAGCGTCTGTATGGACATTAAGATTTGACAGGAGCAGAGTCATTACAGCCACATTCCTCTATCTGCCCCCGTCGGACTTTAATCTCAGCCCGCTCTGACTGGCAGCCGGCATGACGGAGCCTCTAATAACCTCGCGTGGACTTTTACCATTTCATTTTCCAGCTGGCACGTCCCGCCTGTCAGAAAAAAAAAAAAACTCTGATCCCTGTTTATCTCCAATTCCCTGCCTGAATGGAACCATAATGTCAGATAAGACAGGTTGAGTTTTTTATTCCTCAAAAGGTAAAGCAACAGAGAGCCAACATCCTTCAGCTGTGAGACGGTCTGGATGTGCAATTTTTGAGAGCTAGAAGCCAACGGAAAACTAGGTCCTCCAGACGGATGAAGAGAGACAGAAAGAGAGAGAAAGAGCAGGACTGTTTGTATGATTTATGATCATTTAGAGAGCACTGAAAGGATATGGGTGAGGGCCTGATCCTGGTTCAGAATAGCCGTCTGCAATTCGTCTTCCAAGGTCATAAGTCTGTCGCTGATCAGCTCGCAGCGCTCCGTCAGGTCTGCAGCCTCGGTCTCGCCGCAGACGTCCTGAAAGGAAAAAAGGGAAAAAATGACGGAGCAGCAACGATTAAAAAGTGTGAGTCTGAAACTGATAATAGAAAAACATCAAATAAGAGTGTTCAAGTCCTCATTTAACATCAGGGAAAATCAGCCACAATCTCCAGGGATGAATAATGGAGTCCCAAAAACTGCAGTTCTTAAAATGTCCACTAGAGGCTGCCCCCAAAAGTGAGTCAGTCCTCATAGAGCTCCATGTATCTCTCTATTCATGACAACTTAAAAATATTTAACAGTTTTAATAATTATAGTTATGTAAAATAGGGGGCGTGGCCTTTGTGAGCGACAGTTTGAAGGTACTAGCATAAAATCTGGAGGACAAGGTGCACAGTTACTAAGACATGGTCTGTTTTGAGAGGCTCTTCTGACTGAGCAGTTAGAGTGATGATTTCTATTGTGTTCAGCAATGTGCCGTTCAAATGCAGACGTGTAGATATTCATAGTATCACGAACCTCCTGTGTATTCATAGAGTAGTTGACCTCGGCTTATGGTACCATTCATAGTTGAGGGGTATGAGGTGTGAAGACACTGGTGCGAACCTGTTGGACTGACACTTGTCTTCAGTGAAACCAGCACTTAGGGCTGGGCGATAGACCGAAAATATACCGATACCGAAATTTATGACAATAAGAGATGTCATTTTGCCCATGTCGGTGTATTCGATGTCAAAAACATTAATAAATGTTGGTTTCAAATGTCTGCAGGTAGGCTATGGTCTTATGTCCCTTTAAGGCGCTGTCCTACGGGGGGTTCAAAAGTTGTAGCTGCTGGAGCAGCGGCTGAAGTAGACGAAGTTAATTTGGGAGGGGGTGAGCAGCTTGAGGAGTAGTTATCGTCCATTTATCGTTATCGAGGTGAACTGATCAATATATCGTAATATTGATTTCAAGCCATATCGCCCAGCCCTACCATTGCTCCACAAGGTCTGTTCACTTTTATAATTTGATTTCCTTTAACTAGAAAAGCCTCACTGAGATTAAGGATGAAGTATATCACAGTTTCTTTAAAGACATGAAGATGACCTGAGCATTAAACTCACTATCTAGATGCCAAAAAAGGCGATTAATTGGATTTTGATTTCAATTACACCCCCATGATCATAAAAATACACTAACTGAGACTGATTGATTACTGTGCCACCTGCCGTGTTGCCCTTGCTCTGTCCTACACAATAAATGGAGCGCACCCTCCCTATCTGTGGACACAGCCTCTGACAGTGTTTGCTTTACCGTCATCTGTACCAGCCTAAATCAATATGTAACAGAGTTTGGGAGTATGTGGTAGTTGTAGCTTTAACTAAGATTTGAATGATTGTGCAACAGAAGTACAAACGATCCACAGGTGGAGAGAGGAGAGCAGGGAGAGGAGCAGGAGATTTGTGGTGTTTCTGAGTGTGTCTGAAAAGCCGAGGGACAGAAGGAGCACACGGCTGTGAGGCTACAAAGTGAGTGAGTTCAAGACTTGGTGTTTTACAAAGGCTTAAAATGACTGACTTGTTCGATCTGCAGACTCAAGTGGTAAAGTAGTTTGGATCCAAAGTTATAAAGAGGTTTTAAGTTGTAAAGTAAATGTTTGTTTAACGAAGGTCAGAGCCGTTATTTCTGATGCATTCAAGGACGTCAGGGGATCTGAACTCTGGTTGGCATCAAACGCATTTCCATCTCTCCACTATTTGCATGCAGAGGTGAATAAATCATAGATGACATTATTGTGGATTATGCTCTGCCTACTTTTGCTCTCCGTACAGACTGTTTCCTCTGCAGACACCAAAATCTGTCAGGTGCTGCTTTAATGAAAACCAGAACTCAAATCAAGATCCCAAATCCAGGTTGACATTTTTAAGCGCTGTTGGATCTGCAAATTTAGAGTGCCTGCAACATAATTGGGTCATTTGCTCAGTTTAGTCTTTTATTATTAATTCATATGCATATGGTGACAATTTGAGCAACGTCCTCACCGAAGACTAGAGGTATATGTATGATCATATTTGAGTAGTTTTGAGGTCAACTCTAGTCGTGATGATTAATAGATGCGCATTAGCAGAGCATAAGTGCAAAAACTTTAATCCAACACTTCTTCTCATGAGTATTTTTTCTCCTCTTTTTAAATTTTAATAGCTTGCACTGTGAGTCAGAGTTTAACACTTTTAGCTTTTAGGTTTCACTTTCCCAAGACTCATTAAATCTTGTTCACGTTAAATCTCTGACACGGTGTCAAGGAGGTGAAAGTTCCAAGTGGAGAAAAGGCCGACGCTTTAAAAAGTTCAGAAAAAGTCATTACATCGACGGTGAACTCTGTCAGGAGTGTGTGTGTGCAGTGTTTCTGCAGACCACCTGAGGATGGTGTGAGACGGCGGGTGTTTGGGAAGAAGGTGGTGGTGATGTTGGGTTGATGGAGGAGCAGGGTGCAGTGGGGCAGAGCGTTCGGAGGCCATAATTAGAACAGGCCCCTTTGCAGACATCGTGTCCTAGTTTCTTCACACTTATCTAGCAGAGAGCGCACAAACACACTCCAGAGTAACACACATGCGCACACACTACAACAACACGTAGGAGGCCTAATCTCAACTCATGGCTGCAGGTAAAAAATATCAACTCCCTGCAGCTCAGAGGTGTCAGAACAATCACCGGGAAGTACTGTCGCCTGTCTCTGTCCTTAATAGCACTGCTTTCCTGGATGATGTAACAGCCAGAAAGAAATGTACAACAAGAAAAAAGCCCGAGGCGCAACGAAATGTTTAACTTCTCCCTAATGCAATTAATGAATTAAGAGACACTCGAAGGCAGAGCAACTAAACATATAAAGGATTTACAGAGAGCGTCCTCGGCCTCGAATCACAGAGAGAGGGAAGACTTTAAGACCCTCTGAGCTGTTAGTTAGTTTGTTTGTGGAGGTGAGGAGCTTCTGCAGCAGATAAGAGCGGCGTGTTTGTGTAGCTGATTGATTCTTTGCTTTACAGCCTCCAGTCTGCATTTGTAAAAGTCAATACACCCACAGGACACAAAACAGGCACTGTTAAAAATAATTACCGCCAGTGTTTCTACGTAAACCTTCTTTTCAAAATGTCAGAACCACTCGAAAGATGTACAAAAACACTTCTCTGCTACCTCTGTCTTTGACAAAGTAGAAAGACGAGATTTCAATAACATGTCAGTTTGCATAACAGAAACTCAGACGGACGTGTACCAACATGTCGATTCCTGCTGTAAATCACAGCTCCTGACAGAAACCCAGAGAAAACAAAACAGAAGAGTGAGTGGATAAATATCAGAGATGTGCAAGCTCTGTCAAATCCTCATGATACATCTCCCCCATATGAGCTGTGGCTTCAGCTCTGGTTAATGGTTTCTGATTCTCTACTACCTGGATGTAAACAAGCACAGGTGACTTTAACGTCCCAGTTTCTGTCGGGATTATTAGATATCCTGTTTTTATGTCTGTGCGTGTGAAGGTTAGATGTCATATTCCGACTTTAGGAATACGACACAACGGCAACATGCATGGTGGAGCAAGTCGGGTTTAGTTGAGAAGTTCTGGGCAAACATTATCATATGGTCAAACATCAGGATATCAGTATTATGTAAACAAGGAAAGGAATAACTAGGTGTGCATTAGGGATGGGTGATATGGGTTAAAAAGTTTATCACGATAAGATTTGCCATTCTGGCGATAAGGATAGAAGTCCCAATCAAAAATATTATAATTCTAATCTATATTTTTGACTCATTTTGTCTTGAGAACACCAGTTACTAAACTGAACCACAAGTTAAAGTGGTAAGTTATGGAGAAAACTGTGAAAACAACTTTAACATTTGTTGAAAACTCTTATTGCACAGAGCGAACAGCAGCAGATCCACTGTCTGATGTCAGGCAGATCTGACTGCACTCATCTAAACCCCAATCTTAAAGGAAATGCTGCTCAGAAACGTCTTCTTCACCTTCGGCCATGTTTGTTTGTTATTCTGCTCTGTGTGGGCTATGGCTGTGAGTCCATCGCTCCCGTCATTTTAATTACTAAGAAAATAGTCACTTTGGGACATTGCTGATGAATGTATGCAACACCCCAATGAACCACCAGGGAGCAGAAGTCATGCCCAAGAAGCCCTTGCAATAACTTATCAAACATACAAGAAATGAAATTGACTAACCAGCCTTCTGCGTGTAAATCTGCACCACCCCGTCCATCTTTATAAAATCTATCTTTAACAAAACTCCCAATCTGAGCTGTACTTTTGTGCAAAACATTTAAAGTAACCTAAATAGAAAACTTCAGAGGTTTTATTTTTTTAGTTGATGAGTAAAGCAACATGGCTAAATAAAAAACAGATAATAACAACAGGTTTTTTAAAGGTATACATCAGACAAGCATGCGCTCAAAGAGAGGAAGCTGCATGTCTGTGTGTAACAACAGTAACCCCAAACAACACACTCGTACAGCAGATCAAGAGTGTTTTACTGACACTCTGACGGCTCTAAGTGTGCATAATTTCGCCACTAACAAAGTGTGAAGTGCAATTTAGATGCAAATTAAATTTTTTGGAGTGCTGTTAGTTTACACTTACGTCCCACAATGCACCACTCTCCTCTAACGGAGACAGTAAGTGATAAAACACCTGGGTTTATTTCTGCATGGTTTAATTGGCAGTGATGTTCTTTGATTGACTTCCAACAGCAAATGAACTTTAGCCAAACTAATTATGTCTTTGTACTAAAAGACAAATTTAATTTAAATTATACTCTCTCAACAAAAACAGAACATCTTATTTGATGGAGGCATTTGATCGGTATACTTTGAGGTACTGAGGCGCAGATTTAAAACACTGACATGAGAAACAGCAAAGAAAGCAAAGGTGGAAAGTATTGACATGTCTATCTGTGTTCAGCCTTTTTAACATCAGGCCCACAGGTAGAATAAAGGACAGCTGATCTAAAACAATATTGATGTGAAAAAGTTACGATTTAACGAGTTTGTATACAATACAATATGAGGCAATACAAGACGGTGCGAGATTATACCATAGGACACAATATAATACGATGTGGTACAAAACAGTGTGATACAAAACCACAGAAAAGGTATAATTTTTTGTTGGTATTGTTTTTTTTTATTATTATTATTTTTGGAGTTGTTCTCTGAAATAAGTTTTAAATGCTAATTTGTACGTTTATATATTAATTTATGCTAGTTTTTGGGTTAAATTATCCATTAATTAGTTTTAGTGTTTGTTTTAATTATTCGAGATGTTTTGCACACATGGCAGAAACATTATTTATTTGCATTAATTATTCAGTTTAACACTCAGTTTTTTCTTGGTTTTATTACAGAGATTTATCTACTCATCTGAGTGATAATCACACTTATTTATCCATCCCATCTTCTGATATTACTCTCTTACTCACATTGATTGAAATGATTATTTTCTGATCATGTTTATGCTGATTATTTTGTGTAGTTACATGCAAAATAAATCTATAATCAGGTACAAATAGAGTAACTTAACCTGATCCGTTGAAAGGGAGTATTTGCACCAAGTCTGCAGGTAAAATAGACTGTGACAGCATGCATACAGCAGCTACTTCCTTAAAGCAAATCACAAGCACTCGTCTCTGATGATGCAACACTTACACGGCTGCTGGTGATCATTTGATTGTATTATCTTCAAAAATACCACCTTGACAAACATAATCGAAATCCATCAACGTTTCATTTTATTAATGTCTCTTTTCTTCTTATTTGCTCTGGGTCAGTGTGAAGAGGGGAACACGAGGACACCGAGAGGATAAATGAATAATTTGTCAGGATTAAAAGGAAAGCGCAGGAGTGCTAAAATACACACTAACACACTCACACACAATAATCAATCTCCATTGTGTCGGCAGGGCAGCAGCTTGGCAGCAGCTAAGTGGAAATCATTTACTTAAAGTCATTAATGAAGGAGAAAAAGGGTCAGACGCTCAGTGAGGAGACCACGGCGCTATCACAACATCATCAAGACAAAGATACTGAAACTATTTAACTGCTATCTTATTATCCAGCTCAGGGATGCATCAGACCTACTGTGACTGAGTCTCCACATGTCAACCTGGTTTTCAATTATTCAAAGTAATTTAGAGCTGCAGATTTCAAGAGGTAAAATTTATTTTTCTCATGCATGAGCCCAAACTCAATATCCACCTCTGTCATTGTTGAAAAACCTGCATGTTCCTCTTTGAGGTACTGCTCGTCTGTGAACCTTGAATGAAATGAAATTTATCAGTGCTTATTGGTAGCTACTGCATAGCTACTGCATCTGTGAGGTCTTTGTGTCTCTTCGGCGTTTTGTCGCAGAGAAAGCGACTGAATGGTCGACTGTTTCGGCTGCACAGGCACCATGGGCTCCTTGCTCAGCTCAGGGTTTGTAACCATTTGCATTGCGCGTGCTCTGCCGCGTGGCGCTGCTTCAGGTGGTGAAAAAGATTTGAGGTGTTCCCTGACTTTGTGAGAACATGTACTCAACATAATTTACAGTGCACATTACTCTGCTTCATGTCCGATCTCAAAAACCAAAATACCTCTACACCACCGACGTTTTCGCGCCAGTGTTGTCAACGATGTCGTCATCTGTTGAGCACTTATTTCCTTTTTTCTTACCAACAGTTCTGTCGGCTTTACATGTTTAAGTTTTATGGTTGCGTGTAGCTGCTGTCTGCTACTACGCAGTTGTTTGCTTCTTGGTTCTTATTCAGCACATGATTGGTTCAGCAAGAGGCGGACCCAGAGCAACTCCGCTTTTCATTGGCTATTCGTATAGTATATTTATAGTATAAATCTGTCAGAATGCTGGATATTGACCATGTTTTATATTGATATTGAGGGAAATTAATTTTTACCATATACCGTTACCGTTATTATACCCAATATATGATATTTTTAATATAATGTCATCTTGAGAGAAAGACAGGCAAGGGGCTCAGAGTTTCGTCCAGGTGTAAACAAGTGTCAAAAGTCTGAATTTAAAGCAGAAAGGTGCTGAACAGTCCTGAACTCAGCAGAAACCCTCCCCTGTATTAATTAGGTCTGCCTCCAGAGTGTGAGACCGTCAGTAGCAGCCACAGATCCTCTCATGTAGATCAGTATTGATCAGACACTCAGAGAGGCGACAGAGGTCATGTTTAAGCTAAGGTCGGATGATGGATTCTTGTGTGTCCCAGTGATCCGACGTCGATGTAACCGGCACTTTAATTACACTGAAAACACTCAATAACACAGAAACAAAGTGAGCGTTACCTCGGGGTGATTCTCCTCCATGCAGAACAAAAACTCCTCCAGTTTCTGCAACAAAAAAGGGAAACAGTTGTTGAGGCCACACAGTCACAAACCTGCTCATGAATTATTGAAAGTACAATTATGTCTGCTGTGTTCTGTTTATGTGCAGCATCATCATAATGAGAAGAGGCTGTAATTATTCATCACCAAACTGACAAGGAGAAAATAGATTAAGCGGCTCATCTGTGCTGCAGGTTTCCTTTGTTAGCATTTAAAGAGTATAATTGTACATTCTTCTTAGTCAGAAAGGAGGTAATTACTGCATCTATGGGAGGATAACATACTGTTTGTAGCCTCAGGGTAAATATATAAAACTCCAGAGTTACAGAAGAATATAATCAGCATATTTCTAATTATTATGTCTTCATTAAAACAGCCTCCACTCCTTTATACTGTAATCATCATTGACCAGCTATGACTCTTAATACCACAGTAGATATCAAATAATTTAGAAGCTTAAATCTGGGCTAAACGTGGACAGACCATACTCTTTAATTAAAAAAAAACATATCATTTGTCATGTTAATTCTCTACATAAAAAATACTTGAATCTGATTGGTCAATAACCCTGAACAACAGTGTTTTACTCTCGACAGTCAATTAATCAACAAAAAGAAGTCCAAGTTATTCTTTATATTAGTTTTTATCTCAGGATAACAGGATACGTTACAATAGAATATGGCACAATGTGATAAAACAAGATATGATCCGATATGACGAGATGAAGTACAACTTATAAGAAAGGATATGCTTCATTAAAATACAACACAGAAAACATTAAGATATTAACAGAAACAACAAGATGATAATATGTTAGATATGATATGATCCGATAGATCGATACAAACTAATCAATAAGACAAGTTGATAAGATATGATAAGAAAAGATGGAATATGATATATGTATTGATTCAATAAAATAAAATATGTTGCAAGAAATTATAACAAAATACAAATAGATGTGATAAAATACGATGCGATAATATAGTTTCATGAAAAGATATGCTGAAGTGCAAAACACTTATTTGTTGGACATTCAGGTATCTTTTTTGTTTCCTATCATCTCGTATTGTATCATATTTTATCGTATTGTGATACATTATATTGCACCGTGTCCTATCAAATATCCCATTGTATCATATCATTCCATATCATATAGTATCATTACACATTGTATTGTATAGTATCTCACTGTATCCTATCGTAAATCATATATCATTTCATAACATGATGTATCATATCATTAATCATTATTGTACAGTACCATATCGTATCCTATAGTACCACTCTGTATCATATCATATATCATATCATATCAGATTGTATCATTTTATCGTATTACGATACAATGTATTGCACCGTGTCCTATCAAATATCATAGCGTATTTTATCGTATTGGATCGTATCATTTCATATAGTATCATACCACATTGTATTGTATGGTATCTCACTGTACCCTGTAGTATAGCATATCATGTCATTTCATATCATCATGTCATATCATATCATTCATCATTATGTAGCATTCAGTATCAGATCATATCCTACAGTACCGCTCTGTATCCCATCATATCACCATATCATATCCTATCATATAATATCATATCATGTTGAATTTAGAGTAATATTGCGTATCATATCATATCCTGTCATATTGCACCAAGCCCTATTGTATGTTATATCAGTCAACGACAGACAGCTCCCTCTGCTGTTTAAAAACGGCACTGATCCTGTTTTTATCTCACTGATTTGAATAAACTCTTACATGTACCAGTTTTTATCTTCATCAGGAGATACTAAACCATCCCCCAGACTCAGTTTTTGAACTCAGTGTGAAATTTTCTTCTTTGAGCTCCAGGGTTTTTTTGCAGAGGAAAAAAAAAACAGAAAAGAGTGCACAGGGTGAAGAAGACAAAAGAGAGAAAAGGTCGGCAGCCTCACCTTTCAGTTCTTGCAGAAACGTTAGGAGGGGCCGGGCTTTAGGAGGGGGAAGAAAAGCAGAGAGAAACAAAAGGAAAGCAGGAAGAAAAAGGAAAAAAAAAACATCCATGCAGTTTGTTAATTGCAGTCAGTCAAAGCAAAGAAAGAGGACGTCAGTAAAAAATGTGTATTTATGTTTGCACAGAGCGAGAGTGTGAGAAAATGTGCAGAGCGTGCAACAGGAGGGGAATTAAATGTGCTTGAAAATAAGCAGCTCTGTGATTATCAGATACATGCAGGAGGACACTCAGCCAACAGCAGCATGTGAAGATCCGAGCAGAAAACCCAAACTAAAATTAGCAAACATTTTATATCAGAATCTGGGAGGCAAACGAACAATACAGTCCCACAAATCGACTGGAAATTGTGTTTTTTTTTTCCTGATTCTGGCTGTGTTGGCTTTGTTCCGATCTCAGACGAGTCTGTCAGACGACGTGGGCGGAGGAAAGTGTGAGGAGAGGAGAGAGTGAGTCGGACTCTGCCCTGAGGCGGCGGACTTCAACTCACTGTGGGATAGACCAGCACACACACACACACACACACACACACACACCGAACACAGAATACACACTCGTACTAAACACATGTAATCGTGCAGAAACTGACTCTTACATCTACACTCTGCAGAATGAACCTCTACTAGGAAGCCAGAATATTTCCACACGGTTGCCTCCCTCACGCCCACACACTCCTCGTTTAGAAATACCTCCGAGCAAAAACACTAATAGACTTCTGCTCATCTCACTGTGGCTGACAGACTCTCATTTTCTGACAGCAGCTGAGTCTACTGACTAAAAATGTTCTCTCCAGTCAAGTGGGAAGACTGACCGAGCGGGCGCGCTTTATTTGAGGTCACATTTTGCACCACAGGGATAAAAAAAAAAGGGAAAATCTTGTGAATGTGAGAACAAGCTGCTCGTTTTTGACCTTTCAGAGACAGGGAAGGGGTGGGTGTCAAAAACTGTGAGATGGAAAGGGAGTCTTTTACACTAAATCTCAGTCGAACCATGCAGTATGAATGTTTACATGAATAATGCATGACAAAGCGCGTACGTGTGTGTGTGTTTGTGCGTTACCTTTGTGAACTCTGAGTGCTGTAAGTTTGCCTCAGGACACCAGCGGCCTCCCAACGCCGTCAGCATGGCGCAGTCTTCTTCTTCTTTGGTGCTCGGCTGAGTCGGGGGGTACGCTGCAGCAGAAGGGAGGTCCTCGATGTCGGCCCCGCTGCAGCTTGGCGTCCGCAGCTGGAGACCCCGAAGGAACAGGTGACACGCCTCCAGGTCGGCCTCCCAGATCCGCTCCAGACCGGGACAACCACAGCTGCACAGAGACACAGACCGGTGTGTTATAACAAACAATACTACAAAATACCATATAAGGCAGTACGAGACAATGATATACTTACGGTATGTTAACAGGGAGTGACAGAGAGATAAATCAACCTGAACCTGTAAATCCAGTTTTTTTTAAGTTTTATTTAACAAGAGAAAAATCCAGCAGGAGTTCAGGACGAGGACATGATGACTGTTTATCTCCTCAGTGAGTTACAGTCATCCTTTCACCCTCCTCTTTAACTTAATAATCCAGAGTAAAGACTGAAAATCCTCCTTTTACGAGAGTTTATGTACAGGAGTTATCTAAATAAAGAAGAAATATTAGTGGTGGTGGGTTATGAGAAAGTCTGATCTCTCTTTGTGTTTCTGAGTGAAATCCCCTTTGAGACCTCTGACCTTTCAAATGTTCCTGTTCGCTGACCTTTTCACAAGAACTTTGGTCCAAGAGACATTTGAGGAGTTAAATCCACTGATTTCATCATAAAATGGTTTAAAGTTATTCTAAAAAAGCAAAAGTTTTCAACTATAATCAGCATAAATAAATTAAAAAAAACATGATTTTTTCAGTCAACTCCAGCACTGAAGGTTTTCAGGAAGCAGAAGTGACCATATTTGGACGAAAGGGTGGAGCTTGAAAGGAGGGACAGGATAAACAGACATTCAACCCTCTCCGTTTACAAACAAAAAAAAACGCATGCACACCACTACGTTTTCATAAACGTATGTTTTCGTTTCGTATACACCGTCAAGAGCATGCCAAACCTGTAGGTGGCAGTGTAGCGTGAAGCTCAAGCCCACATCAGCCAATCAGAATCTGATCAGAATCTGAGTTTTTAAAAAGCATCGTTTTCAGGGGCGAATTCTTCGTTTGCGGCTAAATGTAGGGTGCAAACGACGGTTAATGTCTCTGTTTTTAAAAATAACCAGGTACGTATAAACGGGGCCGAAGTCAAAGCTGTATTGCTGGGGGCTAATTAAGCTTCTGAATGGGTCAGTTAACTATCTAGTGGAGAGAAATCCACCACACTGTGAGAGACTGCGTGAGCAAACAGGTTGATAAAGTGTTCTTTGCCCCCTCCAAGATGGCCGCCACGTAGGTACGTCGTTCTCTACAGGTTATATATCTGTGCTTACGAAAACCAAAGTCTCACTCTGAGTCACGACTTCTGGGTCACAGCAAACTAGGTAAATGAAAATTGAAACACAAGATTTCCACACACGTATTTTAATCTTCGATTTCCGTTTAAACCCACATCACAGAACGGAAAACGGTCTTTTTTCTGTTTTTCGTTATCTGATTCTTTACTGGTCGTCGTTTTTTCATTTGAAAACAAAAATCCATTGGCCACCATGAACACTGACCCAAACAGTTCAACAGTTTTAGAAGTTGAGGTTCTTTAGTTTGGATTTCATGAAAGTATTATGACACGGACATGTTCAGACTGCCTCTAGAGGACGCCTGAGGAAGTGCAGCTTTATATCTCCCACATCTTCTTGATTTCTCTTCTTTTTCTGACCTTTCTTTTCCTTCCTCTGGATCAACTTTGCTTCCAGAAACCAGTTTTAGTTTACAACAAACTAAATCTGACAGGAAGTACCAAATATTTTAAAGCTCGAGGAGTCCTCCCTTCTCTTCTTCTTTTTCTTCTTCTGTTTATTTCCAACCCAGGAGGAGTTTCTCTGTCACAAACACTTACCTTCACACTGACTGGCTGACTGAGACTGAGACTGATAAAAAAAAAACTTAAGGTATAAACTCATATATCAGCCCGGATAATATATTCAGTATTTTCACCTCCAGAGTGCCTCCCTGCAGGGAAGGTAGATTTGAGAAATTGAGAAATTGCTCGTCCTCCATCATGCATAAACAAACTGAGAGGCAGAAGCACCCAGACAATGCTGTTTAATCTTCCCCTCTGTTCCCTCCTCTCTCTCTCTCTCTCTCTCTCTGTCTGCTGAAAAATTGAATGCCACTTGTTTTCCAGCCCATCTCCTGCCTGAAAAGGCTGCCAACCTCTGCTCCTGCCAACGCACGCCTCTCAGCCGCTCGCTAACCTTCATTTGGCACACAGACAATAGAAAGATTGCTCGGCCCAGCCCCCCTGCCCTCGCCAATTCACCACTCAATGCTGCTGCCTCTGAATTCTGCCATGGCGGGGACGCAGCCAGTGAGCCGAGCCATTGTTATTTGTCTCCTCTGAAGTGGAGACACACACACACACACACATACATATACACACACAGATACGGGTGGGCACACATGTGTTAACTCACACACATGCACATAAATCATTGTGCGAGCTGAACAGTCAAATATTTCTCTAAAGTCGGCCTCAAGCCTCTCTTTGAGGACATTTCATCACACATGTTAACTTCCTGTTTACTGTAGATTCAGACAAATCTTCGCTCATGTTAGGATCCTGTTGCCCGCCGGTATGAACTCCTCGCCCGGGGGGGTTAATTGGTGGCAGCCGCCCGGTCGGCCGTCTGACAGAGGCCGGGTGTGGGCGTGCTGCTCCGCTGATGGCCCGGTAATAAGACGCAGAGACAGACAGGCACGATCTGTCCAACGGTCCTTCAGCCCCTCCTGAGGGAGCGCTGACTGACAGGACTGCTCTTTCTCCTCCAGGCGACACTCACACACACACACACACACACACTCACACACACACACACACACGCACACACTCACGCACACAGACATCCAGACAGAGGAAGGATTATATTTATGACCGCTGAGGGCAGGAGCAGCTGTCTGGTCCTGCTGGTACCAGGAGTTTGTGTTAGACCTCCACAGAGTGAGGAAAGGCTGACAGTCAGGACCTCTGATCTTAAATCTGCGTCTATGTTTTCTTCGCTTTAACAAAATGATCATCTGTTTTGCTGCAGCTGTGCATCTCTATGTCGTCCTTGTCTGCATCCATCTCCGACTTTCTGTATCGAACCCTCCAGTTACTCTGGTCTCACTCGAGTTTTCTGCTTCAAGTGTTTTCATTGGTCTCTGAGTCGTGGGCGGAGACAGCGCTGCTCTGCACACTCCTCTTCACGTTAGCTTGCAGCCTAACATTGCCGGTGTAGTAGAAGTAACAGGTAACATAGAAACTATTCAGCTCTCGGATGCTAATGTCTTGAGGGACATGATGAAAGATAATATCATAATTAGCTTTGTGACGAGCATTAAAATACCCTAACGCACACGCTTGTTCTGCGATCGTCCTCTGTATTTCTCCAAGTGTGGCCTGCATCGTGGGGCTCTGGGGGCGGAGCTTGGATTTGTGATGTAGGAAATCTCACTGAATCTGAACCTGCTGTTTCCATCTGTGAGGGGTTCACAGTGATATGAATGCAGAAATACTCAAAAATGTAATTTCGCTCTTATTTTTCTCATGATGTGTCCTGTAGCATCAGAAAAATAAACATATGAACATGTAGAGAACAAGAAAAACATGATTTTCATCAGAGTGGGTCTTTAAGATTTAGTGTTAAAGCTGCTATAAGTAGTTTTTTGACCTTTCTGATAAAAAGACTGAAATTCATGTTGATGCCTTTAAATGGTATTTAAAAGAAAAAAAGATCATCAGCAACAAAAAAGAAGATACCTACAGTTGTTTTTATCCCCTCAAACTAGAGTGAGGGGTAAGACGTCAACCGAGTAGCAAGAAAGACAACTCAGATTTTTCTAATTCCACATAAGATTTATAGAAACACTCTTGAAATGTTAAGAATCGATCATTACAATTAAAAAATCAGTTCATAACTAAGCTGTGAACAGTTATAGTTAGCAGCAACACATCACAGAGGCTTCTTGGCCTTCAGGGCTACCGTCTCTTCACAGACCAGAGGGGTGAGCAAAGGAGTGTTTCAGTATCTTTATATTTAAAAGGGGGTTTACGCTCATTTTTAGGCTTCATAGTAGATTAAATATTCGGCACGATTGTTGCTTATTTACAGTGTCAGCAGCATCCTTTAATTCTGCACTCCAAGGTGAAGATTTACAGATTATAGACTTCAGCTGCAGCCCAATTTGAGATTTCCCTGCTCCAGATTTGCACCCAGACTCTATTTTTAAAGATTTTTAAGTCTCTCTCTCTCTCCACTCGAAGTTCTGCATATGTCTTGCATTAACCATTTTTTTCATACACTCTGTTAAGATAACAAAGCTCTCTTTAACAGCCGACACCATCTGCTCATATAGAGGATAATATAAAGACTGAATGACTCCTTTGAAAATGATCCACCATCAAAATAACAAATGCGTCAGCCAGTTTTAACCACTAAAATCAACCAAAACAAGAATTCAGCTGCAGCTCTACGTCTCACACATGAATGCTAATAACAGACAAACAGTCAGACAGTGGAAAACAGCTCCTATCTTCAGTCACAGCTGGATAATCTTCAGATCTGTTTATGAGTCTATTTTTGGTAAATTAAGCACCAACACCCAGAGACATTACCATCCTGAATAAAATAAAATTAATGCGACTTTCACCTCCGGTCTCACCACAGCGTCTCTGCAGCTTCTGATCCATAAACACAATTCACACGTCAGGAAAAATGAGACGCTGAGGTTTCACTTTAATCAGGCTGCAGCATCTCAGATAACACCAGCAGAGGAGAGGTGCTAATAATATGTTTGGATGAGGTGTGACAGACAGTGCATGAAGTGAACTGTTAGAGAGGAGGGAGGCTCAGTGTGAGGAGGCAGACAGCTGAGCGACTCACATCTCTTTGTTTCAGACACTTTACATTTCTCTCTCCTGTCTGTATTTTTTTAACTCTTACATGTGCGCTAAAGGCTGAGAAATAACAATTCTGATGTGAAATATTTACATTTTACTGCCTGTGGAGCCTGAAAGTGGAATCTTGAGTCTTGAATATTATGTGTGCAGCATCTACATAAGTATTAACAACAGAAGTCAGCAGGATGAGACCAAGAGTTAAAAGGCAAAAGAGAGCGTCGATTTTCGGAAATATCTTGGCCTAAATATCCTGAAATTATCTAAAGAATATCAGGAGCTTAAGTGGCAAAATAACAAATTCACTAGATTCATCCAACTATGAGGTCTAATTTCAAGATATTAAAGGCAAAAATGACGGACTGAGTTGACTGTAATAAGTGAAAATACTAACTGACGTAATGAGCAAAATGTCCTTGGAATACAGGTTTGTCATGGGCGTGTGTAAACGTAGTCTCAGAATTTGAATCATTGCTGGATTTGTTTTTACATTTGCAGCAATTTTCTCCTAATGACCATCAGTCAGGTAGTTGCAGGTTGTTGACTTCAGCATGTAAGTCTTTTTAAGCTTTTATTTCATATTGTTTATGACGTTGAGACTTGGGCGTGTATTTCTCTCACTTTTTACCTCAGCGGTCATTTGCTCCTCAGTACTACTACAGCCTCTCTCTCTTGTCATGTTCATTCTGTCCCTTGGCTTTTCAGTCACACATACCTGCCTCCTCCTCCTCCTGCTCCTCTCTCTGCTCTCCTCTTCCTGATATTTTGTACCACTGTTGCCCAATCTGCCATAGAAACAGCGGTCCACCATTAATCTTCACAGGATCTGCAATTTCTCTAGCGTCAAAGCAGAGATAATAATCAAATTTAAAATCTAATGAAGTGCAGATTTCAGTCTCCTGCATCTTCAGAGGACTCCTGTAGCCCCTCAGATATACATGCTAGCTTTGAAGCAACTTTATTTTAGTCTAGTTTATAACACAAAGACAGCTTCGTCACAGGTTTTTGTACTCGTTTATCACTCGGTTAAACTGTCTGTTAGGTTAAGAAAGTCAAGAGTTATTATTGGGGTGAACATCTAGGCGGAAACTCCAGGAAATGTCCTGAATTTGTGTTTTAAATGTCAGGATTTCACTATAAAAAGGGCTTCGAGGACTTTGTTTTGTGTGATTATTTAAATGACTTCCACACTCGCTGCACTGCGCCCATTAAATATGATAAATAGCATCCAAATATGAACACAAGGACTCATAAATGCAGGAAAAATACGAGAGGAATCTCCTAATGAATCATCTCCATAATGCATTAAACCACTGCTGCTAATCTGAATAAAATGTTTTGTTCTGGTGACACACTTACAGCATCTGCGCTGTTCTAACATCCTGTTCTCGTCTTTAGCAAGGAAGAGATAATTGCTTTTTTTCAGCCGCATCCGTCTCCACGGAGACCAGACATCTCACCAGCACTAATCTACCCCCCTCTTTTACCTCCTATCAGCAGTGCACTCCATCAGCAGTAATGTACATGAGCGCTGAGTGATGAAATATACAGTGGCTGATGGCTGTGTGTGTGTGTGTGTGTGTGTGTGTGTGTGTGTGTGTGTGTGTGTGTGTGTGTGTGTGTGTGTGTGTGTGTGTGTGTGTGTGTGTGTGTGTGTGTGTGTGTGCAGAGAAATCTGCCCGTTCAATCAAACCAAATCTGTGTCACTGTGCCAAACTGGATCTGTCGAAGCTGCAGGTCGTCGCCTGGAGCCACAGTTACATATCAGTGATGTGATCCGGACCCCTCTGGTTGTAAAGGCTGATAGACGGCTGAGGAGCTGATCGATTAATAATGACTGTGATGAGCAGGAAAATGAGTTTACAGCGCCCCGGTAACCGAGAGGCGGTCCTTACACAGGATTTGTCTCTCAGTGGTGGAGTGGTGAGATTTATCTTATAGTCAGCTGTCTGTGTAATATGAGCTCTGTAAAGACAGGGATCTATTACACAGCTGTGAAGAGTTCTTGATTCTGATTGGTCATTTCATAGCAACACTCCATAGCAACAGTCTGTTATTTCCTGATAGTGAACTGAATCTGAATCTTTGGTGATATTTTGTTCCGTAGGTGATTCAATCCCAAAATTTTCAGACGTTGTTTGCTCACGCAGTCACTCACATTTTTGCATCTTTACTTCTAGGAGTCTCAGCCTCTCTTTAGCGCCCTCCTTCCCCCAGTCATGTTACTAACCATAGACTGTATATACGATGGAAAACTTGGTTCCGCCTTCCAGTCTGACAGTAACTACATGTCAACATCACAACCAGGGGGGAGAAACATTTATATTCTGTGTAATAAATTTCTAAAGTTGGATTTATGACCTATACTGCAGCCTGTCACCAGAGGGTGCTGTTCTCGGAGTGACGAGGAGGCAGACGGCGTCCATTCTATGTACAGTCTATGTCACTAACCCAGTGTTTTCCCTAGAGTATATTTTATAGTGTATCACGCCCTGCCAATGAAATCCCAACCCAGAAGTTGATGTCGTAGATTAATATATACATTTAATTTTTATTTGTATCACAACGACCTATAAAATATAATTTGTGTTATTTCAGACTCTAAAGCTCGCAATCGTTTCATTACTCTCAAGTAAAATGCGATGAGCTGAGCTCTCCGCTCATTCCTCTCTCAATCTCACAACAAACACGCCTGCTGACACGCCGTGTAGTTCAGAGGTGCAACATGTCAGCACCACTGAGTCTGGTATTCTGGTCACGAGCTCTTGCCACTCATACCCTGTACTGTACTGCCAGTTTTGTGCAGGATAGTTTTGACAACCCGGGGTTCTGGCTCCTTTCCATCGTGTTTGCCGCCAACAAAACAATTAAAAAAAACTGGTCATGGAGCGCCGAAATGTCCCCGACCGTTCAGCACCCTAATTGGAAATATCTACATTCTTCAAAAAGACGATATGTAGTGATGCGGACGCCGCACAGTCTCTTGTGGATGCTAGCTAAAGCATCTCTCTGCGAAAACAGCGCTGGCTTATCACCTGCCACCAGCGTGTGACGTAGGCATGTATGATAAACACGTCATACAGAGGCGACGTTTGTCTATGTCATACGTCACCCACCCAGCACCCACCCCAAAGCGAAAAAGCTCAGGGAAACACGGCTAACCTGTTAGAAATCAACTTTGTAGTTAAAAAAATGTCCCTCCAGGTGTTTTTTTAAAGTATTAAACAGCTTTTTCAGTGTTCTCTGTCTCTGTCGCAGCTTTTTATAAACATCAAATTTAAAGTGAATGCACATTTTCCCTAAAACAAGAGAATTTTTTAGTTTTAAGATTTAACACGGTTTCTTTCCGCTGTTTTTGGCTGAAAAATGATCTGAAAAATCTGTTTTTATCACCACAGCGTCACATTTTTGTCAGGACTGAGGCCGTGTTCAGGTACAGAATGAAAGCCTCCTTTCTCCAGAGGATGTTGTTGACTTCTGCTCTTTCATAGATCATAACGGCTGCTGCCTTTGACTGTTTCTATGAAACTCCCTCACAGATCCTCCTCCAGTGACTCAGCCTCTGTCTCCAAGTCATCCTCCTCTCTTCAGGTCAGGTACCCTTCCTCTGAAACTCTCCTTCACTCTCTCTTTAAAATTCAAACAAAAATCACACAAAGTGGCCATCTGCCCTTTTGACAGGACGGGTCTGGAGGCGAGCTCCTCCCGCTGGGCGCAGAGACCGCAGCCATGTTGCTCCTTGACCACTCGGAGCCCCGGCCTGCGCATCCTTCATCAACAAACAGCCCGCAGAGTGTGACTGACTCCTGGCTCCCATCCAGAGAGGTGACCCTGACTCTCCGGAGAGACGACACAGAAACCCACCCCCCTCTTAAACTGCACGGGCACAGACAGGGGTCAAGCAGACATACAGTGACTCTGACAATGTGAGCTCGGCTCAAGGTGGAGACTCTGACTCTGTAAAAACATAGATCTTTTATTCCCGAGTGAGAGGGGGGAGGAGAAGGAGGAAAGAGAGCTGATGTGGAGGCATGGAAACTACAACAATCGAAAATATGTGCAAGGGTGAGAAGAGGAGGAGAAACGGTGCAGGTGAGAGACGGAGAAGAATGTGAGAACAGGCCTCTGGATAAGAAGAAGAAGGTGTGAGTGAGAGTGTGATGGGTGAGGCAATCCTCCGTCTGAGAACTACACAGGTTTGAGAAAATCCTCAGAGGCTGTTTCTCTGTGTTTGTCTTTTTTTCTGCAGGATAAACATCTGCACTCAGAGACAGAAGCAGACGTGAAAACATCTTACCTGTGCAGCCTGTCCTCCAACAGCTTCATGTACTTGGTCGTGTTTTCCTTCAGACGGTTTTCTGCAGAGAGAGAGAAAAACACTCATTACCAGGTTTGTTAAAGATTGATTTTTAACATTTTCAATCGCATCTTTAAAATTTAAGTTTTTAAGTCCCGGCTTTGATGAGTGGGAATCGAATAAATGCAAAGAAAAGTACTTCATGATCTCGACTTTTTTAGATGTTTTATTTAAATAAATGCTGCAGCAGCGAAACTACGACTCAGAGGGAGCAGACAGCTTCAAAGCGCTTATTCAGAGAGAAAAAAAAAAAGTTTATTTTATTATTTTCTCTGCAAAAACTCAAATCTTAGTGAGTTTTCTTGTCTAAAGTTCAAGTACAAAGTATCTTATTCGGTTTAATTTAGGACACATTCACACGACAAGCCCAGAAAAGTCTCTGATTTCAACATGTAGGAAAAGAAAATATCACTTTTCAAGTTTCCTGAAATAAGAGTTTAGTTTGCATAAGTTTAAGAGTTTTACCAGTTATCCTCTGCAGGCAATCCAGGTCTCATTTTTTGGTGTAATATCTTGAAATAAGAACATTTTCTGAACTTGTCAGACGGAACTTGATAAGACATTTTCCCTAGAAATGAGACAAAAACACTCGCTAAGACTGGAGCTTTTTTTTAGTGATTTTAAAGGATAATAAAGTCCCACGGTTGCAGAAGCATGTCTGATCAGAGTTAAATACCTGTCTATGAAGCAGTGTTTGATAACTCACTGACGTTCAGGGATTCCTTGTTAATGTAACAGCATTTGAACGGTTCCTCTGTTTCATGAAGCTTCTACACGTACAAAACTACTGCTTTCTGTGACTGAAGGTATAATGGGGCGCTCACACCAAGCGTGAGTAAAGTCATCTACTCGCTTAATTCGCACGTATGTTGATGCGTGAATGAATAGTATTTACTCGCTTCTTTCCCAAGAATCATTTCAGTCCAGTCACATGATTGTAACAGTGATCCTCGCCAATTCAACCGGTGGATCAAGTGATAGACAGCGGTTTTTCACAATTTACCAGAGATTCCGACCTCCTCACTCACTCACTCTCCTGGTTTTATTTTTTAAAAAGTCGTGGATATGAGAGAGGGGGAGAGTCTCCATCAAGTGCGGTTGTAGTGAACCACATTCAGAAGATCGCTGCTTTGGTTTTTGTTGTGGAAGGCCCACAACCGTCGGAGATGTAGGCGTCGCCGTGTCTGGGTCTCCTCCAATAGTTGCGCCTGGATGACGGTCGTTTCCATTGGAATTTCAGGTTACCAAAACCCAATTTGACGACCTGTTGGTGAGGGTCGGTGCCAGGATCTCCCTCCAGGATACTGATTACAGGCGCTTTATCTCAGCTGCAGAGCGTCTGTCCATCTGTCTACTGTGAGTAACAGGATTTGTGTTTATATTTTCACACCAGTCAACATCTTCCGGTCTGTTTTCGTACGTCATCTGGGAACCTTCGTGCTGATTGGTTATCCTGACGCGAATATCCGCTCAAGTCGAGATATTTTCAACTCTCGGTAATTCGAATCCGCTCAATTCACGTGAATAACTCAACCAATTCGCATCATTTGCGCCGCCAGAGTAGTACGAACATCTAATCACGTCTTTGCATTGACTAAACATGTGATTCATTCGCGTGAATGATTTGACGCTTGGTGTGAACGCCTCGTAAGACTGGTCTGTGCTACTTTGCAATCCACAGTTTCCAAAAAAAAAATGCTCTTACTGCAGCCCTACTTCACCTCATCTGTGATTTGTTCACCCTTAGCATCAAACCACAAAAAAGGACAGGTGTATCAGGGATCTAGAGGCCCAAACAAAAACAGGATCAGCTCGGAGTGTCTGCTTCATTTCTAACCCACTGAAAGTGTTTTTCAATGAACCATGAAGATGAAGCTGGATCTGGCATCAACCTTTTGTCACGGCACAAGTGATCGGATCACAGCACTCTGCAGCTGGGTCGATAGGACACCTTTCTTTTGGAGGCTTGGATTAACAAAGGCTGCTGAGAGCCCACTTCAACACTCGAGGCTCATTCATGCTCCTCTCATGATGTTCATACTTCAAGACGTGAGGCAACACATCCTGTAGAGGGCGCTGCAACGACTTCCATGACAAAGATGGCAACAAAAGCGGTAATATTAGGAAAGGTAGGAAAGGTTCATCCATATCTGTGCGGGAATCGAACGTGGAGCATAAATGGACGTCGAAAAACCACTCTTGATGGTTCTTGTCTGGCTGCTTCACGCCGGATTGAATCTGGACTCGTTACTTTGGACTGACGCCACATCAGAATCTCAAATCAGCTTCAGTGTAAATTTAACTGCATCATAAAACAGTTTTGGCACAAAGGCTCGACGAGGAAAAAAGCAGCAGTCATCGCAGCTGGTGGCGGCATTGTGCAACCGTCTGTTGGCTCTTTCTGAGGACAAACACACAATCGAGAGAAGACGATTCGCTCTGCTGTGAGACGGGATAAAACCGGAGAAGGCCCGGGGATAAAAAGAGATCCTTTTATGGAGCAGGTCCTCGTATCCTGCCAGATTTTCTGCGGGGCACTAACTCGGATGGATAGCTTATGTTGCTTCCTGTGCCCTTTCTGCCAGCAGCGAGCGGACCCTGAGGAGGAGACGCCGGCGGAGCGTTCGTCAGGATGGAGAGGAGGGCAGTCTGAGCGCCGCTAATGAGCTCATGTATGAAACATGAGAAGGTTCCCCCCTGCAGCTGCAGATCTTTGAACACTTATATCAAATTGTGCAGCATGTATATGTGCACACAAGGTATAATATTCACCACAACAAACACACAAACATGCAGAAGTGAAGGAGGAAAGAGTCAAACAGAGGCATGAAAGCAGTAAATACCACGAAGGAGGATCACCGACAGATATTACTTCATTTATAGGGAACAAAAACCAAAACCCGCTTCACTCTAACGCCACTTTACTCGCACGCTCAGATCTCACGCAGAGAGAGAGTGAGCTAATTGGTTGTTCTGAATCCTGCTGAAGTTTGAGATATAATTTGTATCATTGTCTTGATGGCGGTTATTAGACTGAATCAGCTCCAGGATGAGACGAGCTGGAGGCTGACACAGCAGGGGGGGAGAGGAAAATGTCTCCGACTAAGTGGCTGTGACACACAATCTTACACAACCACACACAACCACACACAGACACACACATATTAAACATGGTCCATACTTGAGGGAGTGGAGGATCTGGAGATAGTCGGTCTATTTGTGGGAACTTCGCATGTGCGTGTCACACAAAGTGAGAACTTGCCTGAGAGTCGTTTCCATTCAAGTGTCCGACTCTGCTCGTTCAGAGGAAGAGGAGGAGGAAGAGGAGGAGGAGGAGGTCGCTGGAGAAGCTATCACATATCTGAGAAGCAGATCTTTGAACGGGGGACCAGACAAGCTCTCTTACCGCCCCTCTAATTGCTCTGTGAGATGCTATCCTCCACGACAGAGTTTCTCTTGTCAGCTTCCATTCATGCCGGCTCTTTAAGCAGCGTGCAAGCAGATATCCTCTGAATAAAACATGGGGGGCATTAAGACTGACTTCAGATGGCAAAGAGCATGTACAGATATGACATGACAAAAGGGGACCGGAGCTAAAGCCAGATTTAGAAACTTTCTTCTGTGAGGAGCTGGAGGTGATTTAATAAGATGCTGACAAAAGGAGACGACCCACTGAGGACCTGAAATCTAAAGGTGAGATTTCCTGGTTACATTTATCCCCCCCCAAAAAAAAAGACGAGACTAAACACAAAGAAGGGATGAGATAAAAAGACAAAAGGAGACTTAAAGTGTTCAAAAATGGACGTGAAATCTTCAGGGAGCGCTTCATGAGGGATCACAGGGTGCAAAAGTTCCTGAGCTTATGACGGAGTCGAGTCGATTCTCTGTGGTTTCCTCTTTATATTTTATAGTTGTAAATTTTGAGCCCATGCAGCGACTTCCACGATCGAGTTTCAATGCAGTGGTACCTGAGAGTCCAAAGATCTCAGCCATCCAGGATCACTTTACGGTCCTGTCATTTCTCCATTATTTTTTTAATCTTTATATTAGATTTTAACAAACAGCTTTTCAACTGTGCACTGATAACAAACCAGGCGGTCCCTCTCCAGTATCTACGATTTCGAAAAGTCAGACCCTCCAAAGGTCGTCAGTATCTCTGGATCATAATAACACACGGTTTCTCTTAACAAGTTGCAGTTTTTGTTGATGCAGGGATGTACGGAAGACTATTGCATTCACTTCCAAAAAACAAAAAAGAAAGGGAAACTGTATTTTTTTTTTTTGAGTATTTTTCTTTCTTTGCTGCTTTTTTGACTAATTTCTTTTTCTGCAGCTGCTCCCTCTGCAGATTCTCCAGCTCCTGGATAACTTCCACTACAGGGTCAGTGAGAGTGAAGCATCTTTTTAGTTAAACACAGGGTGTACAAATCCAAAGTAGACAAACTTCTGACGATTCCATCTATCTGACTTAAAGAACGGAGTATCTTCTAGTGTCTCAAACCCCAAAAAACTAAAACTTGATTAAATTAAAGAAGTGGGCCATGTTTGCTCCTGATAAATAGAGCAAAAGGGGGATGAAAGCGTCTGTTTTTAAATGATCGTGAAAAATTTAGTCTGAAAAACAATAACAAAACAAAAATTAAAAATATTCTGAAAAACAGAAAAGAAAAAAAATACTCTGAAAAACAGAGCCTTTTACTTTGGGTGAATGCAATACCTTTCCGTCGGGATGGACTGTACTCCTCCTCAACAAGCAATTTTGGAAGTGATTTTGTGAGTCATGCCTGTTTTTAATGCAGTACCACCTTTCTCCAGATTCACTGAGAGCCTTTTAATGATATCATGTACTGTAGATGATGAAATCCAACTTCATAATACGAAACATTATCCTGAAATTATTTATCTTTTATTTTACACCATATTTCGATCAGAAAAACTCCGCTCTTGGGATGTTCCTTAAACACTCGATCATGATTTTTGAAATATGTTGCTGGTATCAAAAATATCTTGTTTTTCTGATAAAAGTAAATTTTCAGTTTTAACATTTATGTATTTTGTCTTTGGGCTCTTGTTTCTTTCCTGGAAACACGGCCTCAGGAGTCAGAGGGTGAGGTGCAAAGACCTCCTGTGGTGTGTTGTTGTGTAATAGGAGGCTTATTGCTTTAGTGTAGCCTTAATGAAGACATAATGACTCCAACTAAATGGATGTAAAGCTGATAAGCGATGATAAAACTCATGATTACAATCAGCAGAACAAACAGAGCGGACATGCCGCTCAGCGATGATGAAGTTCTCCTCTTTAATGAGCCGGCAGAAGTTAACAATACAAAGGTGTTCGGATTAGCCGCTGCATTGTGATCGTCTGAGCTGCTCTCTAATTGAAAGTGAATAATGCAGCGATTTCCGCGCTGCCTCGTAACAATAAAAGCAGGCAGCGTTTGTGCGGCCTTCATGTTGTCAAACAAATTACTGGCGGCTCTGTGCAAACGCGGCAACACAGATATGCGTGTTACAAAAAGCCTGAGCATAATAAGGCAGAAGAGGAATTGTGTGTCTTTGTAATTGAGTTGAAGCTGCTGACTGTGATTAATGCGTTTAAAGCAGCGCGGCCTGTTTGAGGGGAGCAGCTCTGCAGGTAGCACCAACACTGTCAGCACACGCCGACCAGAAGAAAGACAGACAGACACGTATCTCAGACAGACGCTCAATAACCCATGATGCTTTGAGGCTGCAGGATCAGAGCAGATTGAAGCTGGAACAGAGGAACATACTGCAGGGCGCTGCACGAATGAACAAAAGGAGTCATACGACAAAAAACTGGCTGAGTGTAGAAATCCGTGGATGTGCGGCTGCTGAATCACTCAGACTGAAGTGTTGCACATGCTCAGTGTCATTGCAGCTCAAATCAAACTCAGTAAACACTGTTTGGAGGAGACTCTGAGCTTACTTTGCTGCAGGCTGCAGGGTAATGGTTTTATAATGACTGGATCTGGGAAGAAATCAAATGAAAAGAAACTCCAGCGAAAAACCAGACGGCTCTAAAACACTCTCTCCTTGGCTCTGCGACTCGGTTTTCTGCTCCATTAAACCGACGTCTTGTTATTTCCTCAGGATTGATCGGAAAACTCCATTAGCACTTCTTCTAAATAGATGCATCTCTGTGTTTGTCTCTGTTTTTCTACAGAAGAGTGTTAAACATGATCAGACTCTCACAAGGCCGAGGTGCTGGAAAGGTACTGTGAGTTTAGACGTTGTTATCATCATCGTAAATACAGACTCTACGTGTTGAATGTGTAGCTAGCAAATGACTTGGCGGCCCCTGTGGACAAAGTAATAACTTCTTTTCTCTCTACACAAAGTTTTCAACTATTCAAAAACTTAGCATAGAGAGAAAGAGTTATTATTTTGTCCACAGGGGGCGCCAACTCCTGACACTGTTCATGGTCTTCTCAGTCTGAAATCTGCACTCATTCCCCCCTTCCAACAAAAGTCAGCAAAGGCCTGACTATCCAGTGGCTCAAAAGATGATCTTCCTGGTAGGGCTGCAACTAATGACGTTTTTAATAGTCGACTAGTCATCGACTATTGAAACGGTTAGTCAACTAATCAGATATCATCTGCTTTGCAAACCTCGCAAGTGTTTTTGTTTTCTTTGCCTTATCTTGGCGAATGTGCTCCTAAACTTTGGAGGTTTTAAGTGCGTACTCGTAGCCGCTGTATGGGACGCCGGCGTCGTCATGTTTGAATACCCTACCTCTCTGCGGAGACGCTATTGCACATGTGTGACTCTAGACAGAGATTGTAATGAAGTAAGATGCCTCACTCCAGTGAAAAAAACACGTCTGGTGATAATGGTCGACAATGGAATTCATTGTTGACTTTTTTCATTATCGATTTTTGTCGCCAACGTCCACATATCGTTGCAGCCGTATTGGAGACTAGCGTTTTAAACTATTCAAAGACTTAGAACAGAGAGCAAAGATATATAACCTTGTTCACAGGGGGCACCAAATCCGGACGCCGATTATGTTTTCATGGTCTGAAATCTGGCCCTACCCCCCCTTCCAACAAAAGTCAGCAAAGGCGTGATTATCTGATGGCTCAAAAGATAATCTACCTCGATTATCCTAAATTAAATTATAAGTTAAGAGGCATAAAAAAGTGACTTTTCCTATCTAAGGTCTGTGTAGAAGATGATCGAAGCCACCTTAATTTGATGAGATGAATATTAAAGTTATCCAATATTTACAATCAGAAATCCTGAAGTGTGGAGTGAACCCTGAGGATGGCTGATCATACATGATATTTGTCGTCAAGTCGATCAAAATGAGAGCCAATCAGCAACAAATGTAGCCATGGCAACAACAGTAAACATGAAGAAATATGGAACCCACTTATTGATATCCGGCGACAACACGAGAGCTTACACACATTTTGATGAAACGTTCAACAACCAAACCAGGAAGCTAAAATGCTAGCATCAATTAGCTCCAATTGTCATCCATGATTTTTGCTCTTGAGTCGCGTTTGACCGTTTCTTGGTTTGCATGATCTTAATCCTCCGTCTTTAAGAAGTAAAAGTGACAGATGCAGCGGTAAGACCTCTCGTCCTGCTGTTTCCTTTTTCCTGTAATCCTTAACATGCAGTCGCTCTAACACTCCTGACAAATCCACAATGGAAACACATCCTCTGCAGAAACACAGGAAAAAATGAATCCTGCCAGAACTTGAGAGACAAAGACCTGGAACAGTCTCCAGGGTCCACTTCAGCACCTCCTGCTCTCAATCACTCAGACACTCTGTAGGAGAAGAGCCGTCACTCGCTCCATCATGTCCTCCACTGAAGAGCCCTAAAAGAGGCGCCGTCATGAATAAATCATATATGTCCCCGGCCTTAACTATTGACACTTCATTAGGAGGAGATTGCATTAGTGTATTAAACACAGAGTGACATATTTTGATGAATATTCAGCTACATAACAAACACCTTCCAGTGAAGCTGTGTGTGGATGTTAACCTGCAGACTTGATCACAGAAAGTCTGATCACCTTCTGCAGCGTGTAGCGGCTGCATGCTAACAGCAAACATTAAACAAGCATTACTCGTCTAAATGAAGAGGAGACGCGCCGACGCTGCCTCCACATTAGGTTTGGATGTCCTCACTCCGGGGGGCCATTTACTCACGTTCTTCATCTCCTCAATTATTTATTTGTAAATTTAGCATCACTCCACGTCTCTCAGGGGCAAAATTAAACTCTCAGCGGGGAATCGAACCTCCTGCTAAAATGGCTTTGGTTTCCATCCCAGCACGTGCCAATGGCAATTAGGGATGTGAGAGCTCCCAGGCCAAAAACCTCCACACCACAAACGACCCCGAGCGGAGAAACTCAACAAGCTGCGGATACGTCCTTTAAGTAAATCTGTGCATATAGAAAGATGCTGATGTAGAGCTTATTGTGCTGAAAAATACAGTCAAACTGAACATAAAGACAGTATTTTATTACAAATAACACGCAAAGGTAGTCTAAATAATACAAAATGCATAAATATTAACAAGTAGAGACACTCAGTGTTTCAGTCTGATGGGTTATCGGCCATTAGTGGTAATATTCCAGCGATTTCTTACCCCAATAATGCAATTTTATCTGATCAATATAGATGAGAAAAGTTGTATTTGCTCATTTATTTATTTAGTCTTAATATTCTGACACAGTAGGTAACTTTCACAGAGTCTAAACATTCATATATAGTGTTTATTCTTGCATTTATGTTGTAAAACCTTCACTGTGTGGCTCGTTAATCTATATTTTTTAAATGCTGGGATGTTTAGAGTTCCTCCTTTATGATATCTTTATTTAAAAGCTTTTAAGGAAACCTTTCAGAAAAGAAAAACTGCAAAAAACTACAAAGATATTATTTTAATCTCAGTCCTGTAAAAGACCTTAAAGTTCAGTACCTTCACATCCCACCAGGGGGCCACAGCTCACACTTTGATAATCACAGGCATAGATTATTGCGTGTGTGACGTTTTTATTCCCGTGAAATAATCTAGGATCATCAGTTATACGCAGAGCTGTGTTATACTTATTTATTTTTGTAATACTGAATGTGTAGTGTGTTATAAATCGATAACAGTCCTCACTTTTCTATTCTATTCTGTCTATATACTCAAAAAAAACACGTTTTTACAGTCTGTGTTAATCTTACTAATACAGTCGTCGCTCACAGGGCCTAAAGAAAGCTCACGTCTGTGCGTCTTTTATTTCAAACCTATTTTTCCGGGGCTTCCCACCACAACAATAGTCCTTTTCACGAGCAGCTGCATGTTTTCCTGCTCCGAAGATGACACCGGCTTCATTAGCATGTGCTGGAAATGCCTCAGAAACCAAAAGGGTGGCCATCTTGACTTTGAAGTAGACTATAATTTCTAATCCCCTCCAGCTAAAGAAATGCTAATGTGCTGTTTGTGAGCTATCACTTTCACAGCTCGCCTGTGCCAGCCCCTTATTACCAAATAGGATGACAGTTTAATGAGCCCCCCTCGCTCGGTGTCAGAAACATATTGTGGAATTGCACCTTCTGCCATATCGTGTGTGCGCCCACTTGAGCATTTGAGCCTCAGAACCGATCATTAACTCGCATTAGTGACGTCTTCCTCACCTGATTACACTTCCTTTGTTTCATCCAGAGCTGCTTCATGCTGTCGGAGGTGGACTTGAGCGGGTCAGGAGAGTCTAGAAAAACCCTAAATATGGCAGGGTCAGAATGATCCATACTCGTGGCATCTACAAGTAAACACACTGAGCGGATGCCCACATTGTTTTCAAAATGGAGTGAGCAAAAGGGTCTGCTATCTTGAACTTTATCACATCATACTTCAGCCTACAAGTTCGACGGCCACTTGCAACACCTGCGCAGTAAATTTCTGAAGGGCGGTTGTAAAACTTCAGGTTACAACAAAACGTAATTCAGCGCGGCTTTTCTGTATCGCAATTGGATCGATATCGGCTGATACTAAACTGAAGAGATCTGTATCGTATCGGAGGTGAAAAAAACGGATTGGTGCTTCCCTAACTGGTATAGCTAGTGGATTTTTTGTCATTACTAGTTAACTAATAAACTGTTAATAACCCATCTCTGGTACAACCTGCTGATAATTTCACCCTAACTCATTAACTTAACAACTAGTTGGGTCAGTATACCCATCACCAGTATGACTCTTGGATATTTTGGCCTATGCTACTTAAAAAGTAAAGTTTTTAGGGTCTAATTAGTCTCATTTATGTAACGAGTGTTTTTTTCTCTCTAACTAGTTAACTATTGAACTTTTAGGACCTTGTAAGCTTTTGTATGGCGTCAAAATGGATCTCACTTTTAAAACTAGGGGGTACTTGGACCTAAATGGTAAAGTCAAACACCTGTGTCTACTTTCTTGCTGTCCTCACATTAACTAGTGATGGTTTAAGGGTGTAACTCATAAACTAGAGATGTCAAAGACAGGAAAAGTAAAAACAAACTGTTGCCTAATGTCAAGGATATCAAATAAATGCTCAAAGGGTTTTCCATCGCAGAGATATTAGGTTTGTCAAAAAGGCTGATGAGCTGTTAAAGATTTATGCAACTAAAACCAAGCAGGTGACTTATTTTTAACTCTCACAGGTGAAAAAAAATGGATCTCGATCTTATTTGTCAGCAGGATTGACTGATTTTTACTAAAAATGGACCTGCATGAACAGAACCCCCAGAGCACCATGAGATCTCGCTGCAACAATAAAAGGGTGCCCCCTAGTGGGAGCAGGAGGTGCATTCAGGTCAGGAGAAGACAATAGGCCCACACTCCACAGGCTTTCATGATGTAGTTAACACTGTTTACTGGACTGCAGGCCTCCAGGTTGCAGCAGGACCCCGTCTCCGGTCCTTTGTCCCTTTTACCCCAACCCCCCTCCACCTCTCTGTCCTCCTCTAAGAGGGGGGTGACCTATTTTAAAAACCTATTTTAGTGATGGACGAGAGGGAGAGCTCTGCAGGTGGTCCCGTCAAAAACCATCCATCTCTGCCAGAGCTCGACGTCCCAACTTTTCCATCCATCCTCCTCTTTAGAAAGCGACTCTCCTCCTGAAGCAGAATCCAGATCTGCTCTGATTTGAGTGTCTGAGCGCTGATACATCGCGCCCGCACCGAGTGGCTCTGAGGTAATTGGCTACTTCACACAATCTAAAGCTTATTTCCCCTCCTCCTCTCCCCCTTCCTCTTAACAGCCGCCGCCGCTCCTGCTGGTATCTCATTTGATGCTTGTCGACAGCAGATCACTTCTCCTTCATTTGGGAGAAAAGTCGTCGTCCATTGATGGCCTCGCAGCGTGGAACCACATCAAGAGAGGACTCTTCTTTCAAAGAGCGCTCATCGCTCACATTCAGATTGATATTTAAAAGGTGTTTTCAAAGAGAAAGAGAGACGAACCTTTCAACTAAAATTACCCCCTCGGGGCTGTGTGTCGACTGCCAATCAATCCGGCTACATCCATCAGAGTTACAGTGTTTACATCCATCAGGGTACCGATGACGGCAAAACGGTGGAAGTTTAAAAGTTACAAGAAAATATTCATAGTACTGGAACAACCTCTGGAGGTCTCAATGACCCCATGGCCCCCTAGTGGTAGAATTTGGGTAGTTCAGGTGCAGTGTTGGGTAGTAACGCGGTATTCGTGACGCCATAGCATAACGCTGTTACCTGATTGAGTAACTAATAATGTAACACGTTGTTTTTTTATTCATTAATGCTGTTACCGTTACCAAAAGGTGCGTTACTCCAGCATCACATGTAAACAAACACATGCCATGAAGAGGACTGGACAGGTCAGGGCCCGGCGAGAAGGGGAAGATAAGTTTCTCCTCATGGAGATACTCACAATGTCTTCAACTTAAGAGCAAATGGAAAAACAACTTTTGTCCTGAGTCAGAAATCCTTCCTACGGCTAACAACAGAAACAGCAATCTATGGCATGCTTCGACAAAGTTATCAGCAAAGGTAGCTAATGGTAACGCAGCATCTGAGACCGAGAGTCACAGCAGCGAGCACGCACCCACTCCACCCAAGCAGCAGAGGTCGGAGTTCGACAGACGGACCCATTGCCAGGCACAACCTGATAAAACAACAGCACGGTATGTTTAATTGTTTGTTTGGATCTCTTTTAGCAATATAAGGCTATTATTCCAAAATTTTGGAATCATCGGATGGTCACTTCATTTTGCAATGCACTATGGGAAATTTTGAGTCACCTATATGGGGCATTGTAATTGATCACTCAGTTTTCAGACACCCGTCAAAATGGCGCCTATATAGGGGTTAAGGATCCATTTCGGACACAGCCCAGGAGTTACAGGTTCTTGTTATGTCACTGCAGAGCGGCCTCAGGGACTCACCGTGCTGCGCCTCCCTCTGCTCCAGCTCCTGCCTCAGCTGCTGTCTCTGCTCCTTCATCCTGCTCAGCTCCTGGCTGCTCCCGGCGCTGAGGCTGTGCAGACGCTTGGCCAGCGCCTCCAAACGGTCCCGCTCCAGGTACACCGCCTTCATCTCCGCTTTCAGCTCCTTGGCGCTGCTGAAGTCATTACCTGCAGAGACACACAGAGGCACATTAAGCTAACGCCGGCCATTAACGAGCGTCTGAGTCGTTAATAGCATCATTAAGTCGGGCTAATTCAACATTTTCATGAGGTGGCCGTTTGCCTCTGACATCATGTTCAAGGTGGAAAGCTCAGAACGGTTACAGTGTCTGTTTAACGGGTTATTTAAACCAGCAGTGTTTATGACAGTGACTTCTGATTTCACTAATTACTCAGGAAATAAGACGAGAAATTCAAGACTAAAGTATAAAGATCTGTTTGTTTGTTTGTTTGTTTGTTTGGCTGGTTAGTTGGATGGTTACCTGGTTAGTCAGTGAGTTGTTCAGTAATTATCCTGTTTTTGTAAATCTTTATTGGCCGGTCACCATGTTGGTTAGTTAATCATTTAGTTGGTTGGCTGAATAGTTGGTCTGTTGTATGGTTGGGTGGTTATTGTTCTGGTTGATTAGTAGTTTGGTTGACCGGTAGTTCGGTAGGTTACTTAGTTGTTTGAGTAGTTGTTTGAGAAGTGAATGGGCGGTTGGTTGTATGGGCGGTCAGTTGGTTAGTTGGTAATTTGGTTTGTTAGTCATTTGTTTTTTTAGTTGGTTGGGTTTTTTGATAATTTGGTTGTATGTTGGTTGGTTATTATTTAGTTGGTTTGTCATTAGCCTTTTTAGTTTTTTTGGTTGGTTTGTTTTTAAGTTATTTGGTTGGTTGTTTCTTTCAATGGCTGGTTAGTTAGTTGACAGGTTAATTAGTCCGTCTGTTTGTTGGTTGGCTGGTTAGTTATTTTGTTTCTCTGTTGGTTGTTTGGTTGGTTGGTTTATTTATTTGTTTTTTGTTGTTGTTTGTTTGTTTATTATTTGGGTAGTTGTTGTTTGGTCAGTTGGTTATTCTGTTGGTTTGGTTGTTTCTTTCATATGTTAATTAGTTTGTCTATCAGTAATTTGGTTGGTTGTTTCTTCTAATGGTTCGTTAGTTAGCTTGTTTGTTGGGTATTTGGTTGGTTTATTTATGGGTTTGTTTGTTTGTTTATTATTTGGCTAGTTGTTTTATGGTCAGTTGGTGGTTTTGTTGGTTAATTTTCTGATTTTTGTATCAATTATTTCTAAAACAACAAAATTCTGTTTTTTGTTTAAGACCTTTAAGAATTTTCCAGCATTGATGAATATAATTTTTCCTAGATTAACGTCTTGATGACTTTCTTTTAGCAAACTTTAGTAACTCAGTTGTTAAACAAAGATTTTATTTATTTAACCCTTATATAGTTTTAGAAGTGCTTAAAAAGAACTGTTTATCACACAAGGATCTTTTTAATTAGCTGAAGTGGATCTGAATGAAGCCTCTCTGTTATTTATTCTGAAAACACTCCTGATCTTTAATCTGCTGATTGGACTGAAAACACAGAAATGGCCGAAAGTTGTTTTTCACAAACTGTCACACCTGAACACCTGAAATGTTGGCCATCGTTCTCAGGGATTTACGTATATCCTTGTCTTGTAAACTCTATTGTCTCTCTAGATTTTCTTTTTTATGTTCGAAGAATCTAAAGCAGTAAATTTAAAGGCTGGTCAGATTATCTTCATTTAAACAGCTGGAAACCTGAAATCCAGCAGCGTGACTTTAGAACAGCATTTGTAATTCTCACCCCGAGCATGAGATCAGAGGAAAATGGGCGCAGTATGAATATGGTTCACAGTGAGGGATTTAAGTAAATGAGGTAAATAAAGGATTTGTTCAGGGTGTGGTGGAGTTGGAGTTTTACCTGAGATGGCTGCCAGCTTTGCTTCATGCAGCGTTAAAAGCTGAGTTTCAGTCTCGCTGACTTTCCTCCTCAGGCTGCTGCCCAGCCTCTGACTCATGACCACCTGGGGAAACGAGGCAGAGAAAAAGATGGATGAGAGAGGGGGGAGGGTGGTAACTAACAAAACCTTTGCAGACACATGAATCCCACAGGATGCACGGCTCATTTCCAATTCCACTTTCATTTTCTTTTTGACACTCATTCTTACAAGACCTTACAGATTCATTTCCGTCCTTCTGCGCCCGCCCTGCTTCGAATACACAGCAGAGCGTTCGTTACCTCGTCTGTAACCTTTAGAGAGACAGAGAGGGCGCCGTCTTTCCTGCAGACGGACAGGGAAATGTGAAATCTCCATAAAAGGTGCCATTATAATGTCAGAGAGGGAAAAGGGGTCTGAATGTCACGGCCTGACGGGGTTGCGGCACCTCAGCTCTGCAGTGTTCACAGAGGAGCCGGCTTTAGATACAGCCGCCTGTCCCCTCTCCGCCCTTTAATCCGCTGTTTTTTCAATGAATTCCCTTTGAGTTACAGACGCGCACAATCCCTGTGAAGCACTTCCTTCTTTTGAGGAACTATTTTCATCGCTCAAAGGGATGCAGAGACGGATTTTCTGACGCATCTTCCTCTTGGATCTGACACAGTTTTGAAAAAGGCTGTCGAGTGCGTCGGTATTTCTGAGGCGGAACGTCTCCGGGGAGTTTTCTATCGCAGGAAATATAAAAATATTTTTTCAAACAGGCTTGCATAATTTGATTTCACGCGTTACGTCAACTGGAAACCACTGTGAAGTGCTTTTTAAGCTCCCATCGGTGGTTTAATCTCCAAACATCAGGCTATTTGTCCGTTTTAAAAAGTCAATAGAGAAAGTGGGAGTTACCTTCATGCCTGCAACCATTTAGTCACAGCGGGTGGGCCATTTTCCAGCTGCTGGATATCTCACTCAGGAGCAAAACTTTTATTTCAACCTAACAATAGTCAGTCTTGTTATTCTGGTGAAGTGGAGAGCCCTGTGCATACATACTTTCCTTTGAGGTGTAGTTGCAGCAACCGTTTGGTAATGGGTTTCAAAAGGACACGCTAACAGTGAAGAGGTCTCTCTCTGCCCCCCTGTTGAGCCTCTCTCCCTCTCTTTCATACAGGTTTCTGCGGATACCTGCATATTCCAGCTGCAGAGATGCTGCATCAGATCAGAGCGAGGGAAAAGAAAACCCATGAGAGGTAAGAGGCGCCTCAGAAGTCGTAAACTCACAGGAGTACTGCAGTGACGCAGAAAATCCACCAAAGAAGAAAGACGGTTCAGGAAGTAAAGATGAAAAATACAGACGAAGGTGAAGACGAACTTTTGAAGAATCAGTTCGCCTTTTGCTACCGTGTTTGTCGACTGTTTTGGTATGTGACAGTATAGAGCTGAAAGGGGGCTTATCACCACCTACTGTAGTGGAGGTGGAAATGCTCCAGGACAAGGACCAAAACTTCAAACCATGAGGTGAAAAGTTTAAAAATTTCTAAAAGAGACGATTTCCAGAGACTAATCTTTGAAATAAAATCTATCTCAACAGTTTATGACTTTATGGAGCAGAAATAAGCACATAGACACAGAAACATCACAGGTACACGGTATTTAAACACCCAGTCATCGCTCTGAGTCATGGAGCAAAATTAAAACAGCAGCTTACTTTAGCTGTGGCTTCTTTGATGGACAGATTCAGCGCCTGCTCCTGCTCCTGAAGTCTGTGGAAGGGAAACAAGATCGACGTTATTTAACTGACAGGAAGTAGGAGGGATAAAAGTATGATATACAGTATATATGTGTATAAATCTGTGAGAGTTTCTCAAGTTGTTACTTTACTTTCACTAAACTTTTTTAAGACAATCCAAACTTCTGGGATTCCTAGATTCATTAAAGGCTGAGATTTCGGTTCCTAACAGAAACATGAATTTATTGGGATTAAATATGCCGATATTTTTAAACTCATTTTACTGATATTGAAGATGATATATTCTAGGGCTGGGCGATATGGCCTCAAATCAATACCATGATATATTGGGCAGTTCACCTCGATAACAATAAATGGACGATAACTACTCCGGACTGGATGGGGTGGAGTCACGTCTCTGATGTAGGACAGCGTCTTAAAAGGACATGAGACCATAGCCTACCTACACACATCCAAAACCAACATTTATTTATCTATTTATTTTACACCGATTATACGAAATGGGCAAAATGACGTCTGTTATTGTCGTAAATTTCGGTATCGATAAATTTTCGGTTTATCGCCCAGCCCTAATACATGCACTTCCTTGTTTCATTCACACATATGTGAAAATTTACTCCTCACTCTTGTTGTGTTGCTCTATTTGTTGTTAAAGCTCCTGCGAGAAACTGTCAGTTTGTGTCAATTTTGGCGCCCTCTGTGGACAAAATAGCCTTTACTCTCCTTTAAATGCCTAAGCAAAAAAACAACAACTCCTAATTCTGACTTTTGACAGCCAAACTATCATTTATCATGAATATTTAATGTGAAAAAGAACATCGATCTTCTCAGATTGTAATTCTAGCAAAATATCAGGGCTCACAAAAGCTGTAATTATAAAACTATCGGCCTATTTGGTCAAAATGTCTGAATAAATTATATCATATGTGATCAGGACGAACCGTAACGGTCACTTTATCTGATTAGCAGATTGTGAAAATGAGCGTAAAATCCATTATGTGTGAAACAGTCACCTTGAGATTGTCCAAACAGTCTAATATCATGAAAATACGGCTCATATTTTATGATATTAGAGCAGATCTGAGTGAAATACTGAGTATTTACTGCAGAGACATTGTTTCAGAAAGTGTAGACCTCTTTAGTCCTCTATCCAAAAGGGAAAAATCAACCTATGAGGGATAAATTTCCTGTTATTTGTAAAAAGAGCTGCAGCACAATCACCGCAGTGACCCACAACATGGCACCTGGAGATGAGCGGCTGAATACCCAATCTGAGGTCACACTTTCAATCAGCGGCGAGAATAAATGCGTTCCAGTCGGGGTGAGAACACGTCAGATATCAAATTATCCCCCTGATGGCGGGTCACACCACCGAGAAGACGATAAGTACAATTTACATGTTTCTCTAACGAGCGGTGAGACGGAGAGGCTTTCCACAGAGCTCTCCTGCACGCCATTAACTTCAGAGGATATGATGCAAAGTGATCATTTACATCTGAGGAAAAGCATTAAAATTCAAAGTAGGTTCAAGCAGGTGTGGGAGACGAGAGGATGAGGGCAAAAAAGGATTATCATGACTGCTTGAGACGGAAAATAAACATCAGAAAGTCTTACAAATTGTTGCATTGTATTACACTCTCTTTGTAGAGGCGCTCATGTCTGCCACGACTGACAATAAGAGCTTTCAAATTTCATAAACACGAGTCAAAAGTCTTCAAAAACACCAGAAATCATGTGAAATTTTGTCGCTTTTGGGTGTAAAAACCAAAATTGAATTTCCTCCGTCAGCTGTCAAGCATTTCTGAGCCGTCAATAGAGATGTCAGTTTGACTGTCGGAGAAAATCTGTAACTTTCTGGCTTCAGATGAGGCTGCTGTGAGAATAAAGACGCAGATTTTTTTTTTATCAGGGGGCTGAATGAAGCTGGGAGTAGAAAAAAAATAAGACTTCAGTGCAACATCTTCCTCAAAATGAGCTCATCTAGAACTAAGAAATACCAGAAATGACACAAAGGAATCATTCAGGGACAGATGAGCTGCTCACAGCTCTTTAGCAGCCCCACCTGGTCACTGAGGGTACTGCAGCTCTGAGATGATGACAGAACTGGATTTTGTGACCGGTGTAATCACTTTCATCATGGCAGCAGCAGGAAGCAGGATGGAGCTTAAACTGTCTCCAATGTGCAAATACCAAACAATCAAAAAGTAATAAACAAATCCAGATTAACTCATCAACACTAAGAGTCGTACCTTACTTTAAGGATAACAGTATCTGTAAATCTGAAGCCTTCTTATGATTGTTTCTGCCAAGAGGTTAAAAAAAGAGAAAAACAGCGTGAAAGTTTCTAATCCAAATATTTAAGGTGTGATAATTTTTCTTCAAAACACTGAAGGTGCAATTTGACATTTACATTTTCTGCATACATTTACACATTTCCCTCACAGTATCTGACCATGAGGAGCAGAAGTATAAACACCTTCTGTGCAGACAAAGTTACCGACGTGTCCAAAGAACGTTTTTAATTTTTTCTCACACAAGGAGGTGTTAAAACTGCATAAGCACATTTATCTAAAAAGAGTCACAAAAGAGTGTTTATAAATCAATCAAAGACCAAAAGGTGCATTTTTTATAGAGTTTTGTTGGTTATTTGTAGTAAAAACTCTGTTGTATTTATCGAGAAGTATCTTGTTTTGTAGTTTGAGTTTTCATTCCGAGTTTTTCTTGACTCTGACTTTGTAACATGCACGTGCAAATCTGTGATCCCCTTTCCAAACATGCGAGTAGAAATTAAAAGTTCAATTTTATTTTATTTTTCTAAATTTATTATTATTATTTTAATTATTCAGGTTTTGAAGCAGGACTCTGACCTGATCATGGAGGGCGGAGGAGAGACGGAGATCTGCGTTCGGTTTTCTGAGGAGACGAGGTCCTGCAGAGTCCGGCTCATTTCTCTAAGCTGGTTCACGCTGTAGCTCCTCAGAACCGAGCCCTCGAGCTCCTCGGCCTCCGCCCGCTGCTCCTCCTGCTGGATCTGCTGATCCAGCTTCAGGCTGCGGTCCTTCAGCTCTGCCAGCCGCCGCTGCAGCTCCAACATCTCCTCCTGGACGGGATTCAAGAGTTTAAATAATCTGTCCAGAGATATCCCAGGTTCATACAGACTAAAGTTTCTACTCTTTCAAGATTTTTATGATGACATCTTGGCTGATTTTACCTCCACTAGACGTTTCTCTTGGATCAGACGGTCTCTTCGATAAAGCGGACCCTGCAGTGACTCACAAAGTTCCCCAGCATCAGGATCTACACCATCCCTGCAACCAGAAACAACAAAACCAGGTAAAAACAGTTTTCTTTTATTGAGGAGTGAAAGAACCACCAACAACAGCGTGTTATTTCCTGATTTTAAGAGTCAGAAAAAAGACTCTGAGCTGCACAATAACACTCAATGTTAACAAATCCCAGTGTGAGCCGTGGGTCACGATTGTCCAGGAAACTAGGAAACTATTTTTAACTCAACTCCCCGCTGCCCCATTCTGACACATTATAATGGAAGACAGAGTAAAAGAGAAACAAGACAAAAAAGAAACTGCACAAAAATGTGTAAAAGGACCATCATTTAATATCAAACAGCTGATTTTGACTTTGGCCGGATGTTCATTTCTGCAGATTGTCAGCTGCTCGTGTAAATATCATATTCTGAGTAAATGTTGCATGGTTGTGCGTCTGACCTGCACTGGCTGCAGTCTGTCCTCTGGAGGGCGCTGTACACCACCTGTGTGAGCCGCTGCAGGAACAGAGCCACGCTGGGCTGAGTGGAGGGTAATCCCAGCTTCAGAGCTCCTCTCTCTCTGCACAGCTCCTCCAGCTTCTTCCCGAAACGCTCAGCTGATCAAACACACACACAATAAACAACCTGCTGAATCATGTGCCTTAAAATCACGGTCCAGGACCCATTCAGGAGCTCTTTAGCAAGATCGGACACAGTTTTTCTAAGTGTTTAGGGTCAGGGTTAGGGGTTAGGGTTAAAATATCTGTCCATGACCTATTCAGGAGCACGTTTCAGACCATTTGGAGTTGATAGGTACAAAAAAAAGATTAGGAAAAATGTCAATTTTTTCCTAAGTGTGAAGGTTACATTAAGGTATAGGGATTTTAACCACAACCATTCCTCAAGGGAACAAGATAGAAATCTGGAACCAAGACCAAACCATCCTATTTCAACTACCCCGATTTCACCAGAATGAAGTCTCTATGATGTTGCATTCAAAAGTTTTGTGCAAATTAAAACATCCCCATTCAAGTGAATGCTGCTAGGTAGAGAGAGAGAGTTTTAAAAAGTCACTGGGGTGTGAGATTCATTATCAAAGTCAAACAGAAAACCTGACAAGGCTGAGGACCTACTGACCCAGATATCCACCAAAGCTTACAGGAGTCCAGCAGCAGATGTTGGAATTTATTTCTGTCACAAGGTCTTAGAAATGGGTCAGAGAGGAGTCCTCTTTGGACAACAAACTCTCCTCAGGCAGCAGAAACATGCTGAGGTCAAACAGGGACTGAGATGAATTCGCTCTCTTCTGGAAATCAAATAAAGTCCAGATTAAATTAGGCTGCTGAGACAGCTGGTTGGTTCGTTCTCGTGTAGTCTTCGAGGTTTAAAGATCAAAAGCTGGATGACGAAGTATAAATGGACTGGGATCACCAGATTTTAATGCAAATAAATAAGGGGTTTGGTTTAATCTTTGAGGTTTTCAGTAAATTACTGAGAAATTTTATTATAGCTCTCTGAAACCTCTGAATGCTCAACGCATGTCTGAGTCTATAAACAACAAACCAGTCCTTCAGCTCTCATTAAAGTGTGTCCATCTGCGCTCACGTGCTGCTTCCATCATATCAGCAGATCAGCAACTAATTCAGTTTGTATAAAATCCAATTAAAGTCACTGATGGACTCTGATATACATTTCAAACCAAACAGAAACCAGTGCTGAAAAATGAGGCTAAAAGAAAGCTGCAGTTCCTACATCGTCCACTCGAGGCTGTTTCCAAAAGTGAGACACTCCCCATAGAGCCTCATGTTAAAATGTTCAAACATATTTTTGGACTCAATTTATGAAAAAAATCTCCTGATATGTCCAGATAAATGTCTTATTTCAATCATGAAAGCAAAAAACAAGACTTGGGTCACTTGTGAAAAGTCAGCTGATAACCCTAATCCTGACATATGTTAGCATGAACTAAAGATACACTCACATGATCCATCTATACCTCACTACTACAAATGCTGACTCTGCTGAGTTTTTGCTGCACCAGTTGTTAACATGACAGTGAAGACAGACAGTAAAACCAAGAGCTTCACAGCTGCACAAAAACTGCACATTGCTAACTTTGTTGAAGACAGTGACAGACAGATTAAAGCCCCTTAAAATTCTGTTTGTTTAGCTTCTACAACATGCAGTTTCACAGTCAGCTGACCCTTTTCTCTTATCTCTGATTGGATAATTCTGTTCCTGTGAAAGAGCAAATAATCTCATATATTCAGGTTAGTTCAAGCACATCTCTCTACCGGCGCAGTATCTCTGCAATAACATCTAAAACAAACTCCTCGCAGCAGCGGCTGAACTGTTTACCTGCGTCATAGTCGTCATCCAAAATGGCTTTCTGCTGGAGTCTCTGCAGCTTCAACATCATGGACTCGATCTGAGAGGCAAACGCAAAGAACAAGTCAGAGCAGATTATCAAACAGTCTGAAAGGCGACGGTCTTTAAACAAACATCACTGTGAGGGAGCAACGCCCGCAAGTTCAGAGTGAGACTGAGTCAGCGAGTTCAGCTCTGAGTAGGAAGTTTGAGAGCTCATCGGTAGTACGTGTGAGTGTTCTCAGGCACTGAAGACTGATGCCTTTATTATCAAATGACCCTTTGTTTCATTATAATTACTCAGCTGTGTTAAATACTTGACTCTGATTGGTTAAAACCTCGTAACAAAAGTAATAAAAGCCAGTTTAGCAGCAGGACTCTTCTACTTCAGCGCCACACTGTCATTAAACACGCAGGAAAAGGTCTGTCTCTCACCTTGGTATGTGTACGATTGTTCTGGAGGCAGTCCTGCAGCACGACCTCGTACTTCTTCACTAGGTTGTCCACGCCGTGGTCGCTGGCAGGTGTGGCGCTCTCATACCCGGATGTGACGGAGGAAGCGGAGGCAGTGTCTGAGTCCACAGACAGCGAGGAGATGATCTCTATGTCCACAGACTGATCATCTCCGTCAGGTAGGTCAGATGTCACCTCAGTGTCACCCCACAGACAAACCCGCCATGATCTACCACCTGACAGCTCATCTCTGTCTGAGGGCGGGTCTGATTGGACGGAGCTGGACCTCTTTGAGGTACTGGGATCGATGGGTAAGGGTGCTGGTGTGGTCTGAAGCGCTTTAGTGGAATGGTTTAGTGGTTCTGGATCCCTGGAGGGTGTGGATGAGGAGTTTAGAGACTGCTGGATGAAGCTAAAACTGGAGTTAAAGGAGTCCTGGGTGGAGGACTCTGGAGCTGCCGGACTCGGGTTTGACCTGAGTTTATTCTTGGTGGACGAATGAATTAATTCCCAGCATGCTTCAGGGGAAAGAGGACAGGTTCCACTCTTACTCCTCCGGGTGCTACATGAGAGTTTATCAGGCTTTTCCTGACTCTTCAGAGTCTCTCTGACAGCTGGTGCTTCATCAGTGTGACGTCCATTTCTGATGCAAGAGGTGTTCCCTCCCTCCTCTTCCTCTTCCTCCTCCTCCTCCTCCTCCTGCCCATGAGACGAGCTCTGCAGCCTGGACGGCTCTCCTCTCATGTACCCCGGTCGTCGGTGGAACCTCTTACGGCCGGAGCTGCCAGCTGTCCCCGACGGTCGGCCACCTGTCGATGCAGAGATTAACCATTAAGCTGGACAACAGGCTCATGAAGGAGATAAGCAGTGAGCTCATACAAACAGGAGGATTAACGTTGTAAACCACGGAGGAGGAAAATGTGACGCTAAATGAGCCAATTATAAAAGAATGCTGCAAACACGCTGCATGAGTTTAGCCACACCCTCCGGCCTCGAACCCACCCACCCCTCTCTCTCTCTCTTTCTGTTAACGTCCAATGAGAAACAGCTCTGGCAGCTGGATGACTTTTCCCACAGATCTGCTCCAGCTGTTGGGAAATACCAAAACCAAACAGTCACTTTGAGTTAAGACAGAGCTCTCAGTGGAGGAGCGAACACGAACTACACTTCCTGAAGTTAAATTTAAACGTGTTTATCTTTAAAAAAACACAAAAAGTCGTGAAAAAATCTGAGCCAGAGTTCCTGCTGATGTAGAGAGGACCTGGATGAGTCTGAACCAGATTGATGCTTGCGAAGATGGAAAGAGCAAAACTAAAAGATTAACCCAGAGAGAGAAATTAGCTCAGGACAACCTCTTTGTTGTGTGCCATTACTTAATACAGACAGCTGGTGTGAAGCCAAAAAAAAAGGCATCAAACAAACACTAATAAGTCAGCAAGTTTGACCTGCACAGGCCACCAAAGGTGTTAAATAAACTCTGAATACAGCTGTCATTTTATCTTAACACCCTATAAAACTATTACAGCTCCAACATGCGTCATTTTTAGACCTGATTCATTTCTAAACAACAAACTTGTAAATCAAGAAAAACAACAAAATAAATGACTGACTGTCAGATTTTTCACATTACTATGGCAACAAACAAAAGTATCAAATAATGTCATAATTTTTTTTATTTTATCTATGTTAGTGCAAGAATAGCCGTCCTTAAACTTCGCTTCTTGCTTTTACAAATTTGCAGCTTTCTTGTCAAGATTTCAGACTTCGTTTTCACAAATGAGCTAATTTTTCTAACAAATGTGCTTTTTCAGCAAATTTATAATCCCAATTTGTAGATTAATCTTTACAAATGTGCATCTTTTGCTAGTTTTTACAAAGTAGCAACTTATTCTCACTAATTTGAGACTTTATTCTCTCACAATACCTAATTTTTCTCTAAATATTATACAATTAATCTTTTTTTAAAAATTAAACTTAGATTTCTTAAAATTTGCTACTTTTATTCTCAAATTTGTGCCTTTTTCCTCATAAATTTATGACCTTTCTCTCACAATTTTTCTGCATTTTTTTCCACAGAAAATGCAACTTTCTGTTTTAATTTTACAACTTTATTTCCACTATTTTTTGTGCACAGTTTTAGACATCATTCTCCCTAATTAGCCTTTTTATGTAAAAAAAAATGTGCAACTTCTTTTCTAAACGTTCTGCAAACCTGTAACTTTATTTGCACAAATGTGGGACTTTTTTCTTTTAAATATGCAACCTTTTTTTTTCTTTTACAATTCTGCAACTTTTTTGAAACTCATAAAACTCTATACTTTCATCCTCTTTCTTGACAGACTTGATTTAGATGTGTTTATGAACGACTGAAACATGAGGTTTGGCATCAGAATCAGCACCAGGAGGATAAAAACAGTGTTGATCAGTGCAGATTTATATGGACATTGTGGCGGAGAATCAGTGTAAACTTAATGTTGTCTAAGAGTTTATAAGGATAATAAAATCCGTCTTTTCAGAGCTGACACCTGCTGCAGCTTCACATGACTGAAACATATAATGTGTAGGATTCAGAGCGTCGGACAGGCTGAATGTTGGGAATCAACAGCCTCTTTGTGTACAGCTGCACGGCTCTTTTTTCTCTACTGGCTCTCAATTTTCTCTTCCCACACACACACACACACACACACACACACTCACTCCAGACACAGAGACACACTAACACACAGACTTTTGTACTGAAGACAGGGAGGGCATTCATGCATCTGTCATAGTTTAACCCTGTTACACTTTGTTACACTTTTAAAAAGGAGCTTATTGACAAAACTGCACTGAAAGCAATCAAACACATCCGAACTCGATAAAAACTTCATGATAGATTACAAGAAATTTTATCATCTGATAAATCAAGTTTTTTTTCTACAACACGAGCACATCTGAAGAAATCCAGAGTCTGTATGTCAATGCAGGAATGCAGGGCACGCAAAAAAAAGCAAGACCACTACAAAGAAACCACAGCTCGCTGCCCGACCCCGTGACCTTCGATGATGTCACTCTTTAACCATCCCATGTGACTGCAGAAGAAGAAAAACATTCAAAAAAAAAAACGTGAAAGCAGGGCTGGGTCAGAGGAAACCTCCAGGGTTGAGAAATGAGCGCATGAGTGAAAAAACTGCAGTTCCTACAGCGTCCACTAGAGGCTGTCTCCAAAATGAATCAATCCCTATACAACCTCATGTTAAACTTTACTGCAGAAATAAACATGTTTACAGCTGGTACAAGAACAGTTTTGGTCTCTTCAGATTATTTCTATATTAGTGACAACTCTACAGGTAAGAATTATGATATAACTTAGCTGTTTCAATTATATTCAACCTTAAAGTTATGTATAATTAGGGGCGTGGCCTCTTTGAGTGACAGGTTGGAGCTGTTACCTGTCTGCTCAATTTCACCTCAACTGTTTAACCTATTTAAGCTCAGCTATGACCCTGATGAAGGCCACAAGCCGAAACGCGTTGGTCAAATAAAGCTGTTTTCCTGACTGTCGCTGGAGCTCTTTTGACCTCAGCCATTTAAGCCGCTGTTTTAATACATGATGTAGGAATTTAACTTGGAGACAGCACCAATGTAATTGGCAGAGAGGGGGCAGGACATATCGCCACCTGGCGTAGCAGCTAATGTACTATTTAGCTCAGATACCTCGGCGTTTGCTAACCTTTCTGCCATCTCTCGTCTTCTCCAGAAAACCATGAATAAAACGCCAAAGTTGAGGCTTCATAAGGCTTTCAATAAACCGGTCAATGGCGTCATGGTTGCTACATCTATTATTTATCCTCTCAATGGAAGGGACACCACTTAAGGGACAGGTTTTAGTGAGAGTAACATTAGGGGGGTTTCTTTGTACAAGCCGTCGGTCCACCGGGACCACCTCCTAAAATCTCAGGTTACACACAGCTCCATTAGCGTTTCTTTGCAGAGGAGGCCGCTGTTCCATAACCAATTCAAGAAACCCAACACTCTCTGAAGGTACTGAACACACCACGCTCACCGTCTACCATCTGCTGTGGTTGGACTTTAACACAGGGCCCTCTCTGAGAGAACCGAGGAGCTGAAAGGACAGGAAAGCTCTGCCCGATGGAGAGAGTTACTGTTCCCTGGCTGTGCTTCGATTACACAAAGACTTCGCTTCTCTGTAAAGGGAAGGAAATGCCTCAGGGTCCATTGTGTGTGAGTGTGTGTGTGTGTGTGTGAATGAATGTGTGTGTTGGGGGTCTTCTACATCATAGTTGAGCCCCTCACTGGTATGTCATTTGCTGCTTCCTGTTAAGTTTTGCACTTAAATAGCTTCACAGGAATTGAGGAGGAAGCAGCAAAAGACTGGGGTTGGTCCAAATTCAAGTTATTACACAGCACTTCATTCTGATTGGTCATCATGTGTCAACATTTCATAACAATGGTCTGCTATTGCTTGACAGTAAACCGTTGCCATGTAGAACAGACCGTTGCTAGGAGTAGAGCTCCAATCACAGACTGAAGGAGTGGCTATAATTATTAGGGGTGGGACAAAACAGTGATGCTACAATTTATCACTGTTGTTGTCCCAAAATATGTATACACCAGGGCGAAGGGCATCACTCCTACACTCCCAGTCCAGCCTCGGTCCTGAGTAAACAGCATCTACAAGCTGATTTGAATCTATTCCTGCAGATATGGAAAGACAGGAGTGATTTGCATGGGCCTGGACACAAATCCACTCCCACTCCCTCTCCTTGGGTATCTCTGCTTCCTTCTACAACATTGTGGTTTTGGTTTGGTGTTGTTGAGTCAAGATGCCAGGAACACCAGCTGCTCCGTTATTAGTAAAACATAAACGACTATAATTTATCCCAGCAGCTTGGGACCAAAAAAACAATGGTTGCTTTTTATTTTGTCCTTTTATCCTCCGGCAATAGTTGCTATTGATTTATTTGTTTGTGCACCAACCCACTCACTATACATCACCCTTCCCTTTAGCCTCTGTGAGATCAGCTCTTGTGTCTGCTCAAAATCCTGGGAAAGAAACAAAAGTGTCTCAGTCAGAGGAGTCCGGATTATTTACCTTTGCAGATTAAAGAGGCCCTCCTCAGATTAAACACTGCGTCTGATTGGCTGCTCAGAGCGCTTCAGCCAAAGAGGAGAGGAATGTGGAGGATCTCATAAAAACACAAACGTTTGAGGAACAAGCTCGGCAGCCTCACACACACACACACACATCGGCGGATCTGCATGTCAGCAGCCTCCTGAGAAGCAGATGTGCCACTTGTGACCGACAGAAAGACAGAAACAGGGAAGTGAAAGTCAGAGATGAGTCTTAAAATGAAGTGACGAATCATGACCTGAAAGAGAATTTAACTGGAATAAACCCGCACTGACGCACAGGAAACTTTAATTTATGAAAATCTAGAGCTGAAGGTGCTCCGGAGTAACTTCTAAAAAAAAGAGATCACTTCCTGTCTGGTCACATGAGGATCATAAACTATCTGGATGTGGTTGATTTACCGTAGGGGGAAGATCTGCAAGACTGTAGAAATACATTTACTGGAAACCTTTGTTGACTATTTTCAACATTTTATTGCTCTTTACTATAGTAAATACAGTCTGACTCGTTTTTGTTTGAATCTGGATAATATAGGGTTATAAGTTGGTAGTTTTGTTTATTAAAATGAGACAAAATAGTCCTGTTTCTTGTTTTTCGTTGTCTGCCACACCTCACTCATGACCTCTGATCTTCCCGATGATCTACAGCCTCTGTTTTGATCTGACACTCTTCCTCTCTTGACTTTTTCAGACCATTTTGACCTATTTTGTCTCAGCTGATCTGTCTGTGCTGATTTAATCTTTATCTGTCACTTTTATTTGCATTAAACTATGAAATGTGTTTCATAAATAAAGTGCAGTACTGTTTCCACATCTGCTCCTTTCGGTTAATTAACACAGAACATCTGGATTATTGTTTCTGCTCATTGCTCATCTGCAGCTACATTTTATACAGCACAATTTTGCACACTCCAGTTACTGCGTCTGACATGAATAAGCTGCATTGTTTATGTTTTATTACTTTTCCTGCAGAACTCTATCAATGCGCACAAAAGATTTTTTTTTTATTCAGGAGGTGGACTCTTCTACTACAAAGCCATGCTGTTGGAATCCCTGAAGAATGTGGTTTGTCATTGTCTTGCTGTAAAATGAAGGTCTTCGCTAAAAAGTGATAAAAATATCATAGTATAGTATGATAAAAAATCATTAAAATGTGATAAAAATGTCATAGTATGGTATGATAAAAATATAGTGCAGTATGATTAAAAAAAAAAATTTGTATGAAAAAAAATTCAAAGTATAGTATGATAAAAAAAAAATCCAATTTCAATATAAAAAATTTCATAGCAAAGTATGTGAAAAATGACATAGTATATAGTGTGATACAAAAATTCAATTTTGGTATGAAAAAAAATGTCATGGTATAGAATGTTAAAATATGTAATAGTATAGTATGAAAAAAAATTCACATTTTGGTATGTTAAAAATGTCATAGTATAGAATAATTAAAAAATTCCAATTTTGGTATGAAAAAAAGGCCTTGGCATTGTATCTTAAAAAAATGTCATAGTATAGTATGATAAAAAAAAAATGGTATAAAAAAAAATTCCATAGTATAGTTTGTTTAAAAAATGCCATAGTGTAGTATGATGAAATTTCAACTTTTGGTGATAAAAAAAATATCATAGTTATGTATGCCAAAAAATTTCAAATTATGGTGTCAAAAATGGCATAGTATAGTATGTAAAAAAAATCCATAGTATAGTATGTTTAAAAAATGCCATAGTGTAGTATGATGAAATTTTAACTTTTGGTGATAAAAAATTATCATAGTTATGTATGTCAAAAAAATTCAAATTATGGTGTCAAAAATGTCATAGTATAGTATGTTAAAAAATGCTATAGTATAATATAATAAAAAAAAAATTTGGTATGACAAAAAAAAGGTCATAGTATAGTATGTTAAAAAATGTCATAGTGTAGTATGTTAAAAATTGTTTTAGCATAGTGTATTAAAAAAGAATTCAAACTACGGTATCAAATACAATTTCCTTGTATAGTATGTTAAAAATGTCATAGTATAGTATGATAAAAAAAAATTGGGTTTAAAAAAAAAATGCCATAGTATAGTATGTTTAAAAAATGCCATAGTGTAGTATGATGAAATTTCAACTTTTGGTGATAAAAAAATATCAGTTATGTATGTCAAAAAAATTCAAATTATGGTGTCAAAAATGGCATAGTATAGTATGTAAAAAAATGTTATAGTATAATATAATAAAAAAAAAAATTGGTATGACAAAAAAAGGTCATAGTATAGTATGTTAAAAAATGTCATAGTATAGTATGTTTAAAAAATTCCCATTTTGGTATGAAGAAAAATGTCATAGTGTAGTATGTTAAGAATGTCATAGGATAGTATGTGAAAAAAAATCAGATTATGGAAACAAATAAAATTACTTGTATGGTATGTTCAAAAATGTCATAGTATAGTATGATAAAGAAAATTCAAATTTTGGTATAAAAATGTCATAGTATAGTATGTTAAAAAAATGTCATAGTGTAGTATGATGAAATTTCAACTTTTGGTAAAAAAAAATGTCATAGTATAGTATGTTAAAGAAAATACAAATTCTGGTGTAAAAAATCTCATAGTATAGTATATCAAAAAATGTCATAGAATAGTATAGTTAACACTCAAATTTTGGTATGAAAAATATATCATAGTATAGTATGCTAAAACAATGTTATAGTTTAGTTTGAAAAAAAAAACAATTTTGGTATAAAAAAACATCATAGTATAGTATGTTAAAAAATGACATTGGATTGTATGATAACAAAAACTCCGATTTGGGTATTAAAAAAAATGTCATAGTTTAGTATGTTTAAAAATGTCATAGTATAGTATGATTAAAACTTAAATCTTGGTATGAAAAAAATATCATAGTATAGTATGTTAAAAAATGTCATGGTGTAGTATAATTAAAAAATTCAATTTTGGTATGAAAAATTGTTGTAGTGTAGTATGTTAAATAATGACCTAGTATAGTTTGAAAAAAAATTCAAATTTTGGTATAAGAAACAGGTCATAGTATAGTTTGATAAAAGGTTCTACTGTGACATGGTAGCACTGTGGTGTAATGGTTACCACTGTCACTTTACAGCAAGAAGGTGCTGGGTTTGAATCCCCTCCGGGTTTAGGATGACAAAGATAAAGTATATTACTTAAAAAATCCATGGTATTGTGAGATGAAAAATTATAATGTTGGTATGAAAATAAAATGTCATAGAATATTATTTTAAAAAAAAGTCATAGTAAAGTATGTTTAATGATGTCATAGCATAGTATGATAAAAAAAAAAATCAAGTTTTGGTATGGAAAAAATGTCATAGTATAGTATGTTAAAAAATTTCATAGTATAGTATGATAAAAATGTCAGTAAAGTATGATAAAAATGTCAGTACAGTATGATGAAAATTTCATATTATTGTATGATAAAAAATGTCAATGTTTAGTATGTTAAAAATTCATATAAAATTTGATTAAAATGTAATAGTATATTATGATAAAAATGCTATATAGTATGATAAAAATATCATAATATAATAAGATAAACAGAATAGTTTGATATGAATATCGTAGAATAATATGATAAAGATATCATATTATTATATGAGAAAAATACCATTGTTTAGTTTGATAAAAGTATTATTGTATAGTATGATAAAATGTCATAGTATAGTATGAAGAAAGGCATAGTATAGTATGATAATAATATCTTAGTATAGTATGATAAAAATGTCATAGTATAATATGAAAAATGTCATTATATAGTGTCTGGATGGCAGCAGATGTTGCTCCTATACCTTTAGATATTGTTCAGCATTAATGGAGCCTTCACAGATGTGGAAGATACCCATTACATGGACTCTGATTATCCCTATACCATCATGGGTGCTGGTTCTGAGTTGCTCACTAATAACAAACTTGGTGGTCCTTTCTGCTCTTCAGCAGAGGTCGTGGTGTCACCTCCGTCCGCCTTAAATGAGCTCGGGCCCAGAGAAGTTCCCTACATCATGTTTCGACTGGGTTTCCTCTGCAGCTTCAAACAGATCATTCATTTTAGAAGCAATTTTGAGCCTATGCAGTGATTTCTACTACAGAGTCAGTGTCGCATGACTTCTTGGAGATCACATCTGTCCAGTCTTGGTTTTTGGTTCTTGCCTCTTTTGTGCAGAGTGTTGTTATTGCTCTGAAACTGTTGGACTGTTGGAGATTTATCCAACCCAGTTACTTTACTAACCTGCTGAATATTAATGAAATAAATTAGGAGATCTTCCTCTCAGTGCTTTTTGAAGCATGGAACAACATTTTCCAGAGTTTTATTTTCCATGTCCAAACTTTTTTGAAACATGTTGCTGGTATTAAACTAAAATGAGCAAATATCATTCAGCATTTGCACTATTTTCAGTAAAATAAAGGGTTTTAGTGATTCACAAATCATCAAAATCTGTTTTTATTGACATTTCATAGAGTCTAGTCTATTTTTGGAATAAAGGATGTGTTTAATTGACTTTTTTGGCTGCATGGTTACTTCTGTAGCCTTAATTTTCTGTAGTTTTGGCTCATTTATTTGTTCATCTTTTGGATTTTTTGCCTGTAAATGTCTTTAAATAAATATTTTCCAGTCTAGGTTTGTGTCTGTGTCTTAATCCTAAAGTACAGTTGAGATCCAGCTGAAGGATTTAAAACACACCCTCCTCCTCCTCCTCTTCTTCTTTCACACACACTCCTCCTATTGAGGACAGCAGACCAGCATGTTGACCTGCAGGATTTGACCTGATTGAGTTGAACCTGCACTGTTTACACAGACTGTAAACCAACTGCATCCTCCAGTGTGAATATATATCACTCTTCTTCTGCGTTTTTCCTTCTTTTATATCAGTGAATTCAGTTTAGAGCTCCTAAAAATGAACCAAAACAGCTTCTTTCTGAGGGAGTTTGGAGAAAAAACAGCTGATGGTGAAAAAGAAAAGTTATTATTTTACCTTCCATGACTTCTCGGTGGTGGAGCAGAGACGCACTACGACATTCAAACCCCATCAGTCCTGCAAACATCTTCTAATCAGTCAAAAACAATCTGTTTATATCCGAAAGTTTGTCAGATCCCGGCTCTTCTCGGAGTCACATCGACCATGTTTCAGGATCCAGGCTGTGGGGCTGATCTCATTTCCGTTGTGGAAAAATGAACCCAGTCTGTTATTGTCCTTCTTACAGTAGAGACCGGCTTTTTCCGCACATTTCCTCACCAAAGTTTAGACGCTTTAACTCCAGATTGTGACATTTCTCCTCCGAGGAAAACAAGCGAGTCCAGCTGTGCGTCAAGATGCCGTCTGAAAGGATCGGAGAAGCTGCTCTTTAGGACAAGATTCTGAAGGAACAAAACAAGATAAATATCCGATTTAAGGAGGGAGGATATCGATCAATTTGTGGCTAATCGATGAGTCGATCGGCAGTCCGTTATTCGCTGCGTCGTGCGTCGTGTTTGGGGCAGCGCGAGGAGCTCCTACGTGTTCAGGAATTTGACTCGAGACTCTTCAGACCGCCTCGCGCCCACAGAGAGCGAGAGAGAGAGAGAGAGAGAGAGAGAGAGAGAGAGAGAGAGAGAGAGAGAGAGAAACAGTGGGAGAGGGGGAGAGAGAGAGAGAGAGAGAGAGAAAGGGGGAGGCACAGAGAGAGAAAGAGAGAGAGAAACACAGACAGAGAGGGAGAGAGAGAAAGAGAAACAGACAGAGAGAGAGAGAGAGAGAGGGGGGTGTGTGTGGCTACACTTAGATTTAAATGTTTACATCAATAAGTGTGAAACGGAAAAAAAATGTGATCATTAAAATATGTAAATTTCTCACCTTCATTCAGGGCCGTGTCTAGACTCTGAGACTGTGGGGGCTCAAACCAAAGCAGGGGTGGAATAAAATATATGTGTGCACAGTCACATTTACTATTTCTGTCCAGAAAAAAATGCATTTTTTTTCATTAGGGCGGCAGTAGCTCAGGAGGTAGAGCGGTCAGCCAATAACTGTAAGGTTGAAGGCTCGAGTCCCACCCTATCCCTAGTCTGTCCATTGTGTCCTTGGGCAAGACACTTAACTCACCTGCTCCCAGTGTGTGTCCTCCACTGGTGTATGATTGAGAGTGTTGTGTGGCTGTGTTGATCACAGACATATAGAGGTGAACGACCATCCATGCTCACATTCACAGGCAATTTGAAAGTAACCAACTAACCTTACCCCACATCCACATGTTTTTGGGATGCTGGAGGGAACTGTAGTGAACCCACACAGAAACACTCTGACCCGGATTCGAACCCAGGACCTTCTTGCTGTGAGGCAACAGTGCTGACCACTACACCACTGTGCCGCCTGAAAGCTGATTCATTCCTCTTATTCAGACACATTTTCTGCTTTGTTGCCGTTATACGTTGACATATCTGTCTATTAGATTGTAGATAGAACTCAGTCAGGATTCACCGTGGAGGGTTAGAGAAAGAGAGAGAGAGAGAGAGAGAGAGAGAGAGAGGATTAAAATCCACAGGTGTGCTGCAGAGTGACATCGTTACCTGTTTTAAGGTTTTAAAGATTAGAAGCTCTTAATGTCTGCAGGTCTCAGGACTAAATACAGTTTCCTCATTTTTTAAATCAACACTTTGGCTTCAGTCTGATTCTGGAAAAACAACAACAAACCTTTAAATCATGTGTTTACTATTTGTTTTTTAATTACATTTGACAATCAGCCTTTAAAAGAGTAGCAAAATTCAGCAGCACCAAAGTTGAGCAGAATCAGAAGTACTTAATACAACAATAATAATATTATAATGAGAATAAAAAGGGGGAAATGAAAATAGGACAACTAGCATTGATGATTTAACAAATATATATTTAAAACAAATTAAACACAAAAAAGAGAATTAAAACTTGCACATTTGTATGAACTCAGATTCCTACTTTTTAAATGTAGTATCCGTCTTCTACCAGCAGGTGTCAGGCTTCAACCATATTACTGTACGTTGGTTTCATTCCAGTCACTGCTTTTGGTTTAATCACTTTAAACATCAATAAATATAAATAAAGAAATTATAATTGTAACATTTTTGTAAGAGGTTATTCAATTCTATATTTAGACTCACTTTTCCATTTTAAATCTTTATTTATTTATTTGCAATATTTTTTAATCATTAGTCATTTCTCACAGACTGCATTCACAATCTTAAAGTTGGATAACTGAACATATTTGTGGACATGATTTTTTTCTTTATTCTATCATCTTTATGATTTATTGCTCTTTAAAATGGTTTTGAGCCAGAATGGTCCATGTAATACAGATCTTAGCCACCAGGTGGCAGACATGAACTGCTTTCTCATCTTTTCTCTCACCGTCCGTTGATCGGGGGCAAGAGGTGAGAAATAAACAATGGATTGTTTTCTAAAAATTAAATTAAGAAAAAAAAAATATATATATATACATGTATGACTGAAAATTTTCTCATAAATTATACAATGGAAGAGTTGAATTTAATCCCAAAGCACAAAATTAGGACTGTAAAATGAGCAAGAATACTTTCAAGAGATATACCTGTAGTGTTTTGTAAATTGTTGATACTAGGTGCTGCTTTTTTAGTTATTGAAAATTGAAATATTCTATAAAATTACCAACACTCCAGTTTAATGCTCTGTTATGGATAAACAGTACAATACATGACAGGTGCTAAAATAATAAAATGCAGGATTTAGTGCAAAACTGCTGCTGAACAGAGTGAAAGCTGCAAAATCTGCACATAGGTAATCTTTTGGTAGTTTGATTAATTTACAAATATGTCAGACTTCATCTTTTATTAAATCTTCCCATTAAAAAAAAATATTTCTGACAATGAGTGCATTGCTCTGAGGTTATCTATATACTCTCTCACAAACATGAATGTTTAAAGTTAATATGAGATGGTAAACACACAGTAGTAAACTCTAATTTTTTAACCTTATTGGTCCAAATCCAAGACAGAAGTTTTTCTCCAGATGTGTCTTAAAACCGGGGTTTAGTAGTAACTTTAGTTAACCGTAGTATAGTTGTCTATTGACCAATCAGAGGCTGTGTCTGCGGTCAGCTAATCTAAAGTGGGCCAATGAGAAGATAAAAACAGACTTTACAGCTGTTTGAGAAAAAACTATTAACAATATCCACAGTGATTTATGTAAGGGGTATATTAAAAAATCAATTAAAATCTATATATTAAATCTATATTAAAAGCTCTATTTTTAATATATTTGCTTAGTTTTAGTCTCCTTTCACTGGTTATTTTATCCTCTTCGCATTTGTTTTCATTAAACCCTTCACTGACAATATTTATTCAGTTTGTCCCTTTTGTAGTTACTTCATAACCTTCTCTGAGTGTATTTTAAGTTGGATCTGTGCTTTTTCTGGACACTAACACTATCATTTTTTATCTTTATTTAAACTTTTTTATTAAAAATGTTATTAGATGAGTCTGTTGTTGTTGTTTTCTAATTAAAATAACTTTCTATGTAAATAAAAAGTTCAGTCTCCGAAAAGTTAACCTCGAAAGGGTCAATCCAGTAGCTGCTGTGTTTGCGGCTGTGGGATCGCTTAAAAATGGTAGCACAAGGAGGCACTGGGTGTGTGTGTGTGTGAGTGAGCGAGTGAGTGCCAGCAGCTCTGCCAGTGAATAGAGAATAGGCACGTACAACGTACAAGGGTCACGTTTCTGCTGCACAGTCTGCAGAGAGTGCAGGCAGCCTGTGGTTCTACCTTAGATTATCTGTGTGTGATAGAGAGGGGGGGGTTAGAGGGGCGGCAGAAAGAGGAGAATAAAATAAACACACACACTCACTCACTCTCACACACACACACACACACACTTACTATCAAAGCAGCTTAAAGAGGCGAGTCTGGCAGATTTGGCACAGAACTTTTATTCATGCAGAGAAACTGAAGTCATCAGATCTTTATCACAGAATAAATCCATTGTCTATTATAACAGAGCTTTTATTGTAATAATGGAAATTTAACCCGCAAACATATCAAACATTAAAACACACACAGGATGAAACCGGAGAAAACGACAAAGAGAACATAGAAAAAAACACTGATGAGGTGTAGAAATCAAACCACCCCTTCCTCGGGGTCGATGAGCGTGCTCCGACTGGAGAAAACATCAGCCAGCATGTGTTTGGGGATCTCAGAGCCGCGGACTCGCAGGGTGTAGCAGGCGTCCTCCACCTTCCCCAGACTCTGGCGGAGCGTGTGCAGCTTCTTGGACACCTCGTAAGGTCCCGTGTTCCCGATGTAGGAGAACCCGTCGTGGATCTGCCGCAGGAACTGGCTCAGCTGGAAGGGCGTGTCGATGTCGCCGTTGCCCACGCTGCTGATGCACAACCGCATCAGCTCCCCGGTCAGGTCGGCCACGCCCAGCAGGTAGTCTGAGGGGGTCACCTGGAAGGTCAGGACCTGGGTGCCCTGGGGGGGAACTTCAGCTGAACCCTGAAGTGAAGAGATGGAGTCAGATCTACTGTGGACCTCAAAAACACCTGAGGTCATGTTTGGGTGGTACGTTAACTGGTTCAGATTTATAAACCCTGGAGTGAAGAAGCTCCCTGCTGAGAAGTGTCATCCTTGTACCTTCTCTGCTCTCATGAACACCAGTCTGGCGTTGATCTCTTCCAGGCTGATGAGGCTGCGGTGTCGGACGTAATGAAGGAACGAGACGGCCTCTACGTACTCCTGGATACCTGATTCATGAAAGAGACGGAGAAAATATGAACATTAGACAAAGAGAAAAACATTTAAATATCCTACTGGAGCAGCTGCATTTTTATTATTTAATGATTTTTATCATTATTAGTATCAATATATCAGTTTTTAATCAACACATGCAGCTCAAAGTGTCATGTCTATATTAGATTTTTGCAGATCTCTGATATGCCGATATTTTCTGACTAACTTAGGCTGGTTATTAAAATGAACGCATGTTACATCTGCAAGAATTTTATATCTACAGATATAAGCTATTATCTTCTGACACAGATATCTTTTTGGTATTGTTGTGCAACTCAAAATTTTAGGGGTGGGAGAAAAAAATCGATTTACATAAGTATCGTGATCTTTTGTTTTAAAACCTTTTAAATTGATTTTTATGTTCAAAAAACTTTTTTTTTTTTCAAATTTAAGAATAAATCTTAAAAACTGACTCACATGTGATGTGTACTTTTAGGGGAAATATGGTTCCTGGAGTAGTCAGTAGACAGTCATACTGTATGGAAGTAAATCTGTGCCATCTGATTTTGAATTTGAATTTCTAAAGTTGAATTGTGAAAAAATAAGTGTCAGAAATAAAAATGCATGCTTGAAATTCAAAGTTTGATTTTGATGCAAAAAAATTCAGCTTTAGAAATTCAAATTCAAAATCAGATTTACTCCCACAATAATCATTCAACTGTTACACTGGTGTTAAAATTGCAGACTAAAAATCGACAATAAAATCAACAATATCGTAGAATCGCAATTCGACATCCCAAAAATCGTAGAAGAATCAAATCAGGAGAAAAGCATATGGTCCCAGCCCTACTAAATTTCCTTCAAACTGAAGCTCTGTCCCTGCAGTCCAGCTGGTCTCTCCTGCTGTAACCCTTCAGTTCATTCATTTAGAGTTCAATTAAGTCAACGGTAATACTCCGAGTTCATAGCTGAGGTCCTTCGACTACATTAAAGCTATTGTGAGGATTTTATCTGATCAACAGGACAATTCAAAGCACGCTGCAGAAACACTTGTGATATAAAAGGAGCGACAGATTTAAGAATAGTAACAGTGTGTTTAAAGAGTCCACGGTGTCTGCACACTAGTACAGATCACAGATGCAGATAATGATTCAAATAAAACCTGTTTCCTCTCACTGTCTTCATCGAACAACAGTCGCCATTTTTTTCTGTATTGGGCTGAGATGACCCCTCGTTTGTTTTCTGGCCCTGAGCAAACAACAATCAAATAATCACAGGACGGAAGACTTTGTGTCTGAAGTTTGCTTTCAGAGCTGCACTCCGACTTCAAAGCGGCTCGTATCTCTGCGGAGCTCGCCGCAGAGCGCTGCAGAGAGCGGAGGAGGAGGAGGAGGAGGAGGAGGAGAGCAGGGACCATCTCTGCAGCTCTCTGGATCACTTTCACTCTTTTTAGACCAAACTGCAGCAGGATTCACAAACCCAGTGGACCGGGCGACTGTTCTGGTTAGAAACTGAACAGCTCATGAACATTTCCTCACTAAGTAAAAGCAGCTCAGTCACTTCAGGAGAGATTTTTGTATTTTTAATTCAGCACTGCTTAAATAAATGTTTTTATTCTTCTCTGCTGCTTGTAAGTCAACTTGATTTCACATTCACAGCACGTCTATGTTGGTTTTAGCTGAGCTAACAACACAGCTCTCTTTGTACGCAGAGGGAAGTACAGTGCGTTGTGTGCACAGACAGTATAAATAACTGATGAAGTAACCAAGACGTCACCCGTTTGTTTGTTGACTGTCTTTTTGAAGCCTGGAGTTTGGCTATTTTGCTGTGCCAGGGTTTTCAGGAGCCTCAAGTGACTTTATCAGGATGATAGGCTGAAGCACAGACACAGATAACTGCTTATTAATGCTTTAAATAAAAATAAAACAATGTTTGAATTTAACTGAGTGTAAAAAATGGACACCAGTCTTATCTAGATTAAAAACTTGACATTCACAGCCCAGAGGTAAAGTTCAAACACTGATTTAGCTGAGGTAACACCTAGCAGACAACAAGCAGCTCCCACCTGTCACTCAAAGAGACCACGCCCCTAATTACACGCATTTAAAAATATTTAATGTAGACATAGTAGTAAAACACACACAGAAAAATAATAATTTCAAAGTTGTCACGAATAGAAAAGTTAGTTAGAGAGATCAAAACGTTTTTGTACTTTGGGCTTAATGGGGGTGATTCTCTTTTGGAGCCACCATCTAGTGGAGATTTGAGGAACTGCAGTTCCTGGCACTTTCTTACTAGTTTATTTTCCTGACTTTTAGTTTGTTCAATTTGCTTTTTTCATTTTGGACTGAACAAATTTGTTTTCCTAAACATAAAGTAATTCTTGGTGCCCAAACTCAGCAAAGCTACATTTATTTGATTTATTATAGTAACCACGTCAAGTTTTTGAGGTTAAGTTTAAAAAAAATACCTGAAACAGTTTAAAAAAGGTGGTAGTCTGGATAAAAAATATGATTTAATGTGGTATTAACAAACCCGATGGTGTTGTTTGCTTCTGTAAACTAAGAGAAGACCTCAATATCAGTATGAGTCTGTTTTAAGATCATTCAAAAACTCCTCACAGGAGCTTTAAGTTGATACAGATTTACATTGTTAAAAAAAAGATGCATTTTACTGTTGAACTTTTTGCTCTTTAATCGATTTTTACTCCTGTTTTTATGATACTTAGAGCTCTTGTGAGGAACCGATATTCTTAGTAGTGATTGTCACAAAAATCATCCTGACTTTGGACAATTAAATTTTGAATATGTTATGTAGACATTGTAAAAACTGGGCTTTCTTTTCATTAAGTTGCTCGTGTTACACCAACCCCCTCGCACTGGTTTCAGACTTAAAACCTTCGATGTAAAAAATCCTAAATCTTGTCACTGATGGTCTCGTTTACATCTAGAAAAGGTATCAATATGAATTTAGTCTGTTTCATTAAAACTTCTTATAGGAGCTTTAAGTTTTCCAGCCTTAACCCTGACTCGGTGACTCTGTGAGAACCTGACTCTGTTTCTAGAAAATGATAACTGCAGCTCCACAGCTGTGACCATGTTTCAGAGAGAATACACCAGCAGTGTTCGGGGCGGACAGGATATGACATGAAAAGGTTACACAGGCTTTGAGGCAGCAGGCGGAGTTCAGTTCCTGAGTTTACTGCCAGGAGCGGCTCGTGTTTACTCTGAGGCAGAAGCTACCTTTGGTCACTGAGACCCTGAAAGAAATATTTTACATCTAAACAATGACTCGAGGAAAACCCACCGGAAAATTCAAGATGTTATTGGTACAGCAGGTTGGAAAAGTCAAAGGCTGAGCGTGTGTTTGCATGGTAGCACATGAACGGTTGTCATGTCGTAGTAGACAGTGAGCTTAATGTTTGACCACAGAGCAGGACACTGAGTTGCAGGTGAACCCTGGGAAAAAAGCTCCACCAGTACATTATGTCCAGGGTGTTTCATGGCAGCTAGCTGGGTCAAGCTAAAGAGCTTTTCAAAGAGCCGCGCTGCCCTGTTATCAACGGCAATTACGTTCAGATATAGCCCTCAGTATCTTTAAAGTAGCTTTTATAAGAAGAGCAGAGCCATTACACATGCCTGGAGACTTCACGTCCAGCCAAGTTTATCTGCAGAGCCTGTGCAGCGGGCCCAGACTCAATCTAATAAAGATGATAAAAATGGAAAAAAATGAAGCGTCTAATTGTTGGGAACTGCCACTGGTCACGTCGCGGAGGATGCAGCGGTGATTCCTGAGTGACCACAATCTAAAAATGACTTCCCCAGCTGCCAGATAACAGCTCAGCCTCGTTCACAGTAATGTTTTCCTCCAAACTCTGCAGACATTTCGGCTACGCTAACAAACACTGATAGAGATGCTGGAGGGAAAACATGTTTATCAGAGGGTGTGTCTATCAGATCACGGCCTGCATCAAGGTCACGCTCTCACACCAACAGGGACTTTACCAAACATCTGAAGCACAAATAACAACAACACGTACTACACAAACACAAACAATACAACATCACCTACATACAAACAAACAATAATATAGAAACCTAGATCCATACGAGAAATGATTGATAGATAGATAGATAGATAGATAGATAGATAGATAGATAGATAGATAGATAGATAGATAGATAGATAGAGCGTATAACAATGTCTTGCTCATTTGACAAATTAACACACTAATAAACAAAAAACAGCAAATATCTGAAGTTTTTGCGTTAAATAGATTCATTACTTCTTATTTTTAACGAGGGTTGGGAATCACTAGTGGCCCCACGATACGGTATTTTTGCGATTTTTAACATTTTGCAATACAGTGAGTATTTTGATACAATATATTGCTATTTATAAATGTTTAGCTAATTTAGCATTTGGCTTTCCTTTGTTTGTCTTATGTACACTGTTTCTTTTTTTCATGCAAACCTTAAAAAAAAATATATATATATATTTGTTGTACTAATTTTCTCCTGCTGTATCCTCTGCCAACCTCAGTAGAAAAACAGTTGATTCTATTTTTTCCATTATCATAGATTTATCTTCATATTAGCAATTAATTTGAAAAATCGATACTTGGTTAATGAGACGATACAACATATCACCAGACAAAATATCACGATACTATACTGTATCGATTTTTTCTCCCACCCCTATTTTTAACATTGTGTGTTTATAGAGAAATGATCTGATTAAACTGTTTTCGTACGGGACAGTAAACATGTTTATTTTTGTGGGATGAGTGTGTATGTGGTTTCTGGTGCTGTTGCTGCCAGCCCCAAGTGGACACACGAAGAACTGCAGTTTTTAGCACTTCTGCATCCTATCTACATTACTCAAGTTAAAAGGCTGCCTTTAAACTTGAGCGAGTGTCAACAGTGTTAAGTAATATTCACAGTAAGTGATTGGGGCGGATTTGTGGTCAACCAGGGATTTAACCCCTGACCTTTTAAACTGAGAGAAGACAGACTCTCCCTGTGAGCCACTTGCCCAAAACCAGGAAACTGTAAAATTCTGACAAACAAAGGTTTTAAAATATTTTCAAATCATCTAAATTTGTTTTCAGCGATGTTTTCCACAGTGCCATAACTCTATTGAAACTGGGGTTTGGATTCAATAGTAAAAAAACATTCATATTATTTTTTTATTTTTTTGGCAACAGTATGCTGACTGTTTTTTTTCCTGAATAACTTAACTTACAGTTTGTTACATCCACACTTATACAACATGTAAAAAACACTGCAGTTATACTGGGCAAATAAAGAAAAGATTTACAGAAACTGACCTGGTGTGAAAGCTCTGTGAAACTGATGGATGTCCTCTCCTTGCAGCTCTTCAGCAATCTGACCGATTTTCTGCCGAACTCCATCCAGTTTCACGTCTGCCTCCTTCAGGATCTCCTCTGCGTCTGGTACACTTTTAAATCCAGAGACAGGAGAAAGTAAAACATTATTAATGTACGTTTTCCAGTATTTTAAGTTGGTCTTCAAATCGTTAGAGTCATATTTTTTTATTTTTTCGACAGACAGAAATTTATAATTATTTCTGAACATTTCAATTAATGTTAAATGTCTTTATTATACTTCTCCTTCAAACATTTAAACACTGTTGCACACTGACCTAAAGATTTATGCCGTGGGAGTGTTTTTACTGATGCTCATTATACCAACAGCTTTTTAGTACTACTTTTTGGTAAAAATCATGAGCTCTCTTCAAGCTCCTTTAAAACAGAAAAACAGATCCACTAAAATGGAGCTAAAGCTTAAATGTAATAAAAAAAAATACAACTATTTTCCTGTGTAAACTGTATCAAATCAATAAATTTACCTGGTGACTCTGTGTAAAAGAAAAATAGTCCTCTTGCTCTCGATTGTGACGTCTCGACTGAGTTTAACAAGGCGCTCATATTTGTCATGTTTGGTGTCCAACTCCTGCTGGAAAACTGAAAATAAAGAAACAAGGGTCTATTATATATTCTGTTTTGAACTGAAAATACAAAAACAAACACTATTTTTATATTTTTGGGTTATACAGAAAAACAACTACACAAAATATTAACTCGTTTTTTCGTTTACTAGATTGAATGGAATAATTGAATGGATGGATAACACATGGACCATGTTTTTACCTCTGAAAGCAGCGATTACAGGTGAGGAGGGGTTGGTGCTGACAACCTTATCCTGCGCTGCTTCACTGTGTCTCTGGGAACCTCTGTCACCTGGAGGGACGGCAGAGAAGGAGACATTAGGCTTGGAGCAACACATGCTGCCATCCAGACAATGACTTTTCTAATGAGGACTTTGCATATTTCAGTATTCTGCAGATTAAAGCAGCAGTATCATGGCTCTGTAGTAGAAGAGTCCTGCTGATAAACTGGCCTCTCTGCAGTCCTGACTTGTCACCCCTTGAAACAGTTGATGCATTATGAAACATGAAACTAGCAGTTTAAACGAAGATAATTCCATTTTTATAACCATAATTTTCTAGTAACAGCTGAATAATACATGCAGGCTTTAAACTGTTAGTTTTAGCTCTTAAGTTGTTGGTTTTTTGAGTTATTTCCAAACAGTTGGCATTAACGAACAAGGTTTTTTCTATTTAATCGAAAGCTAGGCTTACCTTCACGCTTATTCATGCCTCCAGTGTCAAGATTCGTGTCCTTTTGCGAATTAAATGTTTAATTTAACGAGTTTGAGCTGTTTTGTTTGATTTTCGTTGTTTCGATCGAATTCTCCGTACTGCTGACCAAGTCTATCGAGGAGCACTACTTTACATTTGCCAAAGATTATCGAGTCTAATAAAGAAAACAGCTCATAACCATCTTACATTTATTATGAATCTGCAGGGTAAAGTCCAAACGGCTTTAAACGTGAAATAAACCGCGTTTGCTACTAAAAGCGACAGGCACTCATGATGCGATCCTCGTTCAAAAGGGTCTTTCGCGCACCTTGAACGCGTACAAGAAGAAGTGCATCATGGGAGATGTAGTCAAACAGCACAATGTTGCTTCACAATAATTCTAAGCCAAAACAAGTCATGTTGGGGGTTTTAGTTTGATTTTCATGGCAAAAATATTCACGGTAGGGCTACAAAAAAAAGGTTAAAAATTTAAGAGGAGAGTTTGATTTAAAACATCTATAAAAACTCAAACTCAGAAAAACAAACACACCTGAGTTTAGCCTTCATGTGGATATATTAACGGGCAGTAATAAAACAAGAAGAAAGTAAACAGAAAATGTAAACATATGACCTTTTTTTTGCTTCTTACTTGTGTGTTTTAGCCTGTGTAGTTTGGCCCAAAGTTTTGATTATAGTTAGACACTGAAATTTTCATTTTTAAAAACTATTTAATACTTAAAAGGGCAGGACAGGGACAAATATGCTTTTTCCATCCTTCTCCTTCCTTCCTGTTTTCTCTATAGGCTATTGAATGTTTACTGTATCAACCACTGAGTTACTTATGGATTTATTTTAAATTTTGTGATCAAATTTTGGATTTCAATCGGAGGGGAGTGGACTGAAGAGGCTGCTGATTGGAGCGCTCGGGGGCAGACACGCGCGTTCATTCTGTAGACACTTTGTTAGGGAGATCTGTGTGTGTGTTAATTGCTGCTGAGGCGACATTGGGTATTTCTTTTATCGTCTTGTAAAGGACTAGGATGCTGCTTACCATTCGATCGTTTAAACTGCTGGTTGAGTTAATTTGATGAAGTGATTTTGGTTTCTTCACTCTAGTTTAGAGTCGTCTTTTGTTGCATTTGTTTGTTTCTTTGAGCAGTACTCCATATTCCTCTGTTTTTCGCCTCAAACTAATGTTGGAACAGCACTTTTTTATTTATTTTGCAATTACAACAACAACTAAACCGGGTTTTATGTCACGTCCTTTCCCTTCCCGAGCTGGGTTGTGACAATTTGAAACAAAAAAGATTGATGTGAGAGTTTCTCCGATATTTTTCTTGATGACTAAGAGTGCGACTTTGATTTGGATCCCTAAAAAATTTGGACGCCATGTACGGTTGGCATGATGACTCAGGACTGCAGACAGGCCAATTTAGCAGAAGGACTCTTCTACTACTGAGCCATACTGTTGTAAGCCTCGAAGAATGTGCTTTGTTATTGTCTTGCTGAAATATGAAGGTGAAGACTTCCACTTCAGCGTTATGTCCGAAGGCCTAAAGATCAGGTCCATTCAGGATTCTTTTTAAGGCCTTTTCTCTTTTGCACAGACATTTTTCCAGATTTTCTGACTCTTTTACTGATATTTTGTACTCTAGATGATTAAATGTCAAAGTTATTTACCATCTTCAGGCTGAGGGACATGATTCTGATACTGTCAAACAGTTTTCTCTCACAGAGTGGTGAACATCTTCCCACATTTGGAGACTTAACTCCTCTGAAATGTCAGTTTTATACCCAAGTTGGGTAAACTGCACTTTGTGTTGTTGTTTTACAACTTTATCAGAGTTTTGGTGCTCCTGTCCCAACTTTTTAAAAATGCCTGTTGCCAGTATTACATTTTAAACGAACATGTTTTTAATTAACAATCACATTTTCAGTTCCGACATTTGATATTCTGTCTTTACAGTATTTTCAGTCAAACATGGGGTATGTACGGTGGCCGCGAACTGCCACTGCTGCAAATAAAAAAGAATGCAAAAAAAAGAAGTCACAACAGAAGTGACTGATGCAACAAAAAAAGAAACCAAAGCTTGCTGCAAATTAAAAAAGAAACTGCACTTTGGTTTCTTTTCTTTCTTTTTTTTTTGCACTGGTAACTTCCCTTGTGACTTCTTTTTTTTTTTTTTTTTTTTTTGCATTCTCTTATTTGCAGCAGTGGCTGTTCTTGGCTACCGTAGCTCTGAATGATTTACAAACCATCCAAAATAATGTGCCTCTTTTTACACAGTGCCCAAACTTTTTGGCACTGTCAGTTGTTCTTATATTTCACTTTTGTTATGAAGCATACATTAAAATGCATGTCTGAGTGTTGTATGAGCTGATGATGGTCACATTGCTCTGCTAAAACGATGCAGAGCAGATTTTCCAGCGGCGCCTCTGCAGCCTGAAACACTTTCTGTTTCCACTCAAAACCACCAGAAAGCAGCCAGTCATCTGCAGTCGGCTGGTGCAGATTAGGCTGAGTCATTTGTTGCTATTAAAGTATGTTTCATTTCAAACCTTTGTTGATCAGATTACTCGCTGCTCCCCTGTAACCCCTCCTCCAGGGACTCCTGCAGACTGTGTACGTGCCACACGACTGGTGCCAACTTCGGCTCGAGCTTTGCATCTGCACAGCACACCGCCTGTCACTCAAACAGCCGGTTCACCTATTGGAGTGAGGAGTGTCTGAATGCAGCTGATCACTGACACACATTCGGCGAGAAAAAAAGTCACGAAATTCCTTTAAAAATCATTTTCACGAATTAAATCCAGTGTGAGATCAAAGTCTCCTGAGACTAGAGTGCAGAGCTTCGCAAACTAACCTACGTACTAACTCATTATAACAACAGGAACCTCTTTATTCAAAATACTCTTTGTTGTGGGGAAGGAATTTCACACATGCAGGCCAGGAATGAGGGAAAAACACACTCAGGTTGACGTTGACTCGTGGTGCCTTCAGGGGCTCTTTTCAAGCTCGTACATTTTGAGATTTCCCTTTGCCGGGTTTCAGCTGCTTTTATGACATCAATACAACTACAAAAGAGTTCTCGCAGTAATTTCAAGAGACAAGTATAATTTTATAAACCAAACTACAGTCTCTCACTCTTACTAGACCTTAGATGCTGAGATGCTTGAAGGAAAAATACACTGTTTGTCATATGTAATTTCTAAAAACAGCAAAATAAGTAAGTATTTGAAATACCATGGGCTTCACTAAAATAATAAGATGCCCCATCATGTAAATAATTAGACCATTGTGTTTAATTGAAATGTTTTTTAATGAAAAACCACATTACCAACTGAAATAGTTGACTTTTTCATTCATCCATCATTATAACCTCTTAATAAACAGACTTATAGGTGACTCTTTCACTATAAGGTTTTAGTTGTACAAGAAAAAAACTACAGACACTGTGAGATCCTCAAATTATATCCTCTGAAATTGTGCATGCAGCACAAAAACTTTGAGTATAAGTTATTAACTTGAGCACAAAAGGTTCACAATTTTAACTTGTTCCCATAAAATGATAACCAGCAGAAACAATATAATTATCTTGTGGAAATTATCTTGTGGAAACAAGTAACAACCATGTGTGCACAAGTTAATAATATAAAAGTGCAAGCAAGGAAATAAGCTTGATCCCACAACATGAAAATCGTGCACAAATCTTGTGGGAACAAGCGATTTCAGATGAATATTGTGCATGTTAGAAAATGATATTTAGTTTTCCCCGTAAGATAATAACGTGTGTGCAAAATGAGGTTAATCCCTTATCTCTACAAACTTTTCCCACAAGAAATTATTCAGGTCCAAGATTACATGTACAAGAAAATAAAATACTATACAATATAAACCGTAATGATAATAACAATAAAAATTCTAACTTGCATGTATGATAATATAAAACATGAAAAAAAAATCTGTATGGAAAACAAGATTGGGCCTGCGCAAGTCTTAAAGGGATATTCTGGCATAAAATTAATTTAGGGTCAAACTCACCTTAACACCAAGTTAGACACCCCCTCGACAGATGAATGTTGCCGACTGCTTGCTTCTCTAGTTATACCAACTTTAATATTTCTCTATCATTTCCTTGAAGACAAACTAGCAACAGTGATACCTCAATTTAACTGTTTCCAAATGAATTAAAAGTTTTTAGCTTTTTTTTTTTTTTGGTCGTAACTTTTTTTGCAGCATCATGGTCACACTTTCTACTACCCCACTATTGATTTTTATTGTTTTTTCCTGCTCGTTTTTTTATTCCATTTTATCATTACTATTATAATCATTATTATTTTATTATGATTTTATTATCATTATTTTTATATTTACTATCCTGTTTCCTGCTTTTTACCCCCCTTTTAATTACATTTCTTTTTCTTACCTATTTTATGTTTTTATTTTGGTCCTTTTGGTCTCGTTTTATGTTGTTCAGTTCTCGATTGTCTGGGTTTCTTATGACAAATAAAATTGGCTTTTAATTCAGAGGCCTTGTTTTGAACTGAGCTTTTGTTTTTTTTTTATTTTAAAAATATAAAGTTATTGTTATTATTATTATTTTTTAATTATTTTTTTAAAATATTTTTTTGTTATTATTATGACATGAATTAACCGCTTCCACGTGTATTGAACTCCACTTTTCCCACAGACCATGAAGGCATCATAAGAAGAGGGGCGGTGCTTGAATTGTGACGTCAGAGCGGGCAGTACCTCAGACAGCCTGAACAGAGCTCGAGCGGCGCCATGCAGCACCGTCCGACCGACAGCTAAGACGCAGAAATGCCTCCCGGAGACCTCAACCCAGCCCGAAATGCTCGCCCCGGGTTTCCTCTCTTCGCGTTTTCTCACTGATACAAGATGTGAAGCGACAGTTAGAGGGATAAAATGGCGGAGTTTTGAGTCTGACTTTTCCGTCTCGCGCGGTGTAGCGTGGCAGAGGCAGTGGATCGTTTCCAAAGTTGTCGGTTAGCAGGGGCGCGTGTGAAGGATCGGAATTAAAGGCGCAGCGCACCTCCAACATGGAGAAGCAGCAGCAGAGCGACCTGGAGAGGGACCGGCAGTACTGTGAACTTTGTGGGAGAATGGAGAACCTCCTCAAGTGTGGCCGGTGCCGGAGCTCCTTCTACTGCAGCAAGGAGCACCAGAAACAGCACTGGAAGGAGCACAAGCTCATCTGTAAGGAGGCGGACAAGGCGCAGCACCAGAAACACAAACAACCCGAGCAAGCCGCGCCGTCCACGGACAACAAGGCACCGGAGAAACCCCGGGGGAAGATCAGCTCCGAGCAGGCGGACAGCGCGGCTTCACCACCCGCGGACTCGAACGCAGAAGCCGGGGACAAACCGGGAGAGGACGGCTCCAACGACACCGCCGCCACACCTAACGGACAAACGAGCTCGTCCCCACAGAAACTCGCCACGGAGTACATCGTCCCGAGCATGAACAAACACGGCATCTGCGTGGTGGACAACTTTTTAGGAGCAGAGACCGGGCTGGGCGTCCTGGAGAATGTCAAAGCTCTGCACAAAACCGGAAAGTTCACGGATGGACAGCTGGTGAGTCAAAAAAGCGACTCCACCAAAGACATCCGAGGGGACAAAATCACGTGGATAGAGGGGAGGGAGTCCGGCTGTGAGAAGATCCGCTTTCTAATGAGTCGTATGGACGACCTGATTAGACATTGTAATGGCAAACTGGGAAACTACACGATAAATGGAAGGACGAAAGTAAGTATGCAGCAGGTGGGAGCGCTGAACCAACACACTCTAGAGTCTCTTACACCTAAAAAGTTCCTGGGTTCAAGGGCTTATTTCTCCTGTTTTAGGAGGGAAAAGTTCACCAAGGGGTCAGAGCATTGCTGTATGGAGGCCGAGAACCGCCACTGCTGCAAATAAAAAAAAGGATGAAAAAAAAGAAGTCACAACGAAAGTTACCGATCCAAAAAGAAAAGAAACTGAAGCCTGCTGTAAATAAAAAAAAGCCACAATGGAAATTAATGACGCAAATAAAAGTGGCGATGCAAAAGGAAAAAAAAGTTACCGCATAAATAAAAGGATGCAATAAAAAGAAGTCACCATGGATTTATCTGCACTGTTTCTTTTTTTATTTGCAGTGGGCTTCTGTTTCCCACCAGTTTCATTCTGTTGCGACCTCTTTTCTTTTTTTTGCTTTCTTTTTTTATTTCCAGCAGTGGCGGTTCTCGGCCACCATATCACTGCTCCCCCTGAATTGCACCTGCAAGACCACATGATGGGTGGCTGTGGCTTCATTAAGAGAGTCTGACAGCAGTTATCCTGCACATATCTCCATTAACTCTGTCATCAACACAAGCTTTTCTGAGAAGCATCGATTTCAGCAGAGTTAGAAACATGATAATAATGAAAAATAAGAACAGACTTAAAATATACACAAATATAAAGTCTTTTTAGCTTAAATTTTAACATGACAGGTGTGAGAATAACTAGATAACTCAAAATATCATGTTACAAGGTATTTAATAAGTGGCATTAACGATTCGGGATGGTAATCGTGATCGTTTTATATATGCAAAATCGATACTGGCACTTCCAGATTGAGGTGTGGTTACTGCCCTCCAATATTTGTGGGAAAATAATGATATGGAAATATGCTGTAAGGCTAAACTTGTTTGTGCAGCGCAAAATTTAGCAAGATTCATGCATGTCAACTGAGAGCTTTACTTGCCACGAGTGATTTTCATCCTTATTTTGAGCGTGATTTTTACTCTGATACTTCTGTTTTTGTAGCATTTGGCATTGTAAGCTTTTGTGCACAACACACTTTCTAATGCAAGACACAAAGCGCTGATTTAGACCCTGTCCCTAAGCAGTTATGATCAAAAATTGGACCCTTCAGTTTAGATCAAAAATTTCAAAGTAAAAACTAGACTTTAGTATTGTAAATCAAAATTAATAACGAGTTAATGAGGAGTAAGTGAAAGTAAATAAGACAGGACTGAAGTTCTTAGAAGGCAGCAGGAAATTAACGACTTCTTTCAGTTTCTTTGTCCTGTTTGCAAACTGGACCAGATGTAGTCAAAGCTGCAACAAACAGTCATATCTGTCGTTAATTAGTTACCAAATATGACTAATTGAATAATGGTGACACTTTGCCTTTTCAGTCTTTTTTAGTGAAATAAACAGTAAAAAAAAACACTTTTGTATGAGGAGGATGACAAAAACTCACAAATCTTCTTACTGAATAAACTAGAATCAGCAATAATTGAGCATTTTGTGTTAGAAACCAACAAAAACTGTTTAAATTACTCAAATTATAGGGACTGTTGTAAATGAGAGCACAGGGTCTTTCAATGGGGGTTAACTTTGCGGCAAATCAAGCTTGATTGTAAGTTTTATACTTCTGTTTCTGCAGGAATATTTAAGAACATGATCACGTCGTTAGAGAGGGTGTCAGAGATCTTCAATCAGACCAATAAAAATCAAAGGATCAAATAAAACCAGTGAAAGCAGAAGTTAGACATGATAAAACTCTCACAATAAGAATGAAACAGTCATGATTCATCCGTCTTATAAAGTGCAGCCGATAACTGATAGACTCCGCTTTAACACTTGGACCCACAAAAGTGAGTCAGAACTTCCATGAGTCAGAACTTTGCATTATTTCACGTCCCTAAGATTTTGGTGCTTTTAACAAAAAATAAGATCAAATCTTCTCCTGAAGTGTGTGAAACAGCAGGAGTGTGAGGCTGATGAGTCAAGAACAAAACATCCAGAGTTCGGGGCGATTATTTGTCTGCAGCTCTTGACGGTTAAATCACTCTGTCAGCTCAACAGCGACTCATAAAGCCGGGAGGAGCTCCTTAATTATGGCTTTACAGTTATGACTCGGCAAGAATGTAAAGCAAGGGCGTGCCAAGTGGAATAAGTGAATCATTGTGTGATAAAGGAATTTAAGATTATGAATATAAGCACATTTATAGCCTGGTTTCTCCACAGAGCGCTGCAGAGTAAAGCCTCCTGGTTTCTTGATCGGTGTTTCACGAACTTTGACACAGTCTGGATGAGATTTCGTGCAGCGTTTTCAGGCTGCATCTGAAGAGACAGAAGAGGCAGAAAACACTGAATCACTGAGAAACTAGAAGTCTGACAGGATCGTTTAGTAACCCTGCAGTTTCATTGACTTATTCATAAATAATCTTGAATGTTTCAGCTCTGTAAGGCTGTATTTTCTAAGGAACTTCTATGTCTTGAACGAGAGCCCTGCACATTAGTGTTTACATGCAGCATAATGAGAGTGCGGTCCTCCTTTCTTGCTGCTCTAATTTGCAGGTGCTGCAATAAATGCACACGGAGACGCCCTGATCATTTATCGTAATCATGCACATGATGACACACCCGCATTCTCGTGGTTTTCTGCATCATTCGTAGCTGCAGTTACCCCTGACCGTTTGTTGTCTTGTTTTCAGAGCGTGCAGAGCGTCGTCTCGTTTCTGCTTCAGTTCTCACTCAGCCTACGTTAGATTAACGCGCCGTGTCCTGGCTCGGCTGTTATGTTGCGTGTGACCTGCTGTGACTCGCCTTTTGACCTGATGTGGTCGACATGACCTTGTGACAGTGACTGACCGGGAGGGGTCGATCCTCCCCCCACTCTTCCTGCTCCTCCCCCTTCTGGGGAAACGCCTGATAGATGAAAGTGGTGCAGACGTAGAGCTGAACAATACGGTGGAAATATCTTTGTGTTGATCAGAATCTGTTCATCAGGATTGTTAAGTCATGCTGCTGTTTCACACTTTGGTCACGTTAAACGCTGAAAGAGGCAGAAATATTAGTGTCTCCAAGTTCTTTTACAGACTCGAGGGAGAGGCTGCAAGCTGAGCTACCACTAACAGCTTTTTGAGGGGTTTTTTTATTATAAAAGGGACATTTATTCAATGAGTTTTTACCTCTTTAATTCAAACAAATGTGGAGGAAATGGTGTAAAAACATTGATAAAAGCTTGTTATAGATCGGTGGTTTCCCAGAGGGGCTGTGAGCTGAGCTGCAGCCGAGTCAGGGTTAGTTTTTCCCACAGTTGCAGTGTTGTGCAAAGTCAAACTCGGGTCACACAGATTAAAATGAACAAGTTTACAATCATAGTTAATTTTTTAAGACTACAAGCATAATTTATAACCCAGAAAACAAACAGGGTCATCATTTTAGCTGCACAGAGCCTCCTACGCTTCAGTTCCTCACCCTCAAAACACTAAACAGATTAATAAACTCTGTTAAAGAGTCAAACACAAATATTCAGTTTAAGAGCGGAGAAAATCCCATTAAAGCGTGTTTGGGCTGAATATTTGGCTCAGGGTTCTGACTTTAGCTTCTCATTACATGGAGAAAATTCACCTTATAAAATACAAAGTGGATGAAAATTACAGGGTGATGTTGAAGAAACAAACAAACATAAAAAAGCCACACCTGTTAGACACCAATTAAGCTTTCAGTCAGTTTAAAAGCTGTCCTGGTTTGCTCATAATAACACTCCTTTAAATGGTAACAGGAGCCGGTCGAACCAGCACTGATCACTCCATCTGATTAACTCGAGAGTGTCTGTGTGTGTGTGTGTGTCTGCAGCCTGGAGCCTCCCTCACGTTTGCTCGCAGCATCCTGAACCGAATGTCATAAATCTGAAACTCAGTCATCAACAATTCCAGCTGCTCTAGAAACATTCGGGATGTGAGGTTGGTTATCGTCTCCAGAGTGAGCTTCATTCACGATCCCGTTCCTGAGCTGTTCAGTTCATCTCCCAGCTCATCACTGTCCTTGCAGGGAGTCGAATCACTTGTGAACGTCTCAGTATTTAAAAATCAGACAGACTCAGCAGGGATCAGAACTTCAGAAACTTTATAACTATTTATTTTAAAGGCTGGAGATGCAACAATTACAGATGTTGACGGTACGATTATACAGCAAGTGATAAACACAGTTTCCCCACTATGAGGAATATTATGCATTAAATAATTTGCAGTTTTGTTTTAAATTTTAGTTGAAATGCAAGAAAGAAATTCAGATAATCTCTTTCACAGTGATAAAATTAAGTGAATTAGAGGAAATAAACCTCATGGGACAGTCCTGGAAGTGGACGAGCTCCTGCTGTTGTCTTACTAACACCGTCAGTTTACTCGTAAACACACAGACGAGAGGAAGCTTGTTAAACTTGCTGCTGTGTTTCGTTTGTTTGCACTGAGAGCCTTAATTTTGCTTTAATCTGACATGTTTATATCTAAATCTTTTCTCTCTCGATGTCTCATCAAGTAACTCTGACTCCTAACTGGGTAACTTTTTATTCAACTTTAAATTAAAGTGAAAAACAACCAAAAATAGTGAGTATTGGAGTTAAACATCTGCACACCTGCTGCCTTTGTCTTCACTATATTTACTTGAGGCTGTGTTGACTAAAACGCGTCCAAAAATTATCTCTATTGACTTAACTTTAATCCTCGTATCGCCCTGCCTAAGCAATAAAACCTTTTAATGACTGTTTTTATTGCAGAGAGGTGCTGAACTTGGTTATTTTCCAAGCTTGAGGCAGAGTTTAAATATAATCGTGATATTTTACTTTCTTTTTAAAGTATCAGACTTCGATCGCCTTCCTTTGGTGTGTGAAAACGTTTGAAAGTCCACACAGAAATTACTGTGGTTTCCAGCTCAGAGTAAAGCCATCACTCTTGCACAATCTGTTAACCCAGTTTGCGTTATATATTTTCCGCTCCCCCTTATCATGTCCAGTTATCTCAGTGCGTGACATTTCAGGGATCGAGCAGCGTAAGAGCACACTTTGGACTGCAGCCCGGGGCCTGCTTCAGGTACTTGGTTCTCTGCTCTGGCACGGACCTCACGCTGTTATTTTTAGTCTGCCCTCATGTCCAGTTATGATTTTCTCCCGTGAGGAGGAGACATGAAATGTTTTTCAGAAGGCTTATTTTGTCGAGCCGTGCTGCATATCCAGGCTGCAGCTGGCCTCTGTGTCAAACTCTGCTTAGACCTTGACTTCCTCACCTACTGCCCTAGTTGCCTTGGCAAACACGCCTGGACTGTGACCAGCCAGAATCAGCATGACTTGCACAAATGAAAGGCCGCCAGTATCATGGCTCAAAGGGATACGACACAATGTAAGCACAGATCACATTGGCAAAGATAGAGGAAAAAGATTTTGCCCAAATAGTTATTTAATGTCATTGTTTCCATTTCCTCTTTTCACTTGATAACATTGTGGGAAGTCACAGGCAGCAGGACGTGTTTGTTTCTCTGCAGCTCAGCCAAGATGAATGCCGGCCGAGGCCAAAACAGCCACTGGAAACAAATCCACCAAAGTCCTTCTGCCCTGGGATCTTTGTTTACACCATAGTAAGCATTTTAGATCATCAGAAAAAAAACAGAAATTTAAGTCCCTGTCGACTCTTCCATATTTTCTGGACTATAAGTCGCACCAGACAAAAAATGCAAACTGAAGAAGACAAGACATATACCGTTTTAGAAGTCGTATTTTTGGAAGGGGGGATTTATGTTACAAAATCCAAGACCAAGAACAGACATTTCAACTTAAAAGTCAAGTTATAATAAAAACAATAGAATAGAGAACAATAGGATGAATAGGTGTACGGTAACGTAACACAGTGATGGTTATTCAGCCACATGAAGCAGAAACAACGAACTCAGTAGGAGTCTGGTATGTTAACGTAACATATTAACAGCTATTCAGATAACTATAGTATAAAAAAATATAAAACAAGTTTACCAAACTCTCGATCTTACTCCAAATCACTAAATCTATTGAATCCTTTATCCTCAGTGTCATTTTTGAACAACTCTGCTAACTCTGGAGGAGGACAAAGTGCCGCTTCCTCTTCTGTGCGGCTGTCATCAGACTATAATTTTATATTTTAATAAATATAAGTCGCACCTGAGTATAAGTCGCAAATCCAACCAAATTAGAAAAAAAGTGCAACTCATAGTCCAGAAAATACGGTATTTGATATTTATTAAAACAGTCAAATTACTGTTTTTGTTCAGGGCCAAGTTGATGAGACCGGTCCTGTAGTTTTTAGATCATGAAGGTCTCCTCCTTTACTTTCGGGTCCTCTGGTTTAATAAGGTCCAGTTCTTGTGATTTGATAAATGGCCAAACAGCAACACTATCTGGATTTTGAGGAAATTTTCTTCACTTTCACCCTGATTATTGTCGATATAAACAAGACCCCCACTTTTTAACCCCAGTCTGTTTTTATTCTATTTCAAGGCGAGACCCTCGCAGACATTTGCTGCATGTTTAAAACAGAAGCTCTCTGATCCACCGCGGCCACTTCATAAACATGTTTACTGCTGTCAAACAAGCTCAGCAATGATTTGTTGGTGTTGTTGTACATGCAGTATAATAGCGCTTTAAAGCATACCGCTTGGTAGCTATGCACCGCATAAATACTGGATTAAAATGCGTTTTGAAGGACCCCACAGGGACCGGACTCCTAATAATGTAATGCAACCACTTGAGCGGTGTGATGACAGCAGGGTAACAGGTGTGTGATTAACATGAGTCAACAGTGGGGGGAAAACAAAAGGGTGTTCGAGGAAGCTATAACCACCTGGATGTCAGATTCTTTCAAATAACATCAACGTTTATGATAATTTACGATAAAGCTTTTTCCAAATATGAAAATCTGGAACGTTTGAGCTTTTCGAGTCGGCTATTCAGTCTCGAGGGTCCCCCTAAAGTAACACTACACTGTGAGTAAAGCCATGTCGTGCAAAATGCAGTTTATGTTGCAAAATAATTCCTGGCAGAGAGGAAACAAAACCCCCACGGTCGAGCATGTCAGCACTTTGCATCAAGTCGAGCCAAAATGCAGAACTTTGGACCGTCTGTGGCTTGAAACAACTCTGCAAACTGCTGTCAACTTCACCACAGCGTCATTTTTTTTGTCGAGATTTTCTACATGGACTCGATCGATGTTATCCCTGTATCTGTCAGCTGTATCTCCGGTCTTCTGAGGGCACGCGAACACAAACACGCCACGTGTGGACAGAAAAGAGGTTTACGTTGTTTGATGTTCAGTTATGCGTTGCGTCATGTGTAATGTGACAGAGCCGCTGTGGGCATGGGTGCTTTCATAAGGAAGTCGACCGTTGACCTAAATCTTAAAGCTCTATAGAATAAGGGGGGGTTAGAGGAAGTCATGTGGTCGCGGTCCTCCGAGTGCTGGAGCCGGCTCTGCATTATGCCGCAGCCTGTCGTTCCTTCCGCCCACAGAAGCAGCATGGCAGAGGCTGCGGCGAGCATGACACCATTTTCCTGCTTATTGTGTCAGTCGGGCAGTAAACAGTAAAGAGTTAGTCACAGAGTACGATCACCCTCATCCTGCGTGTTAAAGTGTGAGCTGACATGACGCCTGTCTTATCCCAAAGCCCCCTCTTTATCCCTCTGTGTGTATCTGTTGATACAGCTTATACCTCTGTTGGCATATTTTGCTGCTGTTTGTTTGACACGGCTGAGTAAAAATCCAGAGATAGAGTCGAATTTGTTCATCTGCTGCTGAAATACATAAAAGAGAATTACAGTAAAATACTGCTAATCTACTCGTCAGTTTGTTTAATATATTGTGTTATATATTCCACTGAATTAGACCATCGCATACTGAACCTCACTGTAACCTTTTTGTATGTAGTTGTATTGTGCTGTTGTGCATCATCACCATATCTATCAAAGTGGATCCTATCATACTGTATTGCATTATATTTAACAATATCATATATCATATACTGTATTGTATCATGATTCACAATACCATATAGTATCATATGTCGTATCAATATCTTATGATATCGCAACACATTGTATATTATAGTGTATGTCGTTAAGTAGGAGAGAAAATCGATACTGTATAGTAAACTACTTTGTTTGTATCTTAGTACACACTGTTGTTGTGATCAAGTGGGCTCTGCCCGCTGGATCTGGATGCTGCTAGCTAGATGTGCCGAAGCGGAGTCTGGAACGGACTGCTTATATCAGAGTGCTGATATCGGAGATTTTAGATGCAGGACGATATGATCCGATATTTGTTTTTTGGCTGATATCGGACCAATATCCGATATCAATATTGTGTCGGGACAGTCCTAATTGTATCATATATCAGAAAATACCATATATTGTATAATATATCATATCGTATCATATTGTATACTCTATCCTTTGATGTAATGTATCTTATCGTATCATATCATGTATTATTTCATATATCGCCACCTACTGTAGTGGAGGTGAACATGCCCCTGTCAGTAATTCGGTTCTTGCCTGGTTCTTGTGAACTGGGACACAAACAGAAGTCCAGTTTTATCGTGTGTATGTTGTGGTAGTTTAAGGTTGTGCCATGGTTTATAGTCGTACTTCTGTGTGTCTTTGTATCACTGAACATAATCTGTGGTCAGTGACTCATTCACCACAGCGACATATTCAACAGTTTTTGATTGAACCCAGATTAGATTTCATTCTAACTTTTAGCCCGTGTGTTTATCTCTGTTTACGATGCTGTGACTGTGTGAGCAGAAGATGGACGTGATCCAAGTGGGCCTTTAAGAAAGAGCTCTTCTGTTTTTGACTGTTTGCAGCTGTAGAGCCGAAGACGGGGAGGATTTATGGTGGGCGGAGCATGGACTCAAACTAATTTTGCATCTAGAAACACATTTAATAAGGGATTATGTAAGTGATGATATAAGCTGGTGTGTGATGTAGAGCGTTTCGAATCTGCCTCTTTGCACAGAGCAACCCCGGGAATCGACTCGTGCCTCATTCTGGCGACTTCCTCAGTATATGCTCAGTCTCTCTGCTGATACTTGTTGTGGTGGTCGATCCTTTACTCTGGCATCAAGAGAGTATCGGTGACTGATCCAATTAGACAGCGAGTTCACTTGGCTTACACAAAGGCTCCATGGATTGATTCAGTCACACTAACTGGACACTGATGTTTTCTGCACAAACAGACCAACAACTGTCTGTTCCTCTCTGCTGCTGTAAACAACATTTCTCAAACATCATGATTAGAAAGATTACTGATGCAGATCTTTCAAAATGCGTGTCTTAAGAAACAGCGAGATATCACAAACTAAAATGATTTTAACTTGCAAAACGTGGACAAAAATTAGGTCATATTCTCTGCACCTTAAGGGATTTCAGATCTGTTTTCATGCAGGTTATATATCACATCATGCAAAACATGTAAATCCACATCCTGCAGAGAGGCAGTCCCAATGGGGTTGCAGGAGATCATTGCAGTTGCATGACATAAAAAAGGCGTGTTTAACATTTTGTTGCAATTTCTTCTCTTAAAGTTTGGGGACCAAAGAGACCAGTTTTTTTTTTCAGGGAAGTGAAACATGTCCCATTTTTGCCTAATACAGAATTTTAGCTGCTCAATAGTTCAGGATTCTACTTATGTTTACTACCTGCAAAATGTTGTCACAGGGTGTCAAGTTTGGTCTGCAGACAGTCCAGTTTCTCAGGAGGACTCTGGCTGAAATATGAAGGTCTTCCCTGAAGAAGTCATTGTCCTGATGGCAGCAGATGTTGCTCTTCAACCTGTAGATATTGTTCTGAAAACAACAATCTGAGTGCCTCTCTCCTAAGAGCCGATGACTCTGTTTCCAGGATTTCCAAGAAGAATGTCTCTTGTCGGACCTCGGGGCAGTTTTCCTCTTGGGCTCGGGCCTCCAAGCTTTTCTGGATTGTTTTTTAACTATATCTGGTTTTCCTCTTTGTAGTTTTATCCTTCATTTCAGCAGCAATCATTTCAGCAGCAGTTGGTGTTAAACTGTGTTGACAGTAGGGCTGGGCAATAAACCAAGAATTTACTGATACAGAAATTTACGACGTCATTTTGCCCATATCTACGACGGAGTATTAGGGCCACATTAAGAAGAAGAAAAAATTAAGACCTCGGAATTACTGACGAGAATAAAGTCATTACCAAATCATTATTTACGAGAATAAAGTCATAATAAATTCATTACTCATGAGAATAAAGTCTTAATTAAATCATTACTGACAAGAATAATGTTGTAGTAAAATCATTATTTATGTGAATAAAATTGTAGTAAAATCATTATTTACGTCAGAGACGTGACTCCACCCCATCCAGTCTGTAACAAAGAGGTAAAGACAGGTGAGGAGATGGAGGACGGTTCAAAAGTTGGAGCGGCTGAAGTAGACGAGTTAATTTTGGAGGGGGTGAGCAGCTTGTGGAGAAGTTATCGTCCATTTATCGTAATTGAAGTGAACTGATCAATATATCATAATATTGATTTGAGGTCATATCACCCAGCCCTAGGACAGTTGATGGTTTTGGAAGTGATTCTGAGTCTTTGCAGTGAATTCCACTTCAGATCCATGTCTGTTCTGAATGCAGTCCTGAAGATCGCAGCCATCTTTAGTTAGTTCTGATCATTTCCCGTTATAGAGTTTCCACCTACGTCAGTCTGTGTTTATCAGTCCGTTGAAAAAGGATATTGGTAGATCAGCGGTCCGATAGGTGCGCTCTGGCTCTGTCAAACATGTCTGCTTATCCTCTGATTTATTAAAGAGTAATAGCAGGTCCACTTATGTGAGAGGAACACTGAGTTCATCGCAGATAAAGCTTAAAGCTGTCGGAGGGTTCAGCGTGTGCGGTTATCTTTTGTTTGTCCGTGTCGGAGAGCGGCAGAGTGTGCTAAAATCTACAAGGCCGTCGACTTTACACCCCTCCCTTTCAGAGTATTTACGTAATGATAGCAGAGACTGTACTTGTGTTTCCGCTGTAGCATGTAGAGGGTGAAGGAGAGCGCCATGGCTGTATACGTCCCTCTATTGTTCAGGGCCTACAGTAAAGAAGAAAAGCATAAACTAGGTCATTACTTTAAACAGGGATTTCCTCTGAAGGCAGCACCACTGTCTGTCTTACAGATAAAACAGAGAGCTCTCCAGGCCGGGGGCCCGGACCCTCTCAGTTCCCACACTCCCCTGTCCTATGAGGTCTCCATCCTGACTGTTTGTACTCGTGTTTGGATAAGCATCATTTCTGTGAAGTGAGCAGACCCCTCGCAGCTTTTCCTTTCTGCTCCACCCCGGCTCATGGCTCAGTTTTTAAGTGTGTGAGTGGTGGTGGAAACATAAGACAGCGTTATTAACTGCATTTTTATTCTTTCTTATCTTTTGCTTTTACCAAACTTCAGATTTCTGTACATTTTCACTCATATTTTCAGAACACCTGTTGGCTAAAAATGAGGTTTTACTCAAAGACTTAACCGTGCAATCTTTTGATGTTTGTGCACCAGACCTAAATGATTTTACTTGAGATACTTACTAGGATCTACATGATGGTGTAACCTCAGGGTGTTTTTTTCCAGTGTCTCTGAAGAGCTCGTTACGATCACTTTGGAAGACTCTCTGTCTGAGCTGTAGCTGGAACTTGAGGCTTCAAGCTGGAAGTCGATTTTAGTTGCAACTAGTGTAATGTTAGTGAATGTGTAATGAGGAGCCAGAGTAGAGTTGGTGTTCATGGCTATCTCAGTCATTTTTAAAAGGGATAATTTTTGGGTTGTTTTGTGTAAAGCTGTGTAAAAGGTAAAACACCCAGGAGGGGTTTTTAATGTTATGTCAGTGGGAAAACAGCCGAGACTTGACATTTAAAAACACTGAATAGTGCTGAGATTAGGCTCACCCCCTCCCACAACTTACAACTTTTGAACCGGCCTCCATCTCCTCACCTGTCCTTCCCTCTTCGTTTGTGACGTAGGACAGCGTCTTAAAGAGACATGAAACCATAGCCTACCTAAAAACATCCAAAACCAACTTTTAGTTATTTATTTTTCGACACCGAATATATCGATATGGGCAAAATTACATAAGTTACTGTCGGAAATTTCCGTATCTGTAAATTTTCAATTTATCGCACAGCCCTAGTAGATCAGAAACACATGAAAGGAAGAGATACCGACAAAAATTTCATGAAAAATGTTTTACTATAAATAATAAAGTCAAAATACAGCAAAAAAACAAACAAACAAACAGCTGTGATAAAAAATCAAGCTCTTATATTACCAGAATAAAAAATATTGTGATTTTAAAGAAGTCTTAATGTTCATGGAATAAAGCTGTTGGTAACTAACATTTACGCTAACTATTGACTAAAATCACGGCTTTATTCTTGTAACATTAGCACTAAATTCCCTAAATATTTACACCTCTATTCCTAAAGTTTTCATATTGTTTTCTAGATTATTTCAGCTTCACTTCGCAAAGATTGAAAGAGTTAAACTTAAAGATCTCGAGGATCGGAGGACTTGTTTTGATTCGTAGGAGTGAGAGTAATAAATTAAAAGATAAATCGTTCAAATTAAATCAGTCGGTTGATGTTTTAATCACCTCCATTAAAATGTCACTCACCTCCTCTCCTGTAACCTTAAACCACCTGGAAATGCATTCGACTTTCTACTGAAACTTTTATTATTTATGATTCTGCGGCGGCAGCGAACCTCAGACGACCTTCTGATTCCTCCCGAGCGTCACAGAAACTCTTGCACGTCTGCATGTTTGTCTGTCACGTCTCACCGTCAGTGTGAGTTTGATTTATTTCAGGTTTGAGTTTCAGCTTTTAAAGACGAACTGAGGAGGAAAACAGAAAAATAAAGAGCAAGACGAGGTTTGAGTGAAAGAGACGAATCTGTCTGACACCGACGATTCCTGCGAGTGTTATCTCGACCTGGAGTACGAGAGGTCAGACGTGATTTCTCAGATACTGATGATCAAAATAAAGTCTCTGCAGGGAAAGAAAACGGAGATTCAGTTCATGACTCTGAAATAGCTCCTCGGTTTTATTCGTATCCATGACGACACGATGTAAGTATAAAATCAAACGCGTCTTTGGCATCAGTTTAGCGTCTTGTTTGTCATCTTCCGAGGCCTCAGAGGTCCGGTTTGATGACCTCTCTTTCCCTCTTCTTTCGCTCTCGGCCTGCAAATAACAGCCAGCCTCCAGAGCCGTGTCTGAGGAATGTAAATAAACGCTACAGCGAGCAAGGTCAACCTGCTAATGAGGGCCGCCGAGGAACGCGGAAGAAAGAATGACGGGGAAGAGGAGCAGAAGCTGTCACACGCCGCTCAGACTCCTGGGTAATTCAGATCAGGTTAGATTGAGATATCTGACCTGCGGAGATTGGAGTACAGAGGGAATATTCACGAGTGAAAAAAGCGCGCCGACTGTAACTGTTGCATTTCTGCGAATTTGATCCAAAAGAAGTCCACTGACAGCGCTCTCATGACCAGATCACATGAAACTCAAACTGGAGTTGTATTATAATTCACACAAGTTTGACATTTGCTCAAAGCAGCTGATGTGTATAACTCTTGTGTTTGCATCTTCAGCGGTTAGACATGCCGTCAGAGTTTTAAGAAGTTTTAGGAGAGCTGCTTGTTGAGTTTGGCGAGCCGATGAACCCTTTACTCTAAAAGCAGTTCATAACAACTTTGACTAAAGACAGAGACTCAAAGCTACTCTGATAATCTCATATTTTATGGTTTTGGTGCGCAAGAGTCTTGTTGCATTAGCTGTTTTGGCCTCTACATGTCCAATAGGTAATCAATAAGCGCACAGCTCACTTAAGATTTTGTTTCGGTTTGGATTCTTTGTCATTTTGGTAGATTTTACAGAAAGGAACAAAACTTATTCTTTATCTTGTGCTTTTGTACACATTTCAGGTGTTTGCATTGTTCATAATGGTAAATAAAGACCCATGCATTTGTGTCTAAATGTAGCACTTACGTTATCAGTATTGAAAAAGCATGAAGGTTTGTTAACAAGCTGATTGATCGATTGATGCATGGCCTCAGTCCGACTGAAACTGGCCTGAGCTTCAAGTGTTTGCACGCCGGGCTTTGACTCAGGTGTTCATTATTATAATTGTGTTACTATTTTGTGTTTATTGTAAACAAACCTTGAAGGATGATGAAAAGAAGGTTCCTTACAAGTACAGAAAAGCATGGAAATAAATTTGATCAATTTCCAGGTCTTAAAAAGTATGGAAAAATATGTATGTCTCCAGACTATTACCACAGTTCTAAAATACTATTTTCTGAAATAGAAAAGTAGGTTTGGTCAGTAAGGAAAAGTATGGAAATTCTAACTGTGTAGGAACCCTGTAAAAAAAGACAAAACTCTAAAAAGTGACGTTGTGTTTATATCATACTGACATAAGTCCTGTTAGCCTCTTGCTAACCCAGTTTGTTGATTGTTCTGGTACAGAGTCGGTCGACCAGGAGTTGAAAGGGGACGTTTTGTGGACGTGCCTCTGCTAATAATTTGATTCATTCCCGGCGCTCGTAAACCGGGACAGGGACAGTAATCCAGTTAGATCACCTAACTGTGCTGTAACAGTGGCTCTACTTAACGGTGAATATATACATACCGACTGAAAATAACCTTCAGTCTGTTATGTGGATGAGAGGTTTGGTCTGTTTTTCAGTGACGCACACACATGGCATCTAAAGACAGTCCACCTTTGAATATTCTGCTCTGTGACACTTTTTCTTTTTTGTGCGTTTGAACGCGGTTTAAAGTCTCTGCTGTTTTGATTTCTCAAAGTTGTAATGGTTCAGGTGCCTTAAAACTTCATAAAAGGATCTTTCATTTGTCAACATTTTTTTTTTTTAAGTCACGGCATGCAGGCTGTGAAATCTAAACCTGCAAAAAACAACAAAAACTGTTGGTATATGATTCTTATTTTAAACTTAAACCCTCTTTAAGCTTCCCTAAATTGATGCAAATGTTAAATAGAATAGAAATCAACTTTATTGTCATTGCATATGTCACAAGTACAGAGCAACGAAATGCAGTTTGCATCCATCCAGAAGTGCTTAGCAAGTATAAATGTATTAACAAATGTACACGGTATGAAAGAATATATACATGAGTATGTCACGGGATATTAAGTATGTACAGGCTAACTAGTGTACAGGCTATGATCAGATTATACATTTGGTTATAAATATGAAGGTATAAACAGACTATGAATATAATCATATGACAGATAAATTAAACAGTAATGCAATATTGTATGTATGTTGGTCTACGGATATAAAGTGTAGATAATTGTAATGTACTTTGGTAACGTGAAGTCGGTAAGAAGAAAAATGGTAGAAATTGCACTGAAGCGCACTCAAAAACTGCTGACTCAGCACTTTTCACTCGTCTTCCCGTCATCCGCTCAGGTGTCAGCAGCCGGTAATCTGTCCTGTAAACTTAATCGAGTTAAACTCTCGTCTGGTCTGAGTTAATGAGAGGTAGATCTGCCATGTCCCAGTGTTCCCTGAATGCCTCAGCCCTCTCACCTTCAGTCAGACCCCCCCACCATGCACACACACACACTCCTCACACATCTGAATCTTCATACACACACACACACACTTCCTAGCAGAGGCTGTTTACTCATCTCCAGTCTTTGCAGCATGAGCCGAGCAGTTAAGGGTGGGAGGGGTGACAGCGCTGAGGATCAGCCAACCTTCCTCACGCTCTGCACGTAGCACGACCATTAAAATACTGCTCCCTCTGGAGGGAGGCCAGGAGTCAAAGTTTACGGCAGTTCACTCCTCTCTTCTTCTTCTTCTTCTGCTGCTGCAGCCCCACCCCTCTCTCTGCTCCTCTTCCTCTTTCTGTCTGACTCCATTTGACACCCACTGAAAGTCTTACAGGAAGCTCTTTTGTCAGTCTGCATGCCCCTCACCCACATGTAGATCGATAAAACACTTTATCCGTGCGTGCAGCCGAATCAGGACCCCCCTCTGTCTCCCAACCTTCCATCTTCACATCTGACTTTTGTTGTTTTTCGGCTTTGAAGGCCCTGATCCCGTGCATTCCAGTGGTAACCTGCATCGCTGGAAAGATGGGAGCACAATGCGGACTGACGCAGGTGTCTGCCGTCAGAGGGGAAGGAGAGTACAGCTTAGACGTATGTGAGATGCAGATGAATTTTGTTTTCGTCTCTCTGCGCACGGTTAATGTCTCACCAGGCTGCAAGTCCGTCAACTCTGAATCATGTGCAGGATCAACTCGTTAAATCAGTTAGTCTATAGAAATCTTGAACATGAAGTGCTGTGCATGAATATTTGACATGCATGTGTTATTGTTTGGCTGATACTGATGAGTGTAGAGATAGCCTGAAGATGTCTGTGTTTGTCAGTGAACCGTAGCGCTCCTCTGAGTACAATAAAGTCTTTCTCACTGGGCCTCAGAAATTTATAATCCTCTGAAAAACAGTAACTGAACAGATTTTTGTTTACTGAAGCGTGTCTGTCTAACTGGATGGTATACATTTTTTAAAAAGCCATATGTGCTTCAACTGAAAGGAACCATGAGTTGCTTCTTTACTTCCTTTTACGAGCTCTGGCTTCATCTGACCCGATGCTGTGAAGTCAAAGCAGCTACTGCTTCTTCAGTTTCCTTCAAGACATCCGATAGAGAGAAGTTTCTGAACCACACTGCCTCTCAACAGGGGTTCCTCAAGGGTCAGTTCTTGGTCCCCTGATTTTCTGATTGCGCTCCATCTCAGTACAATAATCTGATTTCATGGATTCTCCTATCACTGTTATGCAGATGATACTCAGCTCTTCACCACCTACAGTTCATCCCGTCCAAAACTGAGCCTCTTGTCATTCCAGCCTTCCCCTCTCTCCAGCCACAGTATCCAGTTTGGATCAAATGGAATCTGGTTCTCATGATCGATGACTATCTAACCTTTAAAGTTCATGTCAAACGGAATCTGGTTCTCATGATCGATGACCATCTAACCTTTAAAGTTCATGTCGCCTCAGTTGCTCGGATCAGATTACCCTCTATAACAGCAGGATGATCAGACAGAGTTCACACAACACAGCTTTTGCATTGACTACTGCAACTCCTTACTAGCGGGTCTCCCTGCTGCACAGTCGAACCTCTGCAGATGATCCAAAACGCAATAAAAACTGAAACTTACAATATAGTTATCGTCCTCTGACAGTATAAAAAACATCCACATGGATGACACAATTTTTAAAACCACTATCATAGATCAGTGTCTCTAGATCGTGCATCAGACAGATGTCTTATTGGGGAGGCAGTTTTGTTTGCAAATCAAGCAGCAAAAAGCCAAAGTTGATGACAGTTCAGGGCTCGGCAGTGGAACCGTTTCACTCGCATTTGCACTTAAAAATAGATGAGGGTGAATTGTAAAAGTATTTAGGGTCACATGTGCGCATAAAAAAATCAGGCGAGGCAACAAGTGTTTTTTCAGATTCAGATTCAGACAACTTTATTTATGCCCTAAGGGCAATTCCGTTCACAGTTACCCTGCCGTTTGATCCATCCAAATCAGCAGACAAACAAACCAGACAAGTGCAAGACATTAATAGCAGCCAGTAGACAACCACATCCCCTTGTCAGTTCTCACAGATCAGCAGGATCAGCAATAAATAGCTAAAATAGGAAAATAAGCAGTCAAGTCCCACAGAGCAATGGTTAAAATACAACAAGATCCACAAGTATGAGACACAAGATAGGAAAAAATAAAACACTCCTGAAGCTCCAGTTCAGCACAAGCCACATATGACCATCAGCCTACTTCCTGGCAGTAACTTCCCCAGTGAAGTTAGTTTTAGGTTGGATATCCAATAGATATTTCCTGCGGATCTACAGGTGTCTTCTCACTCTCCGTAACCAGGAATAGCAACAAATAGCAACAACAGTGCGGTTAAATCTACTCGGCACCCTCGCTGTCAACATCAGGTGTTGAAGAAGGGACCGTCAATAAACTACCTGGCTGTTTTCCTTCAATAGCTTCCATGTCATGTGACCAATTGACCTAAATTTGATTTCAAATAATAGTACTAAGGTCGGACAATAAGACAAACATTATTTGATCAATTTTCATTGTGCCCCTGAAGTTCTTTGTTCGCTCCTTACTTTTTCAACCTGGGAGTGTCAAACCCTGCAGTAACAATGATGTAAAGCGCTGTATTATTTCTGCAGTCAGGAGACAGAAAGTCTTGCAGTGTTTGCATGAAGGGTTAGATGTGTATGAAGTAAAATTAAAATGTGAGTGATGCAGGTGGTTTTAGTTTTTCACTTTCTCTGAACTTACAAGATGTAGAGAACATATGCTCATAGAAAGAAAGTTTGATACGACTGAAAAAGAAGCTGAAAATTTGCAGATTTGTTCACAGGACATCCTAATCTTTCTTAAAAATAAAGAAATACAGACAGTAAGGACATGCCTGATATTTGAGCTGCCTTTTTGTAAATAAAACACAAAAAAACCCCCCCGAAGAACTCTGTATCAGCTCTCCAAAAATTCAACAATCATAAGTCTGACCTTGTTTGAGAGGCACGGGCCCGACTGCAGGAGTTTAGTCTGCTGTGGGTGTTTATAATAATGTTGCTATGGTTTATGTTGATCCAAGCGCAGGGAAGAATGTGGAGGAACTGGCCTTTTGTTCGTCATATCACAGCTTAGACACGGCGCATGAGGGCTGAATCTGCCCTCTGCGTGTGCGCACGTTCACTTCTCGCCTCAGCTGCTCTCTTGATAAACACCCAGAGCCACAGGAGAGTTATTAAGCGCTAAAAGTCTTATTTGATCTGCAGGCTGGGGTGTGAGAAGAGAGAGTTGTTTTTCCCCTTTTAGCTTCTTCTTCTGTCTCTGTGACACTTTTACCGGCAGAGTGCGAGTCACCACTTGTGTGTGTCTTTTTCCTGGGGGACTTTCTGCCCTGTGTTCGCCCGCTGTTCACTCCAAGAGGTTTACAAGAGCTCATAGGGGTTCACTGCCAACACCCAAGCAGATCATGAGAAACTTAATAGAGCAGGAAGAGGAGAGGGGAAGCTGACGTGTGGCGTGATATCTCCGGTTTATTTTCTCGCTAGTTTAAAGTTTATAATGAGGCGGCTGTTGTGAGGGGGACGCTGTTTGAGTCCTTGTGGGTGCAGGTGAGGCGAGGACAAAGGGAGACACCCAAACTGTCTGCAGGGCGACAGACGTGCAGCCTCGGATTGACATCTGCTTAAAAACTTCAGATTTTACTTGATTGTAAGGCTGTAATCAACCATAGATGTTCAGACTTTGACAGCAAACCCTTCTGCGGCGGGGGACGACAAGGTTTGGGGCTCGTTGGGCTGAAAAGATTCTGATATCAACACAAGAAGGCAATTAAACACAAAAGGCAAGTTGAAACGTCAAAAATAGAAATAGATATTCAGCAAACCACCTGACGATGATTGGCGCAGATGCTCTTCAATCTTCCTGTCTCCAGTCAGTTGAATCCAAAATGGTGAAAACAAGGGGGGGCTGTTCTGAGACAGGCTGTTACCTGTGAAATGGGAGTGCTCAGAAAACACCCCCATTAGCACTTGGTGCGTTCCTCCTGATGAAATTAACCATAGACTGTAAATTAACTTAGTTAAAAAATCAGGTCGACCAATGAGAATTTTTGTTGACTCAGCACATATCGACCAATAAGTCGACCGACTAGGACTGTACAGCCCTACTTAATTGAATTTAATTGTTTGTCATTTTTGTACCTGTGTCGTCTCAGCCCACTTCAGGCCTTTTTTCCCCTCTCAACCAGTCCACTAGCCCATACAGTATTGTTGTTTGTTTTCTTCAATTTGCTGGATGTCTTTGGTATTTTAATTTGATTATTGCCTGTTGTAATTAGAGGCAAACTGTGATGACATACAGTTTAGGGCTGAGCGATAAACCAAAAGTTAATCGATACCAAAATTTACGACAGTAATCAACGTCATTTTGCCCATATCGATATATTCAGTGTAAAAAAAATAAAATAAATCAAAGTTGGTTTTGGATGTGTGTAGGTAGGTTATGGTGTCATGTCCCTGTCCTACGTCAGAAACGTGACTCCACCCCATCCAGTCTGTAACAAAGAGGGAAAGACAGGTGAGGAGATGGAGGACGGTTCAAAAGTTGTAGCGGATGAAGTAGACGAAGTTAATGTGGGAGGGGGTGAGCAGCTTGTGGAGTAGTTATCGTCCATTTATCGTTATCAAGGTGAACTGATCAATATATATTGTGACATTATGTGTGGATGTGAGGATGTGAGGACTCGGGCGCCCTGAGAGTGGCAGCAAGTCACAGCAGCTCCTCAACGACTTCACGTTTTTGCGTTCTTATTGTTGTTTTTTTGCACCTTTTTATCTTTCTCTTCATTCAGCAGTGTCGTGTCTGCATATTCCAGCCATGGATGTGCAGTTCATGACTCTAGCACTTTGTTTTCTTTTATTTTTCGGAGTTTTTAAGTCCGCGACCGGCGACCCATTCAGCGGCCGCATTGTTTACAGCCGTGAACAGCTGTTGGCGCTGCGCCAAGCCCGGCCACCTTCGTGGGAGAGACCGGACATCCCCGCTAAGCTCCGCAGGAGAAGGAGAGGATGCAGGGCTGGAGTTCAGCATCGAGCAAAGCGGAGGCGTTACAAACCAACTGTCCCGTCCATCATCATGGGAAACGTGAGGTCTCTCCCCAACAAGATGGAAGAGCTCACAGCGCTAACTCGGCTGCAGTGGGAGTATAGGGAATGTAGCCTCATGATGTTCACGGAGTCATGGCTGAACGAACTCACTCCGGACCCGCTCGTAACTTTGGACGGATTTCACCTCGTCAGAGCGGACCGGAGCGTGAGGGAGAGTGGTAAGAAGAAAGGAGGCGGGATAGCGGTGTATGTGAATGAGAGATGGTGTAATGCTGGGCACGTCAGTGTTAAAGAGCAGCTCTGCTCTAAGGACATTGAGCTGCTGGCTGTGAGTTTGCGGCCTTATTACCTGCCGAGGGAATTTTCGCACGTCATCGCGTTAACTGTTTACATCCCCCCCTCGGCTGAGGCTGCTGCTGCAGCCTGTGAACTCCTCCATAATGAAGTGTCCAAGCTACAGACATCCCACCCTCAGTCTCTGATCATCATCTCTGGAGACTTTAATCATGCATCGCTGTCCTCCACTCTCCCTACCTTCAGCCAGTATGTAAACTGCCCAACAAGAGACAATAAAACTCTGGACTTACTGTATGCAAACACCAAGGATGCATACACCTCCTCCCCGCTTCCCCCGCTGGGCCGCTCAGATCACAACCTGGTGAGACTGCAGCCCATTTACATACCTATGGTGAAGAAACAACCCCCCACCATCAGGTATGTTAAGAGGTGGTCTGAGGAGGCCACTGAGGCGCTGCAGGACTGTTTTGAGACCACAGACTGGGATGTACTGTGCGGCCCACATGGTGATGACATCGACACCATGACTGACTGCATCACGGACTATATTAACTTCTGTGTTGAGAACACCGTACCCACCAGGAAAGTACGGTGTTTCTCCAACAGCAAACCCTGGGTGACCCCGGAACTGAAAGTCCTCCTGAAGGAGAAGAGGAGGGTCTTTAAATCTGGGGACAAGGAGGAGCTGAGGAGGGTGCAGAAGGAGTTGAAGAAGAAGATCAGAGAGGGAAAGGCCAGCTACAAGACCAAGATGGAAAACCTTTTGCAACAGAACAACGCAAGGGAGGTCTGGAGAGGCCTAAAATCCATCTCAGGTCATAGCAGGGGCCATGAGAGGGGATCTGAAGCAGGAGACAGGGAGTGGGCCAACGAGCTGAATCTGTTCTTCAATAGATTTGACTCTACTCCCACTCCTCCCCCGACTCATCTAACCAACGACCCGTCTGCTGCTCCTCCTTCTTCTTATTCTTATTCACACCACCTCAGTCCCATGGCACCGACACCATCAACCCCCCTCCACTCATCCTCCACCACCCCCTCCAGCACCACCCCCAGCCTCTCCATAACAGCTGACCAGGTGAGAAGTGAGCTGAGGAAGATGAAGCCAAGGAAAGCCACGGGTCCTGACGGCATCAGCCCCAGACTCCTGAAAGACTGTGCAGACCAGCTCTGTGAGGTGCTACGGCACATTTTCAGCTTGAGCCTGAGTCTGGAGAGGGTCCCAACACTGTGGAAGACTTCCTGCGTGATTCCTGTCCCCAAGACAGCGCACCCTAGGGAGCCCAACCACTTCAGACCTGTGGCCCTCACTTCTCACCTGATGAAGACTCTGGAGAGGATCGTGCTGAGGAACCTCCGCCCCCTGGTGAGCTCTCATCTGGATCCTCTGCAGTTTGCGTACCAGCCGAACATCGGGGTGGATGACGCAGTCATCTACCTGCTGCAGAGGTCCATGGCTCACCTGGAGAACACTGGCAGCACTGTGAGGGTCATGTTTTTTGACTTCTCCAGTGCGTTCAACACCATCCAGCCTTCACTGCTCAGGGGGAAGCTCGAGCGGGCGGGAGTGGACTGTCACCTAGCCGCATGGACCGTGGACTACCTCACCGACAGACCACAGTTTGTGAGGCTTCAGAACTGTGTATCGGACATGGTGGTCTGCAGCACGGGGGCTCCACAGGGGACAGTGCTCTCCCCTTCCTCTTCACCCTGTACACCTCAGACTTCAGCTACAACTCTGGGAGCTGTCACCTCCAGAAGTTCTCTGATGACACAGCCATCGTCGGATGTGTATCGTCAGGGGACGAGCGGGAATACAGGACTGTCATCACTGACTTTGTCAACTGGTGTGGCACAAACCACCTCCAGCTCAACGCCAGTAAGACAAAGGAGATGGTTGTGGATTTCCGCAGGAGGGGGACACCTCAAACAGTTCCAGTGAACATACAGGGTCTGGACATCGAGATGGTGGAGTCCTACAGATTCCTGGGTGTCCACCTCAACAACAAACTGGACTGGTCAACAAACACAGACGTTCTGTACAAGAAGGGCCAAAGTCGTCTCCACCTGCTGAGGAGACTGAGGTCCTTTGGAGTGTGCAGGACTCTGCTCAGGACTTTCTATGACTCTGTGGTAGCATCTGCACTTTTCTATGCAGTGGTCTGCTGGGGGGCAGGGAGCACCGAGAGGGACAGGAAGAGACTGAATAGACTGGTCAGGAGGGCCGGTTCTGTCCTGGACTGCTCTTTGGACTCCCTGGAGGAGGTGGGTGAGAGGAGGATGTTAACAAAGCTTATATCCATCATGGACAATCCCTCTCACCCACTGCACCAGACTGTGGGGGCTTTAGGCAGCTCCTTCAGCAGCAGACTGAGACTCCCACCCTGCAGGACGGAGCGCTACCGCAGATCATTCCTCCCCTCTGCAATAAGACTTTACAATGAACAGTAACAAAACTGGATTTACACCACCACTTTTTTTATGGCATTTAAATTGTGTATATTGCAGAAAGCTTTATTTTTTCTTCTCCCTTTTCTCTTTTCAAATTTTTTTTTTTCTTAATTATTACATTTATTAAGTTCTTAATATTAGGACCCTTATTGTTATTACTGCATTTTGCACTTTCTGTCTTGTCTGTGATGCTGCTGTGACAAAAAAATTTCCCCCATGGGGGATCAATAAAGGAATATTCTATTCTATTCTATTCTATTAATTTGAGGCCATATCGCCCAGCCCTAATACAGTTATTACCTGGCTTTCTTGCTTCTTGCTTCTACCCCTCGCACCAGTTTTTTTAATATTCAAAATGATGGTAAACAAATGGTCTGTTTTGTCACTGATGGGCTTGTTTACTTTTGAATAAAATGCAAAAGCATCAATATGAGTTTCATCAAAGTCAAAAAACTTCTCATAGTAGCTTTAAATACTTGATTCTGATTGGTTCAGACCTTTTAATGAGGTACAAAGAAGAGAGCTGTTAAACATCCACCTGTAACTTTTACTTTTTTTATCGCCCTTTCTCCAGGCTATGGTGGCTTGTTACCCTGGAAACGGGACAGGATATGTTCGCCATGTGGACAACCCTAATGGTGATGGCCGCTGTGTGACGTGCATATATTACCTGAATAAAGATTGGACCGCCAAGGTGAGTGACAGATGTGCGGATGATCATTTAAACTTCTCTCACAGTTCTGTTTCTTGTGTCTGGAGCTGATCAGTGCGGTTTTTTATAATCTGGTTTTCACGTCGTTAAGTGTGTTGTCAATGATGGAAGTTAACGTGCCGGTACACGCTGTTCGGGCCACTTTCCCTCTTTATAATCTCATTAAAAAAAAAAGATCCTGCTAATCCAGACACACCCAGTCAGGCAGGAGAGAGCCCCCATGTTGCCTCATAGACAGTCAGGTTAAAAGTGGTGGGGTGGTCATCCTTAAACTATGACTCAGTAAGTTGAACAAGTTTTAAATCATCTTCAAACTTCGATAAACTTGGAAAAACTCCATGGTGAAATATTTGTACGCTGACAAATCCAATAAGAGTTTGTTTTCCTCAGACTTTATGATCCTGTTAGGCGGACTTACGGCTCGAAGCAAACTCTAACCGCAGTTAAGAAGTTGGAAACTCCCACCATACATGAGCATTTCTTCAAAATAACTTTATACTGCTCCTCTGAAAGTCACTAAATCTGAATAGTTTCCACTGGGACACCTTCAAGGCTCTTATTTCTGTCCCAGCCGAGTAAAACACAATGAAAGCTGAATTGTAAAAACGTTGAGGATCTCACTCATAAACAGGAAACATCTCACCAGGAAACAAGCACACCCGTACAGACTGAAACAGAAACCCTGAGGTGTAAAAACGTCTCCTCTGAGGAGGTACAAGACAACAGAGTCAGACACAGAGATCGTCTCCAGACTTCCTCACATACTTGACCTCCAGACCTGAATATGACATTACGTAATAACAGGAAACTCTGTTTTAGCTCTGGATGATGGTTGAGAGGAGGACATGCATTAGTGCGTGTTTATGTTATGAGTTTTACTGGACCTACGATGATAAAGTAACAGTTGACAGCCAATTTGTTGCAATATGAAAAGATTAACTGCTTATTTATTATGTATTTATGATGAGTGATTCACTGTTGCATCTTCTTGTCTGTGGCTGCATTACTTTCCTTTTATAACTGACCTTTGAGAGGCAAAGTACATGATTCGTGTTGCTCTGACAACATGCAGATGTCAGCAATGGTTCTTAATTTTTTCAGCATTTGCTCTCAAAATATAAAAAAGCCAAACACCATCATTTTCCTATTTCTTACTGAGGCCTTTATGGTGAATTTACAGGAAGCATGTAGGCTGCAGTTCAGATCTAGAGCGCCTTCAAAATGCTTTTCAAAGCAAAAGCCCAATCTGTTTTTTCTATGGAGGCACTCCGATTGTTTTCACTTCATGCTTTTATTTAGAAATTGTGTCCAGGTTAGTCATTAGGTAGATTGTACTTCTCCTCGTTTGCATCCATCTCTGGGACCCTCTCACCGCTCAGCTGGTGTAAAAATGCACCTGATTGAGACCATTTCTTACAAAAACTAACCCTCTTCACCTCTAAAATGTTCAAAAACATTCCCTGATATGAAAAAAGTAAAAGTTTATGGATCAGATGTAGATAGACATAAACTAGTATGATCTCACCTCTCTCTCTCTCTCTCAGGGGGTGTCAGTGTGTCTAGATCTACTCATTATTACTAAACATTTACTGCCTTTTATAACAAAGTGTCAAACAAACAGTCCAATATCCTCCACACAAAGTTTCAAAGAGTTATAGTTTCATTAAAAGATAAAACGAGAAACCTCAATATTTTAATTTTCAGTGTTTAACTGCAGTTCACCAAAGAACCACTAGAGGCATCCAGATTTTTAAAAACACCTAAGCATCTCATTTAATTGGTAGAAGATGCTAATTACTGATATTTTGGGAATCTTTTGACTTGTGTTTTCAGACCTTTTTGAATAGAGTCATGGCTGTTTTTGTGTTTCCTAAATCTCTTCCCTTTTTAAACTTCTAATAACGTGAATCAGCCGAGTCACACTGCAGTCCTGATAATCACTGAGCTGTCACATGATGTCCATTGTTGTGTTCATGCACAGGCTGTAATTATTTCAATGGACCATGTTATGGAGCCCAGCTGGACATGTAAATTTTCTCAATCTGCTCTCTGATTGGCCGTTCATTAGGCATGTGATGTTTGTACAATGTTGTTGCCTGGTTACCGAGGCTCCATGAGGGAATGACATTGCAGAGGAGCGTTCAGGTCTATTTGTTTCCAATGATTTTTAACGTCCAGATTTTACTCCAAACCACAGTGAGGCTGTAGCAGACAGATGTCAGATTAGATTTGTTGAAGCTGATGTTCAGTATTAGAGCTTTTTTTCATGTGATTTCATCTTTTCTCTGCGTGTATATTTATTATAAATACAGGTGACCACTCTGGGTCTGTACAGTATCAAATCCATGAGGGAAAAACTGGTCTTATCTTGTATTGAATTTGCCAGCAACACATGTCCCACCGTGTTGCATCATCTCTTCTCCCAGTAACCGCCAGTAAACATTAGAGAAAGACGGTTTCTGAGGATTAGGCCAGTTTCTCAAGGTTTGAAAGTAAAATCTTGTCCCTTTCTCACCTGATCTTGACATTATCTTGCTAATATCTGCAGGGAAAATGTCATTGTCTGTATGGAAGCACCCCTGCTCCTCTAAAACCTCTATGTATTTCAGCATGAATGGTTTTTGGAAGTGCCCATGTGTTGGTTTCCAGGACAGAGTCGTGTCTGTTTCTAAAGCGTTGCCACCTGAAGGTTATTACCACCTAGTCCTGGTTTATGTCTTTGTCCCTTTTGTATAGAGATTTCTCCAGATTCTCTTAATCTTTGAATGATATTATGTAGATTAAATCTCCAAGTTATTAATTATTTCACCCTGAGAAACTTTTTAAAAATTTATTTGTTCACACAGTCCCTCACAAAGTAGTGACTTTTGTCCCATCTTTACTCCTGAGAGTCTCAGTTTTTCTAAAGTTGCAAATTAATCCCATTAGTTGGGAGATGGTCCCTTTTTTTTTTTTGGCATTTCACAAATTTTGTTGCTCCAGTATTTGTTGCTACATATTTTTACATATCTTTTTAAATACAACAAATTTTTCAGTTTAAAATTTTAACATGTAAGCCGAGTCACATAAGTATCGCAATTTTTTGTTTTACAATTTTTAAATAATTTTTTTTTGTTCAAAAGTCTTTTTTATTTTTTCAAATTTAAGAATAATTTTTAAAAAAATGTGATGTATATTTTTGGGGAAATATGGTTCCTGGAAGAATCAATCATAATCATTCAGCTGTTTCACTGGTGTCAAAAATGCAGACTACAATTAGAGAAAATTGACAATATCATAGAATCGCAATTTAAATCAAATAGGCATCCAAAAAATCGTCGAAGAATCGACTCGGAAGAAAAGTATATTGTCCCAGCCCTATTATCTTTGCACTCGCTTGATCGTAAAGGATTTGCAAACCATTAAATTCTGTTTTATTAACATTTGACAAACACCACTGAGTTGTACTTATTTTTTTTATTGGTTAAACAACCTTAATTATTATTTTTTATTGTTCTGTAAAACTTAAGTAATCACTGTATGTCCAACAACAGGCTGTGAGGAAAGTGTTATGTAATAATTTCAGAAAATTTAAGAGTCAGGCTGTCCTGGAGTGAAAAAACGGTTTTGAGTTTTGTGTCTAACAGGTGCTGGAAAAACTGGATGGAGCTTTTTTTTTCCATTTCCGACCCTGTCCAAGTAAAACAAATAAAATCTGGCCAAACCTGACACCCCCATGCCCGCTGAGAGACTTTCCACAAGAGTAAATCACATGATTCACCCACAGATACCAGGATGAATGATTCCTTTCACAGTACTGTCTTTTAGGTCAGACCTGAATCTGTGTCACTGTTGTTTTAGCTGTGTCAGTGATGTCCAGGTTTTATTATCACCTGGTTTACTTAGTATTACTTATCGCCATGCTATGTCTAATTCTCATATCTGATTGGTCGAAACCCTGTGACAGCAGTGATTTAATCTGGAAAGCATGAGTAACGCCAGCGACAGTGTGATCACAGACGTCATGTCAAATCATCTGATGAAGGAATCTGGAATATTTCACTTCTGCCTGTTGACACTGTGGCAAAATGTTAGCTTCTGTCAGCACTGGTAAACAAAAGAGTAGAAGACTTGATTACTTTATTATAACTTTCTGTTGAGCTTTATGGTTTTTCAGCAAAAAGGATAAAAAAGGAAAAAAAGCAGAAACATAAAAACAACTGAGTGAGACATCAACCAAATTGAAGAAAACGAGACACAAAGATGCCGATTATCTGCAGTTCAACTCGAATTTGAAACTGACAAAGTAAGAAATGGACAGAATTTTGCTGAAGTGCCTTGCTAAATGTTTAGTCAAACTGAAACTTTCAACGTCATATACAGGAGTCAACAGTTTACTCATTTTACTTAGAGTTGCGCCACACCATCATGTGATGTCTAAACAACCAGATGGTGTTGTGCAAGAAAACAGACCCAGAGGAAAAGACATGCCAGCAGCAGAGCCGGAGTAGTGAAGTTTTTAATGAATTTATTTAGCAGTTAACTGTAAAATAAAAGGCCGATACAGATAATCAACCAAATATCAGCCACAATAATCAGCCGAAGTTTATAATCGGTCCATCCCTGACTTAGTGTTAGAGAGAGAAGGGTTTAAGCCGTCCTCCTACATGAAGACTTTCGTTGCTTCTAACAAAAGTCAACAGTGTGGGGTTTTCGTGCAACTGTGAAGCTCCTCTGTTTTTAGTAGTTTAGCTCAGTAAAGGTAACGTTTGTACGAAAAAGAATTAGGGCCACAAGAAGAGAAAAAAAATTAATATGGGGGGATAATATTTTAATTTAAATTTCGAGATTAAAGTCAGAATTTCAAGATTGAAGTCGAAATTTCGAGGTTAAAGTCAAAATTTAAAAAGTTGAAATTTCGACTTTATTCATGTCGACTTTAATCTCAAAAATGTTGATATTGTTCACATTTCGATTTTTTAATCTCGAAATTTCGACTTAAATCTCCTTCCTGTAATTTTTTTCTCTTGATCACAAGCATCACAAGATAATGAGAAAACAAAGTCAGCAATGTGCAGTTTTTGTGCAGCTGCAAAGCTCTTTTAAGTATTTCTGCTTTTTCGATTTTCTTATCTACAAAAAATCTACGAAAAGAGAATTAGGGCCACAAGAAAACATTAAAAATGTATAACAAGAGGGAGATTTTTTAAATTTCCATTTCGAGATTAAAGTCGAAATTTTAAAAAGTCAAAATTTCGACTTTATTTATGTCAACTTTAATCTCAAAATAGTAGTTTTTCTCATCTCAAAATTTCGACATTATTCATGACATTTCGTCATTTTGAAGTCTCGAAATTTCCACTTTAATCTCCTCTTTTTTTTCCTCTTCATGTGGCCGTAATCCTCCTCAGTAGAAATCAAACGTTGAAGGTCTGTCAGTCATTTTTTACTTCTACTCAGCCTGAATTTTTAAGTGCACCACGTGTTCGAGTCGTAGGTGTTGTCTTTGAAATGAGTCCAGCTCAGCCTGATGTGGGTCAGAGGGTCACGTCCTGCAGGCGGAGGTTATCCTGTGTTCACATTAAGACTTTATCGCTGTCACTGCCAGGTCTACATGAAGTCAAACAAAACTTTAAATCAGCGATCCTTGAGCGGCTCACATGTCAGAGCCAAGAAAAGAAAAAAAATACCCTGTTTCCGCTCTTCTTTGAGCCTATTGTGCTTTGTTTAGTCACGCCGCCGTTATTCCCCCTCATTAAAACATGTATAAACTGGACTATCAATACTCCTCCGCCAAAGACAGGGTGTGAACCTTTTCTGCTGCCGCTAGTTTGCGTGTGAAGAGAGAGGCCTATCATATCAGCTGTGTGAGAGTTTAAACAGCACACTCGCAGCAATCTGCTTTTTCACTCTCCAGGTCCTTTATCCAGCCGGAGCAGTTTTCCTGTCCGTTATTCTTCCTATCCCTCCACAGGAAGGCCGCCCCCCGCCGCTGCTTCCGATCCTGAGCTTTCCTCCTGGACTCGGACAACCCTTTTCCTTAACTTTGTCGTCTTATGTTGATAATTTAGAAGCCCCACATATGAGATATAACTGAGTGGATCTCTCAGATGAATAATAAAAGGCATTAAAGGAGGTGTTTGTCGTTTTATCTGTTTACCGCTCCTGTTTGTGTTTGCTCTGAATACCCTCTCAGATTTTCAACCTCATGTTGTTTTTTCTTCTTCTTCTCTTCAGGAACACGGAGGACTTCTCCGAATCTTCCCTGAAGGAAAAGCCCAGTTTGCCGATATCGAGCCCAAATTCGACCGTCTGCTGCTGTTCTGGTCAGACAGACGAAACCCTCACGAGGTTCAGCCCGCCTTCGCCACCAGGTCAGCATCCTGACGTGTCGGCCCGCACACGCTCAGAAGATTCAGCCCAACAGAGACTCACAGTCTTGCTTCTGTCTCCGCAGGTATGCCATCACGGTGTGGTATTTTGATGCAGACGAGCGAGCCAGAGCTAAAGAAAAGTACTTAACGGGTAAGATTTCCTGTCACTCTTACAGATCCTGGAAACCATGATTCAGAATAAGATTACCGGTAGTATGATGAATCACTGTGGTGAGCCTCAAGACAGAGCTGTCCATTCACCAGTCAATCTAGTGCTGGGCTATAGGGCCTCAAATCAATATCACAATTAATCGATGTCAATGAACGTACTTTTCTTTTTGGTGTTGTCTTTTTCATCATAGTTTGCGGCCAAGCTCTCTGTGCCTCCCAGGTGTACACCCAAGATTAATCATAGGAAAGCGTGATATCGGCACAATATCAGTGTCAGCAGATAATGACTCAAAGTTAACCGTTAGTGTCAGCAGATATGAATTATCGGCTCGAAAGTGACGCAAAAATACGTCCACGCAGAGACAGCTTAGACAGCCCAGCATGACTCTGAAATACACTCAATACATGACTGTAAGGTAGGGCTGGGCGATATGGCCTCAAATCAATATCACAATATATTGATCAGTTCACCTCGATAACGATAAATGTACGATGACTACTCCACAAGCTGCTCACCCCCTCCCACATTAACTTTGTCTACTTCAGCCGCTACAACTTTTGAACCGTCCTCCATCTCCTCACCTGTCTTTACCTCTTTGTATCATCTTATAGGGACATGAGACCATAGTCTACCTACACACGTCCAAAACCAGCTTTTATTTATTTATTTATTTGACACCGAATATACCGTTATGGGCAAAATGACGTTGGTTATTGTCGTAAATTTATGTATCGGTAAATTTTCGGTTTATCGTCCAGCCCTACTTTACAATAAAGGTGTGTAATATCGGCAAAAATCCAGTATCTTGCATCTCTAGCGTCATTTTGTTTTAATTTTAATTTCTGAAGGCCTTAAATTTAATATCCACAAATAATAAAATTCATTTTAAACAGTCAGTTAGTAATTTGGAAAAATTCATTTTGCGCATTCATTGAGCGTTTCCAGATATCTGTGACGGCAGCAGTGTCTCTACTCGTGTGCATGTTTACATTTTACAGTCATGTGACACACAGATACAGATGCTGCATGAACGAGACACTTCCTCCGTGCTTTTAAATGAGGAGCTGCTGTAAAGTGTTTTTCATGTTTATGCTCAGAGGTAGAAAAGGAGTGTATCACTTACAGATGATTGCTCCTTCTTCTGTTGGCTCATGCATGTACAGGTGCACCAACCTGATTGTCACATGCACTGGAGCTGCCAAGGAGATGTCAATCAGAGTGTGAATGACTGCATTCAAACAGTCTGAACATGTAAAATCAGCTGTTTGTTCAAAGAGTTCAAGGTTGTTTTGGAAGGTTCAGACTTCAGTGGATGTTTCTGACAAACTCAGACCTCAGTTTTTGATTTAAACTGTCTAAAGGCAGATCTTCAGGTTCTTAATTATCATGCACCTGTGCTCTGAAATATCATCTCTTGTTCTTCTTTGCAGGTGCAGGAGAAAAAGGAGTAAAAGTTGAACTTGGAAAACCCTCCGACCCGAGCTAATGGGACGCCTACACCCTCCACAAACAGCCAATAAGTGCTCTGTCCTCAGAAAGTGGCCTAAAGAGAGCATGTGTGTGTGATTTACGTGGCAGATCAGCAGACTTTTGCTCGAGCGGGTGGAAGATCCACGCTTCTTGGAGACAAAACAAATACGCAGTGATTTCTGTTCATTTTCAGCTAACGGGGGCGACCCGGCGGACCTTGAATGTCATGACGTTGTACTGAAAGGGATTGTGTGGATTTTGTTTTCTCCTCTCCGCTTTCTGGTTCCAGCGGACATCTTCAGAGAGAGGATCGACATCTTTTTGCGTTTTGCGTTTTTTCAGTTAATTCCTTAAAGGTACAGTGTTCTGCATATGCTTAATGTGTTATGCTTTTCACATGGAATCAGCTGTTCTAAGCTACTGTATGGCAAAATGTGCTTGAGTTTGCAATAATACGAGGAATGATTTGAATTAAAAAACAAAAAACACCCTTTTTCTGAACCCGCTCTCCAGTCTCCTCTCTATAATCACCACAATCATACATCTGACTCATGTTTTACAGCCGGTCCTGATTATTAATTGTCTCCACTGCTGCCCTGTTTGCGTCACATGCAGTCTTATGCCGCCCCCTGCAGGCTGACAGTATACTGCACCTTGTATAACATCCTTGGACCCGGGCCCAGTTGTCTTCAAGCTTCTGTTTTGAGTTTGGCTCACAGATCATGTCAATTTGGAAAGAAAGGGTCTGTTCATGAGGAAGAAAGGATTTTAATTTGAATTAGACTCGGTAATCCACTTTTTATGTTTGATCCGAGTCAAACTACCCGAGTGTGAAGCTTGAAAAGGAGGATTGGGACGCCTCTGGTCCAAAAACTCAGGATAATCCTGATCTGTGCAGGATTCTTACATCAGCCAGTCAGCTACAAGTTTCACATCTGTCATTAACGCTTCATTAAATATTGTAACTGTAGTCCAAACATATGCTGATGTGAGTACAAACCTTCCTCTGGACTCCAGGATATTAAAGGGATATTCTGGCATAAATTTAAATTAGGGTCAAACACACCGTAACACAGAGTTAACACCGAGACACCCCCGACAAGAGATGAATGTTTCCGACCGCTTGCTTCTCAAGTTATACCAACTTTAGTAACGACCGCAGGATAGTGATACACAGCTGTCTGAAGAGCCATAAACAAACCTCAACCGAAATGCCACTCTATAGCCACAAATAATGCTCAGGACCAAACACAACTCACCCACTCTCCTCCAGCAGCCGCTTGTTTGTAGGGGAGCCCTGATGAGTCGATCACCGAGGGCAGCAGAGTTTCGCAGCTCAAGGAAGAACATTTAACCTGGACATGTCCTCTTTTTGGGGGGCTGTCTGGGTTTTTCAGGCTTGGTCTGGGGAAGTTTATAAAATCCTTCAAATGTCCGTGGTTATGTACATAAGTTCCGAGTTTGTGTCACGTGGACTTACTGAGTTAGAAGTGCATAAAAGACACTCGATCCAACCCTAAAAACTCAAAATTAACTTCATGCGACTGTGACTGCGCCCTGCCTAGTTGTGTCCTCTTTTTGGGAAGTCAGAATATGGTCACCCTACTATAGAGTGGCATTTTGGTTGAGGTTTGTTTACGGCTTCTCAGACCGCTGTGTATTACTATCCTGCGGTCGTTACTAAAGTTGGTATAACTGGAGAAGCAAGCGGTCGGCAACATTCATCTCTCGACGGGGCGTCTACCTCAATGTTGCAGTGATTTTGACCCTAAATTAATTTTACGCCGGAATATCCCTTTAAATATCACTGAGTTGTCTTGGATTAAGGTGTGAAATAAGAACAAATGATGTATTTTCCACAGCATATTTTGCTTTTTTTTAATATGAATTAAATGAGTCTCCCTACGCATGTAAAAAATCTGTATGAAAAAGAACTGGTCCATAGACAGTACATAAAATAGTAGTACAGTACACTTTACAAAAGTCAGGAAATATATTAGCAGTATTAAATATCAACTATACAGTTAAAATGTTTAAGAGAGAACAAAGTCGGGAGGAACTTTGTACAAGTTTTGTGCAAATTAAAGTCTCATCAGTGGACTTGGATACTGGCAGAGAGACGTTTGTTAGTTCTTCTAGTAGAAATAAATCAACTGAATGTTTGGAGTGAAGGGCTGAATTCAGCCTGATGTGCCTCTGACACTAAGAGAAAGAGACTGTGCAAAAATATACAAATACAAAAGAAACAGGTCCCCAGGTGAGCAGGAGTCACACCTGTCAGTAATGTCCGAGCTGCTCTGGAGGAGCAGGGAGGAGGTAACTGTCGTCTCCTCCGATGTAGGCGCTGATCCCGCTGCTCTGACTCCCCCACTCGTAGCTGTCGGCCGCCAGACTGAGGAGAAGACGGAAATTTGACAAAGTGAGGAAAAATGTATTTATCATAGATGTCCTCTATAGCTGCTCTTAGTTAGCGTTCAGGTGTCAACGTCTCTGTTCTTACCTGGCCTGGATGTTCTGAGGCATGACGCTCCACGCTAAGTCATCATCGCTGTCATATCGCCGTGGGTTGTCAAAGAAGTACGACCTCGAGGAGAAGACGTGACTTGGGATCCCAGAGCCGCTCTAAAGAAAAAATAAGAAATGGTTTGTATCTGCTTTCTGAGTGAGCTCTGCAAAGGCATGAACATCTGCATTAACGGGTAAAATATTTAAACCTCTTTTAAATGTTTTTTGAGAATTATTATTTCTTCATTAGACCGAATCTCTGACTGTAAATGTTCGCTCACCCTGTCCTGGTTCGGCTGCCGAACTCTGAAGAAGAAAACTACGAGAGACGTCGGCAGCAGCTCCCACACAAACAGGACCACTCCGAAGACGACATAGCCGGCGTCCCCGAGAGTCGACTGTAAATCAGCCTGAAAAACAAACAAACATTCACTTTTACTTTCCCAGAATCAAATTCATGAAAAAGGGCGAAACAGCTGACTGAAATCTGACTTTTTCCTGAAGGTTTCTTTTTGTTTTTGTGAGTCATTATCACAAGGTTTGATGATGAAACTGACACATGATAAGATAAAATAACTTCAGTTTTGGTGTCGTGTGTATTACGGTAATGGAAACCTACATTTCCTGAGTAAAGGAGTATTTGGATTAATTATGGATTAATTAGTCCTGAAGGTTTCTGAATCTGAGAGTTATGACTGGAACATCTGAGTGTATTTTCTTTTTACTTTTCCTGTTACTCCTTAGAAACACTACGCTACTGTCAAAGATGGTAAAAGTCGTAATCTGTCGATCAAACTCTCAGCAAATATACAAAACCATTTCAAAGATGTCAAACTTCATGGAGGATCACCTGGTCTGAGACGTTGTACCAGTCGTAGTCGAAGGAGTTGATGCTCTTGTTGGAGAGCGCGAGGACGACCAGGTTGTAGCAGGCCCGCGATGCGTAGAGGAGGATGACGGTGGCTCCGATCACCGTCACCTGACACACTGACGTCCCCTGAGCAGATACAGAAATCACACATCGAGTTTACTTTAGGAGGAGCTTCAGTTCAAAACAAACAAAACCTGACAGAGATGAGACCAAGTTGGGTGGCAAAAAAAATTCTTGATTTGGGGATGATCTGGGTTAAAAACTTGACAGGTGGTACCCCCAAGTTCACCCTTCCTTGATACTATTGTGTGTGTGTGATTGGGGTGTGGGGTGAGCAGAGGTGTGAAGAGGGGGGATGGGGGCAGAAGGAGAACAATAGAGGATCAGGAGGAAATGTTTGAGGAGAGATTTGGCTGATTCCAGGAGTAAAGTGTCGGGAAGCCGGGCGTCTGATCCAGAGTGAGGAAACCGAGGACACATCTAGAGCTGCAGGTGATCCTTGAGCGTCTCTAATACTGGAGGGGGAGCAGAGGAACTGTGAGAGCTGGGCTCAGAGGGAGCATCCAAGGACCAGTGAGTCTACCACTTTGGAGTTTTTTTTTTTTTGCAGTGCATTGCTGACATTTCCCTTTTCAATGGATAATTTTGTCTTTGGGACTGTGGAGGAGTAGTTTTTGTTAGACTAAGGCGGTTGGATCAGGATCGTACCTTGAGAATTTTTGTTGCCTTTTGTTCCGAAGGGAAATCGGACACTGAACAGGGGGAACTGTTGGGACTCATTCTTTTGGTTTTGATTACTTTTGGGGTTAAACTGATTATATTGTGTTGGGGTCGTTTGTGGGGAACAGAGAGTGACCATAGTCTGACTTCCCTAAAAGAGGACACAACTTCGTGGGAGCGGAGTCACAGAGTCACACAAAGTTAATTTTGAGAGTTTTTCTAATTCAGTAAGTCCATGTGACACAAAATCAAAACTTTCGTACAAAACCACAAACATTTGAAGGATTTTATAAACTCCCCCGAACAACCTGGACAGCCCCCAAAAAAGAAGACATGTCCAGGTAAAGGAGGACGTATGATCACCCTCGGGAACAGGAAGATTTGTGTGACGTGGGGCTGGGCGATAAGGCCTCAAATCCACATCAAGAAGAATATCAAGAAAAGCTCGTATCAATATCATGGCTTTGGACTAAAACTGGTGAACACTGAAACGTTCTCTGTGGTGATATTTATATGTTAAAATTAAAGCTGATCGTTATAAAGTCAATCTTGTATTGGAGGAAAGTCTATTTCTGGACGAGTCTGATTTTCCTGCTCATCCGTACTGTTACCCCCACAGCCATGTTGATCCTTTACATACAGACACTTAGTGTAGAGGGATGCTTGATACCTTCATGAGGAAGAAAGGCGCAGATTAATCCAGTCATTAGAGCCGGGCGATAAATCAGATTTCAATTACATTTATGGCTCCACACCATCATAAAAATATGATGATCCACACACGAGAGCGATTAATGTGCCGCCTACTGTGTTGGCGTTCAACATATTTTCAAATCATACAAAATAAAGACCCTCTTTTTAGCTGATTTCAAAGACCCTGAAATCTTTTTAATTCAGAAACGGTTTGAAGTAGAAACGATGATTTCTGAACACCCAGAGGGTATAAATCCACCTGCTCAGATTGGATTCCTCTCTCAGTGATAAAGTTTCTCACCTTTGACTCCAGGTAAATGTTGGCCAGAGACATCTTAGCGATCTTGTAGAGACACGCGGAGAGCGAGATGGCGCACAGGACGAAGAGGGTGTCATTGATGGCGACCCTGATGAGAACGATGGTGTGGACTTCTGCAGAGGACATTTTCACCAGCAGAGCACAAACCAGGTTCACCACCAAGAAGAGCAGGCTGATGGAGAGGAAGAGGAGGTACAGAGGCAGCCTGAGGAGGAAGAAGGAGGAGAGGAGACACTTGTGAACACCAAGAATGAAAACACAGCCAGGTAGAACACTAACATTTTAGCAAAAGTTAAACACATGCACAGTAAGAGGGCATTTTAAACATGATAAAAACAAGCTGCAGTCATGAATCAACCCTCTGTTCAATGGTTTTATTGCATGTCTGAGTCAAATGATCTGATCCCCATAAAGAGCCTAAACTGGTCTTACCTGTATCTCAGAAGCTCAGGTGCATATTTGGACTTTGCCTTGAAAACAACCTGCGAAGAGAAATAAAAAAAAAAACTGATCATGTAAATGCGCCACAACCTGCTTTGAACAACCTGCTTTCACTTCTGTTTTCTGTCACTTCTATAAACAGCCGATCTCTCAGAAACAGGAACTGAGCGGCTGAAAAACAGCTGAGTTTATGATGTACAGTAATCACACCGCTCAGTGACACAAGTAATGATTTGTCTGTCGGCCAACTCGACTTCATGACTCAAATCAACACCAGAGGATACATCTAAAAATAAGCTTTAAGAAGACAATAGAGGAACTGTTGTTTGTTATTCGATGAAAGACGGAGATAAGAGAAGATTTACACACTGTGAGTCTTATCGAGATAGAAGAGAGTGAAACTGACAACAACCAACTGATTCTACTTGATTTTTGTCTTATTTTCTGACACTGCTTCTGTAACTTTCTGGTCTATATATTAAAAAATCCATCATCATTCAGCATTTCCGCCTAGATCTCTTAATATATATCTCCAGCTGGATCAAACACGTCAAATCAAATCAATCTCCAAAGACGAGTTCCAGCACATCTGACCTCTGCCTGTTGACACTGCGGCAAAAACACACGTAATCTATATCTCAGACTTGTTTTGAGCATTAGGGAATAATGACGTTTAGTGCGAAATGGGGAGAACCACTGAATCACTAACCAGGCCTGAAAAGTAGAAGTGAATCAACTTCCTGTCCTGCAATCTGTGCAACCGCAGCAAATCTAGTGAAAACATCTCTACAGTTCTAGTCTCTAGTTTAAGTCACTTAAACCATAAATAGAGATACACCAATCCATTTTTTTCCAATCCGATACCGATAACTGGGCCGAGCGTATTGACCGATAAACTGACACTGATCCAATACTAATGTTGAATGAATGAACTGTATTCCTTGTTCTTTGAGTGAAGGTATCAGGCTTGACATAAAATAAAGGTAACAAATTAAGACAGATATAAATTAACTTAGTATTATTTATTAACAAATAACAAATTACACATCAGCACACAGCAAAAAGAAGTAAGACTTCCATGCATTAAAAGAAAAATTAATTTAAAGAAAAAAAAGACTGGATCGGAACGCTGGATCGGTGTCATTCATCCAGTATCCATCTAGTTAATTTGTAAAAATCGGAGCCGAGATCGGTGCTTCCCTAACCATAAAAGCAACTATGCTAATATGTGTGTCATTCATGAATTGTGACTACATTTTCTAACTGTACAAAGAATTATTATTATACAAGGATCTTGCTCACCCTATCGGGATTCTAACCACCTGTTCACTATACATTATCCCTTTCTTACAGTATTATTACATTATCTACCTCACTCTAGCATAGTTAAGATCTATTTCGCCGTCTGACTCTCGATGTTGACACAGGAAGCAAACGCAGAAATATGTTGTAATGAATGCGCTCAAAATATCTTTAAACATTCACAAGCTGTTATTGCTTCAATGTGTGTTTTTTAATATCAAGACTGTGCATTAATCAGGCTTTGTCCTCTTCAGTGTCAAATAAAGATCCAGTAATCCATATTTTTATGAGCTTCATCGTTTTTTAATTAAAGTTGTTTGTCTGGATTGAGTGAAAATATGTTAATATATCAGTAAGCCTTCTGCAAACTGCTTCAACTTCCTTTAACTGGGGTCAAGAGAGGTAATATATTGATTTTGTAAGTCTAGTCCAAACAGTCTCTGAGTAGCTGAGAGAAAAACAACAAGTGTTGCAAACATCTCGAGCCTGACCTCTCTGGACTCGACAACCAAAATAATCTTCCAACACCAGAAAAACACCAAGTGGAGACACTTTGTTGACACTCACTAACCTCTGATAGTGTAACAGTACGTCTGGCACTTCTCTCAAACATTTCTGAAGTTCTTAGTAGACCGGCTACATTTCATAAAACAGCTCACACACGCAGCAAAGCGCAATAGTTAACCTGTAAGTGATTATTAGTCTCCCCAAACCCCTAATTGTGTCTTTGAGTGAAGTTATTGTGTCATTGGGGCTAAATGACGCATTTCTTTCTTGCTGTGTGAAACCAGGGTGGTAAACTTGTTTGGATGTTTTGACAGGAAGAAAATACTGTAACACATGTTTTTTTAAACTCTTAAAGGGATATTGCGGAGTAAAATTAAGTTAGGGTCAAACACACCGTAACACTGAGTTAGACACCCCCTCGAGACATGAATGTTACCGACCGCTTACTTCTCTAGTTATACCAACTTTAGTAACGACCTTACGATAGCAATACAGAGAGCCACGCGCTCAACCAAAACGCCACTTTTTAGCCACAAATAATGCTCAGAACAGCACCTAACTTCATCAACAGGACATATAGGGTCACAGACATAGTACTAGCCACCAAACATCTTTTTAACTTTGACTAACTTCTTTAGCAAAGAGGCTAAACACAACTCACCTACTTTCTTCCAGTAGCCGCTTGTTTGGCCAGTCCATTACGGTCTACAGCGGGGTGACGCAGCTCAAGGAAGAACATTTATGATCATTTCTTTATCATTTCCTTGAAGTAATAATCACCATATTAATCATTTTGCACTGTAGACGCGGTAGTTCTTCTGCCTTAGCGTCTCGCTCTGATTGTATTTCCATGAAGAAATGATCATAAATGTTCTTCCTTGAGCTGTGAAACTCCACTGTAGTCCATAATGGACTGGCCCGAGGTTTCACTACAAACAAGCAGCTACTGGACGAGAGTAGGTAAGTTGTGTTTAGTCTCTTTGCGAAAGAAATCAGGCAAAGTAGAAAAGATGTTTGGTGGCTAGTACTATGTCTGTGACCCTATATGTCCTGTTGATGAAGTTAGGTGCTGTTCTGAGCATTATTTGTGGCTATAGAGTGGCGTTTTGGTTGAGCGCGTGGCTCTCTGTATCTCTATTATGTGGTTGTTACTAAAGTTGATATAACTAGAGAAGCAAGCAGTCAGCAACATTCATCTCTGGAGGGGGTGTCTAACTCGGTGACCCGTAACTTAATTTTACACCAGAATATCCCTTTAATAACTAATGTACTGGACTGTTTTTCTTTAACCTTCTGCTGTTTGTTGTCAAAGTGAAGACTGCTGAACAGTCAAAGTCCTCATATTCAGATTTGTGCATCTGAAAATCACAGCACAGGCTCAAAATCAAAAAAAGAACATAATGTTTTCAGGAGTGCAGCTGGTGTTGAGAAAAAACTGTCACAGCATCAATTTTTGTGCAGACTCACCTGTGCAAAGTACAGGTTCATGAGGCTGAGGGTGAAGAACTGGAGGCAAACAGGGAAGCAGTAGAGCAGCCAGAAGGGGAAAGGCCCCAGAGTGTTGGCCGTCACAAAGTTCCTGAAATAGAAGGAGAAGAGGAGGGTGCGAAGGGCCGACCAGAGCAGGCACAGCGACAGGAACACGGTCTGGTAGCTGAACCGTTTGTGTCGGTACCGGAGGACGAGCCAGAGCTGCACGTAGACGAAGATGAAGAGGAGGGAGTAGAAGACGGTGTAGGCTACGGTCAGGCCCAGAGTCACGTACGGGGGCACAGCCGGGCTCAGGGTAGGCAGAGGCAGGGACTTATCCACGGACGGCTCCTTCTCCTCCGCCGGGGCCTCCATGAGCTGCTCTGTCCGGCCGCAGGAGGAGAAGGAGGAGGAGGAGGGAGCGGGGAGGCTGCGCCGGTGTTCTCCGCCGGGTCTCTCGGAGAGAGGTGACAGCCGCGGAGAAAAGATGGAGGAGGAGCAGGTTGTCAAGTAGAGGAAGAAGAAGCGAAACACGGGGAGGAGAAATCGAGGCGGACTTCCTCAGACAGCCGGGGAGAGAGGCACATGATCCGCGATGAGAAAGAGCCGTTTGAGGGGAGCTGAGGCAGCGGCGGCGGGCAGGAAGGAGCTGAGCGGAGGAGCGACGGCAGGCAGGAGGAGGAGGTCAGCGGCGCGAGGACCAGCCCCCCGCCCCCTCCAACCCCTCCGCGTTCTTTACGTGACGTTACGTATCAGCTGACGCACGCTCGTGTACCTTTAACCCTGTCATGGCGCTTGTTCCCACCGCTGGAGGATCCCAGGAGAGCAGATTTCGAGAGGAGGAGTTTTCAACAGGAGGCAAACTCCGAGACCGACAAACACAGGAACAAGGAGGTGATCAGAATCAATACAACATCGATGTTTTTAACAGAGTTACGTCCGTCCAAACTTTACGGTAACATTTACCGGGTTCAGAAGAGTAGGGGAGACCGGGGTTTGTTGTCATTCTGAAGTACATAACTTATGGTTAACCCTAGAACAATATCGCTAAAATTAGTAACTCCATCACTATCGCTGGGTGATTTTTACCCGAAATAATATACCCAAGAAAAAGCACTTGTCATCAACATATATCAAAATAGGACAATACATGACAAATGAAAGTAGTTTTCTTTCATTTTAAGTGTGCAGTGTCTAAAGGGAGGGAAAAAAAGTGCCATATATATATATATATATATATAAATAGTATAATATATGTAGATACCAGTTCTTTGTGGTAGCCATTATCATTTATAGTATTTGTGTATTGTGTGGATGAATGGCGAGGGGGTGAATGCTTTACCCTCAATCACTATTGCTTTGTGAAAATCACCCTGTGAACACGTGCCTGTAGGAAAAAGCAGGTTTTGGATCAGGGAAACAAATATGCCTTCAAAGATGTCAAAGGCAATACTGAAGCTACCCAGAGACCCATGATACTTAGACAAACGCAATATCATGAAAATCCCGTAAACATATTTGGTCAGGTGAAAATCACCCGGCGATAGTGTTCTAGGGTTAATAAATCTTTCAGTGGTAATTCCTACATTGTCTTACCAGAATAAACTTATAGTTAGGTTACATGACGAGAACAGAGCTGTGAGAAAATCAAGTGAAATTTTAACATCACTTTCATATATATGTGAACAGTTATAGAAGGTTTTTGGCCTCTTCTTGCAGCTGTTTTAAACTGAAAAGTTTCCCTCATTATAAATTTACGGATCACTTTGTTTGAAACATCACTAGAGTTGCCCTTAAATTACGACCGTGAGTGCTACAAGTCAAGGAGAGAGACTTTAGTTTCTGAAGCTATAATCTAATAAACATACAGACACAAGGGCCGTGTTTTTTTAGTTGGTGATAGTGGTGTTTTTTTGTTTCACAGGACTGGGGCATGTGAACATGGAGGAGGCCAAGGATGGAGGTCAGTCCTCATCACCTTTGACCTCTGTAATACATTAATCTTTTCACACACAGGGAATCCACCGCCCAAAAACACTAAATAAGATGCTGCCAGCTACAGTTTTCTTCTCTTGGTTTTTCAACATAACTTCATTAGCATTTATTGCTTTCACTGCCCATCTTTCCCAATTTTGATCTGGGTGTTGGAGGACAATAAAGCTCATATGGTTGATTATTTAACATAATTGGTGGGCATGAATTGTGGAATGAGTGCATATTGTGAAGGGTTTCTTAAACAAGTGCTCATATTTTCATTCAACCACAAGTTCCTATAGTTTTTTTAAGAAAAGCTCATGCTGCTTTTGTCCTTTATCTGTGAGATATAAAGATATACAGTATCTGTCTCTGTTAATCAAATCTTTAAAATCTATTAATAGACGAGGACAAAATGACTAAATAGACTCTTTATGACTGCGTCCTTTCTGGAAAGTTTCTGAAAGCCTTTTAGAAATGGAAGATGAGATAAAAATGTGAATATTCGGGGTGCCAAATGATGACAGCTTTGTTCGTTTTTAGAGCTTCCTTTCTCCAACTCACCAAAGTCTCTAGTTCTTTATGTAAATTAAAAATGTAAAAATAGCAGTGTGCATGAAAGCGCACAGTTTGACTGTCCTCTGCAGTTTCCAGGCAACACAGTCAAAAGAAGCAGCCTGCACTTAAACACCTCTCAGATAGTGACATCACCAGCACAGGCTAAATTTACCATCAGACACTGAAAGGCACAAAAAGTACTATAATGCATTTCCTCTCTGTTATGTGATCAGTAATAGTGTCATTAAAGAGACAGTTCGTATAAAAACCTAAGCACTGTTTATGGGTGATTTGTTCTTAGTTTAGTACACGGCGAAGCACATATATTCACACCAACAGAAATCATGTAGCATTGTCCATGTGTTAGATACATTTATCACTAAAAAACATTTTATCTTTAAAAGGACTTACCAAGAAACCCAAATAAAGGTGAACCAGAAGGGGGCGCCATTTACCCATGTATAAATTACAAGCCTGGAACTTAATCAAGAGAGGAGAAACAAAGTCCTGTGAGGGGATATTCGAAATAAAAGACATTTATAGTATCTTTATAAAGTAGTTTGAAATTCAAATGACTCTTTAATAACATACTTAAAATAAAGGATGTATAAAATGCAATAAAACAAACTTTGATGGTTTGCAAATCCCCTACAGCCCATATTTAATTTAAAATAGAGCGAAGACATCAAATCAATCTGACACAAGAGGAGCTGAAAAAGGAGTTTGTCCTGAGGGTGGTGCTAAAGATGGTTCCTGGATTCATTAGATTCACAAGGTTTTCCATTTAATGGAGGGATAATGAGCCCTTTGAATTTGACAGGAATCTGCTCATTATGACCTGAGTTAGGAAAAGAAATGAAAGGTTTTGACCTGAGGGTGGGTGAAGCTGTAAGCAGTCTAACCATATAAATTTTAATTTTTTGTCTTTCAAATGATAGTTTTAGAGAAAGGGTGCAACTGTGGAGCCCCTAAAGTTCAACAAAGGTGATATTTAATGTCTTTTGTACACATGGTTAGTCATTTTGGAAGTGGATGTAAGCGATGATCCACTACAATAGGCTATAATCTGGCACCTTTGGCACCAGAACCCTGAGGTATGCTGGTTAAATCGTGGTCAACTCCTCTCACCCCAGACCAGAAATTTATAGTAGTAATGAGACCAAAAAAGATACTTGGACACAAACAGCTAGAAGGATGCTTATTTTAAATTAATCTAGCATTTAGTACTTAAATCATCCCAGCAGAGAGCGCTCATGTAACATCATTAAATCCCAAATGCTTTCTGCAGGGCTCCCCTTTGGTAAATGAAAAATTTCCAGTGCCCCCCTTTATTCACCATAGATAAAATCATATCAATATATGAGAAAATACTATTGGACCATCCCTTTACACTAAACTCTTGTGCCTTCAGAGTAATTCGGGGCATTGCCAACTTCAGTGTGTGGTAATAAACCACTTCTGTAAAACAAGCAAGTAGTAGAGACAGGGAAATGTGCAACCGATTAATTTTTAATGTTAGGGTTGGCACACCATTGGTAAAAGAATCAGATGATTTTCACTCATTCTAGCTAGATTCTCATGAAGTCTCTAGCTGAAATAAAGCTCTGTGTGGACAGTATTTTCTCAGGGTGCTATACAGCCAGTTTCCTCCTGCTGTACACAATGCCTAATGCACCTGAAAAACAAATTTAGTTTTAGTGCACAAAAGGGTGTTCAAAAACTACAGTTATCAACAAAACAGAATAACAGTAGTAATCCCAAAGGTTTCAATATTTATTTAGTTATGCACATCATCATAATTCAGATTTCATAATGTTTTTACAGGGTCTCAAAACACAGTTGAGTATTTATAATCCAGTCAGGTAACAATGAACGATTGTTTGATCAAATGAACATCAGGAGAGCAGGTTAGCTGGAGTTCTTGGCAAACATTTTTGTCATTTATTAAGTATCATTACAGACAAATGATCATGATGAAGTGTTGAATAAAGGGTCAGAGGTCTCCTCATGTCAGTATTGATCAGTATTTGGACCTATACACACTCATATTAAAATGTCACTCAGTATAGTGAACTGAAGTGTTAGACGGATGACTGACTGCTCACAGGGCAGAAACCATATACCCATCATGCCCCTCATTATCCCAGCTGGAGAGGAGTCTGATAGCCTCAGCGGCATGCCTCAGATGATTAGTGTATGGTACAGTGCTCTGTGATATTGTCCTTTACATAATGTTTCAATCACACAGGCCATGAGGCTCTGTTGCTGGTAACTGGTCCATGCTCTGATGTCTATGCTCTGATGGCCCCTTGGACTGTGTCCAAATCTGCCAATACAGCTCCAGTGTTGTTGTCCCCCTGGAGACCTTTGGACCTCCCACACAGGGGCCTCTATAATTTACCATCTTATCATTCAAACAGAGATGACTGCTCTCTCCTGTGTATAAGAATATCCGTAACACCAGCATAGAGTTTACCTTAAGCATGTAAAGAAGCATAAATAAGTCAAAGTATGTTACTGTAAGTTATGGTATGTTAGAGTATGTCAAAGTATGATACATTACAATGTGATGTGGAGTTTAATAACGTACAATATGATACCATACAATATTAAACAACACAGTATGTGAGTGTAGGTTTCAGTGTGGTGTCAGGAGGAACACAACTACAGTAAATAATTGAACTGATGAGAAAAGATATGATACAAATGATATGAGAGTTTGTGCAGCTGTGACATGATACATTTCAATGAGAAGGGTTCATTATGATACATTTGAGCATGGTAGTGTGATACAGTGTGATACTTATACAGTAATCTATTGCATAAACGGAATATAGAACATGATACAGCTGACTATATGATATATAATACAAAACATGATAAATAATAAAATATGATACTATGATATGATATGATAAATATTACAATACATGATATATGATATGATAATATAACACTATAGGATATAAATTTACAAAGTATGATATGATATGATCCATATTACAAAACATGAGAAATGATATTATACGATTCAATATGATATGATACCATATTAAATAAATTTACAGAATATAATATGATATATCTGATACAACTCAGCACTGTACAATACTTAATAATATGATATCTGTGATCTGCAAAGTTATTATTTGATATGATATGAGACAGCACAGAAAATTACTTTTACCTTGTTTGACACAAATGTGGAATAAATTGATATTTCACATTGTAAATCTAAATTTACTGCTTATCCTGAGAGTTTATCCTCTGTAACTATAGGCAGTTTTGTTACGAGGAGCTCCAAAGCTTAAGTTCAGGCCGTTGGGTATGATGTGAAACTTCCCCTGTTCTTCTCATCTGTCCTCAACCAACCCTTAAATCTGCTGACAGGCAGTGTGGAGGTTTAGAAAGTGGGCCAGAGGACGTCCACTCCAGATGTGTTAAACGGACCGATGAGCTGACCCAGTCAGAGGCACGGCACTTAAGGAGTTAGTTCTAGAAAAGGCATCAGTAGAGAAGTATGGGCTGCCCTTCATGTCTCTGTAAAGTGTTGGTACTTTCATGACAGCAGCGCTCCGCTCCACTCCACTCAGCTCAACTCCGCCCCGCGTCTCCCAAACTCTGCCTGAACTTTCTTTATTGGAGCCTGTGCGCCACTCTCCGCTAACCTGGCCCGGACAGACCGCAGGACTGCTCGACTGCTCCTCAAACACGAACAATGAGTTGGCAGGAGCGAGGATGGCTGGTCTGTGCCACTTTTCTTGGATTTGTGGCGTTGGCGCAGAGCATAACGCGAGAGCAGCTTATTCCTCACGGCCCGAGCGCAGGAGACCAGACACTGGAAGCTGGGACTGACCAGACGCACAAACTCGATCTGGACAAGCCCGTGCTGTTTTACGATGGCTCTTTCAACAGCATCTTTGTAAGTAACCCACAACGGTCTTCACATTACATATCACTACAATTTCATAACGGACGCGTGGGATTCATTGGTCACGGTTTACTGTCCGTCGATTTTGCGCAATTGCGCACATCCTGGAAACCCAGAGTTTTACGAGGAAATGGGTCAGTAGTTCCAGCCTGAAACAATGCCTCAAAACTACAGAGTGTGTCTGGGATAAGTTATGACCTCTTCTTTCTCTCTGTACTCACTGTAAATATTGATTATTCATCAGAGACTGAGGCAGCTGAATCTGGAGGAATGTATATGTGCACGCATTCTTACAGCCTCCCCTGAGGTTATCATCTTACTGTTGACACAAAGACCAGAGTACTCGAGGAATATCGTAGTGCAATCCATGCCAAAACCTTCACTGATAACATCAAGTAACATCACTGTGGACTAAGAGACACCCTATATGAACTAAATATGCACTTTAAATAGTCAAAACCTCCCAAATCTAAACAACACAGCAGAATGAAAACCGTAAACTGACTTGAAGACTTGTTTTTGTGAGTTTCAGTGACTTTGCGGGGCTTCATGATGCCTACAAAGGAAAATATCATCATTTCAGTGGGTGTTGGACTATTGTGTTGGACAAACAAACAGCCTTTTATTCCCTGTGATTCTCCTTTACAATGAGAAGTGCTGCATCCTGCTTTTAATTGTGCTGCATGTGGAAAGTAAACTATCATAGGCTGATTACATGCAGGAGCTATTTCCCTTCAAACAGGAACTCAGCATCAGCCGAATATGGTCTATAATTTTTTTTAAAAAGGTCAGTTATTGAGAAGAAGTGGTTTTACAGAGAATTAAAGTTTGAATTTGTTATATTTTCGCCAAACCTGTCGAAGAAAACTTGGTCAGTATAGGTCTGCCAAGGTTGGAGTAAACTCTGCTTACTGTCATCGTGTAAAACTGTGGAGTAAATTTCAACTCCTGTAAGTTCAACACCCCTGTCACCCTCACTCCCGCGTCAACTGTCGACCTGTTTATTTTAAAATGTATAATATAATTTGATGACTTGTTTTGAATCACTCCCCAGCATACCTTTCAATACCGTTGACCCTGACAGTCTCTGCAGGTTGTCTCCAGGCCTCAGCTGAAACTCAGGGGTGGGTTGTCGGCCCCCATCTACCCTCTCCAATCAGATCCAATTCCAAAGACCCTTTTTCCTTTCTTTTTTTTTTTTTTACTGGCCTTTAAAATAAGTGAAAGTGCACAGACTAAAGAGCTTTGAGCAGAGTGAATGAGGGCGTGTTGAGCTCCATTTTGCTAATTAAGCGACGCACAGTTTGGTTTCTGAGTGACATATATGGTGCAAAAAGGTTGGATTAAGTCTCTTAATAGTTAAAGTCATGATTCAAACTGATCAGAGTGACTGCTCTCATTCCCTGTTAGAGTCCAAGTGCATCTTTCATGAAGGCCTGTTGCTATTTTCAAGATAGATTTAAGACTTTTTACCGACTTAAACAGGGTTGAACCATCATATTTAACTTCTGTTGTGCCTTTAAACAATGCAGAAAACACACACGGGCGAGTTATGTCAACGTTAGCATTAAAACAGATGATTGAAACAGAAATGTAACTTCATTAAGGGTTTGAAACACAGGACATGCTGACAGTATCAGACTGAATCTAAGTATGACTCACATCCTGTGCTCTTTAAACTAGAGAAAGTTGGACCACCCTTTCCGTATTTTTGCTGCTGGATCACATGGTTGTATTTTGTTTTTTTTCTGTATTTGTTCAGTCTTAGTTAATACCTAAGGGCATTATGTTAGGAGTCAAGGGTTTAAGGTTTGTTTCCTCAGTGTCTGTTTCTGTAAATGTTTAAGAGGGTGTGCATGATGGAGAGCTTGATGAGGCTTCGACCTGCAGTTTTTAACTGTGCCAGGCTTTAGTGAAACAGGTGTATGGTGTCCTTGTCTTTTGGCATCCCTAGATCAGCCTCACACTAAAATCAGAAGAGAAATAAAGTCATAAAGAAGTCAATTTGCTTGTATCGCCAGAATGACTGATAGTTTGTTGAGAGCAGAAGTGCTGCTGTGTCTCTCTGTGGTCAGCTCACACTGTTTTTAAAGTGCTGTATAAGTTTGACTCGATGATGAACAGATCAAGAGTCATGTTTAACAAATAACTCTGAGTTTAGATGTGTAGTTAAGTAAATTTGGGTTTCCCCGGAGCTGAATTCCTCTAAGTTCCTCCCACAATCAGCCAAAATGTCCCTAGGATTTTTATTTCTATTTATGAGACAGTTTATTCTGATCTGTCTGTGCCCTGCAGGGAAACAGTAATGCTTTTCACACCAAGAAAACCTCTTCTCGGATCATAAGGAGGCTAAACCGTCTCCTCAAAGTGTGATTCATATTCCATAAAGCCCTGGCATGTCTGGGTTCTTACCAAGAAACCTCCCCGCAGTATCAGAATCCCTGATCATTTTCCCAGCTTGCTCTTTCTCCCATTTTGGCAGGAAGTTTCGGTAATGAAGATTAGCGTGCAATCTGTGGGCTCTCTGGGGCAGTTCATGGATGAGGACAGGAAACAGAGTGGCCCGGGCCAGGAATAGTGCTCTTGTTTTCTCCTGGTCAGGAAGTGAGGGAGCCCCATGTGCAGAGTGTGTGTTTTTGACAAGAGCCCAGATTTTCCCTTTTTACCAGCCCCGCATGTGTGTTCATGTAAAGTGCGTAAAATCTGTGTTAAATGGCGTCCTGTTGGTTCATTAGAGCTTTTGTAGGACATGGCATCTGACCCGGATCGTTAGTGTAATGAGTTTGAATAAAGATGAAAGTGGGACAGACTGTAGCGGGTCCTCCTCTCCTGTAAAACTCTCCCTCGTGTGTTGGTACGAGAGGTGGCAAAAAACATGCATGCTTCATTTGAGAAGAAAATAAAGATAGTTGTGTGTAAGAAAGACTCCAAAGAGCGAGAACCAAAATAAAAGAGTCAAAAACTAACAGTGCTACTAACCTCAGTGCTCCATCTCCAGAGTTATACAAACATTAGTACTTACTCACTTGGACTACTGAACTGTGATAGAAGAGCTAACATCCACAAAATGCACGTGACATTAGGGCTGGTCATTGGTGAAAGAGAGGATTACTGTGTCTCTGTTTTCCTTCTTCAGACAAATTTTCGTGTCTAAAAGGCCAAATGTTTTGTTTAATCAATTGCTGTTCAGTCGTAATAGTCTTAATTTCAACACAAGGCATGCATCAAGTGGTTATTTCACACTTCCACACAGCAACACTAACTCTGGACAGCGTACGGTCGTGTTCAGATGTATGAAACATTACAAGGTTAACCAGTAAACATGTATTTAAAAAGAAGGTAGACCAATATCTATTGACCCAGATTCACTGAAATAAGAAACAGAACACCTAGACTAGGCTGTGACAACATACAATACAAGCCAATGAGATTTTGATTACGAGTACAATCATCTTGGCCTTTATTGGTCTTTTAATTGAAATTGTAATGTCATCATCATAACTCTTGTTTTAGTTATGATTTTAACATCTTGTATAATTCTCCTATCTGGACTCTTATCATTTTAATGAATACAAATGTTTATTGTCTTCTTGTGGAGCCCAGGAAGAGTTGCTGCTGCCTAGGTAGTAGCTAATGGGAATCCAAATAAATAAAAATGTCTCTTATTCTGAAAGGGCATTTATCAGATTAACACATCAATCAAGAAAAGGGAGGCTCGTTTATTGATTCAAGTGGTCATTTCAAAATTCACAGACCATACACTGTGAAAATGTGAAATGTGGTGTAACAGAGAGTCTATTTAAGAAATCTTTTAAGCGGTGCGGTGCTCAGATCACATAGAGTGTCTACCAGGAGATACGATTGTAGAAGACTGTTAGTATCAACCAAAATCCTACATATTCATTTAGGGGGGATCAGCGACTCCAACATGTGACTCCAGGATCTGGAATCAAACTGTCAAACTTTTGGTTATCAGACGATTAATGGGTTATTACCAACCTTAGGGGTTAATAATTGCAACAGTTCCAAAAACTACAGTTCCTCAAGTGTCCACTAGAAGGTGCGAGCCCCAAGCCTCAATGGGGCCCTAAGCAAAATCTGATTTTGGGGCCCTCTATTTCTGTTAATAATATTGATTGTTGATCATTCACACACCTTCACAAATCTCTTTGATTAGCAGAATTAAACATGTTTACAGCCTGGTACACAAAACTGTCCAATTCTTTTACTTTTATACATTATATGATTGATGATGTTTTTCATGACCCATCAGTTTTAAAATTATGTCTGTGTTTGCATAATTAGGGGTCTGGCTGAGTTGCATGATGGGATGGTGTCATGTACCGTGTGTCTGTGTCTCCATTGTAATAAAGTTAGTTTAAGTTCACATCTCAGAGAGTCAGCTCTTTATGTGTTGTTGTTGTTCCGTCATGTTGGTTTAAATTTGCTTTGGATGCTGTAGAATAAAAATGGCTCCATTTAGATGGTCCAAAGCTCTTGTTACAAACCTGTAAGGACTAGAAAGTGCTGATATTTGTGTTGAAATGGTATTATGTTTCCTCTCATATCAGATCCTCTGTTATAATGATCTCACCTCTTTTTATTCACATCACTGACTTGAGCTTTTTCATTTCAGATCAACACCAACGGTTTTGTTGCCACAGCAAAGCCATCAAGCGAGTCGACATATCTTGGCAAAATGCCCCCGAGTTTTGGCATGATCGCAGCTCTGCAGGGAAACTATGACACCAGTGACGGTGTGGGGCAAGTCTACTTCCGTCAGGACTCCAGCCCCGAGGTCCTGTCTCAGGCCTCCAACATCATCAGCGGCGCCTTCCCTGAGGACGATGTGGTCAATCCTACTCATGTGGTGGTGGTCACCTGGTCAAATGTGGGATCTCATGTTCCAGAAACAGAAGGTCAAACTGTAAAGAAGGTGAGTGTCACATTATTGTTGTGTCTCCATTTTCTGTTTGTTTAGTTTGAGAAGTATAGACTGGTCAGGTATCAGCAGGTTTTAACGTATGTATGGAGAGCAAAAGCAGGCAGAACATAACCCTTGAACAGTTTGCCGTTGTTCCCAGAGTCACATCAGTAGTAAGGTGATGATATCAGAGTAATGAAGGTGGAGGTGGTCGTTCCTAATCTCGTATTTTTCCCCCTCACAGAGAAACACCTTCCAGCTGGTTATTGCAAACCTGGAGACAATGTCGTATGCCATCGTCTTGTACGCCCATGACGGGGTGCAGTTTGTGTCCTCACCTGCAGGACGTAGCTATGCGGTCCTGCATGCGGGCTTCAGTCAAGGTCTGGTTCGGGGTTTCCTGTTTTCCAGGCAGGGGCCATACTACAGGATCACCACTGAGGAGGAGGACTCTGTCAAAGCTCTGTCAAAGTAAGTCAGCCAGTGGATCCAGACTGAAGGATGAATTTTATGTATGAAGTTTTTCTCAACTCATTTTTTTCCTCCTAGGGAGACGAACTCTGGTATTCGAGGTGTTTGGGTGTACGAGATCGGAACTTCTCCATATTTCACCAACGTGGCTCCAGGAGAGGTCACTGACGTGCTCTCTGAGGGGATACCACTAGAACTCCCTGAGGGGGATAAAAGGAGGCTGGTGCACAGTAGCGGACAGCAGGTAGAGTACCCTACGTTTGAAGGAGGACAGATCCAAGTCCACCCGGTTCAGTACCAGCCTCGTCAGCCGGTGGATTCAGAGGTGGTGGTGGTGGATGACACGGACATTAACGTAGACGGTGAGTCCACTGGAGATGTTAACACTTTAAACACTTACCAACATTCAAGCCGATCAGAATGAAGTTTATAGAAATTTACACCAGACTGACTTGCAGGAGAAACAAAGAAAACTCCTTTGACTTTTCTGGCTTTATAGATATAAATGCCGAGGTTTCTCTGTATAGTTAATCGGGCAGATGATGGTCCACCGATGAGTCAAGTTCAGCTCAAGTTTTCCTCTGGTTTAACAAACATTTGAAAAAATATTTTCGATCTTTTCTCCCAGTTTCTGCATGAGTTTATATTTGATCATAACCAGCAGCTGAGCCTTCTTTCCAGGTCTACACAGATTACACTCATTAGTCAGGTTGTGCTAAAGATTTCTGCCTGTTACATTTGGAGTTTTTCCATTAATCTTTGAAATGCTTTGTCACCATGACTGGGGGATCATGTTTTGCTCTTGAACTGTTCTGTAATTCTTAATTCTGCCAGTAAAGGCAGATGGCAGTCCACTTCTTCGTCTTGTCTTACTTGAGATTTCTTCCTGTGAATCTTTTAAATGTTTTGTCACCATGACTGGAAGATCATGTTTTGCTCTTAAATTGTTCTGCAATTTCAAAATTTCCCCCTGTGGGACTATTTATGAAATTTATTATCTTCATTCTTATTACTGCCAGTAAAGGCAGATGGCAGTCCACTTCTTTGTCTGGTGTTACTCGAGATTTCTGCCTGATGAAATAAACCTTTTGCTTGATGCCGTTGCGCGGAGTTTGCATGCCACCAATAAGAGCTATTTTCTTAGTCAAAAAAGGCATGACTAGGTTTCTTTCTAAACTGTAAATGTAAATTAACTGATTGTTCTTTTCAATCAATCAAGTTTTATTCATTTAGCGCCAAATCACAACAGTCGTTATCCCAAGATGCTTTCAGGTCTGGACCACGCTCAGTGTTTGATGAATAACCAAGACCCGACCTTAAGATGGGACAGATTTGACCCATCTTATCCTACATGAGTGACAGTGGCAAAGAAAAACTTCCTTTTAACAGGCAGAAACCTCGAGCAGGACCTAGACTCCTGTTAGACAGCCACCTGCCGCTGTCTCTTACCGCTCCTCTCTGTGTTTTCAGTTTTCTCGTACAACCTGGGGACTTGTGCGAACAACAGGAATAAGTGCTCACAGTTTGCTGACTGTAAAGACTACTCAACTGGATACTGCTGCCACTGCAGACCTGGATTTTACGGCAACGGGATCCAGTGTGTGGCAGAAGGTAAGATTACACACGTGTCAAATCGCACTTTTTTTCATCTATGGATGCAAAACTGATAAAGAAACCGCTCCAAGAAGATGGAAACAGGGAATGGGATGTGGTTTGATGCATCAAGTATGTTCTTGTGGTGAATTTTAAAAAGTTGATAAGAGATCTAGACAGAAAAGAAAATCCTGTTTCGTAAAATTTCTTTAAGAACGGGCTTTAAATGTAGATGCCAAAGTTTGCAGTTTATTGCAGGCTTTCTCTTTGGGTTTACTCTGTGGATAAAACTTTCCCTGAAATTAAATCTCCATGAGTCACTCATGGCCATTAACTCCAGACATCAGCACCTGTCAAAAACTGAAGGAAAACAAGGATTTGGGGATAATCAGAAATCTTTACCATCTTTTTTCTTTTGCAGGAAAGCCACAGAGGATGAACGGTAAAATGTACGGGAAGGTACACGTTGGCAACTCTCCTTCCCCAGTAGAGTTTTCCAGCAATGATCTGCACTCGTACGTCGTGGTAAACGATGGTCGGTCATATGTGGCCATCAGCGACATCCCCTACACCCTGGGGCCCTCGCTGCAGCCCCTCTCAGCCCTCGGTGGTGTGATCGGGTGGGCGTTTGCCTTGGAGCAGCCTGGCTTCAAGAACGGCTTCAGTATTATTGGTGAGGATAAACATTTCTACAAATGCACCAATAAAATTAGATTATCTAGCACCCAGCTGTTTAGAAAATAGAATAGTTTACATTCTTGTGTGATTTCTGTCACGCTGTGCTTGGTTGAAAATTTGACTTTTCAGGGACATAAATCTTCCTCGAGCGTTTTGCCACACAGCTGCAGCATTACTCAGCCTGTCCAGCTGAATAATTCCCCTCACATTACCTCAGCCGAGACCCGAGCCGGAAAGCCAAAGTTCATCCAGGGCCAGGGTCTCAAAGTTAACCTCTTCGTCTCCGTCCTCTGTAGGGGGGGAGTTCACACGGCAGGCTGAGGTGACCTTTCTGCCGGGAAATGAGAAACTGACCATCACGCAGGAGTTCAAAGGCATCGACGAGCACGACCACCTGGCGGTGAGCACCACCATGGAGGGTCGGGTCCCGGAGGTGCTGCGGGGCTCCACCGTGCAGATTGACCCCTACTCTGAGATCTACCAGTACAGCAACAACCGTAAGATGAAGCTCGAAGACAGGAACTGGGATGTTTCTCATGTTTTCTGCATGTGGCCGAACCCTCTCATTAAATATCAAATCCTGCTCTCATCATCTTAACCGTCGGTTCCTGTTAGTTTTAAACTCCATCCAGCCGAATTTGTCCACAAAACAGACATGCAGTAAGTGTTCATAAAATAATCATTTTTTAACATTTTTTAAAAACTTTTTTCAACTCCTAGTTCTTAAAATACTTCAGCCCTGATCATTAAAAGATAATGAATAGAAAATTCAGAGTTACACCCTTCTTATGCCAGGTTTTGTGCGCCATGTCACTGCTATTTTAAATGGTATAAAGCACAAAATTGCCATATTTCCCGTATAAAATGACCTAGATGGATTTTTTACAAATAAAAAGAGTCTGGGTCATGTAGATGATGAGTAGTAAAATCGATTTTTGGTTCATTGGAATTCTTTTTGTCGTGCCAGTTTTTCCCGTGCACACACGCAGGAGCACACACACTTTTCCTTACACACATAAACTCTACTCTTAGACATCCATATCTAGTGGAATTTAAAGTTTCATTTAATTCTAATAATGTGTAGTAGATGAATCAGCGTTTCTAACACTCTCAGTTTATGAATGAAGACTTGCGTGCGCGGCACAGAAAGGGTTAAAATGATGTGCGGCTCAATCTGTTGTCACTGTGGGAAAGTAAAATTTAGAGCCCTGATGGTCGACTGACTGCAAGAAAAGGGTTGTAATATGTTGTTATGGTACCGTAAACACACGGTCAAAAAACGTGTTTTTAATGGAAGTCTATTGTCCAATTTGAGGACAAAGTAGGGTGGGTGGAGCTAAAATACGGTGACAGAGAACTACAGGTGACACAGGGATTTATTTATTAATTTTCATTTTTTAATATGAAGAAAAATAAGATCTCTCACCAGATTTGATGTCCCAATCTTTAAAAATGTGACTGTCAGCTCAAAATAAAGATGAAAAAAATGACAAATGTCCTCAAAACAGACATAGTAGGAACCGAGGGGGTTAAGCAGGGACATTTTTTTCTGCATGTACTAAAAGTTTCATTCTCTCCAACTGAAAGTGAAATATACGTCTTCATTCATATTGATAAAATCCTTGAATTCGACTAAACTCTTGAATTATTTCCTCACGCAGTCTCTCTCAGCTTCTCTTGAATGTCTTCTTTACTGTTACTAACTTGTTGCAAATCAACCTCATAAATTATATGTTGCTCCAGTTTCTCTTTTTTATTAATTTCAAGACTTTTTCAGTGTTTCTGCTCTTACTGTCCCAAAATCTTTCAAACTTGATTCATTCAGGGAACAATAAAAGTTTCTGTCTGCCTTGATTGAAGGTTCCTGATCTCAGTGAGACTCCCAGTTTTAAGAAAAATCCTCATGTATTTTTGTTTTCTTCCTCCTCAAACCTTCACAGTGATCACCTCCTCCTCCACCCGGGACTACGTGGTGAGCTTACCTGACGGCTCCACGGAGACCAGGACGTATCAGTGGCGTCAGACCATCACCTTCCAGAGCTGCCAGCACAACGAGGCCATGAGAGACATCAAACCCACTCAGATGCTCAGGGTGGACCAGGTCTTTGTCATGTACGACGCCAATAATGAACTCATCCGGTTCGCCATGAGCAACAAGATCGGTGATGTCAACGGTGAGGTTATTTTTTGTCTTCCTGTTTTGTCTGCGCTCTCTTCCTTCCCGGAGTTTAACATCCTGAACAAAGACGACTCAAAGTTTGGTCTATTGTTAGAGAGTCGACATGTTTTCTAATTGAGTGATTGATGCTGCTGTAGTAAATTAGTTTTAACAAACACGCCCTCATCTCTCATCAGGAGGGCAGCCCGAGGAGAACCCGTGTTTCACCGGGAGACACGGGTGTGACACCAGCGCCGTGTGCCGACCTGGAGAGGGGACGCAGTTCACCTGTGAGTGCGCTGCAGGATTCAACGGGGATGGACGCACATGTTATGGTGAGAATGACATCAGTGATTGCACATCAGAACTTTTCTGTCCATCAAGACTGCTGCACCTCCGATTCGCCACTCTCTAAACTGAAGTATCTACGAAAGGGTAACAAAAATCCAAGGAAGCCCCGAGATATTAAGACCAAGTACGTTTCATGAACCAGGCTGTGAACATGCAAATTTTTGCTTGAAAAAATCGGCTCTTTGAAAAAGTGTGTATGTGGTTTCTGCAGCCAGCCTCAAGTGGACACTCAAGGTACTGCATTTTTTAGCATTTCAACATTTGCTTCATTTCACGAAGTTGCCACTTGGTTCGTTTACACTCATGTAGAGAAATCTTTGCTGTCGTTGGTTAATATCGTTGGGGTGAGGGAACAAATCGTAGAGGACGGGGAGGAAAATCAAACATGTTAGACTTCCTGTTGTCCAAGAGTGTCGTTCACCATCACACCAGACAAAACCACTTGTTACTGACCAATCCAGACACCAAACTGTTGTCCTGCTTAAATTGTGCTGTCTGATGTCGGCATTACGCAACTTGAGGATTCAAGAACAGCCGAGCACTTAACAGCTCAAGTCGGATTCAGGGCACCTGGTATGTGTTAGGCATGGATAATGTCTAACACAGTTAATGGTGCTGCAAATAAGATCAGATTTCATGTGCTTTCAGAGAGGTGCAGCTTTTTGAGAATGAGTAATAATTCCTTTTTGCGTTTGTTTGTGTGTGTAAAAAACCATCTCACTCACATCTGTGTTTATAAGGCAGATTATCCTCGTCTGTTTGGGTCAAAATATCAAATTAAGTTACAGCTAAACTTGTGTTTATTTAGGTTTTTCAAGCCGCTAATAATCCCAGTGTTTGAATGGTTAAAAAATATCCAAATAGGATTTTCTTAGAGACTGAATTTCTCTTCAGTTTTTCTCTTCTGAGCCTCTGAAAAGTCCTCTGAACAGTCTTTCACCTGAGGAGCTGCTTTAGGGGCTAAGATGCCTCACAAATAAACTATTCAGCATTTTTGTTTTCTTAAATGTTCGCAGGATTCTTTCACACAGACAAGCTTGTCTAGTCTTTACAGGTCCTGTGACCCCGTAGAAAATGCATTAAGACACGCTGGAGGGTGAATCACGGGTACTTGTGGTGGAAAACGTGGCTTATTTTCTATTATTTTTATCAATGAAGAGGGTGCAGAGGACTCTTAAGTCTCAGCGGTTATCTTTTTCTGTCTCTTTTAACTTTATCAAACAGTTACAGCGTTTGTCTGTAGCCATCGTTTAATTAGTTCAGAGCCTCTTAAGCTTTCCTTCCTGGGGAACTGGACAATCTTGTTCATTAGCAGAGGTAAACAAAGCTTCTATACTCCCAGACCAGGTTAGAGGGTCCTGTGCGGTTCTCATCCTCAGAGTATACTCGATAAAAACTCTTCGACAGTGTGAGGGTCTATTCAGGACGGAGCCGGAAGAGCTCAAAGGCACAGAGAGTAGAAAGAGGAAGGAAGTAATCCAGACAGATGTTATCTTTAAACATCTGCAATTAACAAGTCTTATTAGACCTCCTGTCATCTGATAAAGGGGGACACTGATTCGACTTCAAAGGTACTATCTCTGAAGGGGACTTACAGGGGGCGTTATTAGTGACCTATCATCATCTATTCTCTTTATCAGACATCGATGAGTGCAGAGAGAATCCTCAGATCTGCGGCTCCCACGCCATCTGCAACAACCAGCCCGGGACCTTCCGCTGCGAGTGCGAGGACGGTTATCAGTTCGCCAGTGACGGGCAGACTTGTGTGGGTAAGTGGTGTGTGTGAGCAGTCAAATACAATTTATTAATGGGAGATAAAAAACACAAATGCCTAATACTGATTAAAGTAGATTTTTCAACAATTTAACAAATATGTATTTTGTTGTCCTTGTTTTTGTTCGATCCCAAGAAACAAATAGTGTAATTAATTTAAGGAGAATAATTGATTATTTTTCCGGAACCTTGTAACTCGCTTTATGATCATAGACTGAATAAAAAAATGTGAATGTGTATCATAATCATTTTTAAGTACTTGGAGATCAGTTATGCAGCTCACAGTTGCTTTTTTAAATGAGTAGTTATCGAATAATGGGTTAAAGTGCAACGTCTAAATTCCATCTAAGAATATACAGAATCTAGACGGTTGAAATAAGGTCTGAAAAAAAAAACTAGATGTCTCATAGCCGTCTATTGCTCAGTGGGCTTTTTCGTCTTTTTTTACTTCCCTCCTTCTTCTGTCAGGGTTTGTTTACTATCTGGCTTCCAAAATCATTTACACCTTTTGACTTCTGGGTCACAGCCCATCTTGCAAACAGGGGAGCTTACACAGACTGCTAAGGTCAGTTTGCACCAGGCTAAAAAATTTGGACATTTTATCATTGGGTTCTATGGGGATTTACTCATCCTTGGAGACAGCCTCTAGTGGCCACTTGTGGCATTGCAGTGGACCTGGAGGTTACAGCTTACAGACAAACAGCAGCTGGTATATTCAGCTTAGTGTAAAGACAGGAATCAGCAAATTTTGCTCTCTCTTCAGGTAAGTCAGTCATTCGTTTGTACTGGTCATATAAACAAAAACCTTTGCGGTCATGTGACGGTTTTAAAATGTGAATCTCTGCCCGGTCACACTGACATGCTGAGGGTTAAATCTTCATCCCTTCTCAGTTGAATAAATAGATGGTACTTTTCTGCTCTCCTTCTCAGAGGTTAGTCGGCCCGTGGACGCCTGTGAAGAAGGCACTCACACCTGTGACATTCCTGAGCGCGCTCAGTGCAGCTACACGGGAGGCTCCTCCTACATCTGCTCCTGTCTGCCAGGGTTCGTAGGAGACGGTCACGTCTGCCAAGGTACGACACACTGATTTCAAAATGATGCTGCTGCTGAAAATCTACTCTCAGTTTGTTTTCACAGACTTTAGTGAGTGTTTAATTCACTAATTCAAATCCAGTTAAAACTGATCCATGTTTACATGAGGCTGCTGAGATGATTTCCTCTGGGTTTGCATGTCTGTGCCCATTAATTCGTAATTGTTGATGTTTAAAATGTTGAGCCGACGTTTAAACTCAAATATTTAAGAGTTCATCATCCTCATCCTCTTCTCCTCACTCAAACACTGACTTCTTATTTCAGCACATTACGGATGTCCACTTAAAGCTTACTCTAGCTCGGTTGTGCGTCACAGGTTTTACAACTTTGTTTAGTCTATCAATGATAAATGTTTTATCACCGCATGATTGAACATTCACAGAGAAATAAGTCCTTTTTTATTAAACCTGTGGTGAGCAGCTAGAATAAATAAAGACCTATACAGACAGAGAGATTAGGTTATTTAGAAAGGATAATTGAGAGATCGTTTCAATTTCATAGAGACTCTTTAAAAGGTAATGTTACATATGTGGTTGCCTTTTTTATCTGTGTGTGACTTTATTTCACATCTTAAAATCGACGAGAGAAGTATGAAATATACAGAGATATCAGTAAATACAGGACAAAGTAAAGAGGCGAATACAATTCAAAAATTGAACATTTTGAGAGCAAATGTCAACATCATTAAGCGCTAACCTTTTGGACTTGTATTCAACTTTAATGTGGTGTTCTCGGCTCATTCATGTGGTGTCTGAGGTTAATATAGGGCTGGGCGATAAACCGAAAATTTACTGACACCAACATTTATGTCAATAACCAATGTCATTTTGCCCATGTCAATATATTTGGTGTCAAAAACATAAATAAGTTATCGTCAATTTATCGTTATCGAGGTGAACTGCTCAATATATCGGGATACTGATTTGAGGCCATATCACCCAGCCCTAGATTAATAGAAAACACCTTAAAGTTACTACCTCTAGTAGAAAAATACAGATTTACTCTGAAATCTCTGACTTTTTTTGTTTAACACATCTCTATCACGGCTGTTCCTAACATGCTGTGTATAAATTACAACTTTAGTAACTTTTATCAAATGTTTTCGTAAATTAATCACGAATAACCTTTTCTTACCACAAGGTATTAATTTATTAGATAAATATTTTAACTAAATCCAAAAATATTTTCTCAGTAAATCAAACCTATTGTTAAATTCAGATTAACTTTGTCCTGACAGATCCTTCAGTCTTACTTTTGGCTCCCTCCTGCTTTTATACTTGTTGGTGTTTGCAGAGAAAGCGTGAAATCTGAGATTTCGGGCTCCGATGCCAAAAGTCGAGCATTCATGAGCGATGGTGTCAGACAATCATCATGGACGAGCAGAGGAAAGAAACTGGAAAATTCCTCCTCCAATCTCAAGTGTCAGTGTTGTTGCGTTAACAACCAGAGCTTTCCAAACAGCCTCTCCTTCAGCATGTGACATCCGCTGTAACTAATGTCCGCCTGCACGCCGCGGTTCAGTCCAGCATCATATGACATGTTTGAAACAGTCGAGAGTTATGTGAAGTATTTCAAAACATCATGCAGAGAGGAAAATCTTCAGGGTTTTCTTTTTAAGTCAAGAAATCCAGATTTTAAATCCATCACAGACTTCAGACTGTGATTGTTAAACCATCTGTTAGCATGGGGGAGGTGAAGTCGCTTACATAACACATCTGTGGCTGCAGCGTGGGGAGCAGATGGACTTTTCATGTGTGGAGGTCCTGAGTCGGCGTGTAGTTTTTTTGGCAGAATTCATTCACAGAGATCAAACAAATTCAAAAGTCTCAGCGTGAGACTGAAGATGAGTTGTCCGATTTCTGTACTGTAGTCATCCATCTTAGTGATAACTTCATTTTATCCCCTACAGTAAAGGACGCCGACTATGCTCAACTCCACTCCTCATGTAGGTGTCAGTTTGGGACACCTACAGAGTAGATCTCAGGTTATTTACTTTTATACTGGTCTTCATGAAAACCTTAATTCCAACTTTGTTTTGGCCACTTTTCCAGTGATATGAAGTTAAACACAACCTGTGGGTGTTACTTTGTATGCCTTTACAGAAAACATAGTAGGGTTGACCTTTAGCACCCACGTTATATTTTCATGATGACTTATTCTGGGCTCTCACCAAATGGTTTTCACAGTCCCAGACTAAAATCGTAAAGTCTTAAGTAAATCTTGGAGTCACAGCGCGCTCCTGTCATCTCGATCATTAAATTCAAGCTGTTTTATATCAGTCTTTTACAAGTGTTGGGTTTGATATTATTGCAAGTAGCAGTGATGTAACACAACCAGTAACCAATAGATGAGCTCTAACAAAAGTGGAAAAGAAAACCCGACAGTCAAAACAAGAAGAACAAGAATGATTGAAGAATTACCGGCGATAAGAAAGGAGTGGATGGTGGAGCTGTGGGTGGATCGGCCTTGTCTATTCGACATCAACTGCAGGGTTTCCCCGACATGTAAAGATGCAACGCCACGGCTAAATAAAAGCCGCCACACCTCAACAATAACGTTTTTATTCGCTACTTCAGACTCAGTATGTATCAGTATATGCGGCGCACACGAGCTGATTCAAAGTTTAGAGTCTTTCCTGACCTCAGGGACAGTTTTCAGGTCTGGCTGATCCAGGTCTCGGCTCAGATCTCTGACCATACACGGTCACGTTGAACAGACACAGATGGTCCTGCAGCTCCGTCCTCTTTCTTCAATCTCCTTCATCTCTCTGCCTGCAGACATCGACGAGTGCCAGCCGGGCCGGTGCCACCAGGACGCCGTGTGTTATAACAACCAGGGATCATTTACCTGCCAGTGCAAACAGGGTTACCATGGAGACGGGTTCTACTGCTCCACAGGTGAGTCTGCAGGAGTGCGAACCTGAGATCCGAGTTTAACAGAGCAGCATTGTCAGCAGACGTGATTTTAAATTCAATCTGGAGCTCCAATCGTCTGATTTTCATTTCTTTTGGAGAAGTCCAGACAGATTTCTTTGATTGAGCGGCAGACTCCTTAATAGAAAAATGAGACTCGGATCTTTTTCATTCCCTGCCTTATGTGTTCGAACAGTTTGGACAAGTGTTTCAAAATGAGCGCCTTGTAGAGCAGATTGGTGCCAGCTGGAGCTGTTTTTTATTTTGTTCTGAATGGCAAGAGGAATTTGTCTTGGTTTACAAGGGATGAGGGAGTTCTTGTTTGGTTGAATTGAAGCCAGAGGAAGAAAAAAAGACACAAACGAGCTTTAATTATAAGTTATAACAATGTGCAGGGTGTCTGTCTGACTCAGGAGTTTATTTCTGCTTAACTCCTGCAGAAAGGACAAAAACACGATGTGAGACTCACAGAGACAGCCTCCTCGGTCGGACGGACTTCGGCCCTCGTGGCCCTCGTCCTCCTGTCGGACAGTACATCCCCACATGTGACGACAATGGAGAGTATGAACCCATGCAGTGTCACGGTAGTACGGGACACTGCTGGTGTGTGGACAGAAGTGGACAGGAGATCCCCGGGACTCGCTCTGGACCGGGAAGCAGACCAATGTGTGAGTAAATCAAAGGGTTTCACAGAGAAACAAGAGATCACCGAGCACAGGTGTTATTAGGACCCTGTCAGGCACAGAGGTGGTACAGAAGTTGGCTGTGCCCCAGACCAACAAAAACCTGGTGTAAAGTTTAACGCCCATAGTGCAGTAAATACCTTCACAACATGCATCCTTTGCTTTTTACACACAGAGACATGCAGCAGGGAGCCAACTCTTGAGTGGTTTTACTCACAAACATCCAGAGTGAATCTGCATTTATAGCAGGACAGAAGGTTTTGGGACATGAGTGTTTTTCCTCTGTCTCCATACATGGTGATAAATCTTTTAGTATGGTGCAAATCCAGGGATGCCAGAAGACGAGAACACCATCACCACTCCTTCCTCGTATCCCAATTTCACCTCAGTCCTGCAGGGGCCAAGAACGACAGCCTAAGACATCACTGAGCTCTCAAAATATTTCTTTCAGCTACTTTCATTCACAAATAACAGATTTTATACTCTGATGAGGCAGAAACCCGGTTAATTTTTTGGATGTCTCTGTAATGGCCCATCAGGTTTGATAAGTGGCCCAGGCCGCTCCTCCAGTCAGCCTCCTGCAGGGTTCCTACGCAAGTACGGAAATAAATTTGATCTATTACCAGGTCTGAAAAAGTATGGAAAATGAAAAATAGTATGAAGTATGAAGAAATATTTTTGTTTCCAGACTATTACCACAATTCTAAAATACTGTTTTCTGAAATAGAAAAGTAGGTATTTTCAAAAATAATTCTAAAAGGTATGAAAAAGAATAGAAATTCCAACTGTGTAGGACCCCAGCCCCTGATTCTCTGTTGTTTACCTCTCTTAGGTATCGACCACGGTGGAGTGCCGCCTCCCGTTCGCCCCACTCCTCGACCTGACGTCCACCCCCTCCCTCCAGGAACACACCTGCTGTTCGCTCAGAGCGGCAGGATAGAGCACGTCCCGCTGGATGGTCACGATATGAAAAAGAGTGACGCCAAGGCTCTCCTCCATCTTCCCGTGAGTCTAAAAAACCAATGAAGGTCTTGGTGGTTCATGCGCCCTCGAGTCTATTGGATGTATTGTTTAGTATTTAGCATTGTCCCTTTGATGACTGGTTTCAGACGGTCTATAAATGCAGGGATAATGCTTTCAGTGTCTGTTTTTTAAAAATACTCGAGATAGACTCCAGACCAAAATAATAGGAAGACCCATAGGAATCAATTCATCTTAATTTATGTGGCGCCAATTTATCTCAAGACACTCAAAGGTCTGAAAGGACTCCAGTTGCCTCCTTAAAAACACATATAAGTAAATAAACAGATGATGACTGTTGCGTCCAAAGGAAAGTAGTTTCCTTATGGATGGATAGAGAGAGAAAACAGTCATGGAGGTACATTTTGGACCGGTTTATTGGGGGTTTTGCTGGAAAAACTGATATTACAGATATTCCCGTAGAAATGGAGGGACTTGGGTTGATCGAGCTGTGAGGGTGCAAACCTTAATCCAGCCTGAATCCAGCTTAATCCTGATGTTTTGGATCAACATGAATTGGAGCTTTGAAAAGATTAGATTTCTCGATCTAATCTGATCATGTAACCCTTTTTTTTCCTTTTGATTCCCAAAATAAGATTTAATCTGATCTCTTTTATTCCTTTACATTAATTTTGAATAAATGGAAACTGAAGACCTGAGAGCAGTTTGAGGAGATATATGTCGAAGATTATTTACATTTGGTCAATAAGTATTGGCTAACGCTCTTGGGCCCTCTCAGAGTTTAATACCTCTGCAGGGTCTCTTAAAAGCAGCTACTTTACTGGATTCATGCGAGGTCAGTCAGACAGTCGGACTGAATGTTTGATCATTCAGAAAACATTCGGGAAAAGCTGCAGCCTCTTACAAGAGTGTCTCTCCTTCTTTGTAAAGACACAATCTCTGCACTCTCGCTCAGCTTTTTCCCATCTGTGCCCTTTATTAGAGGCACATGGTGACATTCAGGCTAATTACTAACATCCGTCTGAAATCTTTGGAATTGCAATCTCCACGTCTTTCTGCGCTGATATCCAAAGCAGCTGCTCTGAAGTCGCTCAGTCGCTCTGTTTTGTTTAGATTTATGTCTAGACGTTAATGTCAGAAAACACATCTGCTGCATGTTTTTTATCTCCGACCACAGCGCACTTCAAAGATTGTTGGTTTCTGACCTCTCTGCAGGAGAAGGTAGTCATTGGAGTGGCCTATGACTGTGTGGAGAAGATGGTGTACTGGACAGAAATCACGTCCCCCTCTATCAGCAAGGCCAGCATTCAGGGGGGAGAGCCCACCGCCGTCATTCAATCAGGTATCAGCGCTGTTGCTCTTATCCGTGAATTCCAAGAACTCCTTTTTCTTCTCAGCAGATGTACACCCTATTTGGCTTTGCTCCCGAACATTGCTTCATCTAAGCAGCTGCAACGTTATCCTTTGGGGCAATTAGACATCCGGACCCTCCACTAACCAAAACACACACTCAACTTACTGATAAAACGCCAAATTTTGAGTTTTTGAGTGAAAATATTCTGAACTTCATTTTCTTTAACATGATTTCACCTATTTAAGGGTCACACAGCAGAGAAACTAAAGACTTCATTTCTCCGTAGATTTGAACAGTCCTGAGGGGATCGCTGTCGACCATCTAGGACGGACGCTGTTTTGGACAGACTCTATGAAGGACTGTATCGAGGTGGCCTCTCTGGATGGGACAAAGCGCAGAGTCATTGTTGACACTGATCTTGTCAACCCACGAGCCATCATCACAGACCCTCCAAACGGGTGTGTACATCTCCATAATATTGAATTTAACTGATCTGATAAATATCTTTACATACTGTGAGGAATACACCGACGACTGACGAACTTTTTAAACTAAGTCACCCCCTCTTGGATGTGTAACTGTAAATAATGCGAAGACATCATATCAAAAGTTTAAACTGAAAAGCTCTTTTTTTTTTTATACCAGTCACAGGTATTTAAAAAAGTTTGGACAGATATGACAGAAACCGTTCTGCAGCATCACCTCCTCTTTTAAAAACTCTGTTTTTCAGTGGGTGACAATTCAGGACCACATCAGTCCAGTTTCTTAACAGGACTCTTCTCCTACAGAGCTGTGCTGTTTAGGGGTATCCCGATACAACATTTTTACTTACGATACGATACTGATGTAGTAGCCTTCAGTATCGGCTGATACCGATATTGATCTGATATTGACACAAACTTGTACATGACAGGTTTTCACTCAGCTGCAACGTCTTTTTTGGAGTCAAAAAAAAAAAACGCCACACGGTCGACATCCCTCCTACTCCTTGGTACTTTGTTTGTACCTTAGTACACACTGTTGTTGTGATCATGTGGGCTCTGCATGCTGCTATATAGAGTTGCCGGAGTGGAGTCTGGAATAGACTGCTTGTATCGGAGTGCTGATATCTGAGATTTAAGATGCAGGCCGATATAATCTGATATTTGTTTTTCGGCCGATATCGGACCGATATCTGATATCAATATCGTTTCGTATCGGGACAGCCCAAACGCAGTTGTAATCCCTGTTTTAGAATGTGGTTTGGGATCATATGAAGGTCTTCCCTGATAAACTCCTTGTCTGGATGGCAGCAGATGTTGCTCCTAAACCTGGAGATACTGGAGTCTTCACAGATGTTGTCCATATCATGGGCCCTCCTCTTTTTAGAGTCGCGGCCATGTCTTCCATGACTTGCAGGAAGACTGTCAAATTCTGATCGGTCAGACCACATGTCAGTTTACTGCTTCACTGTAGTCCATCTTACATGGGCTCAGCAGGGCTCACAAATAGTGGATTTTAACAGTGATTTCCACTTCAGAATCTTGTTTGTTTAAAGTGTTACACCTCCTTAAGAGCTGATGATCACATCCATCCAGTCCTGGTTTCCAGCCCTGTCCTTTTTTTCTACAGATTTTTCCAGACTCTCTGAATCATTTAATGATTTAATATACTGTACATAATAAAATCCCCAAATATTTGGCAGTTTTATACTGAGGAACATTGTTCTGGAATAGTTGATCTCATTCAGAGTCTCTGGTGAACCTTTTTTCCATCTGTACTTTTGAGGGACTCTTCCTCTGTGGTGCTTTTTTCCTTTAAAACCAGGTTTTCATGTTTTGCAATCGACAGAATGTGTTTTTGTTAACATGTTACACGGCGTCCAAACCTCTTTGGAGTTGGGGTTGTAATTTTTTGTAATAAGATCAGAAACATCTGTGTGGTAGTTATGAACAATGCTTACGGTTCAAGTTTCTCTGCAAGTATTTTCAGTGTTTTTCTGTAGAAACCATCTGATAAGATGTTTGTGAAATGAACCGTTCCTCTGTGTGTTTGTGTTTATTGCTTTTGTTGCTGATAACTGAGGATTTGGATACCTTTTTACCAAACCACATGAGCTGTTTACTCCAACTGAGTGAATCAGCTGTTGACTTTATACTCTCAGCACAGGAGCGTTTCAGCACTAGTCTTTAAATGTGACACTTTGCTCAAAAGTCTTAATAAAAAAAATAATACATCTTGATTTGAGGACAAACTCACTTAAAATCTGCCTTTATGACAGAAATCTTTACTGGACCGACTGGAACCGTGACGCTCCAAAGATCGAGACATCGTACATGGACGGGTCCAACAGACGAGTTCTGGTGACAGACAACCTGGGCCTGCCAAACGGGCTGACGTTCGACTCTCAGAGCTCTCTGCTCTGCTGGGCAGATGCAGGTATGTTAGATATCAGACAGGTGAGTCATCTCTGTGATACTGTCTACCCTGTGATCAGTGATGAGTGTAATCTGTCGCCTGCAGGCACACATAAACTGGAGTGTATGCATCCAAGCCACGGCGACCGCAGGCAGGTGATGGAGGGGATTCAGTACCCGTTTGGGATCACCTCGTTTGGGAAGAACATCTACTACACCGACTGGAGGAGGTTTGACTTATGATATAAACCCAAATATTTAAAGTTTGAACCAGGATGTAAATGTGTGTTTGTGTTTGCTCTAAAATAGACTTTATCGGCCTCGTGTATATCTCGTGAATATATATATTCTGATGTCTCAAGTGGACACTATTGGAACTGCAGTTTTTAGCACTTAAGCTTTGATGCTCTTGTTTTGGTCTCAGTTAATGAGGTCTTCACCAAAAGACTATAAAGCTGGCTTAAAGGGTTTTAGCAGGAGTCTGGGTACCTCCATTTAATGTAGATTACAATATTTTGTATTGTAAAGCATCACGGATGTAAAACGGACTCGTAGTGTCATTGGAGAGTGCAGATCTGTCAAAGTAGAGGGAAAAGAGGGAGGGTCAAAGGTCAAAGAGCTCCCCGCTCTTCAGGCACGAGCCCTTGATGTTCCTTCGAACTCTGAACACTGTGGAGCTTTCTTCCCATGCAGCCGATCCTGGATGTTAGTCTCTGCGGGAGTGTGGGGGTTGGTGTGTGTGTGTGTACATGTGTGTGTGTGTGTTGGCAAGGAAGCATCTCAAAAAGTGGCAGCTGCTTGCAATTTCTCATCCCCCCTCTCTTGTCTGCGAGTGACCTGCCGGGCCTCCCTCTGATCTTTTCTTGCAGGAGAAGGTTGAGAGGTGGAGGTGGGGGAGGCACACAAACTATTCCAGTTATGGCGAAGAAACCCCCTCAACCAGACCTGGACCCTTACTCACTCTTGACTTAACTTTACACAAAACACAAGGAGGCGGGACGCTGACATTTCTCAAGCTTAACTCTGCCTGTGTTTATACCAGGGACGCTGTGGTCACTGTGGACCGCTACGCCGGCAGGGAGTCTGACGAGTTCCAGCCTCAGAAACGGACCAAACTATACGGGATCGCCACGGCTCTCGCCCAGTGTCCTTCAGGTAAAACTCAGGGCCCTCAAGTGTCAGCTTCTAAATGTGGGTGATTAGTCTTCAGCTTACAGTTGTCACTACAGCAGATTTTCACCTCACAACTCTCACGGCCATGAAGCTTCATAACAATAATAATATCACCATATTAATGGAAAACATGAGCGTAAACCAACACAATCAGTTCAACTGAGGACTGTGAAATTTGTACCTCATTGTTCATGAATTTACTCCACACTGAAATGGAAAGACTTTCCCTCTCCATCTGGTTCATCATGTACAGTATGTGGACTGAACTTAAGGGATATTCCGGCGTAAAATTAAGTTAGGGTCAAACACACCGTAACACCGAGTTAGACACCCCCTCGGGCGATGAATGTTGCCGACCGCTTGCTTCTCTAGTTATACCAACTTCAGTAACGACCGCAGGATAGAAATACAGAGAGTCACGCTCTCAACCAAACGCCACTTTATAGTCACAAATAATGCTCAGAACAGCACCTAACTTCTTAACTGCATTTATCAGTAAAATATTTATTGTAAAATAGGTAAGTAGTTTTACGGGAAAATGCAAAGGAAAAAAGAGAAAAATTCTCATAGTACTTGTTGATTTCTTTTCTATGCTCCATTTGTTTAAAAAAGACAGTGCTGTTTTTTCTGGCCTGGGGTCTGCTCTGTAATGTATGTAAGTCTCCCTGAAACATCAGAACAGCCCCATTCCTAGAAACCTCCTGACACTAACATATTTGAGGCCTACCTCTGAGTCAGGCTTATTACACATTCCCTCTACTCTTCAGGGCCAAGAAGGGATGTTTTACAATCTTTGCACCCTTTTTTTTTTAAAGACGTGAGAGTTCAAACTGTGAAGAAGAAGAAGAAGAACACCAGGTTGATTTCTTGACCTGAAACCAACAGGAGGAACTCTGCAGCAAACATTCACTGTTGAGTAATTGTTATTCCTGCTCAGCACCATCATCCTCCCTCAAGATAAGACTGTACGGGTACAGCCAGGGAATGTGGAGCTGAGGGAGCGGGGCCTCCAACATCTGGAGTTAGCTATGTGTTTACATCCTTAAGTCTGTTATATCTGCTGAACAAACAGTGAAGAGACATTTTCCTGCTGCTTCGGTGGCTCATGACTTATACCGCTGTCCTGGAATGTCCCCAGTTACTCATCGTATGTTTTCTTCATCCCACCAGGACAAAACTACTGTGCCGTCAACAATGGCGGCTGCACCCACCTCTGCTTAGCGACCCCTACTGGACGCTCCTGCAAATGCCCCGACAACGCAGTAGGCGTGGGCTGCGTGGAGAGAAACGGCGGGTACTAAAAGACGGCAGCTGCTCTCTGAGAGTCGACACTGTGTGGATGTTTGACGGCAAATTAAGAGCTACTAGCATTATTAAACTGTTCGTCATATTTACTAGGCGGCCATTTTTCTCTGACGTTAATCTACACCTGGGAAACTCACGTGCCTTAAAGTATAAGACAGCTGTGTGAAAGTGTTTCTGTGTGAAGAACCTGACAAATGATCACAGTATCAGCGCTTTCTTAGTGTTTGGCAACTTAAAAACAGTCATTAATGCAGAGCTGCCAAGCGTCACAGTCACGCAATTTGACCCCTTCTCACACCACACACCACACTTGACATCTCTCATGCTTATTTCCCCATTAAATACTCTGTATTTATTTTTTTCATGATAATAAACTTGGCTTGCCGTAGTTTGAGTAACTCTGATTGACTGACCGAGATAACCAATCCCAGACCAATCCATTAGGCCTTGGTGCCGAAATCTAACCAACCACGGAAGGCACCACGCAATATAAACCAATCAGAAGCAACATAAGGTGGGTCTTGGCGTCTGTAACTATCTTTAACACACAACAGCGCAGATATTTAAAACCCACTCAACGCTCTCCTGAAGACAAACGGTAGGTAAAGACTAGCATTAGGGAGAGCAGCTGACATGGAGGTGAGGACATCAGTCTTAAGTTATAAATCGACGATAAAAAAGGCCAATTTTTTTCACCACATCATTACGCTAAAGTCTCACTCGTCATTTACTGAAACTTGGCAGCCCCGTTAATATTAAACACAGGCTAGCTTTTTGACGGTTTGCTTGTGTTGTACAAAAGTACATGAAAGGTCAAAATTCGAAGTCAGTGTTAATGGTTGCTAATAAAGGGCTGAATGCTGACAAAACAATCTATTGGTGTCGCACAGAAGATGTCACTTACAAGCTAACTATAGTTGGCTACAGGCTGAGAACTACACCCTTGTTACAGGAGGGATATTAGCATTTCTAAGCTGAACTAGTTTAAATGTTAGCATCAATGTGGCAGGGTTTTAGCATAACTATTTGATAAAAGAGGTTGTAGCTGGGTCTGTTGTTTTACCTTGAAAACGCCTTCTCAGCTAGCTTCCAGAATGTTTACCCGGATTTCCCGCCTTTAGCGTAACGTCATAATAAAATGGCCGCCGTGTGAATACGGCTGATAGGTGCTGAAAACGCCGCTGGAACCCGGAGGCGGACTTCCTGTGCCTCCAACTGCTCAGTGTTATTCTTATCTACATTTATAAAGTCACAACTGCCTTTGAGAACTGTAAATATAAACACTATATATTTGTCATTTTCCTGAGTGCACATAAAACGGAGAAAGAGCTCAAGGGATCCATTATTTAATGTGAAATTCGTCACTGTAATGCATGATATTATTTCTCGTCAGTTGTATTAAAACGCGGCATGTTCGGATCGTTTATTTCATGGAAATGTTACTGTAGAGTTTTGTGAAATCTGGGGGAAAGAGTTTACATGCTGGGCAACAAAGAAGAAGAAACGTTTTTTAACAAGTTGGTCTGTTGTGTGTTTATTTTTTGGGTTAACGCTGACATCGTGTGGTAGGTAGAGGGAACGACATGCAAAGACGAGAAATAGAATGACATACAAAAGAAAAAAGTGTTTTCAAGAAACTTATATAAAAAAATCAAAAGATGGCTAACTTTATGATCTATACATTAAAAAATAAAGTTAGTAGACATAAAAAGGTAAATGTTAAGGACATACTGTAACGGCTGTGTAGTCATGCAGGGATGTAACAGATGTTTCTATAGGAGCTTACTGTGTGATTTAATGACTGTGCAGTAATAATCCGGTGTGCAGTAATGGTAAGCATATACACAGATTAAAAAGGCTCAATGTTAATGTCATGTGATGCACTATAAAGTTGCTCAGGCTATGACTTGGCTTCTCCACCATGTTTCAACAAATCAAAGCAAATTTCAGGGTTACTTTTATTTTTTTCTACATAAAACTCAAAGAATATGTCCAGAGGTATGGTCTTTAGTATGTGCCATTTTTCTTAATCCCACTATCACTCTGATTTCACCTATGTATATCATGTGTACCATATGTGTGAAAAGCACAGTGATAGAATATATCAGACTATGATAGAAAACACTAATCTAAAGATAGAGGATATTGTTGTTTACTAAATTACTGTAACATGGGGATGAAATCTCAGTTCTGCTATTAGAAACAAAGGCGGCCACCCTCTCAGTCTGCAGAGGGAGACGCTGGCTGATGTCAGTGATGCATTCAGGGTCACTTTAAAAACTGAGATTATTGATTATTCAGGACAAGAAACACAACCCCATTTTATTTTAATTTATTTTATTTTTGTAACTTCACAACTTTTGTCCTGGGTTAGAGTCTTACTTCAGCAAAAACAAATCTCACCTTTGGAGAATAGATATATATTTTTACTACATGTTTTTAGGTGGAAGATGAGAAAAATTACTGAATTCAGCTCTTCTGTGTTAACAGTGGTAAGGATTATTTATTTATTAATTTATTTTATTTTTATATTTGGCACAATTCATAGTACAATATACTTTTAACAAGCAAAATATAAATTTTCAATAAAAACACTGTTCCAGAGGGAATGAAACAGTATTAAATTTGAGATTCATTATCTAAAATTTCACAAATTGAGGGCTTCTACTCCTCAGATTTGTGAAGAAATAAAAAACAACTCAATTTGTGGAGGAGCTTACTGTGTAATTTAATGACTGTGCAATAATAATCCGGTTTGCAGTAATGGTAAGCATATATACAGATTAAAAAGGCTTTTAACTGGCAGCAGATCTGACTGTGAAAAATGAATATTCAAGGTTCAAGCTTTATTGTCAATTCTGCAACATGTATGACACATACAGAGGATTGAAATTGCATTGCTCGAGGGCCAACAGTGTTACACGCAAACAACAAAGATGACATTTTCCCCTGCTGGAGGCTACATTGAATCCACCATGGTGACTGTTTTAAAACGTTTTACATAAGAAATATTTGGAAACTTTACAGCAGCAAACTTTGTTTTTTCGTCAAAGCCATTTTTTGTACAGTGCATCTACTTAAGTTTGACTTTCAAATACTTCACACTTGGCTCTCAGTGAGGTCAACATCTTTGTGTCCAGTCCCAGCTCACAGATATCTGATGGAGAGAATGAGACACAGCACAGCTGCAGGTTAACCTCTGTTCATTCACCATTTGTACTGACAGACTATCAAACTTACGTTTTATTTTTAGCACTGGATAACTTTGGCAGCATTGATAATGAATAATACCGTTATTATCCATTTTCTTTACTGCTTTTCCCCATTCAGTCTCAGGGTACTGGAGCCTTTCCCAGCTGCCATTGGGAGGGAGGCAGGGTACACACTGGACAGGTCACCAGTCTATCACAGGGCTGACATACAGAGACAGACAACCATCCATACTAACACTCACACCCACGGACAATTTAGAGTGACCACTTAACCTGATGAGCAGGTCTTTGGACTGTGGGAGGAAGCCGGAGCTCCTGGATAGAACCCACGGGGGGAAATGCATGGGGAGAACAAGCAAACTCCACACAGAAAGGCCCCTGCCTGGCCAGGGATTCGGACCAGGAACCTTCTTGCTGTGAGGCTACAGTGCTAACCACTGCACCACCATGCAGCCCTAATGCAGTTATTAAGTAAACCAAAGTCGTCTTGACATGTAGACATCTTTGTTGATCTTCTGGACATTAAGTTGGCTGTGGTCTGCCACACGACTTATTTAGTAGCAGACATTTACTCTGGTCTTTCTTTGGTTTTGGAAATGGAATGAAATACTCCTCATTGCCAATCCTGGTGGGCTACTAAACTTCCATTGGCTTATCTGTGTTCGAGGGGCGGGGCTTATGCTGCCTTCCAGTTACCTAGGAAGTCAAAAGTCGAGCAGGGAATGACGTTACATAAAAGTTGACGGCGTTCCAGTTAACAAGTCGGAAAACCAAGATGGACGCCTACTGTTAGCCGTTGTTAGCCGTTGTTTACAATTGTCAGCTGTCGTTAGCCGTTGTCAGTTGTTGTTAGTTGCTGTTAGCTATACGAGTTGTCAACAACGCATAACACCCTTTTTTACTCTTTTTTACTATACCACTTATTTAATTTCACAAAAACAAAACAGAAAAAATAAAAATAAATAAAACATTATGAGAGCTTCCACTGTTACTCTTTACTGATGATGCACAGTGCTGCCATCTTGGATTATGAATTGCTGTAAAGTCGGGGTCTGTGAGCATCATCCGACTTTCCATTTCATTCCAGGTCAATTTCCGACTTGGACCTTGGAAGTTCCAACTTCCGTGTACAACTGTAGTGCAGCATTAGGGATAGGAGCTGATTGAAGCTAAGCTTGACTTCGTGTGCACTAACCTCAGAGTTTCAGCCTGCAGTGTGAACTCCTCAGTGCCTCACACAGCTGCGTCACTCCTGAATCCTGCAGGTTGTTGTTGCTCAGGTCCAGCTCTCTCAGCGTACAAGTCTGAAAACTTAGAACTGAGGACAGAGTCTCACAGCTTTTCTCGGACAGGTTACAACCACTCAGCCTGAAGGGAATCACACAGAAGAATAAACAGATTCATAAAATACCATTGTATGAGTGGGTTGTCTTCTTCATGCAGCTTTGTACTCACCTGAGAGTCTCCAGTCTACAGTGTGGACTCTTCAGTCCCTCACACAGCTGCGTCACTCCTGAATCCTGCAGGTTGTTGTTGCTCAGGTCCAGCTCTCTCAGGTTAGAGGACACCGAGCTCAGAACTGAGGACAGAGCTTTACAGCTTCTCTCAGACAGGTTACAACCACTCAGCCTGAAGGGGAATCAAAAGGTTAAAGAATACCTGCATTACAATGGAAAGTGGTTCTTTTTGAATGAAGTAAAACTTCCTCTTAAAACTTGTGTAGTTTTGTGTACACGTACATAGCTTTATTTGAGGCTTTGATTACAGGCAGCAGCGTCAGGAGAGCCTCCTCTGAAGCAGAGTACTTCTTTAGGTCGAATGAGTCCAGATCTTCTTGTGATGACAGTAGGATGAAGACCAGAGCTGACCACTGACCGTGAGACAGCTCATTTGTGGAGAGACGTCCTGACCTCAGGGGCCTGTGGATCTCCTCCACCAGAGAACGATCATTCAGTTCATTCAGACAGTGGAACAGATTGATGCTTTTCTCTGCAGGCAGATTCTCAATTTTCTTCTTAATGTACGTGACAATGTCTACTTTAATCTGAGAGCTGTTACTTGATCGTGTCAGTAGACCTTGTAAGTGATGTTGGTTAGTCTCAGCTGAAAGGCCGAGGAGGAAGCGGAGGAACAAGTCCAGGTGTCCATTTGGACTCTGTAAGGCTTTGTCCACAGCACTCTGATAGAACTGTGTCTCAGCAGGTTTGGTTTTTCTTGCTGTTTCTTCTTCCATCAGGTTGACTCCAGAGTTGGTGAAGGTCAGATGGACATACAGAGCTGCCAGAAACTCTTGGACACTCAGGTGGATGAACCGGAACACCTTCTCTTGGTAGAGTCCTCTTGCTTCTTTAAAGATCAGTGTGAAAACTCCTGAGTACACTAAGGCCGCTTTGATATCGATACCACACTCTGTCAGGTCAGATTTATAAAAGATGAGGTGATCCTTCTGCAGCTGCTCAAACGCCAGTTTACCCAGAGACACAATCATCTCCCTTCTCTCTGGACTCCAGGGTGAATCAGCCCCAGTTCCTCCTCTATCTTTGATGTTCTTGAGCTTGGCCTGGACCACCAGGAAGTGGACATACATCTCAGTCAGGGTTCTGGGTAGCTCTCCCTGCTCTCTGGTCTTGAGCTCATCTTCTAGAACTTTTGCAGTGATCCAGCAGAAGACTGGAAGGTGGCACATGATGTGGAGGCTTCGGGATGTCTTGACATGTGAGATGATCTTTCTGGTCTTCTCCTCATCACCTTCAAATCTCTTCCTGAAGTACTCCTCTTTCTGAGGGTCAGTGAACCCCATGACCTCTGTCACCTTGTCAACATACTCAGGAGGGATCCGATTGGCTGCTGCAGGTCGTGTGGTTATCAAGAGGCGAGCAGAGGGAAGCAGATTCCCCTTGAAGAGGTTTGTCAGCAGCACGTCCACTGAAGTGGACTTGGTGACATCAGTCACGATCTCATTGTTGTGGAAGTCCAGAGGGAGTCGACACTCGTCTAGACCATCAAAGATGAACAAAACCCTGAACTCTTCAAAGCTGCGGATCTCCGCTTCTTTGGTTTCAGTGAAGAAGAGATGAATAAGTTCCACTAAGCTGAACTTCTCTGTGACAATGTTCAGCTTTCTGAAAGTAAACGGAAACATGAACTGGATGTCCTGGTGGGCCTTGTCTTCAGCCCAGTCCAGAGCAAACTTCTGTGTCAGGACTGTTTTCCCGATGCCATCCACTCCCTTCGTTATCACTGTCCTGATTGGTACATTTCTCCCAGGTGGAGGTTCAAAGATGGCTTCTTGTCTGATGTTTTTTTCTGGTCTGTCTGGTTTCCTGGATGCTTGTTCTATCTGTCTAACCTCGTGTTCATCATGGACCTCTCCTTTCCCTCCCTCTGTGATAAAGAGCTCTGTGTAGATCTGGTTCAGTGGTGTCTTGTTTCCTGCCTTTGCAATCCCCTCAAACACAAGGTGGAACTTCCTCTTCATGTTGGACTTAAGCTTACTCTGGCACACTGCATTAGAAGTTCCTGAATTTACAAGCAAAAATGAAAACCATGAGTGTGTCACACATTAATATTTTTGTAGCACATATTTTTTTCAATCAGTGCAGCTGCATTAATGGGATTATCGAAATGTACGAGTAAAAGATAGAATAACTGTTTAGAGGTAATTAGACGAGGACACCCACTGCTCAGGGTTTGGCATTGAGCGCAAGTGTCCTTGTTGTTTCTCACTCAACACAGCCGCCATTTTTATGAACAGCACCCACATAAATGACGAGTGAATTTGCACCTGTGTTGGCAACCGTGGGTGTGATGGTCTTGAAGCAGTATCTTATCGTAAGGCAGAAGAACCACCATATCTGCAGTGCACATACAAGATACACAAGGACTCTGATTGCATTTCTATGAAGTAATGATCTCAAATGTTCTTCCTTAAGCTGTGAAACTCCACTGCACTTGGTGATCGACTCGTCAGGGCTCCCCCACAAACAAGTGGCTGCTATAGGAGAGTGGGTGAGTAGTGTTTGGTCCTCTTGCTAAAGGAATTATGCAAAGTTAAAAAGTTGTTTGATGGCTGTGACCCTATATGTCCTGTTGATGAAGTTAGGTGCTGTTCTGAGAGTTATTTATGGCTATAGAGTGGCTTTTTGGTTGCGGTTTGTGCGTGGATACATGCTGTGTATTGCTATCGTGTGGTCGTTGCCGAAGTTGGTGTAGCTACAGAAGTTAGCGGCTGGCAAAATTCATCTCTCGAGGGGGCACATGTGCGCATTACAAGTAAACCGAGGCAACAAATGTTTCTTTCATGTAAATACTGCGGTGAAGTTAGTTTTAGGTTGGATATTCGACAGGCATTCATTACGGATCTACCGGTGTCTTCTCACTCTCCATAACCAGGAATAGCAACAGCAGCGCGGTTAAATCTACTCGGCATCCTCGATATCAACGTCAGGTGTTGAAAAAGGGACTGTCAATAAATTACCTGTTGATGTTCTCAGAAAAGGCTGTTTTTCCTTCAATTACTTCCATATCACGTGACCAATTGACCTAAAATTGATTTTAAATCATATTACCAAGATCAGACAATAAGACACACCTCTTTATTTCCCTAATTTGTCCTCTAAAAATTTGTTGTTTTTACGTCGACCAATAAGGCAAACATAATTTGATCAATTTTCATTGGGCCCCTAAAGTTCTTTGTGTGCTCCTTTCTTTTTTAACTTAGGAGAACATGTGAAAAAAGTTTGTTTGAAGTGAGATTGAAGTGGCATCAGTATTACAGTTTCTCTGTTTCAAACCTCTATGTCCTTGTTTGATCGTGATAAATCTGTTGAAATCCACTTACTGCTCTGCAGACAGTCTGCCAGGTCCTTCTTCTTCATGCTCTTCAGGAAGTTCAGAGTGATCTTCAGAAAGGCATCTCTGTTGCTCTTCCTCTGCTCCTCTTCCTCACCATCCAGTGCCTCCTCATCTTCATCCAAACTTTCTGAACATGCTGGGTAACCTGAACTCAGAACCCTCTGGGCTCTCTTCAACTCATTCTCTGCAAAGGTGTTGATTTTTTTCTTCAAATTCTGGAACAGAATGATTTCTGATTTTAACTAGAAGAAGACGGCAGGTGATTTATCTGTCATTATAGAGGTCAGCTCATCAAAACAGATAATTGAACATCATTAAATCCTTGAAAAGTGGATTTTTCACGAAAAATGTGTTGCACAAACCATAAGTACAGAGTCCAAGTCTGTCTGATGCTGCTGGTCTGACTGAACACCGAGGCTGTCTGGGCTCTGCTGAGGTCTGTGGAGAAAAAACAGTTCAGGTGTTAAAGACACAGCTCTCTGAATCTGAATCTGAATTACTTTATTGATCCCAAACTGGGATATTATGGTGTTACAGCAGCAGTGTTAGAAAGTAGGTGATATTCAGTCTCTGTTTAAACCTGAGTGAACCTGACGAAACCCATCCTCTAGTTGTTCTGTCTGCTTCTGGCTTATTCAAAATGGATCTAAACATATTTTATTAGTGAAAAAAAATCCAGTTTTCGGCTCTCACCCCCCATCAGAAGCAGAATGTCCATTGTCAAAGTGAATCAGTAAACCCTTTGACCGGTCACTCTTCATGGACAAACAGCTTGGTCCAGGAGACTCTAGTTTCTTCCTCTTCCCCCTGGTACAGAGAAACAGCAGGTCAAACACAACATCTTGAATAAATAACAATTTTATTGTGGCTGGTAACTTTTTGCCAGCTATTTTTCTTCCTCTTATGGCTCCACCAAGCAAATAAAAAAATTAAAATTTGATAATACTTGTGAAAATGTTAAATTTTTTTATCCATTGATTGTTTACTTTGCAAATAATGGAAAAGTGCAAAAAAATCGATTTTTACATGCACTTTTTAGAGTGGAGGAAACTCTTTTGATGGAGCTCAGGTGTGCATCAGTAAGATGACTCCTGTGTGAGGTTTTGCTTTCACACGTAGGGAGTATTCAAAGCACCAACTGTCAGCCTTTGCCCTGAATCTTCATTTTATCATTATATTGGTGCACTATCAGCTTCAATATAAGATAAGGATAATGATTGACAGGTTCTCCTTCAATTAAACCTGCACACAGATACTTGAGCAGTTAAAAAATTGATTTCTATGCTCAAAAATCTAAAACTCCCAATGTAACTTGAATGCCATATGTACTCAGTTTACCAGCAAAAGGCACTATCGGTAGCCTGGTTTGTCATTATTTGGCAACAAAGAAACTGAACTGAACATCTGAGTCTTCTGCAGGCAAATCTTGACTTTCACTTGGCTGAATGTGACCTTTGAATCTTGGTTTGATGTGTTTTATACTAATCAGCAGTAAACATACACTAAAACACATCCCAAAGAGATACCACTTGGAAGAGGAAACGTTAGAAATCCAACCTACAGATTCAAGAAGGAAGGACCCAGGATGGCACAGACAGATATTTGAGATACTTTCTAGAACCGCTGCGATTGGGTAAAGAGACCACAGATCACATGAGTCCTCAGAATTTACAGTTTTCTGCTCTCACCCCCCATCAGTAGCAGGATGTCCATCTTCATAGTGAATCAGTAAACCCTTAGACCGGTCACTCTTCATGGACCAACAGCTGGGTTCGGGAGACTCTGGTCTCTTCCTCTTCATCCTGGTACAGAAAAAAAAGTGTGGATCAGTGAAAACATCTTTAATGAATAATCTCTTTAGCACTAATAATCTTAAAACTTCCACAAAGAGGGTTTTCTCATAATGAGCATTACTCCACAACTAACAAAATATCCTTAAGAATCCATAAAAAACATGAGTATAGATAATCACATGAGAGATTTTCTTTTATCATATTCAGGCTAACCACTGAACTCTTTGTGAAGCCACTGCTGAATGTGCCCTCTAAGCCAAAGTATGAGTGTTTTCTTGGAGGTTAAATAATAAACAGTTTTTCTTAAACCTCACCCTCCATCAGCATCATCATGTCCATCTTCAAAGTGAATCAGCAAACCCTTAGACCGGTCACTCTTCATGGACAAACAGCTGGGTTCAGGAGACCCTTGTTTCTTCTTCTCCATCCTGATACAAACAGTATTATAAGAGACTGTCAGCAGTTTTTCAGCAGCCCCGCTGCAGATGTGACAACACAGAGCTGCAGGAGGACCCCAACACCATTAGTGTACCATAGCACATAAACCATGGCACGGTACCAGATTAAGCACTGAACTAATAGTGTGTGCATTTATACTGTAATTTAAACACTGAACCTTGACTTCCACTTAAACAAATTCTCTTGTTATGTTTCATCTTGGCTGCACTGACCTTAAACATCTAAATTCAAACTGTCTGAACTTCAGACTTAGCAGGCATAATAAAGTGATAAAACTAATATGAAAACTGCTACAGCTTCATAATGATTCTGAATCAGGAAGATTTTGTATTCAAGCCCACATGTCATAAACATTACAATTCATGACTTTATTAGACTTGAAAAACAACCATAAACAACCATTTTACTTCTCTCTGAAAGTACAGGGAAGTTCAGGGATCAATAAAGTTCTTCTTATCTTATCTGACCATGAAAATTTTACAGAACCCAGAATTCAACAGACGAGAATTAGCTAAAGATTAACTGAGCAAAACATGTAAACTTATAATCCAATCTAAATATTATTAAAAAAAAAAAATTAAACACTGTTTTTCCATTTTGAATTTGAAGCCAGCGGCACATCAAAATAAAGTTCAGAATGTGGTAAAAAAGACTGGAAAACGTGAAAAACTCAGTAAAAAAAAAACGGTTTGCTTTTTGATCTCTGCTTCATTCACCAGCAAATGAATGTCTGTGTTTGTGATGTAAGTTTATATTTGCATTTCTAATGTTGCAGTGATCAAGTTAAAGGAACCTCTTCATGCACCTTCATTCACAGAGCTTTCTTCAGAGACCATTTTTCGAGGACTACAGACATGCACAGGGTGAAATTTAAGGCTGATCCAAGTCGGTAAATTCCCTGGTGGAGGGTTTTTTTTTTCGTATATAGATCTATATCTATTAAAATGGTGTAAATCATGGAGTGTGTCTGTGGCCCATTTTGCTGTCATAATATTTAAACTGTTTTCTATTTTAACTCTAACCAATTATTACAGTAAAACAGCTGTTAAATGTATAATGGAGAGCCTCACCTTTATAAACTGTCTCCAAGAGACCTGTTAGCACACTGGTATCAAACGTGCAGCTCCTTCCCTGTTGGCAGAGGAAGTCTCACAGTATTCCCAGAGCAGTGATGAACCCGAAGGCCAACAACAGAACACAGCTGTTTTTATACTTTAATGAATCAAAGCGAGTCTTGAAAAAGTTAAAACTGTCACTTACCAAACTTCAACATGGAGAGCTGAACTCCGTCGAGAGGGGGCGAACAATAAGGACGAACTCAGGTGGAAAACTCCTTTATCAGCTCTGCAGGTAGGCCACACCTACATATGTTACTGGAAAGAGCGTGTTGTTTTATTGCATTATGAGAGGAGTGTGAGATAAGAATCGTCTGCATGTTGACACCTCAGTAGTACATTAAGAAGAGAAATTCAAGCTTTCATTAAATGTGAAGAAAACACCACAAAAGTTAGATTCTTTAAGTTCCTCCTTTTTCAATCCAACTATCTGTGTGGGATCATTTAATGAGAATGAAGACTTTAATAACAGTCTGTCCTGCTATGTTTAATTCCAATTCAGTTCAAGTTCAGTTATACATTAACAATCAGAGGGAATGAAAGCAATAAAGAAAAATGACACTGGTGCTCAGATATCTGACTAACACTGTGTATCTTACTTCACTGAGATCAGGTATGAACACGACCTCAAGTGCCCCTCAGACTTTGATTTCAGTAAACCCACAAACTCATATTTGTTCAATCAAACGGCCTTTTCTACATGGTTGTCAGTGCTTCTTGTTTATCCTGAAAGGGGGAACTTACATCTGCAACAATATTTTGGTTCATTAAACCCACCAATCAAACATGCTTTAAGATTCTAAGATTAATAGTAAGTGTTACCAGGAAAATCACTACATAATAAAATTTTTAAAAGCACAAATTGTTCATTCCGTAAAAAACATTCAGGGACTGCATTACACCGTTTTTGGCTTTGTCCACACACAAACTAAAAGATTCTTAAATTTCAGCGGGTTTATAATATGAGAGACTTTGTTTTATTATAGGAGAATATTTTATTTTTGTTTCAACAGAATTCACAGACATGAGGAAAAAAACTTTAATATTTTAAATCTGTATATTTTACTGTACTAAATATTTCATTCACGAATGTAAACTTGGTAACAAAAACCTTATTTCATCCTCTTTCCCAAAGATTTTTAACAGTCTGTAAAACCATGGAGTGACCTAATCTTGGCTTCAACTCAACGCTTAACCACCAGAGGTTCCTATTTGTCAGTTAATGTCACATTCTGAGATTTGTTAGAAATAAGGTTGTACATTATTTTTTCCCCCTTTCTAAAATTAGCCACACACTGCTGGAACAAAACAGAAGAGGTATTTGTGTTTAACATTTCTTTATTGCTGAAAGTTCCAGAGCAAATGCATATACGTATGTGAGAAATAAAAATATGATTCTGTCTGTTATGATGTCTGTTTTAGGATCGAAAATCGACATTTCACTACCTTAGACCAGAGGATCAGTTTCAAAGGAAAACACGGAGAGTTCTGACTATCTATAAGCTTCATTTTAAAGCATCTGTATGCTGATGGATTGTGTTTATGGACAAACCTCTAAAAAATTAGTTGATGTGGTGGATGTCTTTATGCCATACATATTTTGGTCCGGATAATGTCCCGAGGAAATTCTAGGTTTTGACCTTCAAGATCAAGAGTCAGAGCTTTAGTAACAACCTTTTGCACTTTTGTAGATTCAGATATTATAAATGGTAAAGCTGGATTTATCAAAGTGGCTGATAAGACCATGTTATTGTCAGTATTTATCCATTAAGACATTATGACAAAGTAGTTGATTGTTTTTTTTTTAACACTATATAACCAGCAAATTTCGATTTTATCCTGAAGTTATCAAATTTCTAGGTTTGTTATTTATTTTACTCTAAATTTCTGTATTTTCGGATTTGTAAAGGGTTCCTCAAACGCACCGCCGTTTTTCTTCTTTTTCCTTTGTTACTGTTTAGTAGTGGCGCAAACAACATGATGGTGCGACAGCGCCACCTGCTGCACTGCGCGCGAGAATGCACTAAGTAATTCAGGCCCTTAGAATTGTCTGCCAGGAATATACATTCTGTCAACATATTCAACAAGATATCTTTATCTTTTCGATCAACATTATGATGAATGTTCGATTTCATACATAATTTGAGCAAATAAATTATTTTTGAAATCGATTTTGTCGTGAATAATGTAACTTTTACCACCGAAGCCAGTATAAATTTTAGAAACGGGAACAGGATTTACTCGTCCTCTAGAATACCGTTATTTGAAGACGCTACCGCCATATGACGTTATTAGGGGCTAAAAGGGAACATAAGGGTTGCCGGTAATATTGAATATGTGAATTATTTGCCTCTCAAATCCTATTCTCAGAACACATCTACTCAATAACAGGCCTTTGGAAAGTCTTAGACAAAAAATAGACAAAAATGACCGTTTGTGAAAGTAATACATTATTTTATTTTATTTTATTTTTTTCGTGCTTCGCCCCAGTTACGGACCCTCACTTAAAAGACGAGCAAAATGAAAACGGACTCACCGAAAAGAACCGGAACTCACACGGTTGTGCTTTGCAGTCATTGCTGAGGGCATATTTTAACACAGTAGCCTCTGGCTGGACGAAGGCTAACGTTAGCAGCCGCTGCTTCATGTTAAACGAAGGTATGTATGAAAATTATTCTCTTTCTCGGCGCTTGACTTGAAAAATGACTGAAAGATGACTGTTCACTCTGTATCCAGGCCGAGTTTAATAAAAAAAAATCTGTACCGCTGACTCGGTTTCTCTCTGCTGCTCAGGTTTGACAGCTGCCCGACACAGTATTACGATGCGCTACAACATCCAGCATAACAGCTAACGTTTTATCGTGAGAAACAAAGTGAAAAAAATACAAATATTCATCACTTTAATAAAAATAGAAAGCAGGCCTCACTGGGTGTAACGGCCCTGTGACTTTTGCGGCAATAATGTAGATTTAATAGTTGAATTATCGAGCTTTTTTCTGTCAATTTCTAGTTAAGGTGAAGAAATTACTGCGAACAGCTACCAGGCAGTAACCTTCAAAGTAAAAGTCTTTACGGACACCGGGAATCAGTCCAAATTCAAATATTTATATTTGAACGTATAAAGTTATGATTATTTACAAATCATTAGTTTGAGGCTACAGTTGTAATGAAAAACATCTTCTGAAATTGTAAGAACTGAGTAGTTATTATGTGTAAAAAATATGAGAATAAAGTGATAATATTAAAGCTGTGAGTTTTAGGTAGGCTTTGGTCAGCAGACTTAACTTATATTTACCCCGTAATATAATTTTTTTTTTCAAAAAATTAAACAATCTTGTAATAATATTGATATTTTTTCAAAATAAAACTGCTTTCCTATTTATTTATGCAGCACAAGGAAATAAAAACAAATAAAAATACAAATAAAAAATACAACATAAAATGAGACCATGAGGACCAAAATAAAAACATGTAATATGTAAGAAAAAGAAATGTAATAAAAAAGGGGGGTAGAAAGTAGGAAACAGGACAGTAAATATAAAAAGATGATATTCATAATAATAATAAAAATATAATTAAATAATAATGACGGTAATATTGGTGATAAAATGGAATAACATAAATGAGCAGAAGAAAAGTCAATAAAAAAACAAAAATCAATAAAAGGCCTAAAATGTTAAATAAGAAAAGATTATAAGTAAAACAAATGCTAAAAGGACAATTAAGTCTTAATAAGATAGAGGTAAAAGAGAAGAAAGAGAAAAGAAAAAACGGGTAAAGAGAAAAGACGGTGATTTTATTTTTAAAATCATAGAAATTCTAACTTAAATTAGGCTCCAATAGTCAAAATAAATGTAGAAAACTTTGGAGCTGAAAGAGCTTTTGCTGTTGAGATTGGCTCGGAGATTCCCATCGCCTCTTGTTCAATTTATTTTATTCTGAAAAGAAGCCGGAAATGTCTTTCAAACTGCGTGTAGTCTTGACGCAGTTTGTTTCAGAACATCTAGACAGCTAGCTGTGTGTGTGTATGTGTTACTGTAGCCCTCCGTGTTATGGTAAAGCTTCTCTGTGTCCACTTCGGTCGGTTGAAGTTTCGTGGTCATGTGCGTCACAAACCTCCGTTAGTGTCACTGAATTTACCGGTTAATCGAAAGTAGCTCCTCGGCTGAGTGTGTTTTCTGACCCTTTTCTCTCTGTGTCTCTCTGCAGGAACAGATAAAAGTGTGAGAGCGGCGCAGTGAATCATGACTCTGCTATGAATTGCTCGGGAGATCAGCTGGGGCTTCTTAACGGAGCTCTTTCAGGCGGCAGGAGGACCAGGAAGGAGAGCTGTCACTCCTGCCTTCCTCGTCGTTTTGACTGACTGCTGCTGTTGTTGTTCTTGGAGGTGTGGACGACATGGCCAGTCATCAGCAGACCGAGCTGTCATATGCCTGGGAAAAGTACATGGACTGTAGGCTGCAGGGAGCTGATCTGCAGGTAGGAGCCGGTGTGATGATGGAGCACTCTGCTCTTCTCCTCTGGCTGGTGCTGATGATGATGATGATGATGGTTACTTTTAGGTCCCAAAGAAAGCTCCAATTGTTTTAACATTTGTTGTTTCAGTTACTTTTAATTTAAAGCTGCTGTGAGACACTTTTTTTGGTGATGAAACTGGTTTGAATTATAGTCCAAGCCACATTATGACCTACAAATACAAACAAGACCATCAGGAAAGAGACAGATTATTTCTACGGTCTAATTTTTCTCAAAGTAAAACAGACAGGTTAGGAAATCTGTTAAAAACTGACATCAATAAAGCACAGGAAATGTAGTGAGAAATATCAATAACTTTTAGAGAAAAACAAACATTTTATTCATTAAAAGTGATACGGAAAAGTTTTATTGAAAGAGCAGATCTTAAAATCCAAGTGCATCACAAAAACCACCAGACAGGTCCCATATCCAGTTGTTTATGTAAAACAGACAGCAGCAAAATAAAAAAATAGTTTTTACTGACGCAATCAAACTGTCATACATTTAAGTCAGAGCGACCTAAATTCTTGGAGCTCCTCTTGAAATCCAAGTCACATAGAGCTGCAGTGAGGCATCAAAATACATTTTTAAAGAAAACAGAAACTATAACAGTGCTGGAAAAATAAAGAAAACAAATAATCTGAATGTTAGACCAGGACACTTTTTAAAACCAAAGTTTGTTTGTGCAGCACAAAGGCAGGGGAGTTACAAATGACACACCTTGAAGGGACTAGATTTAATGAAGTGAACTAAAGAAAAAGAGGAACTGAGAAATGTTTTAACAAAACTGGAAAGCTGTTGATTATGTGTTTGTTTACTTTTTTGTTTTTTATAAAGTGTCCCAATACAATAGACAGCTGTACACACAAACACTCAACGAGTTACATAAGTAAAAGTAATTAAAAGACATTATGTACATTACTTAGTGGAAACATGAAATATGAGCTGAATTCAGAACTTCCAAGTTGTGAAAATGAAATAGTTCTCGTACTTGGTTCTGTTTGCTTAACATTCGCTTCTTTTCCAAGGTATTTTAGGAGCCATAATGTTGCTTTGCTTATCAGTTATCCTGTGTTCGGTTACTTTTGTCTTGTTGCTATCGCTCTCGCTGGGTTTGGGTCAAGTGGGCACTGAGTTTGAAAGCCGGTAGTTTATATAAGGGCGGTCTTACCTGCACTGGGGTGGAGAGGTGAGCCTAGGTAGCCGTAATTTTTATTGACCGCACTTTATTTCTTTTGTTTGCAGTGATACACGTCGCGAAGTGTACACAAATGACATTGGATGTGCGCGTGTGATGAAATGTGTGCTTCTATGGAACAGCAGCAGCCGCAGCCGCAATACCGGGAGCTGTCTTGTTCCTGCTTGATTTCGATTGGTTGGTGGTGAAGAAGTGGTGTTGAGCTTGAACGAGGCAGTGTCCCAACTTCAGTTGTTTGAGGCTTGATCCTGAAAACCATGAACTGAGTTGGTTTGCACTGAAAACAGGCGCTAAAATGCTGCTTGTGGACACAGGCCTTAATCAGAATCTAGCCAACGACGATTTGACTTGTTTAAACCTACAAATACAGGTTTAGTGATTGTTGTTCTTCCCTCTTTAAAATAAAAATAAGTTCAACTTTTTCAATCCTACTATTTGGCCAAACAGCTGCAGGGAGCTGAGGCCTGATTCCAAACTAAATAAAAAGTTCCCTGAGATAATATCGTCCAACAGTAGCAAACATTGTTCTGAGACATTCCTTTGGACTGCTCTCTCTGTTATTTAAGGAACCGAAATTAACTTCATCTGGCTTTTCCATAACCAGCATGACCTCGAAGAACCTGGTGAAAATAATGTTCAGCTGATGAAGATTATACAGAAAATCTGACTAAGAGAGAAGAAGGGAGGAGGACTGAAATATAACGGTCAAACACACAAGCGGAGAGTCGTTGCACAGAGGTGTAGGCAGGTGTAAACCACAGATTGTGTCCTGAGTGTTGCAGCAGAGCTCTTGTGTTTCTGAGTTGTGAGATGAGTTGTGGTTGAAGTGAAATCTCTGTCAGATTTCTCCCAGTCCTAAACCACTGCTGCTCTTTTCTCCCCCTCCTGCTGTCAGAGAACAAACTGCAGCCACATCACGAGACATGGATTAGGATCAATCTGCACACACGCACAAACACACACCCACACACACTCTGCCTGTCTTTCACAAACACACACACACACACAGAGGTTAGATGGTTTATCTCCTGCCTCTTTTATGAATCATGTGCAGGCCAACCTTTAAATACAGACCTGCTGTTCTTTTTGAAGCCAGTGAGTGATCAGGAAGTCTGTATATATGCCCGGCAGCTGTGTCCCTATTTTTCAGACGCTGCGATAACGCCAGATTGGTCGTGTTTCAAATTATTAGGAGGAAGGAATTCAGAGTTAATTCATTTTTTACTGCATCCTTTAAATCTGCCTCATAGTGAAGGATTCACCTTCAGAATAAAAGCATGCTGTAAAAAAACAAGGGCAAAAAGCTGATTATGCTTTTACTGTGAAATGCATCCAGGGATCGTAACATGCATGGGAAGTTTTCTGCGGGTTTAGTGCATTATAAAGTTTAAACTACAGTAGGTCAACACTTGCAGTAAAAAACAGTCAAACTTGAGATTGAAATCTCTGCTTTGTTTACACGCATTTCAGATCCCTCCAAAACGACGAGTTTAAACACTTTTAGGTGTAAGTATTTGTTTTCAGCTCAGTAGCTTGCGATTGAAGTTAAGAAATGAGAAGGGCCTTAAATCTTAAACTTTTTGAAACCATAAATTCATGATTTTCTTGAGCTAGTTCCAGAGAAGCCTACAGGACTGAGAGGCCACAGGAGTGGCTGGAGTAGCTACACAGACCAGGATTCACGGAAAACCGACCAGACTGTCTTATTTCAGTTTAAGTGATCTACCTAGTCTAGAAAAACTGTGTCTTTAGAGGTAAACCACCCCTGAATTTGGACACAGCTATCGTTCGCTGAACAACTGAAGATGTTGTCTCCTTTTAAAATCTGTCCTAGTGTCCCTGATGATTGTCTCTCTGTAGCTGCTCATCAGTTGAGAAGAAACAGCCTTTGAACGTGACAAAGAAAATTGTGTATGACTCTGATGCAGATGTCTTGTCATCGTTTCTTTGGCGTTGTGTTATGCTTCATTGCTTTGTTAATCACATTATTGTGCGTTAGGATATTAGCTGAAGACACGCCGCTGTTTCGTTCTTCACACTCAGGCTTCTGCTGCACCAAACAGGCAACCTGTCTTCTCGCCATCGTTGGTAACTGTTTACGTCACTTTGAGGACTCTCTTGGGACGACTGTGCTCGCGTCTCCACTTCACAGTAATCAAAGACACGGGTGTGTGTTCATGTGTGTATGAGATGCAGAAAGATGGCGAATCCTGCACAGCTCTGCTCTCTGGTTTGCTGATACTGTAGCTTTCCCTCCTGATTAGATCTGCCGGGGACACGGTGGTAAGGATACTGTGAAACTGCTGGTATATTCCAGCTCTGTCTTTACATCCCATCCCCAAAAGAAAACTGTATTCTGCACATTCCTATGATCCTGTTTGCTTGTCATCCAGAGATAAACATGACAAAGCGATTGTGGAAACCGTCCAAAAAACAGAGAGGCTCTCGTCTTATCGCACATCAGACGGTACGGCTCAGCCCTGCTGTTGTGTACCCGGTCCTGTGATCACACTTTAAAGTGAAATACGGAGGGCAAAACGACACCTTCTCCAGCAGTTCCCAGAAAAAATGACGTGAAAGTCCCGATTCTGCTGCACCAGCCTTTTCTCAGCCTCTCTCATCTTTCATCTTTTGCATTATTGCCTCTCATCTCTCCTCTATTTATCTTTATTTCTGTCAGGATGGTTCTGCAGCTTGTTCACTGATAGGGCAGCAATAGAACAGGGTCTTGTTTCCGAAACAGAGCAGAGCCTCCTTACTGAGAGTGTAAATATACCATAAAACCTGAATATGGCTTCTCATAAACCCCCTTTTAACCTCTTCCCTAAGAAATCACAGGATACTACACAGTATTAGAGGACATCGATAAACTTACGGTCATTGTGCTTCACGACTTTTACTTTGGATTTTAAGGCCTGAGGACTGAGAAGGAGCACTTTCAGACCCAGGGGTGTCTTTAAGGATCAGGGGGAAACCTGGTATCAGTATTTTACGTGCAGTTGTAGCAGTTCAAGCATCGATCTTTGATAGATGGAGCACTATATCAAGTTAATAACCCATACAGATGTGAAGTTATGCTTCTAAAATGAATGAAAAACTGCTCCTTGTTTACTTTGATGATATTGAATATTTAAGTGAAGTTAGTAAAGGTCATAGTCGTCTTTATTAGATTCAGATTTTACAGTAATTGGGTTTAAGTTTACTTTCAGCTGAGGTGGAGGATGTACACCGGGGATGTAACGGCGCAAAAGTTTAGTGTAACACAGCTTTTAAAATTAAAGAAGTGGTTAATGGTTTCGTTAAAGAGTTTCCTTCAGGGGACAAAATTTGCAGCTCTGATTAAAGTACATGAGGAAGTCACACTCAGCATATTGCAAAACATCAAAATCCCATTAATCTGAATCATGTCAAAACGACGATATTGCGTAATTTTTATAGGCAGTGATTCCGTTGATGAAGTTTGACCATTTAAGGGCCTGTGTCCACTCAGTGTTTCTGTTTTTGTGATTAATCTGATGTAAGCAAACATCACTTTAGAGAGTCACACGCTTCACCTTTGCTTCTGTCACCCTCCTCTGCCACCTTTACTCTTAGTTTGGTGGTTCAGGGGTGTTTAAGGACTCGGTGTGTGTGTAGAGTTCGCAGTCTGCGGTCTTTGCTGCTCTTTGTCCAATATTGTAGTGAAACAAATAAAAGTGCATTTGTAGGTCAGTTTGGGTAAACGCCCCCCTTCCCCGTGGAAGGTTATCAGGAGGACACAAACCCTGACTCTTCCTCTTTTTTGTCCTGACTGAGACAACAGCTCTCAATATAAATCATCCTGAAGTAGAACAACAGAAACCACGCTCTCGACGGGGATTGAGGAAACTGTGGGGACTGCTGTCGTGGATCTGCAGGCTCTGTTCAGAGTGGAGAGTTTTGGCTTTGTTGTTGTTGTTGCACCCCTCATCTGAAATGCAAATTTCCAACTGTGGATTATGATCTAGCACCCCTGTGTTGTATTTAAATAAATCTGCACCACAGTGCCAGAACAGTAAGATTGGTAGCATAGCTGTGAAAAATCTCTCAGTTCCTTCATGGAGCCCAAACTCTCCCTGTTTGTAATTTCCACCCCTGATAAAAAGGAAATCAGGACTGGGCACACTTCCTTCATATTATCAGCGGAGAGGCTTTTCTATTCTGCCTAATCTTCATGAGCCTGTTTAATTTAGCTGAACTGTTACCTGGACAGGAGCCATGAGAGAGACTACGGTTTACTGCTGGTGGAATGTTGAGTTTCATTATGAGCCAACAGGATGTTATAAAACACCAAAGTGAGCTGTTTCAAGCACTTCACTTTTTTGTTTGTCTTGTAGTGACAGACATCGACTGACTGACTTTGTTGGCCCTGCTTCATTCTTATACCCAGGAGTTTGTCAGAGTTTGTCAGAGTTATTAATTTGGCTGGCTTTAGCTTTTTGCATTATAATGAATGACCTGAAGAGACACTTCTCTGCAGGGTGATGGAACCATGGGATGCATTTTGTGAGTATTATTGTGCAGCTGCTTTAAACGAGTCATGTTTACGATGTGAACGTCCTTTATCTCTTCATTTCAGTAAACCTCTAACAACACATACTCATTCTTTAAGCCGGATATAGAGATTTTTATGAATTAGGACAACTCCAGCGCACACAACTTGTCATTAAGCTCATTTTTGTGCTTTGCATTCCTGCTGCGGTTAAGCCCCGAGTGCTCGTCTGAAGGAGATTAAACTTGTCGAGCAAAGCAAAAGGTGAAAGCGGCGAATACTAAGGAGGGAGCAGGGATGGTAGGGCTGTTTCACCTTCATCGTAGAAGTTAATTATTTGGCTCGTCAAGGCTTAACAAAGTGAAACGCACCATACTTCTGTGAATACAAAAGGAGTTTTTGTGATAAACTGTGCTGTGCATAAAATGTCTTTAAATGCACCATCAGAAACTTGTTTGATTACTGAGCTATCCCAATGTTCAGCAGTAATGTCATAGAGTCCTATCTGAGTCTAACCCTTGGCAGTCAGGGTTTGAAACCAGCATGCAGCTGCTTTCCCTTGGTCTTCTTGCTGTGTCTGGATATAACTGAAAACAAGCGAGCAGCAGCTCAGCCTGCAGCCTCTTTCCTCCGGTTTTCTTGCTGTGTCTAGATATGACCTAAAAACAAGCTAGTAGCAGCTCAGCCTGTAGCCTTTTTTCCTGTTTTTCTTGCCGTGTCTGGATATAACCTAAAAACAAGCAAGCGGCAGCTCAGCCTGCAGCCTCTTTCACCCGGTTTCCTTGCTGTGTCTGGCTTTAACCTAAAAACAAGCTAGCAGCAGCTCAGCCTGCAGCCTATTTTCTTCCAGTTTTTTTTCTGTGTCTGGATATAACTGAAAACAAAGCTAGCAGCAGCTCAGCCTGCAGTCCCCTTAACCATCCTTTTACAGCTTTATTTTGTGTTGATCTTTGAATTGGTTAGACTCTAATGGGCCGTCCATCGCTGCTGTCATGTTCTGCCACGGTTGACTTGGATTTTGTCATTTGTTTTGTTTTGTCGTTTGACTCTCCAAAGAGCACCGTCCTGTACTGATGATGTTTGGTTTTGCATCGATGAGGATTGCATCAGAGTGATCAGGTCAACTCCTGTTTTCTTTTCCTAGTTTGATGTCCAGGAGTACCAGCTCTGCAGGAATTAGTGTTGCTGTTAAAACTTGTTTACCTGCTTTAAGGTGTGTTTCAACGGACGACTTTACTGTCACGAGTCCAGAATGATGAAATAGTGCAGGCTGCTGTCACTCCCTCCTGGTTGTAGCTCCACTTAACTAATTTAAATGATAAACCACATAAGCTTTTCACAATAAAAGCCTCTGATTGTTTTGTTGTTGTAGTTGTACCTTCATTTTGGAACAGCTGTGTTCAGCTCGCAGCCCGTCTCAGCATGTTTTTCTTGCCAAAAAGTGTCAGAAAAACGCAATTTATCATAATTACTAGTTTATATGACCATTTGAGAGGAAGGTCCTACTGGAAACAAACTGACAGCAGCTCAGCTCGCAGCCCCTCCTGAGATCCTTTGCTTATCAAAGAGGGTCAGAGATCCACATCCAGGTTAACCTAAGACTGTTTTCTCTATTTAAGTTGATTTAAATCACTGTCTCTCTCTTTAGATGATGGTTTCACCTCTCTGCATGATTCAGCTAAAGGATTGCAAAACTTTTCTAGTACCAAGTTTTCAAGGTTTAAAGTCTGCTGTGTTGTTGCTCCTGTGCTGCTCTGCGTACAGTAAGGCAGGAAATGAAAGTGCAGAAACGCGTGTCGACTCGGGTTCTTCCTGATCGATGACTCAAACTCATATCGGAGCCGCTCTTGATTTTTTTCCAACCTAAACTGACGTCAAACTAAGAGCCCACCACACCAGACTGCATTCACACCACCATGAGAATTAATTCAGCTCTCATGCTTTCAGGGTTAATAATGACTAAGCTGAAGAGATGTGGGAGTTTCACACCAGAAGCTCTTCTTCTCCTCGCTTGTTATCTGAAATTACCGAGTCTGTGTGAACAATGCTGTGCTGAAGTTTCAGTCGTGTAAAACAGTCTGTAAAAGTAAAATATCTAACCTGGTTTTGTACCCCGTTTGACATGAATACTCCTACATTTCACCGTGACTCAGGTCTCTGCTCTGGACAAGAAGCGTGCAGTCAGGCTGTGATCATGATATCTTGTGATCGTCACACCACTTCCAATTAAGATCATCTTCATTTGATCTAATGTTGTGTGATGATGATCAGTATGCTCTGCCGTATTTAAGCTTAATGAACACACACTCTGAATAGACTCCGTGCTCGACCTCAGGACGTGTTTCACATCTGCATTTATTGTTCCACCTTCAGTTTCAACCCCACACCTCCTCGCTCTGGTCTCCAGGGCTGTTTTCAAACGATCGGCTGAGCGGATGAATTATTCATCTTTAGTTCTAGGTTGACTCCAGCCTGTGCTCCGCCTGCTTTTTCCATTCGGTTGCCTGTTATGAAGTCTGATCTCTCACTCAAAAACAGTCCTCTCTCAGTCCATTAAGGGGGAGAGAGGCCAGAGTGTTGGTATTGTTATTTAGCCCCGGACCAGCTTGCACTTTATCTCCCCTGTAATGAAAACAATGATGAAGACAGCGGCACATTTCCATTTCCTCCACAGCAGCTGAGCTGGAATAAAGGTCGCTGATTGTGACACTGACAGAAACACAAACATTTTTTTTTTATTTCAGCCTCTTGACATTTTGCAACTTGTCTAAATGGGGGAAAGAAAAAAGAAGTCCGTGCGGCTCCACTCTCTGACTCTGAGTCGGTGAGGAAATGCGGGACGTTAGGGGCTCCTCATGACGCTCATCACCCGAACGTCAAATTAGATCAGCAGGGGTCTGAAACCGGGAAAAAACATTGCATAACAAACGGCCCACGCCCTGCCTCACGAGGACAGGATCACATCTCTCTCTCTGCCTTTTGCCAAGTTGTAGTCCACCCAATTACCCTGAGAGAGCTTGTGAGGAAAGTCTGTACCAGCGCGGGTGACTCAGCCGCCAGACTCCCATGACTCGGCCTCCCATGATTGCCATGTTGGACGAAGGCAGTGTAACAGATACAGGTCACAGCCACCGTGTCCCAGCAGTTACAGGAACTCTACTCTTCCACTTTTCTATTTTTGCATCAATTCTCCTTTTTAGCTTTTCTTGAAAAAAGACTTAGATGTTCTCTTGAGTGTTTAAAGCTCCTGTGAGGAGATTTCATCTGCTCTCAAAACAGAATAAAATTAATATTCGTATGACTCTATGACCTACAAAAGCAGACAAAGCCATCAGGGATAAAACTGTATATTTTCATGTTGGCATTAAAAATGTCTGAAACCTCTGGCAGGTGTCACTGTTGGAGGCAAAACAGCAACCCAGGTACCAAAGAGTCTTGAAACTTAAATTTTTCATGGTTTCAAACACCTCTTTGCATGTGAAATGTGACAACAGGCACTGCAGTCTTTTTGAATCTGCAAAATATGTCAGAATCAGAATGTTTTCAACTCACCTTTGCAGCAAGTGCTCCCCAGTGCTGCTTAAAGGTGTAGTTTCATGTTTTTTAAGTCTTGTTGTTCAAGATTCTTGCCAATAATCGGGGATTAGATCAGCTACTCTGAGCTGAAACCAGTTGGAAAACCAGAAGGGAAACTAGGCTATCACCTGCTGAAGATGGGCACGAATCTAAAAAGCAATTAGGCTAATTTCAACCAACTCCATCCTGAACACTAATATCTGTCTAAGTGCTTTTCTTTGCCGTCAGAAACTCCATCAATTTCTGCATCATTAATGGACTTTACACATGCATGTGCATCAGTGAGTGGGTCTATAATGCTAAAGTTACCGATATACTGTAAATTTTGATAATTTGCATCTCAGTTTTTCTAAATTTGAAGCACCAAAGGTTAAAGATGATCATGCAGACACAGTAATGTAGTGGGAGCTCTGTGCTGTTCTGTGCGTGATGCAGACTGCAGCCACATGCGAGCCGCTGTTGTCCTCTCATTCAGAAAGGACAAATTTTAAGTCTGTTGAGTCTTTTTCTCCCACTGTGAACTCCAGCTCCTCCACAGTGGCTCCATGTTATCATTGCTGTCAGAATCACTCATTACTGTAGTTGTATTTTTGTTTCTTTGAAGCCCACAGACCCAATCAGCTTATCAGTGAGCAGCAGGCAGAGGAAAAGTGTGTGCTGAGTGAGAACAGCACAAAAACAAATCTGCTTTCCACCGGCAAAGTGAAGCACTAAAAAATGTGCTAATAGGGCCTTTACTTCCAGCGTGAACAGGGATTTAGGTTGGCGTTTGTTAAAGTGAGCTAAATTGGACCTGGCTCTGCCTGTAGCGGTTCATGGCCATGCTCCTGTTCTGGTTCTGTGGCTGGTCTCGCAATAAGGATCTCTTATTAGCGGTGTGAAATGAACACTGATGGGACTTCACGTCCTCTAAGAGCAAACCAGATCATCAGCAACAAGATCAGTTGTTCCTATTGCTCATCTTCCAGCCTATCACGTGTCACAGGGTACATTTCAGATCAGATGATGCTTAAAAAAACCTTTTTTTAAAAATCTCAAGATTCAATGAAAGTCACATGCCAGACCTTTGAAATGAAAAAAGTGCTTTATTCCCCCCCAGAAAAGTTCACTTGATCATGTGCAAGAAAATATCTGGACGATGAAGACTCGCTTTGACCACGAGGACGCCCAAGAGCAACACAGCTCAGAAGTTCCTCATGTGCGACGACCAAAAGTGCATCCATAAATGACCTCTTACTTAGAGATAACCAATGATGCTCTCTTTCTTTAAATCTAACTTCTCCTTTGACCTCTACCGGCAGGAAAAATGGTGTAATGATCAAGGGAAATCTGTAAGTGTGCGTCAGAAACACCCCAAGAGCCTGCGAGTGCCCACATGACAAATGAGCGAATAAAGAAGTTCATTAGTGCGGAGGAAAGGTCACCGCTTTCTTTGTTTACTCAAACGAGTACCCGCAGCTTTGAGAACTGTTGATTTCCCTCCAAGATGCATTAATCAGTATTGGCAGTCTCTCCTTTATCAAATCAGCCCGGCCGGTTTATGCCGAGTGCATTGTAATATTGGATTAAAGCCTTGGAGGAAAAACAACCCTGCTGCTGGGAAATTAGTGTTATCGTGAACTCCTCAGTTTCCCCCTCCCAAATGAGGAAAAGAGCCACAGTAGGTTGAGCGATAACGCGAGGACGAACCGAGTGGTTTCTCATTTTGGAGATACATTTTAATGGACTGGGTGCTCAGATACAGTTTGTTTATGAAACCAATAACCGCTTTGGCAGCTTTGACGGTTTGAGTTCCTGCCAGTCACTTCCTGTTTATCTTCTCCCTCATCTGTTTGTGCATTTATTTATTTCCACCTCCGTGTTAAACTCAGCTGTCATGTTTTTATCCCTGTCCTCTTCTCCTCTTTTCATGATTCATGCTTTTCTTTTTTCTTCCTCCTCCTGTCTCCTCTGTGTGATGTTGTCCAGCCCCCTGGTGTGCAGTGACCCCCCCACCTACCTACCTTCCTACCTACTGACCCACCCACCCTCCCTCTCACTGCTGTGGTGGGTCACCCTCTCTGCCCCTCCCTGACCCGGGTGAGTGTGGTCATCTCTGCACCTTTAGTTCACTTTATAGGATGCTCAACATACTTGTGGGAATACCGATGTTTGCAAATCCTTCTGCACAGCTCTAATCCATGCATACCAGTTTGTTAATCTAGGGGGACAGATTTGTAATCCGGGGGCAGGTATTACTGCAAACTGTGTGCACATATGCACCTGTTTACATAGGTTTGTGTACAGGAAACAGATTTGTACCCACAGGTTTGTTATCTGTGCCCAGAAGTTACCAATCCATCTACTGATAATAAATCTGGACGCACAGGTTTTAATCTGCCTGCAGGGATTTGCAAACCTTGTACACAGATTAGCATTGACATGGCTTCTTCGTTTTTTTTTTCTTGACCCTGGCAGCAGTGATCTTTTGGTTGGCTTGTTGACTTTCTTGATTTTTGACTGATTTTCTTTCTTATGAAAAAGTCAGATTTGATAAAAAATATATATATATGCCATACCTAAAAAAAGAATTGGATTAGAAAACCCTTCGAGACTGAAGATCCGAGATTCTGATATTTTTAGACATTGAAAGGATCTTTGCAGACTTCAAACTTTAAAGATTAAACAGATAAAAACAGTCTGTCTAAAATGAGTTTTACTACTTTACAGACGGACTGAGAAATGCTGCATTTGAGACCTCATACTCCTGACAGACTCAATTTCTTTTACAGTATTTTAAGTCCAACTTAAGCGGATGCAAAAAAAGTCCTGCAGCTTCTTTAGTTACTTTGGTATTTGACATGATCGGCTGAAAGAGGAAGCTTTAGATGTAACCCAAAGTGCAAAGAGCAGTGATTATATAAAAACAAAAACTTGAACATTCTGACAAATTTAACTTCTTGTTATTCCACCTGTTTCGCCTTTTTGTAGTTACACAAGAATCTGCAGTGAAACATGTTGTTTAAAGAAGTCGTGCAGCTCTCTCTGCAGCTGAGGGATTTGAACAGAAGAAGAAATTCTGTATGTACAAAATACTGTCGTGTTTTTCTTCACCTTCTCCTCCTACATCTTTTTTTTCTTTTTGTCTTCAGTGCCAGCTCAAGTATAAACTTATTCTAACGCTCCTCACACAGGAAGTCCGTTTTCTCACCATGTTGTTGTAAAAAATGAACTCGCTGGTTTTTCTCGAAGAGCAGCCTCGGTCTTTCCCCTCGCAGTGACGGTTTGCAGGAGGCGCTCAGGTGTGACCAAACAGCAGGCACCTGAATAATTGATTCGAAGTCCCTCTCTAGAGTTTTAGTCTCAGGGAGTGAGAAAATCTGTTTCATGGATACGCAGGGCTGACGCAGATACATGTACGCTATAAATGCACAGGACAGTAAACACACCAGAACTGGATAAGATGATAAATTACTCCATTAGGCACAAGCTGTTTCGTACACACCACATTATATAAAGATCGTACAACACATACAGGACATGTAATAAGACTTAGACAAGTTGTACTTTTTACCTCACAGCTCTCGCACCATGACTGACTTGACTATTCAATCAAACGAAAGTGAAAATATGATCGTTCACAGAGCTCCAGCAGGGTCTTTATTTTCAGTAAACTGGTTTGTTGTTGCTGCAAAAGGGCTGTAAATTTCTCTGTTATGAAGTCTTCTTTTGACTTCTGCCAGAATACGACTATGGAAGATCTAATGTCCAATAAATATTCACAGTTTTATCTGTAGGTATACCAGATAAAGAAAAAATGTGGGTCTAGAGTAAAAATCACAAATCTTTCCAACATCACTTTTCCCTCCATAAAAAAACGTTAAAGCTTTTTTAAATCATTATTTTATCCTGCTTTCTCGGCTGCTACGACTCCAGGATGTTAAACTTTGATACAATCCTATAAAATGATTAAATGACAGTGGCACGTGTTTTGATACCGTGCACTATAAAATGAAGTCCTTGGCACCAAAGTTTGGGTAATTTTCTGCTGGTAGTGAAAATACAGACCAACATTTCACGTGCTGCTAACGGTGAGGAAAGCCATAGTGACCTACTTCAGGTGTTTCTTCTCCGCAGCAGATCACACACATACATTTTTTCTCCTGCTCAAATCTGTTGGACATCTGTGTTAAAAAAAAACATCTCAAAGTTCTTAACATTCCTCTGAACCCATGTTACTGCCATCTTTGGTGCGTCTCCTGTTAAAATCAAGTTCACCAAACATCAAACTGACCTCGGTGTGTTTGCCGCCTTAATAGCCAAGCGTAGTTTATTACTACGCTGCAGGGACCCTAATCCTCTGGGCTCGAGCTCATGGTTGAAGGACTTAGTGTCCTTCCTCTACTTAGGAAAAAACAAAGACTGGAGCTGAGGATCTATGAAAACGTCCCACAAAACTTTAGACCCCTTTGTGTCCCTGTACCAAGTTTTTAAGTCTGATAAATAAACGTAAAAAAGAAAGTCATAAAAAAGAAAATAAGTGTATAAACAAAATTAAATGAGCATATTCACTCTGATAAATTCATGATCTGTAATAGTGTGTGGTGGTGTGTCCCTTCATTTTCAAAGATTCTTAGTTAATCTCTGTGCAGAATAAAGCTCTATCAAAACTCCGCAGGACCCTTAAGGGACTAAACGAAGTGTCAGTAATTTCTGATCTGTGAGTTAAGAGTAAACTTGAGCCATTTGTGCAACAATAAGTGCTGCAAAGAAACAAAATCCAGCACCTTTGCACATTTACACAGAGTTATGAAAACCTCTGCACCTGTAGAGTAGCTGTGCATGATTTCCACCTCAAGAAACTCCTCGTTTATCTCACACTGGTGAAACCTTCAGTTCAGATTCAGTTTGAAACACTTTATTTTGGTTTATTTTCCAGTGTTTCAAAGTTAGACTCAGCTTGGGGGTGTTACCTTTTACACAGCTTTGTAGTTTTGGAAACATGTCCAGGATTTACACCTTCACACGTGTATCTTATAATCTGAAACTGTGCTGAATTTTAATGAGGATCCAACATTGTAACATTGTGTGTGTTAAAATACAGATCACTATAATAGGTCTCCTTTAATTAGTTCATTAGAGAACAACTGCTGAGTCTTATTTCTCAGTGTTGCTGCTTTATTTATCCACAACACATGCTCTCTCTCTCTCTCTCTCTCTCTCTCTCTCTCTCTCTCTCTCTCTCTCTCTCTCTCTCTCTCTCTCTCTCTCTCTCTCTCTCTCTCTCTCTCTCTCTCTCTCTCTCTCCACTGTTTTCTCTTTTGTTCAGCACAACTTTAGCTTGAAAATATGACTCTAGATCTGCTTTTATAACTTTTAGTGCTTTTTGAAATCAGATCTAAAGAAATTGCACTAAAAATCTGGTCACCTTTAATGCATTCTTTGTGTTTCTGCTCACATGCTCGCCGTCTCACCCTCCTTTAGCCGTATCTGTAAGGTGGAATAATGTGAACAGACAGTCAAATCAGTGCATTTTTACTTTCACTTTCTCTTTGGATTATCTTTTAACCTTAATTACAGGCAGTAAATCGCAGAGCCTCCCCATATAACCTCACTTTCCTTCAGCTGTGTCCATCAGATTGTAAAAGGGAGTGTACTTAACCCTCCTTTTAGGTTGTCCTTTAACTTTTATGACAGGTGGCTAACTGTAACACAGAGCAATTTAATATCTTTGAGAGCGATTCGGACACATTTGAAGACGGGATAACACGCCGGATTAAGTATGAAAATCTTTTTATTTTCATTACTGCTCAAAGAGTTTATTTAAAAATACAAAATATCGTACGTTTTGAACTTATCTTAAAGCTGACTTGACGTGCTGAGAGGATCATAGACCGTGGAGTCTGAGCTGCTCCTCCTTACACTACTTTAAAAACCAGGAATATTGTACTCTTTATCATTGGCTGTATTTGAAAGTGTACTGCTCCAGTTTTACACAGCACGTTTAATATAGGAACAAAGTACAGCCTTAAAAGAGTTAGGTGTTGTTTACAAGTGAGTTTACAAGTTTGTGTGTGAATGAAACAGAATTTTTGCTACCTGGTTTCAGACTTATGTTTTAGGTGAATTAGGGTCAAAATGGACAAATGTACATATTTAATGGTTACCAGAATAACTGCACAAATTCAGAGGTGTACTGTCTTTCCATTTTGACTCACAGAATTAAATACTAATATCAGTAACACGTCTGTGCAGATGTTTTTTTACTCAGTCACTATCACGTCACAGCCTCCGGAGGTCAGACTGTGTGTAATGTGATTGGTGTTCAGTCTGCTCCTCGGCTTTGTGACCCAGACGCTCATTCAGGGATCAGCTGGCCTGAATGACTCCAGTCAGAGGTGTCAGATTAGCCGAGGCGTTTGGTAGCTCTCCTGGATGATGCGAGCGAAGGCGGGATGCCGGCTTAGAGAATCACCTGTCTGCCGGGAAGGTCGTAACACTGAGAGCGTTAATGCCGTTTAAAGCGGTTAGCTGGACTCTTTCACTGCTAGGAAAGTCCAGATTGCCTCATCGACTCAGGAAGGGGGAGAGATTCCTGCTGTGAAGCTAGACCGGCTTTATCCTTATATGGTCAATGTTTCCTGCAGATTCAGGGATTCTTTGTACTTGAAAAAATTAATACACACGAAAAACTAAAAATCACCTTACTCTTACTCGCTTTAATATAAGATAATCAACCTGGGAGCGTTATATCATGATGTTATTGTTATCATATTTTGAAATGCTTTTTGTGAGTCTACTCATATTCTCTGCTGCCTGTTATTCAAGTGATATGCAACCATGGTTACATAGAGTCCTGTCCTAATTTCCATGGAAATGAGAGTTTACTGCCGTATCTGATCCCTCTGCACTTCACTCTGACGCACTACCATTTAGGTAATGCGGCCTCAAATCAATATCTCGATATATTGAGCAGTTCACCTCGATAACAATAAATGGATAACTACTCCACAAGACGTTCACCCCCTCCCACATTAACTTTGTTTACTCCAGCCGTGACAACTTCTGAACCGTCCTCCATCTCCTCACCTGTCTTTCCCTCTTTGTTACAGACTGGTTGGGGTGGAGTCATGTCTCTGATGTAGGACAGCGTCTTAAAGGGACATGAGACCAAAGCCTACCTACACACATCCAAAACCAACTTTTATATATTTATGTATTTGACACCGGATATACCGATATTGGCAAAATGACGTCGGTTATTGTTAAAAATTTTGGTATCTGTAAATTTGCGGTTTATCACCCAGCCCTACCTCGTGTGCAGTATGTACTACTTACAGGATCTAATGGTGTGAGGGGAAGTGGTCCTGCCTCTGATCCCCCTTCATAAGTGTTAACAAAGGTCAAATAAACTGAAGAAGGTGTAGATGTGCAGCATTAAATCAGAGCTGGAAGGGTGGAACAGCACCGTGTGTGTGTGTGTGTTTGTGTTTGAATATGCTGCTCCTGCTGTGTGTTTATACGCAGGAGAAGGTATTTATGCACTCTCTTTTTGTCTGATACCCACCCAGCAGCAACTTTTACACAAGTTAGATAATACTGAATAGAAATCACCAATCTTGTTTAAAGTGTTACTCTTAGTCCACTTCATAAACTCTAAAAACTTCCTCACTGGAGCTTTAATGCTTCAGTTGTCCAAAAGTGTCCTCAGCACTCTCTGGTTCTCATGTTTCTCTCTGTTTGGAGGACAGAAAAGAGGAATGAAATACACAGACTTTCTGCACTGAGTCTGACCTGATAAATCAAAGTTAGAGGACGAGCGTCACATAATGGCATTACTGGCTGTTATATCACTTTATTATTGACTGGACCATCATGTGTAACGATTTAAAACATCAGATCATTTAGATTCACGTCAGAATGAGTTATCATTTTAAAGGCCTGTGTTATTTTTGTTCCCCTTCATGTGATTTTGATTTATTCTCATCCTGATTGTCTCTGTGTTCTCAGGTCAGTCTTCAGGGTCTGGAGAACTTCCTCTGTCTGTTTCACTACGTGCAGCATCATCCCAACCAAAACAAGGATGCTCTGAAGTTCTGGTAGGTCACGTTATTGTTGTTTTTACACCTTTAACTGTACGAATATGATGGTTTTTGAAGTAGCTCTGCTTATTTTTAGTATTTTTATGGCACTGGCTTGATAAGAGGGACAGGCTAAATGTAGTAGCAGAGATTTCAGCCTCTTATCTGTAAACTAAATCACAGCACTGTCACTCAGAAGCCTGTCATTTTAGGGGCTAGAAATAGAAAAATCAGATATGTGGAGATTTAATGCCGAGTTTGGACGTATGAAGCTCAGACCAGCTGGGACACAGACTAGCCTCTAACAAACTTGCAGCGTCCTTGGCTCTTTGTTTGGCTTTTCCAAGGAAAAAGATACCTGCAGGAGTGAGAAGCTCATATTCATAATTTGTATGTCCCACAGCTATAGTGGCGTCTCCATTATGTAATCATGCCGCATTAGCTTTGGAGTACCTCCCTGCATAGATTTACATATTGATGGGCGAAAATGTGCGACATTAGGCGCCTCGACAGCCTCTTGTTTTTATATTCGGTGCAGGGTAAATAAAACACGCACATAAACACACACATGGACTACCTCGAGTTAATGGAGGGTATTAGCATTCGTGTGCTGTGTGCTCCCTCGGCTGAAAAGTAATTAGTTTGAGTGGTGTTTGGTTGAAAATGGCTGAAATAATGTTGTTGTTTAAAGAAGAGCTTGATGTTCCACTCTGTGAGCTCGACCATTAAATGTTGAATTTTTTAATTTTTGGAGCTTTTGTTTGTAATAATGATGCTCTTCGCTGAGTGATTTAGAACACACTGAACATCAGAAGTGTTAAATTAAATGTCTGAAGTCATTAGCCTGCAGAATAACCCCTTTTTTTTTGTTGAGTCCACACTCTTCTTTGTTTTTCTTGTTTGGTTCTTTGCAAATTAATGAGGATGTACTTGAAGCTTGCTGCAACCCTGAACTTTTAGGGTGTAAAAGATTAATAACCTAACTTCTTAAAATCATGTCCATGAAGAGGGTCTCTGCTGGCATCATGCTTGTGCAGCCACCTACCACTAGCTGGTGCTGCCGCTCGAGTTTCCCAACGCTATTATGCTGTACTACCTGGATGTAAACAAGCACAGCTGACAAATGAAATCTCAGTTTTATGATCCAGAAAATGGATAAAAAGTTGATGTAGGATGTCTATGAGATGGGCAGAATCAGAGTGGTCAAGTCTCAAGTCTCTGAGGGGCGATTCCAGGTCAAGTTTTGCATAATTTTAACACATAATGACAAAATTCAGACGTTATAGTCATAAAATAGGAGGTTCTTCAGTTTTATTTAGCATTTCCCCCCTGAATCCGCCCCTGATACCTGCACCTCTCTTCATTTAGCAGCAGTCTGTCCTCACCTCTCTGTGTCTGATCTTTTGGAAAAACTCAGTGGTAGCAGGACGTTTTCGACAGACCCTCAAATGACAAAATTTTGTTTTTGACATTTTTAAACTCGTTTCCATGAGAGAATTTTCAGTAAATATACCCTCATGTTCTCCATATATGGGAAAACTGGACTGTTGCTGCACTGGGTGATGAGAAGGTTACACAGGATGACATTCAGCTGGTAATGTTAATGGGCCGCAATGACTGGACTGTAATATTAGGCTCGAGTCGACCATGAGTTTAGCTGTGTGACATAAATTGATCAGTTTGGAGTGTTTTCGTACTTTGAGACTTAGCCAATTAGTCTGACTTTAAATTTCCATCCAAACAACTCTGAAATTAGTCTCTTTGGAGCGGAAAGCAAACAGATATTTCCTTATTTTTTACCCACATTGAAACTGACGGTGCTGAATGAGGCCTCAGCTGTGTAATTAACTCAGTTAGAGAACATCACAATAATTGGCCGGAGGGGAAGCACAGATTTGAGATCTGCCATAAAGAGAGAGAAAGAGAGAGAGAGAGAGACGTCTCTGCAGGCGGGTGATATGATAACCGCTCTCTGTTTACTGCGTCTCTAATCACTGTCTTGTGGTAACCATGAAACGGCAGAGAGGAGAGTGGCCAAAAACTGGTAGAGAAATAAGTTTAAGAGCAGTCGTGCTTTTAATACTTCAGAAGAACATGACGGATGATAAGAGTGCTGCAAAATTTTCCTGTGATTATTGTATGATAAAAATTTCCTGGAAAGACAACCTGGACTTTTTAAAAATTAAGTTTGGAGGCATTTATCTTTGAACTCATGAAATATTACCTGATAGATGTAGGAGGCAGGCCAGTCAGTAGGGGGAGCTCCAAATGTTTTGGCTTCACTCCTGGGAATGTGTCCTGACGTTCTCCTCTTAGAGCCAATGATATTAGCTTTTATGCAGAAACTCTTGTCCAATCAGGAAACTCGATCTGAACTATCTGTTACATCAGTCCTACTTGTTTTATCTGCGGTCTCTGAGGCGTTTACCGCGGGACTAAAATGTATGAAGACCATCTGTCCTCGGCTTTGACTCTCTGGTAGCGTGTCAGACCTTCTTGGACATGGTCTGGTCTGTTACTAAGTGACCTGTGACCTAGTTAGGCTCCACTCTGGACACTCCAAGAAAAATGATCATGGCGAGCTTGATTTGTGAGACTTCGTAGTGACACACTTTTACAGTTGTTTCAAAAAGACAATTCTCGATCCTGTTCGGTCGATCCAAACTGATTATGAGTAATTAACATTTTAAATTCACAGTTATGAAAACATTAGCTTCCTTCTTTGTTATAATTCACACTAAACTGAACATTTCCATCGACGGTAATATTAAAAAAGGTGAGGAGGATCTCTGCAGGGATATTTTGTTTATATTTCTGTGCAGCTGACTCATCTTAAAACACAAACGACACAAACTGCACGGCTTATAACTTGTTTACGATCAATGCAAATAGTTTTGCACAAACAACGAACAGTTACCGGTGCTTTTTTAGCAGCTTCTGGTTAAACACAGAAGCGTTTATGGTTTGTCTTTTTTGAGCTGCTGATGCACCAGGGTGAATGCAGTAGATATAAAAAACTCATTTTAAGTTAAGAACAACAAAACAGTTTCATATTTAGGTGACTTTACTATGATTTAAACATATTTTGTAACATTTCTACCAAGTCTGTACACCCCTAAATATTACGTTCTGCACCTTTAATAGGAGATATACCCCATGATACATGCAGTGTGAAAGGTTGTAATAAAAAACAGTGGGCTGGGGGACTGTGAAGTGTTTAAAGGGTTAATAAAAATACTTCCGCATTGTTATTATATGAGTAAGAATAAAAAAGTGTCATAATAGTCCAAAAAGCCAAACATCTGGCTGTTTCTTTCTCTCTTTTTTACGTCTTGTTTCTGTCAGGCCTCTGTTGTGCGTAAAAAATCCCCCCCTGACAGTTGTAGTTTAGATGTAGTCACCGTTGAGGAAACAAAGGCTGTGGCTGTAAGCGCTGGTTGTGGAGGTCTTCTGCGGGGCACCAAGGACTCGTCAGTATTCCCAAGGCTAGTCCCCTCGCCATGTGACATCACATGCTTTCATGTGATACGCTGATCTGCTGCGAATCTGGAAAGCTTCCATTTGAAATTCCAATTTAATGGAATTTGCGCTGCAGAACAGAAAATTCAGTCAGCAGTCGTGTAAGGAGGTATGCGGATACAGCCCGCAGAGCTGCAGTCATGCTCGGAGGAAAAGACAGGATGAGTGGAAGGAGACTGGCCCAGTAAGAGGTGGTAAGATGAAAAATTCTCCTCAACAGAAAAGATTTAAAGTCTCTGAAAACTGTGAAAGGCTGTGGATTTAAACATCCCGGCTCTCCTTAAACTTTTCATTACACTGGGATTGATTTTGTGTTTGTTTTGTTGTTTGTAAAGTTTGCACAGACTTCTCTGGTTCTTGTGGTTTTGGTTTAGAAATGAAGGCATCACCTTAATCTGTGGAGCCAAACTGATGCTTAATTGTTTAATTAATTGTTGTCCTGAAGCGGGAAATGTTTCTTAAATTGAATTAGGAGAGGTGTCCCTCTTTTGTCAAATCCAAGAGCTTGTAGTAGGTTACTCTCTGAGGAACACGTGGTTGCACACATGCTAGCCTGGAGGCGCTGTCCTCACACTGATGGTTGGATAAGTCAGAGCGCAGTCTGGATCTGAAGGTTCGACTTACACATGAAACTTAATGTCTGCATTTTAAATGGAGGAATCAGTAACCTGTAATTATTGACATCTCATGAACCTTTCAGCTCCTCTTTTACTGCAGGACTTTACTGATTAAACCCTTTAAAACTGAATGCATGAGTTTGTCACTAAAATCAAATCCCTGTAAACTTTTTAATCCCGTCAAATGTTTATTTTGGTTTTTATTTTGTGCTTTTTTTCATGATCAGTCTTTATTTTTAGGGAGAAACAGACATCTGCAGCAGACTCTTTAATCACTGATTGTTGGAGGACTCAGTTGTCTGTCTTTTTAATCCTGACTATAACATGATGCACTGTAACACCTTTTCTTTTTCATGCCATTTAAAGTCACTGTATCTGTATCTCAGTTTGTGTACTGACATTTCCTGACAGTTTTATACATATTTGATAAATTCCCTCTTGGTGCTGCTCAGTTGTAAATTTTTCAAGTGAACTTTTTCCCTTGTAATTCTTTTTTTTTTTTGCACACTGAGACAGTTTGGTTAGATCGAACAAACTTTCCCTCTCTCTATTAGTATCAGGGATGTGTGTTTTTAGTCTCCTTAACTCTTACTTGTCAGCCCCAGAATTACTCGTGAAATAAACAGTTAATATTTCACATCTATAGTCCTGAAATGCCGATTATACAGTATGTTGTTTCCAAACTGTAACCCTGCAATCCTCCTTTAGTACCTCTAGTTAATGGATACGTCTGCAATACATCAATGATCTACAGCCTGGATGTAAACAAACAAGACTCACAGGTTGCACTTTGTAGCACAGTGAGGTTTGTGTCACTGTCCTGATCTAGAAAATGGAGATAAAGTCGTAAACAGAACTTAAGCTGTCAGGTGGGCTGAAGGTGCGAGCTCTGCTGATGGTATCCACAAACTGATTTAGTTTGATTCAGTCTCTGTGATCCAGTTTTTAAAGCTGTGTTTGATAATTTTGACCTAATCCTGACATTTTTAGTGTTTTATAAATGTTGCTCTGGCCAGTTTGTTGGAATTCGAAGTCTTCTCTGGGGTTTTTTCAAATATTTATATCAGGTAAATCCTGACGGAGTGACTCTGATTACACAGGTGGAATTGAAAGTGAAACCAAGAGGAAATGAAGTTTTTGTAAACTTTCTCCTCTTTTCAGAGTCGTATTTTTGTTCTCTCTTTTGAAAACTCATGATCTGTCACATTTAGACAGTTGTGGTCATTGTCGACACGTTGGCCTGGAGGTGCTCTCTGATCACTTCCTGTTGGTGAAGTCAGTTTTGTCACTTCTCCTAGTCTGACTGCTCTGATACTTTCTTTTATTTTAAGATATTTTCATCACATTAACCACAATATGACTGGAGTTATCATCAATAAGCTGGTGTTACATAACAACCCCAAAACAAGCTTAAGAATAATCCACTCTTAACTATAATTTAGTTAGTTATAATTTAGTTAGTTAAGTCATCTCATTAGAGACCCCTGAGTGAGCTCTAAATTTAATTTTGTCGTCACATTTACATCCACAATCTTTGTCTACCTCCTATAACTCTGTGGGTTTACCGATGAAGCTTCTTTTTATGAAGTTTAAAGAAAAAGTGTGTGACTTAACGTCCATGTAGATTCTCATTCATCCAGGTCATAGTTATCTTGAAGACTTAAAAAACAGGCAACTGGACTGTGTAGAGTTAAGAAGACGTTTCGCCTCTTATCCAAGAAGCTTCTTCAGTTCTAAAAGTGCTAGTGTCAGGAGCAGATATTTATCTTACTGGAGAAGGGGGACAGTTAACGACTGGGAGGAGTTGAAAAGAATGGGTCGTAGAAACCCATCTCTCGGTGCGTCCCCCCCAAGTCGTTATCCTGAAAGGGTCGTTAGCGACTCCTATCATGTGACCACATGACTCATGCCACCTGAGTCATGTGGTTCCAAGTGTGAATGTTTGTGGAGCTTTCTGGGGAGAGAGCTGAGAACTGCATTGTAAGTGCCAGAGAGATTGTGCCTGAGTCCACCCCCTCTGTTCAGAGAAGGTTTCTCCAGCCTGGTAAAGATGGCTTCTTTAACTCCTCTTTCAAACCATCTGTCTTCTCGAGCCAACACCTGTACATCGCTGTCCTCAAAAGAGTGACCTGTATCCTTCAAGTGAAGGTGGACAGCTGAGTCCTGACCTGAGGAAGTGGCTCTCCTGTGTTGAGCCATGCGCTTGTGAAGCGGTTGTTTAGTTTCCCCAATGTACAGGTCTGAGCATTCCTCGCTGCACTGGACAGCATATACCACATTACTCTGTTTATGTCTCGGTGTTTTGTCCTTGGGATGGACTAGCCTCTGCCTTAGTGTGTTACCAGGCTTGAAATGAACAGGAATGTGGTGTTTGCCAAAGATCCTCTTGAGTTTCTCAGACAGGCCTGCAACGTAAGGGATTACAGTGCTCTTGCGTCTCTCCTCCCTTTCCTGTTCAGTGTTATTTCTCTTTCTGTTCTTCACAAAGGCCCACTTAGGGTATCCACAGGTTGTCAGGGCATTTTTGACGTGCTTTTGTTCCTTTTCCTTACCTTCTTTCTTCGTGGGGATGTTCTCGGCCCGGTGGTTGAGTGTTCTGATGACACCCAGTTTGTGCTGCAGAGGATGGTGGGAATCAAAAAGTAGATATTGATCCGTGTGTGTTGGTTTCCTGTACACTTCAACGTTGAGCCACCCATCTGCCTCCAAGTGTACAGCACAGTCCAAAAAGGCCAACACTTTGTTCTTGACATCTTCACGGGTGAACTTGATGTTGCTGTCCACTGTGTTGATATGGTCACATGAAGTAGAGGCCTTCACTGACCATATCAACACAGTGGACAGCAACATCAAGTTCACCCGTGAAGATGTCAAGAACAAAGTGTTGGCCTTTTTGGACTGTGCTGTACACTTGGAGGCAGATGGGTGTCTCAACGTTGAAGTGTACAGGAAACCAACACACACGGATCAATATCTACTTTTTGATTCCCACCATCCTCTGCAGCACAAACTGGGTGTCATCAGAACACTCAACCACCGGGCCGAGAACATCCCCACGAAGAAAGAAGGTAAGGAAAAGGAACAAAAGCACGTCAAAAATGCCCTGACAACCTGTGGATACCCTAAGTGGGCCTTTGTGAAGAACAGAAAGAGAAATAACACTGAACAGGAAAGGGAGGAGAGACGCAAGAGCACTGTAATCCCTTACGTTGCAGGCCTGTCTGAGAAACTCAAGAGGATCTTTGGCAAACACCACATTCCTGATCATTTCAAGCCTGGTAACACACTAAGGCAGAGGCTAGTCCATCCCAAGGACAAAACACCGAGACATAAACAGAGTAATGTGGTATATGCTGTCCAGTGCAGCGAGGAATGCTCAGACCTGTACATTGGGGAAACTAAACAACCGCTTCACAAGCGCATGGCTCAACACAGGAGAGCCACTTCCTCAGGTCAGGACTCAGCTGTCCACCTTCACTTGAAGGATACAGGTCACTCTTTTGAGGACAGCGATGTACAGGTGTTGGCTCGAGAAGACAGATGGTTTGAAAGAGGAGTTAAAGAAGCCATCTTTACCAGGCTGGAGAAACCTTCTCTGAACAGAGGGGGTGGACTCAGGCACAATCTCTCTGGCACTTACAATGCAGTTCTCAGCTCTCTCCCCAGAAAGCTCCACAAACATTCACACTTGGAACCACATGACTCAGGTGGCATGAGTCATGTGGTCACATGATAGGAGTCGCTAACGACCCTTTCAGGATAACGACTTGACGCACCGAGAGATGGGTTTCTACGACCCATTCTTTTCAACTCCTCCCAGTCGTTAACTGTCCCCCTTCTCCAGTAAGATAAATATCTGCTCCTGACACTAGCACTTTTAGAACTGAAGAAGCTTCTTGGATAAGAGGCGAAACGTCTTCTTAACTCTACACAGTCCAGTTGCCTGTTTTTTAAGTCTTCAAGATGTGTGACTTAACTTAATATTAAAGAACGAGATTACTTCATCCATGAGCTACTTATCTGACAATCAAGCAGCCATAACTGCTTCACAGAAAAATAACACTAAAACAGAGATGAAACGATGAAAAAGTACTAAAAATAACTCATCAACAACAGCGTATTTTCAGTAAGAGCCTGTATGAGATTTACCATCACGCAGCTAAAAAGTGTGACACCATCTTATCTCGCTCTTATTCTGCGTCAGCCGTCTGATGTCGTCTCCTCTCTTCTTCCTCTGCAGCTCAGACATGAGTGGAGCCAGTAACACGCTGGCAAGAGAGTTCCTGACCGACGTCCATCAGCTATGCAGCGCGGTCGCTCAGAGGGCCGAGGCACGCGAGGAGGACGAGGAGGAGAGTCACATGGTGGCTCTGGGAGAGTACCTGGTCAGGGGGCGGGGCTTTCTGCTGCTCAGCACCCTGGACTCCATCATCGACCAGGTGAGCACAGAGAGACACTTAGAGTTTATTTCTGTATTTTAGTTTTTTACTCCTACCTTTGGAGCCCCAGACAAGACAATCATATGCTAGAGAACAATATGACGGACTGTAACTCGCAGAAGTCTGTAAATTCGTAACATTAAAACCAGTAAATAAACTTGAAGTGGTCAAAATAGTGGTCATAATCAGTCCTTACAAATAAAATCTAATCTGAGGTGAGTTTCCTGATGATTTGAAAGTGATTGAGTCGATTGCTGGAAATTTAATGTTCATTTGGGAGAATTTAGCGTTGACTTTGGCGCCTGGTGCTCCATCTCAGTCGGTTCTCTGCTGCTCTCAATCGGAGAGGCCTTGCCCCACTTCTCTGTGACTCTCTAATGAACCATTAACTGTGAAAATCTGCAGCGTAAAACCAAAACAAAGGCTCTTTTTGTCCGAAAGCTTTAAATCACTTTGAGCGAATCTGACCTGGTGGCGGCCGTGACAGGCATTAAGAAAAACTACACAAGGGCGGCTAATCCACTTGTTGATCTGGTTTTATATTGTTGGACGTGTGAACACATTTGGAGGAAACTAATACTTTAACTTGGTACCAATTACCCTGAAATTCTGGCTCTTAGCTCCGCGTCGCTCCTCACATTTTAACGAATCTATTCAACTTTTCATCACCAGCATGAGAAATGAAAAATTCTGCTCCGGCGTCTCTGTGACCTCTGCGACTAATCTGTCTTCATCAAAACGGAGTCACAGACGGAGATACAGTTTAATGAACATTACAGTTTAATGCACGCGATGAAAGCGAAGGAAAGATTATGCAAACATCAGACAGACATCAGCTGCTCAGATTAAAGGGATGTTTAATGACCGCGGTGCAATAAAACCCTTCAGTGGAGACAGAGCCATGCACTGAGAAGACGCTCTGAAGTCTCGTGTGCAGACAGGACGTCGTATGTTTAATCTGGTAATTTCCACAGATTCGTTATTGTTAGTGACTTTTCCTACAATTGTTGGTAAAAAATTTGATCTGCATTTTATTTGCAAACTAAGTCCTCACCTTTGTGGCCGTCATCCTGATGCTGCTGCAGCGACTTCATCCGTTCAGGAATCTTCAGCACTTTGTTTGATTTCCTGATCAAAATTATCGCTCTCTTCTTTCTGCTGCTGCACACAAGATGTTCACACTGATATGGAAATCCATCTGCAACAGTTGTAATGTTATACAGCTTTAGGATAGGCCGCCAGCTGTGTAGATAACCACTATATCTTATTAGAAATGATATGGCTGCACAATGAGTTATTATTCCAAAACTAAAGTGCAGTATAAAGCATCAATAAGACCACCCAGAATACAACTGTGTATGTACAAAGTGTCTAACTAACTAATACTAATTGTGTCATTTGCCCATATGCTGGCTGAGGATCGATTAAAAAAAGGGAAATGTTAATGACCAAAAACTACAGTGAAAAATCAGAAAGACGCTGTAAATTACAGCGACAGTAAAACCCCTCAATAATTTCTTATTAGAGCTTATCTCTCCTACAAACATATCACAGAGTAGGGCTGTTTGATAGAAGAAGAATTGAGAGTTGGTGTTTCACAAAGTTACAAGAATAAAGTCAGAAATTAATAAAAATTTAGAACAGTTATAGTTCAGATTTTAGAGTTAGTTTGTTTATTTTATCTTATGAAATGAGGACTCGTAAAGCATCTTGTAAAGTTAAACTTTAATAAAGATGTCATAGATTTCTAAATACCCAGTATTTAAGTACACCAGAACCACATTATCAAAATTATTACCGAGGTTATTATGAAAAAAAGAAAGTCTGATATGCAGCCGCCTGTGCACACCTCTGCTACAGCTGTTAAAACTTCATCTGTTCAATATAACTCCTAAAAATGATCATTTTAGTTTTTTCCTCATAAAGTTTCACATTTATCTGATATAATTTATTTGAGGCTGAGGGGTTTTTTTTTTACCATAAAATTGACAATCTTTTTCTTGGAATTTTATGACTTTAATTTCAGTAATGTGAGGTTATTTTTGTGTGACTTATTTTGATAAGTTTACAACTTTAATCCTCTAAATTTATGTACGTTTGCCCTTTTAAATTTATGACTGTGTTATCGTCTAATTTAAAAAAAATGTCATAAATTATGCAGTTTTTTTTGTCTTATAAAATTATATCTCTACCCTCTTTAGCCCCCTAGTTTTTTTCTGATAATTTATGTTTTTTTCTCATGATCGTATTTGTAAACGGTCCTTTTTTCCCCCACTGTTAATTCCTTCTGAATTATGATTTTATTTCCAAAACTGAAAAGTTTTTCTTAATTTTTTTTTTTCATTATCATGGCCATTATCCTTGGTTGTGCAAAAATGAGGTTAAAAATTAACCAGAAATATGCATTAATTTATTAAATCAAGGGAAAGGCTGCAGCCTAGTGGTAAAAGTCAGACATTTCTCTGTTTATACTGAAAACTTTTAATCCAGTAAAGCTACACTAAAATACATGAAAGTTTTCAGTCTTGCTCTCCAACAAACAGAATCCTAAGAAGATGCTACATTTTTAAAGGAGTAGAGATCTGAATTACATCAAATACAGATTAAAAATTTGTGTTTTGGTTAATTTCCTTTAGCTCGTTTGGGAAAACAGCCTGATGATTCAATCTGCACAGAAATGTGTGTAACAGAGATTTACTCGTATCCTGAATAAAAGAGGAATAAGGATGGATCCCTGTGGAACACCAGAACAGCAGGATATCAGAGTGAACTGAATACAGTTGAAATATTTAAAAGAAAATGTGAATCAGTGATCTTTAGAGCGTCTTAATTTCATCATGAAGAAATCGAGATGTAGCTGCTGAACACTGTATTTATGTGCAGCTGTGAAATGAAGCTTGTTTTCCATTGTGTAAAGAAAAATTAGCATCTTTTGACAGATTTTATTCTTCAGTTCACACCTAAAGGAGCGTGTAGATTGTTTTTAATTAACACATGCAGGAGTTGTTTCTCTCTCTGCTGTGAAAAATGCTCCGGACAAACATGAGATCCTCCAGGTCTCAGAAGTAAACCTGTCATGGAGCTGCTACATAGCTCGCTGATACTCGCTCGCTCGCACGTCAACAGCTCCCGCTGATATTTTTGGAAAACAGCCGATTTTAGACACAAGGCAGATCTTTAAGAAGGTGACCCCTCTGTTCACATCACTGAAAGCTGAAGGACAGCACTTTGGAGTGAAGGGTGTGACTAAAAGGAGAGGATCAGGAAGCTCAGGAGGGAACTGAGTGTTTTTTTTTCTTCTGTCACTCGCAGGAATTGACGTGTCGAGAGGAGCTGCTCACTCTGCTGCTGTCTCTGCTGCCGCTGGTCTGGAAGATCCCTGTCCAGGAGGAGAAAGCTCCAGGTCAGTACCAAAGATTACTTCATAAATGACTTTTTTGTGTCCACACTGAACAGTAAAAATCTGTTCAGCTGTGCTTGCCTCTCTCTCCTAGTTTGCAGCTCTTGATTTTGATGTACGTGCTTCCTCTCATGAGTTAAAATCCGTGATTTAAAAGCTGGAAATTGTCGTGACAGAGATGCAAACTGCATTTTCATGGATCAGGATTGTTTATTAATATATTCATGTTTGTTTCATCTTGAATTATTTACCCTTAATTCTAGTCATGCAATATTCCAGCTTCACAGGAAGGCAAGGCCTAAATTATGTGTCTGCTTCCTTATTTTCAAATGTCTCATTTCGTCTTTTATGAAGTTTATGACTTGCCTGACAAAAACCTGGTCCTTCCTCATTTGGACTGGGATGAATCATTCGGTAATAACACAGCCAGCGCCTCATTTTGTTGATTCTCAGTGTAACAAAGAGGAGCAGTCTCGGTGTTTGCGGAGGCCTGTGACCTCAGGATGACTCCGGTATTTAGACCAGCGCTGCTGACGCTCTCTCACAGAGGCCCGAGACATTTTTGCTTTAATTAGTTCCTACTCTCTGAGTGAGTTTTAACAAACACAGATTAGCTGTTGACACGCAGCCGAGCTGTATGTGACCAATCTTAAAAAAAGATCTTTAATGGAGTTTATGTTTTAGCACATTTCATTGCCACATCAGGAAAGTTTAAACCTTAAACGGGATTATTGAAGCTTCTCCTCAAAGTGCAGTTTATCTTTAGACATTAAAACAAATAATAATTGGAAATTAACCCGACTTTGATCATTCTAGGAGCAGGTGAAGAAGTGGCGCTGAGGCCTCACACAGCGACAGCACATCCGCCTGTTAGCCTCAAAACTCTTTACCATAATATGATCAAAACAGCTGAGTTTAAAGTGAAATGATCACTTTAACAAATAAATCAGCTAGAGGCCAAAACAGTTTGATTCTGCTTTAATGTTTAAGTTTTCATATTTTGAACTAAATGAAACTGACGTCTGTTTTGTCAGATTTCACCCTGCCGTCCTTACTGGAGGTGTTCCTGAGCCGGGAGCTGAAGGCGGCCCCCCTCAGAGCAGGACAGAAAGCTGCCGCAGATGAGCAGAGTTCAGGGAAGAGGTCTCGCGTCGGCAGTGGCACCTGGAAGACCCGCAGGTCTCGCAGGACGGCGCAGAGATACTCCGTGAAGGATGCTCGGAAGTCGCAGGTCTCTACCTCAGATTCAGAAGCGAACACCGAAGACAAAGCCGCCCCAGGTCCCAGCGGCGCACGAAACAGACGGTCACATGGCTCCACGATCAGAGTGAGCTGTCAGCACCACCGCTCAGACACCTCACAGTTAGCATCCGCCGCCTCCAACACCGCCGCAGACACCATGAGTGCTCCATACCCACACCCACGAGCCCCCGGGTCCCAGATGGCCGACACCGAAACTCTAACAGACCCGGCTGCAATATCCATTTTCAACCGCATGGAGAACTCGCCCTTCGATCTCTGCCACGTGCTTCTCTCTCTGCTGGAGAAGGTTTGTAAGTTCGACATGAGCATCAACCACAACCCCGGCCTGGCTGTCAGCGTGGTACCGACGCTGACGGAGATCCTGACTGAGTTTGGGGACTGCTGCGGTCCAGGGGGAGGAGGAGGGTCAGGGATGGAGGAGCTCGCCGGAGGCTGGACAGAGGAGCCCATCGCGCTGGTCCAGAGGATGCTCCTCCGCACCATCCTGCACCTGATGTCAGTGGATGTGAGTCATTGTGAAACCCTCCCTGACAGCCTGAGACGCAGCCTGACCGACCTGCTGAGAGCCACCCTCAAGATCCGGAGCTGTTTGGAGAGACAGGCTAACCCTTTCGCTCCGCGGCCCAAGAAGACCCTGCAGGAGGTCCAGGACGACTTTTCATTTTCTCGCTATCGCCACAGAGCACTGCTGCTGCCCGAGCTTCTAGAGGGAGTCCTTCAGGTGCTGCTGGGCTGTCTGCAGGCTTCCACACCAAACCCATTTTTCTTTAGTCAGGCACTGGAGCTCATCCACGAGTTCATCCAGCACCACGGCCTGGAGCTGTTTGAGGCCACGGTGCTGCGGCTGGAGGGACTCGGCAGGGCGAGGGACTCTGAGGTGGTGGGTGAGGCTTCAGAGAGGCTGCTGGGTCTCATAGCAGGAGTCTTTAAGATCATCAGTGCTGTCAAGAAGGCGAAATCAGAGCAGCTGCATCAGTCTGTGTGTGCACGTCGCCGCCATCGCCGCTGTGAATACTCCCACTTCCTGCATCACCACAGAGACCTGTCTGGCTTGCCAGTGTCTGCTTTCAAACAGGCTGCACGACGAAACCCCTTTGAGGAGGTCGGAGACAGTAAGGAGGGGCTGGAGGGGGATGTAGTGCGTTACCCGGAGCGATGCTGCTGCCTGGCCGCCTGCGCTCACCAATGTCTGCGCCTCCTGCAAAGACTCTCTCCAAACGGACCGGCTGTGCTGCAGGTTCTGGCCGGAGTTCAGGCCGTTGGAATCTGCTGCTGCATGGACCCTCGCTCAGTCGTTGGACCCCTGCTACACGCCTTCCAAGCTCCTGGTCTGCGCAGTTACCAGACTCACGTTCTGAGCGTCTTAAGCAGACTGATCCTGGACCAGCTGGGTGGAGGGCAGCCTTCAGAGAAAGCTAAACTAGCCTCCTGTAACATCTGCACTCTGGACAGCAGCCAGCTCCCCGGTTTGGAGGAGACTCTGCAGCACGGAGAACATTCAGTTTCTACCAGCCTGTGTTATCGCTCTCAGGGGATTCTGCCCAGTGGAGGGGGTGCGGAGGACATGCTGTGGAAGTGGGACGCTCTGGAGGCCTACCAGGAGCTGGTGTTCGGGGAGGACTGGCAGCTGAGCCAGCAGATCGCCGGACACGTGTGCCACCTGACCCTGAGGGGGAACGCTATAGTGCAATGGCAGCTCTACACGCACATCTTCAACCCGGTCCTGCAGAGAGGAGTGGAGCTGGCCCATCACGCGCAGCAGCTGGGGGTCTCCACGGTCTGCACTCAGGTCTGCAGCTATCACACCAGGTGTCTGCCTGTGGAGGTCCTGCTCATTTACCTGCAAACGTTACCTGCTCTTCTCAAGTCAAGGTGAGTGACTTTAAAGTGACTTTTAGAAGAAGAAACAAGAGCAGTCTGGAAATCTGATTTCATTAAGATGCACAAGGTAATATAATATGAGGGCAATGAATTTCACCTGATCTCACTCAGATGTTTCCAAAGAGCACTTAAAATATTAAGTTTTATTTTTATTTGGGAATGTATGTCTCTAAATGGATCTGCTTTCTAATTAGATTTACTGCTTTGTGACTTGATGACCAATGGCAGTGGCACTGATAATATAAATCTGACTTTTAGGGTATTTTATAGTCTTCAGTATCAAATGTATCATTATATGATAAAACCAAAGTATTTTATAACATATAGCATGGTATCAAATCATATGGTATCACACAAAATCATATCATGTCCTATTTTATATTGTATCATTTCGTATTGTTTTGTTTCAAATTGTATCCTATCGTTTCATAACGTATCGTCTCGTCTCGTATAGTCTCATATCCTGTCGTTTCGTAATGTTTCATATCTTAACATATATGGTTTTGTAACATATTGTATCGTTTCTTAATGTATCGTATCGTTTCGTAATGTATCATTTTGTCACGTACCGTTTCGTATAGTTCATATCTTAATGTATCATATGGTTTCGTAACATATTGTATCGTTTCTTAATGTATCGTATCGTATCGTTTAGTTTCGTAACGTATCCTATCGTTTTATATAGTTTTGTACTGTATTGTATTGTATTGTATCGTATCATACCGGTCCAGGTCAGAGCCCAGATCTGTTTTCCCTTTTTTGACATTTTTGCACACAAGCTGGATTCTCAGCCAGTCACACCACTTTTTCTATTTTTATTTGTAATAAATTTTGAAGAGCATATTATACCTTAGTCAGTCTTAAGAATCTGTGACTAATCATCTTTGTGCATTTCATAAAAATCCCAAAAAGCTGTTTGTCATTTGTCGTTAACGCATGACAACATGTGGAGAAGCATAAGAGAGATGAAGACTGCTACTGTGCATAAATTTAATTTGTTTTTCCTCCTCAGCCTATCATGTTTCATCAAAGGATTAGTTATCATGTTAATCTCTTGTTACATAAAAATGATGCAGACGGTTGTTTAGAAAAACATCCTGCTGCATCTGTGGTTAGAAATGTATTTTCCTCCTTTTATACAGTCACATAAAGCAAGTGTAATCAGACAGCGGACACCTAATCCACTGGACATGTTTGTCATGAGATCCGTCTGTCCATTCATTCCTAATTGATGCTTATCAATAATTCATTAGAGCTTTGTTGACTGACGGAGAGATAGAGGATCATTTACTTGTTATGTAACTCAGTGTCCTGCACAGCTGTTCGTCCAGAACTGCTGCTGCTGCCACATCAGATTTGAGTCCTGCCTTATCTGCCGGGTTTTACTTTTACTTTGGAGATAACAAAAGTGAGTGGAGTCTGTCGCTTTAAAACAACTCAGAGACGTGCAGGTTAACAACATCTCTGTGAACTTTAGCTAGAATAAGTTTGTCTGTCTTTGTGTTAACCTGCCGAGCTTGTAAAAGGACTCCTGCACAATGCATGCTGGGATAAGTTGAACCCTCTTGTAACCCCGAGCTGTATCGGTGGGTGCAGAAAGTGGATGGATGGATACTTAAAGGCGGTCTGTCAGTGGTCGGCTGAAACATTTTCTTGTTAAAATTCAGAGTTTGTCGCTCTTCTCTCTGCAGGTTTGACATTCAGAGTTTTAATAGCTGTGATTTCTTCCAAAGGATAGTTTCAGGTCCACTTGGTTATGTAAAAAGTGTCATTATAAAACTCTGAAATCCACATATAGTCAATTCTTTAGAGACTGAAAGGTATGTTTTCATCCAGCAACACCATCTTTGTATTACTTAATGTACCTTTAATATAGTTTTGTTCAAACTCACATTAGAGCTGAAGGACAAACATGCTGCAATGGGCCAAAAGACTATTAGGAGAACCAGACTGCAGAGTCAGTATTGGGGAAACATAAGAAAACACGTATAAGAAATAAAACTGAGAAAACCTGCAGCTTGTTTTTGCAGAGGGCATCAATAATTTTCAGTGAGCTACAAAAACATAAACAATAAACAGACTAAATCATAGATTGGTGCATCGTTATGAAAGACGGGATAAGAGGAGGATTGAGGGCTTTACTGTCGACTCATGCAAGTTGACTTGGATCCGTACTCCCTCCTGCGTTTCTCCTGCGTTTCTCCTGGACTTCATTTGACTAAATTAGGGTCGTCGCACTAGCTGGAGATCAGTTATCACTTTAACTAAATAGTTGTAATAGTTAGTCCTTTTGTACGTATAGTTACAATACTGTCAGTCAGTTTATACAGACGTTTACAGCGGTTATTTTCATCCGTTAGCCTGTTTGGAGGTAATTGGTTTTAAGAGTACGCCCTCAAGCAAACTATCCATAACATTTACCCGGCAGGTCAAATGGAGTAAAAACAGATTCCTGTGAGATTGAACATGATGCTCCACTAGCTAAGATGAACTATGTCTACACAGAGCAGCCAGACAGTGAAACAACTCAAGATGCAAACAAACTAATATTGACGTGTGGTTTAGTGTGGACTTCACACCCCAGTTTAAAACCCAACTTATAGAGAGAGCTGCTGCAGCAGGCCACAGCGGACATTTATAATTAACACACATGAGGAAATGTAATTCCAATCTATTCCCATCCTCTCCATATTTTATTGATATTTTGCATGCACATTTTGCACAGAGAATTACAGTGATAAAAAATAGAATGTGCACAATTATATATAATACATTTAAGGTATTAGAGTCAAGAGAAATTAATAGAAACAGAAAGACGGAGACCACTCAGCTCATGTGCATCAAATTAAAAATGTTTTCTTGCAGGAGGTTAATAACTGGATAACTTTACCTTAGCAGCCAAAATCAGAATCATTTTAATCTACAGTAAACTGTATTGTCAGTCTAATTGAGGTGTGTTATATGGCTCCACCTGGTGGGTTACCTACATCGTGGAGTTTTTTTTCTTTTCTTTTTAAGATTTGTTAAAAATTTACAGTGGAGGAATTCATAGATTAGTTTTTTCTATCGAGATGTATTTCACACTTTAATTCATGCTGTCACTTTTTACATATTAAATAATTGGAACTAAAGTGTTAAATTTACAAAAATATAAAAATGGGAAGCTGGAAAAGCTGAAGGGGAAGTTTACTCAGAATATACTGCAGCCACTTACAGCACCAAGAATTACATTAATGTATCCCTATTATCTGCTGCATCTCAAGATCTGGTTTAAAAGCATATTGATCTACTAACACTGAAGTGCAAAATCAGCACACAGTTCTGCAGGTCTGTGCAGTTTGCTCTTGTGTTGCGTCTGATATTGACGATAAGCTGTTAGCATCTCCACTCTCTGCTGCACTGTGCATGCCCTGCCAGTGTCATGGAGCTCAACCCTGTCTACATATATGAGCTGGATGACATGCCTTTTACCAGTCTCAAATGGAGTTTTTACTTTATGGAGTGAGCCTTACATAACAGCACAGACCACATATACAGAGGGTTATCTACCTGTGGCTGCAGACTGATGTGACCTTTGATTATGTTAATTTGAGATCATGTAGACTTTGAGTTGTTCTCATGGTCTCTGAAAAGACTGGTTCCCAAGTTGTCTTGTTTGCATTCTAATGGACCTGCACATCATTAGTGAAAAAAGATGAGAAGTTTTTGAAACAGCAGAATTGGAGGAAGGGTTTGAGTTAGAGGGGGAAAAAACGATTAATCTATCTTGTTCATGCTCTGCTTGAAGCATTAACAAACATCTGTTTGAGCTAATTAACACAGTGTGTTTAATTAAAGCATTTTTGTTTTAGCCTCTGTTTAATGTCACAACATCTCTTGAGAGGGTTGTTTACTCCCTCCACACGTTGGTTCAACCTTCACTCAGAGGTGACGCATTTTTCTTATCAGGTAATTTAGCCTGCATTGTAATAGCCTGGTTTATTATTTATTTATCACAGCCTAAGTATGGTGTACAGCAGTAAACAAATTAGAAAGGGTGAAATATCAGCTTTGTTTTGCCTGCGGTGATTCATATGCTGGGAGAGAAATACGTGAAGGTTACGGTTATTTGTCTTCGATTTGGCTCATTGAAACAAAACAAATGCCGATATAAAAGAAGGAACAGATGTTTATTGTAAGTCTGTGGTCACGTTAATAGAAACGGACTCATTATTAGAAATGATTTTGTGCCCTGAGAGAAATCACATCCCCAACCTGAGAGTCGAAAATGAAATAATGGCTGAAAGGAGTGTGCGGCGGGGTCGTCTGAGGACCGGTGCACCAGCTCTTTTGTTTTGTTTTGTGTTGTGTTATCCATATTTTGCAGATATTTCCATACTCTGCAGAGGATAGAAGTGTGTTACTTGGCAACACTCGGCACCTAGTGACCGTGCTCACTCAGGCTCGGTGCTCTTGGTTCCAGTTTAAGTCTGTTGTAAAGTCTAAAGTGAGAGCGAAGACCGCTCAGCTCCTCGCAGTTTTCCCCTGATTGATTTGTTGAGTCTTTTAATTGCTTGTAGTTTTGTGTGAGACTGTGCCAAGTGTTGATAAAAACAGAGTTTGATGGTTTGGAAGTCACTTTAAAACCAATGTCTGATTATAAACAGTGCAAGGACAACAGATCAAATGATGAAGCTGAAAAAAGTTAATAGTACTCAGCCTCCTTTGTCCCATTTTTCAGTGGGTGACAAGTCCAGACTGCAGACAGGCCACTTTAGCATCAGGGCTCTTCCACTACAGAGCCACCCTGTTGTCATAGCAGCTCAATATTGTTGGACATTGTCTTGAAATATTCAAGGACTTCCCTTAAAAAAGGATAAACTGTGTTCACAGACAGTGGTTTCGAGAAATGATTTTTAGCCCATGCAGTGACTTCCACTGCAGAGTCATTAGGGGTGTCACAATACAGCTTTTTTTTACCTACGATACTGATATTGTCACCTTAAGTCTCGGCCAATACCGATATTGATCCGATATTAGCACAAACTTGTGCATGTCAAGTTTTGCACTCAGCTGCAACGTCTTTTTCAGAGTTTAACGAAAAATACTGCCACAGGGCCGACATCTCTCCTACTCCCTGTTACTTTGTTAGTACCTTAGTACACACTGTTGTTGTGATTACTTGGGCTCTACATGCTGGACCCGGGCGCTGCTAGATAGAGGTGCTGGAGCGGAGTCTGGAATGGACTGCTTGTATCGGAGTGCTGATATCAGAGCTTTTAGATGCAGGCCGATATAATCCGATATTTGTTTTTTGGCTGATATCGGACCGATATCCGTTATCAATATCGTATCGGGACAGCCCTAAGAGTCATATCTGTTTCTTTTTAAAAAAAACTTTCAGCCTTTATTGCAAGGACAGTGCATAGAGTATGAAATGGGCATGAAGAGTCAGGAATGACTTGCAGGAAAGGTTCTGTGCTAGAATCAAACCAAAGCTGTCTGTGTGAGTGAGTCAGTCGTGCAATAATTCCCACTTACAGTCATGTCTGTTCTTTTAAAGTTCTCAGGCGAAGGACCATCAGTCTTAAATTGTCGAAGTATTCGCACACACATTCCTCAGGAGGGTGATTCGTCTTTACTTCTGAGCTTCTCTTGAATGTCCTTTTTATACCCAGTCCTGCCACTAACCTGCTGCACGTTGACCGTGTTAGATGAGGAATGTTCCTGCCGGTGTTTTTATATTTTGTTGTCCCTGTTCCACGTTTTCCCGAAAGGCTGACGAGAGCATGAGTCAGGTTGAAAATGTCCCTAGTATGGATGCTTTTGGTCAGGGTGCAAAGTTCATAGAGTTTTTATATTTGTCGTTGCAGGGTGATCAGAGACCTCTTCGTCAGCTGTAACGGGCTCAATCAGGTGACAGAGCTCGTCTACCTGGATCAGACCCGCTCTCTGGCCCTGAAGGTGTTTGAGACTCTGATTATCGGCAGCGGACACCACCAGCCTGACGGGGTCCTCCAGGAGCTGGAGAGCGCCGATGCTGAGGAAAGGGAGGCTATCCTGGGCCTGGCTGAGGAGCTGGGGTCCCGAGGAGCTGGAGAGGGTCCGCAGAGCCTCAGCAAGTTCTACGAAGGTTTGAAAGAGGCGTATCCACGTCACAAGAGCCGGAGCGGGCAGGGCCGAGGACCGGGCCGCAGCCGAGCAGAAACGCACCTTCACGTCATCAACCTCTTCCTGTGTGTGGCCTTCCTCTGTGTCAGCAAAGAGCCGGATTCAGACCGGGACTCTGCCAACGACTCTGAGGACACTTCAGGTTACGACAGCACAGCCAGCGAACCTCTCGGCGGGCGGCTGCCTTACCTGTCCCCTGATAGCGTGGCCCTGCCCTCTAAAGAGCAGGTACGCCGCGCTGCAGACGTGTGGTCAGTCTGCAGGTGGATCTACCTGGCCAGCCCCTTGTTCCAGAGGCAGTTCTTCAGGTTAGGGGGGCTGGACGTCTGCCTGCGCCTCATGGCCATGGTGATCCAGAAGCTGTCCTGTAAGCCAAAGGATGGGAAGACAAAGAAAAAGAGGGACGGTAAGGGCAAAGGCAGCCCTGAGTCAGCAGCCCCGGCTACCTCACTGGGACCAGAGGAGATGTCTCGGGATTCAGCCGAAGCCCCCAGCCCTGGTCCTGCAGAGGGGAAGACCAAAGACCCTGCAAAGAAGCTGGAGGAGGAGTGGCAGCTCCAAAGTATTCGTCTACTTGAGGCCCTGCTGGCTATTTGTCTGCACAGCGCTAACTCAGCCCTGCAGAGGATAGAGCCTGAGCTTTCTTATCAGGTGGGTTTGTAATATTTATCATCTTAATAGTTGTTGGAAAATACTGAGCGTGTCATTCTTCCTGCATAAGAAAAATATTCCCTCAGAGTCCAGTTTTTCCCAAACATCGATGATACCTTATAAAACACTCTCGTAGCTTTAACCCAACACTAAATCTGTCGTGTCTTTGCCTCTGTAGCTGCAGTCAGTGGAGGAGACCCTGTTTGAGGTGAGAGACCAGCTCTCTCGCTCCGGCGTTGTGAACTCTGACCTCGCTGTCCCTCTGTTTGACTCTCTGCTGAGAGTGGCGCTGGCAGAGGTGTCGTCTGGTCCTGACCCCCCTGAGGAGAAGCCAGACAGGGTGAGTCCTGCCATTGGAGAAACTGTGAGTGAAGTTATTGCACCTTTTTCTTTTTCTCTGTCGCTCCTTTATTTGTTTTCAAGATGCGAGCTCAGGTTATTGACAGCCACCACTTCTACGGAGGGAAATTTGATATTAATGCAGCAGTGCAGCTTTTCACACTGTTCTATTAGACTTAAAACTGCTTTGAAATGCACAATAATGGAGTTTTAACACGTGATTAAAAAGTCATGAATCGCGATTAAATATTGAGACCTCTGCGATTTATCGCGATTAATTTTAATTAGAAGATTAATCGCCCTTTTGCAAGAAGTTTTAACATAAGCACATCTAACAAGGAGAAAATGGTCAACTGTATGTGTAAATTAGAGGATCTCTGCTTCTTTTAAAGTTATAAAAGAAGTAGCCAATGACACGCTCTCACAGCCAGAGTCACAGTTAGGGATCACATCCATGATTTGCAAAAACCCCCCAAATTAAAACAGTCTGTGCTCAATGAGATAAGTTTTAACACAAAAGACATTTCAGCCATAAACCTCTTTATAAACAGCTTGTTTCTGCAGCAGAAAGATGCCGATTGTTTGAGGTTTAGACGTTCTACTCCTGCGGCTGCACACTAATAGCAGCGATGTTTATTTAAGAGGCAGCCGTACAATGAGAGTAAAACCTTTTTTCAGCCAGACGTCGTCAAGCATCGTAGTTTCTGTGTCACGCCAGGTTGCCAAGCAGCTGCTATCTGCCTGAGGAACAACAAAACAGAGGATGTAAACAATGATAGAGCATGTTTGGACAAAGTAATGAGGACAAACACAGATATGGGCTCATTTTGAAGCCACAACAGGTCTCTGCTTTTATGATGTGAAATCTTTGCATGTTGATTTAAGTGTTTTGAACTTAAGATTATGGACAGATAGATTGAATGAGTATCTGTATTTGTAGATGTTAAGTCTGTGCCAAAATAATCAAACATGAAAAAGAGAGAAAATGCTTCAATCAGTATTTCTGTCGCTTTGAGTGAAGACCGCGTATATTCAGCTTTTTCACACCAATTTATGTTTGGAATATTTTTGCAATTAGGTTGTTATTTCAGCTCAAATTGAATGAAAGCTGTGATTTTGCTTAAATACTATCATTGGATTCAATTTAAATGCAAATTTGAAGAACTTGTGGGCAGCTTTGTTGGAGTACAAGCATCTGTGGAAGCAAAAAATGTCGGGCCAACATCGTCCCGTCTGAGTGCTGTCTTACCTTTGAACCGGTCAGGGTTAATAGGATTTATGATTTTCCATCTGTCCTGATTAAATCTCCCGTCTGCTGAAAACTTTGGATTTGTTTTCAAAAGGTCTTTAGATGTAATCCCGTCCCAGCACATGAGGATTTAGCTTTTATATAACTGATTTACCTATTTCCTAAGAGTTTAGATCGTTCCCAGCGAGCCCAGCGGAGAGTGATGTTTAATTAAACGATACAGATTCAAGCAGCGAAGCTCCAAAAATTACTCTTCCAGCAAAAACTACTCCCACTGAGAGTCTGTTCCTCTAAATGTTTGTTTCTAGAAAATCCAAGTCCTTCGATTTAATTTTAATTGAACCAAAGTGTGTATTACAGTAAGCTCATTCTTTGAACCTGTAAACGGTTTAGGGCTGAGTTGTTTACTCGGCCGTTTGTGTGCGTGTGTGTGCGTGTGTGTGTGTGTGTGTTTGCCTGCCTGCACATATGATGGCTGGCTGTTCACGTCAAGGAGCTGGACTGTGCGAATGCCTTACAAGTCAGCTGATTTCTGTCTTATGACCAAAATCTTGTACTTTTTTCCCCCTTCGAATCACTTGAAAACATTTTGTTGGCTTTTTATTTGCTGTATTAGCAGTAGGAACTCTGCTTTCATACTTGTAATACTTCATCAGATCATCTGGGTTTCTTTTAACAATCAGGATTGGGTAAGCTCCTCTGAATTTAACCTTATCTCTCTCTTTCTTACTGTCTCATCCTTCCTCTCTTTCTCTCTCTTCCCCCTCTTTCTCTCTTCCTCTCTTTCTGTCAGAAGCTCCAGGTGTTGGCGGAGGGGGCGGCCCCGGCGGGAGATCTGTCGGAGGAGGTGGACGAGGTGCAGAGCTGTGGCGTCAAGCCCCCAGGGGAGGAGGAGGGCTACGACGCTGACAGTGAGAGTAACCCTGAGGACATGGCCAAGCAGGAAGAGGGTAGGTCCATGCACACACACACACATGCACACACACACACACATTACTCCTCATGGATCCACCGCCTCTGCATGCATCACACTGCTGCTAACCACATTAGCTCTGGCTGTGTAGCTGCTCTGTGTCTTTTACTTCTAAATCTTCTAACCAGCCTTTTTCTGGGATGTTTTAACGATGCTGTAAATCACTTGAACTCGTCCTCATCGTCTTCTCTTCGGTTTGTTTTTATCGTTGACTAATGTCAACAGAATAATCTTGATGGATTTTAAGGTCATGTGTTTGTTTTAACCCCTCAACCCGCTGGATTTTGCCCCTGGGAAATCTTTCTTTTAACTCATTTCTGTAGATTATCGTTGACTTTCAAGACTTATATCAACTTTTACACCAACAACACGTCCTCACATGCTCTCGTAGATTTTATATCAAACTTCCCTGTGGTTTTTTATGCAATACTCGATGCAAAAACTACTTCCCTGTTTGGTTTTCTGTATGAGGATATTTAGCAATAAGTAGTGACTGGTTTTACAGCTCAGAGATGACTCTGCAGATGACTCTGCAGAAACAGGCCTGTGGGTGTTATTTCCTCAGAACGGCCTTTTGTCTCAGCTCTGCCCTCCGCTCTGGTCGGGCAGGTTAAGAAGGTGGCCTGATTACTCCTTTTTACTTTTTCATCCCCTCAGAATGGACTCATTGTTTTATGCTTTACAACCACAGGCTGATACACTCTGCGGCCTCATGAGCCAGGTCTTATGACTTTAAGTCCTCGTTAAACGGAGACTGTAACTTCCTGGAAAAGTCCTACATCCCGGAAAACAAAGAAATACTGAACATCTTTAATTTATTGTGTCCGTGTTGTTTCAGTGAGAAGTAGAAAGACTTCGCTGGGACCTTCTATGAAGCACGTGAAAGCAAAGCTGTAGAGTCTGTTACCCGCACCGGTCACAGGGGACGACTTGAAGTTAAAAAATGATGAAATATTAACGGAGGTCTGTAACTGCTAAGAAAAATAACAACGTTTTTATTTGTGTCCCTGATATTTTCGACCCTTTGGTGAAATCACTCGATGAGAAGATCATTCAGGCTAACAAAGGTCAAAAGCAGACCTTCCACAGAGCGACTCTGACCTTTAGAGATTGTCTGGACAGATTTCTAAACAGTCTCCACGTCCCTCCTGCTGATGCCTCGTCTCCTCTTGGATTCACTTTTGATCATCTTTGATTTTTATAACAAACTCAGGTTCAGTTTCATTTCCTTTTCACACACAGACAGTTTTCAGCCTCAGTCCTGTTGTGTTTTCAAGTTTTAAAAGCGGTTTGTCTCTGGTCGTGTTGTTAAACATGGAGGAGCTCTGTGCACAGGGAGAGAGAGTGAGGTTTATTAATGAAAGGAGGTCCCTGGAGCTGTGAGGCTGCAGGGCTGCTCTCCTGTAAATCATGAGGGGACTCCCATGCTGCTCTGGGCTCTGACGAAGGATAACTCATTTTTATGAGCTGCCTCCTACAGGGAAGGACGGAGCCGAGGACGGGGATGCCTATGGAGGAGGAAGAAGAAACGCAGTCTGCTCGTGTGCGTCTCTCATCTTGTGTGTTTACTCTCTTAGGGGTCAAGGTGGAGTCTTCGGCTCTGCGCGAGTTTGCGGCGGTGGCAGACGGGCCCGGGCGTGGCGTGCTGCTGTTTCCAGAGATCTGCACGATGGAGCTGCAGCTTCTCGCCACGGGCTCTCCGGACCTGGAGGTTCTGAGTCACGTGTTTCACAGCCTCCTTGGAGCCGTGCACGCCAACCGCCGTAACGCCGCCTTGCTCTATGACCAGGTTAGACTTGTCACATTTTCCCTTTTTAACCGCTTCAGCGCTCCGTGTTACTCTCGCTCCTCTCCTGACCTCCACATGCTCTGTCATCACAGGGAGGAGTCAAAACCATCCTGTCTGGTTTTCACAACATCCTCAGCCAAACAGACCCCTCCTTCACAGGTTTGTTTTTTCTCCTGGTTTATTTTTACCTTTTCTGACTCTGTAGGATGTTTTTCATGAGGGATGCCTGAGAAATAAGAAAAAAAAAACACTCGGTTCTCTCAGTTTTCTCTGCTGCTAAGATGTTTTTCCTGCTGCTGACATTTCGAGTGAGTCCTCGGGGTTCAAACGTCATCCTCAGCATGAATAAATTCTGAGAACTCCTGGGAAAATCTGCTCTCAGTTACTGATTTCAGGATATAGAGCTGCTTACGTTCGTCTTATTTTTCTCTTATTCACTTCATCCATTTGTTGACAGTGACAAGTAAAGCTTTTTTTTGGAACGACTCATGAAGTAGGTAAAAACAATAAACCTTTACTTTCCCAGTACCAAAAATCGAAATTTAGTTCCCGTGTTTGTTGACTCCTTCTGTCTTTAAATATTTATAGATCCTACATTTTTATGTAGAGACTCAGGACTGTTTTCAGTCTGAGTATTATTGGCCAATCAGGCGTCTGTATGGAGAGCAAAAGCAGGCAGAACAAAAAACCACGGTAATGAAATCCCAGCTGTAATCTGATAAGGGTTTATTCATCTCTTTATACACGTGCAGCAAACTGTCTGTCCGGGATCAAACATTAACGCTGAGACACAAATCTGCATGATACTGTGTGATGTTTAGATTTCCTGACGTCCTGAACGCATCAGAAATCCAACCAACATCTGAGGACCGACCCGACGAAGCTCGACTTTTTACTCATTAGAAAACTGCATCATGATGTTGAGTCTGAGTCTGTGAAACTGAGGCCGACCGGAGACGGATGATGAGGTCTCACCTGGTGGGATGTAATGATTGATTCATCCATCTGCTTATCAACTTATTTGGGACCAGACTGACCCTGTTTACAGTGACCCAGACACGGGATGAACTCTATACCCCACTAGCGAGCTCATTTTGACTGATGTCACTCTTTCTGTCACAACCCATAAAATGTAAGGATCATACAGAAACTGGCGAATCGAAAGCCTTCAGTTTCAGCTCCCTCTTCATTATGCAGCTCACCACAGCCGAGTGTCAATCTCATGATCCATTTTATCAGACTTGAACTCCCTCACCTGAGACAAACACTCCCCACTCACCCAGGAAGAGCGGTCCATTGTTGATTTTACTTAGACCTTTACAGGTAAAACAGAGTAACAGAGCGAGTTAGAAGAAGCGCTTTAAATATGGAATAAAAAACACAGTTATGTTTAAACAGAACAGAAATACAAGAGGAACGACTTAAAACACATCAGGATGTAGTACTCTGAATATATCTGATCGTTCTCTTGGACTGAATCAATCTGAACCTTCTTCTCAGGGAGTTAATTGGACTGTAAACAGTGAATTTCACAGCAAATCAAGACTCGGCTGAAAGTCTTTTCGAGCTCCACTGGAATTCCTAAGAGGTTTTCCCCAGAGGTATAAATTGTCATCAGACGGTAGCTGCTGGTTCAGACAGAAAACTAATTAATCCAGACTTTTAAAGGACTCTGTATCTGCTGATGTGTTTGTCTGCGGTCTGTTTGTCTAAACCGGAGATAATTTTGGCCTGAAGTGTTGGACTCAGTGATGCTGCTCTTGGTTTTCTGCTGCTGTTGTGATTTTATGCTTTTCTTTGGTTTTCATCAGATTGTCAGACCGTGCTGATGGAGCTGCTGGTCGCCATGGTCAGCCAGCGAATCACAGCAGAGGAGCTGGCCCTGTTGATCCGCCTCTTCCTGGAGAAGACTCCGCCTACTGTAAATATCAAACCCCTCCCTGTCACTTAGCGTCACTTGGCTTGTTTTCCTCAAATGGTTTATTTATCAGACATCCTCTCTGCCGCCCTCTCTCTCTCTCTCTCTCACTCTCTCTCACTCACTTCACGCTTCTTTGAAACTCATCAACACGTTACTCTTCCCCGAGCTCGCCGCAGTCTGTGTACAATTAGCAGCGACGTGAGCAGAACAGATGTGGTGCCACAGGTCTGTGTTTAATTGGGATCCTGCGGCAGACATCATTAATAACCTGTCTGAGAAATGAACTCCCATAAGGCCAGAGGGCGGGTTATTTTTAACCGTGTGAGCGTGACGACATGTGACCTGTGTTTACCTGAAGTCTGTGAGAGTAAGAGACATCATGTGACCATGTGTAACCCTGCTAATGATCCACTGATGGTTTGCAGAGTCCAGGATTTTGATCTGGGTTTATCACCGGACTAGACCGTCAGCTCCAAGACTGGATCTTTGTACGATGTCACTAACACACTCGGTCATGTCTTACCTGCCAGGTGATTCTACTGAAAGGAATCCTCCAAATCGTCGAAGCCAACATGAACATGGAGCCTCTCCACCTGCTCAGCTTCCCCATAATCCTCGGCGCATCGACACCAGGAGGGTCGTCGGCGGGCTCCAGACAGAACGGTGCCGCCGGAGGGAAAAGCGTGGGTTTGCTGTGGAAAGGTAAACTATCCCCCGGTCGCAGGGAAGGGGACGCAGACTTCAGACCGAGCCACATACGATCCTCTCCCTGGCACGTCTCCCCGCTCCATTTGCCTCTGGTGGGGCAGAACTGCTGGCCCCACATGGCGAGCGGATTCAGCGCCTCCATGTGGCTGAGGGTGGCAGAGCAGGAGGAGAAGGATGCAGAGAAAGATGAGGGTGAGACACTGAGCCTTTACATCTGCATATATCCATCTAGATCTCTTCACATGGACTTACTTGTTCCAGTCGTACAAATATCACTTTGTTTTTCACGCAGCAGATTATATATCGTATAATAATCCACTGGTAAACCACATTGAATACAGAATAACCCTGATCGTTGTGAGACTGAAACTGAAGTGTGAAGTGGTTTTGAGAGTCCTCTGTTGGTGTCCTCCAGAGGAGAGTAACCCTCCTGCAGCTGAGTCCCGTCACAGCTCCTCTCAGGCTGGGATGAGGTCAGCCGAAGAAGGACTCATTCATATTCTGTCCATGGGCTCCAAAGCTCTGATGCTCCAGGTGTGGGCAGACTTCTCCACAGGCGCCCTCACATTCAGGTGAGCTCAAGCACGCACTCCAGCCTCATATACCTGTGTGAGTAATCTGTTACTTCACGGCTCAGGGACCTTGAAGAACTGAAACCTGCCGTTCTTTCAGGATTTGCATCGATCCAAACGATGAGATTAAAGCCGGACTTCTGGCTCAGGCTGAATCTGGAGAGGAGCTCCTCCGAGCGGGACAGTGGCAGCACCTCGGCCTCACCTACACCCAGCAGCCCGAGGGCAAGAAGAACATCCACGGCCAGGTGGTGGTCTGGGTGTGCGGCATCAGGTGAGGAGACTGATTTACACGAGTCAAATTCATGTATAACTTTTACAGTTCTTGAGGATTTTCTGATCATTTCACGGGCTCCGTTTCAGCGGTCCATTATTAGTCTTTGTAAAAATCCCATCTGATGTTACTAAGCCAGTAAAACCTCTGCGTATTGATTCATCAGAGTTTGCCAAAAGAATCTCCAGTCTGACTGATATTCTATTTTATTCTGGAGTGATCACTCTGCAGAGTTTTGGCTCAAAGTAAAAATCTCGTGGAGGGCGAACACTGAAGGATTCCCAAAACAAGTCCTGATGTCTGTGAAATGTCTGAGTGGGTGTGGGCAGCAGCTCTTCTGCCCTACAGACCCTTCAATTACCATCTTATCGATTTATAATCTGGCGTTCATTAATTGAAGCAGAAGCAGATACAGATCTGTTGCATCAGATCAATTAAATCTGGCAACCTAGTAAACCCCATTTAGTAGCTGTCTGTTTGTTAGTACAACTATAGGGTCAAATTTAGAGATGCAGAGGGTTATAAATCTCACAGTTTGAGTTTTTTTAATCTTGCTTTTCTCCTGATTGCTAAGCCATGATTCCCACTGAGCTATTTCAAGGTGCAACAAACAAACAAACGCCTCCATGCATCTCAATAAGTTGGCCTTCCACTGACGTTATTCATCAAAAGCTTCATTTATCAAACATTCAGTTATATTCAGAGACAGAAAATGACTGTTGAGATTATTTTAAAGCAAAATTTGTTGTCCAATTGAAAAACAAAAAACTCCCAGGTTCTGACGCAGCGAGAAATCAGTGATTCGATAAATACTGTCAGATTACGAGGACGAGGAAAGATGGAGAATCTCTTCAACCAAAATTAGGACTCGACTGAACTTCCAGTCATTTTCTGTGTGTCTTTGGGTCATGTGAAATGTTCCTGTACTCCTGTCTCACGCTGTCAGTGAATTAAATGCCCTCTTGTTCCCGCCCCGCTCTCCTCTGTATGTTTTTAGTTTCAGCTCAGTACACGGTGTAAAAACAGCTGCTGTTTTTTCCTCTTTAAGATGAAACGTTTAACTCGGTCTCTGTTCCAGGAAATGCGAGGTGTCTCTGGACTACACCTTACCCAGAAAATCCAGTTTGTCATCCGACAGCAACAAAACCTTCTGCATGCTGGGTCACTGCTCGCCATCCTGCGGGGAGCTGCTGAAAAACGGCGGGCGCTGGAGCATGGGCACAGTGCTTCTGTTTAACGGTGGGGCTCTTGTTTACTCCTTAAGTGACTTCAATCTATAGACTTTTAATCCCAGTCTCTCACTCTCTTACCCTTCCTCGTTTTTAACACCCCGGGTTGCCACTTGGGTTCAGCAGAGAACCGCACGGTCTTATTTTAAAGTGTCGCGGCTGTAAAAAGCTGCCTCTGGTGTGATGTGTGGCAGCTTTTCCTCCAGAGGCTCGGCGAATCCTTCTCCTGTTGGCTGTAATTGGCTGTAAAGGGCTGGTCTCTGGATGGTTTCAAACTGTGAACCCGGCTGGTGTCTGTAGACGAGCTTTAGCTTCTCTGCTGCTGCTTGAATTCACAGTTTTGAAGAGTTTAGTTTTTCTACAAGAATCACCACAGGTTTATAAAGAACAGATATAAAGGGTTATATTATGTGTTATTGAATTACAGGATATGGAGAGAGTACAGTGAGTGGTTCAGATGAACACTGATGGTCGATAATTCTGCTTCACTGCTCCATAATAGCGCGGTAGTTTATCTCCTTTCGCCTCCATATTTCAGGGTCAAGAATTGGATCCGAGGAGGCGCTCTACTTGTACACCAGCGGGCCCGACCTCTCATCCATCATGCCCTGCAAGTACGGCAAGCCAAGTGGGATATTCTCCAAGTTTGTGACGGAGGAAGGCCTGAAGTGTGAGCACGTACGAGAGCTGCTGATGAAAAGCAAAGATGTGGAAACGACGGCGCTGGTCGTAAGTCTGTGTTTGGATTTAATATGACCTCAAATGTTGAGTGAGTTTAAACAAAGAAAAGTTTTATTACTGTTTCTGATTTATCTGTGAAGTGACTCTATCACGCCTCTTTAGTCAAAGTGCAGATTTGTATTTCTAACACGCCGATCGAATTAGCTTTCATTAATGGTGCGGCGTTGTGGGGAGTAATTTTTCCTCGCTGCTAAAAGCTGTTACAGTTTGACTTCAGATTTTTTAATGGGACTGAAAATAGTTTTTCCCTCCATTAGATGCTAATGGGTTTGTTGGTAATTGCTCTGCTGATAAAGAAAGAAAAGAAAGAAAGATCATTTAATTTCCACTCCTTGCTTAATAATCCTCGTATGTTTTCACTGCTGACCGTATCATTCATTTTTAGACCTTTAAAGCCACTGTGAGGAATTTTTGACTGGTACTGAAACCGATACTACGTCCTCTTTCTTACAAAAGCAAACAACATTACCAGGATTAAGGTTGATCATTTGTTTATTCTAATTTTTAATGCCTGTAACCACCGTGGGGTCAGGCATGAGACCAATCAATCGATAGCCACTGAAGAAACAGCCTTTCTGTATCCTGGATTTGAGCTCTGAATAATTTTCGAGTCCAGCCTTTGCCAAAGTCTGTTTCTTGTTCTCTTGACATCTGAGTAAGGTTCACGGCCGGGTCATGAAACTTACTACAGATGAAAGAGTCTAAATCAGTTCAAACTGTTGTTATCCATTTATCCCATTTTTATTTGAGCTAAAGAAAATGAAAAACAGAAAATGAGCCGTTGTCCGTTTTTTTTCATTTTCGTTTCAGAGACAGAAATTAGAAAATTTTTTTTTTTCTTCTTTTATTCATTTTTGATTTTATTTCAAATATCTACTGAAGGAATGATACACGGATTTCATATGTACAAAACATCATGAAAGTCATAACGTGTATCTGAGGCCCGGACTACACGTATATAGATATTTATTTATCAGGATATTTTTGTACTCCCGTCTAAATGAATGTACCTGTCCACACGTGTTAGTTCTCAAAAATATCTGCGTCCACACCTTCAAACTCAAATCTGGTGCCGCTTAAAAAAACCTCAGGAACAAAGCTACCTGATTGGCCGATGAATCGTAACAGTGTGATGCGTCATGCATTGTTTGCGGAAGCTACGCTAGTGCGTCGGGTCCATGTGACGGTGTCATCTGCAGGCACAGCCCCTCTAACGGAGTTGTCCCACCACTTGCTGGTCTGACCGGGTTTGACCCAAAACTTTAGCTTCTGGCGAACTTTAAAACGCCTAACATTAACGTTACGATTGCTCTCCAATAAAAGTATTGGGCGCAGCAGACGCCTCTGTGAGCTGGCTGACTGGTGGATGTAATTGTATAAAACAAGGTTCACTGTCAAGGCTGAAATTAGCCCCAAAAGGGCAAAACAAACGTAAAGAATACCCTGTATGTCTGCCATCGTTGTTGTTGTTTTTATTTTTAATTCACATGCACGAGCTGCAGTTTGACGTCATCGATCCGTAAAAGTTCAACCACATGAATCCACTTATACAGATATTTTTTTATTTCTCCACTTGTTTTTTCGGATTCAGATTTATCCGGTTTGAGTGTTCCAAACTCCCGTTTTGGTGTGGTAGGGAGGCCTAATCGGACATAAATATGTGCAATTTGAAATTTATCCGAATTCGTGTAGTTGGGGCCTGAGCCAACAGGGGGTGCCAGAATCGGCACAAACTGAAACTTTTCTTCACGGAGCTTCAGTTATATTTTCAGTATCTTTAATGATCAGGTAAAAACTCCACACATGAGCTTTAAAGTTTTGGGAGTCTGTGTCCAAACAGTAATTATTTCTCAGCCCCGCAGTCTTTACTCATTTATTCTAAGAGGGGGAGAGTCTGTACTTGGCAGCAGGTGTCTGTCTGCCTGGGAGAAAAGTACAGCCGCTCCATTCAGATTTCCACAGAAACTTTGAGATGAAAATCTATGAACGTTTCACAAAGAGCCTGAGGTCGTCACTGTCATATTTTCTAATGAAACAGATCGTATGGAGCGGTATTCATCAGCCTTGTATCTTTGGAGACGGAGGAGGTGGTTGTGAGTGTTTTTTTTTTTTCAGTCCTGAGCGGAAGGATGTGTCAGCTCAGGACAGAAATCACAATGATGGAGGGAAAAAAGAGGAGCAACTGGAGAGGCAAATTGTTTGGAAATAGGCCTGTCTAACAGCCGCTCAGCAGAAATGATGATACTGCTGTTGTTTCCTCAGATCATGTCGTGTAGACTCTTTCCATCCCTTCCACTCCAGCTCACAGCAAACTTTAAGATTATATGTTTATAATCAGGAGAACGGATCGAGGGGACAGAGTCACTCTAAAACAGTGATCATGTTTGTCGTGTTCGTGTTCAGGAGAGCCTGGCTGTCGTCTACGCTCCCAGCAGCCCCAGAGTCTACACCATCTACGAGCCGGTGATCAGACTGAAGGGTCAGGCCAAGACGGTGGTCACCCAGAGGCCGTTCAGCTCCAAAGAAGTTCAGAGTGTTTCCCTGGAGCCGAACTCTCTCAAATCTCTGCTCCCGACCGAAACACAAGGACTGCAGAGCGTCCTGCACAAGATCGGAGGGACCGGGAACTTCGTCTTCCTCTTTGCACAGGTACGATGGTCCTGAGGTTCCGGTTCTAGTTCTAGTTCTAGGTCATGCGGATATAATTTTAAACATGATATTAAAATTGTACGTAGTATTTTTAAAGCTTTTTTCTCTCTTCCTAAAATTCACACAGCCTCCAACCAAATCTCACTTTAAAGCTCGATATTAGGCTTGTGGGATTAAATTCACTGCTGCAGGACTGGTGTGAATTCATGTTTTTAAGAAGCAAGCAACACCTCGCTCAGTCTTCAGACTTTCTCTCCTCACATTTTTCATCCTCTCTTCTTCCTCTCCTTCTTCTTCGGTGTCATCCAGACGGTGGAGCTGAGCGACTGCGAGAGGACTCAGGCTCTGGCCCTGCGCGTGCTGCTGTCTCTCTCCAAGTTCAACCAGCACCGCATCCACGAGATGGACTGTTACCATGGTTACTCCATGATCCACCAGGTCCTCATCAAGTCCAAATGCATCGTGGGATATCATATGCTGAAAGTGAGTCAGACCTTGACCTCTGAGCCGTGAGATATTCCACCTGATCTGACCCGACGCCTCGGTGGCGCTCTGAGCCGGTGGTTTGTGGTGACTCTGCAGATTGTCGCCCCTCCAGCTGTGTCTGTAATTGAGCTGTGTGCTGAAACACGGAGCGCCCGCAGAGTCACACCGCACCTCTGATTACCTTTGTCACCGTAGGCTCCTGGATACTGCAGCATAAAGCAGAAAAGTGCTCTGATTAGTCATATTAAAGAGTCATTATTATTATTCCCATATGACTAAAAAGGACGTGCTGGCTCCTGCTCTTAACTCTCCTCGGCTGCAAAAGTGGATCTTTATTATCTGTTGTGTTATAAGCCGAAGAAAAGCAAGTATTTATAGTGAACATAACAGCAGCAAGGTAATTCAGGGTGAGTCGTCAATTCATCACAACAAAGGGCAGAAGAAAACTGTCCAGAGAAAACATCTGGAATGAAAAATGAGAGTGTTCTTCTGCTCTTTTGTCAGGACATACAGAAAAGTGATGATAAGATGTCTTTAGCTTTTGTGAAGCAGCAGGAGGTGAAAGAAGGAGAAAAGAGACGAATTTAGGAGGTTATCAGAAAACCAGGAGAAGTAAATATTAAACAGGCAGGAGTCAATGACGACCAGAGACAGATCGATTTATCCATCAGCTGATTCATTTTGTCACAAAGATCTTTCAAAAACACATTTTTCTAATTCCTAGTGACAGAAAATCAAATCAGGGACAGTCAGGTGACGTCTTTAAAACAGAGGATCTGGAGAAATTTCTGCACTAAAGGGACAAGGACCAAAACCAGGACTGGACGGTACTGGAAATCGCCGCATAGAAAGGACAACTGGACTTACTTGAGAAGGCGGAACGTCTCAAGTAAGTCCAGTTGTCCTTTCAACGAAGAATTGGAAATCATAGATGCTGCATCCTCAGTTTTAAAGAGCAAAGTAGTTTTAAGTTCAAATTATTTGTGTAAGACCTTGAAATAAAAACAGAAATTGAGAAGTAGACATTTATGACAAAGGTCCAACCAGAGCACCTCAACAGGTCCGATAAAGAGCTGTACTCTGACAAGGTAACATAAATAAAAGTCACAATACAATAAATGAATAAAACGGTGAATAATCTGGGTAATCACTCAACTACTAGAAAAAGAAAACCGTATTTACTACATTTAATTTGCCCATAATAACAGATTTATTCAAAACTTTCTTTTATTTACTTTAACCGCAGTATTTCAGTTTGTTTTTTTCTTATTTTAATGAATTAAACTGGAAGGAATAAAACCTTAAAGTTCCTGTTGCTGATACTTAACTAACCGTGATTTATTCATTAAAATGTCAACGGTTTAATTCTCAAAAAATTAAAAAAATTGAGATATCATCATGTAAATAACAGTCATTAGTAAATCTGCTCTCTTTTATAATCCGTGTTCAGACACTCTAACCGTTGGATTTGTAACGACGGGGAGACAGAGGTGGATTTAGGAGGTAACTTGTTGTTCCGCAGGAGAAAGTCAGCGCTACCCTGAGACCTGACACGGTGCGATGGTCCACCAGTCAGCGGAAAGTTCATTTCATAAATCTTGCAGCGCCCTGGGATGACTCTGGAGGAGGCGTACGAAGGGAAAAAGCTTAGATGTGCAGACTTAACAGCAGCAGAAGCTAAACAGAGAGGATGGAGAGGTGAGGTTTGTCCCCGTAGAGGTCAGATGACGAAAATGAACCGCCTCATACTGGTCAGACTGGGAGTGTGTGGACAGAGTCTGGGCTGTAGAAGAATATAAATTTAGTCCAGGGAGCAGATTTACCTGTCGTCGAGTTACTGTCTCGAGGGAAAACAGACACAAAACGTTACAAACTGCGTGTCAGACCATCTGGCCTCGGTCTGGAGACCTGGAGGACTGTCAGATTTATACCCTCTGCAGTGAAGCTGGTCACAAACGCCGGACTCGCTGATCAATACAGACCGGGCTGCTCTGAGTGAATGGCTTTGGGTTTAACAGAGTGGTAAGTGCTGCAAAAGTTCTATGAGACACTATCGATCCTGTTTGGGTTTAAGCTTCTGCACTGTGAGGTTTTTTTTTTAATAGATAGAGAACATTTCATCAATACCGAGACGTTGCCCGCCGGTTTGTTAACCTCCACGCTGTTCCGTTAAGATCTGAGAGGTTAGTGAGCACCGAGTTATGAAAGCCGCACCGTCTGAGCCCGTGAATAATTCATCATGTGGTTTGTCAGCAGCTTAATCATTGTGTTTCCGACAAATTGAGATTCTGTTTGCGACGGTAGCTGCAGTTGTTTCTTTAATCAGCCTTTTCATTACATTTCCCCCTCGTTGTCTCTGCCAACAACAATCAATCCCGACTCTCACGCACGGGCCGCCGCGAATAAATCAATCCGTGACAAACGCCAAATGAGTTAACAAGCCAAATATAGCGAGCACAGACGCAGGTAGCTGCCAATTAGTGCGAACGTTTGAATAAAATAATGTGATGATTTGACTCCAGCTCCACAAACACAGACCAGAGTTGAAGTTCAGGGTCTGAATCAGCCGAGGTTAATTCCTAATTAAACAGAACTTAAAGTCTCCGTAGAAGTCAAACAGTTTTGAGTTTCAGCACAAACTCCTGGTCCGGTTCTGTCTCTGCAGACTCTACTGGACGGATGTTGCAGCGGCTCGATCCTCCTCCTCGGGGACGACGGACAGTTTCGTTTGGACACCGAGTCTGTCGCCGTGGTTCAGGATATCAGGCTGCTCTCAGACGTCCTGCTGGACTGGAAGATCTGGGCCAAGGCTGAGGTAAACACAAACATCACAGATCACTGGTGCAATACCTTAAACCACATATCAAAAAATTATCTTCATCCAGGATCAATTACAGAAAGTCAGTTTTCTCCGCAGGCTGAACGGACCCTCAGCACAGAAATGTAACTGAATAAAAAGTTTAATTCCTAAACGGCACATCTCTATTTTCTCCCAAGGTTTATTGATTCATTTAAATTCAGTCCTGAAGAGCAGAAAAGAGCTCAAATCATGATTTAATAATGAGTCGGTAATAAATTCAGACACTTTCATCAGCGTCATTTCATTCTCACCAGGATTCCTTTAAAAAACACACCGAGTTTAAAAGCAGGAAAGTGGTTTGAACTCATTTTCACCTTGATTTGAAAAGTTTGGAACGAACCGCCAACAGACTGTTAAACATGAGATTAAAGGGATAGTTCAGATAGTTTTACCTGGAGACGTGTAAGACCATGATAAGTAGTCAGTAGAATGAGAATCAGTGAGTATCTACAGAAAGGCTGAGCTCCTTATGACTGAAGATGAGACTAGAGGTGAAAAAAAAACATTCAGGCAGCTAAACTCAAGGACCACAGCAGAGTTTGTGGGTCAACAGTAAACCGTTGTGTTGTTTCTGCAGGTCGGGGTTTGGGAGACTCTTCTTACTGCGCTGGAGATCCTCATCAGAGTTCACCACCCTTATCAGGTCTTCAACATCCGTCAGTTCCTCAAGGCTGAAGTCGTGCATCGCTTCCTGCTCACCTGCCAGGTGTTACAGGTGAGTTACCGTCCTCAAGTTGTTTTCACTTCAGGGGCTTCATCGTGTTGTATGTGTCAGTAGATTTTATTAAAATAAAGATGCAGTGTGTGAAGAAAAAAAGCAATGTTTCTGTTTCTGACGCTGTCGTGATTTTCTGCAGGAGCATCGAGACGAGCACCTGACCGCCATCCCTCAGGAAGTCTGTCTGTCATTTGTGAAGATCATCCAGGAGGTTCTCGGGTCTCCTCCGGACATGGACCTGCTGAAACTGATCTACAACTTCCTACTTGCTGTTCACCCGCCTACAAACACCTACGTCTGCCACACGCCGTCCAGCTTCTACTTCTATCTCCACATCGGTGAGGAAAAAGAAAAACCAAAGGGTTGCATCAGGATAAATCGCTGATCTAAATATCTGCAGTACTTTTACAAATGTAGTTCATTGCTGTGTTTTTCAGACGGGAAGCTGTATCAGGAGAAGGTTCAGTCCATCATGTACCTGAGACACTCCAACAGCGGAGGAAAGTCGGCCAGCAGCTCTGTGGTGTCGCTCTCTCCGACGGTGTTCGCTGAAGCTCCTCATGAAGGTAGAGCTGCTGAGACTGATTTAATCTAACACCCGCTCTGGAGATCCTAAAGAGCTGTGTTTATTTTATGCTTTGTCGTCTCAAGTCTTTATTGTTCTGCTTTATTTCAGAGTTATAACCTCCTTTGTCTGTAAAACCTACTTTTTGATCCTTTAATTTCTTCTTCCTGCATAAACAAGATATTTGTTTTCTGTCTAATGCAATTACTCTGCGTTCATTTATCACAACCACAAGGCTTTTAGCAGAAGTTTTACTGCATGTGTTGAACAAAATGTCTTCACAGAAGTAAACTCACAGGAAGAGTTTAGCTTATAAAAGTGCTGAGTCATTCCCTGAAATGTTTCAGGTCATCTCCCTGCTCCTTCCCCTGAACACGGGGGAGACGATCAGTCGCTACGCCCTCCCAGTCTGGCTCCGTCTCCGTACGCCTCCCCTCTGCTGACCCCCCGACTCGGACACGGCGTCTCGAATGAAGGAGCTGAGAGTGACGGGGTCTCCCTCAGCACTCAGCAGGGTCTGGGCAGCACTGAGACGCTGAAGAAGGGCGGAGGTGAAGAGCAGCTCCTGAGCAGCTGTGAATCAGCGAAAACCATCTGCGAGTCGAAGGACGCAGGAGGGGGAGGAGCCATGCAGACGCCCTCCATCAGCGTGGAGGAGGAGCGGGACGAGGCGGCCGAGGTGGACAGTCTGGCAGAGGGCAGCGTCGGGGTGGCGGAGTCCGAGGACAGGTTTGATTGGGCGAGTGATGAGGCGCCACGCCGTCCTGACAGTCTGAAAGGGATCCAGTCCTTCCAGAGGAGCCACAGCAACCTGGCCAGTCTGGGTCTGGCCTTCCCCGCTGCAAACGGCTCACTGGCCATCGGGCGCTGGCCCACCGCCGCCGACAGAGCCTCCATGCCGGAAGACTGGGAGAGCTACACCTACTCACCTGGATATGAGAGAGCGCACAGCAAGGCGGAGTCAAACGACAGGTGAATGACCGACACACTCGTTACTGCACCTCTGATCTACAGAAAAATACAGAAAACTTTTCAGCCCGAACAGAAGAGTCCACACAAAAGGAGAGGAGTGAACCGGAGCTTCAATCTTTAATTACACTTCCTGGTTCTCATTCATGAAACATAAACAGAAGGATTTTTGTTTGGAAACTATTTGCTGGAGGGAATTTACGTGTAATCTGACATTCATCAATATTTCAGTGGCTCCAATCTTGTTGAATCTGGTCCGAACAGATTCTTACCTGCTTCCTACTGGCTGTAGCTGATGTGTAAATAAAGAGTCCACATAAATATTACCTGTTATACCGCCTGAGGGTCACTCCACCGCCACCTACAGAAGACAAAAATCTTTTTCTTTATTCAGCCTCACACAAAATAATTTCAGTCTCCACATCTACAAAGTTTTCTCTCTCTTTCCTTCTCTCTTGACGTGCCACAGGAAGCACATATCCACACGTCCTTATATAGTATTCATTGGCTCTAAATAAGCTTACAATTGATTGGCAGGATTTTCGGCTTAGGATTTTTGAAACCCTTCACACAAGACTCAACAAGTTTTGTTTCTGTCTACATAAAATCACATTAAAGCATCCCGTGTTTCTGCTCTTCTTCAGGTCCAGCTCTGAGGACTGTCTGGTGCTGATCTGCTGTGGACTCTACGACCTGCTGAGGGGGATCCTGCTGCTGCTGCCAGACCTCATGCTGGAGGAGGTGATGGACAAACTCATCCAACCAGAGGCTCTCATCGTCCTGGTCAACCACTCATCCCCTCTCATTCAGCAGGGGGTCATGAAGGTTGGTACTGCAACCGCTCGCATGAGTCCAATAAACTGAATTTGTTTTAGTTTTTTATGTGGATTAAACTCCCAGTATGAGCTCAGAACTTTGAAATCTGACAGATCTGGTCTCTTGTTGATCATCACTCGAGTGTAAACCCTCAGAGGACTTACCTTCTGTATGGGCACTTTAGTCTCCTTTAGACCCGTGCTTTCTCATACAGACTTCTGCAGTGAAACCTTTCTGCTGACTACCGTCCTCAAAGGTCACATTCATTAGTTTAACATTCATGAAGATCTTTAAAGGAGCTTGTAGGCAGATTTGTTTCCTCTGGAGAAACCTTCCGTGTCTGTTTTCTCCTTTTTAAATCTTTATTTTGCTGTGGGGTAATTGTGTGTTGGCTATGGCTACATGTCTGTTACAGAGACACAGAAAAAGGCGCCAACTCTCTGCAAAAAGACTAAATTTGATACTTTATGCCCAAAGTTAGTAAGAGAAACTGTATTCTTAAATCAGTGTCAATTTTGGAGAACAGAGACGGAGTTTTTATTACCTTTGAACCTGACTCCATCACTGACCATGTAGATAATCATGAATGCCTCACACGGGGCACCAAAATGTAGCGATTTGAATTTATAATAAATGTCATACTTTAAGATTATTATCAATTATTAATCTTTGGACATTTATTACAAATACAAATCACTACAGCATATTACAGGATATAACTACTGTTGTTACAGTTTTTTTCTTGAAATTACATCAAGTTTTTATCCTCCCCTCCTAGCTGCTGGACGCATACTTCAGCAGAGCTCTCAAGGAGCAGAAGGAGAAGTTCCTGAAGAACCACGGCTTCTCTCTGCTCGCCAACCAGCTCTACATCCACCAGGGCAGCCAGGGGCTCCTCGAGTGCTTCCTGGAGATGCTGTTCGGACGACCGGTGGGCCTGGAGGAAGAGTGAGTCCTGATACTGAACTCCTTTTTCTGTTATAACACCACTTACATCTTGGGCTGCAAGTCTGTGTCCAATAGAGTGATTTCTCTTTTAGTGAAGATATTTGTACATCATATTTCTACATAGCACAAAGTCAGCTCAATGAAAACATGAAAAAAAATGTATATATATATATATATATATATATATATATATATATATATCAGTCTACAGAAAGTAAATAGTCAAAGGCGATTTTTAAGATTTTTAAGAAGTGTCTTGTTTCCTCATGTTTGTTGATTCTGTTCTGCTCTTCAGTCTGGATCTGGAGGAAATGGAAAACATCTCACCCTTCAGGAAGCGCTGCATCATCCCGGTGCTCGGTCTGATCGAGAACTCTCTGTATGAAAACTCTCTGGTGCACAACATCCTGTGCATGCTGCTGCAGCTCCTCAACGCCTGCCCCAAGCTGGCAGACATCCTGCTCGACCACGGGCTCCTCTACGTGCTCTTCAACACCCTCTCTACGCTCAACGGCATGGAGAACGGGTAAGACTGCCAGAACGGAGCGTGATTCATTCAGACACCTCCACGGACTCTGGCTTTTGTCTCAGCTTGAATCGAATCATGAATCCTCTCACTGCTCATTGATCCGCTGCATGGAGAGATAGACTCGTATCCTGTGCTTTTGTTTTCTTACTCCCCCTCCCTCTCCCTCTGCAGAATTCCCCTGAACGACTACAAGCTCCTGGTGTGTGACATCCAGCAGCTGTTAGTCGCCGTCACCATCCACTCCTGCAGCTCTTCAGGGTCCCAGTACTTCCGCATCATCGAGGACCTCATTACCTTGCTCGGTTTCATGCAGACGAGTAAGATGCGGCGCACGCAAGGTGAGCACCACATCTGTAAATATTCGTATAACATGCAAAATACACCAGTGTGGTCTTCAGCTGAGTGAGAAACGGTGCTGTCACTTCATGATCTGCAGCTGTGGAGGGGAAACTCATCTGAGATTATGTCACATCTATATCTCTACACTTCAGTCTCAGTCGACTTTGTATTTTTTATTATCACTCTGCAAGAGCACAATGCTCATGTCCTTATGTTTGGTCATCTGTCACACAGCTGATGAAAATGATAATGAAACAAAAATAAATTAATTAGTTACACAAAACGATAAACATTGATGAACATTGTACATGACACAGGTCATCTAGTGTCAGCCCCTGATCAGTCGCAGTGTTGGAGTCTAGTGGGCCAATGAGCCGGTGCCAGAAGCTCGCCGTGATCTTCAGCAGCTGCTTCACTCATTTTCAGACATCTGTGATCTATCACATCAGTCCTGATACCTCCATAGAATAGAATAGACTTATTGTCATTATGCAGGTCTCTACACAACAAAATTGGAGAGGCTCCTCTGCAGGCGTGTTGTAATGTAGATATAAATATGTTTGTCTCGCAAACAATCTTAAAAACAACAAACAAATTTAAAGACGACAGACAAACAATCAGCACTTCAACTGCACTATAACCTGCAGGGATTCACTGAAGTTAACCGTGCCGTTGTAAGCATGCTGAACTGACCTGTCATGACCATCAGCGTTGTTTAAACCTTTAATTACTTGTGAAAAAATTGCAAAACATATTATTGTTCCATCCCACAAATAAATCTAGACTGTTTATTCTTGATGAAGCTCAGTTTCAGTCACCCATGAACGGCATCAGTCGACTTCTAATATCGAACCCTCTCTTATTTCTTTCTACAGAGATGGCCGTGGCTCTGCAGTTCAGAGTCCTCCAGTCGGCGATCGAGTTCATAAAGACAACAGCCAATCAGGAACCTCAGAAGCTGAGCAGCCCTGTGAATGCACCGAGCTCGCCGCATCACGCCATTTATCAGAAGAGGAAGAGTATCGCTGGTAAGTGTTTCATACTGACGGAGGAGTTGGAAAGTTTTTTGTCCCATTTCAGGTATTTAAACATTAGAATTATTTCCTGTATTCATACAAAAATTCTCATTTTAACATTTTCTGTACATCTTTGTTTTAATGATGTGTTTTATTTCTGTCTCTCTGCAGTAGTCGTAGTTTTCTTCTCATAGCCGGCTGCGTCTGTGTTCATAGTTTTTTTATTTTCAGAGAGTATCTGAGAGATAAACCTGACTCTGGTTTTAGTGACTGTGTAGAAGTCTGGTCTGTTCTGTAGTTCCTGTCTGTCTGTTTTAAGTGTGTGTCTCAGTCCTGTCCTCTTCACCTGTCTCCTCATCGATCCTCTGCTCGTCCCGCTCTGAAGGTTCCATTGCCATGAAAGACTCCATTATCCCCCGCATCCCCCGACAGCACTACTGCTCCTACGGTCAGATCCCCCTCTCCCCTCCCTTCAGCTTCCTGTCCCAGGACTCCCCCCTCCCCTCCCCCTCAGGAGCTCCGTCCTACATGCTCCACTGTGACGCAGGTAGCTGGGGCCGAGGTCCACAGCCGAGAACATCCTTCCTCACACGGGGCATGTCTCTCCTCTTTGCAGTGAACTCACCTTTTTTCCCCTCACACTCACCTGGGGGTTAATTTGCCCGGTGCATTTTTGTGCTGCTGGTGCCTTTTGTGTGTGTGTGCATGTCTGAATGTTTAACTAAATCACTGTTAAGCATTTCCACACAGAGGGCATCCTGATCTTTCTCTGATCCTCTCTTTTGTTTAATCATTAACGGAAGATTTGCATAACCTCACGCTGAACTTTAACGGGGAAAAGAAAGTGTGCGTTCACTGACAAACAGCGCATCGTTAAACCTGATCTTAAGGTCATGCTGTCCTCTCTCAGGTCGGCGGCGGTTCTCTTTGGCTCAGACCGACTCCCTTCTGATGCGGATGCGATCCGTAGCCAGCGACGAGCTCCACCAGATGATGCAGAGGAGGATGAGCCAGGAAAACCCGATCCGTGCCAATGAGACCGAGTTTGTCCAGCGGCTGCAGAGACTCGTGGTCCTCGCTGTCAACAGACTCATTTACTACGGTAAAAAAAATCACCTGCATGCTGAGCTTAAAATTGAGGAGTTTAAACACCAAAACAGATTCAGGAGGAGGAATTTCATCTTTTAAAAATTCATCAACAAGATATATAAAAAAAGGTACATCAGCTACTATCATGTGTGCCGAGGGGACACTGAGAGGGAGCTGGGAGACATGCAGAGTACGATATGAGGTAACCACAGAGACTCGGTGTCTACGGACTTGTAATGTCCCATAATTCTTTGCCACCCAGCTGGCAGTAACTCCAGAGTGCAGTTTTTTCTTGGCGGAGAAGACCCTGGGGATCTTACCGAGACTTTCAGGTACTTCCATGCCTTCGAGGAGGAAGTAAAGCAGACACACTCACCCCGTGATTGTGTGATACTGCAGCGGGAAGTGACTCACACCGCCAAAGCTCATGAATTATACGTATAAAGCTTAGGAATGAGCTCATGGCTCTGCTTTCTCCGTGCAAGAACATGCTGTCCCCTGACCAAAATTTCTAACGTGCATGAAATTCATCCAAGAGTGAAAAAAAACACATCCACCTTCGATATTTCCTGTCTAATCCTGGTCCCGTGTGTCTGTCTCTCTCTGGTTTCAGATGTGAGTCAGGATTTATTCGACCTGCTGAACATCCCCGACTCTCCAGATCAGCAGCTCTTCACACCAGATCCAGGAGATCCCCAGCAGCAGGAGGAGAGCGGCTCCTCCTCCGTCCCTCACTCTCCCACCCCCTTCACCTTGCCGCCTGCCAGCAAGAAGAGCTTCCAGAAAGACATCCTTCGACTAATGATGGACGGGATCAAAATCAGCCTGGTATGACTGCTGCTGACGCTCTCTGAGAACGTCCTCTGAGGTGTTTTAATCTGGACTCTTACACCTGCTGTTGGGGTTTGTGGTCTCACAGGGCAGCACGGGTCGAGGAGGAGCGCCACACCAGCAGTGGAGGAGGATCCTGTGGTCGTGCCGGGATACTTTCAGGGTCCAAATCGGGCGCCTGCTCGTGCACACGCTCAGTCCTTCACTTCCCCTGTCCGACAGGAGGGAGGCGCTGGAGTTTGTGTTCGATCCCCGACATCTGGACATCCTGAAAGAGAGCCTCAGCCCGGGTCTGGAGGTGAGAATGGATCTGAAATATAAACCTGAACCTGAGAGCTCAGAGGTTCTTCTGTTTTCTTCTTTGTTCATTCAGTCTAGGTGTTAAAATCATTTGTTATCCAGTTAAACTGAAAAGTCTCATAACTTTCCACACAGTCCACGCTGTGAGTCGACTCCTGACGTGGCCCTCTGCTGCATGTCCTCACTTCTTTTTAGATAAAGCAGGGAAAATAATGAAAAAATAACTCTTCCTGAATCATATTTCTACAGAAGATAAAGCTCCTGGATGAACTCTACAGACTGAAATTCATATTAATGCCTCTTTATCAGCTACAGGAGCAAGTAAGAACATCAGCATATAGACTGAATATTCCTCTGTAGTTACTCTGAAGGCCTGAAGTCACTGAGAGAGTCAGAGGGAGAAATTAACTCGAAGCTGCAGAATCAGCTTTTTATTCAGTTTCCAGACTCTCCACAGGTGAAATATTTTAATATTAGAGGAGACTTTACAGGAAAACACACTTCTTACTGAGAAGAGAAAACAGGGATCACTTTATACATAAAAGAAACAAAAATAGACACAAAACAAAAGTTACTCACTGAAGCTTTAATCTCAATCAAATTACATTTAATCTACAAAACTAGAAAATGTACGAGAGCTGGTCTAGACCAAAATCTACAATCATATTTACAAAGACCAACGTCAAGACTGAGCCCAATTTAGTAAGATCAGACCTACTCCTATCCCATCTTCATCCTATGAGTGAAACACTTCACAAGTTACAGTAGAGAGGAAGAACTTCCTTTAACATGCAGAACCCGCGAGCAGAACCAGACTGATGTTAGACAGACATCTGCTGAGACTAAACCACAACAACAAAAACAACAACAGTATAAACAGTATACATACTATTTACAGGGACAGCATGATAATGATGATAACAGACGGATCTCAGTTTGTCGAGGTAGATAATGGGAGTTGGAAATCGATCAGCTGAAGCAGAAAGACTCAAAAAGTTCTACGATCAGAAGTTCTGGTTCTGTTATAGTGATATTTACAGAGGCAGCAGCAGTGATCCAGATGAACCTACAGGATGAGGGAGCTCAGGGACCCCCAGAAGAGACTGTGGTTGGTGTCTCTAACGGGGAACTTCAGTGATGGGTTTCAGTCTAATACGCTACACCTGTATGATTAATACAAGCCTGATATTTATGCATGTGTCAGTCAGAGCTGTAGGGATTTTAGGTATAGGAGACATTTGAAGGTTTTCCAAAAATAAACACACATTTATACAGTATTTAAAATATGATTTGACTCAGGTTGTGAAGGGGAAAGATAATCAACTTAAACCAGATTTTTCTGGTTAAACAAAGTTCTTTATTTATGAAGAAAGTAGTCGAACTGAAAAGTCAACCTTCCTTATATGTTCCATTTGAAGGATTTTAGACTCCAGATTTTTACTCCTCTGCTCGTCTCTCGCTCCCCAGTGCAGAAGTTTTGACCTTAAGTCTGCGTCAGGAGAAACTTTGAGCCGAGTCTGTCAGAATCACTGCATTTTTACTCGCTCCGACAAGTTTTCCCAGCAGCTGTGGGGCAGTGACTCTGAAATAACTCTTATAGATGTATTCATGCTCTTCTTCACCATGGGGGTCTCCTTTTACTCTGCAGCCTCCTCTCGGGCCTAACTGAAGGTCAACCAGCACGATAAGAGTTTTTTTTTTCCTGTCCGTCACAGCGTGAGGCAGACAAAACAGAAAACACCCCTCTTTCTCTTTCTTTCTCTCAGCATGGGCCCAAGTTGTCGCTCTACCTGTACGAGATGCTGCACGACCACAAGGACAGCCTCAGCAAAGAGGAGCTGAATGCCGTGGGCGTGTTTATGACCTCACTCAAGCTCTGTGGGCATCGCTGCATCCCACCCAACGCTCCGCACAAACAAGATCTGCTGAAGGCCATTAAGGAGGTAAATCCTGCGGAGAAACGCAGACAGAAAAACACTCGCTGCCTTTTTAGTCAAAGTTTTCTCGCCTAATTATCAACTTACTGCTGGTGGAAAATCTGGGATATAAAACTTGTTTACTCGGATTTTATCCACAGGAAAAATTCAAGTATGAAGCAGAGGAGAAAACAAGCAAACTGGCGTGGGAAAAGAAAATGGCCAGCACTCAGAGGAAGTGAGTTGGGGCTTTTTTTTCCTTGATGTGACATAAATCCTCCGCTCAAGAAAATATGAAATAAGAATCGTGTCTTTGTTCCCATCTGCTAATCCCTCCAATTTTTCTTTCTCCGCAGTCTTATCCAGAGACTGGACGGAAAGTCCAAGGACATTTCCAAGATCGCAGCCGATATCACTCAGAACGTGTCTCTGCGGCAGGGCATGGAGAGAAAGAAAGTCATCCAGCACATCAGAGGGCTTTACAAGACCGACCTCAGCGCCAGCAGACACTGGCAGGAGCTGGTGCAACAACTCACACACGACCGGTGGGCGTTCAGATAAATCTCTCACATGAAATTCGATTAGTTTTACACAAACTTTAGAGTCCTGTGTCACTTTGTCAAACCTAAAAATACACATCGTTGTAGGTTAATTGGAGTATAACCAGCAGCATTAATTTGTGCAGGGATTTTTATAATGCACCTAATTCAGGTAAAATGATTGAATATTTCTGCAGGGTCTTTAGTCACTGTTGCATACTCTTAAGTCCAGAGAGGATTGGAAATACCAGCCAGAAATAAGCACTTAGTGAGAAGCACTGAGTAAAAATGGGATCACTATCTCGATCAGAAAGGGGTCTATAATTTCACAAAGCCGAATGCAGGTTCAGATTCTTCCCAAAGTCCTTCACTTCTCATAATACCAGACTCGAGTTCTACCAAATCACAACAGGATCAAACCCATTTTAGAGCAACGATGACTGGTGACCTTCAGCTGCACATGGTTGTCATGGTTATATCACAGCTGTTGACTCATGAAAAGAGTCCTCTGCAAATGTTTCCTGTTTCGCTTTTTTATGTTAATGTCAAAATGTAACCGTCAGATTTGTCTTTAATGAAAAGCAACAGACTTTTAGGCAGAGTCACAATTTATACCAAAAAACTGGAACAATCTGTGGATTAAAATTATTAGATTATTAACTAAACCCATCCTGAGTTTAATCTGGAAAATAAAGATATGATGCTGTTGTTCTGGGACTTCTCAAAGGCTTTACTTTTTCGCTGAAAAGCGTTAAGATAGTTTTTGAAACAGCCGTTATGTTTCTGTTTCAGTGCGGTTTGGTACGACCAAACGTCTTACCCCACGTCGTGGCAGCTGGATCCAACCGAGGGACCGAACCGAGAGCGCCGGCGGCTGCAGAGATGCTACCTCACCATCCCCAACAAATACCTGCTGAAGGACAGGCGCAAGTCAGAAGGTAAAGAAACAAAAACTTGTCCTCTACTCTCAGATACCTCACCTGTCTGCATTTATGAGGCGGTCCGGATGCAAATGTGTCCCGGGTCACGCTGAAGGACCGCCCACTCACCCAATTTCAGAACGTTCATCACATTGATTGACTGACCACTCCCTCCTCTGTCGTTCCTGTCTGACTGAATACGTCTCTGCTGAGTCTCATAAATATGTACCTCACCAAAGTCATGACGAGCTCTCGCAGCCATTTCATCTGCATTATAATGAGCTGTGCAAGAGTAAACAGCTCATTTCATGCTCTTCATGCTTCGATAAGGAGGATTGCATTTCACTCTTTAACAATACAGATGATTTCCTAAAGACGGTGGGAGCATGCAGGACTGAGAGTCAATGCTGAAAAGCGCCCCGGCGTTTTTGGGTCTGGAGAAAGTTTGCTCTAACCCGAGGCCCGACATTGTGTTATGATCTGCCAGTCAGCAGACAGTTTATTTCATAGACCTGAGCGTATCCTTAAAGGACTGAGTGGAGGAGGCAGAGGAAATTAAAGAGGCTTGATATGCAGAGGTTGAACAATGAGGGTCTTTTTCTATTACAGAAGGATGTCGAGGGTTCATAAGGATATCAGCGATCTCATTACTGGGAGAACTGGGCGTGTGTCAGAGTTCATGAGGAGAAGAGATGTCAGATAAAGCGGTGGAGTCGAGAGAGAGAGAGAGTGGATTAAGATGAGGAGAAATTATAACAGTCGAAGCCAGGAGGGAAAACCGGAGTAGGTGGAGGTAGAGCGTACAGTCAAATAAGAGAGGGGCGAGGTTTAGACTGAACAGGCTTTTCATGGAAACGTGGAAATGAGAGATAACTGTCAATGCCCTGCGCTGCCATCTTGGATTATGACGTTGTCGTCAAGTCGGGGTTGGTGAGGATCTTCCGACTTGAATTTCCGTCTCGGAGCTGGAAATCCCGACTTTGGAGTACAACTGGAACATTGCATATGCTTTCTCCCTGAAGTGTCATGGGTCTAACTTGATGCTCTGTAACCCAGATGATAGGGCTGGGTGATATGGCCTCAAATCAATATCACGATATATTGATCAGTTCACCTCAATAACGATAAACAGACGATAACTACTCCACAAGCTGCTCACCCCCTCCCACATTAACTTCGTCTTCTTCAGCCGCTCCAACTTTGGAACCGTCCTCCATCTCCTCACCTGTCTTCCCCTCTCCCTCCAAATATACCGATATGGACAAAATGACGTTGATTATTGTCCTAAATTTTGGTATCGATACATTTTCGGTTTATCGTCCAGCCCTAGCAGATGAAGCTCAGGCTCCTGCAGCTCATCTCCTCTCCTCCTCATGGACAGAAGCATCGATCTGGTCGATTACCTGACTCATCAGTAGAACATAAACATTAGGGGTTGTGATGGGGTGGGTTTCTTATCTTTTTCATTAGAGCAGGAGTACTTTGTGTTTATTGAAGCTTGTTAAAGCAGCTGTTCTTGTTTTTTTTTTAGACACGGCGAAGCCTGCGTTGTCCTTCCTGTTCGAAGATAAGACTCACTCCTCCTTCTCCTCCACTGTCAAAGACAAAGCCACCAGCGAGCCCATCAGGTATTATTTCCCTCTGTCTGTGTCTCTGCCTGCCTCTGGACTTTTAGCAAACATCACACCCCTCTCAGGGCGCCCGTAGGATCTAAATTAAGCCCATAAATGTCCCATCAGCTCGTGCCGCTGCGAAAAGTGTTCATGCGTTATTCAGGCCGTGTATTTCTTGTTTGAGAAATGTCTCTTTGTCCTCAGGTTCACCAGACGGTGCATCAGCGTCGCCCCCTCCAGAGAGACGGCGGGGGAGCTGCTGCTGGGTAAGACGCTGACCGTCTCTCACAGCTGCTCCATGCATAAAACAGTCAGCGGGTCACAAGACACGCAGAGTAATGGGTCCTCTCTCTGAGGCGCTAAAGAAACCTCTTCTCTCTTTATATTCAGCTCTGTGATAGAAAAGCTTCGGTTTGTCAGATTTCACTTTCCCCGTTCTGTCTCACAGGAAAGTCTGGGATGTACTTCGTGGAGGATAATGCAGCTGTTGCCCACGACAACCAGGTAAAGATGGAGGAAAACTATGATATTTGTCACATTAACGACATAAACACCAAATCGATGTCAGGATTAGAGCTCACAGAGCAGATCTGAGCAGCAGAGAGTAGAGATTCAGTCGCAAGAAAATGAGAAGCTGGAGCAAAACTGAGACCTGACAGAGCCCTGATGAATTAAAATCGGCCTTTATTCACTCGTTAAGGCCGCCATCTGGGTCATAATGAGGAGCCCAGGTCAAAGGATTCAGAGTATTTACAGTAAAATGGAAAATCTGGATTATCTGACCCTGTAGTCTGAGTCCAGCCCCAATTAACTGTCCCCCTGTCGTGGATTTTTGCAGCCACAGAGCCAGAGGACAGCTGAGGGTTATTCTCTGTGTTTTATGTGATTCCACCCGCCGGCTCCTCCTGAACACCTGATGTGTTTATGTGTTTGGACAGATCCTTCACGGGGAGACCGAGGCGCCCTCTTTCTCCTGGACATACGAGGAGATCAAGGAGGTGCACAAGCGCTGGTGGCAGCTCCGAGACAACGCCGTGGAGATTTTCCTCACCAACGGCAGGACCCTGCTGTTAGCCTTCGACACCACCAAGGTGAGGAAGCGCACCGGTCGCCCGCTGTTAAAAAAGAAGAGAAACTCTGAGTGTAAAAGGCTCTAAAATGACATCCTTACAGCAGAGGCCCCGGGGTTATAGCGACAAAGACCTGAATCAGTGATGAGACTACCCGGCTGATTAGGAGGGGAAAAATTCAGACTATGTTTCATTCAAGTATTAAAACGGATCCACTAAGACCAGACTGTGAAAGAAATGACAAGGTGAAGGACTCCTCTGATGTAAAAGATGTATGAACAGATGGAACGGAGCATCTAGAGAAGTAAATTTGCTGTAAAAGTGAAGACTGGACATTTCTTTTTGGTACTCTAACCCTCACAGTCACTCACAGTTCATGTCCTCGTCCTCTGCAGGACGTTCGCCTTTATATTTGTGCTTACAGAGGTGAAACAGAACCAAACCTTTGTGACATTAGAGGCGCTGTAAAGCAGCTAAAACTCCTGTTATTATCCACCCAGCCTCATGTTTAAGTTCATGTATGGGGGTGCTGTTGGTGTTGTTCATGCTGCTCGTGTTGTTTCAGTTTCGTGACGACGTCTTCCACAACATCCTGACCTCCGACCTCCCCAACCTGCTGGAGCACGGGAACATCACGGCGCTCACTCAGCTGTGGGGTTCCGGTCAGATCTCCAACTTCGAGTACCTCACTCATCTCAACAAGCACGCAGGGCGCTCCTTCAACGACCTCATGCAGTACCCGGTGTTCCCCTTCATCCTGAGAGATTACATCAGCGAGACACTCGACCTGCAGGATCCCGGCATCTACAGGTCAGTGCTCTGTCCTCTGTCCGATAAAACTTTAATACCGAGCACCGATTGGCTGATCCAGATCAGAAGTGACCAGAGAACCGCAGGTAACCATGGACTGAAGTGGTTGAATGAAGCGTGGGGTTCCTGGTGTGTCAGTTGTGTGGTTTCTCTTGGAGTTAAAGTCGTCTGGAGTCTCTGATTACCGGTAAATAATTAAAAAAATTTGACCTCAGTGATGCAGAAGTCCCGTTAATTGTGCTGTGATAACAGTCAGGTTTTTGTCATTAACAACATGTGGAGCCATCGGTCATGTGTGTAATATCAGGGTGTAAACTGTGAACAAGGACAGATTACACCGTTTATAAAACCCCTGATTACTTTAGTTCCTCAGTTCTTCTCCTTCTCCGTCCTCCTCGACCCAGATCATTTCATTTTCACCGAACAGAGAAACGGTCCTCTTAAATCAGTCGTGAATTTGCAGGGAGAGTGGAAAGAGGAAGTGGCCGATCACTTACTCTGATTGTGTCGTTACTTTGTGTATTAAACGGGTTGTTTATCTAAATAGGGGGCAGATTGTGTCCCTTCAGGAGTCAGGGATACATGTATATTTATCTGTCACTCCCGTAAATCATTGTTATCTTCACTCTAATCACTGTGTGAGCTGAGCCTCCTCTTCCTCCTAAAGCTTTGTACAGGGTTAGATTTAGATTTATGGTGCATTTCATTTACCTTGGTAGTCAGGAGTCAAAGCTGGGAATGATGTCACACCTGAGTTATTTGTGTTAATTACAAAGTTGGAAAAAAAGTTGCAAACGGCCAAAAACGGAAGCAGAAACAAGATGGCTACATCTACGAAGGTTATTTCTGCGCTTGCCTTGTCCAAATATAACACGGTGGATAAAGCGTAAACGCAAAGGCCTATTTTTTCTCATTACAGGAGCTTCTATTTAGCTTTAAACTTGGGGGTTGTTCTGACTATCTGAGTACGAAATCCGACTTTGGGGGGCTGTACCAGTTGAAAGTTCCGACTTGCATCCGGATTTCCGAGTACAACTGGAACGCACCATTAGTCTTAGCCTTTAGACCAAAATACTTCCTGGTTTTGGTCACATTTGAGTCATTTTTGCTCTGTAGAGTTTAAGTTTATAAAGGTCAGTCATTTTAGTCTTTAAGTCAAACATTTCCTGTCTGGAGCGCCGATAGTTCAGCGGTCTAGGCGCCCTACGTACAGTGAGAGGAAATGTCCGGGTTTTTACTTCACCAATAATATTTTCTTCACGTTCACTCCAACAAAACAAGTTGTTTTGGCTTTGTCATGTCATATTTATCTTCCTCTCATTTTTCCTGAGATACTCTAGACTACATTTCTGAAACAGCAAAGTGTTGGTGGTCTGTGTCTGATCTTGTTTTTTTTTGTGTCTGTGCAGGAATCTCAGCAAACCCATCGCAGTGCAGTCAAAGGAGAAAGAGGATCGATACGTGGATAACTACAGGGTGAGGCCCGCTGAACTCTCTGCCGTCTTTTTCTCTCAGATGAATCTTTTTAAGAAAACACGTCAACCTGTTTGTGTTTTTCCCCGCAGTACCTGGAGGAGGAGTATAAGAAAGGGATTCGAGAAGATGACCCCATGCCCCCGGTCCAGCCGTACCACTACGGCTCACATTACTCCAACAGCGGTACTGTGCTCCACTTCCTGGTCAGGATGCCCCCCTTCACCAAAATGTTCCTCGCCTATCAGGGTGAGTCCGGACAGAAACTCCTTCTTCTTCTACTTCTTTGTCTTTAACAGTTTGAGCAGCAACATTCGATAAGTTATAAAAACAGTCATCTCTGAATCTCACCTGTGTGCATCACTCTGAACATGTTTGATGCTGAAACGTCCTGAGCTCAGATCTCGCTGTTGCGTCACGTTTGACCATGAAAGGCTGTTTCCTCTTTCTACTTCCCTCTGATCGACTCCTCGCCCTTCCTCTCCTCTCTCTTTCTTTTCGATTCTTTCTCTCTCTGTCTCTCTCTCTCTCTCTCCTCTGATCCTCCGAGCCGTCTCTTTTTATGTGACGGTGAATGTATTCAGCGGGCGCGCTGTCTGAGGTCATGAAAGGGGATCTTTTCAATCAGTGAGTCGAATCAGTAATTAGATTGTCTTTGGACTTCATCAGACCAGAGCTTTGATATCCCCGACCGGACGTTTCACTCCATGAACACCACGTGGCGTCTGTCGTCCTACGAGTCCATGACGGACGTGAAGGAGCTCATCCCGGAGTTTTTCTACCTCCCAGAATTCCTCGTCAACAGAGAAGGTAATTACTCTCACCTTCTAACCGCTAAACTTTCATTTAATATCAGGGCAGGGATGTTGGAAGTAAACTGATCAGAGTTTTGGTGATCAAACTGGAACAAAAAAAGGAGGAAAATATTCTTTGATTGTACCAGATCACATCGTCTAAATTCAGGATTCCATCGATTAAAATGCAGATCTCTAAAAAAATATGAACCTCAGTGGAAAGAGACACTTTTGGTCAATTCTAGGAGACCGTTACCTCTAAAACACACCTGAAAATTTCACCGTAACCCTGGAGTTTTTTCTTTTTTTAAGAACAAATCGAATCTGTCTGAATCCATCAGACGAGTTCAGTCCAAACTCCAGCGATCAGGAGGATAAATATGATCAAAATCATGTGAGCAGTTTGTACCTTAATACGAATCCGGTGACTTATTTCCTTTCTAATCCTCCTCAAACTGATAATCAACTCTGTTCCACAGCATCATGGGTAAAACTTGGCCGTGTCCGGTTGTTTTGATGTGTTAAATCCACCCGGGCTTGATTTATGAAACCATAACTGTCAGATTGTAGATAAATTAGATGTTAGGAGGTACAGTATATTCAGCCTTCAGAGCGATAAAACTTTGAACAGCTTCTTTCCTCGTAAATAATCCAGGAAATGTCGATACCAAAAGAAGTGATGTTTAATTAACTAACAGTGTTTACAACAGAGTGACCCGCAGCGTGGGAGTGACAGTGACGGAGAGGAGGGTCGGACCAGAGAGACACAGTTACCTACAGCAAATCTAAACGATCAAAGAGGACCTGAAAGATGTTTTAAGGAGAGAAAATATTAAAGAAAGCATTTAACATCTGACAGTTTGAATATTTAAGAGGTTAAATTCTTGCCAGGATGAAAAAAAGAAGTCTGCAGAGATTCTCGCCCAGGTCAAATAATCCTGAATTTATCAAGCGTAGTCCAGTTTAGGTTTTCTGCTGCTTTTTCCAACCTGCTAATTTTTATTTTTCTTCCTTACAGGTTTTGATTTCGGTGTTCGTCAGAATGGCGAGAGGGTGAATCACGTGAACCTGCCCCCATGGGCGCGAAACGACCCCCGTCTGTTCATCCTGATCCACCGACAGGCGCTGGAGTCGGACCAGGTCTCCCAGACTCTGTGTCAGTGGATCGACCTGGTGTTCGGACTGAAACAGAAAGGAAAAGCTGCCGTTCAGGCCATCAACGTCTTTCACCCCGCGGTAAGAAGATACAAACGTCACTGAGTTTTCTGACCATCTTCAGAGAGGGCCTGAGTGTAGATAATCCAGAAGATACTTCAGCTGTCGCCTCATTACTGTTTCCTGTCTTTTCACGCAGACGTATTTTGGCATGGACGTGTCGGCCGTAGAAGACCCGGTGCAGCGCCGCGCTCTAGAGACGATGATAAAGACGTACGGACAGACGCCCCGGCAGCTCTTCAGCGCCTCTCACGTCAGCAGAGCCGGGCCCAAACTCATGATGGAGGGAGAGCTTCCAGCAGCCATGGGCCTCCTGGTTCAGCTGGCCTTCAGAGAAACTCGAGAACAGTCGAAGGAAGTCGTCTGCCCGGTAATCCTCTCTGTGCCTCCTGTCGGGCAGCGAGGAAGACTCAAATAAATTCATCATCCATGAAATGATGAACTGCTCACCTGGTCATTTTCTCCCCCACAGAGCCCACTGCCGTGGATCAAAGGTCTGAAGTGGGGCGAGTACGTGGGCTCGCCTTCATCTCCTGACCCGGTGGTGTGTTTCAGTCAGCCGCACGGTGAGAGGTTCGGATCCCTGCTCGCTCTGCCGACACGAGCTATCTGTGGACTGTCCCGCAAGTTCTGCCTCATGATGATTTACAGCAAAGAGCAGGGTGAGAAAAAACCCGTGTTAAAATCGGATTTAATTTATAGATAAAACATGTTCATCCTAAACCTGTAGATACTGAGCAGCATTACTGGGGGTCTGTTGGATCTGATCGTACATGAGGGCTCTGTCATATTAAATCATTACGACGTGCTCTTTTCCCCGCAGGAGTTCGGAGCATGCACAGCACTGATATCCAGTGGTCGGCCATCTTGAGTTGGGGTTACGCCGACAACATCCTGAGGCTGAAGAGCAAACAGAGCGAGCCGCCAATCAACTTCATCCAGTGTTCCCAGCTTCACCAGGTGAACGAACCGAGAAACGTTCACATCACGAGTCTTAGTTTGGATACAGACTTTTAAAGATGACTCAATATGATGGTGTAATACATACTTTATCCACAGGGGGCGCCAAATCTACACTTACTGAAAGATCTTTACAGCTGCTTTAAAATAATTATTGTAAATCTGTTTTTTTGCAGAGACAAAATCCTGAAGTATAAAAATGTTGCTTTGTCTTAAATAAAGATGCTCCCCTATTTAGTTCCTGTTATCAGCCTGAATCCGGTCCTCTGCTGGGATCCGGTAACCCTGTTTTTCTGAAGCCATGTTATCCTGATGCTGCTCACACTTTCTGAACATAGAGGTTTGCTCTTGATTAAAAACAGAATTAGATAACCTCTAAGATGATCTCTAATCAATCCTATCTAGTCCCACTTTTCTCTTTAAGGACCACCTGATTTCATGATCCACTCCAGCGGCTTTAATCCAGTCAGATTTCATAACTTGGTCCTGGTTGTCAAAGGAATTCCTGGTCTCCATGTTGTGTCATTCCTCTCACTTCCCCCGTCCAATCATCTCTCTCTCTCTCTCTCTCTCTCTCTCTCTCTCTCCTCCAGGTGACCAGCTGTGCCTGGGTGCCCGATGGCTGCCAGCTATTTACGGGCAGCAAGTGTGGAGTCATTACCGCCTACAGCAACCGCTTCACCAGCACTACGGTGGGTTTCCATGGCTACGTCCCCCCCCCTCTAACCTACCGCCTCCACATCAACAACCACCCACCTCCCCTCACCCTCTCCCCTTCCCCCTCCCTCCCTCCCGCTGTAGACGGCCTCACCGCGCTCACACGCTCGGCTTCATTAGTCACATCACAGTCGTCCTTGAAACACATTTGCAGCAAAACTACAAGAGAGATTAGAGGAGCTGTGTCAACACCGAGGCAACAGACAGATCTCTGGTTTTTCCTCTTTTCTCTCTGTTATGCTGTCGAGAAAATCCTGGTAAAAGGAAAATGCAGCTTTTCAGGACTGGAGCTCTCTAACTTTTTCAGTTTCTGCTTTCAGACGTAGTTAAACTTATAGTTTTATTCATTTAGGAGTTCAAGAGTTTACAAAGAAAAAGACTCTCTTTAGTTGTCTCATCAATAAAATCACAAATTTTATGTAATTTTACTCATAGATGAGTGTCTGAGAAACATTGTTTAATTTCAGTTGCAGCTGTGATGGTTGCAGGTTTAAAAAAGTCTTTTTTACCTGAGTGCCGTGAAAATATCAGAGTTTAGCCTCAAATTCAAAATTCTATTTCAACTTTATTTGTATGGCACTTTTCAGACAAAAAGATGCAGTTCAAACAACAATTAAACGACAATAAAACCTGACCCTCCCACCCACACACCCACCCGTGGACACAGACACACACCCACCCTCACTCACCCACACATACACACACGCACAAGCGCACACAGAGTGAGAATTTAGGATATATTGTTAAAGAGACATGGCCTGACAACGAGATATTACGAGAGGAAAGAGCTATCAGGAGATAAAGATGAAAATGGTTAAAAGAAATGAACAGATAAGTAAAGAGCTCTTTACCATGTAAAAAGGGTAAAAGAAGTAAAAACCTCTATGACGGGAATTAAGAAAAATACCAAGAACAGAAATAATTAGTAAAATGACATAAAAAAAACTTTAAAAACTTTGATTGAAATGAACATTTGCAATAACAGAAATATAAAAAGGCAACCGGTGAAAAGCCTGGTTAAAAAAAAATATTATTACGATAATTTTGGTGCAAAAAATTCACAATTCACAGCCGTATTTTTGAAAAACCTTAAAATACCAACACTCTCCATCAAAGATGTAGCTCGCTGCTTCTTCATTCCTCTTTCTCGTCGCCATTTTGTTTGTTTCAACGTGACTTTTGCATGTGCGGAGCGCTCTGTGCTCTTAAATGATTATGCAGAAGGTTTAACAGACAGAGGTTTGGAAACAGGACTCAGTGGAGCGCTGATCTTAAGGGATTAAAGGCAGAAATCAAACCTGATACTTGGTCACCTGTATGTGGTCTCTAACGTGTGTTCGTGTTTTCACAGCCGTCAGAGATGGAGGTCGAGTCTCAGGTCCACCTGTACGGACACACAGACGAAGTCACCAGCCTGTTTGTCTGCAAACCGTACAGCATCATCATCAGCTCCAGCAAAGACGGCACCTGCATCCTCTGGGACCTCAACAGGTCAGCGTGTGTGTGTGTGTGTGTGTGTGTGTGTGTGTGTGTGTGTGTGTGTGTGTGTGTGTGTGTGTGTGTGTGTGTGTGTGTGTGTGTGTGTGTGATTATTCAAACTGAAGGTCTTTGTGTGTGTGTGTGATCACGCTCTCTGTGTCTTCAGGCTCTGTTATGTACAAAGCCTCACAGGACACAAAAGCCCCGTGACCGCCGTGTCCGCCAGCGAAACTACAGGTGACATCGCCACCATCTGCGACTCAGGTGAGTAAGACTTTTCTCTGAATCATATCGCCGCTTGTTTTTGAATCCTGATGTGACACGTGCTTTTCTTTGCGCTCAGTGGGCGGAGGCAGCGACCTGCGGCTGTGGACAGTAAACGGCGACCTCATCGGACACGTTCACTGCAGGGAGATTATCTGCTCGGTGGCGTTCTCCAACCAGCCCGAGGGCGTTTCTGTCAACGTCATCGCCGGCGGGCTGGAGAACGGCGTTGTCAGGTGAGTCAGTGAAAGTTCAGAGAGGTCTTCTCCATCATAACGTCTAATCACATTTGGCGGTGGAAATGGAAACAGTTTCCTGGAACCCGGCGCAGGCGTCATCCCTGGAAACTAATTTTGGAGGAAGCGTAACTTGAATTGTTGGCATATTTTATTAGAAACGTTTTAAAGCTCGAGGCGTCATATTAAAAGGAAATCTCATCATCAAACGTTTTATACATTTCTCGTCTGTAAGTCCAATTATTCGGCTCCTGTGCGTGAATTGTCATTTTTCCTTCCGGTGCGTATTCCTTTTCACGATGGCAGGTCCTATTAAAAGTCACACTCAGGGGCGAAGGGTATACCCGGCAGTAAAACACGAAATGAGCTCGATTGTGGCGAGTCTGGTGAGGCGTGTGGCTGTCCTCTGTGAGATTAGGAGAAGGCTCCGTCATTTCTCTGTCAGAGTTTCAGTCTGTTTTTGGGACAAAAAGAAGAGAAGAGTCTCATCTGACTCTATAGAGGTGGAGAATGGCTTTGTTTACATTTAGAAAGAGCGGGCCGCTCAAAAAATGTTTAAGTGTTGACTACACAGACATGACAAGACACAGCGATATCGTTATATTCCCAAATGTCATCGATTACAAACAGCTGTCGACTGATATTAAAAGCTTTTTTGTAAATACACCACAAAATAAAGATGCTTCTTTATCGGAATCCTGCCTACCCCACCTTTAAGTCTAATCAAAATGGCGGCAGAGTTACTTTTTCTGTCATAATTTGAAGTAATTTTATGACAGTTGTAGTTTACCTTACCTTTACATCCTCTGTGTTCAGTAGGGTCTTCATGATGCACTCAGCCAACTCCCCTCTACTTTTAACCGGGTAACGTGTCTGTTTCACTTCGTACACAAGAACAAACAGAGATCAGAGTCTGGATCATTCGCTCCCGCGGGTCCTAAAACAGTGACAAGGCTGCGCGCAGACTAACTTTATCTCCCAAACTTAAGACAGACACCAGTTTTAATGAGATTTTGGATCGCTTCCAGCGTACTGTCAGATGAAAAACGTGTCACAGTAGATCTGTGACCGGTGAGCTCGCGACTCACGACTTCCTTTTGGCAGCGAAGGCTGACATTTGATTTGAGGTGCGTTCAACGACACTTCATTTTAATGAACAGGCTGTGGAAACACGCTAAAGAAACACCCATCTCTTTGTTCACACAGAACGCTGATCCTCCTCCAACTTTTACTGCCAGAGCGGCGTTCCCTCGCGCTCCCCCATATATCAACTGTGTTTTCAAACAGACCAGAAGTTTTACCAACGTGTCTTTGCTGTAAATAACTGACAGTCAGAACAGTTTTTTACCTCCGCCAAGGAGGTTATGTTTTCGGTAGCATTGGTTTGTTTGTTTGTCTGTGACCAACTTTACGGAGAAAGTTACAGACGGATTGACCTGAAATTTTCACCAGAGGTGCGTCTCAGCCCCAGGAGGATCCCATTACATTTTGGTGGTGATCCGGACAAAATTCTGGATACTGTGATCCAGAACACACAAAAATAAGGGTGTCGCTGGATCTTTCACAGTGGTGTAGTGGTTAGCACTGTCGCTTCACAGCCAGAAGGTCCTGGGTTTGAATCCAGGTCAGGGCATTTCTTGTTTTAGGAACATTATGAACAGTGAACATACCAGTTTAAACACAAATAAACGTTCATAAAAGACACGTAACAGTAAAAGTCTTGGTGTGAATCACAATATAAGGGGGACATGAGCTGCTTGGCGGAGGTCTGCGCTCTCCGAGTGCTTTTCTAGTTAAAAAATGAGTTCAATAACCTATTTAGATGTTTCTCTGTCCTGGAGGATACTCTGATATTTCATAAGAGATAGCCTGTTGACTGGTCACGCACTCCAGACCTTGAAAAACAGTTTAATGAAGTGTTTTAGCATGAGTTTGATGATAGTAGTAAACCTTTATTTTCTCTGTGAATGTCTGATGAGACTCGCAGCTTTGATGTCCTGAAAGCATTTAAACTATTTCAAGCCAAATTTCCAAGACTTTGATAATGTGTATTTATTTCCTCCTTTTCTTACCCCGAATTATTAACGCTGAAATCTGAACTACTTTCAGGTTGTGGAGCACCTGGGATTTAAAACCGGTGAGGGAGATCACCTTCTCCAAGTCCAGCAAACCCATCATCAGGTACCTCAACATTTCCACCATTTTAACTTTAACACTTAGAACTCGCCGGCAATCCTACTAACACCATTATTATTGTTTACATTTTTACTGTGTATCTCTATGGGATAAAAAGTGTTCAAAAGTTTACCCTTTTGGCGATCTATCAAGGGTTTCCAGACATTTCTACACCTGCCACACGGTTTACAATCCAGCCACAAAAATAGGTGTTTGATCAGAGACGTTTGATGGTGATAAACCGGTGAAAACAAGATCATTTATCATATTGTTGTGATTAAAGATTGCTATCACTAAATGCCGCTAATGTCTTCCAGGTTAAACAAGCTGTTTTGATGAAGTCTCTTTCTGTCAAACTTTCGACCAATTACATGGTCTCGTATCCTTCTTCTATTGTTCCCTTGACGGTAGTGTCCAACAAGAGGCAACCAAAGATCAACAAGAGACAAGAAAGTTCCCTGCTTGTCTGCAAAATAAGAAATAATGATTCCCAATGTTTGGAAACAAGCAGAGAAGAGATTCTGAGCAGTATGATGTGGTCCTATGTCTTATCCCAGACAGGAACTGCTTCAAGGAGTGGCAGAAACAAAAGCAAAATGAAGCTGGGTGCCCTGGAGCCCTAACTCTTTGTTTGACTTTTGTGATGGATTCTGATGGTTCTCCTTTCCCTCCCCAGCCTGACGTACTCATGTGACGGTCACCACCTCTACACGGCAAACAGCGAGGGCACGGTGATGGCGTGGTGTCGGCGGGACCAGCAGCGTATGAAGCTGCCCATGTTTTACTCGTTTCTGAGCAGCTACGCCGCGGGCTGATCGTGCGTCTGATGTTTACTCCAGTTCTCAGAAAGAGGAGCCTTCTTTCTTTTTTTCGTCCTCCCTCTTCCACCCCTCCTCTTCCTCTCCTGCACTGACATGAAGGAGGACGCGTCAGCATGGCCTCCACCTCCCTGAACCCTCCCTGACTTTTAATCTAAGCCATCGCCGGCTGAGCAAGCTTCACAAACACTCCCAGCATCCTGAATGATGAAGATAGTATTACATGTACATAAATCTATATTTATAAACAAACTGAAGCTGAATGTCGAGGTGGAGTGGATGAGTATTTGGAGGAGGCTGCAACAGACACTTTATATAAAAGCATTTCTGAGAGTGTGTTTGGTTTGTGAAGTCTTTTATGATTCAGTTTTTCCTGCTGTTGAGTTCACCATTGTGTAAAGATCCTGATGTTTCCTGGTAAGCTGCTATCGTCTGGTCGAAGCCCGGACTGAACGTGTGAACCCCCGTCTCTCACATCGTCATCACAGCTCGGGATCTCCCACAGCGAGCCTTATGCACAGATCTCTTCGCTTCTGACGGTGCAGACGAGGAGCCCCTCCTCGCGTCTGCCACCAGGAGACGTCCCGCTCTGTGGGAGTGACACGCCGCTCCGCTGGGCTGTCTGCTCTGCTCTCGTCTGAACACTCGAGTCTCATCTCGGCTACAGTTTGTGTCTGAGCCCAGAGGAGGGACGAGGGGACGGTGAAGAGTTCCTTGTGTCGCCCCTTCTCCTGTCCTACTTCTGCATGCATGAATAATGCTGATGTCGACTGTGTCTGATTGTGACATTTACCGTCATGATACTTTCCTACAGCCTGCCTTTGTTGAACTTATCTTTATGTTTTCAGAAATGTTGAAATTCATTTATTTATTTATTAGAAACACTGCAGAGGCTGATCTTTACCTTTTTCCTGTCTTTGTTCTGACTCTATCTTTCCATTTCTTCGATGCACTAAGAGCTTTTCACTACTGGATAAACACAACTCCAAAAAATTAAAGGAACAGATACTTTTTCAGCATTTTAAAATCGATATGGTGTATGGTCGCAGTTTTACAATGTGATACAGCAGGAAAATAAAACCTGCAATCCAAAATAAAAAACCAAAATAGATTCTGCTTACAAAAAACTAATTTTAGGGAGAAGACGATTAGAGACAATTTTTTACGGTCTTCCCATGATCACGGAATTCTAACTGATCTCAGAATTCCGACTTGATCCAAGAATTCCAAGTTTGATCTCAGAATTCCAACTTTGATCTTAGCATTCTGACTGATCTCAGAATTCTAACTTTGATCTTGGAATAATGAGTTGATTTCAGAATTCCCACTCTGATCTCAGAATTCCTACTTTGATCACAGAATTCCGACTTTGATCACAGAATTCCTACCTTGATCTCAGAATTCCGACTTTGATCGCAGAATTCCGACTCTGATCACAGAATTCCAACTCTGATCACAGAATTCCGACTTTGGTCACAGAATTCCGACTCTGATCACAGAATTCCGACTTTGGTCACAGAATTCCGACATTGATCTCAGCTGACTAAAATCCTCACTGGGTAAGCAGGACCTCAATAAATGGGCTTCTGTTTCCCAGAGTTCACTTTTTCCGATTTTGCCACAGTGTCAACAGGCAGTATTGACTGTTTGTGTTTTTTTCATTAAGAATGAATCATTAATGTAACAGAGCTTTTCCTTATCAGAACCAGGCTTCGGTATAAAGAGCGCAGGAGGAGTTATAGGATTTTTTTATCACAAAAACAACATACACATGTACAAGACAGAATTAGCAAAGAGTAGACACTATTTCGTTCACAGGAGTCGACAAAATCAACAGAAACTAAAAATCTAACCTCAAGTTCTTACACTTAAAAAAAAAAAAAAGTTCCTTTAATTTTTTAGTTGCTGAAACTTGAAGATTCTCCTGAATAGCATTAGGCGCTTAAAACTGAGCAGAAGCAGACCAGAATATCTTGAATGCGCCTTCATAACTGCAGAATAATGAGTCCTTCTAAGACCCTTTTTCACTGTTGTAAAAAGCTGGTATGACGTGGGACGGTGTGGGAAGGGTAAAGCAGATTCTTTGTGTTATTTTAAAATCTTAAGCACTACACTGATCAGTCTGTAACTGTTCGTATCCTTCACCCGCCCATGGATTCATGCAGCTGTTCTTTACATTCCCACTAAACTTACGGCACTTTGTTGTTCTGCTGTTTTGTGTGAAACTGAGGTGAAAGCACTTTTTTAAAAATCGATGTTCTGTTCAAGAAGATTTTCTTTAAAGCTTGCTCATAAACCCAATCTAGAGAGCAATATCAGGCTTGCAATACGTCGTCTTAACAAGGATTTATCTGTAAAACACAAAGTTCTGCCTTTCTGATAGAAAAATCGATGTCTTATGTTTCTGATTGTTTACGAAAAAGGGAATATTTCTTCTACCCTCTGAGTTCATTCCTGTTGTTTCTTTTGTGTTGTTGTCTGGTTTCTTTTTTTCATCTCAGCCTTCTTCGACCCTCGTTGTTCTGCGCAGCATCAGGACACGATGTTACTGTTTGTGTACTGTTTTACCTTCTTTTATTTCCTCCTTTATGTTTATAAAAGTACAAGAGCTGCAGCCTTTTCTCTTGAATATCATTCTGTGAGATTGTCTGAATGTTTTTTTGGACAAAAATGTTGGAAAAATACAAAAAAAAATGAAGGAAATGTGCTGATGTGCAAACCTGAAGGAAACATTATTATTCTGTTGATAAATTAAGCTATGCATAATTTAAGATCATCCTCTTGTGTCGCTTATTTCATTGATAACTGGGCTGGTTTAGCCGTTTGGCATGAAGGACTGAAGTTTTGAGAGGTCATGTTTTATGTTTTTTTTGTTTGTATATAAGTTTGTGTGTGTATGTATGGACAAACCAAGTGATGAGTATATTATAAATATATAAATATATATAAATATTTGAAGACATATTACTACATCTTGTCGTTTGTGTCAATTTTTTCAAGAAAAAGGTGGAAATGTGTCAGATTTTTGACAGGGGGATGGTTTTAAGAAGGTGGGGTAAATATTTGAAGGTGGAAATTCCCCCAAAGAGCGTCGTTGTTACGGATGAGGCCCTTCAGTTTCCATGGGGGGGGGGGACCCGGTGATGTCAAAGCTGATGTAAAAATGAAACGGGGAAGCCTGCAGATCTCAGGTGCATCTGCAGCAATAAAGCAAATGAGGGAAATCAGCAACATCCTAATTTGATTAATAGTCTGCCTCCTCGGTGCGTTCAGGGACGGTCTGCGCGGTCGGAAAACATCCCGGCTCGTTGCTGCTGCAGCTCCTGCTCCACTGATCGAGTGCCTCCTGCCCCACAGCCCGTATCTGATCGTCACACAGAGGTTTCCCCCCCTGCTGCATGCGTAACATCTCTCCAAGTCCAGCCGTGGTGCTCACCAAGACCTCCCCGCCTGGATCTCGGCTTCCTGCACGGAATACGCGCAAGAGGAGGAACCGAACCGCCAGGATTCACCTCTCCGGGTTCAGTCGGCACCGAAACGAGGCTGGGATTTCCTCTTTTCATTTTCATATTTGACAGATCCTCTTTTTGTGTGCGTGTGCGCGTGTGTGAGAGTGTGTGTGTGTGTGTGTTGGGTGGAGTCAACCCGGATTCTCCAAATTGGAAAAGCATTGGCACATTTCAGGTAGGTCTGCGCTCGTAGGATACATTAATCTGCTCCTGTTTTCGAGCAATGCAGCGAAGCATCCAGAGGGTTTTTTTTTCCTTTTTGATTTAATTCATTCATGCAAAAATCCTCGTTTTTCCTGCTGATGTTTGGTGTGCTGATGTCTGCTCTGAGCAGGGCCGCAGCTCGCACGATGTGTGTCCACAATTTAATCCCCTTTAGAAATAAGAGTCGCCCACATTTGTCGGATCTCTATCAACAATTAGCATCGGTACGTTTGGATTAAGGGACAAAAAGCTCCAAATGCAGCCGTGTGAGCTTCAGGATGAACGAAAATAAGAGGAAACCTGAATGAGAGAAAGGCCTGGTAGCTTCCTACGATTAAAAGCTATAAATTGGCCACGAAGAGAGAGAGAGTGGGGGGGATTGTGAGATGAATTCTCTGTTTGCATCCTATCTTTGCCTCGTACAGCCGTTTCAATCTGATTTGATGCGATGAAATTGGAATAAACAAACCGATGCAACAAAAAGGGAAAAATCCTGAGTGATTGTGATTTGATTCAGCTGCACCCCACCTCATAGGAAAGCTTCATATTTGCATGCACAGTGTTATAAAACCCATCTGTGGTCAGGTGTCATCTATGGCTGCTAAAGTGGGACATTTCAGGAGTGAGTGAGGGGGTCAAGGGGCCTGAAATGAGAGCAGAAATTCAGCAAAATGCATGCAGTATGTGCACTGAGAGGCTGTTTGCAAAGGGGGGCAGATTGAAAACACTGCAGCTGCATTGATGCACGTTGTGGAGAAAGTTACAGGAATAAAAGCAAAGAGTGGACAGATCTGCTCCAGGAGGAGAGTGGCAGCTTTGATCCTTAAGGAGATGTTTAGAGAGAGCAAATGAGACAAAGTAAACCCCCAAATCTCTGCTGAAATACCCCCGGGCAAAGCGTTTAAACCCTGTGGTGAAAGAGGGGCTGTGTGTTATGATGCTCCCTGCCTTTGGAGCATCTCCCTCCAGCTTGTTATGAAGAATAACCCCAACAACAAAAAGGAGAAGAGTGATGCTTGAGTGGCTGAAGAATGACAAACCGCTGTCCAGCTGCTGCTCTTTCTTCAGAGAAAATGGAGCTGCTGTAAAAACAGATTCCCTGAACAAAATGGGTCCTTTAAATGAAAAGGTTGAGCCGGTGAATGGCTGCAGAGACACAGCCAGGGGGGGGATTCTGCTTTGTGGATTTAATGTGATGTTCACTGACTCCCCGTGTCCCCCCCTTTGTGCCTGTGTTTGGCGTCACAGCAGCACCATGAAGGACGGGATCGCCAACAACAGCACGGCCAGCATCTCCCAAGCCAGGAAAGCTGTGGAGCAGCTGAAGATGGAGGCCTGCATGGACAGGATAAAGGTACTGAGCGTTTACTTTCTACCTGTAGCTGAAACAACATGTTTCATTTCTGTTCTGCATGTGGATTTAAAGCTCCTGTGAGGAATTTTTGCTGTGTGTCAATTTTTGTAAACAATGTGGACATGCCAGGTTTGGTAGTCTAGATGGAGAAGGGGTCCACGCACACGCCCCGGCTTTTTTTGTGCCTCCTGTTCTTTTTAATCCCTAAAGTTAATTTCAGAATATGCCAGGTACCAAGCTGAATTATTGTCCAGAAGGCTTCATTTTTAACACTTTAGTTTACTAACCCGAACTCAAAAATCAAAATATGAGTGGGATAACTTTTGATGTAAACAACTTACGGGGACAAATTAATTGTAATTAATTGTTTGAAAACATCTTGATTCTATTTTCATTTATTAATGGACAGAAAATTGGCCAAAAATGCTGATTTGACAACTACAGCTGCTTAATTTGCATCTTCTGACAAAAACAAAACGTATACTGCTGACTTTTGACAGTCAAAGATGTTATTTATTGTCAATATTTCATATGGCAATTATAAGAACGAGGTTGCTTTGCTGAAATCTACCCCCTTGCATCTTTTTTAGACATTAAAAATGACCCTTTAACAATCGTCAGTCTTGTCCCGTATGGTCTCGTCTGCTTTTGTTTGTCATAAAGAGGCATTAATATGAATTTTAGTCTATTTTAAATTGTCAAAAACCCCTAATTGGAGCTTAAAAGTGTCCTTCATTCTTGTGTTGGAAACTTGGTTGGTTGGTTTACAGGGAGAACATGCCCATTTATCATAATTGATTCCATCTACGCCGTATCATCTAAAGTCTTCTGCTTATTTGGAGCCACAAGTTTGGCTTTTTTGGCCGCTGCCATTTTGGTTTCCCTCGAGCCAGAAGTGACCATATGTGGACGTGAGTTTGGACTATGCGAAGAGCGAAGGGTTAGCAAAACCTTACGTGATCCAAGACTTACAGTCTGTCTGTAAGAGGCACATTTTTTAAAACATTACCCTCAGAACAAGATCTGCTTTGTGGTGGTGTCTGATCCAAGTTGTTCATTTATTAGTCCGAAGAAGCTCAGAGAGCCTGCAGAACACGTCCGACTTGCCAAACAACCTTTTTTTTTATCACTATAGCCTGCCAATCTCTCTAGAGTAAAGTTAGCATCAATCCAACGTCCATGCACAAGCTGCTTCAGATAAATCAATGTATGACACACACTGAACAAGCTACCGGACCAGGTAAAGTGGAGCTAACATGTAAACAAAATAATGCTAAATTTTACAGCTTCAATACTGAGTGTCGGACTTCTTAGACTGTCTGGAAATACAATAAACCAAACATGATGACAGACTGTCTGATAGTAACTCTAAAATAATCTGGTGTATGAGACTCTAAGATCTAACTCACTCCAATCTCATCTTCAACCACGTGAGTGAAATACTTTCCAACATTTATCAAGTTACAGCAGAGAGGAAGAACTTCCTCTAACAGGCAGAAACCTTGAGCAGAACCAGACTTAGACTAGAGTATCTGGTAATTATTTTATTGTAAATAAAAAAAAGAATAAATTCATTTTCATGAGTGAAGAATTGAGCTAAAGAGGCCAGCAGCACCCAGAGTCCAACTCTGTGTTACGGTGTGTTTGACCCTAAATTAATTTTACGCCGGAATATCCCTTTAAGTCAGGCTAAATGATGTAGAGAAAAACGTATCTTGAATGTTGAAAGAAGCATCTGTGACTGATGCATGGCAGGTGCAAGACCAGCCTTTAACACTTTGACTTTATGGAGATTGATTCTTTATTGGAAACAGCCCCTAGTGGCCACTTAAGGGAGTGCATTTATGGCACTTCTGATTGAACTCTTCTTGTTCTGCCCCTTGGTTAAAGGTTACACTATCATAGACTTGTTTTTTTAAAGCTAGAATAACGGCCAATATTGAACTCTTCCTAGTTTTACAATAAAATGTTTGAATTTCCAAAGTTCAGAAGACTCTGACTCGTGTTTGATAATATACAATAATTCTAGTCCTCATAATTGACTTCAACAGCCAACTGCAACATGACAACCCAATCCCCGTTTCCTCGGTTAGCCTCGCACTACTTCTTCTGACAGTCCGCACATGAAGCCTGACTTCACCTTGAAAGCACTGGAGTATACCGACTGTGCACAGCGAGCAGCACCACTGTGGTAACTGTGGAGAAAGTAGCCAGAGGCACGATGGGATACGGTGAATTCTGACCACTTCTGACACTAGTTTTCTACCAAATTGGGTCATGTTTCCTGAGTATTTGCCCTGGTTAGCACTTTCCTCATGTAGGCTTCTTCTCATCTTACGTTGCCAGTGTTTGATTTTTGCGAGAGTGCAGGAGGACCGCGAGCTTTAAAGGGATAGGTCAGGGTTTTTGAAGTGGGGTTGCACGAGGTACTCGTCAATAGTGAGAGTATTAACTACAATAGATGGTGGTCATGGCTGCTGTTTGGCGAAGCCAGCTGGAATACTGACAAAGAAGATGAGCGGTGTGCCCCTGAGGAAAAGGGAAGAGAGTAGGTTATATTTTGGATACTTTCAACTTGTCCTGTTTTAGCTTCACATCCACACAAGTACACCGAGTAAAGTGGGAACGATGCAGATCAGGTCTTTGGGTCACAAAATCGTGAATCAAGGGAGGGATCTGAAATGGATTTAACCATGAGCTATTTTGTAACCATGGCCTCAGATGATAAAATATATATGAAGACGGGTGACACACCTGCACTACCTGCCAACATATCCCGCTGACAGCAGCTGAAATGTGTTTTTGTGTGAGTACAGTCCAAAGCAGAGCAGATTTTGTGTCAGACATTCACAGTCCTGGAAAGTTCAGTGACTCTTGTGGTTCCCTCTGGTCAGACGACACATCATGGCGGTAATTATAACCCGATCTGGTCCTTTGTTGTGTATCATGATGAATGACAATCAAGGCCATGTTTGGGACACACCATAACCCTCTCCTCACAGAAAGTCAAACATGTTTTATTTTCTTTGATTCGTTTTGTCACATCTGTGATGTTGACCAATGAGAGCACAGCGCCCAGACTGGATGTGATAAGCTATACAGCAACACTTGGATCCAACTTCGCTGCATGGCACATTATTTATGTATGGGCCAACGTCTGTCAACTGGTTATACATCATGATGTCAAACCATATGCCAGTGTAGCTGTGATATATTCAACAACACTGAGACAACTTTATGTTCACGCTTGTATTTCTGATAGTTTATATAGAAGAAGATAAACCGCACACACTCTCGCCAAAAAGCATGTCAGAAGACCGCACTGAATGGAGGAGCTCAGGAAGATTTCCCCATTCTCGTTTTTGGCCAGTCTCTTCTCTTCAAGCTGTTTCTCTGTATTTATAGTTTCTACAGTCCCATCCATGAACACCGTTTTATCATGACAGTCGTGTTTTTGACTGTTTCAGTACGTAATAAACTAACCTAATGGCTGATGCTGATAGTTGCTTAAGTAAGGATATGTGGCTGCAGGTTAAAAAAGATGCCATTCTTTTGGCTTCAAACTTTGATCCCAAATTTTCAAAAATTATTTAAGAATCCAAACTTTATCTCAGAATTCTGATGTTTTTTCCTAGAATAATGCTTTCATTCTTACAATTCTGAATCTACTTTGGAATTCTAACTTGGATGTCAGAGTTCTGAATAAACTTTGGAATTCTAATGTAGATTTTATTATTCTTACTGAAGTTTTGGAGTTTTAACTTTAATGTCAGAGTTCCAAATTTAACTTGTAATTCATGGACTTCCAAACTTTGTCTGAAGATTCGGAATTCTGACTTTTTCTTGGAATTCTAACTTTGATTTCACAAATCTGACATCTTAGAATTCTAACTTTGATGAAATACTTTAGAATTGATCTTGGAATTCTTTGACTTCCAAATTCTGAAGTTTCAGAGTTCTGACTTTTTATTAGAATTCTAACTTTGATGTAAGACTTTAGAATTGATTTTGGAATTCTGACTGATCTCAGAATTCTCACATGATCCCAGAATTCTAACTTTGTTCTCAGAATTCAGGATGAAGTCTGGACCTTTTTGACTTCTGAGTTGAATATAAAATCCAGAATTTCGTCTTACTTAAATCTTACTATAATCTCAGAATGGGTGTTTTAGGTCTTAGAAAATTAATTGGATCTAATCCTTTACTTTGGCAAAGAGAATAAAGTGTCTCAGTAGTTATTTTTAAGCCTGTACCCACTGCTGTCTGGTTGGTGTCAGATAAAGCGGGTAACAGCATGCTGCAGAAACAGATTTTACATTTTCACTGTTCAAATGAGGCCTGAAGCTGACACACAATTCCTCAAAGATAATTAAGACTCTAATGATAAGATCCTCACACACTCTGCTTAAAGAAATTCAAACTATCCCTTTAATATCTAAATCTAAGCGAGCCATAATGACCTCCTTTGTATAGTAATCACGTTCCTGTTACCTGCAACCCCTTTCAGCTCCACCAGACTTTTATTAAGGAGGTCTCATAAAGTATGACCTTAACAAACAACACCTGTTTCACTGTTGACTTTGAGCCTTATCTTTTTGAACCTTGGAAAGTCATAAAACTGTTACTGTAAATAGAAATCTCCAGATCGTTTCCGACCTGTTTCCTGATGGTGTTTTCACTCTGATAAAACATCCATTTTACATGGAAATGATCCCTCACTGTGAAAGGCCGGCTCTCAGCTTTAATGTCATCATCTCATTCAGTATGCTCCTCATGTGCTCGGGGAACGATGGCCCCGCAGCCCCGAGGCTGTTCGCTCAGCATTATTGCCGGGCCTGGACGGCTGCCATACACCATCATCCCTACTCAGCACAACATAGACTGCTTACAAGAAAACGTCCTCTTCGTAAAAAACAAAGTGATTATCCCCGACTCTTTAATCAGGGTTCAGAGGATGTATCACACAGACCCTCATTTAACCCACAAGCTGACTGTTTGGCACTAAATCTCATTTAAATCCATAGTTCGTCTTAGTTTTTCCGTCGGAAATCAATTAGCTTTGATAAACTCTTGAGGACCAAAAATTAATAAAAGACTCGTTTTTTGTTGTATGAGCCTAATTTAACAATACTCAGCATTTTCTGTGTTTTCTCCAGCTTATATTACTGTTACACTGTCATTCAGTGGACACATTTGAGAGTAAGAACAATACAGGCAAAGATCTGGAGAAGAAGAAACAAGATCATTAAGTGCCTCAAATTGCTTTATGTCCATTTGGATGCAGGTACCCCCATGTAGTGTTAAAGGGAATGCACAAGGTGTTCAGACCATAGACTGTATATACTATGGACAACTTGGTTCCGCCTCCCACCCTTAAACGGATTTGAAGCCAAAAAGCTCTCAGTATTTCCTCGATTTTTCTTCATTTCCTGAAACCAGCGCTGCGCAGTAGGATTGTACGCATTTGGCGGGAGAGTCGCCATGAGTCACGGTGATGACGCTCGGCTCAAACAGCGTATCCCTCGAGTGAGCTACGCAATCCCTGAACGCCCATAGGCTGTATCAGGTGTCAATCATAGAAAACATGAACCCCCTAATAACTTTTAAAAATGGAGCTTCACAGAAAAAAGAGGACTTGAGCACAAACCAGTCTTACAATAACTACATGTCAACATCACAACCGGGGGGGAATTTATGTTCTGTGTAATAGATTTCAGAAGTTTGTCCACAGCTCCGTAAGCTTTGCTGGTGGAGGCGGGATTTATGACCTATACTGCAGCCTATCAACAGAGGGTGCTGTTCTTGGAGTGGCTTCACTCAGCGAGGAGGCAGACCGTGTCCATTCTATATACGGTCTATGCTTCAGACCTTTTCCAGCTGTAGTTCCTTCAGTGGCCACCAGGGGTCGGCTACCAAAAGGAGTCGAATCCCATTGATTCCCATTTTAAAATGTCAGTTTTACAGTAGATGTCAATGCTGACAGCTGGGAACTAAAGAAAATGTTTAAGTCAGTGTTTGTGGTGTTGAAGTTTCTTTCACTCAGCTTTACTCACATTTTTTCACATTATATATTTTATTTAGACTATCAGCATGTGTTTGTTTCAAAGCTCACCATACTGAGCGTGTGAGCTTATCCTATGTTTTCATACTGTGTTTGATCCAGTTTATAGCAAATGAAATCCAAAGTTAACATCATTATTCCTAACTTTTTTCATCTGATTTGAAACCTTTAATTAAACTAAACTTATCCAATCATTTACCACCTAAAGAGATTACAAACTTCAATTGATGCAACACAATTTTCTTTGAATTTGGTGCAGCTCCAGGGCCGTTTCGGTTAGTACAATCTTTTCATTGTGCGTAAATTCTCCCAAGTCTAAGCAACAGCAGGATTTTTTGTGATAAGCAGCCGGCATTAAAAATGTAGGAAAATCTGTCAACTTTGAAAGCAGATTTGACTTTAAACTCTGCCTTTTTGGTGTTTTTGTCTCTTTGTTTGTTTTGTTTTCAGTCTTTTTTCCATGATATGCTCAGGCGTTCAGCCAGCTCCCTGTTGCATCCTCGTGATGGTGCCAATTTTACGTGGACACAGCTGCAGAAAACTGTGTTTTTAGAGAAGCAGATATGCTTTGTGTTTCTTTTTTCCAGTTAGTTTAGGAGAGGATGAATAAATTTTCTGTTACATGAGGCGCTGATCATGACTGACATGAGAAAAACAACAGAATGTCACAGTGCGGGTCAGTGAGCAGGAAAAATGTCACCAGCATCAAAAATAACAAGGCCAGGGTTGATTGCAGTTTCAGTTTTTTAAAGTTAGAGTTCAGAATAAGAGTCTGTATACAGGGACATCTCACTGTGAGATACAAAATACAGTGTGGGATAACTTGATGCAGGATAGAAGAAGTTGAGATGATGTGAAGTTGTAAAGTGGAACAGGCTAAGAAGCTTTGGACGGTCCACCATCTGAATGGATCTGAAGTGAGTTTTGTTCCAACCTGACACATCAGACCTGAATGTAAATGAACCTGAAATGTCACATCTGATTTTAATGTCTAACACCTTCCTCCAGCTCCAGAGTGGGTCAGAAAAACCTGTTAATATATTTAAGAATCAGGGACATCTGCTGCCTCTCATTCATCTTGTTGCTGCACCTCAGATCTTAACGATATTCGAGGTGTTTCCCACAGAAATGTCTTGTTGTATAACAGGTGTGTTCAATCATCAGCTGTCTTCAGTCTGTAAATAAAATGGATGCTGTTAGTATCCACTAGGCTTGATGCCAGATAAGCACATTAAACTATAATTCATAAACGTAAAGTAACAACCGAGACCTAATGGTGCTGTGACAGCAACGCTGTGATTGAGTTTGAGACAGTGAAAATACATATGGTATGTTGTATCTGAACAGGTTAGCTTATGAGCTAAAGTGACTTAGCACAGATGAAAGTTAAAACAAAGATGTTTATCAAACTGTTAAAGCACACAAACCATCGTCATATGAGAAATCCGACGCTATGACTCGCCACAATTTGTGTTTTTTATCAAAAATCACTCTGTTCTCCAACATGTAAACAATCAGCTGGTCGGCCATGTTGGATATACTGGTGAATCTGATGTCACAACAACATTAAGTCTGATTGGTCAGAAGTGGACACACAGTATGCGAAACTTTAGAAAATGTCGCAGGACGGAAAAACGTCGCTGATGTGAACGCTTGTACTGACAGGATAAAGTTTCGAAAAAAATATTGACATCCAAAATAATCACATGAAAGAAACACTCCCGGTGTGTAAGGACCTTTAGAGCTCCCTCTGGTGGCTGCAGCACTGGTCATTAACCCGCAAAGCCCAAAATGCACAAGTAAAAACATGCCAAATCAACCCTCAAATATGGTTTCTTTCGTGCTTATAATATCCAAGTGCTAGTCTTTCTAAGAAGTTTTAATCCAAGTACCAACCTCTGGTCTCACAAATTGTAGCTGCAGTTCCATAAGTGTCCACTGGAGGCTGTCTGCAGAAACCTTGTACACGCTAATCTAAGAAAGCCATTTTTAGAGCAAAAATACACGTTTAATGCCTGGTTCAGATACAGTTTTGGTCCAAATCGCCCAGGACCTTTTCATAACGTGTATTTTTTGAAGGTTAAGTGAGTGAATTAGCCACCACTTTAGCTAGTTTCAAGAAGGCCAAAATCCCGCCTGTGGAAGGTTGACTTAAAGTTGGGTTGAGTCAGCATCACCAACAGGCTTCAAAACTCCTCTTCACAAACCAGATTACGTTCATGTATGATGGTACCAAAAGTGTGAATTTCAGAGATTGTGGAGGTGTTTTTTGGCTTCAAGGCTCACAATTGGGCAAGGAAGTGATGTTTTCCTCTCTGTGTGCTGGCAGTGTTGATGAATATTTCTGTGTTCCCAGAACAACAATGCAGTAAAGGTTGGAAATGTTGACATAAGGATGCCAGAGCCGTAGGTGGCAATGAAGTGAAATCAGTCTGTCGTGTCAAACACTAGAGGAGAATATTGTGCACATGCCTGTTGAGCATATTTAAGAGCAGGCTGATCTGGTCCAGAATGACGTTTGGGTTCTTTAAATTGTAGTGAATCAAAAAACTATCAGGCGTATCATTGTTTCCTCTCTTTGCGTTGTGTATAATGATGAAGGAACAGCCTGGCCTCCTCGCAGTTTGACCTAACAATACCTGCAGACATGAAGAAACACCTCGCCAAACATCCTGGTTCTAATGTGAATGTGCAACAGACAAACAGCAAGTGCATGCATGAGTTGAGTTCACGCCGTCAGCGTTCCCCCAAACCTCAGTTTTTTACAGAGTCAAAGTTTTTAAAAAGAAGTCCTTCAATGGTGTTTCCAAAACCTCCATTTTCAGTGACCTAGACTCTGTTTACATGGCAGGAGGTCTCGAAATTATCCATCCCTCTTTGTTTTTGTCCTTACACATCTAGAGCACAACAATATTAATAAAAAAAAACTCCCTGAATGCAATAATTATGAAATTGATATTTTTACATCCAGCAACATTAGGCCTCGGGCGTTTATGAATATTACATTTTAGGTATTTATTTAAAGTCTTTGCAAAGTCAAAGAAAAAGTCCTTGGATTTAAGGGTTGGTGAATTCATCTACAAATCTTGGCCTGATTTATACTCAGCATGATGCATTATTATGGTCCATTATTTCTAAATGAACCACTTACACCTCAGAGATGAAAGTCCAAGTTAGTCTTTATTAATAGTTTAGCACAGAAGAAGGAATACAGAGGGATGTGACTGCAAATAAAGAGTGCAGTGAAAGAGGAGAAAACAGACAGTTGGCCTCGCCGTCGATCCCTTAAATTTAATTAAAGGATCTGATGAGAGAGAGTGTATTTTAGAGACTGAGCGGTCTCTGTGCTGCTGATTTAGGGATCGCCACTTTCTCATTAATTGCTCAATCAGCCAAAGGAATGTGATCTGTGCTAATTAGAAGGCCTCTCCCTCCATCAAGAGGCTGCGGTGTAATTACAGTCAGCCTAATGACACTCACCATGCAGTACCGTATGTGTCCTGTGGGGCTCTCTCTCTCTGCAGGGACTCTGGCTGCAGCTACATGATAATATAATTATTGCATTTACTCTGATTATGGCAATAATTATGTTGTTTACTTGGATTACCAAGGAAGGATTTGCTCATGTTTCCTCTTCGTGTAGACTGTAAGACCTCGATGAGTGCAGAAAAAAGGGGAAATAGAGTCAGGAAAAAGGGTTATCGATATGGCTCTCCTCTAATCTGACCTATATAGCACTTCTGAGTGAGACATAGCCTCCAGGATGTCACCTATTGGTTTGTCTTCTGCCTTTTTGAAGGCTTGACTTTTGCACTCTGGCTGCATGTATTTTAACTTTCTCTATGTTGTTTTTTTTTCTGCAGCCATAAGTGACCGTTTTAAAATGAGCAAGTAGAGCTGGAGCGGAAATAATAAGCTGTTTGAAGCCAAACAGTCTGTGCTAATGAAATATATTAACTGGACTCAACCTCAGTTTCAGTCAAACTGGCAAAAGGCAAAGAAGTGGAGTTTTAGCCTCCCTGCTAAAAGCTGCAGTTAAACCATCTAACAATTAATTCAGTTGCTCCCTAATTATGAAAACTCAGAACCCTAAAATCCGTAAAAATATATTCAGAAATTATCCTTTTGTTCCAGGTTTGAAAGATGTTTCCTTTTATGGCGAAGAGAGGCTGTTTTCAATGGGTGTGTATGTGGCTTTTGAGGCTTTTGCAGCCAGCTTCCAGTGGACACTCAAGGAACTGCAGTTTATTTTTGTACTTATACATCAGCTTAAGTTCTCAAGACCAAGGGGGTTACAGTTTGAGAAAATTTGGATGCCAGACTTCTTGGATCCTTCAATTTCAAACATTCTGGTTCATCTGATTCAATACTTTGGTCCAAATATGTTTTATTATGGGGCTCTATGGGGTTCGACTCACTTTTCGGGCCAGCCTCTAGTGGACACTCAAGGAACTGCAGTTTATTTTTGTACTCCATTCCAAAAGATTTTTAATAATAATAATAACTTTATTTGTATAGCACTTTTAGAAAACAGATGTTTACAAAGTGCTTTGACATGTAGTCAAGGAGCACATGGAAAAAGACAAATAAAGAACAAAAACTGGAATTGAAGACCATTTTCATGTCATGAGGAACTCAGACAATATAAGAACCATGCAACATAAAATGAGACCATGAGGACCAAAATAAAAAGATAAAATAGTTAAGAAAAAAGGAAAATGCAATTAAAAGGGAGGACCAAAGTGGAAACAGGATAGTAAATATAAAAGGCAATAGCAACAATGATAATAAAATAATAAGAGGTAATCCTGATAATAAAAGTAATGATAAAATAGTGCAACATAAATTAGCAAGAGAAAAAACAATAAAAGGCCTAAAAGGTTAATTAAGAAAAGAGTACAAGTACAACAAAAGCTAAAAAGACAGTAAAGCTGAAAGAAGATAGAAGTCAAAGAGATAAGAGATGACAGACAAAAGATAAAAGACGGCATCATGTAAAAGCAAGTCTGTAAAAGTGAGATTTTAAATTTGACTTAAAAGAAGCGACTGTCTGAATCTGAAATTTCAAACATTCAGGTTCTTTTGATTCGTCCCTGATTATCTACAATACTTTGGTCCAAATATGTTTTATTATGGGGCTCTATGGGGTTCAACTCACTTTTGGGACCAGCCTCTAGTGGACACCTGAGGAACTGCAGTTTCTGGCATTCACTTTGGCTTCATTTCCCAGCCTTGAAAGTTGCTTGTCCCACAACAGACTTAAAAAGTACTTGAATGTTTCATAGTAAAAACTGTACCGAAAGGTCAGCGTGATGGATTCTGTGCGTTGTTTTGTCTTGTGGGAGCAGCAGTGTGAGGTGAAGTGTCAGGCAGAAGATCAGATGGTTTTGTCCTCCGTGTGCATCCCTGAGCCCTCGCCGTCCCTCTGATGCAGCTGCTCCTCTTTCCCCCCTCCTGTGACCTCCCGCTCTGCTCCCGAGCACAAACCTACTTCCACATGCAGTCTGGCTCTACTGTAAAATTTATAACCGCCGTTTGACTTTGAAAAGACACACCATGCAACTTTTCCGCCCTGAGACAGGAAGGGCGTTGTGCTTTTTGCCCTCCTGGTCAGGGTACCACCTTCGCTCCTGTCAGTCATCTGCAGGAATTATCTTCTCCGGGTGCCTCGGGCGAAGGTTACAGCCATCAGTGCAAACACCACAGGCACTGAAGACATCTGAAAGTAGAACAACATGCACTGTTAAAGCAACCATGCAATGTTTGACGAGGCTTACAACAACCCTCACCTTCTGCAAGTTAGGCTCCAAACTCTGAAAACAAACACACAGCGAGGTACAAACCAGCAGGAGCTCGACAAATCAAACCATATCACATAAATCTTCTCCTCGGCTCCGTGCTTTGTTTACCTTTTGTTTGTCGAGGGGAGGTCTGAGTCTGTCGAAGCACTTTTCATAGAATCATGCTGGCCAAAGCACTAAAAAAAACAAAGTTAACACAGCTCTGATCTTGTCTTATTGGTTTTCTTCTGAAACTATAAAGACTATAAACCTCTTGAAACTACGGCCATCTTTTAGTTATTGTTGAAGCCTGTAATTAGTTCAAGGAAAGACTTTCTTTTGTAACTTGAGACTCATTTGTACAACAAGGATAGTTGGACGTGGAAACAGAGTGGATAGACATGCAGCATTTCAAATCCCTGGTAACGTTTACGGCTAGCTAACAAGCTCAGAATGATGGTCTGGATCTAATTGTAGTGCTGCAGGTTGTGACCCTGCAAGATCCCTGATTAGGGCTGAAAACTATGTGACTTCCTGACACTTTGTCTGCAGATGCAAGAGCGTTAGAAAAAGTTTGGATATTTGCAGTCCTTGAAAATTTACAAGTTATACCCATCAAGTGCAAAATATGGGTCGGTTTTCAGAGGACTATAAACCGCTGAGGGTAAATGTTTGTATCACAAGAGTTAACGAAGTGAAAGGAGAACTATACTGGCTTTTAAAGGGATATTCCAGCATAAAATTGATTTAGGGTCAAACACACCGTAACACCGAGTTAGACACCCCCTCTAGAGATGATCATAAATGTTCTTCCTTGAGCTGCGTCACCCCGCTGTAGTCCGTAATGGACTGGCCTGAGGTCTCACTACAAACAAGTGGCTGCTGGAAGAGAGTAAGTGAGTTGTGTTTAGTCTCTTTGCTAAAGAAATCAGTCAAAGTTAAAACGATGTTTGGTGGCTAGTACTATGTCTGTGACCCTATATGTCCTGTTGATGAAGTTAGGTGCTGTTCTGAGCATTATTTGTGGCTATAGAGTGGAGTTTTAGCTGAGGTTTGTTTATGGCCCCTCAGACTGCTGTTTGTTGCCATGGTGCAGTCATTACTAAAGTTGGTAAAACTAGAGAAGCAAGCGGTCGGGAACATTCATCTCTCCAGGGGATGTCTAACCCGGTGTTACAGTGTTTGACTCTAAACTAATTTTACGCCAGAATATCCCTTTAACTCACTAAAAGAAGAAACTATAGTGGCTTTTAACTGCATGTTTGTGTCTAAACAGCTCTTGTTCTCTGCTTTTCTGCTGTCTGCATGTCGGAGCTGCATGCTAAGCAATCAAGAATTAAACATGGCTAAATGACTGGTGGATTTTTCATCTACCAGCCTCGTTAGCTGGTGAGTTATAAATCATTTCTGGACCCTCTTTCGGCTGGATAAACCTGAAAAGTACTCCTGAATTTCTCGCTGAAATAATTTCATGATTTATCTGAGTTAAAAGTTAAAGTTTGCCAAGTCTGTCCTCAAGAGTTGGAGAAACAACTTTAAAAGTTTCTGTCAGTCGATGCCTGATGCCTTTGAGGAAGTCAGGAAATCGAAGTGGTGACTGTCTAAAGTTACACAGCTTTAAGCAGATCTATGTCTCAGTGTAAATGTTTGATCTGGAACAGATTGTCCACTGCTCTCACATGCAGATATCTGTTTGTTCAGTAAAGTAAATAGTCTTCAGATTACTGCTGATGGAGCCAGGATGTGGTTATTGTAGGCTGCATTCTGCCTGCTTTTGCTCTTCATACAGACAGTTTTTCCTGCAAACACCAAACCCTTCTTAAGCACTAATGTAAGCATAGAGTTAAATTTTATAGCTTCATTTTTGTTAAAAATCTTACTCATTATATCCCCAGAGTGAAATTTGTATTATGCACAGAAACCTCAGTTAATATTTGAAAATGTCTCTGATGGAAGTCCTTACACCGATGCCAAGTTAGAAATCCAAAATGTGATTGAGAAACCTCTCCAAATCCTCCTCTGAGAAACTTTCATAATTCCTCTGTGGATTATTGAAGGAGGGAGACGAGACGAGTCATTTCCATAAAATGTGAAAGTTCTTAAATGCACTTTATGTATGATTTATGAAATATGTAGAGCGCATTTATTAGACAGTGACAGGGGGGGAGATAAAGCAAATATCCACGTCCGGATTTGAACTTTAAAGTCACATGCCTGTTGAATTATGCAGAAGAGAAAAACGGAAACAAGCTCAGACAGCATCCTGATGAAGCTGAGACTGAGCAAACATGTTGTAAATAAAGCCTGGTGTGTTTAAATTACATGTTTGAAAACATAATATTAACATTCAGGCTAATTAAATAAAGACACCTTTGTGTCTAGACATGATTTTCAGTACAAAACATTGAACTTAAATGCTTAAAAATTGACAGAAATTTGGAAAATGTCTTCAATAAATTCAAGGATATTCTCTAGAGAAGGTTATCCGGAAAGTTCCCTTGTAACACTTTCCTTCTGAAGTCACTTTAACCATTCATGACTGAAATATCCCACCATCTTTTCACTCTAATTCTATTAATCTGTGAGAATAAATGCACGTCTCCCATGTGTGTTTCTTCAATAAAAGTCCTGGCAGTGATTTTGCTTGCAGGGAGCTCATCTTTATAGATGTAAATTTCCTCTTTATCCACGGAGGATCAGGAGGATACACCTCCCAAAATAACAGCCTTATGTTCAAGACCATCTGCACAGGCAGGATTTTCACACTTGAGCTCACCCTGATATGCTCTTTTCTCATGAAATGTCCCACTCTTGTTTCTTGTAGGAGGCCAAACTCAGGGGTGTGTCCACAGGGGTGGTCAAGGGTGGCATGGGCCCTTGAAACCACCTAAAAATTTTAAAGTCCTGGTTGACGATCTGAGAAGCAGTTGAAAAAAACTGAGCTGTTGAGGATGGTAGGGGAAGGTCCCGCCCTCCTTCGCCTCTGATTGGCTAGAATTGCTAGGCTTCGATTGGTTATTCCTAATGGCTGTGAATCGTCATCATCTGTCGGGTTAGGGTTAGGGTTAGGAGATTCAGAAGTGTGATAATGTTCTGTAATGTTCCGCGTTGGCTTGAGCGTGTGATGACGTTTCCAGCTTTTCTAGCCAATCAGAGGCAAAGAAGGCGGGACTTTCCCCTACCATCCCACAAAAAAAAAAATATCACAGCCGGGAGAGTGGGAGGGGACAAGTCAGAACTACAGGAGAGGGGTGTGTCGAATACAGCGAGGTGATTGGATAGAGAGGTGGAGTAGGAGATTGACCAATAGGAGCTGTCCGGGACAGATGGCTCCCATTGGTCAATGTTTTTGCAGTCCTGCACCTGATAGGGTGAACGGATTTTTTCCATTCTTTTTTCTTTTCACTTTGTGAGATCGCACTATATCGCCATAGAAACCAATCTCTCCAATCGTCAACCATGCCTTTAAAATATGATTGGCTGTTTACCTTGTTGGTGGCTGAACTCCGCTTTAAGATCCTTTTTCCTTTTGTCATATTATAGCAAATAAGACTCAGTTTTGATCTTCACAGACTGTTGCTTTAGAAGTCATTTGTTGGACTGTAAACAGTGTAGTGTGTGGAAAAGAAAGTCATTTACTGCCAAAGATCAGCTGTGACAAAAAACAGAAGGTTAGGGTCATTTCTGGGCTGCATTTTTCATTCTGACACGATAGCTGGTGTGGTTTGAGATTTATAATCTATGGTAGGGCAAGTAAAAACAACAGTTATTAAAAGATAATGGGATTATTCTTGATGGTAGTTTTAGCTAATTAAATTGTGGAAAAAGGAGAAAACAAAACAGATTAATAAAAATATCAAATCTTCAGCTGTCTTTGCACCACTTCCTTTCTTTTTCCGACTGGTTTCCACTCGATATCTCTGACCTTCCTCTCTTCTGTCTCACTATCTCAGGTTTCCAAAGCAGCCGCGGACCTGATGGCGTACTGCGACGCCCACATACGCGAGGACCCGCTCATCATACCCGTCCCCGCCTCCGAGAACCCGTTCAGGGAGAAGAAGTTCTTCTGCAGCATCCTCTGATGACCCGCCCGTAGAGCTGTGCGGGCGCGGGCATGGCGTTTCCTGGCTTACCTGTCTTCACCACACCTGAAGCGACTGGCCGTAGGCGTTGAGTTGAGTTTTGCCAGGCGGACACTCTGTTGTTGGTCAGCTCTGTCCTGGTGGCTGAAGGTTTTTTGGGGGCGTCAGCTACCAAACTGGCAACCCAGTGAGCGTATCATGTCTTGTTAAATAGGTTTGTTATTGCTTTGTTATTAGAGAACAGCCTTGCTCAGTGCTTAATGAGATGAGAGATTTTCTTTTCCTTCTTTTGTGCTAGATCTTTACATGCCTCAGGAAACAGAAATTCGCCCAGTGTCTTTGACCTTTTTAAGCATTTATTCCCCTTCCCTTTTACCCCGAATGAAAAAGCGTCCATCTTTATATCATCTTGTGTAAAATCTGAGTTAGTCGCATTGCTTTCAGTGAGCAGGTTTGCCTATTTCTATCGACACTTAACTGAAAGCACCACGAACATTCGGCTCTTCCCTCAGTAGTGGTTTCTGTTTCACTTCGCCTGCAGAGTCACCAACAATTAACCCACTCGATTTAGTGCTGCAGCACAGATCCAGATCAGAGAAGAGAGACCTCGCCTCACATATAAATTATTTCACTTTGTGCAAACAGCATGGCTAATAAGGAGGAGGTTTCTGCACATCAGATCTTCTGCAATTGAATAAAAACAGGATTTAATGCGAGGTGCAGAGTTTCAACAGCGCAATGAGCTCTTCAGGGTTATCACTGTGCAAACAGCCCTAAGTCAAATTTTATTTATGAATCTGCTCCTTCTATGCTCTCTATCTCTGCAGCCATGTTTGATTTACTCCACATATACTTCACCCGCAACAAATCAGACTCTATCGTTTTTCTCCTGCAGCCTTGAATGAAATATTTCTACAAGTTTTCCCTTCTTCTTCTTCTTCTTCTTCTTCTTCTTCTTCTTTCTCCGGTTTGTTTTCTGGGCATGTTTCCTGAGCCTGATTCTTCTTGCCTGTCCTAGAGTGAATGGCACGGCCTTCGACATTAAAGCCAAACCAGAGGCCTGCATGTTTCTCCGCTCCTTTTTGACAGCCTCCTCTGTTTCCGAGGGCCTGTCGGTCTTTTAGAGTGTACAGTATGTTACAGTGCCAACTCCTGCGGGCGCGGCGTCGTCGTGGTCGTCGTCACGCCGTCGCCTCGCAGCCTTTCTTTTTTTTTTTTTTTTTTTCCTGTTTCTGTTTGATTTGGAAGAATAAGCACACTGTCGAAGAATTTCCTTTAATGGTAGTTGAATAGCATTTGCTGATTTTTACGATGAATTGTTATGATCGTTATGAATATTGTTATTATGAGTAGTATTATGAATATTTGTTGCACAGCACTGACAGCTAAATGACGTGTAGTGCTACTAAACTTGTATGATATTTAGGTAAAAACATTTATAAAAACCTGCAATTATTGATACTATCTGAGTATTTTTTAAAAACGATGCTAAGGGTCGGTTTACATAAAATGATCCCTGCGGTGGTTCAGGCTTTTTTGCATCCTTGTTTCTGTAAAATTTAAAGAAATCTCCTCTTGGTACTTGAACAGCCATCGCATTAGGAATCAAACAGACGAATATTATTGGGCTACAGTTTTTTTCAGGATTACTTATCATCTTTATTTCCTCTCCAAATCACCTGAGACTGACCTCAGGGCACGCCCTCTGACCTCATCTGAAGGATGGTGCCAAATCTGAAACAAGAAATATAACGGCTAGAGATGAATATTGCATGGATTTATTTCTATCTATAACAGAGAGAACTATTATGATATGAAATATTGCCTCTTCATTGACTTTCTGGGTGCTATTCTGCACATATCGGAGGTTTTTGGATATGTCGACGATGTGCAGCTGTATTCATGAATGGTTTAATCGTTTTGGTAAAAAATAATAGCATTTAAATAGCAGGCTTTGTAAATCCTTTGACGGATCAAATGAATTAAAGGAAACAGCAACCCACATCATGTGCTGTGTGTTTGATATTTCTGCCTCGTGTCTCTCTCTACAGTCTGTCTGATCACGTTAAAAGGCGACTGAAAATCGTTAGAGGAGTGTGTTTGCTGGCCGCGTGTGGTGGAGACCTCCTGTGGCTGAGCTGAACCACAGGCCATCTGGATGAAATGTTTGTGTGTAAGGATGTTTTTTTTTTCTTTTAGAGGCCTATGAATCAATTCAGCCTCAGACCTTTAGCTATGAGGATCCTTTTCAAAAAGAAATGGAGAAAGTCGCTCTAGTCGAGGTATCAGACGCTCAAATCAATGAAATATCACCGAGTTTAACGGAGAAGTTTCTGAGCAGATTTACAACCGCAGCAGGAAAAATACGAAAACTGCCTGCTGCTGCTTTCTCAAATCACTGCCTGATTTATGTGGGAAACTGTTTAGTGATTATGTGATTATACAAGTTAAAACTCCGACAAGCTGTGCAGGACCTGGACTCGCATTGTCAGGAGTCTAACTTCCATAATCACCCAATCATGAGATATTAAAGCTCCTGTGAGGAACTTTTGGTTTGTGATGATTTTGGCGCCACCTGTGGACAAAACAGTCTTAGCTTATCTTGTCCTTTACATGCTTTTAACATTTGACATTGATATTCATCTTTTTACTCAACAACATTTTTATTAGTCTTATACAGATTAACACGGTACAGTGAGCTTTTTAAAAGAGACAAGATACAAAGGAAACATTAATCACAAACACCCTTTTCCCTCAAGACCCTGTCTGCTGCTGGATATTCCTATTACTGTGCTTAAATAACACATTTTTGGAGCCAATAGAAAAAATCAAGTAAGTGCTGGATTTCAGGTTTTTTAGACCCTGAAATATAAGATGTTAAGAAATAAAGAGTAAAAAGAAAATAAATTAAATGAACTACCCAGCAAACATCAGACGTCGAAGAGATGTGCAGATCAAGTCAGTATTGGGTCGGTCTGTCAAAGACCACATCTAGACGACAGTGTGACGTACAAAAGAGGTTAAAATTCAACGTCTAAATTGGACCTTTTTTAGATGTAGCTCTGACATTTAGAAGTTGAACGTCATCTGAAGACCAAATCTAGACGTCTGCACAACGTGCAAAATAGATCCAAGATTTAGTGTCATTATTGGACCTGTTTAAGATGTTGAAGGGACGTCCACATTTGTACCTCATCTGGACGTGTGTGTGGTCCGACAAGGACCAAATCTAGATCCAAGATTCAGACGCCATGATTGTACCTCTTTTAAACGTTGAACTGACGTTTACATTAACACGTAATTCAGATGTGCTGTCGACCACCGAATCTAAAAGTCGTGTTAACGTGCAAAATTGGTCCAAGATTTATATTGACCTGTTTCAAAATCACATTTGGATGTCATGGGTGAGGGTTAGGGTTAATGGAGTTGACGTTAAGAGCAGAGAAAAGTTGCTGAAAACTGAGAAAGTCCATAAAAGAGACAAGAACTTTATATTCATCTTTTATTATTCATTATAAATATCTCATTTAAATTCAAAGTCTTTATTTGTCCACACAGGGCAATGAGGAATGAAACTGAAAGCTGAAGACACCGACCACCTTCGCACCAGTTTTAGTCTTTTAAAATTTATCCCAGAAAAGAGACTAAAGTTCCTAATAAACACGACCAAAAGTAAAGCTATTTTGACGACAAAGGCATCAACCATCTTGGATATGAAACTAAAACCCATTTTATGAATATGTGAGACAGTTTATCCTGCATATTTTGTTACTTTCGCTCATGCCCTCCTGAAATCTTTGAGTTATTTTAGAGTTCTTTCTCCGAAAAGTTTTCTTGTTCACACGTCCCTCAAAGCACAAAGTCTTCTTTTCTGGACAAGGAGGCTGGAGAGTGAGAAGAAGGACGAATTCTAAAGCAAGGATTTAAAATCAAAACCTGTAAAAATCGCCGTGAAATGTTCACAGACGAAACAGCAGAAACCTACATAGAATGAGACAGTTTCTACATTTATACCACTGATCTGGGATCTAAACAGGTCTAATCTTTAAAATAATTCTCCTTTTTCAACCTCAGATGTTTTCGTCCAGCCTGGTCTGTTTTGCTCTGCTGGGTTAACATCAGTTGCATGATATTAACATCATCACCCCTGACCGTCTGTTTGCCTAAAGGTTATTTTCCTGCACGTTTCCTGCTGAGCTCTCGTATCTTTACACAGAAATTTTCTCAAGCCTGGAAGGACACAGCCCAAGTTAAGTCGGGTGAAAATTTTCGGCTGTTTGCATTCACACAAGCAGATTACTTCGACAAATTTGAGAGGGAGTTTTGTGCATGAGGGAATACAGCTTTTGTTTTCAGCCTGACCAACAAATAAAGAGATGAAAACAATCAGAGAAGTAACCAGAGCGCCGCTTATTCCCGCAGATTTTGCATTTTTATGCAGAATTTAACTGGGGCTGAAATAACCTTTTATGAAATTACTCAAATGTGCACAACTGTAAATTAAGGCCACACTTTTCACGACACAGGAAGCAAATAGACTCTGTTGGAGCATGCTGAATTGTAACCTGAGTACGCGAGGATATTTACCGGATTAACTGGAACCATCAAATCAAATCTAATTTATTCATGAAGCGCGTTTAAAAACAACCAGCGTTGACTGAAGTGTTGTTTAACAGAACGGCGCAAAACAAGAAATAAACACAACATGGGAAAGAATAAAAGACAGACTATGAATGATTGGAAGCATTAAAAAGAAACAAAGAAATGACTACACAGAGAAAGAGAGAGGGGGCTTAATTAAAAAGGTGAGCTATTCCAGAGCTTTGGGGCGGCTAAAGCAAAAACCCAGAAGCAGCTGGGGGGTGGAGGAACTTAGAAATGTAGTCTCGGGTGAAGCTTTGTAAAGATTTAAAAACAAACAAAGACCCTCAGAGTCGATCCTGAACTTGGTCGAGAGCTGGTGCAAAGTCATAAGAGCCGGAAAGATGCGCTCTCTCCTCCTGGTTCCTGTTAACAGCCGAGCTGCAGCATTTTGGACCATCTGCAAACAAGTCAGGGACAGTTGACTGATGTCCAAAGAGAGGGCATTACAATATCCCAGCCAAGAGGCAATCAGGGCGCTGGAAACTGTTTTTAAATCATTAAGAGGGAGAAATAGTTTTGTAATGCAGCTGAAAATAGCAGCTTTTAATGAGGGCGGGTATTTACTTGTCAAATTTAAAAAGCGCATCAAAGATTAGGCCAAGATTTTTTTGCCTGATTGTGTAGGTGAGGCTCCAGGGGCCCTGAGTAATGAGCTCTATCCGGTGAGGCATTGTGAAGACCGAGCAGAACCACTCCTGATTTACTGTCATAAGCTGTCGTGAGTTATTTGCCTTCAATTGTTTGATATCTAAGCGACAGTGGACAGGGATTAAACTGAGGCCAGAGAGGTTTGATTAGAGGTATAACAGGGTGTCGTCTGCATGGCAGTGGTTCGAAATATGGTGGGTTTTGAAAGAGAAACCGAAAAGGAGCGTCATGTTTGATGTTAGTTTAGTTCTCTTCTGGCTTCTTCTGGTCTTGTGAGTTTTCAGTTTGTGTTTGACACGGTTTCCCTCCTGTTTTCAGTGTTTCCTGTTTTATTTTGTAGGAGTTGATTTCTTGTGTTTCTAGTCTGGTTTTACTTCCTCAGTTTTCCCTCCTTTTGTTAGTCACCCATGAGTTTCACCTGTGTCTCATCTGCCTCACCTGTTGCTCATTTCCCAGTGTGAGTATATAGTCCCTGTCTTCCCCTCTGTCCTGGTTGGTTTGTTGTGTGTGTGTGTTTGTCAGTCAGTGAGTGTCTTTCATAGTCATTGTTGTATCCCTAGTCTCCTTGTGTTTTTGAAGTAAGTTTTTGTTGTTTTTTTCATTTAGTTCTTTTTAAATGAATCCTTTTTTGTCGGCACTTGGGTCCTTTTTTGTTTAGCTTGTGACAAGGAGCATGTAAAGGAGGAACAGTGCAGGTCCTAGTATGGTGCCTTGAGGTACTCCACAGGTGATGGAGGTAGACACAGAGAATTCATGACTAGATTGGAGGGAAAAAGATCTGGCCTACAGGCGGGATTTCAACTTCCTCACAGATGCCTTGCTGCCAGTCGAGTCAGTCGTGCCTCTGATCGGTCAATCTAGTAAATTTAAGAACTTTTACACAAATGAATAACAAAAAGGAGGCTGAGGGAACCCTGAGTAATCCAGACCGAACCCTGTACACGTGTTTATTTTTCCTCTAAAAATTGTCTCTTTTCGCTTCTCTTGAACATGGTTTCTGGTGCTCCCACAGACAGCCCCAAGTGGACATTTGTGGAACTGCAGTTTTCAGCACTTGGGCATTAGCCTCATTTCTCAAGACAGGGGGTTTCTGCTTGGGGTGGATATGCGAGTGTGTTATCTGTGAAAATTAAGTGAGTGAATACTTTTATTTTCATTTGGTTTTAACACAAAAAAACAATAATACAGGTTATATTTATCTTTGCGACAGAGCTGAAACTTTCCATGAATTATACTGACAAATAAAGTCAGGTGTACCTTAGTGATACCTCTAAACCTATTCGAAAGAAGCAGGTGTATTAAAGCGAAGTCAGGAGAGGATATTTTGAAGCTCAGCACAGCCGAGGTTTGGAATAAAATCTTCATTTATTTCAAATTTAAGGTCCTGCAAACCTATTTTCTGGGTCGGCCTCTCACTATGACTGATGGGCTTTTGCATGAGCAAAGATTTGTCTCTTAAACTCCACATGCACACTCCACTTTCCATAGACCCTCCAGTTAGATCTTACAAAAACAGAAACTTGATGGAAATTGTAGGTGCTGCAGAGGGAAAATGTTTTATGTTCCAAAAACTTATATTAGAAATTCATGAATTAGGTTTCAGTGTGATGTGGTGTGTTCTCAGCTGGGACCTGACTGGATAAAAAGAAATCTAGAGGAACGAACTGTGAGTGTTTTGAGCGCTGCGAGGCAACACTGAAGACAGGAAGATGCATACACTTGAGATAGAACTTTATAAATAGAGTTGGATAAGGAAGAAACCTAAATAAAAGTTAAATGTGAGCTGAGAACACAACAAACTAAGATAGACGAGGATATCTGCAGTGGAACAGGATGTGCGGTTGTATGTCTCGCTATGAATAGCCTTTTCCTTTCAGATGAATGATGATCTGCAGAGAGGGAACTGAATCATTGTAATGAGTTTATTTGTGAATGTGACTCCAAAAAGAATTATATAATGCACAGGAAAGTAATTATCCCTGGGGCAGTAGGTTATCTAATACAAAGATTCAGCGCGAGAGCAATTTTCCAAATTGGGCAGTGATCCCCTAAAGTGTCTGCAAAATATGAGAGATAAGAGGTGGTTTTATATCTGCACAGCATGATGTTTTCTGCAGGAGAATTTCTGCTAATTACACCTGAAAATGCTGTACGGTGCCAGTGTTTCCCATGACACACACTGCCAAAACAAACCTCTTAAAATAGATTTATTGATCCTAAATATCAGTCTTTTAGAGGATTTTTTGGTGCACAATTGCAGTCAAGGCACCATATCTAACATAAAACATAAAAATATAAAGGTATGATACAAAAACTTGACATTAATATAGTTTTTAAAACAGAATTAGATGATTTGCACACAGTTAAATACCTGTATTTAATTGAAAATACTGCATAGACAACTTGTTCAGTGCAGGAGCTGAAAATTGTATTAAAAAGAAAACACATCCCTGTTTCGATTTGGTTCTGCAGTTTTGAAAATGAAATGTTGCCCTATTCCTACCTAATACAAGATTTAATCTGCCCAACAGTCTGAGGTCCACTATTATACCGATAATATTATGCACCGCTTAAATATTTGTCTGTTTAAAGAAAGCAGAATGACGTTTTTTATCTGGAAACTCAAACATACATGACAAAATTAGCAAATACATGACTCACCAGTATGTCCACAGGGGGCGCCAAATTCAACACCAACTCCCACAGAAGTTTTGACTTTATTGATGGAAGACTTGTGTGTCAAATTAAGCTTAAATTGGTCAAAAGTAGAGTTATTATCTGGAGAGAAACCACAGGGGTATTTTAAGTTCTTTTCATCCTATTATCTTGTTTTCGAGCAAAGTTTTGCTTTTGTTTCTCAGTAAAGAAGTAATATTGAAAAGTAACATTTTACCTTTTTGTGATAAAGATGTCTCAAACTTAGCCAGAAATACTTAGATCACGATATCGAGCTTCTGTTGTATAATATTTTCCAGATTTAAGGCACTTACTCTTTCCAAACACAATGAAAATGTTGTTTTTAGGCGATTCCTGACAACATATGTCTTGAGTTTAATTAAAATGCTTAGATTATGCATATTTGACCATCTGGATGATGTTTTTTGTATCATTATAAACCATTTTCCTCCAGCCCCTCATCCTCTTTATACTAATTTGAGTGTATTTCAGTCTGTTTCAGCTCTATACTGGTGATAATCTCTGGATATAAAACATCGACTTCTCAAAAGGGTGTAAAATGAAAACAGCCTCGGGTAAAGCCAGCACTTGTTTTCTTTTTCTCTCTCCACAAAACTCAAACAAGGTTATCTTTTTACCTAAGTGGACTTTTTCACAGCAGAGTTATTATTTTTTCCTCGAATGCACGGTGAAGTCTCTATAATAACATGTATGCAACGCTGGAACTCCATTAAAATCAACACAAATGAAGCATGGCAGCAGACCTGACCCTCTGTTCCTCTCCAGGAAAAAACCCAGCTGCTCTCAGCGTCAGAAGAAATCCTCCTCAAACATCCCGACTTTGTGCACAACAGATTCCATTTAAATGATTTATGTGCGGCACAGTCACTGCTTTGATAAAGTTATGTCCTAATCTTAAAGCAACAACATTTCACCAAGGTTTCTGAGGGATGAAATGATTCAAAAGATATTTTTTCTCTCTGCTTTGAAGGTTTTTCTCTCTTTATTTTCAATTCACAATGTGGACTGAAGCAACACCGACCTCAAACCGTCACTTCTTTATGTGATAAACAAAAAGCTCCACCTCTGCAACACTGTTTTAGCTGCAAACAGGGGGTTTAGTGTTTCACTTTACGTCTAACAACACTGATTAAATTATTTATTGTGCTTACTTAACCATTCTGTTTAAAGTAGTTTGAACTGAGATTGAAACTGCATGACGCTGCTTTAGTTTTATAAAGATGTGTAAACGCTCAGATATATTCTCACCCGCTGGGATGCATTTATTTATTCTTCAGTAGCTTATAAAAGTCCCTCTGAGAGCAAGTTTACTGACTTGTGTCTAATAAAAAGAGATACAACTGCAAGTTACTGCAGAAATATAAAACAAATCTTGTTTGTTTTGATACCAGTATATATTTATCATGTTTCACATTTGTTTGGCCCACTTAAGTCCTCTTAAAGTTGGATTTACCTGGGTTATTTTTTTGGTTATAATGGCATTTGAGTTAGAAGTAAAAAGGGAAAAAACTGCATTTACTGCTGAGCGGGGTCACTACCTATAACACCAACATCAGTAACGACTACTACTGCTATATTTCTAACAAGATCCGGTGAGTTGGCAAGCCAGTTAAGTACACAAATATCAGGGTCAGCATAACTGAAGTTTTGGCGTCGTAGGCAGGTGTTGGAAAAGGAAATCAGCACTTCTACAAGGTTTGTCAGCAGATACAGGTATAAAAAAACACAGCAGACCAACACCAGCAAATGACATGACACCCCATATTCTTGCAGTCTACCAACCCCTGATACTGATGTTTCTACTTTAGCTCCGGTAAGACTCTGTCTGTGGTTCAGTGGTGTCTTGATATTAAAAAATGCACAGTTGGATTCCCTTCTCTGAAGATGTCCCTGTGTGGTGACTCTTGATGAAATGCCAGCCTCAGTCCACCCCTTGTGGCGCTCTCCATGGTTCTCCAATCAACTTTTCTTGGCAAACTCAAGGCTGTGGTCATGCCTGTTGTTTGTGTACCCTTTTCCAACCACACTTTCCCTTCCAGTCAAATTTAATTAACTTGATTTGAATCTGCACTCTCTGAAAGGCCAACCTCCTTAGAAATGGCTTATCTTCTGTAACTTGGGTGTTGATGTACATTTTCTGGGCAACTATCAACAGCAGAGCTACCAAGCGTCACGCTTTGAGTGTGACAGCCACGCAATTTGACCCATTCTCACGCCACACGCCAAACTTGACATTTCTCACGCTTATTTTTCCCCGTTCAATACTCTGTATTTGTTTTTTTCACGATAATAAACTTGGCTTGCCGTAGTTCGAGTAACTCTGATTGACTGACCGAGATAGCAAATCCCAGACCAATTCATCAGTCCTTTGTGCCTAATGCTGCGTTCGAGTTTCCTCGGAAGTCAGATGTCGGAGCTGAAAATGACGTCACACCCGAGTTCCCAGCGTTTCAGTTACAAAGTTTGAAAAAAAGCAGAATTGTAGGCCTGAAACAAGATGGCTACGTCTACAAAAGTTATTTTAGCTCTTGCCTTGTATTCGGACAAGGCAAGCGCTAAAATAATTTTCGTAGACGCGGCCATCTTGTTAGATGATGGGCAGGAAATTTCTTAGTTTTATTTTTTTTTTATCAAGGTCAATGATGTGTCAATAATTAACAACAACATTAATTTTGATTTATTATTGTGTTTGATATATCGTCCGATTTCTAAAAAGTTACGTTTAGGTCCTTAGATGACAAAAATGTCCATCTCATAAAAGTGCTATAAAAATATGATACATTAATATTTCTTTGAACTTCTTTTTGCTTAAATCTTTTCATTAACTTCATGAATAGTGTTTTTGTCTTACAGTGAAGATTTCGAAAAAAAATATTAACGTCCAAAATAATCGCACGACAAAACCGATCCCGGTGTGAAAGGACCTTTACTGTAACTACATGTCAAAATTTTATGTTCTGTGTAATAAATTTCTAAAGTTTGTCCACAGCTCCATAGGGATTGCTGGTGGAGGCAGGATTTATGACCTATACTGCAGCCTGTCACCAGAGGGTGCTGTTCTCAGAGTGGCTTTACCCAGCGAGGAGGCAGACGGCGTCCATTCTATATACAGTCTATGGCGTTAACACAGCCAAAATGATCAACAAATGGAAGGTAAAAAGTCACCAAAAATGGACAAAATGTCCGAAGAGCCCCAGGGTGTTAAACTAGTATAAATAAAATCACAAAGATAATGTTTCAGTTGGTATTTTGTCTTTTCACGTGTTAAATTTCAAATGAAACGCTCCAACGATGGTAAAATACCGTTGAGATTAGCCATGAAGACTTAAACTTCATCTCCCATAGTGCACCGCGGTGGGGCTCCTCGCCTCCCATTGGTCCGTCTCTCTGAGCAGCGGAGGCAGACATGAGGCGGTGGTGAGAGCCCGGGCGGAGAGCTGCGGAGCTGAGATGAAGCGCACACTCGGAGCGGCTCACACCTCCGCGCAGTGTCGGCGGCTCAGGAAGAGGCTCCGCGCCGCTGAAGCTGAAGCTGAAGCTGCTCCGGCTGAGTGAAGGGCTCCGTCCATGCGGAGGCTAGCGCTCGTCCTGCTGCCCTGTGCCGTCGCCGTCCTGGTGCACTTGTGGTTGGCTCGTCGACCTTCCTCCACCCCGCTGGACAACAACACTCACTCGGGTACTTTTTAAGCCACACTCCCGGGCTGCACCTCCACGAAGCCTGGGAACTTTTTATTCCGTAACCGAGCGGCGGGCTAACTTCGCTCCACCACCCCGGCTGTGTGTGTGGTGTGTGTTTGGTAGTTTGTGTGTGTGAACAGGTAGTTTGTGTTCGCTCGGAGTGTGTGTGTGGGTTCATGTGTGTTTGTGTTACACTGGGAAATGATGAGAAGAGTGGAAGTGCTGGGCGTTGCTGGGATAGTCAAACGTCTGGAGACTAAAGCGAGCCGAGCATCTCTGCCTTGTTACAAGTAGCTGCAACGATTAATCGACTCAAAGGCAGTTAATAGCCGATTATTGAACAATCGATTCGGTTCATTTTTAAAGATTGATTGTTAAAAATGTTGGTTTGTAGACACTTCATTTTAAAGAATTTTCAGCTTTTAGTCATTTTGTGAATTAAACGTATTTGGTTTTAAACTCTTGCGTTGACAAAAAAAGATATAAATGAAAATGGAAAAAAAGATATTTGTCATAATTATTGATTTAACAGCTGATTGATTCATGATTAAAAGCAGAGCATTGATTGGTAGTTTGGTCACATTAAAGAGGCTGATTGGTGCAATTTTAAAATAATTGGTGCAGATTGTGAAAATATTAATATATAATGTATGCAGACACTGCAGGCAGCAACTTCAGAATTGCAGCTGTCAAGCATTGGTACCATCCCCTCTTAATGATATCATGTTTTTCGCATCCTATATGACAGCATATCAAATCTAAAACAGTTATATAAATTCTATAAATTCTTTATTTATAAAAATTCATATGAAAAAGGAGAATTAATTTGTGTTTTGTGAGTTATTCAATATTTGTGCAGTCGACCTTCAGTGCCACCGTTGCGATCACTTACTATCAGGGCTTAAACCTGCGTATCCTTTGACAGGGAGAGAAAGCTTTACCACCTTTTGATGCATGAAGGTGTTCACTGTCATGAGTTTAATGTCAGGATGTGTGATGGTAAATCATTGCAAAGGAAATATCTGAGGAAACTGCAGTCAGGATCAGAGATGTGAAGCATATATCAGTGAGGTGAGGAAACAATCGGTGATTTTTGTGCTCATATTTTATCCGCACAAGGATGTCAAGTATCTATTATTTATTTTGGCCTGTTCGGTCATTTTCTAGAGTGGCCAAATGTGGAAAAATGTAAATTCAGAGAGTGCTTGGACATTTGCATATTCTAAAAAGTATGCCTCATAACCCTCAAAGACAATTAGGTTGTGTAATAAAAACTAGGTAGCATTATACAACATTTTTGAGTATTTAGCTTGTCTCTCAGGGTGTCAAAATCAAACCTTCCCCTAATGAATCAGCAAAATACTAACTGTGATTTTAAATTTCTATCTCTTTTTTTGTCTTTTTTTCTTAGGTTTGGTTCATTTTTTTCCTTTACACTGTCAGTAAATGCAGCATATTTGGGTGGGAATTGGCTCTTTGTTGTTAAAGATAAATTATAATGGCTTTTCCAGATGAGGCGTTACCTTTCTATGAAGTTTTGGTGGGAGTGCTGTCAGCGAGACACCATCATGAACTGCGACAAGCGATAAGGGAGACCTGGCTGGGCTACCTGAGAGCTCACCCCCACTTCCAGCACAGGTGTGTAGGCTGCAGTTTAAACTTTCCACTTATTTTCCTTTTTTATTTCTTCTTTTTTTCTTCTCCACGGTCAGATTCATACTCTGACAACAAAGCCTGAAGCTGGCAGCAAATAACCGACCAGCACATCAACACTTTTTATCTTTACCTGACTGGCGGCCAATATTGTTCCTGCCTTCTTTCATTCTTCTTTTTTTTTTTTGCAAGCTTCCTTCTCATTCAGCGATCCGAGCACTGATAAGGTGTGATGGCCTTTAAGCAACCTCAGTAGCCATAGCAACATGGTGGATGGATGGACGAGCTTTAGAAATGTCTTGGGCTATTATTGCAGACAAAAAAAGCTGAATGCAATTGTGATTGTGTTTATTTTTTTATTGCAGAGTGGGGGTGAAGTTTATCGTCGGGGAGCATGGTTGTGCCATTCCAGAGGAGGACAGAGAGGACCCATACTCCTGCTCAATCCTCAACTTCACAGAGACAGGTAAAACGATTTATCATGCAAAATATGGTCATAAATCATCTGTTTTTTACAGACATTTTCAGGTACTCCAGAAGTGTGAAATGTTTGAAACTTTTCAAGATTACATTTGAAGCATATTTACATCGTCAGCCATGAATATTTTCTTGATTTCTAGTTGTTACAGCTACACATCTGCACCGAAACTGCACATTGCTGAACACAATCGAAGTTTTCATACTGGCCCACAGTTTAAACAGTTTTCCCTCTAAGAGTCCTTTAAATACAGACTGGGATTTAAATGCTAGTGCAACTTATATTTCTGGCTTTTACTTAGCAGAGTCATAATTTATTCAGTGACGTTAAGAGGATGTGGAGCTCTCGTTTGTATGTTTGTGGTGAGTCTCAGTTTCACTGTTAGTACTGAATTAAACTGAGGTTTAGTTTTGGTATACTTACGTGCTATAAATAAAAAAAAAAGACCACTTTACCTGTAACTAACACTTATTATTTTTGCTGAAATAACAAGATTGTGATGCAGATTAGACAAAAGTAAAAAATCAAGCTTTAACAGGTCTGCTCTTAAGAATTGAAGGAATTCCCAATCCCTTATTTTTGATTAGGTATTCAAATTTCAACTATCGTCCATAATTGATCTTTGGAAATATTAATGATCAATTGTTCAATACCAAAAAGTTCATTTTGCCTATAAAAATAAAACATTACCAAATGTGTTTGCCTCAAGCTCGATTATTACAGCAACAGTAAACTGGATATAATTGACATACTTGCATAGCTACATAATATATACTCATAAATTGTTTAACAGGCTGAACTTATAAAAATAATCTCTGCTGACATACAGTTGTAAAACAAAAGACTCAAACTGCTGAATGTAGAGATGCTGGAATGGAACTAAACATAAAAATATGTCAGACTGAGTGTTCAGTTTTCTGCATGTCTGTTATTATTGATCAAAAATAAACAAATCCAGGTGGTCAGGTGTTTGTTAAAAACGCTGCTGAGTCGTAACCAGTCAAATGGCAGAAAAAAAAACACACTAAAGAGGCACTGATGTTGCTGATATGTAGATTTATGCCAGCTTTGTCAGTCTGGAAAACCTCTTTACCTATTTTTGATGCATTCTAGGACATCAGGAAATCTGAACGCTGGTTGGATTTAGTGACACAGGTTCTTGTTTCAGAGTAAATGTTTGGTTAAGAGTATTTGAATGAAGATTTCTGTTTGTAGAGATAAATAAATTAGTATCAGATTACCGTTGAGTGGAGTCGTGATGGTTGATTGTGTGACGCCTGCTTTTGCTCTCAATACTGATACCAATTGATCATCACAAACTACAAATGAAACAAAACCAGCCCATGAACTTTGCATTACTTATAAAGAATCTGAAGATAGAGATGGGTGTCTCTCTGATGTGATTTTACTCAGCTACGTCTCTCCCAAATTGCGTTTAGTTGCGGTAATGTAAAAAAAAACGGAGTGCTGCAGAGAAAATGGAGCTATTTCCTGTTTCAATGCCCTGAAATATAAACTGCTGTCTGGAGGGGAAGACTTTCAAAGATAGTAATCAACACTAATGATTGGCTGTAATACGGGGAGATGCTCTGTGTGCAATCTGTTGCTAGCTGAGGTTGAATAGCGGAGCTGAAAGAGTGAGAAGAATGCATGTTCAGAGAAGAAATAAAGCACTTTTATTCATGTTCACACACACTTCAAGGACACCGAGCTGTTTCCTCTCCAAGGCCGGAGCAAAAATCTCTCCCAGTCAACGAGGCTCTGAGTGCGTACTAACTATTGCTTGGAAAGTATATATATATATACCGAACTCTGACGCACTCTATGGGAGGAAATAATTGAATAGGCTTACTGACAGTAATTGTTATGTCTTTCACCTTCAGATTCAGACGTTTTCACTACTTTCCCAGCTGCTTTGGTGTTTTCTGCTCTCATGCAAACATAATTACCGTTCCTCGGAATAAGCTGTTGCAGAAGACGGTCTTTAGGGTCACGGGGATGCTTTATTTTCTGGCCCTTTCCCCACTCTCCGCCGTGTTAATAGCTGGAAATGTTGACGTGATTTGCCTCCGAATTGCAGGCAGGTAGACAAGCAGCTGTGGTGTTAGATGTTCAGTGTAATTGGGAGAGAAACAGACAAAAGCTGCTCTCAAACACAGACGCAGGATCCAGGTCAAATCACACATTCGGGAAAAAAAGGACGGTTGACTTTTGTGGAAGATTTATGCGGCCCAGCCTCATCAGAAATGATCAGAGACTTTGTTTGAGTGTTATTGATGAAACTGTTATTCTCTCCAAAACCTCCACGAGTTTGTGTGATTGGTTTGTTAAACTGATGTCAACAAGGCTCGATTTATTGATCAGTAAATCAACGCTGTGACAGCTCAAGACATTAATTTAGGTAGAAAGTGGCAGCTTTATAGTGGTTTGGGTCGTGTGATTGTTACTAAAATACAAAATAAAATAGTTTTCTTAAAGTCTGCATTTTGTCAGAGCCGTATCAGACAGGGAATTTCAGTCTTAAGGACGAAACACTCAGAAAAACTGTTAAAATCAAGAATAACTTTTTTAAAAGGGACAGAAAATAATTAAACGAAGACTGAATCACGCTGTGGCGCAAGAGATACCATCCATCATCTGTGCTCGCTTAAATCCAGGTGGTAGAGCATTAAAGCAGCGAGGCAATAACAATTAATCAGAGCTACAGCTCCACCCGGTGGTTGGTAGCTGCACTACGGCCCAGATGACCAGCATCCAAGGCCTGGAAATAATACAATTTTAATAATTGATGTAATCTATGAGTAATTCTTCACTCACATTCCTCACATGTTTGTTTTGAAGCAGGAATGACCAAAAGTTTCAGCTCTAGCAGCAGATAAAGAGTTTTTGCGTGTTGGAGTTTTGGTTTTATTGAAGGTATACGATTATTGTCTCGTAATCGTGATGTGATTGAGGTCTGAAGTTAAAGGGTTAATGTTGAACACTAGAGATAAACTCAATCACATCTGCGTCTCCCCGCTCTCTGCTGCAGCCATGATGGAAAACGGCCCATTTCTCTTCAAAATTACAGACAGCTGAGTTAAAAGATCAGAAATAATCATTTGTGTTAAAATGAATTTAATATCACCAGAGTACTTTGAGTCAGAGACACCACTTTTAGAGAAGCATACAGGTGCAGCTGATCGGACTGAAAATAACAGATTAAAACAGTCAGTTAAAAATGTGATTGACTGAAATAAACTTATAAAATCTGCAGTTTTAAAACAAGATTATTGTTTATTTTTTTTACTTTTAATGCTGTAAGTTCATATTTTAGTTTTTGACATAGTTCATGAACCCAGTGATACAGAAGAGGATGTTCCAAAGTAAATATTAACTCAGACAGTAAAAAGATTAAAGAGACATAAAACACATTTTTTTCCAGTGTTGTAATATCACTATTTTTTATAATGTTACCATGTCCTGAAGTGTTATAATTTACCCATTCATACAGTACTTTATAACCCTGAGCCATAAGTGCAAAACATCATGTGAAAAGAAACTTATCCAAAGATAAAAAAACCCCTCCGGCTCACTGACTTACTGCCGAACTTTACCAACCAAACTCTGAACACTTGAGGGTTAGAGGTGAATATTGACCTGACTTGTCTGTGCTGAAAATAACCACCAATAAAATAAATAACCAGACTTATGGCTGAAAAACTTATTTTAATATGCAGGTCATGACTGTGACACAGTTTGAACATAAGTTTAAAAACTCCTCACATGCCTCTAACCAGTACCAGCTGCAGAGAGAAGCTGTGACCGGACTGCAAACATGACTTATTGACCAGTATATAAAATATGTCCAGTGTCCTTGAATGTGGAATAAGTCTGAGTTTACAGTTAATCATTTATGGTTCAACTTTCACTGACTCTGACTCTGACTGCACTGCTGACACTAACGTTGAAACAGAAGTACAAACTTCTAATTAAGATAAGTTTGAAGGCGACACATGAACGAAAAGTCCACGGAAACACGCTGAAGTCCTGCAGATAGAAGTAAAAACATTTGGTTTGATGAGGAGCGTCTCTGTGATCTTCGCCTCTAATTGTCTTTATTTTGGATAGAGCTGCAGAACTTGTGTTGAAAGCGTATAAAGTAAAACCCCTCTTCCCTTTAACAGCCTTGATCTTCCATTGATCTCCCGGGTAATAAACTGCTCTTTTGTAATTAAGAAAGCACACTGACGAGGGGAGGCTGGCTTTGAAGACAGCGGTCTGAAGAAGCAGCTCCTCAAAGTGCTGATGGTGGAGCTTTACCCGACTCTTCCTCCTCTCCTCTCCGCTCCTCGTCTCTGAAAACAGTCGGTCAGCACGTTGGGATTGTAATAAATTGAGCGCGTGCAGTAAACTTTTGTCTCTGTTGCAGGCCAGGATGCGGAGATAGAGATCGTGACCGTGTCTGACCCCTCCGTGCTCGCCCCCTCCGATGTGTCCGCCATCGCCCTGGATTTCAAGGTGCTCCACCCGGTGGTGATCACCCGGTTGGGGGTGTTTCCCAGCGGGACTCGGCCTGAGCTTCAGAGCAACGTGACGGTGAAGCTCCTCCAGCTGGACCAGGAGGTAACAGAGACCTGACCTCTGAGACATCATGTGTTCACCTGCTGACAGTACTGTAATACATAACAAACTGTTTTTACCTGATTATCTTTGTGCCGATTTTATTACTACATTATTTATGATACATTTCACTCAGTATTACTTTATCACAACAAGAGGTCTGCTTGTGATTCAAGCAGCTGCGCATAACTTTTACAACAATGTAATGAGGTAGGGCTGCGCGATAAGGCCTCAAATCAATATCACGATATATTGAGCAGTTCACCTCGATAACGAAATGCTATGAGGAAACGCTATCTTGAGTTAAAATGGATCTAAACAATAAAACCATGATAAAATATAACAAAGGTGATTAAGTATTAAAAGTTAATTCAACAAAACAGCCTTAAAATCAAACAAAAAAGAAAGTAAATCAAAAAAGAAGTACTGAAACACAAAATAATTACTCTAGGACTAAAATAGGATAAAATCACATGATGCAGATTAAAAGATTAAAACAAAATTTAACTAAAAGTCAGACTAAAAAGGTCGGTCTTGAGTTTCCTTTTAAAAATATGAACAGTAGGTGTCGCTCTCAGGTCTGCAGGTAGGCTGTTTCACAAATGGGGACCGTAATGTTGGAACGATGATTCACAGTATGTTTTAGTTTTTACTTTGGGAACAATTAAAAGACCACCACCTGAAGACCTGAGGGTTCTACTAGACTCATACGATAAAAGCAAATCAGACAAATAAGAAGGACCAAGACCATTAAGAGCTTTAAAAACTAATAAAAGAAACTTAAAATCTACTCTGAAAGACATGAGACCACAGCCTACCTACACATATCCAAAACCAACTTTTATTTATTTATTTTTTTGACACTGAATATACTGACATTGGCAAAGTGGCGTCGGTTATTGTCGTAAATTTCGGTATCTGTAAATTTTCGGTGTATCGCCCAGCCCTACAATGAGCTGAAGGTCGAGGTGCAGACATCCGTCATGAATAAATCCAAAACCAATCCTTGTATCAGCCAACCACTGACCTTTACTGTCTCGGTTGAGAGTGGATACTATTGTGGAAAACAGCCACCAGGAGCTGCTAGCCATATTATATGAACTTGAGGTGTCCCACAAGGATCAGTACTGGGACACAAGTTACTCAAACTTGATTTAGAAACCATTCATTGTTATTCTGAAGAGCATATCACTGAAGGAGGATGAAACAAAATTCACGTTATTGACTTAGAAATACCTTTGTAATTAAATTGTGTTTATAGAGTAAATGAAACCACATTTCTAGAGGTTGCACAGAGGATACATGACAAAAAAAAAACAACTTAAATCTGTTGGTATCCTTTCAAAATGAAAGACCTGTTAAATTAGACCTGTAGATATTGTATTCTTAAGAAGTAATGTTAAATACAGAAGTGCTTCAGATTTGGGAAATAAACTGTGAAACTGACTCAGAGTTGAGTTAAAGTTGTGGAGCTTCAAAAAAGCCTTAAAATGAAAACTGATCGATTACAAAATAACTTAAAATAACTGAGAATTGATGATGATAATTAAGAGGAAATCTTTCTTTGTCTTTTGTTTTTTGTACCGCTGATGTTTCGAGTCATATGAGGAGACAGAAATCATTGATATATTCACTCAAACTCTGGACCTGCCTTCCTCTTTAATAAATCACTAAAATAAACGAACAATATTCATAAATCAAGTGATTAGTAAGGAGTGAGACATCTTACGTTTTTACTATCTCTGCATTTTGAATCATATTTTGACAGATTCACAAAGATCAATGTGAAATTTCCTCCTGAAAACTCGACTCAAACGTTGGAGTCTGCACTGAAGCAGGTGTGGTTGTTTTTTATTTCACTCTTTCTGAATAAAACATGATTTTTTTTTTAATGTGCAGGAGGCCGTGGTCACCGCTCGCTTCAGCGCCATCAGCACGGGCACGCTGGTGAACGGGGTTTGGTACAAACCGGTGGAGCAGTTCATCCTGCCGAAGGTCAGTTCCCAGTCGTAGATGGAGTCATGGTGATGAAAAATTAAGGTCACCACGAGGTCGTTTCACTGTCACAAGGGACTGTGGTCAAACGCTTCAAACCTTTTTCACCTCTGAACACTGAGAAATGTTGTAAATAAAAAGTGCGCATAGAGAAACAATAAAGTGTCTTGTTTTCTTTGCTCAGGGTTTTGAAGGGACACTGGTCTGGGAGAATCTGGACTCTGCCAGTCTGACCACAGTGAACTCTTCCTCGGTCCAGCTCAACGACGGAGGAGGAGTCCTGAAGATTTCCTCTGTACGAGCCGCCGCCGCCGCTCAAGTGTCAGAAAATATCAACACAGAAAATTCTCTCTGATGTTTGGGAGTGAAGGAAAAGTTGTGAAAGCTGAAATCTGTGCCGTTTCCTTGAATTGCAGATCGCAGAGGGAATATTGCCTCATAGGAGTGCGCTCGGATTTCCTGGTTTGGCTGGAGGCTTCACCTTTACCATCTACGGTCAGTGTGATAAAAGAAAGTTAATTTTCCTCTTTTTATCGTCCAAATCGCTCGATGAACCACCTGTTGTGCTGGAATAAAAACACACTCTGCCTCTCCGTGGCAGGTTATGAGATTAGCTCTCTTTTCGCCTCAGGGTGCTTGCATATGTGCCAAATGGAAATATCATTTCTCCCTCTCCTGTTTTCCCCGAGGTGTTACATTATTGATCGAGCCTCCTGCTTGTGTTTGCATGGGAGTTTATCCGGGGATAGATTTGACGACATTTTAGGGAAAATTAAATGAAGTTCACCATCCAGTATCTCTAAAAGCAGAAGGAATGATCCGTTCGGAGAAATATCGTGGTTTCATCATGATGTTTTGCCGTCTGGGATTTCAGCTATTATCCCTGAAATGTTCCTTAATTTATTTAAACCTCTGCTGAATAAATGTGACTTTTTAAAGATCTTAAAACGCTCTCGCTTCTTCTGTTTTTTCCACCCATTACCCCCATCATGTGCCTGGTTTTACCCTACACGTATGTCAGATGGAGACGGCTTGTCGGGGCTTCTGCGGGGCCGCCCGGGCCGCATGGAACAGCACGCCTCCAGGCTGAGGCGGGAGGACGCCGCGCTGCAAGAGGAGAGCCTGAGGCACGGCGACATGGTGTTTGTAGACGTGGTCGACACCTACAGGAACGTGCCTTCCAAACTGCTTCAGTTCTATAAATGGTATGCTAAGTGCTAATGACTCCATTCTGCGTCTCCAAATTGCCTCGGTCCTCTGAGGAAATCAGCAACCTGAAATGAAAGTGTGTCGTCGTCGCCTCAAATTGTCTCGCTGTTAGAGTTAGAAGTGAAACCACTCTGTCAGGAGAGAGTGCAGCAGCTGTGAGTCATCAGGTTGTTAAAACACAGAGAGCTTTAACTTCACAAGAATACTTGTATTTATCAGACCTCCTGGCCCTCGCTCTCAGTGGTATTTGAAGTAAATCCACTCTGGAATATTAGCAGAAATCAGGAGGCGGGCTTTAATTAAGTTTGTAAATTCGCTCTCTCTCGCAGGTCTGTGGGAAACGCTGACTTTAATCTGCTGCTGAAGACGGATGATGATTGTTACATCGACGTGGACTCCGTTTTAATGAAGATTGACCACAAAGGTCTCAAGCGCAGCAATTTCTGGTGGGGGAAGTAAGTCCAATTTGGTTTCAGATCCTCTTTAATGCATGAGTTTGCTTTGCATTTCAGATGGAGGGACTCCTCCAAGGACTGCCCAACTTCTCTCTTAGTCTGTTTAAGGGTTGGAGGTCAATGCGGCTCTTTTATCTTTCTTTTGGAAGTTACTTTTTGAGTTTTTTTTCTTACCTTTCTTTAATGAGGACAGGACTGTGGATAGAGCAGGAAAAAAAGAGCGAGGAAAGAGGCTCAGGCTGGAAATGAACCCAGGCCACCTGTGTGTATGAGCGAGGGCTGGGCGATATGGCCTCAAATCAATATCACGATATATTGAGCAGTTCACCTCGATAACGATAAATAGACAATAACTACTCCATAAGCTGCTCACCTCCTCCCACATTAACTTTGTCGGTAACCCTTTCTTTTACGGTACACTTATTACCAGGTAATCAACAGGTAATTACCTAGTAACAACATGAAATTATCTGTAATTACATGATAACTACTAAGTCAGTACTGTCTAGCTACCAGGTAGGTAACCTTCCATCATCATATAAATTTGAAGCCAAATTGCTCTGGTATTTCCAGGATTTTCGCCGCTTCCTGGAACCACCACTTATGTAGTAGCATTGTACGCATTCGGCGGGTGAGTCGCTGTGATAACGCTCGGCTCAAACAGCGGATCGTTACGCATTCTTCGCATGCCCATAGGCTGTATCAAGTGTCAATCATAGAAAATAAGAAACCTCAAATAGCTTTTGAAAATGGAGCTGCACAGAAAAAAGAAAAAAAAAAACTAGACAGTATTGACTTAGTAGTTATCATGTAATTACAGATAATTTCATGTTGTTACTAGTAATTACCTGTTAATTACCTTCAGCCGACGCTACAACTTTTAAACCGTCCTCCATCTCCTCACCTGTCTTTCCCTCTTTGTTACGGACTGGATGGGGTGGAGTCACGTTTCTGACGTAGGACAGCGTCTTAAAGGGACATGAGACCATAGCCTACCTACACACATCTAAAACCAACTTTGATTTATTTTTTTTGGCGCTGAATATACCAATATAAACGTCGGTTATTGTCGTAAATTTCGGTTTAGGTAAATTTTCGGTTTATTGCCCAGCCCTAATATGAACAGTACCTTACCTGCTTGTTATTCTATTTTTTTAGTATCTTTGACCTTTTTTAACTTATTTAGCAGAAAAATTTGTAAAAAAGTGAGAAGAGTGAAAGTGTTATGGACCCAAAACATGATATTTTACCCAGGCGCCAAAATCTACCAAAAAGTTCCTTAGTGCATGTTAGCCATATTCACACACACGTATAGATGATACCTGGGTGGAAACAGAAGCCGAGGTAAAACACCATTTATAGGTGTTTATATGTGACTCATTGACTGAGTCTGGACGTTTATTATTTGACGTTCAAAATCACAGTTTTGTTATTTTTATCACATCGGCAGAAAGAGCAGAGAGGCGTGCAACTTAGATAAGTAAAAACAGCTCTATGATATGACATAATGTGAATCTACACAAGTGTATTTAATTCATCTCAAATTGAGACATCTGTAAAACTTTCTGTTTTCTCAGTTCACTGATGAATTTCTCTCCCATGAGCACTTTCTGCTCGGTTTTATCTCATGAACTGAGAGGATTCTCGACAGAAACAAAACAAGAACGGGGATCTTAAGCGAGAACATTATGTTTCAGTAGTCTCAGGAAACTCATCAACAATTCTCCGATGGAGTCGACCGTGCCTGAACATTTCTGTGAGAGAAAAACATCATTTTTACCAGTGAGGAAAGAGGGAGTCTACGGCGTTAAAGCAGGGAGGTTAGAAATGTTGATTTTGTGACATCGAGCTCATCTTTTAGTGCCTGCAGACGATTTTCTACATTTATTTTTAAAAAATGCATGAAACCCCCCAAAAAACTCATATCTCTACTGTACCATGTGTGCGCAGACTTTATTTTCCGTGATTTGACTCACTGAGGAGGATTTTAAATGTTGTTGCTCCTCGTGGTCTTTGGAGGGTTAACTGTCGCCATGTTTGCAGAGTAACTTCGGCGCTCTGTCAGCTGAACTTTAGACGAAAGAAACCAGGATGTTCTGTCAGACGGTGATGGCTCGGGTTTAAGGGAGTCAGGATGCGAACATGATGTTTCTGACCCAGTTTCAGGCAGAGCTGGGCCGTGGATCGCATCGGGAAGTGGCAGGAGCTTGAGTACCCGAGCCCGGCGTACCCGGCGTTCGCCTGCGGCTCCGGATACGTCGTCTCTCGGGACCTGGTTGAGTGGCTCGCCAGCAACGCAGATAAACTGAAGGCCTACCAGGTAAGACGACCTCAGAGGAGTGACTGGATGACGATGCTGATAAAATAAGAGTGAGTAAAAGTAACGTCTGGATGTGCCGCAGGGAGAAGACGTGAGCATGGGGATCTGGATGGCAGCTGTAGGACCGCAGAAATATCAGGTATTCATCAGCTTCAAAACATCCATTAAAAAGAAAAAAACACTTTGCACCATGGCAACGCATAATTCATGAGAGAGTAATGGTTATGAAGAACACTTTCCCTAATTTTGTTGAGCTCCTTTCACACAGACGCTCTTCACTCACTCGGAGGCGCAGATTTATGTTGATGCTGGTGGAAGAACCTCAAACCTCAAATGACCTGATGTTGTTCTGAAAAAGCCGTTTGAGCCCCTTTTAAATAATTAAACACAACATGAATGCAAACACATACCCTGATGATGATATACTGCAGGGTGAAATTAATCAATACAGAAAACTCACATCAATAAAAAGTAAAGAGCAAATCATCGACCCGACGCCGCGGAGAGACTGAATCTACTCTACGACTAAAGTGAGGGAGCCGAAGTATATATATATGTGGAGCGGACTTTTCTCTGCTTGTTGATTAATCACTTTCTAATATCCCACTGCAAATGATCAGCACCAAGCTTTTAATGAGACAAGATATAATTATAAATCAAAAGTTTAACAGGCTCTCACCGGGGAAGTAATTAAAACAGCAGCAACACTGTGGAACAACCCCGACACAAAAACGTGACGATGACGGGAATATATTCGATCAAAACACATTAAAGTCATTTAACTTTAAAATTGTGCAAAAACAACATTTGTATGACGTTTCAATGGTATTTTTGCGAGAGTGTATGTTCATGCTACAGTTTTAAAAAGTTCGGACAGGGACAACAAAGTTCTGAAAAAGTTCTGTGATGGAATAAAATCACCAGAAACCCGACCGGGTAGAAAGGAGCGTTTTAGAGTGGCCGTGAGGAGGTTCACGACCCTGTGAGAGACTGTGTGTGCGAAGGATTTCACAATTCAAGAATAACACGTCATTAAACGATTCAGAGAAAGTCAGAGAAGTCAGGCGGCACTGCTTTAAAAAAAACTGTTAAAGAGGGTTATCAGATACGCCAAGACCGTTGAAGTTAGACTAAAGTGGAAAACCGATCTATGGTCTGATAAATAAAACTTTGACAGTCTCCTTGGAAACCACAGAAACCCTATCCCCCACATTTATTATCACTGGACTCACAAATGCAGGTCAACTTAACTTCAGACCGTTTATCATGGACTTTAAAAACTGGACTGAAGAATTAAAATCTGATATTCTTCCAGGAATTCATGGAAGTTAAATCTCCCACTCTAAAGCCTGATGAATACTGGAGTCAAATCTACACTGTAGTTTACTACGGTGACCATATTCTGAATCCCCAAAAAGAGCACACATCTACAGAGTCACGCGGAGTTAAATTTAGGAGTTTTTCGGGTGGGATCAAGTGGTTTTTTACACGCTTCTAACTCAGTAAATCCACATGACACAAACTCAAAACTTCCAAACAAAACCCCGGACATTTGAAGGATTTTATAAACTCCCCAGGACAGGCCGGACAGCCCCACAAAAAGAGGACATGTCCAGGTAAAAGAGGACATATGGTCACCCTAAGTTAACGTCATAGGTCCATGAAGGCCTGACGCTTCCTGATGAGCGCCTCCAACCACGAGTAGAATCAACACAGACCACAAACCCTGTGATTGGTCCGTTCGGCAGCATTTTATTCCTGTATTTACAACAGACATAAATCCATATCCTCCATGTGTCCTTTCTTCTTCTTCATAATTTTATTCTGATCGACTCAAATCGAACATGTTAATGAATAAATGCACCGCTGTGGTTCCTGAAGCACAAACTGTAGCTTTGAAAGGATTTGTAGAAAGTTCTTCCTCCAACAGTGAAGACACACCGGCACACAGGTACGCTGTGCTCACAGCAGTTTAGGCCACTATAGCTACAGAGGAGATTCAATGCGGAGGTGTAAACAGGCTGAAAGCCAGCACCCGTGATGGTGGGGGGTGGTTAAAAGCCTTCGGCAATGGTAGCTCACACATCTGGGAGGGCGCCATTAACGCTGAACATTATACACCAGCTATGGAGCGTCATATATTAAACATTAGGTTCAAACGACTTCATCAAATCTTGTTTTTCTTTTCCAGCATCTGGCTCAGCATCCCGACGTTTTGGCGTAGGTGTTGTGGTGATAAAAGTCTCACATGAGCACAAATCAGAGAGAGTATCTCCCATCGAAAACAAATCAGACATCACCTGCAGAACGCACTCCTGCAGTCCAACCCTTAAAGGCCGCGGCTGATGAATAACACATTTTCCCTTGCCTGTATGCACTGTATATACTTTATTCATCCTCGAGCCCTGCAGCCCTGAGACTGTGGAAGTAAAGAGCGCTGCACTCTGTGTGTGTCGAGCATCTGCTGGGAAACCACAGTTTGAATTTGATGCATGCATGCAAAACTATTCCCACTCCTCCTTAGTGGGCATTTCACTGCCTCGTACATTGTCGGAGTTGCAGAGTGGAGGTGTCAGAGGTCAGAGTGAGGCATGCCGACTTCTCTGCTGACTGCAAACTCAACACAAATGTCTGTGCAGGTAAACACGGCGTCTGTTTTCGTGTTTCTGCAGGACCCCGGCTGGCTCTGCGAGAAGGAGTGTTACCTGGACATGCTGTCGTCTCCTCAGCACACGGCGGAGGAGCTGCACAACCTCTGGGACAGGAAGAGGACCTGTGGAGACCCCTGCGGCTGTCCCTGGGGACACTAAAAACCCGGGGTAACACGCACTCAGCACCACGGCGGGCTGTTGCTCCTTGAAACTCCAAACCGAGTGATTTCAGACTTTTATGAGTTACTATTTAAAGAGAAATACTTTTGTGACTGTTGGACTCGGAGTTAGGAGTTAAGAGTTTAAACTTTCAGCATCATTGCAGGTTTGAAATTAACAAAAACACTGAACATAAAGAACCATCTGCTGCTCCAGGTTCAGTTAAAAAAAACTCACATTTAGCTTTAGCATACTGTTAGCATCTGCATCATGAACTCAGTGACTAAATTTAAGAGTAAAACGTCCTCAGAGGAAGAAATACTGTGGATATCTGTGTGTGCACAATCACTGCTGTAAGACTTGAGTCATTTGTAATACTTCAAATCCAGGTTTTAAAAGGATATTTGACGGGATTTTAAAGACGACTGCTCGACATCGCTGTATTTTGTAAATTATAGTCTTAAGCTTTTCATCCTCTTCACTCTTTGTAGATTTATGAAGACGCTTTTTCACAGACACACACACTTTGTACTGTTACCGTCATTGTGCAAATGGTGATGTGGCCTTACTGTCTTTGTTTGGCGTCATGCTGTACGTATGTAAACACAGATTTGAGTGTTTTTGAACCTTACACAGTCAGAGAAGCTGTGAAATAGAGCCACTAGTTTAACTCTGGTTTTATGAAACCGTCCTCACAGAAAATAAAGAATCACCTTGAAGAGATTTGTGACTCTCTGCTTGTTTGTTCTGGAGGTAAATTAGCAGGAGCTGCTGTTTTTGTGTCGGATCCACGTCAAGTCTGAAGATTTGTTCTCAAAGACGCTGCTGCTCAGTCGTCAAACAGACGTTCCTCAAGCTGTTTCAGAAGTTTGAGTGTTCAGATTAAAGCCACTGGAAATCCAAGTCCACAATAACCGTTTAACCATTTTGTTCAGAATCTGTGAGTTAAAGTAGTGTGCACAAACAAGTCAATTTGGGGTGCCCTCCAACCACAACCAATCCACCGTTTTTCTCACTTCTTTGAGGTCGGGTGGTGGCGGTGGGAGGCCCTGCAAGTCAGCGCAGACATTCTTCTCCCCTGCAACATTTCCCAGACCCTCTGGGAGATTTTGAGGCCAGGTGGGATACATAATTCAAGTTCTGGGGGTGCACTGGGTCACCTCGTTGGACATGCAGGGAAAACCTCAAAAGGAAAGTGCTGTAGAGGAATCGCTGATGAGCAGACAGGACCTTTCGTTCCTTTTATTATTTCATGTATTTACATGAGTCAGGCCGTGATAAATCAGGGTATAGAGCACAAACAGAACACACAATTAACAGTGCAGAGGGGGTGTGTAGTGCAGTTATTCATTTATTTCAAAATATTTATTCTATCTTCTTAATTTATTCCAGCCGAGGCCAATTCTCAGTCGACAATATCATGTCACACTGAACATTTCTTATCCATTTGTTGGAGGGGAGCAGGAAGAAGAAACATCTTATATTACCTGCCCTTCACCATAGACTGTATATAGAATGGACGCCGTCTGCCTCCTCGCTGGGTGAAGCCACTCCGAGAACAGCTCCCTCTGTTGACGGGCTGCAGTATAGGTCATAAATCCCGCCTCCTCCAGCAATCCCTATGGAGCTGTGGACAAACTTAAGAAATAAATGACAGAATATAAATTTTTCTCCCCCCCTGCTTGTGATGTTGACATGTATTTATTTTAAGACTGGTTTGTGCTCAAGTCCTCTTTTTTTCTGTGCAACTCCATTTTTAAAAGTTATTAGGGGGTTCATGTTTTCTATGATTAACACCTGATACAGTCTATGGGCGTGCGAAGACTTCGTATTGACGCTGTTTGAGCCGAGCGTCATCACAGAGACAAGAAGAGAGAAAAAATGCGGAATTACTGAGAGCTTTTCAGCTTCAAATCGGTAACCAGGCGGAAGGTGGAACCAAGTTGTCCATAGTATAAACAGTCTTTGGCTAAGACCCACTCTCCATCCCCCCATTTCCCATCTCTCTTCAGGTTTTCTATCTTAAAAAGGCAAAAATCCAAATTCAAAATTCTGACTCTGATCTGAGAATTCTGCTTTTAATCTTCTGAGTTTGAAGTCAGAATTGGTCCTGTCAAAAAAGACAGTGGTCCTTCTTCTGTTCTGCTGTAGTTGGTAAATTGTACTGAACTGAAGCAAATTCACAGTCCCAACACGTCTACATCTGTGAGAGTTCAATACTCGGGCTTCAGGGTGGAGATTAGGGTAGGACCACTGACTTGTACCATTTGTGAGGGAGACCTGGAAGTTCTCAATCAAAGAATCTCCTCCATCTACCGCCTTGAACAGTCGTCTGCCCTCTTTTTTATCTCTGTTTTCAAACAGCTGTGAAGGGTTATTTTCACTCCTGTTTTTTAGGTTTCTATTTCAGCCCAGTCTGTTTTCAGTTTCAGGTTTTGAACAGAAACAGAGGCACTTTGATCTCTGTTGGTGGTTTTTTCCCGACAGTGAGCTGAGCTCCTCTGGAATGATGAAAAGGGAGACCTGTGGAGGGATTTGGCCTGTATTGATCAGACGTTTCATGTTAATCAATAAAACCAAACAGCAGCAGCAGCAGCAGCAGGAGCAGGAGCTGGTGGACTGAGCCTTAAAAAAGAAACAAAGTGATAGAAACATGTTTTTGGGATCTCTCTCCTGACTGCTGCAGTCACTGGTCTCTTTACTGGTCCTGTGATTGATGCTCACTCTGCAGAATTAGATTTCCTCTCTGGTTTCTTTCAAATAATGAAATATGACGCTCTATGTTTTGTTAATTGAGGATAATACAAGTCGTTTATTTTATTTAGGCCTGTCCAACCTGCCAGGAAATCTGTTCTGCAATTAACCTGACACTGGAGCAAACATCCCTCTTCATCCTCCCCCTCCTCTTCCTCCTCATGCTATCCTCCCACCTCCTCTCTTTCACTGAGCGGCACGATAACAAAGTCATATCCGCATCTGTTCCACTCTCCTACAGAGATAAGGACGCCGTTTTCACCCCGTCACTCCCTGCCTGATTTGTCTGGAAGCTTCATTGTGAGAGTCGAACACGCAGATGGAGAAAAAGAAACCTGATTTCTGCTCCGCTGCTTCTGAAGAGGATGAAGTTATTGAATTTGTCTAAACTTTGAGGAGAGCTGTAACATCTTTAAATTATTAACTTCTTTTTCTTTACAGCCGGGCGCTCCAAATATTCTGCCTCGTTCATCTCCGGTGTTTCTTTTAAAAAGGTATTAAAATTGACTAGATCTACCTTTGTATTAATAACTGGGACAAACTCTATCACTCGTGTTGAAAAATGCACAAGTTTCTTTATTAAAAGTCTATCAGGCTGTCTTGCGGCTTGTATTTTAGCTGCAGAGCCTGTTTTTAATATTTCATCTCACCTCATTCCCAGAGAGTGTACAGTGTGTGCCGCTGTGGAGGTTATATTTCTGACTCAGAAGAATTAATTTGGTTTCCAGCTCATAAAAAATGATTCTAACATTACACAATGATAATAATAACAGAACAGTGGAAATACAAGAGCAAAATAAAAACAATATTAAACTTTTTAATGTCTTCTTTCTTAAATAGATTCATCAGTAGAGGACTTTTGCATTTTCTTCAACAAGCAGGCACATAAGATTCATTTTGGTTTATCAGCAGTTTAATATATGTAATTATAAGACTACCTATCAAATATACAAACAAAATCTTAATTAAAAATTATTAGATTGATTTAAAGCTCCTCTAAGGAGTTTTTACCATCTTTGAAATAGACTGAAATTCATAGTGATTCCTTTTTATGATGTCCAAAAACAAACAAGATCATCTGTAACATGATTGATTATTTTTATACTTTTATACTGTCAGCGAAGCAGCTAGAGAAAGAGCCCTGTTTTTATCATTTCCACATCATATATTTAAAATTGTTGATCGATTTGACTGTTAAAAGTCAGCAGGATGGGATTTTTAACTGAAGCATATTAAGGACAAAATAAGCAATGACTGCTTTGGCCACAGGCGGCGCCAAATCTGACAGAAACCAAAAGTTTCTCACTGGATCTTTAACATTGAACTGAACGTTTCCATTCATGGTTAGTGTTAAATGTTTAGTGTGTGGTATTAAACAGCGTTCAGCTGGACAAACTTAATTAAAATATTCATAAATGTGCTTAAATTATTCTGCATTTGTGAAAGTGGAAATTATCAAGTCCGTCATGATAAATCTGTTGATTTAGTTTTTCACTGGTTTTGTTATTTGATTGTATTTTCTGTGTGTTTTTCCTCGTGTTTCTGTTCCCCTGTTGTTGTTCAGTCTTGTGAGTTTTCAGTTTGTGTCTGACCCTGTTTCCCTCCTGTTCTCTGTGTTTTATTCTTTAGATCAGTTTTCACTGTTTCCAGTTTTAATTTGTAAGAGTTGATTCCTTGTGTTTGTAGTTTGGTTTTACCTCCCTACTTTTCCCTCCTTCGTTAATCACTAACGAGTTTCACCTGTGTCCCGTCTGCCTCACCTGTTGCTCGTTTCCCAGTGTGAGTATATAGTCCCTGTCTTCCCCTCTGTTCTTGTTAGTTCATTGTATATCGGTGTTTGTGTATACCTGTGCCCCCAGTTCTTCCTTGTGATTTTTCTCCCCTAGTGTCTTTGGTTGAATTTTGCCTTTTGGATTTTTTAGTTGGACGTTTTAAAGACATTTTTTTTTTTAATTAAATCCTTTTTTGTTCTGCACTTGGGTCCTTTTTCTTTGTTTAACCCTGTGCAGTGTGACACGGTCTTTGTTTATTTTAGAGTAAGCCTTTTATTACTTTCTAGAAGAGAGCTCTTTTGACAGAGGCACCGATGTTTCTACTGTGACAACCAACAATCATGGTGTTTTATCCCTTTTTTAATCGTATCTATTAACTAAAATGAAGCACATCAGAAAAATAAGAGCTTTGGAAAGAATCGGCATGATAAGAATATAAAATAATCCCAGAAACCATTTTTGAGGAACATTTCTCTGATGCATGTTCTGATTTTGCACTTTGACCCATGTCCCATTGGTTTACATGGAGGAGACAGGAAGTCAAAAGTTCCTTGAATCTAGATTGTTCCACTGGATCAGATCTATTAAAAATCAGGTTAACTAATTAAAAGTTAATTGGATATCTGGAAAAAAAAAACGTTGATTTCTACATGAGCTCATTTGAGAACCAAGCCCTGAGCTGTGAAGTTCTTTTCTGGGTCATATTAACAAGAGAAAAATGTTCATACTTTGGCAGAAGTGAGAGTTCAGTGGTGTGAAATAATGTCACGTCAGGGGAAAAGTCCTCAAGGATCTCTTTGTTCTCAGAGAAATCAATATGACTAAAAATAAAGTTTCTCCAGGGCCTGCATGCTTAAAGAGTGAAGTAGTACACCCGACAAAAAAAAGACCAAAAATGAAGAGAACTCGGCTCTTTATAATGATCCAGTACGTACGTCTGATTTATCAATATGATTGATAGAAATAAAACCCACAGTTTTTAATCGCCTCTGCGCTCCAGCCTGAGTAATCTTCTCTGAGCGCTGACAAGAAGACAACTCTCTGAACCACTGGCTTATTTTTATTCTATTAATGTTTTGTCATGAAAGTGCAATCATCCGTTTAAGCAGTGACAGGCGCGGCTCTGAGAAAATAAAGGAAGTGGAGTTAATTGTATTAATAAAATCCTTCTCATCTAAATCCCCCCTCTCTTTTAGAAACCAATCATCTTTCACCGCTGTTTACACAAATGTGTTGACATGATGAATTTCACTCTAATCAGCCTGATGTTTGCCTCTTAAAAACTCTTTATTCCATTTTGGTGAAAAATGATTTTTTTTAAAAAATCACAGTCCTTTTTATCAACGCCGCTGTGTTTCCAAAGAACTCGTAATACAATGGGTTTATACAACTCCAGTGAGATGATAACGAGCTGAGTGGACCCTCTTCTCTGTACTAGAGAATTTGGTGTCCAGGGTTTCCAGAAGGAATTTCAAATATAGTTTAATCAGTTTTTTTTTTGCACGGTTCAGTTTCAACCTGAAGGCCTGAAGACCATGGCCATCTAGTACTGGTCCTCAGCTCTATTCCTTTCCAATTTCACTCTGATTGTTAAAATATTTTCTCACACAGGCCCTGTTGATACATACTTGGTTATTTTTAAAAACAAAGACATCCTAAAAATGATCCTTTTAAAAACTCCAGCCAAAGTGGAGATTTTCTCTCTGTTTGCACGTTTGCATGTAAACAGAGAAATAACAGGGATTTGTGTAGCCGTCCAACAGCAGATTGTGCGCAGGAAAGAAGAAGGTGACGTTGTTGTTGTTGTTATGCAGGATTCTGATTGGCTAACATGGGCTTAAGCTTCTCGCTACAGGTTTGGCGTGCTCTTGATGGTAATATACACGGGTTTGTGTAAACAAAAACTTTTCTGAAAATGTAGTGGTGTGAAGGCAGTTAGAGGAGATGTCTCTCTACATGTTTGGAGTGACTTTTTCAACGTTCTGTCATCTCTTTCAAACTTTTTGGAAACATATTGCTGGAATCAAATTTTTTAACCAGTTTCAACATTTTATTTATTGTCTTTGCATTATTTGTAATTAAGTAAAAGGGTCTATCAGGCATGTCCAAACTATTCCCCAAAGGGCCGTGTGGCTGCAGGTTTTTCTTCCAACCAATCAAGAGCAGCTGTCTGACCAATCAGCTGTCTGCAGACGCAGATCAGCTGATGAAATGAATTAAGTCTGGTGTGCTGCTGCTTGATTGGAAGAAAAACCTGCAGCCACACGGCCCTTTGTGGAATAGTTTGGACACGCCTGATAGACCCTTTTACTTAATTAGAAATAATGCAAAGACAACGAATAAAAGGTTGAAACTGGTTAAAAAATTTGATTTTGTATTTATTAACATTTTTTCACAGTTCTCAAACTTTTGTGGAATTAGGCCTCTAAAACTCGGCACTGCAGGAGCAGCTCTCTATAAATAAACTGCTGAGAGGTATCACAACAATCCTCTCCTGTTGCGACACTGTTTTCATGACCCAAAAGTGAGGGCGCATATTTTTAAATCGAATCTCTTTTTTCTTTTCCTGCAGAAGAGGTCGACTTCAGTGCACTCGTTTCTGTTCTTGTTTTAAAAATACTAAAGAAACTATTTGAAGACTTTTTTTTATCTTTAATAAACTTCAAACCAGCTCATTTGTAGGAGCTCTGTGTCACATTTGTCGAAACATACAGTACTTAAGAGATAAAATGAAAGCTAACCTGTGGTGTCTGAGTGGAGATGTAACATTTGAGATCAGGCACAGCTGTCCCAGATCTCCGAGCGAGGAGCTTACAGTCTGCTGAGCGGCGTGCATCTGCATACTCATTGAAACAACTCCAGACTCTCCTCACAGAGAGCATCACACGTCTCTGTCAATCAGCCCCCCCTTCTCTGTCTCTGTGTGCACCAAAAAGAGGAGGAAATTATTTATTCATGACACCCTGCATCTAAAACCAGCTTTTCTGACTGACTCGGATTCACAGGAACCAGGAGATATTATTAGACGCCCTAATGGGGTGACATTTTCATTCGGTTTGAAATGGCGCCCTCACCTCCCTCTGGTTTCCACGGCAGATCCAGCGTCTTGGAGGTCACCGCCGGTGCCCCCTTTTACAAACATTAGCAGAAACACAGCTGTGAAACGTGTGACAGTGTGGATCTTCAGATGGCACACTCAGAGGAGGGTTTGCTTTTAAACCTGCACACATAATTACACCGTCTTTGACAAAGTGATAGAAACACCGAGTGAATCATCGTCCCCCTGGAGCCCTGCAGCAGTGACACGGCAGATTTACTCCGAGGCTGTTTATGAGAGATAATTAGTCATGGAGTCATTACTGAACCATTACTGACAGACCTTCTGTCTTTAGAGGAGCGTCACTGAACTGCTCGTTGGTCAGATGGTTAAGATTCATGGAGGCCGCTCAGTCATCAGATGTAACCTGATGCAACACCATATGTCTGCAGAGCCAATCTGTCAGCCCTGGAGGTAATGAAAGGGTTAATTAACTAACACCAGTGCTGTTAGTCATTTCTGCAGACTGGTGTTTACGCAGGATTGTTAGGATAAACTGGATTGAAACCTGCAGTTCCAGGAGGGGCCACTGGAGGCTAGTCCCAAAAGTGAGTCAATCACCATAGAGCCACATGTTAAAGTGTCTAGTTTTGCATTACACACATTTAAAGCCAGGTACAAAATACAAAATACATCTATAATTATGAATCAAAATGAATATTTAACCATTACTTAAAATCAATAAGGTTTTTTAATCTACTGAATTTGTGACCCAGGATATGTGCGATTATTAGTCTTGACTTTAAATACTTTCTAGCTGCAGTATTTCCAGTGTCCACTAGAGGCTGTCTCAAAGGTGAGTCAAACCCCACAGAGTCTCATATTAAAATGTCCAACTTAACAGCACAAATAGACATGTTTACAGCCTAATACACAAGAACCTTCTGCAGGAATGAACCAAATATAATATTATTATTGAAACTGTTAATCTTACCTGTTAAATTACAGATATGATAACTTCTAATAAAGCTTCACTAACTGTTTTTATGTTTTCTCTTCTGCCCAGATTCACTTTCAAAAAAGGAAACATGCATCTGGATATAAACTTTAACTTAAAACATTTTCCAACTGCAGTTCCTTCAGTGTCCACTAGAGGCTGTCTCTGAAGTGAGTCAATCCCCATAGAGTCCCATATTAAAATGTCCAACTTAACAGCACAAATAAAAACGTTCACAACCTGGTACACAAGAACCTTCTGCAGGAATCAACCAAAAATAATATTTTACCGATTATTGGAACTGTTAATCTTACCTGTTAAATTATAAATATGATAACTACGAATAAAGCTTCGTTATGTTTTCTCTTCTCCCCAGATTCGCTTTCAACAAAACAAAACACGCATCTGGAAATAAGCTTTAACTTGAAACATTTTCAAACTGCAGTTCCTTCAGTGTCCACTGGAGGCTGTCTCTGAAGTGAGCCAATTCCCGTGTTAAAATGTTCGACTGTATTGCAGAAATAAACACGTTTACAGCCTGATTGGGTCTCTACAGCTCATTTCTTTCTCCACAACAACTGCAGGGGTGGATTTTTATGGAAGTGGACGGGTCAATTTACTTTTCAATACAGGTGACAAACCGCTTCATAACAGCCAATTACAGCAGAGAGAGACACAGAGGCTACTCTACATTAGATAAGCTATGACTGAGGGACCAAGCAGCCACATGCAACACAGCAGCAAGGCGACGACATGGACTCTTACATACACGCCGCAAAATGAATGAAAGCATAATTATAGTTATCATTTTGATTATCACTCAGACTGCAGCTAATCATCCTCACAAAGCACTTTCAGAGGATCACAGAAGGATAAAAGCTCAGAAATAACCCGAGAGGCCGGTCCAGGTCATACTTCGAACACGGTTCAAAATGAAAACGAATCCTAAAGTCACTGGTAGCTCATGAAAAGATGCTAAAATCAGAGCGATGGAAAGCTGCTGCATCTGAACTGTGAAGGCAGTGGGTTGATTTCTGACTGAGAAACGTCTCTGGTGGGTCGCAGTCGTCGAGGCAGGAGAGGAAATAAAAGCACGCATGAGTTTTCTTAGATCTTCGCTGACATTGGGACGTGACCCTGGACATATTTCTGAGCTGATGATAACAAGACCGGACGTCTCTCTTCACCTGTGGCTGAAAACAGAAGTCCTGATCGAAAGTGACACAGAGGTTTTTGGCTGAGGGCCGGACGTGGTTTCATAATTCACCTACATTTAGAGGGAGTTTTATTTACCCTTTACTAGGAGAGCCGGTCACAGCAGCATCAGATCATGTGTCCTGAAGTTATTCAAGGACTTCTGACATCCATGATACTACTTCCTCCCTCCTCACTTTTGGCTGCAGCTAAACTCTTAATTTTGCTCTCCTCATTAACATCTAAAGACCATTTCTCTCTGTGTCTGTATTGTTTTATCCATGTCTGAGGTCAATTTTGGTTTACAGCAGGAAAACAACCTTTTAAAGTAAACCAGGAAGAACCCAATTGGATCAAATAAAAGTGCAATATAAATGTTCACTTCAAAGTCATTTACTCGATATTGGTGTGATTACGACATCCCAGTTTACTGTCAAATCCACTCACTCTGTGAGGCCGACAGATTTCTGGTGATAATCTGAGTGTTTTGACGACATCCAGGAGAAAAAAATCAGTGTATCTTCAGTGACTGATCAAATCTAATCTGTGATGATTTGTGTATTCATGTTAAAGCTCCAGTGAGTCAAAGCATTTTTTTTTGTTATCTTGTCCTCTACAGTTGGGTGACCATACATCCTCTTTTACCTGGACATGTCCTCTTTTACGGGGGCTGTCCAGGCTTGTCCAGGGAAGTTTAAAAAATCCTCCAAATGTCCGCAGTTTTGTACGAAAGTTTTGATTTTATGTCACGTGGACTTACTGAGTTAAAAGACACTTGATCTGACCTGAAAAACTCTCAAAATTAACTTTGTGCAACTCCATGACTCCGCCCCGAGTAATCGTGTCCTCTTTTTGGGAAGTCAGAATATGGTCACCCTACTCTACATGTTTGAGGACTAACTTTGGACACAAATATCACCTTACTGAGTTTGTTGGTCAAATTTGTTACCTACTGTGAGTGAAATTTATGTGAAAATTGTAAACACAGGGCTGCGCAGCTGACACTTAACCTCCTCACAATTATTTCTGAAATTCAAAAGTAGGATAAACAACCACCAGTCTTGTTGGTGATGATCTTGTTTGCTTTTGGATATCATGAAAATGCATTAATATGAATTTCAGTCTATTCCATTAATGTACAAAAACTCCTTATACGGGCTTTAAAGAAAGGGCGTGAACACAATTGATGGCTGCCATCTCTGTTTGGTGGTCAGCTGACCTGTCAAGGCCCAATCAGAAGCCAGGAGTGAAGGTTGAAAAACTCCTCCAGATGTCTATTTTATGATTATTAAACTTATTCCAAGTTGAAATATTATTTTCTGTCAAACTTTAGAGAGCTCCCGTCGGAGGCGCAGAGGATTAAACCACATTTTACAGAGCAGCCCAACCAGAAAAACAAACCCAGATCACTTAAATCAGCAGAGTGCCTCCTAATGAGTCTGCAGTCACTTTAAACTCAGTGCAGACATTTTCATTTAGGCTGCAAAGACTGCAGGTAGAAACACGTGAGCACTTTGTCATTCCTCTTTATCCTCGGTGGGAACAGTGAGGTTTTTAAAAACAGCTGGAATAATGCATGAGAGCATGTTGGAGTGGTGATATGAATACGATAACCACGACAGCATGAAGTCTGTGAACCACTAAGAGTCTACAAACTATGAGAAGAGACCAAAACCAGCCAAGAACTAATCCAGCTAATAAGTCGTTGTTTTCTCGCCTAAAAACTTGTTTTTCTCAGAGATCTCCTGAGCTGGCTTTGTGGATAATTTCATGTGAATCCCACGAACAACATCCTGCTGCCAGTGAAATAAATAAGGGAGCTAAAAATAAGTCCTGCTTTGTGTCTTGCTGTTTTAAAAGTTACTCAAAGTGTTTGTGTTCTTTTCTGGGAAAACAAACAACCAGAGCTGACACAAATAAACCAATGTTGAACAAGTCAGGCATGGTGGGGAAAACCTGTTACCTGCAAATTAGCGCTTGTGTATTTATAATATAACGTTAGAGTTTGACTGTGTGTAAACTGGGTGTCAAAGTTGTTGCACTACAACTAACCGCTCAGAAAGACAGATTATTTTAAGGTTAAGTCCAGTGTTTGATTGTTCAGTGTTTAATTAAGTGTAATTAGTTTTCTCCTGGTTTTGTTATAGTAGTGCATTTTCTGTGTGTTTTCCCTGGTGTAGTAGTCCATCCTTGTGTGTCTAGTCTTGTTTTACCTCCTCAGTAATTGTCCTCACCTGTGTCTCAGTGTCTCACCTGCCTCTCGTTGCTCGTTTCCCCCCGTGTGTTTATATAGTCCCTGTCTTCCTCTGCTCTGTTTCTTTGTTGGGTCATTGTCTGTTTGTCTGTTAGGGCTGCATGATTAATTGATTTTAAATCATAATAGGATAATTTGATTTTGACGATAATAGAAAAATTAAAATCATCAAATCGATTTTCCTCTCTATCATGTTTCGTGCCTCCAGGCCACCTTAGACTCTCCCTTCCTCCGGGAGTGCTCCCCAGTTCCCCCACACACCAGTGTAAACAAAAATGGCAAATGGTAAACAAAAGAAGGCGATAATTCTGTGGCTAAATAGGACAAGAGCGAGTCAGTCGTGTGAAACTGGTATGGCTTCACAGTTTCAGGCGAAGAGCAAACCACTTCCCGGGTATCAACCCGTTCACACGGAAAAGAATTCAGGAGTAAACGCTTAAGTTTTTTTCGTATCGGCGTTTCATCCACATAGAAACAGTGCTTTAGGTGACTGTAAACGGTACTTATTGAAAACAGGTCAGAGAGTGCATAAATCCATAAACGACGACCATTTCATCTCTATGTGGATATCTATCTGCATCTCTGGAAACGATCATGTGACACACAGCGTAACTCTTTTATGGCGCTTGCACGTGTCTGACCAGAACAACCTTTACATACATGCTCTGAACTCTTCTTCTGTCTTTGCCACTTACTGGCTTGGCATATGCACGACATCGTTTTCAGTGGTTTGGTTTTGAGAGATGATAGAAAAACTTTATCTTTTTAAAGTGAAGTTTGGTGAAGTTGTCACTGGATAAAAAATCGAGTTTTCAGAGAGAAAAATCTGGATTTTATTTTTGGCGTAAATCGTGCAGCCCTAATGTTTGTCTGTTTGTCTGTCTGTTTGTCTGTCTGTTTGTCTGTATGTCTCAGTAGAAGTCGATGTGTGAGTCCTTACTCTCCCTGTTGTTTCTTTTGTTGGATTTTTCTCTTGGACATTTTCAGAGTTAGTTTTTGCTCATTTTCTTTGTTCGATTTTTCTTCAATAAATCCTTTGTTCTGCATTTGGGTCCTTTTCCTTTGTTTAACCCTGCATCACGACACAGTGGTGGATATGCTAATAAAGTATAATGCATATTTTATTTTTAAATAAAACAATTTTCTAACAATCACACTCATTATTCTATGCACACTATAATTTCATCGTTATAATCTAAATCTGTAAAATGGTGACAGCCTTAATTACAGCATCAGACATTAGAGAAACTGCATTTTTCAGCTTCATCTCACAGCCCTGAAAGCTGCTGTTTGGAGCTTTTTCAAACATTGATTAATATGTTCACCAGTCTGAGTTGCATCTAAATAACTTTTCTAAGTCTGCTTTTCTTATGAGGCTTTCTTAGAGGAGTAAACTCGCTGCAGTTGCTCAAGTGGAGCAGCTCCACAGCCTTGCAGTGAAGGACAACGGTTGTTCTGACTTCTTCTTCAAAATGAATCAATGAATCTGTCTTGCAAGGAGCACCTGAAAAAAAAAAGAAGAAAACCCTGAAAACTTTGCTTGAGTAAGATTCAGCAGAACCTCGAAGAAACCCTGAAATCATTAAAGGCGTAGAAGCTCAGCACATCTATCCTTGAGTTTGAAGTTTTGTTGTTACCACAAGAATATTTATGAAAAATCTGTTGCAGCGCTACGAAGCAATACAAATGCGTAAAGCAGAGCCCAGTGATAAATAATCCAAAGCTCAGAGAGGATGAGTGAGACAGTGAGTGAGCCTTGTCGCTCTTCACACAAAAGCTATTTTGTTTTGCTCCCAAACAGAACTCGGAGCGTGTGGGTGGAGAAAATCAATCTAGTCAACCTAGAGAGAAGAAATGAGAACTGTGAGAGGCTCTGATCATTGTGATGGACTTAAGACAGCTCAGCCAAAAACCACTCCATCCGTCTCTGCTGTTTATCAAATCACAAACACATTTGCATCAAATTTTCCCTACACTCGTGGCCGCTCAGAAGAAGATCCGGGAAGAAGGAAGCGGTGCCTCCGATTTTCAAAGAACTTGACATTTTGATGAATAGATGTATTTTTCAGGGGCGCCACAATTCAAAGTGAAAGACACATCATTAAGTGAATTGCAGCTGTCAGGAGCAGGGGCTTCAGTGAGTCAACAGAGCCGTCTGGGACAGATAGCCTCTGTCCGCAGGGCAGAGAGAGAGAGGAAAACTCAGAGCGGTGCGAACACAAGCAGACCATAATACAGGATTTAGATGAGTGGTGTCTTATTCTGCAGACCCCAAACAGAGAGGGAGTGTGCATTCATGGTTTCTTACAGAGGATAATCCTGCAATACATCCAATCAGATGGTTTCCCTCGCAGCGTGATCGACACGCAGGGACAAAAATACAAGTCATAGAAATCAGAAACTCATTTTTTTATCAAAACAGATCTTCAGTCCTGACCAAATTTAACTCTGATAAGTGAAGAACCGGCTGTGACAAACATAGATTAATGTACAGTGTGTGCAGGGCGGGACAGAGCCTCAGTTAGGGTCGTTAAGGGTTAATCCCAGGCCTCAATCTGACCTTTTATTCACTCATTACAGCTTTTAATGTAAAAACTTAACCTATGAAATCAGCAGGGGGTCGGCTTGGGTTTCCCCCTCCTAAAATCTCATTGGCCGACCTGACACCAGACCCAAAGACAGTACTTTTTATTATAAACCCCAGCTCAGAACTCTGTCCACTCTGAAATTTGAATGAACAGACTTGAGAAGTGGGCCGGTCTCTCTGACCGTGTTTTAGTCTGGTCTCTAGTGTAGTCTGGTTTTTAAAAACATTTTTTTTTGAGGGTCAGAGACACATGATTTTAAATATTGTGTTCCCCAAGGCAGCATTCCCGGGCCTGTTTTATTTCCACTCAGAAATATCTACCAATCGAGGTGTATATAAAGGATGACCATACGTCCTCTTTTACCAGGACATGTCCTCTTGTTGGGGGGGCTGCCTGTCCTCCTGCTTTGTCTGGGAAAGTTTATAAAATCCTTCAAATGTCCGCGGTTTTGTACAGAAGTTGCGAGTTTGTGTCACACGGACTTACTGAGTTAAAAGCACGTAAAAGACATTCAATCTGCACAAACCAGTCTGACAGTAACTACATGTCAACATCGCAAGCAGGGGGGAGAAAAATTTATATTCTGTGTAATCAATTTCTAAAGTTTGTCTACAGCTCCATAGGGATTGCAGGAGGAGGCGGGATTTATGACCTATACCTGTCACCAGAGGGTGCTGTTCAGACGGCGTCCATTCTATATACAGTCAATGATTCATCCTCTCAACCCCAAACTTGTGGGTCTTTTTTTCTCTTAATCATCAACAGTGATATGTTTTTTTGTTTGACCTTCAAATGGAGCAGATATTGTGAGAAAATACGTTAGTCTTGACACCACTATTCATTTTCAAACGAGTTGTTAACCACCATCAAAATACCTTCAAGGGGTTTTGCAGCACTTTGAGTTTGTAGGATTCTCTAAGTGGTTCAGCCCTTAGGTCCAGTGTAGGGGATGTCTGGATCTACAAACTCACACACAAACACACACACACACGTTTATAAACAAGTTTTTGTCAGTCATGTCTTGATTTTGAGTTTGTGCTCAGTAGACGGAGCCGCTCATCCCTGGAGAAACCCTCCTCTCCCTCACCGCTCAGCTACATTAAACATGCTCAGCTCCAAACAGTGAAAACAAACCAGCTCTGATACCAAGGGGTGTGTGTGTGTGTGTGTGTGTGTGTGTGAAACCTTGTTAAAGAAGTCAGACAAGCCCACAGGTTCTCTGTTCAAGTTTTATTTATCATTAAATAGATGCAAAGAGGCTCTGAAGTGCGACATCTGCAGTGTCTACTTACAAGTATAAATGAAATGATGAAATATCACAGAAGTGGAGAGCTTTGTTGAATTTTAACAAGTCTGCGATAACGCAAAGTGTCAACACACAACTGAGTATACTCAGTATGGAGCTACTTTGCATATAAAACCTGCATGTTACATAACACGTCCACAATTGACTTTCAACAGAGGTTTAACTACAGGATTGGCACTCCGGCGGCTTAATGATTAAGAAACCCAGATCACACATCAGACACTCGAGACATTCACGTCTCCTTTTAAACAAGGACTTCACTTCAAGAAATACCCAGCATTCACTCTGCTTTACATAAACAATTTCGATCTGTGACGAAACATTAGAAAAAATACATTTCCCTGCACTGCGGTGCACATCAGAAGGAAGGCGTTTCAGCTTTGTTGTCATCTTGTTTCTCCAGTCCGGAGAAGAAAATCTGTTTGTACTTTAATTGATTTCTTCCACTGACTGCACAGAAACACTTGTTATAAAAACGCTGATGTGTTGTTTGTGAAGGAAGCAGACTGGCAAACAGGAAAAAAAAGAGGCAACATCTGCAACTTTTGAGCGCAGTCATCAGCTAGAATCGGAGCGCACAGGTTCAGTGATTAACCGAGTCTTTTAAATCAGTGGAGTGAGTGCTGATCTCCACAGGAATGTGCTTGTCTGCATGAGCCTCGGTAACTGTGAGTGGAGTGTTCAGGGCGCAGTGAAGTCCTGCCGCCACCAGAGGGGGAACAAACACACACATCTCTGCATAAACACTGTAAACTGTGTGAGTTTAAAGCTATTGGACAAACTTGATGAAGAAATACTGAAGTGGAAAATCATTTCCGTAAGAGTTGCTGTTTTTCAGCTGTTTGTCAAAATACAGAGCAAGACTTCAATTTGTGTTCTTGGAAATCCTTTTGAGTATTTTCCTGTTTGTTGATTTTTATAAAAAGGCCCAAAATTAAATCATCAAAAAACTGAAAGAAAATTGAGTTTGATCCACCTGCTGTCAAAGTGAAAAATGCCCGGGAGCTGCTGTGTGTGAGGATGAACTCCCAAATTAAAAACACACGACTCCGCCTGACTAACCGAGGGTTACAATACGCAGCTTTTGTGCCCTCTAAACCTGCGCTAACGAGCCACAAAGGTACGTTTTAATTGTGTTTAACACGCCGACCACAAACTGCGCCCAGAGCGAATCGCGTCTCTTTTCCACAAGTGTTGGCTTATATTGTTAGCACACACTTAAATACTGAAAATCTGGTTCTTTCTATGTCAAATTCAAACACTGGTGCGAAAAACCACATCATGTTTTTGAAGTTTTTACTGTCAGCTGAGAGTTAATGGTGACTGTGTAAGAGCATTTTTATAGTGTGATAATCATGTGTGCATAATGCCGTGTTAATTGGACCTTGGGTTGGAGCCGATACCTGCAGCAAATGGTATAAAATCTATTCTTCATGAATTCCTTCCTCAGTATTTTTATGAGAATCTAAACAGAAAAACTACTTTTGGTGTCGTTTGGTCAAAAGTGAATCAAATGAACTCAAATTTGAATCGTTTGCATAGTTTGTACAATTTAGATAAAAATCCATGTGATTGTTAAATGTGCACAACGCTGCTGCTGCAAAATTCTGTGTACATTTAGATTCAAACGTCCTGAAAACGTATTAAAAAAACACTTCACCTGAGTCATTACAGTAACTCTGTTTGTCATCATGTGGACGGACTTAATCATTATCTACATTATCATGTTCTTGTTCTGAAGGAGAATTGGGACGGCAGACTCACAGTTAACTACGGGACCAAAGTGTATTCAGACAATCTGCTCTGAGGTGTCAGCAGAAAGATGGGAAACAGCGGGATCCTCGCGCAAAATCATTCGTCTGAAAAACTGCAGAGGTGGAAGTTAAGCTCTGTAAGGCATGGTTCTCATCATCCTGGCTAGCTGAGATGATTATCCGACCTGCTGATCTATCAAATGGCTGTAATTATCTCCGTATTTCACTTGTGACACTTAGGTTGGATCAATTCTCAAGGTAAGGTGAGGAGACTCTGATACAGCTGTTTTTTTTCCCCCGTCTGCCACTAAATAATTCTCTCCGACTCTCATCTTCCCCCTCTGGTGAACGCGCCACAGACTTTGATGTGTCGTGTGCGGTCTCTGTGCGACGTGAAGGATGTGTGGGGTCAGGGGTCATGGCTGGACTGTGGATCAGTACAGGACTCTGCTGTAGCTTCAGCCTCATGATGCATCTGACTGAGGTGTCTGACTAAACTCTCCAACTGGGGATTTCCTCCAAAGCCCTTGATAAGTCGATAAGACTCCACCTCCAGGTCCCTCAGAGTCTGGCGGGTGTAGGCGAACGAGCCCACCTTCTCCAGGTAGTCCACGCAGTACCGTTTGATGTCCATGTTCTCGGTGCGCTGCCTCAGGATGTTCTGCACCTGGGTGCTCTCAGGGCGCGACCAGATGGCGTGAATAGTGGGGAAAGAGAACTTCCCCTCTGTCAGGTCCTCACAGAAGCTCTTATTCTCGCTGTACTCTCGAGAGCTCAGGTTGGCGTAGTCGTCCCGGATCTGGAAGAAGAGGCCCAGCGTGTCCAGGAGGGGTTTAAGGTCCTGTTTCCAGTCTGAGAAGAGCTGCATCAGGCCCACGGCCAGACCGAATAATCCTCCGGTTTTCTGCAGCACCATGTTTCGGTACTCCTGCTCGGTCGGACAGGTGTAGGTGTCTCTCCAGTGGATGTCCAGGCCCTGACCGCGGTGCAGCTCCAGCAGCTGCCGGGTGAACACACGGACGGCTTCAGGGTGCTCCAGGGTCAGCACCTTCTCCAGACCCAGGAAGTAGACGTAGTTGGCCGAGTTGATGACAGAAGGGACGCCGTAGATGCTGTGGGCCACAGGGAAGCCTCGCCGCAGCTTGGAGCTGTCCTCGATGTCGTCAATGAGGAGGCTGGCGTTGTGAAGCATCTCCGTCACCTCGATGATCACCTGATGACAAACAAAAATCAGATTTTTTAACAGAAACTGACAGAAAAGGGGGCAAATTTCTTCAATTTTAACCCTCTGTATTTAGAAAAAAAAACTAGACAAGTTTACAACTGCAGAAAAAGAGTAAAAAGTGAGTCTCAAACCACAAAAACAAACTAAATCCAATCTTGACAGATGCTAAGAGAAGGTGCAGGTTCAGTAAAAGAAGAATAATATACTGTTTTTGTTCTTATATCACATCTTAGATTTGTATTTGCAATATGTCTTCAGTGCGAGAAAGATGAATTTGTAATTTCAAGGAGCTGTTACATCAGGAAATTCCTCGTTCACTACTTCCTACCACCACTAAAGGTCCTCTAGAGCTGTGTGAAACAGCCTGTAACCAGCAGAGGGAGCCATGTTCACACTCTTCCCTCCTCCACTGCTCCACTTGTGTGACTCTTCATCATCAGCAGACAAAGTAGCTGATGCATGAAAAAGTCAACAGACAGTTCAGCTCAGAGATGCTGCAGACTGTTTCAGGACGTTGATGTTATCAGATCCACTCTGCACTTCCTGTTCGGTTTAAAGGAGACGTTTTCCCGTGATTGTGTAATCACATGTGCCACAACAGAGCTGGAAGAGAGGAACCTATTTACTGATATGATCCAGAAACAACTGGAAACGCCTCTGAGCCCGAGTTCATTTAAGATGGACTGAGGTAAAGAAGAAGAAAACCTTCCTGTAAGTCATGGACAGCAGATTGTCTGAAGATTTTTTTTTTTAATGAACTCAGAAAACACAACAGTGATATTGACCTTGTATGATGCAGATATGAGGCTAATTACAAAAAAATGTCCTGATTAACCAGTCCACCTTTAATATACAGCTTCTGGAGGAAGATATGCTGCCATCCAGTTGATGCTTTTTGCAGGGTAGACCATGCACATGTTAACAGGACCATGACAAACCACATTTGCTGGTATTACAACACTATGACTCTGCAGTAGAAGAGTCCTAGCCTGCCTGCAGTCCTGACTCGTCACGTACTGAAACAACAAAGGAGACCCTGGACAGTCGAGCAGCTGAAACTGTCCTCCTGGCTCTCACATGTTTGCAGAGTACAGCTAAAACGTTGCCTCCTCTTGAACACACACATGTAAATAACTTGATCCGTTATCCTTTATTGCTTCTAGGTTTTGCGTACGTTTGAAATCAAACTAAACATTTGTACGAAAGACGCTCTCTAAAAAGAGTTCAGCTGGTGTAGTGTCACAGTAAACAGTTATCTCTTTATGTCTGAGCGTGCCTTTGGCTTCAATTACTGTATATATAGTTTCATTCATGTGTGCGTTCATTATACCCACACCCCCCTCCCCTCTAAGTGTCTCGCTGAAGCCGCAGGGTGAGCGAGTGTCAGACCCTGCAGAAGGAAACGTTGTGTTTGGCGGACAAACTGCTCGGCTGGTCCGTCCTTGGCCGTCTGCCTGACCCACTGAGCCTCTCTTTGTGCTCCCCGGCCTCATACAAACAGCTTTCATTACCAGACAGCAACACTCGTCCTTTACACCAGCAGAGCGACCCAGCAGGCTGCACGGCCGGCTCAGACAGCAGACGCCTGATGGACACCTTGACAAGGACCTGAAGCTGAACACTCTCTCTCCTCCACACTGACGGAAGATTATCCAGGCTTATATAAACTGATTATAGGAAATCATACCGTTGAATAATGCAAGGACATGTTTTAAAGCCAGAAACTCAAGTTTGAACGAGGAGGCGCTGTGCTGATTTGATTATTGTGAAGCGGTCTATTCATCACCCTGCAGGTTCCTTAAGTCTGATGAGAATCTCCAACCACAACATTTACAAAAAATACAGATTAAATCAGCAGCTATCAAAAATTCAGGGTGATTTTTTAAACTTTGATTTAATTCCTGAGAGACTCCTGATCAGTCCGTCTCAGATAAATGCTGCTGTTTAAGGGCAGACTGACTTTACTACTCGACAAGACGCCATTGATTATTGCCAGAGGTTACTGACAATTTGCCGGGGCTACAATCAGTGATCCATTAAGAATGCAGAGACTCCTTCACAACGAGTGAGTTCAATATACTCGAGGAAAATAACCCTGAAGAAAACCAGGCAGCTCTGAATGTAAGGAAGGAAAGCAGCGACTAACAACCAAATAAGTGAACCTGAGTCACGCTGAAGGATTTTTGGAGTGGAGCCCGGGTTTTCACATGATCTCACACGACCCCTGAAGGGCCGTGTCATTTAAAACCTGCAGTCTCATTTGTCTAAATCAGCTGTTTGGGCCTGATGGTATGAAAAACCCCTGGCATTTTAACTTTTCAGCGTCACAAACTCTAAAATATATTTTCTGTTCACTTTATCTCACTTTTTGTTTTGTTTTTTTAATTTCTCGGCTTTTTCTGTTTCTGTAAATTTCGTTTTGCAGAGGTGGATCCAGAGGGTGAAAAAAATACAGACTCTAATCCTGATCTGGGATTTTTATTCCTATATGTTATTTTGTGCATCTCTTTTTTGTCTATCAGAGTAGAGACTCGCATTTAGAGAGACAAACAGGAAGTGTCTACAGTCTGGAAAAACCCTGAACTACAAAAAGGGTGACAAATGCGCCGTGTCTCCTGATCAAGTCTTTGACTGAAACTCACTCTGCTGTTGTTACCTCTAATTAGCTCCACATGAGGATAACTCTCTGACACAATAACTGCGCTCTTAAAAATCCGACCTGTTTAAAACATTACTTCTCTTGTTATGTTGTCGAGTATGAAACTCCAAAAATTATACAATTTCCAATCAAGGCATACGAATGTTGAGGACAGGATATTTAAAACAGCAGACAAAAAAACTCCTGGGTTTCCTAAGACGATATTTCATTAAAATAAAAAGTATTTCTACTCTATATGGAAAAATTACATTATTACGTAATGCAGTGATTCATGCATATATCGTCACAATCGTCTCTTGATGTTCAATCTTTTAGGATATTTTTCCTTGTTGAATTTAATTCCTGCGCTTTTATAAATGAACATGAAATTAGGTTGCTGTGATGTTTTTTATTACATGTTTATTTACCTCCTGAGTGTGTCCCTCTTTAACCGTTAAACTGGTTTCTACCACATCCTCACACACGCTTTCATATTCTTGTGTTTTTATTCTCGTTTTTGAAATAAGTGAATAAATAAACACGCATACAACGTAGGACTGGATGATTATATGATTGTGATAAATTTCAGTTCGATCGCGGTGATCAGTGTATTTAGTATTTACTGATCAGTCGTGTGCATGACAACAGCCAATCAGAGTCGAGCTTTTCCTGCTCACTTCTGTAAGTTTCTAAGTTTATCTTATTTAATTTGCTTTGTTATTTACTTTGTATGTTAATAACATGTTGACTAATCTGTAGTTTCTTTAGCTCTTAGTACAGATACTTTAAGACTGGCAGTTTAAAAAAATGAATAAAAAAATCGTGATAATAATCGAGATCGGACGATATGACAAAATATGTCGTAATCTTTTTTTCTTCCCCAAACGTCCTAACATGAAGTATGTACTATAGAAATGACTGCGATGAGCAATCTTGTGAAGATTTTTTCACTCCAGTGTAAACATAGGAGAGGTCTGCACCCGAGGCAGCGGACATAATCATGAATGACACATGTGTTCAAAGCAGACAGTGTACAAAAGCTAACCTTTCTACACTGTCACAGGAAACAGGAGGAAGCCAGTCGGCTAAAGGTCGCACAGCAACTGGTGTGTACTTGGGGAATTTCCCAAACCTCCACAACCTGTTCTGTAGCGCTCTGTGGAGAGCGAGCACACGTGGGGGGGTCTGATAAAATATTCATCCTCATATGAATGAGACAGTGTACCACTGTCACTGCCTCGGTCTATCTGAAGGCATGGTTGTTTCCAAGGCAGCGACTCCTTGGCAGCCGTGTGCTAATGATGACGAGAGGAGTCTGCATGAAGGGTTCAGCAGGAGTTTACCGAGCTGCTGCGCAGAAGGAGTCACAGGGGGAGACAGAGCTTTGAAATGTGAAGTACATTAAAACCTCAACTACCCAAAGAGCCAGAACCAGGACTTTCTGCCAAAGCCTCAATCATCAGATTTGGTGCTCAAACAAAACTCTGAAATTGATCAGTAAGCCTCAAATCTCAAAGGTAAAATGTCTTTGTAGTGGGAATGTGCTCCACGATTGAAAATGTCAGCACTTCAGAGAGGAACCGTCGCGGCGTTTGATGTGAAAATAATCAAAAATGCCACTTTGAACGTTCACTCGCTCCTTTTATTAATGCTGCAAACTGAATTCATCATCTGTAGACGTTCGACCCACCGCAGTGTGAAAGCTGTGATTAAATATCTCATGCAAAGAGCCAGATAGATTCTGTAGCAGGAGGAGAGCTGACATGACAGGATTAATCTGTAATATTTAATAATTCCCCAGCAGAGACAGGCGACTTTAATACTCCTCCACACACATTTAACCAGTCATCAGATTAGAGGGAGACTCCTATTTTACCGTTAAAGATAAAGTGACCGCAGGAAACTACTGAGAGGCTGCTGCAGGACCACGATTCCTCTTTTTGGATGAAGGTTCATAAAACATTCAGGACAAAGGGAGACCTGTTGAGGAGCAAAACCTAACGAGACCTGACAGGCTCGGCACTTAGCATTCAGCACAGAGAACATGTAGATCCCAAAAATCACAGATTACTTTCTACATCTTCATCACTGGACACAAGACCAGAACACAGCTCAGCCGGTGCTCCTGCTTTTAGCAGGACCAAATCAATGATCTGATCTTCAAGAGTGATTTAATCAATGAACTCAAGTTTGAAATCAACCCGCAGAAAAGCAAAAGTAACACTCAGCCTGGTGCTGTCAGTTTGCGAGCTCTAATATGTCTCTTTGCAATCTAATCAGGCGGCATCTGAGACGATGTTTTAACAGGATAATTCAGAAGAGGAGGCGCGGGTTTGAATGGGAGGCTGTCTGGGACCTGAGCGATGCCAATTCTTTGCACACAGAGGTGATCAGCGTGACGGCCAACAGGCTTCGGTTGGGCAAAATATTGGCGGTGGGAGAAAAAGGGGGGGGCTGCAAATCAGACGAAGCTGATTAGAGAAAAATGTGCAAAAAATAAAAGCAAAAACAGAAACCTGCTGCAGCCAGGACGGTTTTAGTTGTGATTTTATGATGTGTACTTGTTTACTTCATTTGCACATTTTTGACATTGCTTCATTTTTTACAAACCAACCTAAATAGCTCATTACACAGAGCAGCCATGAATACTAAGATCAAACAAGATACGTGACAATACTAGATTACAAGATACGAAATAATTAGTAAAACCAGCGAGAATATTGGTCAAAAATGGACCATTTTTATTCACAGTGAGATGCAGCTGTCTTCAAATCATCCAGACAGACACGGCTCTGAAGTTTCAGGTCATTTTCTGAGCTCCTCCAAGTTAAAGGAGCAGCTGACTGAAATATTAAGATGGTCGGTACTTGGACTTTTTAGACTGGGGTGGCAGAACTGAGGCGCTGACATATGGATGACCTGAGAACGTGTGCACTCTGACTATTAACCGTCCTTGTTACTTATTTTGAGCATTATCATTACAGTGTTGTAGAGGTATAATGGACCTGTGTTTAATTTTTGCATAACAATATATAATAAGCATATGTGTATTAGTTAGTCTAATGCCTCAGTATATTTATTTAGGCCTAGTAATAAAACAAGATCATATAATCCCAAACCAATCCCACATCAGGGTCATTTGCATTATTAAAGCACTCATAGCAAAAATACTCTTAATGAAAAAACTGCAGAGCACAACAAGAAGATAGATCACTCAGTTTATCACCAGCCAGGTAGAAGTTTATTCAGGTAGTAAAGCGTCGACAACTGCTGTAACAAAATAATGATTATTATCGCAGCATTATGACAGTAACCGTTGAGCTGAGTCACAACCCCGGGTAGTGACATATTTGTGAATCAAATTCATATCTCAAGTGTTGTATTTCTTTCATACGGTGTATGCACTGAGGAATTTGCACAGGGAAATCTGATTTGCAACCTGTTCTCCAAATAACAGAAACAGGAAAACAACTTCCTCAATGAGCAGAAGCTTCACCCTGCAGATGAAAGCAGGTGAAATCTTAAGAGGCTAAAAAAAAAATGTCCTTTATCAAATAATAGAAAATCATAATGCTCCAAAATGTTATTACCATATTCTTCAGCTCTTTAGTACACCTACAACAACTCTTTCAATAACACAGACAGCTTTTTCTTCTCTCCACTTTAGCTTTTAATTTTCCTGCCGTGGGAGTTTACAGTTTGGCCGAATCACACTTTAGTCTTGAACTTGTTTGCAACAACAACGAGTTGTTGTTTCTTTTTAGCAAAAGCAAAAAGCTCTAATAAACCCAAAGTGCACAAACCAAACCAAAGAGAAGCTCTGCAGCAAACTCATGAACAGAGTCAAACACCCACAAAGATTTATGTGATCTATTTTCTCAGCGGTTAGCAGAGACCGAATCAAAACAAAAAGAGTAAATGTTGAAACTATATTTGTATCCCATAAATGTAACTCAAGTGTCATGAGCATGATATAAAGCGAAGTATGAATTTGAGTGCACCAACTTAAATAAACAGTGTTTAAAGAGTTCTTCTGCCTCAAAGTAGATTTAATCTGTGCAGATTAACTCAGACGTTAGAAAACACACCACCTGAACGAACAAACAAATAAATCCAACTCCCACAGTTCCTGGAGCCAGTGTGGGGTAAAAGCAGCTTTTTCAAACCTACAGATCAAACAGATGCACACAAAGGTAACTTGTGTTTTTTTTAAAGCGCTGCTGCACTGTTTCCATTTTGTCCCCTCAATGCTCTGCTGCGTTAAAACCTCCTGTGATAAATCATTGATGCTTTCTGCTCAACGTCCCGGCCTTACATTTACATTTAGTTAGTAAGCATTCAGCTGAAAGAGCGCTGGCTGCATTAAAACAGATTGTGTGTTTTTGAAATAAGCACAGCATCATTTCACCTCCCTGCACCCTTCTGCAACAATCAACATTTCTCAACCACTCTGCATGCTAAGAGGCTGAGAGCAGGGGATTTCTCACCTGCAGTTTGTCCTCAGGAACATTGAGCCAGTGGTTGAAAGCTTGGGATAGTTTTGTCCGCACTTGCTTCCCTGAAAAAATAAAAGAGGAAAAGAAACAAAATCATTTTGTTTGTTAAGGACACACATTTGGGGACAGTCGACTTTTAAATGCATCCTTCACAAAGACTACTGCTTTGAATTAAAATTAGTGAACAGTAGAAAGTTCTCTGTGGTGATATATATGTTTACATTTTCATACTTTCAGGGGTATCCAGTCAGAAATGAAACAATAGTGTGTCTTAGCTTCAGACTCTCGAGTATAGCTCAGTTTTGAAGAAATTAAAGCTGATTGTTATACTATGGTTATCAGATCAGCTAATTCAGCTATTTGATGATGCATGTAAGAACAGTTAGTGCCTATAATCTCCAGGAAAAACAAACCCAAAGAAAAGTCATGATAATTTCACAACAGGTGATCAAAATCAGATTTTGGAAGATTTCTGAACCACCTTTAAGATCCAGTGAATTGTCTTTCTTTCTCTACTCTTCAATCATGTAATTTACCCCAATCATCAGAGGTGGGACGTATCTGTTCTGGGACTAATACTTTTGTTCCTGCATTTCACCAGGGTTCGATTGAAACTACACCAGAGTTTCTATTTCTCTGACCAACGATGTTATTGTCATGTCGAATACATGCTCGCCATCTTGGTAAGTCTGCATCAGAGCAAGACTAAGTGAAAAAATTCTAAAGGCAAAAATGCCTTAAATATTTCACTTTAAATTTTATCTTGAAGGACAAAGTTAGATTTGCAAATTTTTGATCTGCACTTGTATGCGTAACAACCTCATGTCACATTCAAATTGCTGAAATAGAATACCTTTCTTCCTTAGCCTCTCATTTAAATAAACATCCATATTAAACTACTCACAGCGTGGACTTCCACAGCCTCTGTTTGGAGGGGTGTGTGACCTGGCTACAGGATAGAAAAGCCCTGCAGCTGGTCTAAAAGAGGCACAGGAAGTTTTCTGTTGTTCAAACAAAAGTCTTCTTCTTTGACCTCATTGGTTTTTGTTGTAAAGCTATTTCCTGTGTTTTGTCCACAATCTAACAGTGAGTTTTGTGGAAACCTTTAGATGTATTTGCCAAAACCATGGGGGAGCAAAGAGCATATATTTTCTATTCAAGGCCTGTCGTAAAACTTTAAAATGATCTGCATCACTGACTCCAAAAGAGAGGATATCCCAACTCACAGAGACTCGGAGGACTCGTCCCATTTACCCAAATAAAATCCTAATGTTAGGTTAGTCACTCTGGCACTGCGGAAAAGTGACCAGAAATCAATAATTTGATGAATCTGAGTCCTGAAGAGCAGAACAAGAACAGCTGGTCAAGTGTAACTGTACAGGATAAATCGAGGATGTTAACCATTCACAGCTTCCTGATTTCTGAGTGTTAAAGCTCTATAAGTTTACGTTATTCTCTGCATCACCATAACAAGTTCTCAGCATGTAAATAAAGTCTGAAATATAGATTCACAGCTTTCAGACATGATCTTTGAGTGTTTCTCAGAGACTGTCCAGATCTAATCCAGTAAAAATAAAAAACAATCTATTTCTGTCGGTGCTGACCAGCCCGACACAGGGGCTGCCATCTTTGTCTTGGTCTGCTGAGGCTGTATCAGCTGATTCCCATTATAGAAACACACGATTTCAAACTACCTTCTGTATAAAACAAGATTTGGCAGTTTTTAAAAAGTCTTTTCACAAAAATATATCTTTAAAGTGGTGGGCATCTTAAAATCGTGTTATATTTGGGTCAATACGGTAATTTGATCATTTTAAATTTCAGTCCTTTTCGTGTCATGACAGTAAGAACTCTATCTGATGAAAAGACTCACCTGGCAGTTGTAACAGGTACTTGTACGGTTCCAGCAGAATCCGCTCAGATGTAGCTTTGGGGTCATTGTCCATGGCTTCGAGTTTTTACAGATCTTTGATGGAGCACAAAGATGAAAAAAAAATGTAAAGGCTTCAAAATGAAAAAAATAAAGTTCCTGGGGTATATTTGTTTTAAACAATTTGGATTCATTTGATTAATCTAAAACAGTTTTAATGGAAAAAAAACTTTAGACTCAACAAAAATGTCAGTTACTTGTGCAAAAACAATCACATTTGAACCTGCTGATTGATGGAAATGAAAAAACAAAACAGTTTTGACCCAGTTTGAGTAATTTTTGTCACATTTTATGTCTTTATCTCTTAAAACTTGGATAGATATTTACACTTGTTCAGATAATAGAAAATAGTAAAAACTTTTGTTTCACTGAGGACTCAGTCACTGCTGTTATTGAGTAAGGAATTTTAAAATCTATAAAGTGTAAATACTGACAAAGGACTGCTTCATTGTAGTCGTAAACCTTTATAATATAATACTGCTACACTTCACTCTGCAAAGTTTAACTGATTTGTTTTACTACAGTGCAAAATTATGAGCCGCCGAGGATTTGGAACTCCACTCCATGAAGTCGAAGATTATCACTTCAGAGAGGAGATGATTTAGGAGATTACAGATGCCTGTTTGAAACCAATGTCACAGTCACACAAGACAATCATCAATCTAACCACAAACTGATGACTTGTATCTGCAAAATCTCAGCACAGAACTTAAAGCTGGATCTGACCAGAGATGAGAAACCACACAGAGTCTCAGATATAGAAAATACAGACAGGGGTGTGAAGACATGAGAAGAACAGTGAATGTGATTGTTGAAATACAGACTGCAAAAGCCGTAATGTAGTAAGCAGGGTCTGTGTGAGTATGTTGTCACTTATCGAACCCTTCCTTATGAAAACTCTCACGCAAAGTTTAACAAAATATGCAACTCATCCTGCAAGAAAAAGCCCATTCTTGATAAATCCGATCAAATAGTTTCACCATGTAATGCATGACTCATGTGCAGTCACATAATCCCCGTGTGCATGCTGACACAGATCACATGATTGGGTAAGTTAAGATAATAACAGTACTGAAGAACCACAGAAACTGACTGTGAGTGATGCAGCGACAGAAATAGAAGCTGATCAGCATGGCTGTAAACCTCCGTAGAAATTCCTGATTCCTTACATAAGAAAGCAGTTTAAATTCAATTCTATAACACTCATGTTGCGTAACTTATATGTGGTCACATCAGGACAACCTACGTGCACAAAAAGCATGAAACCCCAAGAGCAAAAAAGGAATGAACCAGATTCATTTAAGAAAATATAACACAAAAATAAAAAACAAATGCAGCAAATACTTGTATCCCTCATAACCTGTTTAAGAAGAATTAAGATTAATATCCCTCTCTACCAATTCAGACTCAAAACCCACCTGCTCAGATTAGCACACTCCTTATAATTTACCTTGTCATGTTTTGTTTTATTGATACACACATATATTTACATTTCTTCCCTATTCTGTTTTGTTTTCTCTATTGCTTTTATTCTGTTGTTTTTACTCTGTAAAGTTTCCTTGAGTGTCCAGAAAGTCGCGTTTAAATAAGATGTATTATAATTACTATTGTTATATCGTATGTTACAAGTTGGGAGTCTAATCATGTTTTCTTCCTTTAAAACATAAGAAAACCATGAAAAATATAAATAAATAAGTACATTTCAGCAAACATACTTAGTTCACACAAAAATTAGTCAAATCCAGCAATTAGTCAGAAAAACAGGCTATTTTACATATCAGTCAATTTGTAAGACTCTAAAAATGAGACTAGAGATTAAGTAGTTTCTTATTTGCATTTCTGTTTAACAGTTCAGCCAAAATATCATTATGAAACGAAGCATTTATTATTATTGTTTAGTATTGGCAAAGAAAGATGTCTATGTCCCCCCAAGATAAATTAGTCTAAATACAGGAAAAGATATTCAGCTCTGAACCACAGAATGAACATTAATAATAATCAATATCAATACTATATATACCTGATATAATCAATAATCAAACTGTAGTTTTATAAGAAGAAGAAGAGGAAGAAGAAGAGCGGTTCCCTCCTGGGCCTAAGCTCCACCCACCTTCACTCCCTGCTCTGTCTTCCGGTTAGCCACAATGCTAGTTAGCTGGCGACAGCAGGCTAACGTTAAAGCGCCGGTAAACAACCGTTAGTCATTCCTTTAATCTTTTCCGGATAAAATCTCCCGTTACGGTGCTGATCGAAGAAGGCACGGAACATTAAATCCCCACTTTTACATCATTTCAAGTCCTCGTGTTACTGACCAATTGGACACATGCTAAACTTAGCGCCTCAGATACCCTCTGCGTAGTAACTGTATCTGTGAGACTCCAGCTAGTTTCGATGTGCTACATATATATGCTTCTGGTTCGTTAAGGAGCATGCGCACAACAGCTGTTGGGTACATCATGGGTGCCTCGCGCAATGTGACTTGCAGTAACGTTACTTCATCGACCGGTTAAAGTTGTCTGTCTCAACATCAATCATAAATATACCTTATCAGTAATGCCGGTTAAGTCTGTAACACATATCGAAAAAACACAGTTATCTCACACACTGGGGTTGTAGTTTTTCATCTTTTTTAACGTTTCGATGAGAGAACCACCCAATATTACAATGCTGCGTTCAGTTACGCCTCGGATGGTTCTGTGTCGTCGTTTAACCGTCAATAACTAATCAAAACAAATACGGGTGTGCTTAAATAACCAATTTGAGGACCTGGATTTTTTCTTACTGTTTCAGTTGATGTTGTTCAGCTTTAATAATGCCTTCAAGGATTTGTAAAAGCATCCAAACGATTGGCAATGATGCATCTCATTACCATCAGGGACAATGGTTTTTGAACTCTAAGCTAATAACCAGTTTGGTGCACTAGTATCAGTACTTAATTGCCTGTTATATTGTGTACACATATTTATTTTTATCAGTGAAAAGTCACTTTATATTTACTTTAATTTAATTTAATCAATTTATTTTTTATTTATCTGGCCACTGCTACAGGAGCCTACGGGTCAGAACCAGCAGGCTAAGAGACAGTTTCTTTCACAGAGTAGTTACTTTCTTGAACTCTCACCCCGTTAAAGTATGCTAAGGCACTTAGTTAAATGTAATATAATGTAATGTAATAATGTATGTATATATGTATATGTATATATGTGTGTGTATGTATATATATGTATATGTATATATGTGTGTGTATGTATATATATATGTATATGTATATATGTGTGTGTATGTATATATGTGTATATATGTATATATATGTATGTATATATATGTGTGTGTGTGTGTGTATGTATATAGGTATGCATATATATTTATCTATGTTGTAAGTATTATCTGATACTTGCTAAGATGCTAAACTGCATTTCATTGGATTGTTCTGAACAAGTGTAATAACAATAAAGTTGAATCTTATCTAATCTATATTCAAAGTGTGTGAATTATATTGCTCCCTCCGTTCTTTTAAGCAGAGCATACAGAGTATGCGCAGGGTTTCTTTTATTGCATTGTTCAGTTTAAACCTGTGTTTGTGGATGCAATGACAAGTTATTTTCTGTGGTTATTGGTTGTGATTTGGATGTCATGAAGTGACATCCACTACAGAGTCATGTCTGTTTTTAATGCAGTACTGTAAGAGGGTCCATGTAGTATCAGATCTTGGCTTTTGTAGAGTTTTCCAGATTAAAAGTATTATACAACTGCTGATGAAGAAATTTTCAAATTCATTTGCATTGTGGAGCATTTTTCTGAAACTGTTGATTTTTTTCTTCACTGACTCTCTCTTGGTTTCCCTTTCTATACCCAGTCATGATTCCCTCCCTCATTTATGAAGACATCAGCGAAAGCTTTAACAAATTCCAGTCGGAAAGTAATTTTTCCGATGTATTCCATAGGACATGAATGCATCGTCTCTTTGTACACCATACCTTGGATATTTTTCTCCAAGATCAGCCAATCCCATTCCACTAAGCCGTTTCTCGTCAGCGTATTATCCAATGAACGAGTTGAACTCTCCTGGGGGCGGGCTGACGTACCTGTCAATCATACTCAGGAGGCGGGGAAAGGATCACAGAAAGAGCTAAGCTAGAAGAGCTACTCATCAAGGCAAACAGCAGCGCTGCGAAAACGACTTTTACCCATCCGCATCCAACATCAACGACGTTAAAACCTGTCGGATTTCTCACATAAATGTTCCTATGGATTACTAATACACTTTCGTCGAAGAACAGGAGTGTTTCTCAACTTGACAGCATAGGTAAGCCTGCTTTTGTTCGGTAGAGCCGTCGCTATTTTGAACATTTTTACTAGCTTGCTTCCCTGCTGCTACCAAGGCAACCTTGACGTTAGCTAACTTGTTAACTAGATTTGCGATATGTTCGAGGGGTGTTTTAGGAAATGAATGAATGAATCGGGCTGCAAAAAGTCAATTCGGTGTGGGAGTGGGGCTTAAGTCGGAAAATGAACTCGATGAGTGCAGCGAGGGGCTGTGTTACTCCGGGCTTGGATAGTTCCAGACAGGCACCGGAGGAGGAGTGCTGTTCAGCGGAGGAATCCTCGGGAGGTTGTCGTCGAGCTTTGCCTGTCATTATGCTCCGATTTAAAAGTGAATTTTCACGAAATAACCGGCGACTACTGCGTTTAATGTATTGTGTGGACACGTATGACCACTGAATTCAAGTACATGTAGGAATGACACGGCTGCATGATGAGACAGCGACTACAGACAGTCATTTAACAGGTTAACTGCACTCTTAGACTTTCTTACAATAACATGTTGTTTCCATTTCACCCCTAATGCAGTTATTTTTCTCATTGTTGATTGGTTTTTGCTGATCATTTAATTATTTTTCCCGTCTGCCTGTGCTCCAGTATCTTCTGTACGGTGGCCCTGGAGGGTGAATGCACAAACATTTCATGAGCTCTAAAACATTTTACTGAATGCAAACAACAGTCAACAGAACAAAGAAATAGTTCATGAAACTTAAAAAACAGTGAGCAAAAATGTTATACTGATGTCTTTAAATGTTAATTGTAACATAAGTGTTTCCTAAAAATCCTTAAAACAATTCATAAATGCTAAAATATCTGAAATGAGTGCACAAACATTTTATGAGCACTAAAACATTTTACTGAATGCAAACAACAGTCAACAGAACAAAGAAATAGTTCAGTAAATTTTTAGAAATGAGCAAAAATATTATACTTATTTCTTTGAATGTGTCCTAAAATTCTTAAAACAATTTACAAATGTTAAAATATCTTAATTAAATAAAAAAAGATTTTTAAAAACACAGTAATTTAATCTCAAAAAAGGTATTACATTTAAGAGAAGAGAACAAAATGCCAGAAGAAGTAGTCATGACTTGTGAAAGTATTTGATTTTATTTAATTTGATGCATTTGTATTTTAATGTATTTGATGTGCATTTAATGCAAATCCTGGAATGTAAAAATATTTCACAAGATTGGAAAATATTTCACAAGATGAATGCAAAAATATCACAAATTACAAAAGTATTTAATACAGTGATTTTGAAAAACTAATTTAATAGTTTTATCTGCAAGAAAGTTGTTGCTTATAATGAATTTTTTCCCCCCAATTTTTTAGATTATTATTATTATTTGTCCAATTTTATATTACCTTTTAGGAAAAACCTTTCGCTTCAATTATTATTATTTTTTGTATGTGTAAATACATATTTTTACATTTTAATCTTTATGTCTCGGGACACATTTATGCTATTGAGTAAATGTTTCTATGTATACTGAATTAGTTTTAAGCTCCTTTAAAATATTTTGCATTTTTTAAATTGGTTTTTAGGAGTCATTAATTACTTTCTTTCTGAGTGGATAATTATTTTTGATTTTTTTCATGAAATATTAGAGTCATGAAATGTTTTTACAGTTCACCGTCAGGGCCACCGTACATCAGCCTCTCTGTATTGACTTGTCTCGTGTTGGTTGTGACAGATAAGCTTCTTTAATCAAAATAACTGGTCAGTTTGATCAGTTATGGCTAAGTTGCCGTGCAGGGTGGACTATTTCCCCTCTGTCATTGAAAGGATATTCTGTATGTTATTCCTAAAGCTGTGTTGGCGTGACCAGTTTCTCCCTTAAATCCTCACCGGACATGTTTAAAAGGTCTGTGCGCTTTACTGAGACCCGGTGCCAGGCTCTTTGGAGGGGAGAAAACACAGTTAAGTCTCGGGTTGTGTGTGTGCATTATTGTCGCTGGTGGTCAACAATCACTCACTTGCAGAGAAACCGTCTGGGGCGGATGACATTGTATCCCCCCGCGATCATTCACGATCTAACAAACGAGGGCTGCGACCTTGGCTCATGTTGGAACAATCAAAAATGTTGTCGTTGTTGTCTGTTGACGCGATGTTGCTGCGTTACAAGTCTTCCTCGAGCTTGACCTTGTTGCGAACCGTTTTCGTCGACTTGTTTCTTTGTGAGGAGCTGTGAACAGTCAGCGAAAAACAGAGAGAGAACGAGGGAGAGAGGGGGAACATTTTGTGAGGAGAGAAAGTGACTTTAAGCGGAGCTGCATGGCTGACTCTCACTTTGTTCGGCTGTTATTACGCACACGGCTTTAACATGACATCCCCATGAAGGTCCTGTTTAGCTGCCGTGTTATTATCGCTCTGTTTTTGCTGTCGAGTGCACTCTCTGCAGACGAGGTGGGAAGCGAAAATGAACTGTGTCGGACTGTTTTTCTCTTTTGGAACAAAGAGGGTGTCTTCGAGAGGAATCGGTGAATATTATCAGGTGATTTGCGACTACAGTGCCAGCCCTTTTGCAAATGTTTGTGCGCTCAAGTGTTCTCCTTTTTCTTAACCGACTGTCAGCTAGTTACAGAAATGGCGTCATCCTCTGCTGTAGCGTCGGTGCAGACAGGAGGAACAGCACGCTGCTGCTGCTGCTGCTGTACTCAGAGAGCCGAGCACCATGCGCCCCTTTACTGTATCTCTAACCTCTTAATCATCCATGCATTTGTGCAGACCCCCCCTCTCTTTGTCCGGGGACTAGTTTAGCTCACCCCCTTTTGCAGCCTTAAAGCAGATCTGCCTCCCCCTGCTCGCTGACTCTCTACAGTAACACAGGGGCATTACATAAACGGCTTTAAGGGGCTCTGCGAATGAGAGTGATCAGCCTGCCACGGTTTTACTTTGCAACACAGATATTTTTGGGAATGTGAGCAGCACACGAACCATTAGGCTCTATTGCATTAGTTGGGATTATTCAAGCAAATTAACCTCCTCTTAAATCAATTACACCCTTCTAACCAGAGTCCACAGACTGAGGTAACGTGAGCAGACTGTGTTGTTTCCCCTGTCCTGTCAATGTAAAGCGTGCACAAAACGCCCAGCTCTTTCATTGTGTATCCAGAACAAGTGATGTCATCATAACAGACTGAAGTTGGCACTGTCTGCGCCGCCTAACAGCCTCTCTAACCTCTCTGTTTTTCAGCCTCGGTTTCTTCACACTGGTCACCTAGAGGACTCATAGAGAGATGAAGGTATGTCCATTCAATTTTTTTTTCTACTCATGCATGTGATTAATGCCTCAGGGAAACTCCTTTACATCATTACTACATTCTTAATTCCATGTGAGCCGGGACATCGTGTTGATTGAAACAGAATTTGACGGTCAGAAAATCATCTAGTTTCTGATCTGAACATTTTAATGAAAGTATGTGCTCATTTTAGGATGTATAGTCGGAGTATGATGCATCACCTCCTCTCTTGACAAAGCTGTAAATGTCTCGAGAAGAGGAGGGGGACCAGTTTGTGGAGTTTTGAAAGTGTTATAATGTCTCATTCTTGCTTGATAGGATTTCAGCTGCTCGACAGTCGGGGATCTCTTTTGCTGCATTTTATGTGTTATGATGCACCATGTGTTTCCACTAGAGACAATTTGGTACTCCAGGCATGCCAATTTAGCATCTGAACTCTCCTACTACAGAGCCATGCTGTTGTTATATGTGCAAAAGGTACTTCTGCATCTTAGTGCTGAATTATGCAAAGTCTGTATGTCTGGATGGCACCATGTGTTGCTCCAATTAATAGAGCCCTCTGAAGGTGGACGTTACCTATACAGTGGACATTTCTACATCCACAAACCATCAGAAATGCTTGGTTTTAAACTGTATGCAGATAACAACCCTGGCGGTTGCTCTCTGCTTAGGAGTGTAAGAGTCCATGATTTCCAAAACGAATGTGAAGTTCTGATCAGTCAGACCACAGGACAGGGACTTGAGCTCAAAGAGGTTACTGGTCTTTTTGATCATATGGTTCGTACATGGTGTCCACACCAGTGGGCTGTGGACATGATTTTGAGTTCATGCAGTGATTTCCACTACAGAGTCGTGTCTGTTTTAATGCAGTGCAGCCTGAAGATCACAGCCATCCAGCATTGTTTATTTTTGGCCTTGCCCCATTTGTGCAGAGATTTCTGTGGATTATAATAATAATAAATTTTTATATAACACACTTTTACAGGTGCTCAAAGACACTTTACAAAGAAAAAAAGCAAATTAAAATACAGATAATTTTGAGAAACAAAACCAACAATGAAAAAGGTAAAAAAAAGACACAATAACAGAACAGTTCACAGGTTAAAAGCCAATTCAAAAAGGTGTGTTTTTAGGAGTGATCTAAAAGTATGGGGGTCTCAGATGGGTCTGGGGAGTGAACTCCAGAAAGTGGAGACGGCAGCGAAGAAGGCTTATCTAAAAGTTTTAATAACATGCTACATACATTACTCTTGAATTCTTAGCTTTACTTCTGAGAGACTCGGCTACTCTAGAGTGTTCTTTTCATCCTCCAGACTTGTTACTAATCTGTTGGAAATGAATTAAAGTGGCTGAGAGATGTTCCCACAACTTTTCCAGTGTTGTTGGCATCAGGTGTGAAATAAGCATTTTTAGAAAACATGATTTGCAAACCCATCAAATCCAGCTCGATCAACATTTCACACATTAGCGTCCCATCTCTTATGGAATAGAGGTTGTCCTTTTGCATTTCTCATTCCTTTTTAATTCCTGCATAAACCCGTCTTAAACCATGCAAATCGGCCCTAAAATGTTAACTGTAATATCAATGTTTATATGCATGGCCTCCCCCCTTTTGTTCCCATGAATAAGGCGAGTGTGAACTTTTCCTAAATGTCAGTTTGGTCCTGTTCAAACACACCGAGACGAGCCGCCTGGACGTAAGCCAAAGTAATACATTTATTTGATAAGCATGATAATGAGTTTCCAAAAGCTGCAGCTGCATTTGCAAACACAAATCGTGCACTGTTACTCTGATGTTATGCTTTGTTGGGTTATATTATTGAATTACACACATAGAAGGAGCCTCAGTGTGTTTGCTGAGTGATGGATTTCATTTTAAAAAGTGCTCTCATAGTAAGAAGATAACCTAAATCCACGCTACATGTGCGCCGCACGATGATACATGGAAAACAGAATAAATGAGCTGTGAAATTTACTAAATATTCAAAGCGATGGTGTTGTTGTTGTTGTTTTCTCTGGCCTGGTGCAATTTGTAAAATTCACAGCTGTCAGTGTTTGAGGAAGAGGCTCTGAGGACTGCTTTGTAATCTTTCTTATAGATCATTTTTTCAGCTGTTGCGTCTTAACTTGTCATTTAGACACAAAGCTGTGGAGGTGGTTCACTTTCATTAAATAAATATGACAGATTTTGGTATTTAGCGCTTTTTTAATGTATGACGTGACAGGATGGTGGGATAAGCGAGTATGAGATGTGGTCACTTTGAGACTGTGGAAATTAGAAGCTGCTTTAGTCATGATTTGTTGTCTGTCACTTTGGTATTAATGATGTTCTGCTTGTTGTGGTTAATCAAACTAGCCCACTACCCACTAATAGACATGTCAGCAGTGTCAGGGAGTATTTTATTTAAATGCAGTTGGAGGCGTCAGGACATTGGAGCATAGTGAGGGTAGTAGTTAAGATGAATATTTAGGATTGGTGTTTTTTGGTCAAGTGAAGCTGATGGACAAACTGTACGTAAACACAGAGCTTTCCATTGTGGAAACACTTCACCAGCTGCAGCCCTGATGTGATGTGTGTGAGCAGGAGAGACCAAGCTTGAGAGGAGACGATAGTGTTTGTTCAAAATTTGCAAAGTGACAGAAAGAGACGAGACAAAGGGTTGTATCTAACTTCTCCAAAAAAGGGGGTCGTGGTCACTTTGAGCTGCTGCAGGAAACAGCAGTAACAGCAACATGATGGCTGCACAGGAAGACGTTTCAGTAGTGATGTCATGTGACCTACATGTGGATACCAATAGAAGAGTTAACGGTAGCTTTTTTCTGCTGAGCTATCAGGGTTTCAGCTATTCAGAAAAAATCAGACAGAAGCTCAAGGCAGACATAGATGTGCACAAAAGCACCAAGTAGCAGCAACAAACTTTGGCTCAACTTCAAATAAATGAATTTGATTATTTTGACTGTTAACTTTCCTCACACCAGTGCAGTCGTCTCCTTCGTACGGTCTTTCCTGAGCTTGAAGTGTGTTCATGTTTTGAAAACTGATGGTGATGTGTTGTCCTGCAGTTTTCTTGAGTGAACTCAGCGTCCTGAAAACATTCAGGTCCTGTCGTTTTCTCTGTTTTTTGTATTTGGATGAAGGTCTGACATGTGCTTGTATGAAAAAGTGTAGAAACGACCCACTTAAAAGGCTTATATTCTGAACAATATGGTTATTACCTACTGCTGATGATATTATTACATGACCTGCAGGACAGCTGCAAATAAAACTGAAAAAAACTCCAACTCCTCACACATATTTCCATATCTATCCTGGGGTATTATGTTCACTATCGACTCTATCATGTTGACAAAATTCACATGGAAGTCTGCCATGTTTACTAGCTGCACTCTCAAGCTGGATAAAGTGTTAAGGAACATTAACTTGTCACCTCAATGCTGTTAAATAGTTGCAATAAGCACATATGAGAACCTCAAATAATTACTACGACTCGCATGTTTTAATTACCTCATCATATTATTAAAGATTACACAGTTATGTAGCTCATCAACACCCTATTAGTAGACTAGCTAGAAAGCGTGCATGCTCTCTCTCTTTGTGCGAACATGCTGCAAGAGACAAAGTGCACAACAACATAGGGATGCAGCGTATTGGATTTGTATTGATAAAATAATGCTGGTATTTTCAAACTTATTATTAACACCTATTTTTTATTGTAAAAAAACACCAAGTTTCTCTTGTTATAGAGTTTATTTACCTGAAACGTGTCCTGACAGTCCTTTTTGTTCTAAAACAGACACAAAACAAGACAAAAAAACATGATTCTCATACAAATTTATGACTTTTAGTTTATTCAGTGATGTGTCTGCTGTCTGATAATGAGGCTGTCTCTTGTTACAGACTTTTTATTCATCTTTTATGGCTGATTCTGACTTTAGAGAGCTTTATTGTCCCCAAAAGGAAATTAGATTTGCAGTTTTTGGTACAAAAACAGTTAAAAAGACTCAATAGACACAAACATGGGGGCATCACAGTGGCAAAGAACCAACAGCTGATTAAAAGCGACCTTGATCATTATAATCAATGTTTGTTAGTACGGTTTAATACTCTGAAAAGTCTTTGTTTAATTCAGGTCTTCTCTGATGAGGGTTTTTGTTTCACTTTAAATCACACAGTAATTCAGTGTCTTGTCATATCATGCAGAGTAGTATTAGACTGCTCATTCATAGTATTCCTAAGTAGTATCAGTGTCAATACTATTATCAATAAAACCCTAATGATAGCCGTTGTATTGTTCCTGTGATTATGACCCTCCTCAGCTCGACTCTCTTTGTGCTGCAGACCTGTTTCTGCCGCCTGCATTCATACTCCCCCCGCCTGTAACGCCGACTTGAACTGCATGGTGATTTGTGGTTATATAATGGATTGGTTGTGTCACAGGGAGACAATAGAATTCAGATTGTCATGACCAGAAATGCTCTCCAGTGAGCAGAGAATCGAGGCACAGACGATTAAAAAGGAAAAGAGGTTAGCAGATACAACTTCTTTCTCACCCTAGGCTAACGTCGCTGCTACAAGAGTCTACTCGAATAAAGCTTAATCTGTGAAAACTCATTTAACTGTTGCCTACAGTGCCCGTGCCGTTTTGCAGTTATTACTCACTCCAGCTGGATAGCAGCGCTCTCAAATTGGATGAGCCTCGTTCTTACACTGGCTTGTTTCATAACGGCTGACAGGAGTGATGCTCTAACAGTGACATCTCCGTTTTAATGTTGTAGCATTAGTTGTATTTTTTAAACGTGCTGCTCTGAGTCATCTGGCTCTATCGATGCTTAAGGAGTGTTCTCTTATTTTACTGCTCAGTATAGCTGGAGCAGCTGCTCACTGTCTCAACTGTAAATTAGTCTGCAACAAGGACAGATTTTCATTACGCTCACTTAGTGTTTTCTCGTCTCTTTGGCTCGTGATCCGCAGTTTTCCTCATCAACAATACTTGCATTTCTAAAACTGCCTGAAACATTAGACATCGTACAGGTGGTCTGATGAGCTGGATGAGATCTTTTTATCCAAATTGTTTGAATTCATTATTTACAGTCTGCAAACATCATGTCAGTTTCTTACAATGTTTTTGTCTTTTATGACCAGGCTGCTATGTAAACCATATTGGTGTATTATTAACTCTAAGCTTTTGTAGTATTTGATCTCTTACTGTTGATGTGATTTCAGTGTACTGGACCTGTTTTTCCACAATCCATCACTTATTTTATTTGGTTATTTTTATTTGGAGGAACGTATGAGTAAATTTACTTTTAACAAGGTGCAATGAAAATAGTCGCCATAACTTTACAAGACGGTTTATCTAAAAAGGCCAGAAAGGTAAAAAACCAACATTTGTACCTGACAAGTTTCGGCGTTGTCTGTGGTGATTTATATGGGTTTTGCCATCCCACTTGAGATGGTGGGATGGCAGTGTCCCCCGACATGGCTGCAGAGGCAAAGTAGCCGAAACTTGTCAGGTACAAAACCTTTATTTTTTTACCTTTCTGGCCTTTTATAGATGAACTGTCTTAAAAACAATGCAACAGGCCGAATGAACCTCTTAAGTATAGTTTAGTATCATTATTAGTTGTACCAAATTTCCTGTTTGGACTCGAATGAAGGAAGCCCTGGTTTGTGCAGAACTAATCTGGTGCAGTTACTCAGCTTTAGGCCTAACTTAGCAGGGCAAGTTTCTGTTAAGAGCAGTAATTTATGGAGTTACAAACACAACAGTAACATTTACAGCCTTTAAGGAAAAAACACATAAGTATTCAAATATACCAGTTTTAGCATTACTTGGCCTGTCGGTGTCACCACCCTATGATAATCTACTACCTGGATGTAAACAAGCACAGATGAGAGATGGTGTCTCATTTAAGGATGTGTCCGCTGAAACTGGTTTATGACCATGCCACCAGTGCAAGGAGAACTGGAGGCTGGTGGTGCTAGCTCTGCTAATGTTAGCCACAATCAATCACCTGCAGACTCTGTGATCAAGTGGGACTCTATGTTCGATAAATTGTGCTCAAGTCTGACTGTATTTAGAGTGTTTTCTAACCTGAAGTCCAGTCACTTGACTTGAAAGTTAGTCGCTTCTTAACATCCTTATAACTAGTGTAATGTGGCACAGCTAAGTGCCTTAAATGTGCTACTCTCTGGAATAGTTTAGGTGCCTTTTTGTCAGAGAGAGATAGGAAATGTTGGAGCCTAACCCTGAATCCAAGACAGATTTTTGTTATTATCCAGTTTGTCTCGCTTGAGCAGAAAAAAATTTTTTTAGATTAGTTTTTTGGCTTTTACCTTTTAGTGGATAGGACAGCAAGAGAGGAGAGAAGAAATGTGAAGAGAGAGAGAGTTGGGGACGGCACGAGTTTAACTCTGACCAATGTGATGAGGGCCGCAACCTCTGCATGTAAAGTGTCTGCTCCACCAACTGGACCAAACTGCTGCCATAGATTCCTCTTATACTGTATGTTTTCTTTAAGGTTTGGTCATATACATATAAAGTGATGGTCATGCAATGAAAACACTCGGTATGAAGTATGAAATCCTAACATGAAAACAAGCAGCTTTTTTTAGCTCCTTTTTTATTTTCAATAAATGATTTAATTCAGTCTGAAGAACGAGGTCAGTGTATTTTGGCGAGGATGAGGCCTCTTGGCTCTGATAAGGAAAACCCAGTAACAGTAAAACACCAGGGGATCCCGACATGAAAACCAGCAGAGTATCTACAGACACTATGGCCGTGTCAGCCTGCAGCTCCTCCAGTTGTGATGTCGGTGAAGCGCTCATTTTAAAAAACCTTTAATTGAATAGCTTAATTCAGTGTCGCTCTGACAAATGTTATTCTGTGCCGGCTCTGCACTGTGTGTGTCGGTGTTAAGAGATAAATCCACTTCTTCTCTGCATCTCTAAAACTATTTAAAAGTGGAAAAGTGGGACTCAGAAATTTCTGTGTTGAAATCAGCAGGTATCAGATTCCCAGTTTCAGGCCACATTTTGGAGGCATTTCTGATACTGGTGGCGGTATCAGAATAATCTTATCACTGAGTCTGTAAAAACTGTTGTAGTAAGTCTTCTGTGTCTCTGGAGGTAAGATATATCTGATTGAAAATGCTGCTGCGGTTTAAATCTTGATCCTTGTGTTTTAAATCAGCCTCCTACTTAAGAGATCACCCCTTTAAATTCATCCGCCTCCAAAGTTTCTTTATTGTGTCAAAGAAGCTGTTTGTGAGAGTCTTCTTGCACTGCAGGCAAAAAGGTTATTTTTGCATTTAGAGGTGCTAACAGCATGTGATGTGGCACTGAGGTGATGTATACTACATGTTAATCCTGTGGGGAAAGCCTCTCTGCTGGTCAGGTGGAGGTGATGCTGTCATTGAAGGTTCGGTGCCTGCTTGGAAGTTAAATGAAAAACGGTTTGCGACACTGCAGACGTAGTGTGGTTTGGTTTGTGTGTATGCAAGGAGGGGAATTTTTCAGTCTGATTACCTCTGAATTGGAGGTGTTGTACAAGTGCTGGAGTCAGCATGTTGCTTCACAGGAAAGAAACACACTGAGAGAGTAAGAATCTGCGACAACTCCACAGAAAGGATATGCAAAACAAGGCATTTGTATTTTGGGGTTGCTGTATATTCAAGTCTACATGATTGATTGAAGTAGTCAGGAAATGGTTTTATATTCAAAGCTTTTAATGTTCAAATTCAAACAGATCGTTTTATAAATTCTGCTCGTGCTTCATGGAGTTTTGGTCTGTGCTGAATTTTTGTCCATCGGTGTGTGAAGGAAAGGTATTAGCGTTGTCCTGTTTGTTTCTAGTTTAAAGCTGCACTGGCATTGCCAAGGCAGCCCCCGCCGCTGAAGCACCAGTCACTGGGACTGTGGTGACTCTGCTTTCGGACAAAGAGGTGATTCACAGCAGGATTATTGTACGTGTGAGCCGGGCTGGGAGGGAGCTTAATTCTTTCCTGCGTGCCTCTTGCATGTTCCTTTGTTTGGCCTAAAAGCCTATTCACCGCAGCACAACATAATGGGTCAAAAACTATTGTTTATGATATTTCAATAACACTGCACAGAGCCTGAATGGGTTTGAAAAGAGGCGCTTATGTGTGTTTTTAAAGACATCAATCCATTTTAATCAGCAGAATTGGAATAACAGGTTTGTTATTCAGACGTGTAACTGTTATGTCATCCTCTTCACCTGACTCTATAGGAAGGAACCGGCTGTAACATCATTTCCTGTATTGTTGTGTAACTTAAAACAGCATCACATAATCCTAACACATATATCACGAAAACAGTATGCGTGTCAGTTTAGCTCAAAGAGAAGTAGGATCTGGATTATATTCTGCTTTATGGTGACAACAATGACCTACAAACTCTTTATAAAGAAAACATGCAGAAACAAAGAGGTGACTCTTTAGGGTAGGGCTGCATGATAAGAGCCAAAAATGACTGTTATGATTATTATTTAAGGAATTCAGGGACAATTTCTTACTCTTATAATGCTACAGATAAAATTTCCGCAGTTTATTGGTAATATTAAAACATGTAGGGCTGGGCGATAAACCGAAAATTTACTGATACTGAAATTTACAACAATAACAAACGTCATTTTGCCTATGTCAAGATATTCGGTGTCAAAAAATAAATTAATTAAAGTTGGTTTTGGATGTGTGTAGGTAGGCTATGGTCCCGTGTCCCTTTAAAGACGCTGTCCTACGTCAGAGACGTGACTCCACCCCATCCAGTCTGTAACAAAGAGGGAAAGACAGGTGAGGAGATGGAGGACGGTTCAAAAGTTGTAGCGGCAGCTGAAGTAGACGAAGTTAATGTGGGAGGGGGTGAGCAGCTTGTGGAGTAGTTAAACTCCATTTATCGTTATCTAGGTGAACTGATCAATATATCGTGGTATTGATTTGAGGACATATTGCCAAGCCCTACGTAGATGTCCTACTTGTAATCTCCCTGAGATTTGTATCCAACACCAGCCCCAAATACCGTATTTTCCGCACTATAAGGCGCACCTAAAAACCTCCAATTTTCTCAAAAGCTGACAGTGCGCTTTATAATCCGGTGCGCCTTATATATGGACCAATATTGAGCCACAACAGGTCTCGCAACTACGGTAAGCAGCCGCCGACTTCATTTTCCCCCGTAGAAGAAGAAGCGCGCGGTGCATGCTGGGATATATGACTGCGCGAGGCGTGCCGTTTCATTTCTATTTGTGTGTTTATGTAAAGACCCCAAAATGGCTCCTAAAACAGCTGTTTATTCATTTTGGGAGTGAACGGAGTTGTTAGAACGCTGGTTTGTAATCTATTAATAAAGTTTGACTGACCTATCTGACTGTTTTGTTGACATTCCCTTTAGCGCAGCTCCATCTAATGGATGCATAACGTAACCCCAGCCTCCACTGTAGCGTCTTTTCTATGCGCCTTATAATGCGGTGCGCCTTATATATGAACAAAGTTTTAAAATAGGCCATTCATTGAAGGTGCGCCTTATAATCCGGTGCGCCTTATAGTGCGGAAAATACGGTACTTGTCCAAGGTTTATATTTGAAGCCTTTCGGGGATGGAGTGTGTGTGTGTTCTGTCCTTGCTCCCTCTCCTCCTCTGTTTAACTAACACACACACTGAATCCCCCTGCTCTAAGCCCGCCTCATACATCAGAAGTTGCTGTTAGCCATTTTTCTTCGATTGTGGTAAAGCCAAAATTATGATTGAGTCTAAAATTCAGCATATCGTGCAGCTGTTTGGAGTAGAAATGAGACTCAAGGTAAATCTCTGATCTGAAGGAGGAGGAGAAAAAAAAGCAACAAAAGATTCAAAGGGAACAATTACGTGATTCATTCAGAAGGCAGCTTTCTTTTTCTGGAGCGGCGGCTGCTAATAGAAAGTGAAAGGGTAGGTGTAGATGTCAGGAAGGTTGGCCTACAATTGTTTATTGTATTTTAGCTGCTCATCCTTTTTCAGCTAATCGATCAACCCATTTACATCGAGTCTCAGGAACCAGTTTTAAATCTCAGAAATTTGTGGATTTAGAAAGGCGCAGGAATTTAGTTTCCACTTTCTGCTTCCTTTCAGCGACATGAATCTGAATGAGAGTGGTTTAGTCGTCCAAAGTGAGGTATAGCACACCTAGCATTGTGGCTAACACACTTACTGATGACGTGTAACTCATAACTCCACCCAGAAATGCTGGAATATCCCTTTAACTGTATGAGGACAGGGAGTTGTTCAGAGAGATGTGCATGTCTTTTTCTCTCAATCTCAGTTTGTGGATACAGGACCCTCTGTTTCTGTCTCTGAGACTCCTTTGTGGCCCGCCAGTTTATCAAAATGAAGACTCTATCGTAGAAATGTTCATATTCTGAATTATGATGAAGTTTTAACTTTCTACCTGCCTTGTAAGAGCGCCAAACCAAACTAGTTGTGCCTGCTTCATGACTCATTAGAGCTGATCTTAGGCCAGAGTCTGACTGCAGGAGTTTGAAACCCTAACTGCTTATAAAATCCTGTTGCATCACACACATAAGAAGAAAAGTTCAGAAAAATTCTTCCCTCTGATCTGAAACATGCAACCGCTACAGGATATGAAAGCAATTTCTCATCACTCACTACAGGATATTATTAAGATTATTGTGTGTCGGCGAGGGAGCGACGCACAGCCTCCAGTGACCTCGTTTGATCTCACCTGTTCTCACGGTCAGAGAAGTAGATGTGAACAAACAAAGTGCAAAACAAAAGCAACAGACTCAAGTTCTCTAAGAACACTTGAGATGAGACACTGTAAACTTAGAGTGTTTGTTTGACATGGTTTACTGCAGTCCTACTCTGGGAGTTTTCTTGTTATCATCCAGATTTGAGCTCCTAAATATTAAAGTCAAAAAGATGTTTGGTGTCTAGTACTATGGCTGGGACCCTATATGTCCTGTTGATGAAGTTAGGTGCTGTTCTGAGCATTATTTGTGGCTATAGAGTGGCGTTTTGGTTGAGGTTTGTTTATGGCTCCTCAGAACGCTGTGTATTGCTATCGTGCGGTCGTTACTAAAGTTGGTAGAACTAGAGAAGCAAACAGTCGGCAACATTCATCTCTTGAGGGGATGTCTAACTCAGTGTTACGGTGTGTTTGACCCTCAATTAATTTTAAGCCGGAATATCCCTTTAATTTCTGCCCCATTCAGAGTGATAAATCAGGTATGATTTGGCCCAAACCTGTGAAAGTCTGAGTCGAGTATCTCTAGTTGGCAAACAAATGTAGTGGAGTAAAACGAACAATGTGTTCCCCTGAAGTGAGAGCATAAAAATTCATGATGTGGGAATACTCTAACACATTGTCCTTAAGTAAAGAGCTCCAGTAACACATCACCACTGGTTATTTGTCTGTAATAATGTGAGTGTTAAAGCTGACATCATCTGGGTTAGCTAGTCTTGGTACTCTGCAAACAAAGTGAGATTCAACACTGTCAGAGATATGATGATCTGAGCTGCTGAAGGGGTTAAAAATCTGCAGGTTCAGTCTATGAAGGAGAAACGACCTTTAGAGTTAACTTGCATGTCTGAGCCTGAAGTCGACTCTTTGAGTGCATGTGGAGCTGATCTTGAATTTTTGCAGAGCCTACCATAGCGGTGCGTATCTGCATGCATCTATTGTGCAGCCTCCTAGAAACATCCTGTGGTCTGTTGTGCAAACTATCAGGGATTCCTTCAGCCCCTCCCTGCTGACTGAAATAAAACCAGGCAGTGCACACTGTAGTGTTTTAAAGTCAACAGATGACATTCATCATCATCCCACAACTGTGGCTTTAGTTTTTAAATCTGCAGCTTCCCTCTCTGATGACTCCCAGGAAACATCTTTTCTCTCTCTGTCTTCAGTGGGATGAAAATGCTACAGTCACTCCGGCTGTCCAAGAAATGCAGTATAAGCAGCAGCAGCAGCGGCTTATTTTCAGCTGGCGCTCTGTGGAGTTGGCTGTTAAATTTTTCATGACCTGAGAGTCTTTATTGAGCAGAAACTGATCTCATTCTGTTGTTGACTGAGTCACTCTGGTATATTTTGTTTTAGTAAAGCTGCAATGATTTCAACCCTCTCTCTCTCTAAACGAAGCAGGACTGCAGTTTAGCTCTTAGATAAAGAGAAGGCTCACTTCTTAGGTAACCACAGAGGCAGTTTAGTAGTGATTTCACAGTCAGAGTGGAGATATTTCATGGGGAACAGCACTGATGCTCCATCATCTCTGTCATTTACTTTAGATTGGACCTCTGTAGAGGAAAAAAAGCTTTTAGCGCAGGAACAAATTAAAGTTCCTACCTCATGTAATGTGTTTGCTTCTCAGAATGATATCTGAGCAGACCGCTGATATATCTGTCAGCTAGGGCTGGGTGATATTGGAAAAAGTTTATCGGGATATATTTTTTTCATATCAGTCGAAATCAGTATCACGATATAAAAAATTCACTTGTCAATCTTAAATGTTCCCTGTTACTCCTAAATGAAATTTAACATGTACTCGACATAATTTGCAGTTCCCATTACTCTGCTTCGTGTCCGACCTCAAAAAACCAAAATACCTCCACACCACCGACGTTTTCGTGCCAGTGTTGTTGACTATGTCGTCATCTGTGGAGCCTTCGTCCGCATGTCTGTTGGGGGTAGCACTCATTTTCTTTTTTTCTCACCAACAGTGCTGTCTGCTTCACATGTTTAAGTGCTGTGGTTGCGTGTAGCTGCTGTCTGCTACTACGCAGTTGTTTGCTACTTGGTTCTAATTAGTGCTGGACGATAATTCGATAACAATATATATCGATCGATAGACGTGTGCTGCGATAGAAAAAAAACGGGTCGATAAAAAGTTCGATAGAAAAACACAGTTTCCCTTTCTTTTTCATCATAGCCTATCATGTAGCTTTTACTACAGTCATTACGTCCTCCCAACCAATCACAAACGCAGACCCAGGTACGCTACGGCACCAAGCCCAGCCCCTATCAAACCACAACAGACAGCACGTGTATTAGAAAAAATGATACAGCAAGGAGAAGCGGAGGACATTGTCCCGAAAAAAGGTTTCAGTAGTTCACCAGCATGGCAATGTTTTGGTTTTTAGAAGTCTGACAAAAAGCGAACAGCGGTCGTTTGCAAAATTTGCAGAGAATTAGTAAAAACCAAGTCTGGTAACACAACCAACTTGTTCTACCATCTAAACCGATCGCACCCGCAGGAGTACGAGCTGTGTCGGCCGCGCCGCGGCTCCACGTCATCGTCGGAGGAATCCTCTGGAACCGCTGCCAGCACCAGCACAAAGCATGTGAAGCAGACCAAACTGGACTTCGTTTCTCTCCAAAAATACGACAAAGCGTCCAAGCGGCATAAGGACATCACCCATGCAGTAACATGCTCCATAGCGAGGGACATACTGCCAATAACTACCGTTGAAAAGCCTGGCTTCGACCAGCTTCTAGCCACTCTCGACCCGCGATATGAAGTGCCCGTCCGCAAGTATTTCTCAAACACAGCGCTTCAGGCATGAAAATGGGTCAGGGGTTGAAAAGGTGAGAAGGGTGCGGAGGAAATACGTTCCAGTGTAGCTTCTTAAAGTGGAAGAAAATGAGCTCATATTTTACAAAGACGCGAGTATTTGGATCATGGCTACTAGCAGGGGGTGCATTCGGCAGGGGTGCATTCTACGACACAACACCGGCGTGGATAAGTCCTGCTTCTCGTGCTTAGTTTGTGTATTAAGTCAATCACATGATAATTAAAAAAAATAAATCTCCCGACCCCGGGAGAAATATTTCAGTGTTCAGACACCAGGCTGTGGGCAGTTTCCCACACAGTTAAAACTGGTAGTATGCTATTCCCACCTAAAGCTATTCTGTTTATTTATATATTTGTTTGTTTTGTTTATTTTCATCAAAAGACTATTTAAATATTTATTTATCAGATTTTCTGGTCACTTTAGTCTTTATGTTTGTCAGTATTTACTGATGTCACTCAGGCCACTTAAGTTGATTTCTTTTTTTTTTTAGTTCTTTTTTAAAAAACTTTCAGTTGTGGTAAAATAAAAAAGGTGGTTGAATAAAGGTTTGAATTTGAATTCAGGGCTTGTGTGTTCTTTATTAAAAGTAGGTCATTAAGCAATAGCATAAAACATCCAGGGCTGCAATTAAAATATATGTTAAATAATTATAATAATTATATCGATAATTATCGATATCGATCAATATGATTTATTTTTTATCGATATGCTTTTTTTCTATATCGTCCAGGCCTAGTTCTAATTCAGCACATGATTCAGTGCGGTGCGACCCAGAGCAACTCCCTTTTTCATTGGCTATTCATAAAGTCTACCAAAACATAGCAGAATGCTGACTTTCAAAAAGCATATTGACCATGTTTCATATTGATATAGAGGGAAATAAATTTTTGGTATATATTGTTATCGTTTTATCGCCCAGCCCTACTGTCAGCCTTTATTATCAAGGTGATACGGGTCTATAACAAGCATGCACCCCTTAATCTCAATCAAACCTTTATCAATGTAAAAAATCTTATGCTGCGTTCGAGTTAACTCAGAAGTCAGATGTCGGAGCTGAAAAGGACGTCACACCCGAGTTAACAGCGTTTCAGTTACCAAGCCTAAAAAGCAAAATCGGAGGCAGAAACAAGATGGCTACATCTATGAAAGTTATTTTAGCGCCTTCGGACAAGGCAAGCGCTAAAATAACTTTCATAAATGTAGCCATTGTCATATGCCGCAAACCTGGCAGCATAAATCTACGGAGAGAAGCTGAGCAAACAACCCAACATCAGCACAAGATGACTACTATCGAGCACACAGTCAGTTCTTGTTCACCTGTTTGCTGATTGTTTTAGTATATGATGTAATAAGTCTGTAGGGAGACTGGTTGAAAGGGTGTATACTGCCACCTAGTGTTGTGGAGGAGGGTGTACTTGTCCAGGACCTGAATACTGAGACAAGGACAGTGGTCCAGTTTACTGTCCGATCAAACCAGAACTGAAGCTCAACATAACCCTGCATGTAAATGTCCCGTTAGCGCTCTACAGCCGAGTAAGTCCCTTTGCAGAGTCACATTTGTGGAAAGTAGGAGCAAAAAAACATGAGCTTCATTTTTCATTCTGCCTTTTCCAAAAGTCTGTAAATTATGGATATTTTTCAGCCAGTTTTAAAAAATGCCACAAAGCCGTTTTTTTGGCAGTGAAGTCTCTCCCGCGCTGCTTTTTTTCAAGTCAGATGTGATGCATTAAAGCGGAGCAGAGCGGCGGCGTTTCAAACAGTCAGGCTCTGTTTCTCTTCCACGCCACTCACAGGTGGGTTTGGTCGTGTTTGTATGAGTTTAATCAAGCAGGAGGCCTGGAGAGTGTTTTCCACATCACTGCTACAAGGTGAACAGACAGAGCGGGTCCTGATCGTACCGCCTCCGTTACCGTTACTTTTGTCTTTTTACATGCAGAAGCTGGAGTGGCGCTGGAGGCTGGTGATGAATGCGGCACGGCTCTTTTTATGACAGACTCTTGGATGAGATCGGCTCTTGTGAGGAGCCGGGTGTTGTGTTTTTATTTTAAGTTAGTGAGAGGATGTTACACCTCCCTAAAGGCGCAGGAATTCCACCTCTCTGAGCTTAGTCATCTTGATTGGGTGAACAACTGAGGCGGGGGAACATTGTCTGTTGTTCAGCGCTGGCAGGAGCGATGAGAAAAAAAAAAAAGAAAAGAGTCAGTATTTTCTCCAGACAGCTGAAGGCTAAATGGCAATCTAATCCAAGAGAGGAATTTTCTTTCATACTTGTAGCCGAATGCAGGCAGGCAGGCGGGGCGTTATTCAGGGAAACAACAAACTGTCTTCTGTTTGTGTTGGCATGTGAGCATCACAAATGCAGATCTGGACTCTGTTGTGTGAAATCGCCCCTGCCTTGTTACGTCGGGGGAGGTTTCGGCAGCCACAGCTGTCAAGATAACCCAGCTGCTCTCTGACTCTGTGGTATGAAAGAGGAAGAAAAGAGCAGGCTTAGAGCTGGGAAGCAAACAGACGAGTATTACGATGACAGAACGGCTCAAACAGTCGCAGTCCAGCTTTGCGTCGCAGCGTCGGCTCACAAAAGCGCCGGTTAGCTCTGGGAGATGGCTCCTGCGACATGTAAACCTGTAGTTGGCAGGGGCAGCTGTTTCTGAGGCCAGACTACACTGAGGACTAATGAGGTGTTTATCTGAGAGGTGGGCAGGCTGAAGTGCACTGGACTCTGGCCCTGAAGCCCATCTGTCAGACTCCCAGAGACGCTGCAGGAGAGGAGGCCTGTCCTGACTTGACTGTGACGGGCTCACGGCCTTTTCAACACAGAGGATAAGATTTGTCCGTCCACTAACAAACAGGCGTCTATTTCCAGCCTGTTGTTGTAGGTTTTTGTTTGATGGATGACTGACTGCCTTTTTGATCGTCTCTGTGTAGACAGCTTTCACTTTCTCATGATAACTCGAGGAGTGAGAGAAGAATAGACTCAACCCACAGCATGATACAAACTTCCCTTTTCGAGTGTAAGTACCCAGATTTATGTTCAAACTTTAGAGAGATCAGCCCACTAAACTGATGCTTTATTTTGACTTTTTACCACCTTTAATTTTGAAAGGACACAAAATGAAACCCGCAAGAAAGTAAAGCTACAGGAGACAACGAAAAGAGCTCTTTAAAAAAATCCACAGTGACAAATGTTCGCTGTAGTAGGAGAGACATAAGCTCTTAAGCTGTTGTTAAATACTCTGTTATACCTCTCTCTTTCTCTCTCTCTCTGTTACCTGCAAAACAGGTGTAGAGACACTCCTCCACACACACACACACGCCCAATGAGTACGGGAAGAGAGAGGAGTTTATCCTTCACAAACATAAAAAACAAAAGTCTTTAGATGTTAAAATTTATTTTTCGTTTTGACTCATCTTTTATTTGTCATATTTTCTTGTTTTTAAGTCCCACTAAGAAAAAAAGGTCACTAAAAGAGAAAAAAAAACATGTTTTTAAGGCCCTCAAGATAACCATCTATCACAGCAAAGGTCCAAAGAAAGTCAGGGCAGAATTAGTCTTTTTCTGCAATAATCAAAGTCTGTTTTTCCCCATCTCATAGAAAGTATTTCTAAATATCAGTTTACCTGAAAGTATCGTGAAAATATCGTATCGTGGCAGAAGTATCGTGATAATATCGTATCGTGGCAGAAGTATTGTGATAATATCGTATCATGGGGCCACTTGTGATTACCACCCCTAATATCTGTAAATACTTGGTTGTACTTTTGCAGATTATAGAACAGAAAACAGTTTTTCTTCAGTTATTTAAACATTTGTTTTCAAAAGACAAAGTAAATTTTTTAGTAAAAGATGTTCTCAGCTTATTTATTTCAAGTAAGTCCAGCTAGTGTCGTTGTAAAAGCCATATATATAATCTGTTTTACAACCCTGTCATTGCACACCACTGACAGGATTCAAGCCTCAACAGTCACACCGTGTTTGAATCACCTCTGAAGTTGTCACGAACTTTGCTGCTCAGCTGATGACCCATTTCTTATTTTCTTATTTAGTCAGACGAGCTCTGAATGCTCAGTTCCACTGTCATGTTTCCTGGGACTTCTTTCCTCTATCATTTCAGCTTCTTCATTAGCTCTACTCCTCTAGTGCCTGAAAAACACCATCAGCTCAAGTTCTTTGAGTCTCAGCGGAGGAAAGGATAAAAACGTGAAACACCACTTTCTAGTAAACAGAGGAGCACAGAAAACAAAGCTGGACTGGATTATTACAGTTTGGCAAGAGACCCAGTCTTATTTTTAGCACAGAGAACGTTTCCACCTCCAACCACTGGTATCAATGAGAGATTTCAGTTTCGGGTTGTTCTGCACGATAACTCGGCAGGTCGTTGTTTTAGCAGCTGATAATTAAAGGGGAGAAGGTGTTTTCTGTTCACACTGACTGTCAGCTGATCCCGATGAGCTCACGTCTTAAAATGTCTCATAAATCTGATTATTTTTGGATTGGTGCTTTAATTAGGAGGTTTTAAAATTCCTCTTTGTTTTAATTGTCAGAAAAAAATCAGAAAAAGAAGAAATAAGCTTAAAAACTAATAAGAGACATGAAACCCTAAGCTGTGTCATAAATCATATTACTGTTTCACTTTTGAGAATCACAGTTTGATAACTTCTGTGTGGGGATTTTAACTCGGTATTACACCTAATTGGGATTTCTTCCTGAGCTGACACTGTTGCCCCACAGAGAAAAAGGAAAACAATATATTTTTAACATTTTCTGTGTCTCTGAATGTGTAGTTACTTCACACCTGAGGGCAAAGAGGCTGAGAGTTAGAGAGCAAACACGTAAATGTATTAATGCTCAAACTGATGTATAAAGATTAATTCAGGTTCTTCTGTTATTTATTTATCATGCAACTATGATTTAAAGCCCTCCTCTGCATGCAACACTGGATGTAGATATTAGTGCCTTATATTCCTTTCAATGCATCTTGTTGTGATGACAGAGTAGGCTCCAGTTCGGTTGGTTGGACATATGTTTTATCGAATATCGGATATTTGCACATGAATCTTTGAGGATCTTGTCAATGTAAACACTTCATTTGATCCAGAGAAGGTCTTATCAGGCAGGAAAAGTCCCCCTGCTGGACAAACTGATTTAATCTAATGATCAAACCTGAAAGAAAGTGTAGAGTGGGAGTATTATTACACAGTCTCTGAGAGAGACATGATTCAAGGAGTTTTTAAGAGGGACTTCAGGGGGAGAGAATATCAGCTATTTAAACACATCAAATCTCATAACTCCGAGGACTTTTCCTCCTCCTCCTCCTCCTCTCTGAATACTTGCACATGTTGGGCAAAATCCAGTTGTGCCATTTTCTTCTGAAACATTGAAAAACATCCACACCGGTGAGGCCAGCTTTACTCTTGTGTCAGCTCCTGTTCCTGTTCTCCACTTGTGAGGATGAACCTCTGTGCAGCCCTCTGTTTCAGAACGTACAGACTCGTTAGAAGGTGAAGAAACCTAACCCTGGATGAAAATTCATTATTCATTAATCAAGTTAAGGACTTCTTGTTTTACCTGGATTTGGTCTGCAACCCAAATACTCAATTTTCCCATTTTCAGATGGTAAACTTTCCAAGTTCTGACCCTAAAATCGAACTTTTCTAACCTGATACTCAATCTGACTCTAAACACCCCAGCTCCCCTGATCTGCTCAGCTCTCCTGCACTTAAAGAGTGTTATTAAGAGGTGATGAAACAGAGTGGTGAACACGGCCCTGTCTGAACTTTCTAAAAACGTGTCGCTGGTGTCAAATTCAAAACAGGCAGACGATTAAAAAAAAAGATACGTGACATTTCTCTGCTTCAGCTTTTTCCAGATGATATAGAGTTTCAGTGTTTTGGGAATCATCAAGTTTTGTGTCCATTCAACATCCTCTTAAAGAAACCGGCTGTTTTTTTCACTTTAGCGGCTCGGTGCACCTGTAAAACTCTGCTGCAGCTGTTTAAACTGCTGCACTCACTTCTGCTCATGCTTTCTGTCCACAATAAAACCGTTTGCTGCTATTTTCTTTACGGCTCTCCGGGGTTAGATCACGTGCAAAATGCGAGGAAGAGGTTAAAGTGTTTACACACAGGCAGTGGGTCATTTTTCTGTTTTACAGCAGCTGCACACGGAGCGAACAGGGCGATCATAAAGAGAGAGTCTGACTTCGAGCAGGATTTCTGCACTTATGTAACGCCTTGATTGGAGCAGATTGGTTTAGGGGAAAAATGCTGATCTGCAAACAGTTTAAGTATGTCAAAGGTCCAAATCATTTCAGGGCTTAGAGTGGCTCAGTCATGGTGCAAGTATGTGTTCGAGTCTGCAGCAGCAACTGCTTCCAGCAACTGGAGGAGTTTTTAACTTGAATTGAAAACTTTGTTTTTCTTGTGGTAAGGTTTTAGATGAGAAGTATGACGAGAGAACAGTTAACAGAGTAAAACACACTTTCTTTACTGGAGTAGACGCACAGATGCGTGTGTTCAAATGAGAGACTACAAAAGCAGAAGTAGAGCTGTGGTGTTTCCTGCAGTAAAGTTCAGTCACAGTCTAAAAGTATCCCTCTGAAGGACAAACGTCACTTGACTTCTTTTCTTCACAATCATGTTTCGGCCTCTTGATATTTCTATTATGTCATATTTCTCGTGTGTCATCAGAAATATGCCATGTATCATCTCTCCTCTGCGTTATTGTCCCATTAGATTTAAATTGATCTGGATGGGAAGCAGACAGAGCGCATTGATGCAGAATAGAAACAATCAATAATTCCTCTCGAATGCATTAAAAGCCTATGTAAAGACGAGAATATAGAGGATAGAAAATGACAAATTTGTGATATAAATGCTGGGAAGAGGTGCATTGTTGTCATAAATCCATGTTTGCAGAGTTTGGTAAAATGTGAAAAGTTTCTTAGTTTTAACTCTGCTCTTAAAAAGCTTTTAAATCATTTCAATACATTTCTATTTTCATGTTTGTATATTTCTTTTTTTAAATTATTTCTGTTGTTGTAGCACCAAAACAGATTCCTTTTACAGGTTAACATACTTGGTAACAAACCTGTTTCTGAATATGAGAAATAAAGAGTAAATAAATCTGGATATTCTGAGGAAATGATGAAAATCTCCAGATCACAGAGTCTGTGTTTGAACCAACTATGCAAAATGCAAGCCGTACATCTGTTCACCTATAAAGGGGGTAAACAAAGCTGTGACATAGTTTTACAACAGCTTCTACATATATAAATAGATATATCTCTTATCTTTTACAATAAAGAGGAAAAACTCTGGAATATTACAGACTCCAACACAAAACTTTGCTTGAATGATAAACCTCATGATCAGCAACAGTGAACTAGTTGCTTTTTTAGTTACATCTATGTTGTAGGTGAGACATTAGGAGAGACAAAGTGGTGCAAGAAAACACAGCCTGAGGCAAAGACACACCTGGAGAAGCAGCACAGCTTTTAATGAATTGTTGTAGCCGATCTGTAAAGTAAAAGGCTGATATAAATAATTGGCCAAATGCTGAATAATCGCTTTAGGCCAGAAAGTCGTCTACCCCTATTAATGACACATGAATAGACCCAAACTGGTGTAAACTGTGGCCCCAATTACAGAACCGCTGTGTGAACACAAAACCAGACCATGCATCCTTTTTTGTGTCGGAATCTAGACGAAGTAAACGAGCCGTAGGCGTCCAAAAAGCTTCAGGCGGGGTGATTAATGGAATCTCCCTGTCAGTTATTACCATGATTATGACCCCCCATGTTCATGTAAATATGATAAAGGCTGGACTATCACAGAGCTGCCTGCAGTGGCTTAAGGCAAATAAATACAGGCGGATGAAGCACACCCTGCCTCTCATCCTTCACAGCACAGCGGGCGCTCAGCCTCTCCCCTCAGAATGTTTCACTCTAAATTCATCATGAAGAAGAACTCAGATGGATGTGCAGCAAAGTTTGGCTGAGCATGGAAACTGTGGATCCTGCTGAATTTAGCCGTGGACTGCAGGAGGAGGAGAGAGGAGAGTAGGGAGAGGAGCAAGAGGAGTCTGGTGTCTGTGATCACAAGTGTGCATAAGTGTAAATGAGCTGAATCAGAGATACTGAGCCGTGTGAAAAGATAATTCAAGTTTAACAAAAGTGGTTAACAGGTTTTTTTTATTCAGAGTTTTTAGGTTTTATAGAGTTTTTGAGCCTTTTAAAGCTGCTGTGAGGAGTTTTTGAGAGGTCATGAACAGACTAAAATAAACAATGATGCATCTTTATGCTTTACAAAAGCAAATTAGACCATAATTGACGAGTCTGACAATCTTAGTATTGTCATTTAACTGCTGCGAGAGGGTAGGTACCATAAAGAAACAGCCTTAGATACTTTTTCCCATCGCAAGCATCCACGATGAAGGATAACTGTCATATATAAGAAGACAACAGGAGGACATTTTTGTATAATAACCAGGGTTCGTGTGCAGGTATGGAAATTATGGAAAAGTATGGAATAAATTTGATCAGTTTTATGTTTCCAGACTATTACCACACTTCTAAAATACTGTCTTCAAAAACAGAAATGTGGGTATTTCTAAAAATAATTCCAAAAGGTACAGTATGGAAAAGTAGGGAAATTCCAAATGTGTAGGAACCCTGAATAACAACGCTTTCCCAAGGATGAGACTAAATCACTAATGATAAAAGGGTTACTACTTTGTCCACTGGGGGCGCCAAAGTCAACACAGACAGAAAGTTCCTCACAGGAGCTTTAAATTCATGAGATGATGCAGATGTCAAATGCTTTAACTTGACGACTAAAGACGGCAGAAAAATGAGAGTTGACATGTCTCACCGGCAACTGACTTGTATGTAATGTTATTATGCAAAGCTTGTCTCTGTTTCATTCTTCCACATGATTACTGTCGTCCTTTATTAGAAGACTTTGATGTGAACTCGATGTGAAGGAGAAAACTGAGCTTCATTCATGCTTTAAGAAAATGAGGATGTATTTTTTTATGCCCTGTAGTAATAAGAAGGTAAATGTTTGATAAAAGCACATCAGAGGAGGAGCTGTCTGTCTGCAAAAACAAACAGGACATGAGGTTGACTCCTGTCCGCAGAGACGGGGCCTCACTCAGGGACTTGTTCTTTAAAGTGGACTCAGCAGGCCTCTGTTAGGTTAGTGTAACTCTTCCTCGGGCTTTGCCGTAAATTTACTTCCAAACACGAGAACCACAGTCACCGTCTGCCCTCCTCCGCACACAGTCTGCTTCCTCTGTGTACTCTACCCTCCACAAATCTGTTCTTGAGGGGGGCAAAAAAAAAAAGGTTTGATAAACATCCAGTGATGACACAAGATGGTGCTGCGTGTTCCAGATAGCGTCTTCTTTGTAGTCATCAAAGCGGGAGAGAAGTGGCCTTTTTGTTTGCTCCCTCAGAGGCTTGTTTTCCAATACCCAGAGCAGATGGTATGTGTTTTCCATGGATGAATCACTGAGCTGGGTGGGTCTGCGTAGCTGGCCTACACTATGAGAAGCTCGTTTGTGTGTCCTCCTGGCTTAGCAGCAAAAATACACCTGTGTTTTTACAAAAAAAAAAGAGCTTTGAATTCACCAGCTCCATGTTTTGTCTCTTTCTGCTCAGACTCTGGAGGAGCCCCCCTACTTGACGGTAGGGACGGATGTGAGTGCCAAGTACCGAGGGGCTTTCTGTGAGGCCAAGATTAAGACTGCCAAGAGGCTCGTCAAGGCCAAGGTAAGTCACATTTCAAAGTGCTCACGCTTCAAAATTACAAATCTATTGTCTGTGTGTGCGGTGAGTGAAGGTGAGTGAAGAGCGGCGCTGCAGGGTCAGGGAGGCTCTTGTCAGGGAGCGAAAGGTCAACGATGAGGATCACACCGCTCTGCTTTAATGTGCGTCCTCGGGGCTGGATTAAATAGACATGATCCAAAACAGTCCTCAGAGACATACCAGAGCTGCACTGACGTCTGTCAGGTTAATACGACTCTTCGATGACACACTAGAGCTTCACACACTAGAGCTTCACAATAAACCAATAAGATCTCGGTCAGGACAGACCCTCCACTCTCTGAGTTCATATTGTTCATTACTGCAGGATTCAATCTTCCAAACGTTTGTTTTGATGAGTGCTGAAAAAAATCTGATCCTTATTCTCGTCTTTGTTTTCTCTTCTCAACTTTACTGCCTCTCTCATCTGTCTTTTCTTCCTCTCCATCCTCTCCTTTATTCTCATCATTCTTTTTTCTTATATCATATTTCTTTATCATCTCTTCCTCTTTTTTATCTTCTGCTCCTTCTCTATTGTCTTTCTCTTCTTTTTCTCTCCTTTCTCTTCTTTTTCTCTCCTTCTCTGAGTGTGGGTAGATTGTGTAGGTGTGGGAGTGTATCAAACTATTCATTCATAATTCATGTTCATTAAGATTCATGAAAGATAATTGATCATTAGTTCCTGAATTACTTCTAAATAAAGTTGGTTCAAGTCATCCTCTCCCTCTCTTCTGTCTTCTTCTTCTCCGTCTTTATCCTCCTTTCTTGTCCTACTCTTCTTCTTCCTCTTCTCCTTCTTTCAATCTCTCCTTCTCTTCCTCCTTTTCTTCTCTTTCATCATGTCTTCTCCCTCTACATCATCTTTGTCCTCCATTTCTTCTTCTTTGTCTACCTTTTCTTCCTCTTTTTCCTTCCTCTTCCTCTTTATCATCTTTTTTGTTTCTCCTCTCCCTCATCCTCCACTCCTGTTTCTTCCTTCTCTTTTCTCCATCCTCTTCTTCTTTCTGTTCTGACTCTTCCTCTACATCTCCTCCATTTTGTCTCAAACTTCCTCCTTTTTCCTCCTCTGTCTCTTCACCTTCTTGTGTCTCCTCATTGTTTCCCTCTTCCTCTCTATTTTTCTCGTCTCCCTCTTCTTCTCATTTTTCTTCATTCTCTCCCTCCTTCTCTTCCTCTTTCCCTCCAGCAGTGATGTTTGCATGTGTTCATACCAAATCTTATCAAATCCAAACAAACAGGTGACACCTCACATTTTTTAACTGCTCTGAAAAGACAAAATGATCTGGATGAAAAAATCTCTGGACTGTTTTTAAAAGGACAGGTCTGTTATTTCACTAAAAGCCAAAAGTTGGACTAAACGCTGACTGCATGCAGAGTATGAATCACCTGAAAACAAGACAAGACGTGACTACTGTCTCTGAAAAAGTCACTTCCATGCTGGAGACGGGCGCTCTGTTTTGCAAGGTGGACGTTAAGTGAGTTTTCTTACCCGAGTGGATGTGCAGGACAGGTTTCCTCTGTGTGGCTAACACTCAACACACAGTGCGGTGTTGTCGTAGTCACGGGCTGTCAAAGACGGTGGGCTCTTTGTTTTGGAAAGTGCGGTTGGGCTGCTGTCGCTTTAAGTGAAGGAAGCCCTGGTTAGGTAAGGTTACGTTCAAGTGCCAGTGGGCAGATTTGGTTTACGGTGAGTGAGTCTGCTGCCCTTTACTCCCACAATAAAAACAAAACCTTACAGGCTTGGTGAATACAGAAGTAGACAGTATGATGACAGGGACACGTAAAAAAAAACAAAAAACAACAACTTAAAGATGATTAAAGCTCAGGTGAGGATTTTTATCACATTTATAAAAGAGACTGAAATTCATATGGATGCTTTAAATAATCTCAACAAGCGAAAGAGACAAGATTCATCTTTATAGCATGTCAATATATTAGGTGTCAAAAAACTAAATCAAATTTGGTTTTGGATGTGTGTAGGTAGGAGATGGAGGACGGTTCAAAAGTTGTAGCGGCTGAAGTAGACAAAGTGAGCAGCTTGTGGAGTGGTAATCTTCCATGTATCATTATCAAGGTGAACTGCTCAATGTATCGTGATATTGATTTGAGGCCATATCGCTCAGCCCTAGTTTGCAGCATCTTCCTTTTGATTCTGATATGAAGCTCAAAGTCACTTTTTTACCTGCTATATTTTCCCCACTTCACGTAAGGGTAGCTGACAGCTTCATTAAAATGGTACAAACTCATGGCCAACAAACCCAGGTCTCTTTATAATGTCTTACATGTACGAATGCTGGGTAACAAAGCTGACTTACATCGTGTAAAAAAGGAAAATCACAGATGTTGGAGTGTCTAAATGAGGGTTTTGTAAACGCTCCTACTGCGATAATGATGAAATGTGACTTCTTGTGCAGCCTTACTGATCACTGCTTGGCTGTGACAGATGTTAGGGGCTAGTCCCGCCCACCAGGTAACCATCACGTCCTCCCAGGTGTCCCGCCTCACCCACGGCTGTACGCTTTATGGCGAGGACAGCGCGGCTGCCGTTCCCCTGCAGGTTTTCTACCACTCGGATGAAGGCGTTCACGCACACTACACTTCACTACAGTCTCTTCTTTCCCACTGGGACCCACTGGAGCATCTGGATAATACGATAGAGACAGATCACTTGTCTCTTGTTCTGCTGGAGTGTGTGGGAGGAACAAAGATTAGATGTTGGCTTTTTCAGTGTGTCAATGCGCTCTATACATCGCTCCCCTGACGAAACAAAGAGTAGGATGTTCTCCCTCTTGCAAACCTGCTGGAAAAATGAGATGACGACTCTTTTTTTTGTTCACAATGACAAACAACATGAGGAAGAAAGACCCTGTGATTTAGTCAAATATATATTCAACACTAAAAGAGCTAATATGACAGCCCCAGCTCATTAATTAATTAGCAGACTCATTTTCTGAGCGTGTTTTTTGGGGTGGTTGTAAAGTGAATCTGAGCTGCGCAACACAAACGTTGAAACGTGGCAATTATTCAGCTGTTGTTGAGAATATTCAGCCGTAATGAATTCCTCTTTAGCTCCTCGGTTCATTAATCTCTGTCTGCTTGTTGAACAGAGTCGATGGGTGCAGCATATGGCGCTGGTGTCTTGCGAGTGATTTTTAAAACCCGGGGAAAGCTGTGTGTGTGTGACATTTTTATTTATGATGATGATCTGTACAAGAAGTCCTGTAAAAGGATCTATTAGCAGCGTGTCACTATCACTCAGTGTGACATGTTCAGCACTCTTATTATTAACAAGGAGCGAGTCTGTGCAACATTTAACAAGACTTTAAAGAATGAGCGCTGTCTGATACAGACCTTTTTATTTTACATTATTTATCCTGATGAAGTCAACTCACCTTAAAGGGATATTCCAGAGTAAATTTAAATTTGATCACTGAGTGCAGCGGATCATTTACACGAAGTAATAATTAGGGCGGTCCCGATAGAATATTAATATCGTTAATCGGTCCAAAGAACAAACCACTGAAGGCTACATTATCGGTAACGTATCGGAAGTAAAGAAGTTGTATCGGGACACCCCAAGTAATAATCATCACAATCATTTTGCACTGCAGACACAGTAGTTCTTCTGCTTTAGCGTCTCGGTCTGATTTCATTTCCATGAAGAAATGATCAAAAATGTTCTTCCTTGAGCTGCGAAACTCCGCTGCACTCGGTGATCGACTCGTCAGGGCTCCCCCACAAACAAGAGGCTGCTGGAAGAGAGTAGGTGAGTTGTGTTTAGTCTCTTTGCGAAAAAAATCAGGCAAAGTTAAAAAGATGTTTGGTGTCTAGTACTATGGCTGTGACCCTATATGTCCTGTTGATGAAGTTAGGTGCTGTTCTGAGCATTATTTGTGGATATAGAGTGGCGTTTTGGTTGAGCGCGTGGCTCTCTGTATTGCTATCTGCGGTCGTTACTAAAGTTGGTATAACTAGAGAAGCAAGCAGTCAGCAACATTCATCTCTGGAGGGGGTGTCTAACTCAGTGTTACGGTGTGTTTGGCCCTAATTTAATTTTACGCTGGAATATCCCTTTAACACTCTGTCCAAACCAACACTGCATTGAGAGCCAAAACAGCAGCAGGTTCACTTCAGCCGGGAGGAGAAACGTTTCAGGATTTAGTAGAAGTATGGCAAAGGGATGTGAAATGTAGTCCAGCTACGGTTCATTCAATAAATGCCTCATCTGGAGTAAAATGTAGGGCATGCTTCAGTTATAGTGGATTCTTCTTCTGTTTGGCCCAGATTGTACTAATTAGTTTTTTTTCCCACTGAAGAGACGAGTTGTACAGTGTAAGATGTAAAAACTGATAAAAAATAATAATAAAAAAACAGAATCTGATGGTTTTTGAATAATAAAGATCCTATATTTGTTTGACAAACAAATAAACTCATTTTAAATTTGATGCCAGCACTGCAGACAGTCCAGTTTCTCAGCAGCAGGACTCTTCTACTACAGAGCCATGTTGTCAGAATATGGTTACTGATCAAATGAAGGTCTTCCCTGATAAACTCATTGTCTGGATGGCAGCAGATGTTCAAGTAAATATGTTCTTCAAAAAATGTGCCAACTATCAAATTCTGCTTTTATCAACATCCCAAACCTTATTGAATTGGGATCATAAAGTAGTATAACTTAATCAACTGTAATGTAATGAAAAGAAATCACCGACTCCAAAGTGAATTCCCATCAGACAGTAGACACACCCTGAACTTGTTCTCTCTTACATCCTATAGTAGCTTGTACATCCTAAATAAAACTTCTTTAGTCCTTATGACAGGTATTTTCAGTATTTTTACTGTGCATCAGCCACTAAACTTAAAGCTTTTCCTTTTTCTTTTTTAAAGCGACAGAAATGTTTTTTCCCACTCTCTATAACCCGCTCACGAACAACCCTCCAGGCTCTTTGTTTGAAAGCTTTTTGGAGGAAAAATCTTTGACTATAATGTAACAGGAAGCTCCAATAAACCTCAACATCAAATCATTTTCAGCACTGTGGCTTAGAAATCCGGTTTTCAGTCTCACTCCTGTGTTCCTCGTTTCATCTGCTGTTTGTGTGCACACTTACAGACTCGTGTTGAGCTAAGCAGACTGCAGGCTGGTGGTTTTTTTGAGGTTATCAGGATGGTCAGGTGTCACTGATGCGCTCTGACGGAGGCTTTGGACTGCAGATTCACTCCCCCTCCTCCTTGTCTGTGCAGAGAGGAGCTCCTTTATTCCAGAGCAGGAATGTTATTATCTCCATAACGGATGAAACGCTTCCTCAGGAAGCTCTTTACTCCTCTCTACTCCCCATTTTTATGACCTGACAATTCAGCTGCATCTCACACCGCATATTTCTTTCACTCATCGTCTTGATCCAGTCCTCACACTCCGACTTTGATTGCTGTTTCTGTTACGTTTAAAGCCGACTGACGGGAGTACCCTCTGGATTCATTACCTTGTTCTGCGAGATATGGTGCTTAACGTCTTTCTGCGGCCTTATACGCCGTTTAATTCGGAACTAATTCACAGTCAGTAAAAGTGAAACCAGATTTCTATTATGATTATGTTACTATTTTATGAGGACTTGCTCTCAAAAAGGACTTTAATTTCCCCCAGGAAGCAGAGAGGAGGCACAAACGGGTGTTTTGACATCTAAAACAGGGAGGGGCGTTCGTAATACTAAACAGACTCTGTGTTTCTGGCTGCTGCAACACTTCACACACGTGCTCTTTGGAAAATATGTGACAGTAAATGGCTGCGAGTGTGTATGTGTGTGTCTGTGTGTGCCACTTAGTGTTGCCAGGTCGCCATGCAGATGCAAGATTACCACAGCGTGATCTGATTATGATCCTGTGTGGCTCACTCGGGGGAGGCTGCAGATGCAGAGATGAGAGGGGGATGGTCAGTCAGTGTCAGTGTCAGTGCCGCTCCAACATCCACTAACAAAATCCACCACAGGAGCAGATGTGGAGCAGTCGCGAATTAGGGGTCAGGTGTTCAACAATGAAGAAATGACGACAGTATTGAAAACGCAGACACGTGCGTCTCTCCTGACGGCAGCAAGAACTCTTCAGTGGTCATGTTGAAGCTCCACATGTCAGTTTTTGTAAGCTGCTGCAGCTGTAAGATGTCACTGATTTCTGGAAGCTTAAAGGCTTTCAAACCTTGTGAGTCGTGGATGAACAATATTACCCTACGACTTTAAATAACCAGTTTACTCATCACCACTCCAGCCTGCTGTCTTTACAGTGAGGGAAAACCCAACAACAACAATCCCGACTCCCACGCACAGGCTGCGACAAATAAATCAATGTATGACAAACACTGACAGGCTGACAGTGCAGGTATAGTGAGCACAGACACAGATAGCTGCTAATTAGTGCTTACATAATAGAATAATGTTAGAGTTTGACTGAGTGTAAAAACTAAGTGTCAGACTTCTTGGACGGTCTGTTGGTTCAATAAAGCTCACAGCATGACAGATTGTTCTCTGAGAATTACTTTCAAAAAATAAAAAGTTCAGGGACTGAATCAGCAGACAGTTAACAGCCACCACCTGTCAATCAAAGAGGCCATACCTTCAGTTTTGCAGAAATATAAAGACCCACTTAGGTAAAAGCTTAGTTTTCTCATGATATGTCCTGTAGCATCAGAAAAATACAAGAAAAACAAGTGCCAAATTGCATTTCTGAGTATTTCTGCATTCAAATCTCTGAATATCTGGCAGACCCAAACAGAAGAGTCAGATTCAGTGAGATTTCCTACGTCACAAATCCAAGCTCCGCCCCTGGAGCCCCGCTATGCAGGCCAGACTTGGAGACATAAAGAAGACAGTCGCGGAACAAGCGTGTGCGTTAGCGAATTGCAATGCTCCTAAGGAAGCTAATTAGATATTAACTTTTATCATGCACCCAAAGACATTAGAGTCAAAGAGCTGAATAGCTCCTATATTACCTTCTTCTTCTTCTATACGGGTAATGTTGGGCTGCAAGCTAACATGAAGAAGAGTGTGCAGAGCAGCGCTGTCTCCGCCCACGACTCAGAGGTGAATTACTAATGAGCTACTGGAGCTCTGCAGAAGAAAAGACCTTGAAAATGACACAGGTGACGTGATTTTGGCTAAAAACTTCATAATCATAATTTAAAGACCACTGAGAGTACACTTTAGGTGGTAAAAAAAACGATCAGAGTGGGACTTTAAGGTTTGATATAAGTGAGACCACTAAGTTACTGTAAAACCTGGAATATAGGTCACACCAGAATATGAGACACAGTCCTCCTACATCATCATAAGGTTTTGTTTTAAAAGCGCCGCTATATAAATAAAGTCTATCATCATCATTAGTAGTAGTAGTAGTAGCAGGTGGTTCCACCAGCGCCATCTTCTGAGTAAAACACCCAAACACAATCAAATCACATGAGCTGCAGAGACCCGAACTGTCTTTGACCCAGACTGCAAACATGTTGATTTCTGCTGTTCAGTTGTAGATTTTAACATGGAGCTCTATGTGGATTCACTCACTTTAGGGGGCAGCCTCTAGTGGCCGCTGGGTGAACTGCAGTTTTCTGTGTTTGTTTCATTTCTCAGGCCTGTAAATTGCCTCTTGGACAGAGTCCATCAGTGTAATCAGTGTGTAGCTGTGATAAAGTCCTGCTGCTGCTGTGAGGACGAAGATTGATGTGGCCCGGTCGGACCTTTGGGGAAATGTTTGTTTGTGGCTGTTACTGATTCTCCTCTCCTCTGTCCTCCTCCTCCTCAGGTGACCTTTAAACCAGATCTATCCACGGCGGAGGTTCATGATGAAAACATCAAAGGACCTTTAAAGGTAAGGGGGAGGTGGATACTGTCTCACGGTCAGCTGCATCATGAGACAGATTAATTACTCCTCTTGGTGTTGTTTATTTAGTCCCTGTAGAAAAAGCACCAGAGAAGGGGTTAACAAAGCATTGACTCTGTAATTTAATTTCATCTCAATTAAGATCTTTGTGGCAGCAATATGGCCGCCTCATTGCTTTAATCACATCATTAGATTAATCATTAGCAGACGCCTGATAACAGCCGTGTGTCCGTCCCACAGGTGGGTGCTGTTGTAGAGGTGAAGAATCAGGATGGAGTCTACCAGGAGGCCACAATCAATAAGCTGACCGACGCCAGTATATATACTGTTGGTGAGTCAATAACAGGCTGTCTGCTACCACTCCTCACTCTAAAGTCCTTTTCTCTCGCCCTGCAGTCGGCTCCTTAAAAACATGTTTGTGTGAAAAGAAACTTCTGGAGGTGTTTTCCTGTGAATCAGAGCCGCTGTGAGTTTAGTCACACAGTTCAGAAGAGAGAGGAGGAGGATGGAGATGTGTTCGACCCCAAGAAGTTTGATTTTACACTCAGAAATTTTAACTATTTTAATAATCCAAACCTCTTATGTTGTTTGTGTGACTATTTAAACATCAACTGTAAATATATTTGGGTCAGGATTAGAGCTTTTACATTTGCAAAGGTCCTGTAGCTCGTCCGCTATTTCTGCTCATATTTCCATTTATTTTCATCGTGCTCGTCCCTCTACAGAGCTTAACAAACTTTCCTTCTGTCTCATATTTCCATCTTCCAGCACAGCATTAAGTCAAATCTTCACAAGTGTTTTTGTCTTATTTCGAGTAATAAAAATGTCTCATTAAGCTTAATTAAATCCAAATTTAGCTGACAACTCAAGAGAAATGTCTCACTTTGAGATTTAACACGCCAAAAAATAAGACCTGAATTGCTTGTAATGTGTGAAACAATAAATCTGCAGATGGAATAAAAAGAAGTGCTGTCAAGTTTTTAAATAAGACCCTGATATTACGAGAAAGTTGAAAATTAGATTTTTCTTATTCCAGTGGCAGATTTTTTTTTTTATTAATCATTTTGAACTAAGACATTTCTTTTGACTTGTCGTTCAATCCCGATAAAATTACGTCTAATGAGACATTTTAACTTGAAGACTTGCTCAGATTTTTCTTTCACCTCACCGTTTTTTCTGAGCACAATCAGTCAATATCACCGCTGTGACCGAATAACTGTAGTTGGCAGAAATAAAAGTTAGGGATGCACAATGTTATCTGTTCAGTATCAATATCAGAAGATAAAAGCTCAAACATTAATCAACAGATTTGAATCTTTCTGCTGATATTATAAAGTGATGCATCAAATATGTGTCCGCTAGGGCTGCACGAATAAACTGTATCTGTCATTTACGGCAGAGTCTGAGTTTGTTTTATGTCTGTGTCTAAAACATCAAGACTAACAGGTGAATTTTAGTGCAGGAGACTCTTGGTGTTCAAATGAGTTAAAAATAATGGAATAAAGGTTTTATGGTGTCCCAGCTTTGGCCTTAATTTTTAATAACTATGACACACCACACTGGGAAGTGACTGGTCCTGAAACGTTGCAGCTGGTGGATGCTGCTTTAATCATGGAGTCTGACTTCAGCGTTACTCATCCTTGATGTGACCAGGTAGCTGGCGCACAAATTAAGAGATCACGCTGATAATAATAAGGGACAGGAAGAGTGCAGAAAGAGTAAATGCACATCAGAAAAGACATCAATTAGAGCAAGAAAAATCATCAAAATGCAGAAAATCCCGATTTCTTCTCAGCTGTGATGAGTTCTCTGCACTGATTGGCTGTAATTCATCAAACAAAATGAAAGAAACGGTTTATTGACTTTTATCAAAGACATGAAGTCGAGGATTCTGCTTGGACTCCATTTCCATCCATTTCCAATCACACCTCTTTATTATGATCATTATGGTAATGTCACATCTATAAGTTAGTGTGGAGAAATGTTATTCTTAGAGTCTAAGGTGACATATTTACCTAAATCTCTGAATTCATAATTACCGAAACTCGTTTTAGAAGTCAGGTGCTTCCACTTCTCATTTTCTTTATCGTGCACTTTGTTGTTTAAAAAGCATTTACAGTTAAGAGTCGGATCATACAAAACACACAGAGTTGATCCGTCAGCTCAGACCTCTCAGCAGCTGCTCGTCACTTCAGAGCGCCTCCGGGTTTCCTACATATTTCTGAAACACTCTTTTGGCACGTTTTCCTTCTCCTCATTCATCTGTCAGAAAACAAAAACATGAGTCAGTCAGCTCCAGTTTGTCCTCCTTGTTGTTTTACATTTTGGCAGCGAATAAAAGAAGCTCAGGATTTACATATCTGGGATTGTCTTTAGGAGTGACAGGGGATGTTCAGAGGGTTAAAGAAAGTCTCATTATTTGTCGTGTTTGTTGGTCCGTGGAGGTTTCAAGTCAGAAATATTTGATGTCAGATGATAAATGTATAAAAGTCGTTCCTCCCTGTGCTTCTCCATGTCTTTTATTTATGTTTTCTTGGAGCTGAAGGTCCTTGAAGCTCATTAAAACTGTAAACCGGGACCAACAGGGACCTGACTGAACCTCCAGAGATGAAGATCATTTGTTTTTCGATAAACTCTTAAATAAAGCAGATATTTTGTAACAGAGACAGAAGGTTATTCTGGAGTGTTTGTTAACTTCCAGCCTACATGCAGCAGCCTTACATTTTGTCTCTCATCTCCGCAGTGTTTGACGACGGCGATGAAAAGACCCTGAGGCGTTCGTCTCTTTGCCTGAAAGGAGCGCGTCACTTCGCAGAGAGCGAGGTGAGTACCGTTCAGTCCTCCGGATTTTACACCGCAAAGGCAGCTTTCTTTCTCTTTCGTTTAGTTATTTATTGGCACTGTCACATCTTCACTCGCAGTGCCGGAATTAAAAACTCCTCCCATGTTGGCATTTAGAAGTTCAGCTGTAATTTATTTCCAGCCAACGCCGACTCATATCACAGCACAGTTGTTAAGAATCTGTCAGAGGCTGTTGGTAAATCCTTCCATTTGTTCTGATAACATCCCGGGAGGAGAATTTCTTCCAGATATCGATGATAAATCCTGAGAAGATGACTCTGAGTCCGTTTTTTTGTCATCTCTGCAGACACTCGACAGACTCCCTCTCACCAACCCTGAGCACTTTGGCACACCTGTCATCGGCAAGAAGGGCAACCGCGGCCGACGATCAAACCCAATGTGAGTATCATCTCTGTCTCTGAGACGTCTCTGCTCTTGTCAAAGTAGAGGAGAGAGATGTTTCTGCACCAGTCAGGGCTGGGAGTTAAAAACATCTGAACACAGGAACATAAGAAACATGAAAAAAACGTAGACGCACCATCACCAAAAAAAAAAACAGATTGAAATTGAACTAAATGATGTGTCTAAGCTGACCCCGTCTGCAGCAGTAGACGGCCTCGCCTACATCCTGGTTTTCCAGCCATGGATCCCCTTGTGGATGATACACTTCCTGACTGTTGACCTCATTCAACCCCACCTTAAAAATAATAAAAATAAAGAACCATCCCTTTATGACCTTTTCCAGCTATGTGATAGAAAGGAGGATTTACCCTCTATGCTGCCTGTTACACTCAGAGCACTGAACCGTACTTAGACTGCAGTTTTAGACACTTAAACACCATATAATTAACATTAATGATGACCTGTGAGCCAGGCTAATCTTATAAAAGAGATCCCAAATGAAATAGTTTTCACATCCTGTTAAATGAAAGACCTCAGGTCAAAGAAATACAGAACAGAAATTGAAAAAGTGAACTATTTTCCACTCTTCAAAAGTTACACTGAGTTTCCAGCCCGATGTAATGTGTCCCGATTTAGTCCCTAAAACTCCTTCATGTGTACGATAGCTGTTATCATCCTCACTGCTAACCTCATCTCGCCGCACAGCTTTCGTTACCTCTCAAATCTTCCCTGTATGTGAGTTGATTCTTAATGGGAAGTTATAGTAAATATACTGGTTTTAAATTCGGGTGAATATATTCTGAATTCCCGGAGTCACGAAGTCGTGCGTAGTAAATTTTGAGAGTTTTTCAGGTCAGGTCGGCTGTTTTGAACGCTTCTAACTCAGTATGTCCACGCGACACAAACTCAAAACTTGCATACAAAACCGCCAACATTTGAAGGATTTAAAAACTCCCCCGGACAGTCAGACAAGGCCGGACAGCCCCCAAAACAGAGGACATGTCCGGGTAAAAGAGGACGTATGGTCACCCTATTTAAATATCTTTATCTTAAGGTCACCTGTGTTAATAATGGCGCCCCCTCTGGACAAAATGCCACTTCCAGCTCTTTGCTCACCTTCTCACTTCGATCATTAGTTTCTGTTTTCTGTTTTTGAACTGTGTGTGTGTGAGTATTTGCTAAACTGAGCCACTCCTACTCCTGTGTGCAGTCACTCACCTCATCTGACACCGACCTGTTTGGCAGCAGCTACAAACATTTAAAGTATTTATAGGAAGAATCGACCACAACACTGCCGTTCTTATTGGTAGGTCTTGTAGGTCACGTGTAGGAGCGTTAGTATTGATTTCTTTATGTTCAATAACCAGGTATAAGCGCTGATCACAGTCTTAAAGATTTGTGATGAATTACTTGAGCACATCTCACACATATAAATAACTCGGGTGTCTTTGGGGCTTCTTTTTAAGGCTGAGTAGTCTGTAAACAGGCAGCATTTCAGATGATGCGTCTTAATAGAGAGTAATAATAATCAGGGTAGAAAAATGGATCCTGTGTCTGCCGTAGTGCCTCAACAGCACAAATCAGCCGTCGTTAGCAGCAGCAGCAGCAGCTCCCTGTTCTCAGCAGTTTAAATGTACGATTTACTCTCATCTGCATCTCCTCACAAACAGCCCCCGATGTCTGAAAGAGGAGAACCCACTCACCTCCTCCTCCGCCTCCGTCTTAATCAGGCTGCGCTCCTGTGCGCTCATGAATCCTGAAAACGCCGTGTGAGCGCGCGCTTTAGTCGTCTTTGTGTTTTTTTTCCCTGCTTTGACTGAAACGCTCCAGCGGGTGTTTTGTTTTTCCTCATGTGCCCACTCTCGGGACGCCGCAGAGTTTACATCAGGGAATACGATCTGCTCAGGGCTTTTTGGCGCTGGATATAATCAGGGCTCCTCCGTTATATAGAGGACACTCTGCTCCATAATCTCATTTTCAGACACCCCCTCGCTAATGGCACTCAGAGAAAAGTCAATATTACTCCAAACATTGATGCAATATTGACTTGGACTAGTCCCAGCTGCGCATTAGCACCTTGGACCTGTTGTCTTCTTTTGCACTGATACTGTCTTACCCCCTTACAAGGGTTGACAGAAATGACTGTGCAGCAGCTTTCCCTTCACGTCTCCTCTATTTAAAGAGTTTTTTTCTTCTTTTTGACTTGATGTGGATGTAGAAGTTTTTGGAATTGTAATTCAGAGAGGTTAAATTTAATCTTTTTCATATATTTTTCAGGTAAAGTGAAATATTTCAACCCCTTATTTCTTCTTGAGAATCTGAAATCTCATCTCAGATTATTTCAATATTTCCTTCGGATCTTAAAAGCAGATAATGTCCAATATAAGTTAAGTTCATGTGTACACTCACTGCATGTTTTAGGGCTCTTTAAAGATGCAATGGAGGCAAATCACCTGTGGCACCACTGAGGTGTTACTGAAGCCCTGTTGCTTCGATAGTCGCCTTTGGGTGGTCTGTATTATTCGGTTCTCAACAATAACCTGCGGTTTTTCAGAGGGATTAAGTTCAGGTTACCAGCCAATCAAGCCCTCAAAAATTTATGTATTTCATTTAAATCCTCAGTAAACACATGATATATATTTTCACCCCGCCATCAGCCCAAAAATTAGTCGATTTTTGGTGATTTTTCAGGGTTTAAATTTTTCAGTCCAAGAATTTCTTTTGCTGATTACAGACCTAGTTTTAGCTATCTTCCCCTGTTTCCTGTCTTTGTGCTACGCTAAGTGTCAGCTGGCTCTAGCTTGTTATTTAGCATACAGGCGTTAAAGTGCGATTGTTTTCTGATTGAAAGCAAACACCTGTATTAAACTAAATGTGAACCTATTCCCCGTCTAATGGTCACTTTATGTGTTATAAACTCTCTCCTCCTGCATGAGCTGCAGTCTTTCCTCCAGCAGGTGTCTGAATAAATGTTTTGTTTATGACTTTGATTCACAGCTTATTTGTTTTTGTTGTTACTGTAGTTGTAGTAGCAGCAGCCGGGCTGATTTACTGCTCTTCAGTCGTGCCAAAGAGTGTGTGAGCAAGACTTTATGTACATATACACACACACACGCAGCAGACACACACACACACACAAACACAGTGTGTAGTGAGGCATAAAAAAGGACACAGGATCTGTTTTCCTGCTGCTGCTGTGTACATGATCACTCGGAGTCACGGCTGCAGTCAGGGCGTCATCCTGAGTGTGGGGATGACTGTCAGACAGCAGCAGACTGAGCCGGCTCGTCGATACACTGATCCTAACGAGTGAGCTCATCAGTGGAGCGGCCCACATGTTGGACTGTGTTACATAAAGATAAGCAGAACATTTCTGCAGGAGTTTCTGGTTCTGTGGGCTGTGAGTCGGGGACTTTTGGATCTTTTTACTGCTGAAAAATCCTTAAACAAGATCATTTAAGCTCTCAAAAATTTCCCCGATTTTTCTTTGCGTTGGACACTAGAGGCATCCTCTTCAAGGTGTTGATCTACCTTGCAGGTTCACATCCAAATGTCTGTGCTGGTTATACATTCCTCTGGTTTATCAGACTTTGTCTTCATTTTTCAAATCAAAATACTAACACACCTACACGGAGGCACCTCTCACCTGTGCTTGTTTACATCCAGGTAGTAGAGCATTATAGTAAATGTTAATCACAGCTGCAGTCCCAACAAGTGGCAGCAGTTTAGGCACAGCATATGACTAATGAGATGACATATGAGATTTGGAGCAATTTGGTCATAAAAATTTGAGTTTCGAACTATAAGGTGCTCTAAAAATCCTTAAATTTTCTCAAAAATTTGCAGTGCGTCTTATAATCCAGCGTGCCTGATGTATGATTACTTGTTGTGCTTACTGACCAATTTTATGTGGTAAAAATCAAAAATATGTTGAAATGTGTAATTACGACTTTGGTCAACCACGAAGTCGCTCTGCTTAATGGATATTTGGAGAATTATGGTATGCTGTGTCGCTACCTGCCCCGAAACTGGACCCCTGAGCAGTCTACAAGACTGTCTGACTGTAATGTCTAAACTAGAAGTGTATTTATGTAAGGTAGTCAGTGCCCGGAGTATAGGCTAGCAACAACAAAACAATCTATGCCTGATGCGCCTTATGTGTGAACATAGACACGTTAATTCAGTGCGCCTTATACCCTGAAAAATACTATAATTGATCACCTTCATTTCTTTAGTTGTGTATTTAATCGTCTGATTTTAACCTGATCTGAGTGTCCAGAAAAACAGTCATGAAGTCAAACACACTGACTGTTTCTGCAGCCTGTTGAATAATCTCTTCTCTGTTCATTTCCACAGTCAAGAAGAAGAGCTGTCGTCATCCTCCAGCGAGGAAGAGGAGAGCGATCAGCGGCAGAATGAGGACCTGTTCGGCAAAGTGGTCTGTGTGGAGGGGGTCGTCACCGGGGACAAGAAGAAAACCACGTGGTATCCTGCTCTGGTGAGATCATCGCCCCCCTTTCACTCGCTGCTCTCTGCTGCATCACAGGGACCGGTTTCAGATCTCTCACAGCACAGGAACATTTCATCCACATGCCTGATTGTGTAACCTCGGCAGGGTCTCTTTATCAGCCGTGAAACGCACATAGTTTTGAGAGAAATACAGGATGAACTTCTGATTTCTTATTTAGAGAGGAAAAAAAATAAAGATGACGTCTGTCTCCTGATGTGTGCAACAATTGAGCATGCTTTCTTTGAGTCATTTCAAATCTATTTCTTCCCTCCCACCCAAACTCAGAGCCACTGTTCACTCACAATGACTCCATGACAGGCGGCGTTTGTTTATGTAAGTGTTACAAGCGTAGCTGGGAGAATGGGAGCGGGTGGAGGCGAGCTGTCCCTTTAAACGTGTAGTCAGCAGGGCCCCACCTCCAGGGTTTGTTGTTCTTGGCTGTATCCTGCCTGAGCTCCATGCTGCCTCCCTGTGACGGCAGAGGAAAGTGCAGCACACACAGCAGCAGCCTGATCGTGTTTACACTCTGAGCGTATGGCAGAGGGGTGGAGCAGTGCACTTGTAAACGTCTCATGCTCAGATGATGCATGAGTTTAGCAAACCGGTGTGACAAAGCGGCTCGGCGGAGGCAAAGTCAGGGCTGCATGGGAGAGAGCTGGGAGCTTAATTTGCAGGTTTGCAGAGCGGCGTATGCGTCAGAGAGGGAAACACAGCAAAAGTGAGTCACTGACAGTGTTTATGTGAGAGCATCCTCCCTGTAAGTGTGTGTACGGCCCCGTCCCAATCTCCACCCTCCATCCTGAGCGCTGAAACAACTTCTACTCTCGCCGCACTGCTCCAGTAAGCAGCTGCAGCTCGCCCCACGCATCGCTCTTCATCTCACTGGCTGGTTTGTCTTTGTTTCACAGAGAGCATATAGAGTAATCCATCAGTATGGCCTTTAGCTCAAACTACTTTATTACTCTGACACCACCCCTTAAGCTTTACTACATAAACACACACAGAGGAACACCTCGCCTGACCTCTCCTCTGTCTCGTTTCTCCACTTTAAGGTCATCTCCCCGGACTGCCATGAAGACGTGACGATGAAGAAGGACAACATCTTCGTCCGCTCTTTCAAAGACGGAAAATTGTGAGTTATTTCTGTTATTAATCTGCTTGAAAACACATTTTGTTTGAGTGAATCTGTCAGGAAAAAAACTCACCTCACAAAAACAGAAGCGATCTTTTCAGAAGCTGTTTCACCCAAATGACCAACATTAAAACCGGATAAATCATCCGAGCTGTTGTGGATTAATTCTCCCAGTCAATTAATCAACTAATCAATTAGTGCTCGTGTTTAACAATCCCATCAGGAGTCCTGAATGAGTCTTTAAACAGGGTGTTAATGTTGTGAAAGAAAGCGCTCCCACCCTTTTTTTCTTTGTTTTAATACTTTTTCGTTTACTGAACTCCCCGTTAATGAAAAATCTTTGTATTTGGAGACTCTCTGTCAGGTTTTATTTATGTCTTTGTTGGAAACATGAAGGAAATTGTTCTTTTATTGTTTAAAAGTGCCTCTAAAATGGAAATTCAGACTGATACAGCTTCACCGAGGGAACTGAAATAACTTATTTATTTTTTATAAAATTTAGTCACAGAAACTCCCTGAAACAATTTAACAAAGATGTCTTAAAAAGATGTTTGATTTATGACATTTAATTTTTTAATATACGAGATAAGATGAGAGAAGAAAGAAGATCCAAAAATACCTGCAACACAAACGAGCATCAAAAATATATAATATATAAAACAGGTAAAGACAGCTGAGACATGCTGGTTCAGAGGATCAGGCCCTTCTGTGCCTCTGACTATCTACTTTTGTGGATCTCAAGGCTGTTTGGACCCAGATCACATCAGCTCTAGTTTCAGGCTTTGCCCTCATAACCTGCATCAGCTCTTCAGAGGGAGATAAAACCTCGACCTCCTTCTCCATCAGTGCTGTTATCAGTGAAGCTGGGGGAGCGCCGCTGAATGTTTACTCTTCAGATGTCGTTTTAAATCAGTGATATTGAACTCAGATCCTCTGTTACTGTCTCACAGATTGTTTTCACCTCCTGGTTCAAACTGTTGACAGTTTAATGCTGATCTTAAATCTGTCAGAACTAGGATCCCTCAGTTATGTTTTTGATATGCATGTTAGGGAGGTTTCTCAGGCTTTTAAGGACACTCAGGGAACTACAGTTTGTGCACTTATCCAGCGACTTCATTCTGAAACATCAGAGGCCGCTGCTTGAGCAAAAATCCATTTTTACACTGAGTGATACTGAATTAATAAAATTTGCTCTTCGTGCAGGAATAATGTTTTGAGAATTGCAGCAAACGGCTTTAATTCCTGAGAATGAATTTAAGATAGAGAAGAGAGTTGATGTTCATTTTTCTAGACCTGATTGAGGTTTTCTTTCTGTTAGAAACTTCTCATGTAGTTCAAAGTTTTGAGTCCAGACCTCAATGGCTCTTTTGTTCGTCTCTTTAGGTTCATATTTATAAGAAATTCAGAACCACTTCTAAAAAGTGGTAACATTTTCATATTGTGTAACCTCCTAACAAGGCTTCAGACGCTCTCTTCCTCCCCTTTAAGTCCCTTGCTGTGAAGTTTTATTTTTCCAAAGTCTGTAAGTTTCTGGTGGGTTGAAGTTTTGTGGCTCCCCTGCAGTCTGCCCTCGGTGTTTGTCAGAGGCAAAGAGAGGAATAAGTCCTGTCAGGAGCCGCCGCACTAAGCTCCTGGTTTGCAGCTGTAGGCTCTGTGTGTGTCTCAAGTGTGTGTGGAGGAACAAATCCCACTCTCCACAGAAATGAAACTGGTGTTTGCTGCCATTCAAAGACTCCCGTAATCACAAAACAGCCTTGAGTCCACGAAGCTGAATAGACACCCCGCCGACAGTCTTAATCTGGAGCTGGAGACGTACTTCCATCAAGATAAGAGTGAAAAGTGTCTTTTAATGCTTTTATTCTGACTAAAGGAGGGTGGACGGCTTTTGTTGCACATTAAGTCTGAGGCGGTTTTGTTTTCTGTTCTGCACTCATCAGCGAAACGAGTCAATCAGGAAAACTCACATCATGTTCAAGTTTCAGTTTGAGTCTTTTGCTTTCACACAGAGGGACTAACAAAGAAAAAGAGCGCTCATCTGTTACACCGTACAAAGCTCGGTTTGTGCAGTGATTTTTCATTTGCACATGAATCGGCGGCAGCTCCACACTTGTGTGCGTTTGGAAAAATAATAGGACAGCTGTGATACTTCTGCACCGTTTCCTTTTTTTTTTCATCTGCTTCTTCATTCTTTCACACACGCTCCATTTGTCCGTGTTTATTATTGCAGGTTTTTATCATCCGTGTCAGCCTCTCTTCCTCTATTATGGCCCAGTTATTCCAACGTGCCGCTCCCTCTGTGATCTGTTTATGAATACGGGGTCACATCCAGAAGCCATGTGACCTCTCTCTGGCTCTGCGGCGGGGTCAGCGTGTTCGTTTTCCTCTGGAGAGTTTGGTATTGTTAGCGATAACCATTCAGCGGGCCGCTTCAAAAACAATGGCTTTGGAAAGCAGGTTCACGTCCAGCAGGGAGACAGGAGTTTTCAGGAAGTGGTTACTCTGATTTAGCCAGATCTGGTTACTGTAGTAACAATGGAAACAGAGGCGTTTATTATTTCTAGGCTGGCTGGCTCACAAAGGGGTCTGCGGTGTTGACGTGCTTAAAAAGTGCTCTTAAATCACCGTGTTTGTTTTGAACTTTCAAAAACTCACCATGAAAATAAAGTGGCGATCTTATTTATTCGACCGAGGGAAAACACGCGGTGTCACGAACCGACATAAAACTGTGTAACCTCATTTAGGAGCTTATTCATGCTGGTGTGTTGAAGAATTAGCTAGTGGAGCATTTTTATCTTTAGAGACATAAAAATCACAATAAACCTGCTGTAGCTTCATCCCTCTCTCTCTCTGTCTCGAGTGTTTGCCTGTACTCATGCTGTGCAGCAGTCCTGTAGTCTTTTTTCTGCGCTGTAAAGTTTTCTTACTAGAACTGGAATCAACTAAATGAATTCTTGATCGACTAAAACCCTAAAATTTTCGATCTACGATGCGGCTCGGCGGGGTGCACATATACTTATATCAACACAAGCAGGCGGTTAAACGCAAAAGGCAAGTTAGGAAGCAAAAAGAAATGTTCGGCAAACCACCGGATGTTGATTAATTTAGACGCTTGTCAACCTTCCTGTCTCCTGCCAGTCTCGGCCGAATCCAAAATGGTGAAAACAAGATGGGTGTACCGAGGCAGGCTGTTACCATAAACTGTATATAGAATGGACGCCGTCTGCCTCCTCGCTGGGTAAAGCCACTCCGAGAACAGCACCCTCTGTTGGCAGGCTGCAGTATAGGTCATAAATCCTGCCTCCACCAGCAATCCCTATGGAGCTGTGGACAAACTTTGGAAATAACAAACGAGTAATTCAGCTGTCAGCTATCACCAATCAGAATTACTGTGTCTGAGTGTAGTTAAAAGTGCTTGTACTATGTTTCGTGCAATAAAATAACCATTATTGTCGGTCTACAGGGGAAAATGTGCTCATTGTGAATCTGGTTTTTATTACTGATAGTGTTTATATGGCTGTTTTCACCTTTTGTTAGTCACTTAATGACTATTTTTGAAGGTATAATGTGCAGAAATGTGAATATTTACTGATATCTGGTGCACATATTCCAAACTCAAACACCTTCTGCTAATAAAGTATAAACCTCATATTGTCCAGGTTTCACCATCCGTGTGAGTCATGAATGGCTAACGTGTATCACGTGGTTCTTCCACTTTTCTGCTTGAGCTGTTTTTTTTGCTTTATAAGCAGCAGCTGGTGGTCGAGTGTGAAAACAAACAGCTTACTGTCTGATCTGGATTTGTCTCAAACACACCCCAAAATTTTGAGTCTCAAAGAAGATCAAATGTTTTGTCTTCATACTTCATTTGACATCAAACAAAAAAGGATCACTGGCCCAGGCACCCCATGAATATAGAGCTCAAAGTCTTTGTTGTAGTGGCTGCTGGTTCGATTCCTGGCTGAAAGTGTAACAAAAACAGGTGTATGGTGATTCTTTTTGTAGTTTAGCAGGTCCAAAAAAACAGATGACTTATAAATCAGTTAAATTAACTAGATCTGTATTACACTGCAAGAGAAATGTTATAAATATCAGCACTAATGTTATTGTTGGCTGAATTAACTACTGTGTCCACACCTCAGAGCTGCCACAGTGGATGTTAACTCTTCTTCTGGTATTTGAGATGATCTCATTTTTAGTCATTTTTGCACATTTGTGTCTTTTCTCATCTTCAAACCAGATAATTAAAAAAAGAGAGATCATCCTCAGGAGATATTTCAAACCGCAGGTGTCAGTTTTCCTCTGAGCTCTGTCTTTTTTGATTTGCTCCATGACAAATGTATGATTGGATCGGCTCAGCTGTCTGCAGATACCACAGCAAATCGTCTCTCTGTCACACTCTCCAAACCCCTGACTGCTTTCATTTTACAAGCTCCACTGATCCATCTATCTGCCAAAGCACTTACACTCTGCCCAGCTGCTGCAGAGATGTTCACTCCCTTCAGTCATGTCTGCTCTGGGTTTTTTTTTTTTTTTTTTTACCGGTTGTTGCTGTTGCTGGAAGCTCAACTCTTTCATTCCCCCTGCCTGTGTTTTGATGCCAGCTGAACCTTTGTGTAACAACACTTGATGCCACCTGTGTACAGGTATTAATCAGAGGTCCTCTGTTTTACAGCTACACGGTGCTGAGGAAGGATGTCCGAGAGATTAACAGTGAATGTCCTCCAAAAGCCGACGCAGGGCTCAAACCAGGTGAGTTCAGTGAAAAGACTATGGTGACATGGAAATTTTACAATGTGTGATTCATTTACATTAATTCCGTTATAACCAGTGTTAGGCACATTACTTTTAAAAAGTAATTAGTTATAGTTACTAATTACTTCTCCCAAAAATTAACTAAGTTATTAACTAAATTACTCCACTTTAAAGTAACTAGTTTGCTGGAAAAGTAACTATCATATTGTACTGTATCGTATTGTTTGTATCGTATCCTGTCGTTTCGTATCCTATCGTATTGTATTGTATCGTATCGTATCGTATTGTATTGTATTGTATCCTATTGTTTCTGATCGTATCCTGTCATTTCGAATCATATCGTATTGTATTGTATCGTATCGTATCGTATCTTATTGTATGGTATCGTATCCTATCGTATTGTATCATACCGTATCGTATCCCATCGAATCCTATTGTATCATATCGTATTGTATCGTATCTTATTGTTTCGTATCATATCCTGTCGTTTCGTATAGTATTGTAATTTATTGTATCGTATCATAATGTATTGTATCATATTGAATCGTATCGTTGCCTGTAGTTTCTTATCATATTGTATTGTATAGTTTCGTATCCTATTGTTTCGTATCCCGTTGTATCCTATCATATTGTATCGCATCGTACTGTATCATATCCCATCGAATCTTATTGCATCAGATTGTCTTGTATCATATTGTATCGTATCTTGTGGTTTCGTAACATATTGTATTGTATTGTATCGTATTGTATAGTATTGAATCATTTAGTAGCCTGTTGTTTCGTATCACATTTTATTGTATAGTTTTGTATCCTATCATATCGTTTCACATCGTATCCTCTCGTATTATGTTGTATCATATCGTTTCGTATTGTATTCCATCCTATTGTATCATATCGTATCGTATCATATTGAATCGTATAGTTTCGTATCCTGTCGTATCGTATCGTATTACAGTGAAGAGTCTGCCTCTGCCTGAGGTTCCAGTTCAGTCAAATTCAGATTTACTTCCTCTCTCTCTCTTTCCTAATAAATCAATGTATTCTTGGACTGACTGGAACAGACTTTTCATAGAGTGCCCTCAGTATGTAAAAACACTGTGCTGGTCTTCCTGCTGTTACACTTGGCAGAGCGCTCTTTCTTTCTAAAGCGGGCCTCGCCGAGACAGAGCGGGGAAATGGAAGATTTGTTTTAGTTCAGGGGAATTCAGAGAGCTGCTGTCACAGTCAAGTCTATTTTCATTTGAAGTCCTTAGCAAGTTTTTTTTTTATATATAAAAAGCCCCGGCTTTTCTGCTGCAGAGCTCTCACGCTTTTATAATTACAGTTAGGAAGCTGCTTTGTGTTAGACCAGTCTTGGTATTCACAGGTGGTTGACTCACAACTGTGATATTTTCCGCATTACAAAAGCGTAAAACAAGCATCTGGCAGTGTGCTTAGATGCTGTTTATACCCACCTGTGACACTGTGGCTGAACGCTCCTGCTGCTCTGTGTCGCTGCGAACTCTCGTGACAGACTTTCATGCTGCTTTCTGCCGCAGCCGATTTTCTTCATCCTAACGTCACAAAGGCCGTTTATACCCTCCTATTTTTGGGTTGCGGGTCTGTCTTCAGAGTTTAGATAGCAGAAAAGGTACTCATGTTATTTTCAGCTGGATAGTTTTCAGAAATATACTCTTATTTTTAGTATTTTCCTCAGAGGTAACAGACATCTACAGTATACATGCACACAGGCCTCATCCCTTTAAAACACACAGGAGAAGGTTTCCATCTCCATCTGCTCATCTCTATTTTTACATGGAAACAATACATGATGATTTAAACATGATGTTATTCTGTGTGTTTTTCGACAGCACTGGACGCAGCCTTGGAGTTCCTGCAGCAGTTCGTCGTGCCGAGCGCCTGGAAGACAGAAGTAAAAGAAGAGAGCTCCAGCAGCGAGGATGACGACGAGGATGAAGAGGAGGAGCAGGAGGAGGATGCCAGTGGCGAGGAGGAGGAGGTAGAGAAAAATCTGGAGAAAAGTCCAAAGTCCAAAAGAAAAGGTTGAAATAAAAAAATCCTGAAACTTTCTTGTTTTTCTGTCTTCAGGAGGAGGTGGAGCCGTTCCCAGAGGAGCGAGAGAACTTTCTGCAGCAGCTCTACAAGTTCATGGAAGACAGAGGTGAGAGCAGATAAAGTCTATACCAGGGTCTCTTTTAAACCAACTTTAACTTTAAAAACGTTAACATTTTTAAATCAGCTTAACTTGGCTTTTAAGGTATCTGAAAGTTCTTTAAGCAAAGATTTAAGTTTCTTCTGCTGCACTTAAAAATTTATTTGTCAGGATTATTCAAACACTTATCAGAAGTTAAATCGTCCTGAAAAATTTGTCTCTGCATATTGATAATAATGCTTTTAAAATGTCTCTAAGAAGTTTTTAATTTTAATTTAAGACTGTATTTCCATTAAACTGTAATTTTCCGATTGTTGAATCTGAACCTGAATCTGTATCTCTCCTCCTCAGGAACCCCGATCAACAAACGGCCTGTTCTGGGCTACAGGAACCTGAACCTGTTCAAGCTCTACAGGCTGGTGCACAAACTGGGAGGCTTTGACAACGTGAGTAACACTCAAACAGCTCCTCTCTTTGTCAGCTGATCCTGTTTTTGACGATGACTGACTCTGGACCCGGTTTCTTCCTCAGATTGAAAGCGGCTCCGTGTGGAAGCAGGTCTACCAGGATCTGGGTATCCCCATACTGAACTCAGCCGCCGGATACAATGTCAAATGTGCTTATCGCAAGTAAGTAGAGATGCTCCTCAAAGCCTTCAGCTCTGCATGGATGTTGTTTTCTTTCTGTTTGCCTGACAGGCACTTTATCGTCTGTTCCGCTTTATTTTCGTGGATCCAGATGATCTTTGAAACTGCAGGAACAGATTAGCTTCAAGATTTTCATGTTTGATGTGATTGTTTGTGCGTCTCTGAGAGGAGCAGCTGAGCGGCACCGTGTTGACCAATATGTTCTAACATCCAGGTACTTGTACGGATTCGAGGAGTACTGCACCTCCACCGCCATCACCTTCAGGATGGACCTCCCTTTGAAGCAGGGCCCAAAGGGGGAGGCGAAGTCTGAGGTGGAGGCGGGAGGAACAGCTGCAACATCCTCCACTTCTGAAGAGCAGAAACCCCAAGAGGACGGAGAACCTTGTAGCGCACCGTCTGTTGTCTGCAAGGTGCTTTCTCGTTTGATACCGTCCGGTTAAATTGTCTTACTGCCCTGTAAAATATTCTGTTTTATTTCTCTAGAAATTCTTATCTGATTTACTAAAATTATTTCGTCCTTCTCCAGGAGGAGAAACCTGACCTGAACCGAAACAAAACAGAGCCAGAACCATCGCAGACGGAGGGGAAGGAGAGCGGAAACGAGGAAGAAGACAAGGAAGACTCGCTGCTCAAGGCTGACGCGGACGAGGGCTCGTCGACAGCTCGCCTCGGAGCGGACATCGTGAAGCAGGAGTGCGACGAGGAACAGGAGAGCAAGGACAACTCTGGGTAGGTGGTCTGAAAGGACGCTCCCTCCACCAGGGCAGTAAAACAACAAAAATCTCCTCATGGCACAAACGCAAGCTCCCTGCAGGGCTCCTGCACTGCATCAAAAACTCAATCTGACCCAAAGATGATCCAAAGCTCTAAAGTCCAAAACCAGCCGAGGAATTCACTTTCCTCAGTGGCAGTAAAACCTCAATGACCCCCCCCCGACCTTAATGACACTAATTCCCAGTTTACCCACAATCCCCCTCAACCTGCTAACCAGAGAGAGGAAGGCTCTCCTCTCTCTCTCCTCTAACTAAGCTCTTACCCACTGCCCTCTGTGCTATTATTATTTCTCTCGGCTTAGTCGGCATCAGCTGGCAGAGACATCTTAGAGCACCAAGCCTGACTGCTACTGTTCACCTGGCATGTCACGCTGTGCTCTCTCTCCCTCTCTCTCTCTCTCTCTCTCTCCCTCCCTCTCTCCCTCTGTCTCTCTCTCTCTCGGTGCACAAACATGGCTGTGCCCTTCCCCTGATCTCTCATCTCTATCTCTGGCCCCCCCCTCCGTCTCTGTCTCCTCTCTCCTTTTTTCGCTTTTGATGTTCGGCTTTATTAAATGTTCCATGTGTGTGAGTGTTGTCACCGATGCAATAGCGCCATAGACGCCGAAACGTGGAGCTTCAGAGGCAGCACCCTTTGAGAAGAGAGAGTGGTTTGTTCTCGGTGCTCGTGTGGTTTGGTTTGTTTGCGGTCCAGAGCATCTGGACGGGTTCTGTCTCCTGGGCTCGGACGTGTGTTTGTTCAGACTCCAGTTTGGGACTTCGCAATGAGGACTGGCTAGAAAAGGTCGAGGTTTACAGTTTGCATCATATGTATCCTGCCCTTTTCATTTGTTTGTGTGAACCGTTGAACGAAACATCTGCATCTCCGCTTGTTCTGAAATACTAGATTATGCCTTAAACAGACGCCGACGTCTCGGGATGGTGACTCCGGGGTCGACATCTTCTCCCTTTTCTGACCAGAACACACATTTAACTTTGTGACTCTGATTCTCTAAACTTCTAAACTTTTTATACCACAAAACAATAACAAGAGACGAAAGAAGCGAAGAAAAACAAGCTCTGAAAAAGACAACATGTTATTTCCTGGTCGTTTTAAAACGATTACGCTCATTAAAACTCTGCACAAATATTCAGGGAGGTTCGGTTTTTGTGTCTCTCTGCTCCGCCCTCCATCACAGACACTATCAGAGTTTACATTCCCCGGTATCGGCTGTTTATGTTGCTGTTTTCACATGCAGATAAAAATAACACTTTAGAAAAAAAAAACATGTTGGTCTGGATACAACATGTTTTTTTTTTTCACTTGAAATTCATGTGGGAAAAAAAAGGATCTTCTTGTTTCCAGGATCTACTCTTAATAAACTCGTTTACAGTTTATGACAGAGCAGCAAAGCGTGTGATTATGTTTAACTAAACGCCACATGACGCATCCTACACTACAACACACGCAAGACAAAGAGCTGAATGAAACCTTTGTTCCCCAGAAGAAGACGCTCTCCACCACGACGCAAGAGCATAAAACACATACATGACAAAGACAAAGACATCAACAAGACAGTGTGTAGTAAACACAAACACATGAATGAAGCCATTAAACGGTTAATATCAGAGTGTTGCATGGCAATGATGTAAAATACCCTCTCTATTGAATACCTGTTAAAAAGATGACTCTCGTACTGGCAGGAGGAGTCAGATAAAGGTTCAGTTAGAGTTTAATACCCACAGAAACAACAATGAAAACAAACCTCTTTTTGGATTTTAAACAGTTTGACACGCTTATTAAAAAAACAATAAAACATTCAGATAACTCCTGGTCCTACATGTCTGAAAACCCCGTTATCTAAACACCTCTGTCCTCCTTTCTCTCTCTCAGTGCAGCACTTTGGATCGACATATTGACTCTCAGCTGTTGATCAACTTGATAGATAATAACCAAAAATATCTAATTTGATTAACTGGCTCCTGGCCTCGGTGTTTGTTTTGTTTTATTTCTTGTAAATGTAGCTATGAGACCTGTATAACCACTCTTATGTCTGCGAGTCGGTCTGTTAAAAAGGAAGTAGACTTTCAGGAAAAAAAAGTCTGCGGTGACCTCTGACCCCTGTATCATTGCAGGCTGTCAAACACTGATGTTCTCTGAGGTTGTACAGACGCTCAGATTATGTTTTCATCTGCTGCAGACAGACTCAGAGCAGAGGACAGAGTCTCCAGGTCCTTTTATGTTCATCAGTCCTGACCTGTGGACGATTGGCTATGAGCTCCAAACCAAACCACTGCACAGTGACTGACACACTGAAATGTCCAAATAAGAGAAAACACAGAGAGTAGACTCTGCGGAGACACACACACACACACACTTTGTCTTGCCTCCAGGTATCATGATGTTGTTCATGTTGGGCGGTAGTGCACAGGCATATTAAGGCCTCCCGGCTGTGGAGGCATAAAGACCGTGTTTCTCCAGGATCATCTGAGCTAATGTGGCAGCTTCACGGATATAAGACGAGGCTGAAAATACCGGATACACTCAGAGTGCAACTGAACTGTTCTGAAAAACAGACCGACTAGTAATTCTGAAATCAAATTCTTAGCGGTCAAAAAACAAGCAGATTTAATAAACTTCTCTGCATGAAGGACAAAACCAGCAAAGACCAAAAAGCTATGACTTTGTCCAAAAGGGGGCGCCAAAAGCATCACAACCCATACTGTAAGTTCCTCTCTGGAGCTTTGAAATGTCGACACGGTGTCCCCAAACTTTTCTGCACCATCCTCTACACTTCACCAAATATTGAACATATTAAATATTAAACTCATCCTTTGCTCCTTTGAGGACGCACATCCTAAAAAACAATCCAAAAACAAAAAATTGCATTTTATAAAAAATATATGTATATGAATAAAAATAAAAGAAGTCGCGTTTGCAAGAAAAGCAAATCAAACTGAATTTTCAGTTTGTGCGGTTTCTAACTTTTTAGTGTGTGGTTAGCTTGGTTAGTGGAGATCGTGTGACTCTTCTGAATTCCTTGTCTCTGTTTGAGAAGTTGCATCATGAAAGATTCATCATCATCATCATCATCATCATCATCATCATTATCAGCAGTAGTCTTTCATTTACCTGGTAGTCCTGTTACAAAACAGATCATGCTTTAGTAGAAACTGTGAGCCTCTTTTAGGGGTACCCCTTTTACCTCCTTACCAACCTTAAGGGTAGCTCCGCCCACTTTGGGAATCGCTGGAATCAAGAAGAGTCAACGTGAATAAAAACAAAAAATGTAATTGAAAGCAGATTTGTGCTTTTTGGAAACAACCTCCCACGATAAATGCTCTTTTTTTCCAAATATTTATTCGAGTTTTTATAAAGTTGTAAAACATTTTTATGATTTTCATTCTCTTGGTTAGTTTTGATAGTTAAGATTATAAAATAAAACTTCAATAAAAAAATACAAGTCGTATAAAAGAGGGGGTCTTTTTCTCAAATGATAAAAACAGGTAAGCACACAGAGGTCCCGAGTTAATGAGGTGTGTTTTGAGGAACAGTGTGATTTCCACCACTTCCATAATTCCTCAAACTTGATTTTCTGAAGCTTAAGAGAGAAAATAATTCCTTTTAAAAAAATAAGAATTTCATAAACAGTCTTAAATAAAGGGAGGGACAGGTTCACACCAGTCTTTTGGGTTTTCAAACACCAACAACATAAAGTTTGTCCCTAATTAAAACACATAATTTTATCATTCATTCATGAAAAAGTCGATTTTTTTATACCTTTTCTCAGATTATTTCCAAAGCAGAGATGAGTGCTCCTGATGTTCAGCGTTTTATTTGTTTTTTAAAGTTCAGTTTGGAGTTTGGTAACAGTTTCTGAAGTTGGCTCACTTGGCTTGTTGTTGTTGTTGAGAACCAGCCGTCAGCTGTGAGAGGGGTTGTTGTGTTGTTGTAGTTGTGCTGTTGTTGTTGATGTTGTTGTGTTGTTGGCTGCAGACCAAATTGGATCTGCTCGCCTCGCTTCCTCCAGACGCTGTAGTCTCGCTTTAAGTCGCTCCGCGCTGCCTGCCAAGCCGTGCCGAGCCGTGCTTTGCCGTGCTAACCCCGCCCCTGTGGCCCCCTGTGGCTCCTGCTCCTAAACCACTTACTGCACCGCCCTCCAGCTTCGACATCTCCTGACTGTTTCCCACTAGCTCCTCCTTGTGGCTGCTTTGTTTCTCACAGTGCGTATGCGTCTGCGTGCGTGCTCGTGTGTGTGTGTGAGTGTGTGTGGATGAGAACCCCACGTATGTTGTGGTGCGTGGACGTAGGGTTAGCCAGCCTAACAGTAGAGTTAATTCCCATGCAAGGTGATTGATTTTTGCCATGAAAGACTGATGTTTTATTTCCTGACACACTCCATGTTCTGTTCTGTGATTCAGTTTGCAGTCTGCTGTGGGTTTTTTCAGTGGAAGAGAGTTAAAAGAGAGAGTGGGGAGCTAATGTTTCTGTTTAGGTCAGGGTTTAGCGCTGTAGCGGGACAGGTGGAGCAGATTGATTAGAAAACAGGCAGGCAGAGAGACGGGTGTGGGTGCGGGCGGGTGTGGGTGGGGGTTTTGTGGGGCAGCCTAGGGCCAGGAAGTGCTGAACTGTTTTTCTTGCAGGGATGACAGCAGTCAGGAAGGTCAGGAAGGGGAGGAGTTTGAGTGTTACCCCCCGGGGATGAAGGTGCAGGTGAGGTATGGGCGAGGCCGCAATCTGAAGACGTACGAGGCCACTGTGAAAGAGGCAGACGTGGAGGGGGGAGAGGTGCTCTACCTGGTGCACTACTGTGGCTGGAACGTCAGGTAAGACAGGACCTGGGGAGAAATCACCTACAACTCTATTCACCCTGAAAAAAAAACAAAAACAGACATATCTCTCTTTCAAAGGATCACCTCTACACAGGTGTCCTGCAGCAGAAACAGATAACATCCCCACCTCACAATTCTGCTTCAGTCAGTGCTTTGATTACGGAGAACACTGCGCCATCTAGTGGCGGAAACAGAATTGAGTATTGAGGTTGATGTGGATCAGTCCTCGGCCTCCACGCTTTGAATCCCCTGTCTGTCTGTCCCCCAAACTGTCTGTCTCTGAACCAACTCCACAGACAGGCTCGATTTGAACAGAACGACTTTTCCAAATCTACAACCTCAGCTCCAAAAGAGTCAGGAGAGCAGATTCTGATGGTTTGAAAAGCATTTTAAACAAACAGCTGATCGAAAAGAGAGCAAAGAAATGTTGAAACTGAAAAACGTTCTTGATCGAGGAAAAATTTGTGCTCATTTTAAACACCAACAAACTCCTGTGACAGTGAGGTGAGGTTCATGAGGAGGTGTGTCAGAAAGATGATGGTTCTTAGCGTAGAACTGCAAAGTTAAAAGATTTCAAAGACCCTGAGAATTTTAGTTTTTTTTAGGTGACAGTATTTAAAAAGAGAATAGATATGACTCTGTAGTGAAAATCACCGCATGAGTTAAAAAAAATACATCTAAAACCGTTGTCTATAAACAGAATTAAATTATAGACGTCTATGTCCTTACTGTGAAGGCTCCAATAATGCTGAACAATAGCTCCAGGTTTAGGAGCATCAGGACTCTGTAGTTGGAGTCACCACATGGGGTTAAAGGGATAATCCGGCGTAAAATCAAACATACTGTAACATCGAGTTAGACACTCCCTCAAGAGATGAATGTTGCCGACTGCTTGCTTCTCTGGTTATACCAACTTTGGTAACGACCGCAGGATAGTAATACACAGTGGTCTGAGGAGCCATAAACAAACCTCAACCAAAACGCCACTCTATAGCCACAAATAATGCTCAGAACAGCACCTAACTTCATCAACAGTACATATAGGGTCCCAGCCATAGTACTAGACACCAAACATCTTTTTAACTTTGACTAATTTCTTTAACAAAGAGACTAAACACAACTCACCTACTCTCTTCCAGCAGCCACTTGTTTGTAGTGAGACCTTGGGCCAGTCCATTACGGACTACAGGGGAGTTTCACAGCTCAAGGAAGAACATTTATGGAAATGCAATCAGACAAAATGATTAATATGATGATTATTACTTCAAGGAAATTATAAAGAAATGATCATAAATGTTCTTCCTTGAGCTGTGTCACCCCGCTGTAGTCTGTAATGAACTGGCCTGAGGTCTCACTACAAACAAGCAGCTGCTGGAAGAGAGTAGGTGAGTTGTGTTTAGTCTCTTTGCTTTTGATGTTTGGTGTCTAGTACTATGGCTGGGACCCTATATGTACTGTTGATGAAGTTAGGTGCTGTTCTGAGAGCATTGTTTGTGGCTATAGAGCAGCGTTTTGGTTGAGCGCGTGACTCTCTGTATTTCTATCGTGCGGTCGTTACTAAAGTTGGTATAACTAGAGAAGCGAGCGGTCGGCAACATTCATCTCTGGAGGCGGTGTCTAACTCGGTGTTACGGTGTGTTTGACCCTAAATTAATTTTACGGAATATCCCTTTAATATCGCTGGAACTGTCCTGAGGTCTGATGAATCAAAACACTCTTTTTTGCAAGTAAGTCCAGTTGTCCTTCCAACGAAGAGCTGGAAATCATAGATGCTGCATCCTCAGTACCACATTCTGACAACAGGAATTATAACAGCATTTAATCTGAGCACATAATTTTTCTTAAACGATCAAATTCGACAGTTTCTCCATTTTCTTTCTTTGCTGATAAAAAATTGAACAAACTCAGAGTCTGTTTTCATCCCCGTGTTACCCGGGTGTTTTGGAGTCGAGGTTGTCCGCTACGACACTTTGAAGTGAGCTAACTTTGTGATCTCTGAAAGGCCAAACTTAAAAACACTCACCTCTACCTCTCAACCCCCTCCCCCTCTCTCCCCTCCCCAGCGGGTCAGGGTTAAAGCTGTGCTAACTTAGAGTGTTAGGGTACCATGACACGGAGGTTAACTAGTGCAAAACCAGCATCTCATTGTCTCAATGTCGTCGTGTGGTCCTCTAGCACTCTACCTCTAAAGACAGTGGGATGTTCTCTGCATTGTGTCTGTCGTCGTCGTCGTCGTCGTGTGCGATGTCGTGAAACTTTTTCATTTCTCCTCATACGACCCAAAGTAGCTCCCTTGGTACTGTTGGAACTGTGTGGAACATGATGTGTGTGGTGCTCGGTGTAAATATTCTTTCTTTCTTCATTGTAAAGGTTTGTCTTTTTCCACATAACACCATGGGATATCTCTTCCTTTGCTGTTAAGGCGTTTTGTGTCACAGCAGCATGTCGGGGTCAGACTGTAGAGGTGTCTGTCTGTCTGTCCGTCTGTCCGTCTGTGTGGTGGGTGGTGTGAGAGGATTATCTGAGCTCTCTTCACAGGTCTGAGTAATCAAACTCGCTCTTTCTCTGTATTCTGATTTTCTTCTAGATACGACGAGTGGATCAAAGCCGACAAGATTGTGCGCCCGGCCAATAAGAATGTACCAAAAATAAAGCACCGCAAAAAAATAAAGGTACGAGATCCGCAGAGCGCCGACTTCTTCTCACCTGGTTTGGTTTCTCGGTGTAAATCTCTAACCGTGTCGCTTCCCCCAACAGAACAAAGCAGAGAGGGAAAGAGACCGGCTGGAGAGGCTCAACGACAGGGACGTCCTCGGCCCGCCTAACCGGCTCCCACGCTCCAAATGCGGCCTGAGTCAGGATGTGTTTTCCAAGATGGACGAGGGTGAGGACAAAGGGACTCAGCAGTCTCCAGTCAAGTCTATAGAAATTACTTCTATCCTCAATGGCCTGCAAGGTAGCAACACTCATTAGCTCGTAGCATTTAAATGAACACTTACAGCAGATCAGGAACTGTTTGACTCTGAAATACTTGAAATACAATCCCCGTCCAAAAGAGTTCTGGGAAATCTCGGACAGATTCTGATGGTTTGCAAATCAGTTAAACACTAAATTTAATCCAGAATGGTTACCTGTGTCTTTTAGAGAAGATTTTAGAGTAGAGCAGGTTCTTATTAGTTTTTAAAGCTCTTAACGGTCTTGGTCCTTCTTATTTGTCTGATTTGCTTTTACCGTATGAGTCTAGTAGAGCCCTCAGGTCTTCAGGTGGTGGTCTTTTATTGTTCCCAAAGTAAAAACTAAAGCATACGGTGAATCATCGTTCCAATATTACTGTCCCCATTTGTGGAACTAGCCTGGCTGGGCCATCCTGTTGCGTGAATCACTTGGAATCACTCTGCTCAAATGGAATGAAGTCACTTCCATCCTGAAATTGGCCCAGGGGTGCCAATTTTCACCAGAGGTGCGTCTCAAGCCCAGGAGGATCCCATTAAATTTTGGTGGTGATCCGGACAAAATCGCTGCTCCTCCATGTTGAGAGGAGTCAGCTGAGGTGGCCCGGGCATCTGGTTAGGATGCCTTTTGGACGCCTCCTGTTAGAGGTGTCCAGACATGTCCCACTGGGAGGAGACCTCGTGGCCGGTCCAGGACCAGGTGGAAGTGGCCGGGGTGAGGGCCGTCTGGGCTTCCCTCCTGAAGCTGCTGCCCCCGCGACCCGGACCCGGATGAAGCGGAAGAAAATGACGACGAAACAATTTTTGTGTTTTCTTGTTCCTGTCTGAACTTTTTTTAAGCTTGTTTCAGGTTTTGAAATATTTTTCCGCAGACAGTCAAATTCTGATGTTGTTTTTTCTCTATTTTCAGTGAAATCCAACATCTGAGTGATTTGCAAACCATCAGATTCAGTTTTGATGAGCGTCACCCTAACTCTTAATGGATCTGGGGTTGTAGATGAAGGTTCATGACCTGCAGAGACTCACTCGTCTTCTGTCCTCTTTCTTTCAGCCTCTGAGATGTCCACAGACGACAGTGAGCGTGAGGATGAGGAGGGAGAGCAGAATGACGAGGATCGCCCAGGGTGCAGAAGCAGCCTCAGAAAGGCCCCTGCAGAGTCCCCGCAGACATCAGAGCGCTGGGAGAGCGGGGCCCCTCCAGAGGGATCCAAACCTCCTTCAGTCTCAGGAAAGAACCACGAGCCGGTCAGCGCAGAGAGCGCCGACGTCGGGAAGCGAAGGAGCCAACCAGAGCAAGAAGGGGAGGCGAGCAACAGGAAGAGGAAATCAGACTCTGCAGCAGAGAGGCCCCCGAAAGGACAATCCAAAGCTAAGACCAGGAACACCAGGAGCGCCGACTGGCTGCCTGGAGGGTCTCCGAGAAAGCTGGAAGGTGAGAGACCGCCTGGTCCTGGCGAGGAGAGCAGCAGCTCAGACGATGAGGCGGCAGCTGTGGCCAAATCCCAGGCGGGAGAAAATGAGCGAAGTCGGCCGAAGACCAAAGGCTCCCCTTCAAAGAAGTACAACGGGATGAAGGAGAAGACCAAAGCTGGCAGACAAGCGGGATTCTGGGAGATTCCTGAGAAAAGAGCGAAGATGGCGGGGCCTACAGAGGAGAGGCCGGCGGTCCGCTCAAAGGGCCAGAAGGACGTGTGGTCCAGCATTCAGGCCCAGTGGCCCAAGAAGACCCTCAAAGAGTTGTTCTCCGACTCGGACACGGAGGCCAACTCTCCTCCTCCTCCCGTCCCCTCGTGTCTGGAGGACCAGAGCGCCGAGCAGGACATCGGCCCGGAGGACGAAGCCTCAGAGGAGCAGATGGAGAACGACAAACTCCAGGAGTTCCCGAGCAGCGGCAGTAACTCCGTGCTCAACACGCCGCCGACGACACCGGAGTCCCCCTCAGCAGGAGGCAGCGCCGTGGAGGACTCCGGTCAACCACAACCCTCCTCTCCACCGCCATCCCTCCCCGCCGCAATGCCATCAGAGCCGCTTTCTGATGCTCTTCCTCCAGGGCCCCCGCAGGAGGAGGCGGCAGGCGGGCGCAGCGAGACTGACAGCAGCACAGTGGAGGTGGAGAGTCTGGGCGGGGAGCTGCCGGACCTCCCCCAAGACGAGGGGGCCGGTTCCCCCTCGAAGGTGTTTGACGTCAGCCTCTCCTGCAACAGCAGCAGCAGCTGCAGCCTCGAGCTGAGCAGCAGCAGCCAGCAGGAGAGCGAGCAGAAATCCAAAGGTACAAAAACTCCTCCTACAGTTCAGTCTTTGAGTTTATTTCTTATTTTACAGTCGGTTTGTTCTTCACGTCGTCTCTACCTTTTCTTTTGTAGCGTCTGCGAGTCAGAAGCGGCAGAAAGAAGCTCAGGCAGGTGCAGCCTCGAAGAAACACAAGCCAACCCGCAAGAGCCTCGGTGTGCCTCCCAAAAAGAACAGGAAAACAGGTACGACGCAGAGACTCCCCGCCCGTCTTCGTCTCCACACAGCTGCACTCCTTTTATCAGACACAGAAACCAGATTCAAAGGAAATGAGATTTCTCTGCGTCATTGTTCGTTTATTTTCTCCGTCTCGGCTCTTTTCTCTCCTGCAGCCAACAGCAGCGACAGCGAGGATCAGTCTGTTGAGGGCACGGCCAAACAAACGGCGCCCAAAAACAACACGCCAGACGTGAAGGCCGCCGTGTCGCCCAAGTGTCACGGCCGTTCTCCTCCCTCGAGCCATAAGTACCACAAACAGAGCGACGCCGAGCACGCACAACACCGAGACAGCCATGGAAGATCTCCAAGAGTTTACAAGTGGAGCTTCCAGATGTGTAAGTGTCAGAAGATACACACCTGAGCATCTATTTACCTGACATCTACGTCATTAACACTCACCTGTGATTCCTCTCAGCTGACCTGGAGAAGATGAGCAGTCTGGAGAGGATCTCGTTTCTTCAGGAGAAGCTGCAGGACATCAGGAATCACTACCTCTCCCTCAAATCTGAGGTGGCCTCAATCGACAGGCGGCGAAAACGCATGAAGAAGAAAGAACGAGAAAGTGAGTCACAAGCTGTTACCGACACTTAGACCAGGACTATGACACAAATAGGACTTACCTCTGACTGGGGATGTAACGATATGAAAATTTCACATCACGATTATTGTGACCAATATTATCATGGTTATCAATATTATCACGGTATTGTTTAAATATGTTCAAAATGTTAGAATAACAGAGGAATGATAAGTTTTAAAAGTTAAAGATGGGGCCTTAAAAGAGCCAGAGGTCATCAACATTAGTAATAACAAAGTAATGTGCCAGTGGAATAAACATGAACATAATAACAAATAGATAAAATTTAAATAAAATGATATTCCTTATTGTGCAAATTGTAAGGAAAAAACCATGACAAGATATAAAAAATTAAAGGAATTAAAACAATGATGATAATAATAATAATAATAAAAAAATATTATAAAATAAAACTTTTAAATTCAAACAATAAAAGAAAATAATCAAATAGTGTTAAAATGTCCCTACTTCTGACTCGTAACGTTCAGGTCTAAGCTGGTCTTGAGTTCACACCCAGCTGGTACGCTCGCCCCGGCGTCTCTAAACCGACTCTAACCCGCTCTGTCTCTGTCCCACAGGCACCGTGGCTGCTTCCTCCTCCTCCTCCTCTTCCTCCTCCCCATCCTCCAGCTCGCTGACGGCGGCCGTCATGCTGACGCTGGCCGACCCCCCGGTGTCCTCCTCGTCCTCCTCGTCTCAGAACTCTGGGGTTTCTGTGGAGTGCAGGTGACAGGACGCAGCCGCCGCAAACACACCGCACTAAGCACTTAACCAGCACCCCGGGGTTCCCCGCCCCCCTCTTCCCCTCCGACAGGACAGGACAGGATGGACGGACGAGTCCACCTTCAGACTGAAACTACTGGGGCACAAAAACCAGACCAGAGACAAAAAACAAGAAACAAGCACTATTTTCTATCGACAACTGTTTCCTTGGCAAGCTAACGGCACTTAAGTGCACTTTTATGAAGATTGTAGGAGGATGACATTTGTTTCGAAAAAGATGACTAAATCTGTGTTTGGCGCTCTTCTAATTGAACATTTGTAAGAATTGTTTTTTTGCTAGCAATAACTGTCTCATTTGATAACGTAGTTCTGCTGAGGGGATGATTCCAGTCTGTGCGCTCCGAAAAAGTGCAGCCGGAGCTCGTCGTGTACTCGTGAGGCGTCGGAGGGACTCTGCCACGTTTTGGCATCACTGACAAATGAAATGTCATTCAAAGTCGAGCTGTTCTGATGCCGATAAAGAAAACGAGAGGCTTTATGATGCAGGGGAGACACGGTGAAAACACCTTTATGCAGCTGAAGTCGGTTGTTCTTCTGCTTCCTTGAAACGGTGCTCTCCGCAGCAAATCTCTCTCTACTGCCACCGCTGAGGTACTGTGGCTGCCACTGGGAACTACCGTTTTAAAAGCAGCAAAGAAGAACTGATCTTAGTAAACACTAACAGCACAGTCACGGCAAAGATGAAACTTTTTAACATGTTTCTCTACTTGTATTTAGGGAGGCATTAGATATTAGCTCTGCTGTTTTTAAGTCCAGATTTCTTTACTTTCATCGTCTTTAATGATTTTTAATCAGAGCTGGATTATCCACAGAGGACTTCTCTACTCCAGATGAACTAAATCAGTGATTAACAAACCGTACAGGTGCTGAATAAGGCAGACGTGTGTTTGACTCTTTAAGGAGACAGATGTTTCCAAACAGAGCTCTCCTCGTCGAATTATTTATTCTCTGTTTCTGTCTTTTCTGACAGATTCCAAACTAGATAAATAAATAATAAGTTAATGTATATATCTTTTAAAAAAACAGAATTTGAGAGAAGCAGGATGCTGCAAAGATTTTAAAGAAGAAAAATTTTAAACAGTTGTTCTCTTAAACATGATGACTAAATGAAATACCATAGATAATGTATTAAAATGATTCTGATTTATCCAGATTTAAAGGTTTTCACCTTTAAATCTGGATCAAAGTTAAATCTGGATTAAGCATTAGACAGGGGCATGACCAGACTGTTGGACTGGGGGGCCCCAGCCAGTGCACCGAGCTGGTCTGGGGTGTCCAAACAAATTAAGAGCATTTACCTTTTTGTCTTTTGTCTTTACTGCTGTCGTCACCCCGGGTCCTCCCTCTGGACACCCCGCCTTTGAGATTTGGCGACCCATTTTAATGTGACACTGATTGCAGCACCCTTTATCCACAGGGGGGCGCCAAACAACACAAACTCAATGATTCTGGTGTTTCGATGTAGGTAAACCTTTAATATTCGGCTGTGGTGCTCTTAGAAGAAGAAGAACAACAAAAACCAGATGTTGTTTTGTTTTTGTTTGACCATTTTCAAAAGTTCTCTAATGTTGCGCTCCTGTAATTGTAATTCCTGTAATCTGGTCTGAATCCAGCCCTCTGTTTGGATCAAGATCATCCAGATTAAGGACCAAAGTTTCGCCAGTTCTGCTCCAAAGTTAGAGCAACACAAACTGAAAGATTGGATTATCATATCTGATCTGGTTTCATGACTATTTCTATGTTTTATCAACTCCTTTTTTAAGACATGAAAGATAAGAGTTTTACCCGAGCAGGTGAGACAGCAGTAATTTGTAAACTCTTCCTGGCTGTTTAAAAAGTTCAGGTATCAAAACAAAAGTATCGGCGTCAGAACACCTCTGCTGAAGAAACGCCGTCATGTGATCTCACCTCATGTGGCCGACGATGCTCCTCACAGGTGTGTGGTCCTGCACATGTGGAGTCAAACAGGTGTTGATGGGCGGGGTTCAGCTCCACTGACGGAGGAACCTGGAATGATACTGTAGTGCCTTTTTGTTCCCACGGGGCACTTTGAGGACGGACAGCACTTTTTACTCCTTGACCCTCTCCTCCAATCAGAAACCGGAGGGTCGGCTGGTTGAACGTCTCCTCAGAAAGAAGAGAGTGGAGGACGCTGGATGAGTGAGCAGGAAGAGTGATGGTTTTTATCTTGAAACTGGATCACCTGAAATCTAAACTACTGAAGCTCCTGCAGCTCGGCTGGAACTGTGTGACAGTTGAAAAATGTGCAATGATGGAGGTCATCGCTTCAGTTCATCAGCCTTTCAAACCATCTGCTTCATTCGATTAAGTTTGAGCTCATCCTTACATCCGCAACCGGATCAATTAAAGGGATAGTGGGTGTTTTTTTGAGGTGGGGTTGTATGAGGTTCTCTGAATAGTTAAAATGTTTTAGGAAGAAACTGAGCGGAGTATGGGTCAGATGTAACCAGGGGTCGACACAGTTTATTAATCGATTCGCATTTACAGAAAGAAATGAGAAATTTTCAATTTGGACCATTACAAACTCAAAAAAGTCTTTGTTAAAGCGCCTTTACACTTTACAGAGCTGTTACACTTACAGTGCAGTTACGTCACACGGTCATGTGATGTCTAGCCAATCAGAAAGTGTTGTTGCCGGGACATTAGGAGAAGATAGTGCCAGAAAACAGACCCGGAAGGAAGACACACCTGTAATTTAGCCAAAATAGCACTTTTTTAAATTGCCACCTGTAAATGAAAAAGCCGACACATAAAATGGACCCAATGTCAAATATCGGCCTCAATAATCAGTCTAACTCCAGTTCTGATGCATTTTTTAGACGTCTGATTGTATTTTAAAGTAGTTTTCTTAAGGTATCAGGTAACGGTGTCAGCAGCAGAGACGCTTGGACAGTTTTTTTATTTCTCCCTCTGTGGAGATGGTTTAAAACTGCTCTCTCAACCTTTTTTATATCACACCGTCTGAAAATCACCTCGTCGGCAGGATTCAGGAGCTTCGGAGGCCCCCGAAGTCTCATAATCTGATCCTTTTTAACTTGTGCGCACATTTACAGGCGGATAAGGTGATTCATTATCCTTTAGTTATTAAATTTCATTGCTTAATAACCAGTGATTAGTTTTTTGATTGTGTGAACACAGATTATCATGTGTTGCACTGGGACTGGTAACTAACGTCCAACAGAAGCGCCCTCTGCTGGACAGAGTAGAAGGGTGCGCCCCATGTTGTGTTAACATGTAATTATCACCACTTTTAGAAGTCGAACAGCTTGTGTTTCTTGGTGAAAGTGCTGAATTTAATATCACTTTGCTTTAGAGCATCTCTGCTCACCTGCTCGATCATGGCTGAAACACGAGCCTCTGCAGTGTTTTCTTATTCATAATTTTCTCTGGGATTGAACAAAGGAAGCTGAGAAGGGCCTAGAATACTCCTGCTGTCATGAGTAGAAACAGCCTGTAGGAGCCAAAACTGAATGTTTTTGTGTCTTGTGTGCACAAGTTAATAACTTGTTTGTTGTTCCGTCTAAAACTCCCAGACCCAAACAGATAATCTGATACTGTATCCTGGATGCAGACTTTGTTCTGGACTACAGGGTTGAAATGAATTTAGCGTCGAATACCCACAAATACAGCAAACAAACTGAGACATCTCACATGTCAGACTCTCTCTGCAGCTGAAGTTTCTGCAGCTGAGACTCTGACCGGCTTCATCAAACAGGAGCTGCGCTGTGGTAACACTCCTGCTGTCAGTAAGAACCTCAAACAACCCACTTCAACATAAAAAAGGACTGTCCCTCTCACAGATTCAGCCATGAGAAGACATATATCCAGCGTAGAAGAAGCTGGATCCAACATTTGCAGTGATTCCAACAACACAAACTCATTCGATCAAGTTTATTTCTGCTTTCTTAAACAAAGAAACTCATCCTTTTGAATTGTACTCACGCCAGTCTCCTCTCATACTCATCCCTACCAAAAAATAAAAAGTGAGTTTCTGTTTCTTCTCTCCGACCAGATTAAAGGTAAAGATATTGTAAATGTGCATTTATATCATAAAGTGACGTATGTGTGTACATTTCTGAAGACATCTCCGGTGTTTCCTTTGTATAGACCCCTGACTGTACGATAACCTGAAGTTACATTTGGTTTGGCACTTGTATGTAATTGTATGCTTTTGTTATACATTTGTATATTGAGAAGTGTTTTGAGTCAAGCTATTTAATATCTTGCACTGTTAATAACATGTACTTTTCTGTACAGACAGTTTTACGGTTTTAACTGTAGTTTGAGTGTAAATACTGAGGGTTACAGCATGTTTGTTCTCCCCTTTTTGTTCTCCTCTAGGAACAGATTGATTTGACCTTATTTCTTTTGTTTTTGTTCATACGTTTCAGTAGTTTTTTTTCCTCCTCCCTTTTGTATTTTACGTTTTGCTTTCGTTTGTTTTCTAGAGCTTGTGCTTGTAAGAGAAGTATGGAGGTTTGGATGCTGGTCTGACGCTGTATGAAAACGTTTATTGAGAACGTTCTGGGTCACAGATTAAGAGAAAGTAAAAGGAGCTTATTGAAAAATGCTCGATAGTATTTATTAGGCTCATCTGATGATGGTCGATGTGTAATTTATTGTAAAAATGTAAGCAAAGCAGAAAAGCCTCTGTTTGAAATAAATGCCATAGTTTGTGAAGTACTTCCTGTGTCCGATAACTTCTTTGTTACAACAAACTTAGATATTTCTTTATCATACGTGTATATTCTCAGCTCACATGGGTGTATTATATGACATTATTAGTGAGTGTGTTAGAGCCAAAGAAGAAAATCAAACACTGATAAATATTCACTAATTAAAGAGCCGATAGCGTCTTCTTTCCAGACTTTTGGGACAAAATTAACAGCTTGAACATTTCAATTTCAAACAGCCAATCCAGTTTTTGCTCATCTTGCACCACATTATGTCAAGCTTTTGGTGAGCTTCATAAAACAATAACTTTTTGAGATCTCCATTTTTTTACAGCATAGAAGGAAATTAAAGTTGGTTTCACTTCATCCAACACATGGTCTGTTTTCTCCAAGATTATTTGAACTGTCTGATGTCAGTAGCCAGAGGAAGAAAACTAGATCCTCACTGAGCGACCGAGGATTATTAGCTCCTAGATAAATGAAATGTTACATTTAGATGTACCTGATAATTATGATAAATAAAGTACATTCGTGACTTCATCTTACAAAACAAAATCTACATCCACTTAATACAGAATACACATAAAAACAAAAAAACAATACTGTCGGGATCTGATAAGAACATCTAGCCCATGTTCGCACTTTAAGAAATGGAAGTTCCACATGAATGATCATTTTGACAAGCTTTACTGGTTGCAGATGTGGGTTACAGCTTCATCATGCCACAAGTGTCACAAAGACTGGTCTGAGACTGTTCAGGTAGATATAGTCGTCCACATTTCCAAACATTCTGCTTGCATTTTGTTGACCTAAAGGAGAGTCTGTGTAAGGTAATAACAAAGAACAACATACAGTATTTAGGAAGCCTGAGTGATGTTAAACATGGGTACGAGGTCAGTTGTCAGTTGTACGAGGATAGTTGTCAGAGGCCCATGGCTTCAGAAATCTAGAAGCAAAGAATCCTATTTGGACAAAGGCTGACATGACTGGCTCAAGAAAATCCCCCTAACAAAAACACAAAACAAACAAACAATAACCTCATAACACTTCGTGCTACCCAACACCTTCCTCATCCCTGTACCTCTTCTTAATTAAAAATAAAATAAAAACTAAAAAAAAAAGGCTATTTACTACTATTTACTTACTCACTCAGGCTACATACTTTCTTACTTACTACCTTAATTATTGCGTTAATAAACGTCTTTAACCATACAAAACTGTAAATGAATGGTTTATTTATTTATTTATTTTTAAACACGATCATACAGAGTTTATAAAACAGCTCTGACCAATATAACAGATTATTAATCGGCAACACTCCGAGTTTTGACTAAGTTTGGACCACTCGCCGCTCCGTCTTGTTCCAGGAAGGACGTCACCAATACGCTGTTTCCACTTCCGTCGCATCGAGCTCGCTCTCTCCAAACCAGCTGGTTCCGGGTCTCTCGTGCCGCTGCTGTCCTCGTGTGAAGGTTGCGGTATGATGAGCGGGAGCACGAGCGCCGTGATCGCCGGGGTGTGCGGGGCCGTTTTTATCGCCTACTGTGTTTATTTCGACAGGAAAAGACGGAGCGATCCTCAGTTCAAACAGAAACTTCGAGAACGTGAGTGTTAAAACAAACAGACGGGTAATAAAGGTGAACGTTCAGGTAACTTTGGGGACACGTGAGCGTGCAAGGACACCTCAGGCCGCAGGTTACAAACAGGGAAGAGTTTATAGAGATAAAAAAAAATGAGTTTAATAATAATGTTTGATTCCGTAAAACAAATTTCTAACCAGAATTTACCCAGCAGCCTTAGCGAGGTTCTCCGAAATTAGGCCAACTTTTTCATATAGAAAAAGTCCTGAAAAGTTTTTGTTTTCCATCAATTGCGCACATGATGGTTACTTATCAGCACAGTATAATAAACTTGTTGGAACAGGTTAATAACCCTTTTCATACAGATCACTAAACAGCACAAGTTATGATTTGATAGGATTAAGTTTAAACCTGAGAAAAGAACAGAGTTACGCAAGTGCACAAGGTCATATACTTGTTCCCCACCACTTCATAATTTGTCCGTACAAGATTGTGAGCTTCTGTAAGATTTGAAGGGATAATTGGACGTAAAATTAATTTAGGGTCAAACACACTGTAACACCAAGTTAGACACCCCCTCGAGAGATGGATTTTGTCGTCTGCTTGCTTCTCTAGTTATACCGAATTTACTAACGACCGCACGATAGCAATACACAGCGGTCGGAGGAGCCGTAAACAAACTTCAACCAAAACGCCACAAATAATGCTCAGAACAGCCCCAAACTTCATCAACAGGACATACAGGGCCCCAGCCATCAAACATCTTTTTAACTTTGCCCAATTTCTTTAGCAAAGATACTAAACACAACTTACTTACTCTCTTCCAGCAGTCGTTTGTTTGTAGCGAGACCTCGACCAGTCCATTACAGACTACAGCAGGGTGCCGCAGCTCAAGGAAGAACATTTATGATCATTTCTTCATGGAAATACAATCAGACTGAGATGCTAAGGCAGAAGAACTACCACGTCTGCAGTGAAAATGATCAATATGGTGATTATTACTTCAAGGAAATGATAAAGTAATGATCATAAATGTTTGTCCTTGAGCTGCGTCACCCCGCTGCAGTTGATGGACTCGCCCGGAGGTCTCTGTACAAACAAGCAGCTGCTGGAAGAGAATAGGTGAGTTGTGTTTAGTCTCTTTCCTAAAGAAATTAGTCAAAGTTAAAAAGATGTTTGGTGGCTAGTACTATGGCTGGGACCCGATATGTCCTGTTGATGAAGTTAGGTGCTGTTCTGAGCGTTATTTGTGGCTATAGAGTGGCGTTTTGGTTGAGCACGTGGCTCTCTTTATTGCTGTCATGCGGTCGTTACTAAAGTTGGTGTAACTAGAGAAGCTAACTTGGTGTTACAGTGTGTTTGACCCTAACTTAATTTTACGCCGGAATATCCCTTTAGTTTTCATGCAGAAGATGATTATATCGACCCTGTAAGTTAAATACTCCTGCTCTCAAGTTATCTTGTTAGCACTGTCATTTTAGCTCTGCACATACAGTAACTATCAATAAACAAAAAGTACACCCATAATCATCCTCTTCTGAACATAGAAACACTGAGGTTTTTTGTGCTCTTAATTTTGATCTATACTCAGAAAATAGGGTCATTAAAATTCAGGGACATTTGTCCTTCTACGGAAAATTGTTGTGGCGTTTGTAACTTACCGTGTCTGATTTGACCTTCTGTCTTGCAGGTAGAAGAAAACAAAAAGCGCCTGCTACGAAGTCTGGACAGGCAAAGGTAAAAAGAGCTTTAGAGCCGTTGATGTCATGTCTGTGTATCCTCGTGTAAAGCTGTGAAAATGCAGTTCTTATCCCTAATATCTGTTTATTTTAAAGCTACCGGACCTGGCAGACGCTGAGGCTGTTCAGAAATTCTTCCTGGATGAAATTCAGCTCGGGGAGGAGCTCCTATCACAAGGTTTGTAACATGACTTTTAATCTGTAGATATTATCTTTATGTTGGAACCATCATTTAAACAAATTAACATTCAATAACAGTTATTTCAGATGTTACGCAAACAAAAACCACAAAATTGGTCTTTATTAATTTTTATCTTCCAACAGGGGAATTTGAGAGAGGTGTGGACCACCTGGCCAATGCCATTGCAGTATGTGGTCAGCCTCAGCAGCTGCTCCAGGTTCTCCAGCAGACACTCCCACCTCCTGTTTTCCAAATGCTGCTCACCAAACTGCCAACCATCAGCCAGGTGAGCAATAAACTCTTAGTGAAATGTGTCGAGGAGCCCCACCACCACCACGTTAGTTTCAGAGCATTCTTAAGAAACCCCCCAGTTGCTCTCTGTGATTTCTGGGACAAGAAAGGATGCAAGAGAAATCTTAGAATCATCCAAAGCTGAGAGCTGAGTGTCAGTAGCTCTCGGCTATTTCACCTCTAAGACAGAAACACTGACGCTGCATTCAAGTGGGATCAGGAAAAGTTATGCACGGATTGTGTAATTGCTGCCTGTGCTGCTGTCTTGGCCAGGAAACCCCTGAAAAGAGATTTTATATCTGCAAAAAAATCTTGCAGTAATAATCAGGCCTTAGTTATCTTGTAGTGTGTACCACATTTCATCGTTTTAAAACCAGATGTTCTTTCTTGTTTTCCAGCGAATCGTCAGCTCACAATCGTTGACAGAAGATGACGTGGAGTGAAAGCGTGATCTGCGTTGCTGCAATATTTAAAAGGATTTGTACACTTTCTGATGCATTTGAATGCAGATGTGTGTGTGTGAGAGAGAAAGAGACAGAAAGTAAGTTATGAGCCTGATTGTGACAAGGCTCTACATTTGCACATCATCCCTCCTCGCTATGGCACTCTTAAAGCTTCAGTTCAGGGTAAACACATTCCAACTGTCTGAATTAACTTATTTATGTGCCTCCATATGAACTGTCCGTCTTCTCATGTTTTGGGTTCACACTCATGTAAAACTTCGTAAAATCAAAACTGGACCTGTGAGATGTATATATGATTGTCTGCACTCATTTTTTTTTTTAATTTCTCTGTGGCCGTATAACCGAAATATTTTCTATATTCCAGTTTTTCTTACTATGATGTATTTTTGTGTGTAAAATCCAACAATAAAACATGAAAACACTCGACGTTCCTGAGTTTTCATTCACCACTAGATGGCAGTAGTAGTGCACAGAAAAAATGGAGGCAGGCAGAGTTTTCTATATTGGCTAGAAAGAGTGTCTATGTAGGTGAATTAAAAGTGACATGCCCACAAATTAAGGAGGAGTGTGACTTTTATATTTGTATTATAAAGTAGTTAATGTAACATAAGCCCATTCAGGTATGTTAAATGTGAATGTAAGAAAGTCTGAGTCATGTCTCTGGACGTATTAATGAATCATTCATGCTGTTATAAAACACAGGCAGCTGAAACAGGACTGGATCACAGAGACAGTCCAGTATTTCTGTTTCCAATATATTACAGCCCATGCATGACCACATTGAGCCTGGTGTCCTTATTGTGAATGACTTTATTGTGCATGCAGGAGAGGGAAAGTGGAGCAGCTCATGGCTTTAAAGTGTGTCTCTTGGACGACAAATAGAGCTGTAATTATTTTTATCCCTGTCTGCAGCTGTTTTTCTAAAGGCCTCTGGCCAGAGCAGCCGGGGCCCCGAGGTTTCCAGGAAACCAGAGCAGGGGAAAATAGTTTTTCTACATTAGGAGTGAAAAATGAAAATTGAACGCTGGCCCAGAAATGTCGAGTGTGAACTAAATGGCAGACAGTGTTCCATTTTCCATGAACTCATGTGCTCAGGCTACAGTCTTTACTTCTGCGCTCTGGTTATTTGATGGAAAAGGAGAAGTCTGTCAGAAGGCCCGCAGAGTCGTCTGGCCCCAAGTGAGTGTGCAGAAGAAGTGAATCGTTGTTAACGTGTCCTTTGGGGAGGCAGAGGAGAGAAATACCAGACGATGATGGAGGTCAGGCTGGAGCTGTGTGGTGTGTGGCTGACTCTGAGGGAGGAACAGGTTAAGAGCCCTCCACAGAGAGCAGCACTGGCAACTTCCCCTGTAAATAAACCTTCCTCTGCTGGCCGAGCTCTCCGTCCCCTGCAGGCTGGAAAGAGAGGAGGAGTCTGAGGGATCCCAGTGACCCCTACCTGCTCTGTTTGCATGCCTCCTGAAAGTAAAGCAAGAGGAAAACAAGCCTTCGTGTAACGCCATGTGACAGTGTTCGATTCCAGGACAGGGACCACATATGGTTTGAGCTGTCGTTGATGATTATAAAGAATCTAGGAAGGTGAAAGTTTACATGTCGGATATATAAAAATGTAGTTTTCTTGAATAAAAGAATATTGAGCTCAAAAATGATCAGAATCAGAATTCTCTTTATTTCTTTATTGTCATTATACAGACGGTACAACAAGACTTGAGAGCTTCTCTATTTTCAGTGCAAGGTCAAATTAAAAGTACAGAAATAGTGCTAAGAAAAAAAAAATAGGTACAGGCTATATACAAGAGAAAATCATCTAGTGCAGCATAGACAGTGCTATGAACGTGAAAACTATATACAAGAATGGGAAAGGATATAAATATTATATATATATATATGTATATATATATATATATATATATATATATATAAGTATGTGTATGATATTTAGGTAGGGTTCACAAAGCAGCAGTGGTAATATATTGCACTATTGTATTCAAACATAGCAGCAGTGGCAGTAGTAAGTATATTGCACGAATTATATTAATTGCATAATAAAAAAAATAGAGATGATAAGAAATAATGAACGGGATAAAAAAATGTATAAAAATGGTTGAATTTTAGGTATCCTAGAGTAACATCAACATAGCTGGTTATCAAATTATTTAATAATTTAAATTTATTTTTTGTTCAAATTTATAGCTGACATATTTTAGATTGTCACTATTTTACCAAACAAATAGATTATACAGTTTTTGTCCATTTTTTGTCTTTATATAAGCATTATATTAATTTAGCTTTCTGAAATGTATTTTCTAAATGTATTCCTTTAACGCAAAATTATTTACGTCATGACGTCAGAGTGACGCGCTCGTCAACGCTTGAACTCTCCAGCTGTGTGGTTGGTCGGTTGGTTTGCTTGTACCGTTTGAATGAGTTGAACCCCGTACTTTAGCCGTCATTTAGTTATTCAGTAACAAGTTTGATATTAGTTGGACTAAATGGATATCTGCGTTTCGGCGACTCAAAGCTAACCAGCTGACGAAGGACCGACCTCCTCTCGTGAAGGATTATAAACGAGGCGACGAGGACGAGGACGCTAACGCCGAGATGGGATTAGACGTTTCAAATATATCTGGAGGATGAAGAGGAGGACGAGAGGGACCGAGAGAGGGACGGAACAAGAATCAACACGGTAAGTTAGCATCCCGAGATAGCTGAAAGTTATTTCTGTCAGCCTTTGTGTTTGTAAGCAACAGCTAGCCATAGTGATGAAGTATCTGCGTTTCCCGCGTCAAAAATTAAAGGGCACGCGCTCAGTTGGACAGTTAAAAGTCGACAGACTTGGGGAGTTTCGTGTTTTAACTTGCAGTTTGAAATGGTTCTGCTTAGGACTGGACGATATATCGATATAAGGAAGATATCGATATATTTTTAAATTAGATGTGGATATGGATGAATATACAGATGTGAGATGGTGTTGTTGACAGGCTGGAGTTTCTCACACAAAACAGTTAGGGCTGTCTATCAAAGTAAAAACGAAAGAAAGACAGATAGGTAATCTCAAAATGATGTTAAAAAACAATTTCCTAAACTGAGCACTTTATTTTATCCTGTCTTTATACATGTAAATGCTGCCCTTATTAAGGTTTGTCGTATTTAATTCTTTTGTAGTGTTCGTTGTTTGCGTTTGTGGATTTGTTAGAGAGGAGATGAAAATATGCAATTTGATTTTAATCAGCCATTTATAATGTCCTTTCACCGAGGCCGACGCGAATATAGAACGCGAAATTACGAAATATTCAGAGGCGAATTTTGAAGCGCCTGACTATACACATCAAACGCGATGCGATTTTGGGACTTTCTGGGGGGGGGGAGACAAAAGTCCCGCCTCCTTCGCCTCTGATTGGCTAGAAAAGCCCTAGTTCTGCTTGTGTTGATTTTGGTGCCCCCCTGTGGGCAAATCGGTTCATCTTTTATATTTGCAGTTCTTGTCCTGGACATGTGCAGCATTGACGTTATGTTGGACAAGGCATCTCGTGATGCCATCTGTGTTTCAAGTTTGATGTATCACGTTTGTAAGTTACTCTTTTGGTTTATAAGTGTGAATTTTAATTAATTCTGAAGCTCATCTCAGATAATTTAATTAGTTTTTAACGTAATTAATTGTTGTTTTGGCTGCATCATAAGTCATTGGCACCTTCTATGAACATTCAGTACTCTGTATAAACTAGTGTAAGACTTAATTACTCTGCAGTCCATAAATTATAGCAACCTAATTAAATCGAGTCAGTGTAAATATGCAGCCAAGGCGGGCTGAATTTGACAGATTTGTGATATCTCTCTTAAATGTTTTTTATTCACTTTGGTGGAAAAAGAATCAGCTCTGAGTCAGTAGGTAGGATGTCATTATATTTTATGAGGTCAGTGATGCAACAACTTGAAACTTCACTCATTCAGAGCTCACTGATTTGAATCAGCTTGAACTTTGACAAAGTCATTCGTGCCACATGGTCAACGTCTTCACAGCAGGTCCCTCCAACTGGATCTGACCTGTATGTGCTTATATAAGAGGGGGGCAGGCACATATGCTGGTATGAATAACTGAGACCAGGGGAAGGCCCGTTAATGTGGTCAGGTCTGTTTCTAGATGACTCAGCAAATTTTCCTTTTTCGCCCCAGACAAATCGTGTTCCGTGTTATAAACCCTGAGAGCAAAGTTAATATAATCAATGAGTTTATCTGCTTAAACTCTTTTAATCTAATGTCCTTCTCTTAATTGTGTTCCCGCTCTACTTGACTGTGTATGAATGGATTATGAGTCAGCTGCTTCGTATCTGATGAAGCATGCAGAGGGGAAAAAAAAGAAAATAAAGGGACCTGCTCCTCTCCTGCAGTAGGGGGGAGTGTTGCTCCAGGCTGCGTTCGCACACACTGCTGTGTTGTTCCACTGAAGGACGTCTGAATGGAGAGAGCTGAGAGCAGAGCAGTTCCTGTTGACAGCAATAACAATGGCCGTGCCTGCAGCACAGAGACCATGTGCTCAGGAGGGGTGATTTTTAACACTTGGTACTGCTTTCCTCTAATGTGCTCACGCTGACAGATGCACACTGTTCCTTCATTACAGGTGCAGGAAATAAAGTGTCACTGAAGGCGACATTAATATTCCTGGATTAGGCGTAGAGAGGCTGTGAGCAGCACAACCAAAGCAAGCTGATGTCTTTGTAATTTGTTAGCAGGGATTCTGATCCTATGTCAAATGTTGTATTGGGAATATTCTAATCACTTGAGCTGCAGCACTCATTACCGGATACCCTGTCAGCAAATTATGCACAGCAGTAATTACCTTTGCTATGTTCGTGCAGTTTGAATGTCAAGGCTACTGCTCTGTAAACTGAGTGCCATACATACATACATACATAGGCTGGGTATCCGGAGGAGCAGCTGTGTTTGGGAGGTTAAAGGAGCCAGAAATAACTCTGTTGTATGCGGTTGCTATGGCAGCTTCACGTAGCTCTGCAAAGCTCTCCCCTCTCTGCAGCACTGGTCTGTGTTTGAGTGTTCGCTCCGAGCTCTAACCTCTCTGGGAGGTAGTGCTGATGATCACTGAGTGTCCACAGAGGCCTTCAGTCCTCCTGCGTCTGTTTTGGAACATGTTTTCCTTGCTCGATGACTCTCAGAGTCTCACTGTCTGTGCCGTGTTGCTGATGTCATGGCTGCGGTGCCACCGTCTGCAGCTTACTGTATGTTGTCATGGAAGGCAGGGGAGAAACATGAGACATGTCCGGGCAGTGCCAGCAGCTATAATAAAGACTGCAGCTCTCCTCCGCATTGCCACTTGTGTGCACAGCAGCAACATGGTGTATTAATTACCCCGCGCCTCCTCTGTGTCATTCAGCAGTGAGGGAGAGGGGGAGAAAAATTTCCAAGGCACG